CGAGGAGAGGGATAAACTGACGAGCTGGATAACCCGAGAATGAAAGGACCGAGATGGGAGAGCCAAAAGTGGCGAGAGCGCCGAATGGCACCCTCTCGCCATTCCACCACCTCCCGAGTCCAACCCAACCCACACCGAACTCGTCACCAGTGGTTGCCAGTTTTATAATATAATAGCCCACCAACGTGGTACTAGCATTGTGTATTTGGTGATCACCTTTTTTAATGTCTATCAGGTGGGCCACCATTATATAATCCAAGGCCACCCATTGTAAAATAGACTGGGCCTCCTCTGTCAATGCCTGTTAATTTTATCCTGCCCATTTGGGCTTCCCTGTTGACTTCTGTCAATCCCTGTTAATACCTGTCAATGAGGCTAGGCTGCTTGTAGGTCCCTGTTTACCGCTCTTTGGGCGCTTTTTAGGCTTCCAAATAGGGCAGGCATACCAAATGGCCGCACCTGGGCGCTTTTTTGGATATCCCAATATGGTAGGTGCCTACTACCTCCTCCTGGGCCACCCCTGGGGGCCCACTTTGGGCATCTAATGGGCACTCTGCTGTATAGATTAATGTGCTATAGATGTGTAGTTATTATGTGCTGTCTATGTGCCAATTAACCGCATATATGGGGCGTAAATGCCCCCATAAATGCGAATGCATGCCAGGGGTCAGCAGGGCAGGGTGGATGCATGGGGTATATAATGGGTTCCTGTTGGAAAACCTCCATGGCAATGATACCATAGGAAAGCTATATTTTAGGCCTGCTATGGACAGCTTGTTTCGTGATGATAGCTGCATGGGTCATAGAGATATGACACTTCGCATTTTGGCAAAAAGTGGTCATTTTGTTCCTGCCATATCTTGGCACTGATAGCCGCTATAAATGATCCCCAAGTTGCGTTCTGATGAGGTTCAATGGCCCTTTCAAATGAGCATATATACATAGTTTTCTGACCATTTTCACTTTGGCCCTCCTCCTGCCCCACTTACAAAAGAATACCCTCTAGTGACTTCAGTTCTTGTCATATTCCCCTGAAAATATATGCATCATGTACTATATACCCATACATATATATTCTGAGCTTCTCTGGGTTTTGTATGTCCTTCTTCCTCTGGTATTCTCTATTGCACATTTCATGCACTCCCAGCATGTTTGTGGCCTATAAATCTACCTTTTGAGGCTATGACCACCAAACTCGCTACGTACATAGCCATGGTGTGCATAAATGTATTCCCGCTTCTCAAAATTTTATCAGAGGCTTGGATCCTTTGGGGTATCCTTATCAGTAATCCATGGCATATGCTCTGTAGAATTAACAGGGCTCCATTACGTGGCATAGAAAGTTGATAGATTGTAGTCCTGTATCCTAGCTCCATAATGCAAAAACAATCATGTCATTTGAGTGTAAATAAACAGAGATATGCAGGAAATACATCAAATGGTGGTTTGTGCTGCCCAGCACAGCATGCAGTGCTGGATCCATGTATCCTGCATATAGTGCATCAGAGGCACTTCTGGGGTGTTCTGGCCACTACTCTGTCAGTTCCTCATGGAAATTTCTACTTTCTTTTGCATCAGGCTCCTATATACCACTGCTATGTCACTATGTACTCTGATTAATATATCATGCATTCACAATTCATCAGAAGTGAGTATACTGTAGCCAACTGATAAGGATACCCTAGAGGATCTGTGGATGCGATAAAGATTCTGAGCATGTGTACGGAATTCAGTATGCGCTGGTTCCATATGGAGCAATTTTGGTAGTCATATCTATAAGGAATAGAGTTATAGAACCCAAACATGCTGGGAGTGCATGAAATGTGCAATAGAAGGTCCCAGAGGGGGAAGGTTATACTGAAACCAGGGAAGCTCAAAATATATGTGTATATGTATGTAGTACATAATGAAAATTGTTTCAGTAGCATCCATGAAGAACTGAAGGATCTGGATGGCATTCTTTTGAGAGGGGGGGAGGAGGAGGGTCGAGGTTAATCTGGTCAGAATCTCATGAGAGTGGGTTCATTATGAAGCCTGTGATAATTTGAAGTGAATACCGTAAAGGGATAGTTCATATCCACTTTGGATGCCAAGATATGGGGGAAAGAAAATGACAGCTTTTGGCGAAAATGCGAAGGGTAATATCTCTATGGCCCATGCAGCTGTTATCATGAAACAAGTTGTCTCTAGCAGGCCTAAAGTACAGCTTCTAAACAGGACTACTGCCCTGACAATCTATGCAGAGGAGCCCATTAGAGCCCCTATGCATCAACCCTGCCCTGATGACCCCTGCCCTGGATTCGCTCTTCTGAGTGCATTTGCCTCTCATTTAGGTCATAAGAGAGCATATAGAAAGCTGAACATCACAACATATACACTAGGAATTGATTGCACCACCAGAGGACCTTTTAAGTGCCCAAAGTGGGCCCCCAGGGGTGGCCCAGGAGGAGGTAGTAGGCACCTACCATATTGGGATATCCAAAAAAGCGCCCAGGTGCGGCCATTTGGTATGCCTGCCCTATTTGGAAGCCTAAAAAGCGCCCAAAGAGCGGTAAACAGGGACCTACAAGCAGCCTAGCCTCATTGACAGGTATTAACAGGGATTGACAGAAGTCAACAGGGAAGCCCAAATGGGCAGGATAAAATTAACAGGCATTGACAAGGGAGGCCCAGTCTATTTTACAATGGGTGGCCTTGGATTATATAATGGTGGCCCACCTGATAGACATTAAAAAAGGTGATCACCAAATACACAATGCTAGTACCACGTTGGTGGGCTATTATATTATAAAACTGGCAACCACTGGTGAACTCGTCTCTAACAAGACAATAGCTATGGATGACCGTACTGCCCCAGAGAACTCCCCAACCCCACCACCACCGCCGCTGACACAGCCAAGGCGGGTGTTCGATATGGCGACAAGAACGGTCCCGCCGGCGGACAAGAAAAGGACGAAGACCGTTGGGCGAGCGACAACGGCGAACGGCAGAGGGGGCGACGGACAGGAGTACGAGGACGATGTATTCAGTGCACCGAGGCAGGTGCAGAGCGAAGGAAGGCCGAGGAGAATGCTGAGTGAGTTACAACCATTCACCATCCGCGGAGGGCCCTCGACGGTGGCCGACGAGGAGGAAGACTCCGAAGATGAGGAGAGGGGACCGGGCGACTCGACGCCGACCCCCTGGGAGAGGCGGAGGCCGTCGACATCGTCCTCAGAGAAGCTCGTACAGGACCTTGAGGACCTTGCGGCTGCCGAGCAGGAGCACGAGGACGACCCGTACGAAGTCAGAAACAACTCGATGTGTAAAGATGAGGCATACGCTACTGGGATCACGAGCTGGGAGGACATAGTCAGCGAGAGCACTCCGCAGAAGGAGGACGCTGTGAGTGCGAGAGAAGGTTGAGACGAGCAGATGAGCTAAAGGAATGTCAGGAGGGGTTGAACGACATGGGCATCCTCGACCGCCTGTCGAAGGAAGGCCCGCCGAGCCCACAAAAGACGCGCCCGAACAAGAGGCTGCGTGTCCACTACTCCCCGGAAGAGCGGGTGAACGAAGGGGCCAGTGCGATGCAAGCAGGACCGGGTGCGACGGGGATGGAGGGGGTGGCAGCGAGCAACGCGAGCGCGAACGTCCCGCCGCCACCGCCGTACCTGGCGCAGCTCCCCCCGCAGCAACCGACGCACTACCACCAGGCGCCGCTGCCCCAACAACAGCAGATGATGCCCCAGGCGCCGCTCATGCCGCGCGTGAACCAGCAGGCAGAGCACAACCAGCAGCAGCAGATCCCGCAGCAGCAGGCGGAGCAGCAGGTGCAACTGCACCAGCAGCAGCCGCACCCACAGCAGCAGCAACTGCCGCAACCGCAGGGGCAGCACCCCAACCAGACGACGAAGGTCGCGATCACGATCAATCAAGTCAAGGCAAAGCTGCTCGCGCTCGCGGAAGAACTGGCGGAGAAGGCGGGCATCTCGGTCGAAGTCGCGTGGGGAGTGATACTCGATCAGCAAAAGGCGGCCGCGGAGCCCACGGCGAGGGCGGCAGGACAGGAGCTGCGCCCGCAGCTGAACAGGGCCCTGCAAGGCGAGCCGTCGAGGCGTCCGCTACGAGTCGAGGGGGAGCAGGCGCTGGGACAGCCTCCCCACCCAATTCCGAGCGCGGCGAAGGCGGAAGAGCGACCGGCACAAGCGGAGCGGGCGCGGGCGAGCCACACGGAAGCGAGGCCGGGATCGTCAGGCACCGTGCACCACGCCGTAGGAGCGGGAGAAGCGGCACTGGACCAGCGCACTCAGGACCCGAGAACCAGACTGCAGGCCGGAGAAGCGGCGGCGATCGCTCGCCACAGACTGCCGAGTGAGGTCAGGTCGGAGGACGCGGGGGACGAGATGGAGGTGGACCTGGTAGGATCGCTCCGACGGGGCTCGGAAGACCCGATGGGGACGTGCAGCGTGGCCGGGCTTCCTGGCCACATCCCTGTCGAGGTGCTGGAAGCGGTGTGGAGGAACAGGATGGACGTGAGGATGAAGGACGAGGAGGAGGAGGAGAGAGTGCGGCGCGAGGACGAGAAGGAAGGATACAGGAGGGCGCTCCGAGAACTAGGTGCCCTGACGGAGCCGCAGGAAGGATGGCCCGCGATCCACACGAGAGGGGCGTACGACAGAGTCCATCACCTGCAGAGTGCCGCCTACGAGGAATGGCTGGCAGCCGACGACGACGGCAAGATGCTCATCGAGATGGCACGGCCCGGCGACCTAGACAACGACACAGTAGCAAGGTTCGCGGCTAAGCTGGAGCACGTACTACAGGGGACGTTCGGACATAGCGAGTACACGCTGGCAGTCCCACCGCCGCGAAGGATCGCTGCCGAGAACGAAGACTCGGACGAGAAGAACAACGACTACTCGACGGTGTTCCTAGTGTCGGGGGCGCCGCCGCTGGCCGTCGAAGTCTTCGTCGAGCTCTATGCGATCTGCACGGAGGAAGTGGCGTTCTGGGCCTTCAAAGGCGACATGGAGGTCCCCAAGTACGTCGGCGCGCTGGACGGCTTCATGCAGAACGGAGAGAACGCGGCTGCGAACGTCATAAAGAAGCACCTCAAGAAAGAGACGCTGTTTACCTCGATCCTGAACCTCGTCAAGGAGAACCCGAGGCTCAGCCATATGCACGGCATGACCGCGACCCTCCACATCATCGGCACGGTGGCAGTCAAGCTAGTCAGAAAGGACCGCAGCGACGGAGGATCACCGCTCATTGCGCACCTCTACATCGACCAGCCCACAGACAATGGCCTCAAGTGGGACGAGTGGCACCAGAGCCTCCTGAAATTCCCTCTCCCGGAGGCGTCCGGTCGACCGCTGACTCTGCGAGGACCGGTGCGTTGCGCAGAGTGCCATGGCGTCGACCATGTAGAGGACGAGTGTCGGTACAGGAACATCACGGAGTGGAGGAAGAGGACAGAGAGCATCGAGAGGAGGATGGTGGAGAAGAAGCTGAAGGCAAAGGCGAGGGCAGAAGCAGCAGCGGCAAAGGCCCAAGGAGGAGTACGTCACCAGGACAACAGGCGCCTTGGGGGTGGGCAGTACGGGCCATCCGGCCCTCCGCGCAGGAACCAGATCGACAACAGGTGGAACAGAGGGGAGGGGCCGCCCTTCGGAACCCAGTTCCAGGGCAACTGGAACCAAGGGGGCCCGCCCAGAGCCATGAGTGGCCAAGGGGGCCAAGGGATGGGTGCCGGGCAAGCGACGCGTCCGCCGAGGCGGTAAAGGACAGTATACCTACATCTTGAACGGCGAGGAAGGCTGGGGCGTGGAGTTAAGCGAGTCGGGAGAGGCGGGGTGCATGGAGCGAGCGTGATGTAACGAGTGTCGAGCGATGACGGAATGCTATACCTTCTTGACGAACGCAGGCGTGACCCACTGCGATTCGCCGGAAACTGGAGGTAGCCTACAAACCTGTACACCGGAACCAGGCGGGCTGCTGAAGGGGGTCCGTAAGTGCCCAAATTTACTGCCGAAAGGACAGGAAAGCACTTGCGTCTCATCACCAACGGTGGCCTTTTCAGGCCTCGACGTGCCGTGCCGAGAGGCTGAAGCAGTGACGAGAGAACGCGGCCGGATGCGGGATCAACTCACGATGCATAGTCGACTGACGGAGGCCGGGATATGCCTCCTTGCTGCGATAGCGTGGTTGAGCTACGCGGGACTTCACCAACCACGAACACCCAAACCCAACAACAACTACCACCACACCCGGAATTAAACGCACACTCTGGAACGCGCCTCAGACGAGAAGGAGAGGGAAGGGGCCCTCCTGCCAACCCGGCCCTCGATGAGAGCCCATCTGAGAACGGCGGCAGCGCCAGTGCGAATCTCTCACCGAGTACAAGCAGGGGAGGAGAGACGCATGGCGGTGGGCGGGGCGAGGAGCGAGACAGGCAAGACAGAGAACAACGGCAGGAAGAAGGGAGAGAGAGAACGGGACCTGGGGGGAGGAGGAAGAAGAAGAAAGAACGCATGGCACAAAAGACCGCGATCAGAGTGGCAACACTGAACGTGAATGGATTCGGGTCGCTAGTAAGAGACCATCCAGACAACAAGTGGGGTGGGATGTATAGAATGATGGGCGAGCATAGGATAGGGATACTGCTAATACAGGAAGCGCACTTGACGAACGAGCGACGGTTAGACCTCCAGAGAATGTTTGCGGGCCGGGTCAAGATCTTTGCGTCGGCCCACCCAGAGGCTCCGACACAAAAGGAAGGCGTTGCAATCGTCCTGAACAAGAAGATAGTCAGCGCGGACAACACAACGTGCAGAGAAATCGTACCGGGAAGGGCGCTACAACTGACGATGCCATGGAGAGGCGGGGAAGTAAGGCAGATCTTGTGTGTGTACGCGCTGACGTCAGATGGGGTTGCGGAGAGGAAGGCCTTCTTTGTAAAGCTGAGAGACTTCTACGAAAACAATCCGGAAGTCCCGAAACCGCACCTAATGGCGGGAGACTTCAACAATGTAGAAGACCAGATAGACAGGATTCCGGTGGCAGAGGCGGCAAGAGATGCCTCAGTCGACGAGCTGGACAACCTCAAGTGTGCACTAGGACTAATGGAGCGCGATGGATGGAGAGCGACGTACCCGAGTGGAAGAGACTACACGTTCCAGAGAAAATGCGGGGACAGAGTCCAGATGTCGAGGCTAGATAGGATATACGTTACAGCAGACCTGATGAGATGGGCTAGAGAGTGGGCAAGCGTACCAGTGGGAGTGAAAACGGACCATAGTATGGTGTCTGTCCTCCTAACGGCACCGAACGAGCCGGAGGTAGGGAAAGGGAGGCCCCTCTTCCCGTTGCACCTCCTGAAAGACAAGACCCTGGCGAAGAAGATGAAGGAAAGTGGCCACAGCGCCATCAGAGAACTCAAGAACATACAACAGATGGGGAGAACTCACGAACGCAATCCGCAAACAGTACTGAGCAACCTGAAGAAAGAATGGATGAGCGAAGCCCGAGAACGTGAGAAGAGAATAGTACCGAAACTCGGACAAGAGATCCGGGAACGGGAAGAAAGAATCCAGCAGCTGCAGGGGGCTGACGGCGAGATGACGAGCGAAGAAACAAAGGAGTATGAGAAGCTCGTAAGCCAACTACGCGAGCTTAAAGCCAGGCGGACGAAGCAAACGCAGAGTAAAGCAAGAGCGAAGCACAGGGTATGGGGTGAATCCCCAACGAAGTACTGGACAAGGCTACATAGGGCACAGGCGCCGCGCGAACTCATCCCCGCCTTTGAAAGAGAAGGAGAGAGAACGAGAGAGGGTGAAAAAGTATACGAACAAGACTCGGTGAAAATGGCAGAAATGGCCAGAAGGCACTACGACAGCGTCCAAGCGGATGGGGAAGATGTAACCTCGGAGGAACAACGGGAACACGACATCGAAATGGCCTTAAACAGTCTGGAAACCTCTCTGACCGACGAACAAGCAGAGAAAGTAGGTGCTGGGATAGACCGCAGCGACTGCGAGCTGGCACTCAAGTTCGCGAAGACTGGCACGGCGCCGGGCCTGGATGGAATCCAGTACGAAGTCTGGAAAACGATGCATGCGCGCTACGTGGAAGACTCGAGACATGAGCACAGGAATCCGATGGATGTCCTCCATATACTGCTAGCAGCCTTCCAAGACATCCAGGAACACGGTGTCGTGGAGGGAACGGCCTTTGTGGAAGGATGGGTATGCCCGATCTACAAGGAAAAAGGGGAACGCACTAAGGTCGTCAACTACCGGCCAATAACGCTCTTGAACACGGATTATAAGCTCCTAAGCAAAATCCTGGCCATCAGACTGGCGGACGTCGCACAAGATCTCGTTCACCCGGCGCAGGCGGGCTTCGTACCTGGGAGAAGGATCCACAACCATACACAGCTGGCCCGTCTGATGATGTCCTGGGCGGAGGCGAAGGAGGAAAATGGAGCAATCGTAGTGTTAGACCAGGAGAAAGCCTACGATAAAGTCGCACACGACTATCTGTGGGCAGTGCTGGGGAGAATGAAGGTACCAGAATCCTTCACGAACATCGTTAAATCACTGTATGCAAATGCGATCACGTCGGTGGCGGTAAACGGCGTAACGAGCGCAACGTACAGAATCTATAGAGGGGTTAGACAGGGTGACCCGCTGTCATGCCTCCTGTTCGACCTGGCGATAGAACCGCTATCAGCCATGATCCGCGGCTCGCAGATCCGAGGATTCAACATACCGAAATCCCTTGAAGTCCTGAAAGCGACGTTATTTGCGGACGATACGACGGTGTACCTGGCGGAAGAGGATGATTTTGGGATCCTGCAAAGGGTGCTGGACACCTGGTGTTCGGCAGCCAAGGCAAAGTTCAACCTGCGGAAGACGGAAATAATTCCCATTGGGACAAAGGAGTATAGGAAGAGAGTAATTGACACCTACAAAGAGACGGGCGCATGGGGAAACTACCCGGCAGGTGTCCACTTAGCCGAGGAAGGAGAGGCAGTAAGAATACTAGGAGCGTACTTTGGAAATGAAGCGGAACAAAGTAAGATATGGGACCCGAAAATCAAGAAGATGGAAGGCGTACTGGAGCGATGGAGTCTGAGCCCCTCGACAGTGATAGGGAAACGACACACTACGCAGATGATGGTGGGGGGGATGTCGCAATTTCTAGCGAACGTCCAAAGAATGCCGGCGACGGTAACGAAGAAACTGATGAAAATGATCAGATCGCACATATGGGACGGGAAGAAGCACGTTCCCGTTGCAATGGAACACTTGTACCTACCAGTTGAAGAAGGAGGGTTGGGTGTACTTGACGTTGAAGCGCGGAACGAGGCGATAGATGTAATGTGGCTCAAACTGTACTTGAGCTCGGGGAGCGAGAGGCCGCTGTGGGCGTACGTTGCAGACAACATCTTCACGCACTATGCGTCCTCGAGCGCGGTCCCGAAAGAGAGCACGCTCCGCGCTGGCCCCTTCTATCAGCACTGGTCGCCGAACATGAGAGCACTCCCGGATGAACTAAAAGCAATAGTCAGAGTGGCGAAGAAATACGGACTCAGACAGGAAGGCCGTGCTTTCTCAAGAGGAATCATGAGGGAGATGCCGATCTGGGGGCATGGACAAGCGGACGTGAAAGAGATGAAGAAGCTCTCCATCGCATCAGCGGTAACGAGGTGCCTGAAAGTGAACCACAAACTAGTAACGGTAGGACACTGCGAGGAGCTCGCGAATGCACTGCGGGACGAAAGACACGAGGGACGACGAGGGTGCGTGTGCGAATGCTGCGAGCAAGCGATCGTTCAAAATGGGTGTGCGTACCCGCACCGATGCTACGTGCGCGCGAAGGCAATACTTGATCTCCTCCCTGGGAAGTGGGATCCACGCGGTGTGCACCCGGAGGACTACGAGGAGAAGGAAATGGAAGCTGCAAGAGAAAGCATGAGTGACGAGACGCTTTTTGACAGGCGAGTCACCACCTACGGGAGGATTGGCGATACTTTCAGAATCTTTACAGGCCCAGAAGGAGTGTTCAACGGCAGACTCAGCATGGAAGTACCCCGGGACGGCCCGGAACTGGTGGAGGTCGCGACAGACGGAGCGTGCGACCGAAATGGAGAGCTAACCGCGGTAGCGGGCGCGGGGGTCTTTGTCGGACGAGACGATGAGAGGAACAAAGCCGTACGACTACCGACTTCTCTCCCCCAGACGAACCAGACAGGAGAAACAATGGCAACGCTGCTGGCGGCGAGAACGATTGAGCTTGATCAACCGATGCGACAAGTAACTGACTCCAAGACCGTCATGGAAGCACTGACGAAGAGGAGAGTCAGGTTCGAAGACGAGGGATTCATTGCAAGTAAGAACGGGCCACTTACGATGGCAGCAATTGCGGCAATCAGAGAGAGAAAGGCCCATACGGCGTTCAAATGGGTCAAAGGCCATAGCGGACATGTGGGGAATGAGGCGGCGGACAGACTTGCAGCGGCGGGTGCGGGGAAGGAGGCCGAGGACGACCTGTCGCGAGAACTGAGTGTGGTGCCGTGCCTGCGACTGACCGGTGCGAAACTATCTGCAATGACGCAAAAGCTAGCGTACAAAGCGATCCGTAAGCGGAAGGCGGCGGCCCTAAAACCGAGGCGAGCGACGCAGCTCAACTTGAAGCGCATACAAGACGAGCTACTGGCAGCTACGGGGAGAGCACCGAAGACGGATAGCATTTGGACGTCACTAAGGAAGACAGAGGTGTCGCGAGAGTGTGCGCAATTCATGTGGAAGACAATCCATGATGCGTTCATGGTTGGGCACCACTGGCAGAGACCGAACATGGGTGATGAGCTGAGGGAGAGAGCGATATGTAAACTGTGCGATGAGACGGAAACAATGGACCACATACTCTTCCGTTGCGACTCGACCGAAGCAAGAGTCATCTGGAAGAACCTCTGCGACCTCTGGGAAGGGACGGGCCAGAAATGGCACGAGCAGTCGTGGGGAACGGTCCTCGGAGCAGCGTGCCTGATTTTCGAGAGTGAGCACGGAACGAGACTCCCATACACGGAGAGGCTGTGGACGACGCTGTGCACTGAAGCAGCTTACCTCGTCTGGAAGTTGAGATGTGAGAGAGTAATACAGAATGAAGGAGCGTGCTTCAGCGAACGGGAAGTACAGAACAGATGGACGGCGACAATGAATGGAAGACTGACTCTAGATAGGAGAACAGCGGTACCTTGGCTAGGCGGTACGAAGGTGTCCGCAAAGGGGATTGAACTAATGTGGCTACCTGTGATTCGATCTCCGAAAGACTTACCGCAAGACTGGGTTAGAAATAGCGAGGTTTTAGTGGGTATTAGGGGTCCGAACGGCTGAGCCACTGCAGTTTGGTACGGGCCCCTCGAGCCCCACACGACGTGCGTAAATGCATTTCCTGCGCGGTGTAGGTGACCTTTCAACCCTGGTAAGCACTAACGTACAGTAGCGAGAGCCTTGAGATTCAACTCGAGACCTTCGTGTCACCGACGTGTTTGTGTAATTACATGACAAGCCCCCTGGGACCATTGTAATCACAAATATACGTTCCACCGAAGGAACGAACGCTGCCAAGCGCTGGTTCACCCACAGATTTCTTGTGCAACATCAGCAATGTCTGGAGGGTTTCGATTACACAAAGGGGCACTGGATGACCTACCGTTCGTGAACATTTTTCTTTTCTGTGTATCATTTTTATCAGTGCCCTCGTCGCCCTTGAACGTTGAACATTTGAAGAGGCAATACGGTGCAGGCGTCTACGGGAAAGTAGGCGGGGTATCAGCAGACATGAGTAGGAAAGTGGGGGTTGGGAGGGTGCAGCAGCCTCGGCCGTCTGAGCACATAGTATGAGTGCGAACGAAGAAGGGAGACAACGGGAAAAGATAGGACATGAACTAGCTGAAAGAGAGCGTGTCACGCTGCGCACACCCACCAGACATACCATGGCAGGGCACCAATTGCAGAGTCAGAATCGGTGAGAAAGACACGAGCACCTAGCTCTATGCTCCAAATGATAGATACATTAGGAAAGAAAGCCCGGTAGAGTGACTAGAAGTGTATTAACCAAAGGAATGTACAGAGCGCATGTCCCACCTAGTCCTATGAGGCCCGCGCACCCTTGCCCTCCTCCGTCGCCGCCTGTGCCCTTGTCGGCGTCGGCGGCGGGAACGCGAACGAGCCCCCGATCGGGCTCCACCCCTCCTCGCCGCGATCCTCCGAGCGAATCAGGCTCGCGATGCTCGCCGTATGCCGGTGGCTCTTCTTCACGGGGGACGCGCGCCCGTTTGCAGACTTGATCAGCGGCACCGCGGACGCGGGCTGGTCGGGCACGACGGGCGACCGGAACGTGATGTCCATCTCCTCATCCGACTCTCGGTCCGAGAGCTCCTCGAGGTCGTATGCCTCCGCGTCCCGCATGAGCGCCGAGCCCCGGCCTCGCCCGCGTGGCTCCTCCAGGTCGTACACCTCGTACTTGCTCCGGTACGACGCAGTGTTGAGACCACCCGGTGGAGCCGTTGCGTTCGCGCCCTTCAGCTCCTCGGGAAGCATGAGGTAGAAGAACGCCACGGCGAGGCAGGAGCCACCGACGACGTCCACGAGGTAGTGATGCGTCAGGTACATCGTCGCCCAATACAGCACCGCCGCATAGCTGAACACATATTTGGTCGTCTGCGGAAAGAAGTGCGAGATGAAGAGCGCTTCCATCGTGGCCGCGCCTGCATGCAGCGAGGGGAACGCGCCGAAAACGAGGGGTGAGTTGGAGAACGCCGCGGTGTAGCCGTTCGAGTGGAAGAGCCTGTCGATCCGCGCGAGGCCGCCGGGCGAGCCGCGAATGGTGTAGTCCGCGGGGGTGAGGCCGTAGATGAGCTCGTACCACGGCGCGGCGCAGGGAAACACGAGCTGGATGAGCACACCCGTCAGGTTCATGTAGCCGAACGCGCTAGCCCAGAAGTGGAGCGCTTCCTTGGGACGGAAGAGCCAGATGAAGGCGGCGACAATAAACGGGATAATGTAGTGCCCGACGCCATATGGAACCCACGCGAGGAGGTCCAGGATTGGATGCGTAAAGCGTGTCAGGATGTCCGAGACGTTGGCGCCATACAACACGGACTCGAGCGTCGGCAGTAGCACCACAGACGGCGTCGGGCGGTACTCCTTCGGGATGTATTTTGACGAGAAGAAGCTGAGCAGGTAGAGGAAGATGGGTCCGGCGGGGAGGAAGAACTGCGACGTGAAGGGTATAAGGAGCGCGGTGACGTAGAGTATGGGTATCGCGAGCTTGAGGAGGATGGGGGCCCCCATGACGAAGAGCCAGAAGGTGGCGAGGGTGATATGGAATATATAGATAGCGTCGCCGGGAGTCCATTTATGTTGTCGGAAACGGTTGAGGGTATCACTGGGCGAGAGTGACTTGTCTAACCGTCCGACCGCCGCAAGGAATGCTGCGACGACCCGTCTGAGAGGCTGCATGGTCGCCATTCCAATTCTGCCAGTTTCCTATACGATAATGTCATGTGAGATACTTACAGCCACTGTAAAGGCCGTAGTTACACTCACCTTCTGTGCAAAAGTACCCACTTCGCGAAACTCGTTCCGTCTCCGTCAGCCCGCGCCTCCGGGTCGCTGCTGAAGACATCAGGTCCTATCAGGCACACTAAACGCGGGAACTCGTACTTTCAAGATCCGTAAAAACCGTTCACGAACACCGTCGTAAACGAGAGTGCCGAAGGGATGTCCACGACTCAGCAGGTGGTGGTTTGAAGGAGAAAAGCGGGCGCTTCCGCTGCGCGCGCGGCTTGGCTACTTCTCCGAGTCCTGCCACTTCTCCTCCGCCCACCATCTTTCTCGTACTGCGCTCGGCGGCTGCATCACTGCTCTCACTTGTACCTTTCTGCTGCGCTGCTGTATAGACTTACTAATCCTGCTCCGAGGAGCGTAGTCGACCCGGAAAATGGCGGGCTTCCTGTCAAAACTCACACTTAGTATCGTCGGACTCGGCAGCAAAGCGCTCATGAGAGGCGGGTTTTGCTCTTCGGTCACCGTGAAGGGGATGGACAATCTCCTGAGAGCCTTGGAGAGCGACGAGCGCAATAAAGGACGTGGGATCGTCACGAGTGAGTAAGCACGCGCCGCGTCTCGATTCGTATACACCTGACTGTGCCCGCTCTGCAGTGTCCAACCATATATCCACGTAAGTTCCCCCCTACACCTCGTCCACAGACGCGTAAACCAAACCATTGTCCAGACTGGACGATCCTGTCGCATGGGGTGTTCTCCCTACACGCTTCTATCGCGACTCGCGCAGGATTAGGTGGACGCTCGGCGCCTCGGACATAATGTTCACAAATCCGTAAGTGCACACGCGTCGGGTCAATGATACACAAAGAGTGGAATACTCAATCTACGATGGAACTGGTTTCCCCTCGCCAGATAGTGTCTTCTCCACGTTCTTTCGGTACGGCCAAGTTATCGAGACCTTCCGTGGCAAGGGCATTTTCCAGCCCGCCATAGACACCGCCATTCAGAAGCTGAACCGAGGAGACTGGGTACAGTTGCCGCCGTTGTCAATCTGCTAGCGTATGGGCTGACAGCAACGGCGGACAGATACATCTATTCTCTGAGGGCAAAGTCAATCAGGAGTCCAGCGACCCGGCAAGTCCGAACGCCGCCCGTCTATTGAGGTTCAAGTGGGGAATGTGCGTGTCATTTGCTTTTCGTAGTTGCGGCAACCATGTTCATCATACCTTACAGCGGTCGTATCGTGATGGAAGCGCAACAGCCGCCAATAATCATTCCAATGTGGTTGACCGGTGCGTCCGAGAGCCTTTCCTGAGAGGCGCAGCACCTGACATATCCCGTATGTACCAGGTTTCGACAAGTTGATGCCAGAAGGTCGCTCGTTTCCGTACAAGTTCCTTCCTAAACCCGGAGCCGAGCTCAGCGTCACATTCGGCGAACCTGTCCCTGTCCAGGACCTCCAAGAGGCGTTGGACAAGCTCGTGCGCGAAAAGCAGTTACCGGAAGCTCCCAACAGCACGCACGGGGGTCTTTCGGACCCGTCGCGGCCGCGGGAAGAGGGTCTAAGCGGAGCAGTGGCAGAGCAGGGATGGCTGGCCCAGCCTGTGTCTCATGCGATGGAGGGCATGGCCGAACATAGAGAGATCGGCGATCCGGTGCTGGCGGAAGAGATTGCGCGAGTGCGGAGTGCGGTCACTGCGGTCATTCAACGGGAAGTTGAGGCGTTGGGACGACGAGTGTTGGGCTTGGCCAAAGGGGATTGAGTTTGCATCCTGGTCGCGATGAACTACCGCATCCACCAGTCCAATAGTATAACCTCATGATTATAACATACTCATTTAGTGTAATGGTGTTCGTAGTTGACAGATGGAATGAGCTCTACATCTTTTAAACCAGAGCACGTACATTCTTACCCCGTGGGGGGTAAGAGAAAAACAAAAAGCTGCCCGGAATGAGGATCGAACTCATGACCTCAGGATTACCCATCACGGGGATGGTCATATGTAAATATGAGACCTGCGCTCTAACCAACTGAGCCATCCAGGCATTGCCCATTTACCCAGCCACCACATTGGGATCCACCAGGAAGCAGCGCCACCTGCACTTCCTGTTTCGAGGAATCGCAGCGACTCCCGGAAACCAAGTGAACGTTCGATCCTCGAATCCACTTGCCGGAAAAACAGCCCGAAGTCATTTCATCGCAGCTGTGCCTCCTAGTGTGTCATGTTAGGAGACGTGCATGATTGCAGACAGTAGTGAGTCGTATCATTATTTTGCGTGGGGCCGCAGTTCGTGTAGGACTGACATACTAAACCCTAGATCGTGCCAGAGGGGCCGTTACCTAATTCCTTAACCATTACTTTTCGGGAGTGAATGGGCACAGGCGAACACCTGCAGACGATTCCAGCAGCGTAAGAAAGGTCACCGGCATCTGTATTAACAATGTGCGCTCACCAGGTGGCCAATCGACCTCAGCATCCAGCTCACACTCTGGTGGATGCCGCTGTTCGCACTGTTCGCGTAGTGGACGATAAAGACGTTCTACTTGCTGTTCGGTACGTGCCCATGGGCCGCGTTATTGTGTCAGTGTGCGAGAGGGCTGATGGGTTGCCGGGCAGACTACTTCGAGGTTGCGCTGCTCCTGGGGTCGTGCTTCCTGGTCAACTACGTGACGGCCGATGGGAAGACGGATTTTGCAGATGTACGTCCTGCTGATTCAATGCGGTTCGCGCTTGTAGCTCACATCGCGTTTGCGATCTGTTTATCCAGGGCATGAGTTTGATCACCTTCTATGCCAGTCTATGCCATGACTGTGAGCGCGCCGGAGCATCGGCATGGTAAGGGAGGACTCATGGTGGGTATGTTTTCAGGCGACGGCGACATGGTTCTATCCCGGCCAGCCCGAGGTGGACTTCCTGCTCAGCTGCCCGGGTTCCGTCGAAGTAGGTCGCAAGTGGAGTTGGAAACGCGCTGGCCATATCGTTGTGACCACTACTTAGGCTTGTCAATCTTGTATCTTAGTGCTGTATCCTAGGCCGTGTCAGGCTGCCTGCCTGTTTCGAGACAGTGTCCGGAATTTCTAGGAGTATTTGAGTCGGTCGAGTACGAGCGCCTGCCGCGGTGAGTTTCTATCGGGCCTTCCCTGATGTTTCATCACTCAGTGGATCGAGCAGTGTTGAATGCATGTCATTGTACCAACCAGGCTCGGCGCAGTAGCAGAGGCGAGAGACGCAGCCATGGACGAAGTGGGATCTTGGCTTGAGTACGGGCGTTTGCGTAGCTTCGGCAAACGCCGCCATGCGTTCCTTCGCCCAATTGGGCAACTCTCGTCTTCAACCCTAGCCACCACCATCCGCACTCTTTGTTCGGAGTTCCTACCTGTCTACGCGTCCCATTGTCAGACACTTTTGTGAGTGATTCAGATGGTCCGGTGACGCGTCGCCCATTGATCTGAAAACCATTGCAGACCGAGATTGCTTTTCATCCTACCCTCTCCCCATCGTCCCACCCACTGTTGTTGGGCCACACTCGAACTCATATAAAACTCCGCCAACCAAGCATCCTCCTATCGTTCGTCTTCTCTCTTTCTCACTATCCACATAGTACTCTCTGACATGTATGACCCCAAAGCCAAATCCACCCCGGTAGCAGCCGCCGCTTACAGAGTGACACACGGCAGCGAACGCGGCGCAGGATCTCTCGCCGCAGAACACGAAAACCTCTCCCAGTATCGTGCAGCCGTCGTGGAAGACATGGCACACAAGGCGGTCAGGTTGGAACCGGAAGAGTTTCTCAAGGAGTTTTTCCACTCCAATAACGATGAACGTCGCCACTATGACTACAACGTATTCAAGGACGTAGAGGGCGCGAAGACGATGACTGAGGCGCAGGTCGCGGACAAGTTTGTGAGTTGCACCATTATGTGTCTTCGTTCGCAAACCACAACTTCGTTGTCAGATTATGGCAGTCAATCTCCTTAACCTCGCTCCCGGTTTCAAGCTAGCGGAGTCCAAGAACAAGCCAGACATGGGTGAAGAGTCAAAACAGAAGATTGATGCCTCGTTCTTCCGAGCCGGTCGTCTCCCTGTCAACAGCAGTGTTGACAGGCCGAACTGGGCTGAACAAGCCGTTTCGGTCGAATTCAAATCCCACAACACCAAGAACGATCCGTTTGACGACAGGACCGATGGCAAGGTCGACGCAGATGCCCTCGACCGCAAGAAGGTCCGCGGACAGCTCATCACATACGCCGAGAAGGTCTTCGAATATCAACATCGCACCGCCCTCTACATGCTCATCATCATTGGTCGACATTTCCGCTTTATTCGTTGGGACCGATCTGGCGCAATCGTCACGCGAGCGACGGACTACTTCGAGCATCCCGATCTCCTCTGCGAGATGCTATGGCACATGGCTCATCTCACCGACGAGCAGCTCGGAATGGATCCGACCGCCATCCGCATTCGCCCTGGCGACGCCGATTACGAGAAGATGGACGTCGCTGGCCGTCCCAACGCAACGGACTTCAATCACAAGGAACGTGACATTGACGGACTACCTCAGCATGACCAGGAGTTCCGGTACGTCCGTGAAGCGTTCTGCCGCTCGTTGGACCGAAGGTGGCCTCGCTATCGTCTCGATGTCCCAGATGGTTCGGGGATCCGGTCGTTCCTTGTGGGTAAGCCGGCCTTCCAAGCGGCGGGCATGGCTGGCCGGGGCACGCGTGGCTACGTCGCACTCGATTGTCAAAACGGGCGCTTCGTGTGGCTCAAGGACGCTTGGCGGGCACACTACGACTTGGTCGAGATGGAAGGTTCTGTGCTGGAGACGCTGAACAAGGAGGGGGTTTGCAATGTGCCAACACTTATCTGCCACGGTGACATCCTCGAGCAATCCACAAAGACACCAGACTACTGGCCCAAGAAGAAGGATCCCGAAACTACCACGCAGCCGTCTTCCGCGCTCCCTTCTTCCGCTCCTCTCGATCCACCGGTTATTTGCCCGGCATCACCAGCTACTTCCTCTGTGTCATCCGCTCCTTCCTCCCCGTGTATGCCAGCAAGCCACATACGACCGTCATCACATAGAACAGCCGTCAAGCGCAGCCGATCCGAAATAGAAGATGAGGAAGAGAGCGCAACCTTACCGGAAGAGTGCCCCCTTCGGCGGCATATGCACTATCGCCTCGTCGTCAAGGAGGTCGCTATGGACCTGACGACGTTCAAGGATGGACAACAACTGCTTTCGATAATCTTTGACTGCGTCATGGGTGAGCACACAACTCATTTCATGCGGTACCGTTATACTGACAGACCTTCCAGCTCATTACCAGGCGACGACGAAAGCCAAGATCATCCACCGTGACATCAGTGGAGGAAACATTCTCATACTCCCCAAGGCAATGTTCGACCAGAGAAAGGGCCGAAAGTTCGTGAAGTGGTTTGGCCTTCTGGCAGACTGGGAGATGTCCAAGCCGATCTATGAGAAACCCTCACTCTCGCGTGCGAGGCAGCCTGAGCGTACGGTATGTCCGACCGCTGCTGTGCCGCTAAATATACGCTAATATTTGGTGTTATCTACAGGGCACCTGGCAATTCATGTCCGCCGCGGCGCTATCTGACCACTCCAAGATCATTGGGACTCCCGATGAGCTGGAATCCTTCTTCTACGTTTTGCTCTACAACTCCGTCCGCTACCTCAAGTCAAATTGCATCGACGCTGGGTCCTTCATCGAGCAGTTCTTCGACACCTACACTGTCTGCGAGGGCACATACAAATGCGGGCTCAAAAAGGAAGCGGCGATCAGCAGTGGTGATATCGTGGAGACATCCGAGAAGTTCGTATCTCGACGCCTTCGCTTTAGCTCGCCGTTGGATACGTTCTTCACTCAAGCGTTGGGGTGGTTCCAGGCCCATTACATAGTGGAGGCCTACCGTGCCGAGCACGCCCCGCCCCCCACACCCTCAACGCCGCCATCGATATCTATCACCTCTCCTTCCCCTCGGTCTCCACGACGCTCGAAGCCGGAAGAATACACCTACTACGATATGACGGCGTTGGCTCCTGCAGCTGTGATCCCCGACAAAGCGATCGTGAAGGTTGCGCGGGAGCCGACCGCAGAAGAGGAAGAGAACGCGCTGAAGGTTGCAACCCACGCCCACATGCTCCGCGCTCTGCACGATGCGATATATTCCGACGATTGGAGGGCCGAGACGGACAGGGCCGACGGCGACAACGTGCCTCCGGACTTCAAACCCAATTACGAGGTCGGTCCCCGGCGCGGCGCGAGTACCGCCACTTGCAAGCGTCGGAGATTGGCGAAAACGGCGGCCGCGGGGCCTTACGAGGACGAGGACGAAGAGGAGTACGGGGACGTGTATCCCCTCTGGAACATCGTTCCGGGCGCAAATCCCAGGACGCCTCGGAGAGCCAACATGAAGCACTTCGCATCTGCGTTAGTGTAACGGCGTTCCAGTACTCGACCAACGTGCGCATCCTGTTCATGCGCATCTAATCTTTCCTTTATATCGTTATATCAACGCACGCCGCACATTATCACTCCCCGCACGTCCGCGAAGACCCCCCCCCATGGTTGCGAACGCCTCGCACCGCCGCTTGTCCCGTAGAATAGACCCGCATTGTAACATTGTATCTATATATCATGCTACCGCATTTCCGATGTATCAATATTCGTTTCTCTCGCCCGTCTATGCACCGTATCAACAACCGTCCCCCGGACCAACCTTGAACACATGATCTACACAGCCGACACGCAGGACTGTCATGAGAGCACGGTGCGTCGCGGAGAGCTCGAGCCCAAGGTCGTTTGCCCACGAACGCGCCGTTAATTTTGGCAGCTTGTCCCGAGCCACATGTATCGTGCTCTCCTCCCCTCTCGCCAGTCCTCCTGTGGGCCACATACGTCCGACACAGCGCAGACTCGGACGAGTCGTCCTTCGCGCGCATGGCTTACCGTGGCTGGCGATCAGGCAGCCGGCTACCGCAGGCTCATCGGATATGGTATGTGTGCGCGCCGTTTAGCGAAGGATGGTGAGCGAGATCCCGTTTTGCACAGTGTCTCGGTATCGATCCAGCTCAACATTCTACAGAGGGCCTGCGCATCAAACGTCGCTTGCCATACTATGGTACACGTTTCCAGTATATGCAATACACATCCTCGCACTCCATGAGATTGTCGAATCCTGTCGACATCTTCCGACTTTCAGCTCCTCAAGAGTTCGTTCAGGGAACCATCTTGAGCGCGTTCTCGAAGTCGGCGATGATATCGTCGATGCTCTCGATGCCGACAGAGACCTACATCACAAGGGTACAACGTCAGCTCAGTTGCACTCGCGGCGCATAGCATGTGGACTCACCCGAATCAAATCGGGGGTGACCCCCGACGCGATCTGCTCCTCCGCGGTCAACTGCTGGTGCGTCGTCGACGCCGAGTGGATGACGAGTGTCTTCGCGTCACCTGCGTACATCCCTCAATGTCAGTATTGCGCGCCCTAAACACCACATACTCCGAAACGACGAGTGCGCACCGACGTTGGCGAGGTTGCTCGCGAGCTTTAGTGCGTCGACGACCGCGCTGCCGACCTTCCCGTCGCCCTTGATACCAAAGTTGAGCATGCCCCCGAACGCGTTCTTGCGTGCGAGCAGCCGCAGCGCCTCCTTGTGTGACGGGTGCGACGGAAGTCCCAGGTAGGACACCCACGCGACCTTCGGGTGCTTCGAGAGCCATCTGACCGCGATATGTCAATCGCCACTCTTTACCAGGGGCGAATAGCGAAGAGTCGACGTACTGTGCGAGCGCGAGTGCGTTGTCCGAGTGCCGCTGCGCACGGAGACTGAGCGTCTCGATGCCCATGAGGAGCAGGAACGCAGGGAAGGGGTCCATGCAAGGCCCGAGGTCGCGCTGCACGTCGAGGCGGCACTTGACCGCGAACACAGCGTCGCCGAATGTCTCCGTGAACCGCATCCCATGGTAGCCCTCCGCGGGCTCGGTGAAGTCCGGGAACTTGCCCGATTTCGCCCAGTCGAACTTGCCTGCAGGGGCGCGTTTAAAGCGGGATAGGTGAGAGGGATGGGAAAACGACGCACCGCCGTCGATCACGACACCTCCCAGGACGGTGCCGTGCCCGCCGATCCATTTCGTCGCGCTGTGCGTGACGATGTCGGCGCCGAGCTCGAGGGGACGGACGAGGTATCCTGGCACCCTAGGCATCAGCGATCCCATGCCAATCTATATGACACTGGCACCATACCTCCCATGCCAAACGTGTTGTCCACCAACAGAGGGATACCGTGGTCGTGGGCGACCTGTCTCAAGATCAGCACAAATGTGTCCGCGGATGGCACATGTCGGAGACATACTTTGGCAAGCTCGGGCAACGGTGCGACGGTGTTCTTGGGGTTGCCGATGCTCTCGACATAGATTCCCTTCGTCTTCTCGTCGATGGCGGCGGCAAAGTCGCGCGGGTCCTCACTCTGCACAAACTTCATAGTGATGTTGAACTTTTTCATGAATACTGAAAGTTACGTCAGTAATGCGGAGACATATAGAAGGTGTTCGGTGTGTCCCTCACCCTTGAACTGGTTGTACGTCTATCGTATAGGTTGTCAGAGGCTTAGTCGTTATCCCTTCGCTGTAATAAGAAGCTTACCCCGCCATACAAGTACGATCTATTCCCAGGGCTGTAAGTGCCGCGGTATGCGCATGAGATTTTCGAGGACTTACGAAGTGACAAGGTTATCGCCGGCCCCCGCGATACAAGAGATGGCCATGAACTGCGCAGCATGGCCGCTCGCCGTCGCGACCGCAGCAACCCCGCCCTCGAGCGCGGCCATTCGCCTCTCGAAGACGCCCTAACACACCCGGTAAGAGGGGCGCTCAGATGTAAGTTCGCAAGAGCGTACTCACGACCGTCGGATTGCCCATGCGGCCGTAGATGTTGCCTGCCGTCCTATGCGCATGTTACCGTCAACGATGAAAGCAGCAGCGAGGAACTGATGACCAACCTCAGCCCAAACAGGTCCGCGCCATGCTACGGCAGAGGGTTAGTATGGGCCATGCAGTGTTCGCCGTGAGAACTAAACCTTAGAGTCGTTGAAGACAAAGCTTGTGCTGGCATAGATAGGGGGCGCGCGCGCATTCGTCGCGATGTCGGGCTCGTATCCGGCATGGAGCTGGATTGTGTCGAAGTCAGGCTCCCTGATAATCGAAGGTCAGGGCATTGGGTGGAGATAGAGGATCAGGGAAGGTACCTGTAGAAGTTGTTCACGGGCTTCGGGGGAATCATGTTGTCGGGGCGTCCGAGTGCGAGGTATGGGAGAGTGTGGGGAATGGGAGATGCTACCGCTGCAGCTGCTACTTAAAGCCACCAGGGCGCCGCTCTGTACACTACGTGGAAGCACTCTGGTGCCATTCACGGGGTATCATGCCATGCCGGGCTGCGTATCCCACAGGATACGTACAAGGCCGAGCCGATAGCACGTCGACAACAAGGTTCTCTCACCGATGTGGCTTGTCGGTAGGCGAGTCACCTCCTCCTTGCCGACCTTTACGAGACAACGCGCAGCTGAACCGGCTTCTGTTGGCTAATGGGCGATCCGTTCGAACCTTGTCGTTCTCCATTGATTCCTACTGGCGAGCATCCCCAGAACGTGGTTAGTGCGAGCTATGAGACGAAGCGGCGCAGGGTGCAAACTCACTTGACCCCGATCGCGTAAGGGCTTCCGTTCGGAATGCCTATCATCCGGGGGGCGCGTCGTCCGCTGCCGACGAACGAGCGTTCCTCGATGAAGTGGCTTATTCACCCGCAGGCGTCAGTATGAGCACCTGAGCATGACGGCGGAGCTCGCGAGCACACATTATCCCTGGCTGGAAGCGGGCAGTCTGAGAGTTCAGGCTAATGTTAGCGCATATAGTTCACAGAGGAGTGAGTTGGATAGAGCCGGAGGTCCAGTAGCTTTCTTGGCGCTGCCTTTGGCGAGGCCGGCGCGCCATACTATCACGCACGCATATCCGCGCCACCTTCTAAACCGCCGTCAGCAGACATGTATGTCAGATAAAGATATCTGCTCACCCAGTTTACTTGCTTGTGCGCCTGTAAAGGAGGGTCGCGTGTAATCCTTTGAGGTGCTCTACGCTCATGAAAACGGCACATTGGAACCCGGATATGTGGCAAGATTCACAACCGCCCAGAGCGCTCAGGCCCTGGGTGAAAGAAGGTCGAAGGATTGGCAATCCTTTGCCACGAGCGCGACTACGTGGGACGTTCATTCAGAACGTGAACATAGAAGACGAAGGATCAGCCACAGGACCCGACCAATATCCACCCTTGGCAGCCTGCGGAGGTGAGAATGTATAAGTAGTGTCGCTATCGTCGTGGTAGTCGGAGGTCAAGAGACGACTTGGGCGCTTCTGTCACTTCAGCTAACCTCTTCAGGCAGGGCGACTCCCCCGAGCTCCAAGACTATCCCACAAAACGTTTGATGGAACCCCAGTAGACTTCACAATTGAGCAGGTATATTACACATACATGTTTACGTTCTCAGTTTCCTATCAACACAACACCTCCCCTCAGGGCACCGCCTTCAGCGCGTTCTCAAAGTCGGCGATGATATCGGCGATGTTCTCAATGCCAACCGACACCTACAATCAACAAGTCAGTCGACATACACATCAAGACCATAGCAAAGGTACGCACCCGGATGAGGTCGGGCGTCACACCCGACGCGAGTTGTTCCTCGTCCGTGAGCTGCTGGTGCGTCGTCGACGCGGGGTGAATGACGAGCGTCTTCGCGTCGCCGACGTTCGCCAGGTTGCTCGCGAGTCGTAGCCTGTCCACGACCTGGCTGCCAATCTTCGCGTCGCCCTTAACGCCGAAGCTCAGCATGCCGCCGAACGCCCCGGGGCGGAGCAGCCGGAGGCCCTCCTTGTGGTACGAGTGCGACTCGAGGCCGAGGTACGACACCCACGAGACCTTGTCGTGCTGCTCGAGCCACTGCGCGAGAAGGAGCGCGTTGTCCGAATGCCGCTGTGCGCGCAGGCTGAGCGTCTCGAGGCCCTGGAGGAGGAGGAAGGCGCCGAAGGGGTTCAGCGCGGAACCGAGGTCGCGCAGGACCTCGACGCGGGTCTTGACGGCGAACGCGACTGCGCCGAACGTCTCGCTGAACTTGAGCCCGTGGTAGCCCTCAGAGGGCTCGGTGAAGTCGGGGAAACGGCCTGACTTCGCCCAGTCAAACTTGCCTATGGACGGAGAAGGCTCGTCAGGGGAGACGACGCACATGTCGTGGAGTGGAAGCTTACCGCTGTCGATGACGATACCGCCAATGGTCGTTCCGTGGCCGCCAATCCACTTCGTCGCGCTGTGTACGACGATATCTGCGCCGTGCTCGATGGGGCGGACGAGGTATCCTGTGCTAAGTTAGCCCATGCACTTCCACGTCGCATTCACCCCCGACTCACCTCCCATGCCGAAGGTGTTGTCGACGATCAAGGGGACACCGTGGTCATGCGCGACTTTCGAGAGCTCAGGGAGAGGAGCGACGTTGTACTTGGGGTTGCCAATGCTCTCTACGTAGATGGCTTTCGTCTTATCGTCGATGGCGGCGGCGAATTCCGCAGGGTCGTCGCTATGAACGAACTTGACGGCAATGCCGAAACGCTTCAAGAATACTGCGAGAAGTTAGCCAAACCACCCTAAGCCGAAGGTTGATGAGAGATATACCTTTGAACTGGTTGTACGTCTGTCCAGACTGGAGGTCAGAAAATCGCTTTACTGATAGGACATCTCGTTATGCTCACTCCACCGTACAGATATGATCTGAACGAAACACGATGCAAGGTGAGTACAGCTCCATTTCACCCAGAAGAATAGCAATCTGCTCACGTAGAGATGATGTTGTCGCCAGCCTTGGCAATGGCCGCGATCGCCATGAACTGCGCGGACTGGCCGCTGGAAGCTGCAACAGCAGCTGCTCCCCCTTCCAATGCGGCGATGCGCTTTTCGAAGACATCCTACACAAGGAGTCAGTATGACACCTAAACGTCAAACATTGGGCATAGTTTACTAACAACTGTCGGGTTCCCGATACGCGAGTAGATGTTTCCCAATGCCCTGTACAAAACATCGTGAGTACTCCTGACATCTCGGACCAGGCACGGAAATCACTAACCTCAATCCAAACAGATCGGCACCATGCTGCGAGTCGTTGAACACGAAACTTGTGGTCGCGTAGATCGGCGGTGCCCGCGCGTTCGTAGCGGAATCGGGCTCTTGACCAGCATGGAGCTGGAGAGTCTCGAACTCAGGCGCCCTACAGACCGGACCGGCAAATCGTGAGTAAAGCGCCCTCCCGTCCCTCCAGCGTCCCACATCGCGCTTACTCACTTGTAGAAGCGTTCGGCAGACATGGGCGACAACGGGCGGGGGTGAAAGCAGAATGTCTGTCGGGCTTGCCGCGATGGGCAGCTGCTATAAGACCCGCAGCGCCCGCGGCGCGAGCGAGCATGGCGTGCTCCCAAATCACGCAATCATGCCCCTTAAGTGGTGAGTGTCGCGACAGCGCGAGAAATTGGCGGTCAAGTGAGCACAATCCGGAAGAACGCACCAGCCGGGTGCGCTCGACACTTTCCTCGAAAAGGGTGGCGGGATGTCGCGATCTCGCGAGACCGGGCGAGGACAGCGTCCGAGTGCGGGGCGAGTGCTGTCGAATTCGGCGCGATCGAACGTACCGATAACCATAGGCGCTGATGGACATAGCTAAAGCTGTCCCTATACAGGCACCTTCGGAGTCCTAGTGGACTGCGAGCAAATGTTGAGGGCCGAGGAGCAGAACGTGAGAGTGTGATTTGACGGTGCATTGCCAACAAGGATACACAAGTCATAGCAACTATACATACGATCTCTCCCCCTAGCTACTAGGCGTTCCGAGGTCGATCAGATGGTCCGGCTCGGAGGAGTCGATCCATAGGGTCGTTTGGTTATTCCACTGTTGATTTTGGGGTCGGAGACGTCGAAGAGGCGGTAGTACGTCCATGCACCAAGCGGCTTGCAGGGTCGTACGCCGTCGCGCCGCCGGTAACGCCCGGATTGAAGGGTTCGAATTATAACGGCAGAAGGCGTACCGCATATCTTCGTTTGCTTCTTTGCAGCGAACCGACTGCACATCAGCAGCACGGTACGCCGTAGGCGTGCTCTTCACAGGGAAGTTAGGCCGTCAAGTATGGGCCGTATGGAGCACAACGCAGTATCACTGTCCCGCCTTGCAAGACAATTTAAGTAATTGGGCGACGGCGTAGACCCTACCGCAGTATGCGGACGTCATAGACAGGAAGGCCACCACTCCTTGCAGGGAGCGGGGACTTCCTGCCCTAAGATCGCAGCGCAAACGGCGGCTTCTGCCGCTTCATTGAACCAACTTCCTCCGGGGTGGGCGGTACATGAGGACGACGCACCCGTGAAAGAAGCATGCCACTATCGTCGACGCGGTTACCTGCGCAAACTGCGCATCGGCCGCGTCGAGCGACGCGCACACAGCCGAATATTTCGTCCGGCACCCTCTCATCGAGCTGCCATGCAGATATCCGTTGAGATACCTCCATGAAAACATCCCTAATATCCGGGTAGAGGGACCTGTCCACACTGCTGCAGCGAAGCGGACGACATTGTTACGTATGGTTCAATCGTTCCCTGCAGCGAATCGCCAACAGCCCGCAAGTGCGTGCTATCAGCGCGCTGAGAGCCCGCGTCACCAGACAGTGCAGAAAGCGTACAGTACTAGATAGCGGTCTATTATTGGATTCATGAACGACTGGAAAGCATGCGGCATACAAGAAAGCATTAAGAGGCTCTGCAGAAACCCTCTCAGGAAGCGCTAAGATAGGACCGGACTAAAGACCATGACCGAAGGAGAGATATACGGATACCATGCATAGAGCCACGAGGCGACGTGGGAGCGGACGAGCGAGCGTCATGACTTGGCTGCCTTCCCCGCCGAAGTCTGGCGGAACTGGTCGAGCACCTTCTTCGCGACCTTCTCCTGGCCCTGGCTCAAGCTCGCGAACGTGATGGGCAGCTCGAACTTCATCTTCCCGATGATCACCCACACCTTATGCTGCGGCTCGCCGGCCTGCTCGCCCTTCAGTATCTCGTGGCAGAACTGAGGAGTGGGCATGCCGGCGTTCCGACAATGATCTGTAGCGCACGCGCTTTGTGAGACGCAGCGGGAAAAGCGTAGATATAGGGAGCACGTACCGTAGAGCGCTGTGACGCTCGTCTTGGGTTTGGACTCAACAGCGATCGTGATCTTAGGGGGTTTATTAGACTTCCCGTTCTGCGACGGGGGCGCGGAAGTGGACGGTTTGGGGATGGGACGTGTGGGCTGCAACTTGACCTGACTCTTCGAAGATACACCATTGGCGGGTGGGTGCGGGGGAGAGGTAGACGGTGGAGGTGGAGGGGGCGGAGGTGGCGCTACTGACGGTGGAGCTGGTTGCGGAGGTGGAGGCGGTTGAGTCGGCGGAGGTGGAGGCGGAGGTTGTGTCGTCGGAGGAACAGCAACGACTGGCGGCGGCGGCGGTCGCGTAACAGGAGGCACAGGCAGTACAGGCACGGGCGGGGCAGGCTGAACAGGAGGAGTAGGTTGGACAGGAGGAGTAGGCTGAACGGGTTGCTGAGGCGTATGTGGTGTCTGGTACGGCGCAAGCGGCGTGTTCGCAGCCGCGATGCCCGCGTTGTTCGCTGGCGGAACGCCCGGCATACCAGGGTAGTATGCAGGCATAGGCGGAACAGGAGGTGTAGGTGCAGCTGCGGGCATAGGAGCACCGGGCATAGGGTAATAGGCAGGTTGTGCTGGAGGAGTCGGGTACTGCACGGGGGCGGACGAGTACGACTGATACCCCGAGACCTGGCCTTGGCCGGGAAAGGAGGTATAAGTAGCACCGTACGGATATTGCTGCTGCTGCTGATAAGGCATGGGCGCCGGAGCACCTGCGACCGGCGGTTGCGGTTGAGGAGGATAGTAGCCAGCATACATCCTATTCGGCGCGCCATACTGAGGAACTTGCATCGGCGGACTCGGGTACTGTGGCTGCGGTTGTGCCTGACCGTAGAACGGAGCTTGCGCGGGAGGTATACCGCCTACAGGATACCCATACGGAGCAGGCTGAGGAGGCATGGGGCCACCGCCGCCCACCGCCGGATACGGCATGCGGGCGGCAGGCGGCGCAGGTGGCACGCCGACGCCGACGTTCCTAGGCCCAGGCTGAAAGTGGCCGACAGGGTGCATGGGGCCCGCCGCGTTGCCAAATTGGCCGGGGCCAGGAGCGTTGGGTCTCGACCAGGACGTATTGTTCGCGAACTTCTTCTGCCCGTTCCACATAGGCTTCTGGTTCTGGTATCCCTGCCCCTGCGGAACAAACCCACCACCTTGCATACCTTGATGATTGTTGTTGTTGTTGTAGCCCCCGTTGATACGGGGCTTCTTGAAGTTCTGCCAGCCCCCCTCGCTTGGACCGGCCCCCCACTCCCCGCCATTGCCGCCGTTTTCCCAGTGCTTGCGCTTCCGGTTCGCAAATTGATTATCCTGCTGCTGCGCGTAGTATGGGATATAACCGGGGGGCGGGGGTCTGCCCTTGTAGCGGAGGAACTCGATGACCCCTTCCTCGACGGCGCGCGCGATGACAGCAAGCTTGGCGTCGTTCCGATTGCGATACTCAGCGGGGACGGTGTACTTCCGCACCTGCTCAGGTGTCGGCGACGGACATAGTTCGACGATCATCGTGGCTCCACACGCTATACTTCCCTCAGTGACCCGCACACATAAAGGCAAAAAGGAACAACCAACCATCTAAGTCCATATCATATTCGATATGCGGTTGCATGCCTGGCCCGTGGGCCTTGCGATACTCGCTGTTCAGCAAGGGAGTAAGGACTTCGGCGGCTTGCTTCCGCAACGAAGGCGGCAGCCTGTCTTCGATGGCCTTGGCCACGCTGCGAATGTAGTCACCGACGCCCTCCGACATCGCAAGCAAACACACGGCAGCCTTGGCCTCTGCGCGCTTCGAAAATCGAGCATCAACAAGATATGACTTGACCTCACCCGGTCGCTCAAGACGCAGAAGACACCCATGGTCTGAACACTGCCGTTAAAATTATGATATGCGAGGCGCGCGAATGAACTTACAGCCAAGCCTGGTGTCGACGGTCCACACGAAGTTGGGAACGATCTTCCCTCCACGCGCTGACTGAATCGTGGTATTGAGCCACGCTGGTCCATTGATGTCCAGAGCAGTCTTCCCGGCCACTTGCTCGGGAAACGGTTGAGGGAGAGCGTCGAAGAACTGTTGGAGTCCTATTGAGGAATTAGGGAACTCCGAGCCAGGCTCGTCAACGATCATATCTGGACCAGACGACGACCATGTCATGATGTAGTCCAGGACGCCATCAGCGAGAGCAGCTTCCGCGCACGCCTTCTTCGCCTCAGCGGCGCTGTTGTATATCGTATTGACAGAATATACCCTTGAGTTGCGGGGGCCAAGCCGTATACGCAGAGCGCAACCTTGTGCTAGAGATCGTAGCGAAAAGTCAGAAGAGTGGATATATGCGCATATAGTAGGGCATACATACTTCGTCCGAACTTGGGTTCGTGGATGAGTAACCAGAACGGCTTGATACGACCAGACGTTCGACTGAGACAAGCCTGTTCAATGGCCTTCACCGATTCATCCATCTCCGCTACAGATTCGACCTCTGGCTGAGGTGGCGGTGGCGGCTGCTCTACTTCCGGCGTGCCCGTACCCTCACCGGAGATGATGAAGTCGATTGCGCCGTTCTCGAGCGCGACTGTGGACACGTGCGCCTTCGCATCGTACTTCCGCTGGTGCGCAGTGGGGGAGTTGTATACGCGCGAGGCGCCGTTCGGTCGTGTAATCGTGAGTTTGCAGCGTTTTCCTGGGCACTGTGAGGCACAGTAACAATCACCATAAACGGAGTACTCACCGAAAGTCACCGCGTCCTCCTCGAACTCGTATCTCAGGGCCTCCGTGCTCCCAAATGTATGCTGACACGCCTGATGCAAACGCGCCACCGCTCGTGTAATTGTGGGCTCAGCAGCGGGCGCTGGGGCCACATTCTGTTGAGTGGGCAGAGCAGCGAGAGCGTTCCGTGATAGGGCGGCGAGAGCAGGCTCCTGGAGGTAGAGTGGAACGGGGACGGCGCCGATGCGAAGCAGTCTTTCCGTGACATGGGCAAAGACGTCCTCATCGCTGTTCGTCGCCATCGCCGAGGTGGATGCTGTGGCGTTCATGTCAACTCCTGGTAGGAATTGTCAGTCGGGGGTTACTAGGTTATATGTGCAAGGCCTAGCGTGCAGCATGCGGGCGGCGTGGACCGATTCCAGCATGTTATACGCATGTCCGCTAGGGTCCGCTTCGTGCACTCATAAGACTGATTAACCTACTCACCGCGATAAACACATCCAAAGCCGCAGGGGCGCGCGGGGTCTCCGATACGATGCGACGGTAGTAGTGGTCAGACTGAGAGTGAGGGCGCTTGGCAAGCTGTAACGACTTTGTGGCTAAGTATTGAGCGTCTAATCTACGGCACACCATGGCCGCGCCCGCGAGTACTAGTGTGTTCGCCCAGTGTTCGCGAACGCTCTCTCACACTTTGACCAATGCTAAGCGCTAATGTCGAATATCGGTCGATATCCTCAAGATATCCTTCGTGTCAATAGACATGAGCATTTTCAAACAATCCCTGGACGAAGCTGAACGTGGGCCAAAATCAAGCATTTGCCTTCCTAGTCGCCGAATATCCAGATTTACGGGAACGAGCTCCGCATGCCATTCATCGACGGCTGCAGAGCGGTGGGCTCTCGTGCCAAAGTTATCAGGACTCAACCATCCTGACATCAATATGTCATAGTCCTGCGAAGAATTCTACCTCCGGAGGTTGTGTCTGGAGCTCGGTCAGCTGCTCACTGATATCATCTCTAGCCTGAGTCGCACTCTTATCGCACTCATTCCGCGCGAACCACCATGTCCACTTCTCTCAAACAGCAATACGACGAGCAGGGGTTCGTGATCGTCCCCAACCTCATCCCGCCCGCGCAGTTCGCAGCCCTCGAGAGCGCGTCCGAGCGCGTCATCACGCGCACGCGCACCGGCCAGTGGCCGCACCGCCGCACCGTCGGGGCGCAGTTCCCCCCGTACGGGGACGGGGACCCCGACTCGTGGGGCGTGCAGCATGTTATGCACCCCGACCTGGGCGAGCCGGCGTTCGCCAGGTGGTATACGTCTGACGCGCTGGTGGGCGTTGTGAGGGAGCTGCTGGGGTGTGGGGAGGAGGATCTGCAGATGGGTGGGCGTTTCGTTTGTGTGTGCGACGTGAGTTGATTTTAAGGGCTAACACGCATGCGGATGCAGAGTTGTTCAATATGTTGATAAACCCGACGTCGAACTCGTTCGCGCTGCGATGGCATCGTGATGATGTGCGGGAGAACGCCACCGAGGACGAGGAGCGTGAAGCTCTGAGTATATGGCACCACGGCGTGAGTGTGCACATTGGCTAGCCAATGCGTCAACTGCGTCTGACCGTGACACATGCTCACAAACAGACGCAATGGAACACGTAGGTGCACCCCCACTACGCCCCACCACCCCCTACTCACGCCCCTCCAGCGCCCTCCGCGAAGACTCCTGCCTCTACGTCGTCCCCGGGTCCCACAAAGTCCCCCGCACACCCGCACAGCGCGCCCTCTCCTCCACGCTCGACCCGCCGACCGACCCGCTCACGATGCCCGGCGCCATCCGCGTCGCGCTCCGCCCCGGGGAGACCGTGTTCTACAACAACAACATCCTGCACTGCGCGGCGTACGACGCGGCCGCGCCGCGCATCACGCTGCACGCGTGCATGGGCGAGGCGCGTGGGGGCCCTGCGCGCGCGCGGAACATCCTGCAGCACGGGCTGCGGTGGATGAAGGAGCCGCCGTTCGCGGACACGCTGGATGCGCGTGGACGGGCGATGTTGGAGCGGATCGTGCGGCTGCAGGAGAGCGTGGGTGGGGAGGTTGGGTACTCTCTTGCAAACTGAGCGGGGCTGCGGTTACTTGCAATTGGCATGCGGGGGGACGGTTTCCTCTAGTGAGTATGATATGTGCTCGCCAGCAGCTCGTGAAACATCCGGAGTCAAGGGTGCAAAAAGTGCTCGGAATGAGGATCGAACTCATGACCTCAGGATTGCCCACTTGTGTAAGCGGTCATACTTAAGTATGAGACCTGCGCTCTAACCAACTGAGCCATCCAAGCATGCCATCAGACTGCCATGTTTGGAGCATTATCAGATTCACTTTCTAAGTCCTCCCAGTCCAACCCGGCTGCACCCGATCGCGTGAGCATGTATTCCTCGTTAACCCCTCTCCATGCACACATCAACGACCTCCGGTCGATCCGACGTGTAGACGATTCGTTAAGACATACTGTATGTAGCGCTCTTTGTCCAGGTAACGGAAGCAGTGACAGAAGGTCGCACTTAGCCAAAATTCCAGGTGATTCGCCGACCCATATTTCCAAGATACAAGTATTGCATCCTTTGACAGATGGTTATAACGTCCCCAGTGAGAACAGAATAGAGCGGGCGTGGCGGAAGCCGGGAAGTTACGCAGGGATTGCGATAGACCGCGGGCACGCCGCAGGCTGCCGCCGGGTGAACACAATCATGACATGTCCTTGGGAACCGTATAAGTCTGAGACAGCTGGCCGCGATCCATCTATCATACAAGGAGCCTGCGGGTCAGAAGACCAGCTCATGCTGCCTACTTGGAAGGGCAGTGTCTGCGCCGCGAAGCTGCCCGCAGTTCTACCGTACATAGCAATTATGGACGGATGGGGAGAGGGTGGGGTGCCTCGAAACGGAGTGACCCCGGCTCGTGTGATACACGCAGGATGTCATGACGGTGGCGTGCTGCAAGCAAGCCGCGTTAGTACACGCCCGTTATCGGTCGTTCGGATGCATTTGAAAGCGGATTTACAGTGAAGCGCACGCGGCGCAAAGCTAGACGCATCGGTGCCCCTCTGCACACGAGCAAGGCAGAGCGCGGGCAGAGCAGAGACCGATAGCAGAAGACTCGGAGAGAGTCATATGGGCGGCTGTGTATGCGGGGTTGCGCGTCGCGATGTGAAGGGGTGTGAAGAGCGGACCTGCGGAACCATTTTGGGCGGTTGTCTCGCCATTTATGGGTTGCCAGCGTCGCGTGGCGCGGGGTAGATAAGGCGGGCGACATACGCAACCTCCTCCTTTCCCTCCATCCACCATCTCCCCCTCTTTGCCGTTGGGGAGCATCTTCATCACCTCTCCATCCACCAGTCCTTCATTCAGCATGCGTCGTTTGTTCGTCGCTGCTCTCGCCGCCGCGGGCCTCGCCGGCACCCTCGCTCACGACTCGCACAATGTTTCGCGTCGCAAGACGCTCAGCTTCGGCCCTGTGCACCCCCACGCGTCCTACCACACCAACCCGGTGTACCACACCAGCCTCCTCCGCGCGTCCGAGGACCCCCTCGACGTCGCTCGCCTCTTCGTGGAGGATCTCGTCCGCGATATCCCCGGCAGCGACTTTGTCGTTCGGAAGGACTCGTACACGGACGAGGCGACCGGCATCACCCACGCTTACGTCCGCCAGTACATCAACGGCATTGAGGTCGCTGATGGCGACATTAACGTCAACATCAAGGATGGTGTAGTCCTCTCGTACGGCGACTCGGTGAGTACTTGACCAGAGCCAGCAACGCGCCCGGATTCCTCTGCGTTTGCTTGCACTGTCTTGCGTGGGGAAAAAAGAGAGTATGCCGTCAGCGTTCATCCCAGCGTTTTGGTAAACCCGAGCCGGTTGCGCGATAGATGTCGGTAGTGCTGCCATCGTAACTACAAGAAGAACATGAACTAGAGGAGCGAGTTTTCTTTGAGGAAGCTACAGGGTATATCGTGATGGGGAGAAGAATGGTTGGGCACATCCGTCGCCCCTTGCAGTTGACGCTCTTACCGTCCACCTCTTTAGCTTATTCCCGAAAGCTTCCGCATATGTTCAATATGCTCATACTCCTCATTACAGTTCTTCCGTCCGAAGACCGCGACCACCTTCAACGTCGCAGACGCTGTGAGCGGCAAGGTCGACCCTCACGCAGACTACTGCCGCACCCTCGAGGACGAGATCACCTCTCAGCTCCGAACGGTCGATCGCACCTCTCGCAAGGCCCCAGTCGAGGCCACCGCTCTTGAGCAGCTGTCATACCTGTACGAGTGGAACTGCAAGTTCGTTGACGCCCCGGACATGATGGCGCAGGACCCCGAGTTCTCCGCTGTGGAGGATGTCGCGTCTGGCGATATCTCCCGCGCGCTTTTGCAGTTCATGCTGGCCGCTACGCCTAGCGAGGACTTGCAGCAGGAGATCATGGACGACCCTTCCAAGTTCATCCCCAAGATGCGTGTGTCGTTCGAGCACCACATGTCGGAGCAGCCGTTCTTCACTATTGAGAACGCTCCTGACGCCGTCAACCCTGTGAAGGGACGCCTTGCGTTCATCCAGGTGCCGGAAGGTGACTCTACGACTCTGCAGCTCGTCTTCAAGGTTAGTCCATCATCCTTTTGCCTCGCGCTACACTTTTGACGTGCATACAGTTCGAGGTTGAGATGAAGGACAACTGGTACGAGGCCGCGGTCTCCGCCGAGGCGCCTCACCGCATCATCTCGGTCGTGGACTGGGCTTCCGACTCTCCTGTCCCCGTCGCACCTGTCCCCAAGGACTCCGAGGGCGCGACTTACAACGTCTTCGCCTGGGGCATCAACGACCCGTCGGTCGGTGAGCGCTCGATCCAGAAGGAGAACTTCGATGCTCTCGCGTCCCCGCTCGGATGGCATGCGTTGCCCTACGCGAACGACCCCCACTCTGAGAGCGTCCGCCCCAAGGATGCGTCGAAGATCCGCAACACCACAACCACGTGGGGCAACAACGTTTTCGCGCACGAGGACTGGGAGGGCCGCAACAACTGGGTGAACAACTACCGTCCGGATGCCGGCTCTAGCAAGGCGTTCGACTTCAAGTACTCACCAAAGAAGACCGACACGACCGACGCCCTCGAGGAGGCCCAGAAGTACATCAACGCCACCGTGACGCAGCTGTTCTACACGTCGAACTTGGTGCACGACCTCTTCTACCGCTACGGCTTCAACGAGGTTTCCGGCAACTTCCAGCAGCACAACTTCGGCCGTGGCGGTCAGGAGAACGACGCTGTCATCGCCAACGCGCAGGACGGTAGCGGGTACAACAACGCTAACTTCATGACGCCGCCCGACGGTCAGAACGGTCGCTGCCGGATGTACCTCTGGAACACCGCAAACCCCTACCGCGACGGTGACCTGGAGGCCGGCATCGTCATCCACGAGCTGGCCCATGGGTTGAGCACTCGTCTCACCGGTGGTCCCGCGAACTCTGGCTGTCTCGGTTGGGGTGAGGCCGGTGGTATGGGCGAAGGCTGGGGTGGTGAGTCATCTTGTCATAACGAAACCAAAGCCTTCCCTGACGTAGTTCCTCGCAGACTTCCTGGCTACGACCATCCGCAGCAACAAGAACTACTCTGACTACGCTATGGGTTCGTGGGCTGCCAACCGTGACAACGGTATCCGGAACTACCCGTACTCTCTGGTGCGTGTCGGCAGATTAGCTCATGATGTACGAGTGACTAAACACACCTCTTGTGTAGAACGAGACCGTCAACCCTTCGACGTACCAGACGCTTGACAAGCCCGGTTACTGGGGCGTGCACGCGATCGGCGAAGTCTGGGCGCAGATCCTCTGGGTCGTGTCGCAGAAGCTCATCGAGAAGCACGGCTTCGTCGACGACCTCTTCCCGCCCAAGCCGCTTGAGGATGGCACCATCCCCGAGGGCGACTTCTACCGCAAGCTCGAGTTTACAGCGGACGGCAAGCCGAAGCCGCTCGTGCCCAAGCACGGGAACTCGTTGATCGTGCAACTCGTGCTCGATGGCATGAAGCTGCAGCCTTGCCGGCCCTCGTTCTTCGACGCGCGCGACGCGATCATTGCCGCCGACAAGGCGCTCACCGGTGGTGAGAACCTGTGCGAGCTCTGGGAGGGCTTCGCCGCCCGCGGTCTTGGCTTGGACGCAGCCGTCAAGAACCGCACGCCATGGGGTGGAGGTGTCCGCACCAACGGGCATGCGCTCCCCAAGGAGTGCAAGAAGGCGGGCGAGCCCGAGCCTCCGACCGAGCCCGCGCCGGGCGACGGCGATGATGACGGTGACGACGACGACTGGCCCTGGTTGCAGTGGGTCATCGAGAAGACCGCGGTGTTCTCGTGGTCGTGGCCGCTCTGAGGACTTTGCCTTGCTCTAGACCTACGTTTTGCTTCCCTGCTTCCATGCCTGGTCAGGACACGTTGCTGTTGCTTGTCAGAGCGGCGGGGACGTTGCTTGTGCTTGCGGGTGGTTTGGTAGAGGTGATCGTTGTAATATAGATGCTGCTCATTTCGGATGGATTCTTGTACTACCACTCGCATATACATGATCTCGTAATAACCTGCTGCGTGTGTGTGCGACAAGATTTCAAGCTTCCTCAGCTAGGCAATCGGTTCAGGTTGCGCGAGGTGAGTAGCTAGAACAGTATTTGGACAGTGTTTGTCAAGCTGACTGCTCTCCTGTCGTTTCACAGGTTCTGTGCCATGCTTGCATGGCTGGCGCATTTCCCCGGCTTCTGTGCTCACTGCACGCAGGCCTACGCAGCTGTCTGAAGATCAAAATGGTACTGCCACGCCCTGCACACTCATGAATACCGCGCCGACCACCAACGACATTAATATTGAGCCTCGGTGGTTGCTGTGTATGGTAACCTATCAAGTAAATCCCATATCCCCGGGAGTTCGCCCGAAGCTGCAGCACACGCGCTCATGCTATCGAAGTTCTGGCAGCGACGGCGCTCGGCTTGAAGGCGCGTTCCTCGCGCAGGTCTCGTGTGCAAAACGTCGAGGTGGTGTGGACGTCCGAGACGCTACCACCGTCGCGATCCACTGGTAAGCGCTAAGCCCTCCGACCTACAAATCATGTTCGTCGTACTGAAGTCTGTCACTGCAGACCATTGCATTTTGCGGATATTCAATTATGCATCTGATCAGTACGGCGAGACTCTAGTCTGTAGTAGCTGCCCGAAAGACTGCAGGGTGGTTGTGGGCAGTGACAGGGGAAGAGGTGGTCGGGTCTCAGCAGCGGCTTCTTGTCTGGGCTGGAGAGGCTCACAATTTTCATCCAGGGCCGCGAAAACCCCCTGAGATGTGCTGCGTATATTTCTTCCGTCTTACCCGGTATGCGTAACGTCCTTCGTTTTCAATATCGTGCGTCTTTTGAAAATCACTGCGAATCGTACACGGTACCAGATACGTAGTAATTCTATTCATGATGTTCGCACAGTCTTCCCATTAGATCATGGCATGCATACGTATATAACTTGAATACGCATTCATCTGCTTCACACCGCTCGTACGTTTTTACGGCTAAGCAACTGCGCCGTACCGTTAAGCCGATTCGGCACCCTTTCGCTTTCTATTCCGGTTCCAATGATCCTCTGTCATGTACTACACATTGGCAGTACTTTGTACCTTTATACGTCTGAATATGACACTCCATGTCACAACCATACGTCCACCGATACAACCCCACGTTTGAGAACATATATATGTACCTCCCAGTCCGGAGTGCACTGAAAGGTAAATGACAACTTGAGCGATCGCGACCGTGCGATACCATTCAACATTTCGGCCACGAGGACGTCGACGGGCGGGTGGTGAGGCTGTCACGACTGCCAACCTGCGCAGACTTCATGTACTCTTGTACATTCTGCTCTTTATCCCGCGGCTCAACGCCCCAGGCAATAGACGCTAATCTAAACTACACATTCTAAAACAAACATATGGGACACGAGACACGATCCGCGAATGCTCCGGCGCATCCGAGCGCGAACTTCAAATAAGTACACAGTTCATAGTCCTTCTCAGCACCTCCTTTGCTCCTGTTCTCGAGTTCATTTGTCACCTCCACCTCTCTAGGTGATACGCGGGCTCTCATAGTACCCGTTGTCCTCTCTGTACTTGCTGTGATTGATCTTCCGCCCTTTGAAGTCACGCGAGCGCGGCGTCGGGTGGAACGGGTCCCTCGTCTGCCTTGGGCTTGACATCCCGAGCTGGCGATGAGAGCGCCGGGTCATCCGGGGCGGAGTGGACGGGGCAGGCACGGGCTGCGACGGTCCCGCCTCGCCTTCGTCGTCGTCTTGGAGTTGGTCCACCTCCTCGTCGTCCTGCAGCTGGTCCTCTTCGACCTCGTCATCCGCAACGTCCTCCATCTCGTCGTCTGCAACCTGCTCCCCGGAAACATCGACGCCCGAGTCCTCAGCCTGCTCCTCCTCCGCTTCGGGCACTTCCTCATCCGCATCGGCCTCCGGATCCTCAGGCTCGTCATTCTCCTCGCTGTGTTGTCCGCTGGGGCCCGCCTCTGGACGACCCTGGATCAGCTCGTCCTCATGTTCATCATCCGGCTCCCCGTGCACACAAATCGCTTTGTGCTGCTTCCCCGGCGGGGAGATCGGGTTCTTGTACAGGTCGTAGGCCGTCGTCTTCTTAAGCCAGTCGAAGCGCGGGCTCATGTTGTCCGGCCAGCCACGCGGGAGGGGGGCGTCCGGGGAGACAAGGTCCGAATGGTCCGAGTCGTCGGAGGGTGACGGGGTGCTTTCCTCGTACCATTGAGGCTGGGGAGGGGGCTCGTAGTCGTCGACCTCATCGTTGTCCTCCTCATCCGAGGCGGCTCTGTCGTCGTCGTCATCGTCGGCCTCGTTCTGCGAGGGATCTGCCCCGTTCTGCGAGGGGGGCCCATGAGGCGACTGGCTGGACCTGTCTTGACGGTTGTATACCGCACTCGATGTGGGCTCGGGTGCATTGCTCCTCAAGCGTTTGGAGGGGCTCTCGAGCTCGGGCTGCTCGGTGGCGTGGCGGCGCTTCGCGCTCCTGTTCGCGAGCGGCGAAGTGCGTGGGGACGCGTCCAGGTACGAGAGTGTGTCCGAGGGACGGGACTGGTCCATCATCTCACTGTTGCACACGAACGGCTAGATGAGAATATGCATAATCACCAGAAAAATTGCGGCGCTCACCTATTGTCCTCCTGCAGGACCATGGGCGGGTAAACAGAGCCCGTGAAGTCCTCCGTGAAGTCCATGGTGTCCTCCTGAGGCAAATCCTCAACCCCGTCCTCGTAGTCATCGACCTCATACCGCGGGAGCCACGTCTGCTCGGCCTTCTCCATCAAATACTCGACGAACGCCGGGCCCGCGACACGCTCGATGTCGTCCAGGAGCCTGTCATACCCCTCAAGCTCCTCGTCGAGCTCCGCCTCCGCGAGCGTGCTCTCGACCAGCGCGGTATTGACCAGGCCGCGGATCCGCTCGATCTCCTGCGCGAGCGCGTCCTCGTCGTCTACTATGCCCTGCCGCATGTCCGCGAACCAGTCCGGGTTCCGGGGCTCGGCTGGCGGGTACTCGTACACCGTGCCGGTGTCCTTGCCTCGGGAAGGGTCATCCTCTGCGATAGCCTCTCGGCCGAAGCGCGCCACCAACGCAGCTGTGAAGCGAGCGAGAGACTTGTGAGCGGACGCGGACATGTGGGGGCGCACGCACATGCTCACCTTTGTCTAGCTGGCCTAGGGGCACGCGCTCGGGCCGCGCATAGGGCGAAGACAACGCCGCCTCAACCTCCTCGATACTGTCGTCCGAGGCAGGGAGTGGCACCTCTGGCGCAGGAGCGGCAGGCTCCGGCGGCGGAGAAGGGCGTGCGAAGACGGGTTTGGAGAACACAGGCTTGGAGAACACAGTTGGGTATACTTGGGCGGGCTCCTCACCGCCTCTGTCGACGCCCTTGCCCTTCGCGTCCTTCACGAGCGCTGCGAATTTGAAGGTAGGCTGATCCTTCATAAGGTGAGGGGGCACAAACACGGGCCCGTAGCCCTTCACAAGCGGTGATGCCGGCGCGTTTTCCTTCGGCGGGTCTGAGCTGAGCACCGTGCTCTCGATCGGCGGCGGTGACGATGCCTTCTCGTTAAGAGCAGCGAAGATGGGCGCCCGCTGAGGGGCAGGTCCAGCTGCCGATTCAGCGGTAAGGGTATGTGGCGCATGAGGTTGTTGGGTCGATTGTGCCATCCTGGATGTCGAAAGTGTTGAGTAGGACGATTGACACGGTTTGGTAGTCAGTGGTTGATAGCGGGAGAACAAAATGTTCAAGGGAGCGCAGGTGCAAGAGATGGTGGGGGTAAGAGGACAAGCAGTATCAGCCGCACCCTTGTGGCCGCTGCGTATTTATGCGACGAGTGGCACAACCAGGCGTTCTTTGTTCGTTCTTGGACCCGTCCCGATTTGGGGGTGGGTTTTGATGGGACGGGCGTGCAGACGCCCGCCGGCGCTTGACATGAGGCTTTAGCCAACACACTGATTCGCCCGAGGTCGTGTACCCATTGTCCGCCTGGATGAAAATGGTGAATAATAGGATATGAAATGACGGTAATGGTTATCTCTGGGTCATCATTCCGTCCCAAGCGCATTAACTGATTGGCATAAAGAAGTGCATAGTACATACAGGTTACAGCAAGAATCAACATCCTGGATGCCTAAGAAACACAAGATAGCAGGCAGACTGGAGGGTAAGATTGACTAGCGGTACGGTTCAGCGTCTGCGCCCTCAGGAGGGCGATGGATGTAGGTGTTCTGGGCCGTCATGATGAGCGGATTCGTCAGTTGCTTGGCTCCATCGCTGCTTGATGCATCATCGTAAGTAGTGCACTCGGTGACTTGACGACAAGGAAAGCTTACCCAAATTGCCGTAGGAGGAGCTCATCGAGCAGAGCGTCCTTGCGCTCCTTCCAACATTTCTCCTCGTGTCTGAGCACACGGAGTTCCTCCACGAGGGCCTCGTGCTGCTGCATCGCCCACTTGTGCTTCGCCTTTGCGAGCATGTAGCGGACTTGTGTGTGTGATCGGCCCATGATCAGTCCCGTCGCGGGATCCGCCTGGCGGAGAAGGTGCGGCGGGAGCTCGTCCTCCGGATCGTACTCGAAGGTACCCGGCTCCGGGGTGTACTGCCGCACTGGTGTCGGCGGCAGCCGCGAGGCGAAGCTGCTGCCCTCGATGGGGGAAAGCCGAAAGTCATCGTCTTCACCATGAGGGTCTATCTTGAAAGACGAGGAGTAGCCGGGGTACTCGGATGCTTGTGTTGGGGCGGGCTCGGGGTTGTCCCCGGGTTGCTTGCGCTTACGGTTCCCACCCCGACCGGGGAGGGGAGGGGAGATGTTGTGCTGGATGCGCATGTGCTTTGCGAGCGCGTCTGAGCGGGTGAATGATTTGTCGCACTCTGAAAATGCAGGTCAGCACGAAGGCAAAGGGGCGACACATACATGAAGACAGATATCGCTTTGATACAGCACGAGACACGCCAAAACGGTCGGACACGCGATAGTCTTTGAGACGTTAGTCCTACAAAATTGTCCGAAAGGCTGTGACACCCAACTACTGCCAGCAGTGTTTCAACCCGCCACGCATCACCTATCGCTTTTTGGCGCTCAAAAGCGGGATAGTATCCATCGCGAAGAAGATGGAGGCTCACCTGGGCGGGGGCACGTAAACGGTTTCTCTCCGGTGTGTGAACGAATGTGGGAAATGAGCGCGAACCGCGATGTTTGTGCGATACCACGCCGAACACATCCTGCCCATTCGCAAGTGTAGTTCGATTTGTGAACACCGATATGATCTACGCAATGATTCATCAATTAAGACCAATTGCACTCAGTGGATTAAGGCGCACCGTTGTGTATATGGTCGATGAGAGTAGGTAGATGATTGAACACCTTGCCGCAGTCCTCCCATTGGCATGTCATAGTATCCGCCTCCTGCTCCTCGCCCATCATAGAGACCTCCGCCGTCACGGGCGACCCCGGCCTTGATGCTGAGGGTGCATACTCTCCAGCTTCGCCCCCGTATGAGCCAAATTCCTCGTCGCTTGAGGAATCTGAGACGCCACCGGCGGGCGAAGAAGGTAGACTAGGGGAAGGGGAAGGGCTGTATTGGCTCCGCGCCATCTTGCCGAGCTTGTTGAGGTTTTGCGAAGGATATGAATCCGCCGTTGTGGTCGTCGTGAACGTCGTTGAGCAGCGCGGTGGGAGTTTTTGAGAAGAGTTCTGTCAACTTCCAGGATCCAGTTTGAGTGAGCGCGCGTTGTGCGGGGTTCGCCGGCGTCAAACGCGCGCGACTTCCACCTTCACCTTGACTGCCACCACCACCACTCGAAACATATCCCTCGCGACAATCTTGTCCGAATTGACGTAAAATCTGCTGTTTCCGTGAGATCTACTTGAGCCGAGCACTGCAAGACCTCCAGGCGTTGCAGCAACGATGTCTTCGCCTTTCGCAACCTATCCCGTCCCGGAACGGTCCTTCATGCCATCTACCGGGACCTCCACACCAACAGCGCGAGGAGGCGCATCAGGCCGAGGGACGGGCGCAAAACGCGGGCGCAAGCCCAAGAACGCCAACGCTGATGCCTCACGCACGCCCTCGATCTCTCAGCCACCCAGTGCCCAACCCACCCTGTCATGGGCCGATTCTCAGCCAGGACCAAACTCCACCCAGTCTATAGCAGGTGCAGGTTCGTCAAGTGCAGTAGCGTCGCCCACCACGTCCACCCAGGACGCGTCTGCGAACTTTGCGGATGGTCTCAGCCTTCCTGGGGCGCAGGCCTCTGCAAGCACTCCTGCGCCTGGCGGGGACGCAGGAACGCCTGGGCCGTCAACAGCGGTACCAGCAGCCCCCGGCGCACAAGCGGGCGAGGAGGATGATAATGGGGAGGATGAGCTGCTGCCGGCGATGGCGGATGACGATTACTCGGCGCAACTGTCGTGGCAGAGCCAGTCGAAGGACAATCTCAAGTGCGTTGGGTTACCCGTTATGCGAGATTAGCGTTGACGAGTGTGGTGTGGACCTCCAGGGTGCTCATGGACAACCTGAGCCCTGCACAATACGATCGGTTCGAAGCCTACCGTAGGTACGCTTTGTCGAAGCAAGCCGTTCGGAAGGTGAGCACCCTCTGCGCCCTCAGGGCAGAACGCGTGGTTAACCTTGCGGGCCTAGGTCATCCAACAAACGACCGGAAACCAAGTCTCGCTGCCGGTCGCGCAGATTATCGCCGGTTTCGCGAAGGTATTCGTGGGCGAGATGGTGGAGAAAGGTTCGTCCTGACCTCCCTTCGACCGTAATCATCATGTAAACGTTGCCTTCGTACAGCGAAAGACGTGCAGGAGCGCCGCCAGGAGAGCGGTCCGCTGAGCCCTGACCACCTTCGTGAGGCGTACCGAACGTACCAGAACGAGACGGGAAGAGTGGGTGCTGCCCGACCGTTGCGGGGAAAGCGTCTGTTCAACCGGTAAATGTCGGGCCTGTTGACTCGTGGCACTACCGTTGTCGCGGCCATGTTTCATCGTTGACTGTCGTGCAATTTGTGTGTAAGATTGTGAGTACATGCAATGTTGATGCATTGTCCACCTCATCTGCGTTTCTGACCGCTAGCTTGTCAACAGATGTACTCGTATCATACATGTCGGATTTTCCGGGTCTATCCAATGCTTTCTCGTGGCTTAGACCTACACTCACGCTCGGGACGGTGCAACGAAAGCAATGGTTCGGAAACTGGACGGGTAATCCTCGCACGATGTGGTGCAAGTTTGCAACAGCCAATGCTGGTCATCGCGCCTGGAACTTGGTCGTCTCATGCTCCTCCTAACTGACATTCTTGCCCATACCCTAGACACTCTTCCCTCCAAGCCTAAGGCCTCAAGGCCGATCCAAGCGGTTTCACCCGAAGATCGATGTGACGTCGAACCCCCTCGGTAATGCCACACATAACGCCCCAGTGCGTAGGGGATCGGTGGGGTGCGTGGCGCCGGCGGTGAATCGTGCACCTCACCCCAGGTTATCTCAAGACCCACTTTAGTTCCACCGCCGGGTTCATAACCAGCTCATGGGACTCGAGGTCTGATGTGCCTATAACAGGTGAGTCGTCGCTCGTATTTGGTATTTACCTAAAACGAGATATCTGCAGGGTCCAGCGGGAGTTGGGAGTTGAAAGTCCATTGTGGTCTGGTGCCGTGTGCAGTCCCTGGGATTCCGAAGACCCTGCATCTCCGAGACCTCCCTACGACCACGAGATGCATAGCGCGTAGCTCACGCTCGTGTCGATCCGGGATAGTGTGGAGATGATCAGCGCGCATCGACTATGTTGTCGAAATTGCCCGAGCCGCACTAGGCTGGTGCGGTCGTCCCTCTGCTCTCTAACACACGACGTGCTCACCCCCGATCACGGTGTATCGGGACAACGTCACCATAGAGCAGCTGATGAGTGATGCTCGGTGCGAAGAGTGTTATGGGAGAGCACAGCCCTCGGGTACAGAAGAGTCAGGTCAAGCAGAAGCGCGGTATACCTTGGCGATATGATAGCACGCTACGAACGTACGGTACGGTCAGTTTCTCATACCAAAATTGATTCCAGCAGCCCGAAGGTCTTTGGACGACTACACCTCACTCCTAATGCGCCTCGGTCCTACTGCCACAAGCTGACGATACGACGGTGACAGCGGGTCGGTGACCCGGCCAAAGCCCTGCGATAATCTCCCACCCCCACCCCCGACCCACACACGGCGCCGACACCCCCGCCCTCGCCACTCGATGCAGAAAGAACGCCCCCACAGCCCGTCCAGCAATAGAGCCATCGTACTACCACTAGCCTCGGCGGCGAATGGGGTTTCTCCGCAGTTTGCAATGTGCGGGCCGGCGGCTCACTCAGGCTAGCAGCCCTCGGTTAACGCGTTGGCCACCCACTCCATCCCCTCGAATTTCGAAGGTGCGTGCGCCAATCCACTGGAGGAAATGCTATGCGGGTCGCGTTCCTGAATCATTGAGTATCAATGTCATCGACGCCCGCCTGATGTGTATCGGTGCTAGCCCCTTGCACGTCGTCATGCGCGCCGACTCCCGAGGGCTCCCGAGTGAGAGGCTTCCTGCTCCCTAGGGCGGGCGAGCGTCGGCCTGTCCTGCGCGCGTGAACACCAGCCACATACAGCGGCGCGATAGCTAGGAGCTCAGGGACACCGCACTCCAGGCCTGCGTCACTTTGGGGTCGCCGAGGTCGCCGCGACACCCTGCGATTCCTTCTACCGAGCACTTCCTGATTGCGGGCATCATGAATGCTCAATTGACGGTGTGGCACATAGGGGCTACCGCAGTGGAGCGCGTCGTCCAAGGTCGTCCAGCGTCCACCTTGGTTCGTCCATGGCATGATATTGATATTGATCGACACGGCGTCCCGGCGGAAGGGCACGGTATTGCCGGCGGCTCATCAAGCTTTCGAGAGACGTTTGGAGTTGGTTGCCCCCGATTGCGAGTGCGACGCCGATCGACACCACGCTGCTTATCCAGTGGAGTCCGTGCTGTGCGGTCTGTCGCTCAAGCTGGCGCGTGACCCTGGCTTGCGGTCGAATGTTACCTTCGGTACGAACGCACCCGGCGGCGATCGTAGGGAGACATCCTCGAGCACACAAGTCCGCTCGTGTCGCCCGAGGTTCCCACTGCGGGCACGACGAACGCTGCGCAGTGCGCAGGACCCGCTCGATCGCACCGGCGGGACGCCTGAGGCTCGTCCCACTCTGGTATGTTGAGCCCTCAGCCCCGCACCTGCACTTCTGGCCCCGTTGCTAGCCATGCACAGCACCAGGGCGAACGATGCGGATACGATCGGCAGAGGCGCCCCAGGTTCTCATGGACGTTCTGCCAGGACCCCCGATTATAGTAGGTGAACCTACATCTCAAAAATCCAGGATTTGGGCCTTTTTGTCCGCGTCCGAAAAAGTTCCCACGCTTTCTGAGTGCAGTTTTGAACGTTTCAGCCAAATCGGAGGCGGTCGACTTTTCAAAATGGACATTTTTGTCCGGAAAAGGCTGATGTAGGTTCCCCTACCATTGTCGGGGGTCCTGTTCTGCCACCGCCCTTCAATTGTGCACAGGGCACGCTGTTCGGCGTCGTCATTCCGTGGCCGAGGCGGGCCTCGCGACTAGACTGACAGCCTACAGGGCGCACGGGGGTGCGGGGAAGGGGCGTCGCGCGTAGCGGGTGCGCACATGGGGCTCTGGGCGTGAAACGCGACCTGGCGAGGCACCGGGGTTATGAGCCCCTTTGCGCATTGGGGCGTTCGTGTGGTCGGTCCGCCACACCGTACGGTGCGGTTGTTTCACTCTGACGTGCATTCTATGTTCACTGATGTGGTAGTGAAGTTGGGAGTCTCTATGTACCATCTATACATTTCAACACACTCGACTAGCAGTCATGAACGGCGCAAGTCGACCAGCCGCCTGCGTATCAACCGCGAACGCCTCTCAATATCTCTACGTAAACCTAATGAATGCATAGGCGTACATTCGGCCCTCCTCCCTACCTGCGGACGCAGTCGTACCAGGCCAGAGCTCGCCGTGGCCGAGAGTCGCGATGCGCCCCAGAGGAGGCGGGGCGCTGCCGCATATGGCTCTCCACGTCGATCCGGATCGTCGGTGCACCACTGCGGGACCGAGGCACTAGCACAGCTTTTCACTAGAGCTCCCAGGTACATCCACTCAGCCAGATCCGTTCTCCCCGACCACCTTCCCAGAGCTTCCCAGCAGACCGTCCTCAGCGGCTCGGAACGACGCATCGTACGAGCTCGTACGCCTTTCTGATCCAAGGATCCACCCAGCGCCGAGATGTAACCACGACGTTCCCACCACACCCCGCCCGTACCTGCCCGCACGCCCTCTTTCGCCCCCGAAGTCGTCGGTAAGGCACGCAGCTGGGCCGCCGGCAGCCCCGACCGAGGGAGGGGGCGGGACCTGGGCGGATGCCCCGATCGGTCGATATCACGAGGCAGCCAGCCGATTGGGTTGGGCCTGGTTGGGCGCAGGGCTGCGCGGGATCTCGTCGCGGCGGCATCGACACGGGCGAGCGGGCGGGGGATCCGTCGTCCCAGCGCGGGCCCGCCGCCCCTCCGTGATCGGCGCGTGCCGATTGGGCGCGGCATGGTTGGGCGCGTCTGGGCGTGCATGGGGAGAGGGAACGAATGGACAGCTGAAAACGCGGGGCTCCCATTGGGCGATGGGGCGCATAGGCTGCGCGGGGGGCGAGGTGGTGATTGGAGGGGAAGAGTGGGGGACGCTACCAAACGCGACGGCGGCTAGTAGACGCGAGGGATTCCGGGCCTCAAGTTATACGCTGGTCTGAGGGTTATGTTTCCTTCGATTGAACATATTCGATGTGCGCCTACCGCCCTGCGGAGGAGCTAACTAATATCTTCCTAGACGCGGCCGCCTTTGTCAAGTCCGACCGCTATACATCGCGACTATGATTGAAGGTCAGCACGCGTAAAGTCGTCGCACATTCAGTACTCAGCGCAGGACCAACAAACACATCGCGTATCGACTGGGGTGCCTCGGACGCAATGGACATCACTCACCGGCATCCACCGCAAGACGCCGAGCCACACTTAATTCCAATGCTCCAGGCTTCTCGCGTCTCAAGTTTCCGACGCGCTTCCGACCCTCTCAGCGCGCCGCCTTTTCCAATTAATGCATAAGTACCAATAGTCAGTACTAGTCAGCCCCCGCACTTCCTGCATTGAATCCCTGCACATGCACGCGTCGGGTTTGTCATTTCACTTGAACGAGCAGCGCGCCAGCCCCGACGAGAGCTCCGCGCATCCTCGGAGGGGAGGGCGGAAGGCGGGCTCCGGACGGCCAGGGTGGGCACATTCAATCGTGAGCGGGCGTGTGCGGCGGAGCGCCCGCTCCTGGGAGGCAGCGAGGCTCGAAGAGGGAGCTAGAGGGAGAGATCCCTACCAAACTGATGGTCGCGGGAATCAGCGTGTCGCAGGATACCTACGCGAGAGCAGCATGTGGATACATACCGTAAGAACACCTTCGGGGACTTATCCTATGAACTATAGGTAGCGCATCGTGTTTTCTAGGTTCGCGGAGTAACGATACACCGCGCAAGCCTGAGCATCGCTGCGGACGGAAAGCGGTGCTCCCCCAACTTGTTGTGTTGGATGGAGGCGAAAGCTCCGGGGTCAGCAGGGAGATTGCCTGGAGATTGCCTCGGGAGTCGTCTGATGTTCCTGCATACATGGCCTCCTCATGGCCGTTGGCAGTGCATTGGAGGTGGCAGCTCCGCAATCCGAAAGTCAACTCAACTTGAAGGGTACCTTAATACTGCGCACGGCCGCGGTTAGCAGGGTCGCCGAGTATGGGCGTCTATGTTATGTACTACGGGCTCGGCGCTACGCTACGCCCGCGAGCTCTGGAACTGTCGAACTTGGCACGAGGCGGGCGGTGGCTTGTTGTGCGTACGCGCTGCGGGAGCCACGTATGCGCTTCGCGTGCTGTGGGGACTGAGCTCTGCGGAGGGAGCAGTTGGCTGTGCATTGAGGTTCAGCGGGGACTTCGGAGGAGTGCATACGAGGCCCCAGAAATTTGTGCGCACCATTCGCGGCTTGAGCTCACTTGTGAGTTGGGAACGTGTTTAAGAAGAGAGAATGAGTCGTACGCCTTCGTGTACGGGGCCGCAGACCTTTGAGAGCTTAGAGCACCACCTACATTGGGGTTGACGCGTCCCGCAAACTTGAGTCAAGCAAAGCCATGTCACTCCTGGTTCTAAGTAAAGCCGCGTCAGCCTAAATCCATTGAGTCGCAGGTAGACCCTGAGCACGTACCCCAGTAGCCCAAGAATGATGTAGAAGGCAGCACAGGAGACTAGCCGCAGCACGGCGGCATTGGGCTGAACATCTGCCCGCTCGACGTCAGCCTACACTCAACACAGACACAGACCACCCCAGAAAAGGGACACCCCCCCTCATGTCAGAGTGATATGGCCGAGGAATGACATGTGTAACGAGCAGAAGCCCAAGAGGCCGAACAGAAACTGGAACGTGAAACGCACCAGACGACGCCAGGGTGCAGGATGAACGGTGCCCCCCGCGAACATGATCACACCATCATCATCACAGTAGCACGGATGTCATTGTCAAGCCAGCGAGAAGCGCGAACCCCGAGCGGGCGCGCACACGCAGCCCATGCAGGCCCGGGGTGTGCGGGTCCGGGTTGTGTGGTCGTTCGTCGTTGGGGGCGAGTGGTGCTGCGAACGGATCCTCCGCATGCATGTGGTGCTCGGGTGATGTGCCTGGGACACCCCAACGCATACACAGCGCTCAGTGGAGGTCTGTAAAGAAAAGAGGGGCTGCGAGCACTCATCATGGTATGAATGGGTGTCAAGGGGCCCGAGAATGCCTTCGAGCGTCGCGCTGCGAGCTCCGGAACCGGCGGGGCGCAGCAGCAGGCGGCGGGCCCGGAAGTGGGTTCAGCCAGAGCGCGATGCGCCCCATCTTGGGCTTCTACCCGTCCGCAGGCCTAGCGAGGGAAGCGGAGGGCGTAACCCGAGCGTTGCAAATGGAGCTGTGAATGGCCGAGTGCGTGCGCGGACGCTGAATTCCGACGACGGAGCCTGGTGCGCGGGCGTCGTCCGCCGGAGGACTGGCAAAGCGGGCCCGTGACACAGATCCAGCGAGCTCCAGGAGCTGGGGATCCGTCCGAGGGCCTGTAGTGCATGAGGTAAGCAGGTGCAATATGTCCTGGTACGGGTACGGGGACTAGATGAGTGGACGCGCGTACCTTCGGGCATAGTTGCTACACGTCGCATCTGCAACCCGGAGGATGGAGAACGAGTTGTCTGCAGTCATGCATTGAAGTCAGCGTGTGCAATATGTCCCCGTACGGGTACCAGACGAGTGGACGCACGTACCTTCGGACATACCCCAGACGTATCGCATCCGTACAAGCCCGGAGGACGAACACAGCGGACTCTACCGCGCAGTCACGTCTTCAAGCTCCAGTAGGTCCGAGATCTCACCTGAATTGCCAAAGGAGTCAGCCATATGGGGCGCAAAGCCCCGTGCAGCGCAGAAGCTGACGAATCCCGCACTTACACACTGCAGTACATGCGTACATACTCGCTCGGCGCGCGCTGCTATTGCGTCCGCGGCGGCCGCAGCGATCTAGGACCACCTACACAGCCAGCGGCTCCCTGTGCGCCTCGATGGTTCATAGGCGCGCGCTCCCGCGGCCGCGGGTGCCCTGTAAGAGCCACTAGCTAGCACCGCCAGTGACGCGCACGACGTGTTGACAGCGGGGCCGAGCGTAGGCCTGCGCCGACATGCACGCTCGGGCTGTCACTGCGGCCAGTCGATATCGGAATTCAGGAGACGCACAGGATGATGATGTCATAGCGTACCTTCCGACTCCGAGGCGCCTCGCACACGCGCAGTGACGAATGCGAACGCTGACCTGCAGCTTCTTGCATGCTGCTGAGTGTGAATGCTGCCCATTCATTGGCATTCGCGTTCGCCGGTCGGCCTTCTGCCCGACGGTGTGATGCGGTACGCTATGGAAGTCAGCAGGGAGGTGAGGAAGGAGTACGGAGAGCTAACTCAGCCGGGCGTGCTTGGTAAGCCCGTATGGCATCGCGAAGAGCACGCAGCTGTAGAGAGAATTCCGAGTCCGAGTTCTCCGGGGCGCAGTGTGGGGAGCGCCGCCGAGAAGAGCGCACATATGCGTCGAGGATCTTCGTGGCGTTCGCAAGTCCACTGGGCCCGGAAGCAAAGTCGTTGTGGCAAATCGACACCGTGCAGGCAAGATTCGTACGCTGGATGTGGGCGCCCGGCACGGGTATAGATGTGCCCGGGTGCCGGTGTATATGCAACGAAGTACTGCGAGAGTTCGTATGCTGGACTGCCCCCGGGGGCAGCCCCGGGCACTTGAGGCGATAGAGAGGCCAAGGAGGTCATGACGCGTCTGAAATGCCGATGTGAGTTCCTCTCCGCACGGAAGCATATGCTGCCCTCTGTCAGGCAGCACGAGGCCTCGCGCACAGCTCGCGTGCGCCGTGCACCCGTACGCTCGCCGTCCGATCCCCCCGCCGCTAAGTGACGTCGTCCGGGCGAAGCTGCGTCCAGCGCTGGGCACAGTAAGCAGCCGCACGTACTTACACACCCGAAGGTTCAGCGTGTCGCCCCCCAGGCGTGTGCGCGTACGGCATCCGAGTCCTGGCGTGCACAATCGAAGCCGGGCCTCGCGGTCCCGCGGTGCAGGCGTCGAACAAGAAGCCGAGAGCTTGATCCTCGAAGGGCGCATCTGCTTCCATGCTCGAGTGTGTGCATTGCCGCGCGAGGACAGATCCAGCCCAGCGTCCGAGGAGGCTCGGTGGCATCGTGCGAGCGTCCGCCGTCAAACTGTATACCGCGGGCGGGTGCGTTCGCAGGCCAGGTCAGCACGAGCACAGCCAGCCATCCGGATTCCGAAGGTTCAGGCTCAGGCCGGCATTGTTGGCAGCGTATCAGCCGCGAACACCACGTAGCACGCCGTGGGCTGTGTACGCTTCGCGTCGCCCCGTGTAGATGTGGTGCGAGAGCGGACATGGTCACGGTGCGTGTGCGCACGGCGAGGCGGGGCTTCGACGTCAGCTTAGCGTTCGGGCGACGTCGGACGAATCCGCCTAGCGAGGGATTTGGCAAAAGCAAAGCGGAGCACTGCGCGTGGCCAATGACCGAGTTCGAAAGAGCGCACGAGACTCATGTAGTGGGACGTAGCAGTGCAACTGCAAGCGGGAGTGCCTGCATGACGGGCGCATACGTAGCCCAGGAGCGCAGGCTCCCGCTCCAGGGACTGCAGCGCCCGCCCGCGCACCCGATCAAGCACACGTCCCGAAGCGGCGAGCGCACCCCAGCGCGCCGGCATCGATCACCCCAGATCACTGACTAAGCCGCGTGCACGATCTCCCGGGCTCAGCCGATTCCCCCAGATCAGATCGCCCCTCGATCGCATTTGGTCTGCAGCAAGGGCGTGCGGCGGCTGGGCCAGGTGTGGGTCTGGGGGCGGGCGGTGGAGGTGTGGCGCTTCGACGGGGGTTCGTGAAGGTGCAGGTAGGTCTATGGTGGGGACGCTAGCTAGGTTTGACAGCTCGCTGGAAATTGGGTGGAATGTGCGAGAGGGTGCGTGTGTTGACTTGTGCGGACGTGGCTGACGTAGACGAAGCGGTGTTCGAAGGATGCGTAAGGCTTCGGCGCACAAAAATTGAACGGTGAGTCGAGCAGTTACCTGAAACCTCCGAAGAGAACGTCTACTCATTTCGAGTCAATGCAGCAAACCTAGGATCGTCGAAAATAGGCAATTGGATGAAGTACACGTATGTTCTGCCATTTACCAACATTGAACACCTCGTCTTCGGTCTTCGGTCCTCGGCCGTCGGTTGCGCCCAGATCGGAGGCGCACCCCTCCCCACGCCCGCACGAGGCACGCTGTGCCGCCGCCATCGCCGGAGACGAACGGCGCTGACGTCGTGGGAGCACAGGCGCGATGCGGGAATGCCGCCGCCGCCGCCGCATGCTACGCGACGCCCGCCTTAAAGCCCACCCTAGGCGCGTCCGCGATGGGACGCTGGGCGCTCGCAGGAGAGTTAGGGTTCGCAGCGGTGGATCAGTGCGCGCGGAGGTGGATGCGTTGCGACGGCGACGCTTGACATGATTACGGTGGTCTGCCTGCGCGCAGACGTTCAGGCGCTGCTTCGTCGACGACGGCGTGTGGTTGCGTGTTACGGGAGGGCGGCCTGCGAGGCGCGTCAACGTACTTACCTATGCAGGGTCCGTTTCCGCACGCGCGGCGAGCTGCTGGGCAACGCATGGAAGCGCGGACCCCGCCCCTTCTCCCAATACGCCAAGTTCGTCTTCGCCTTCGACCCCGCACCCCACAGCGAAGAACTAAGAACGAATCCTCCATAGAGTCCCTGCAGAACAACGAATACCGAAGGACGGCGGCGGGCCCGCGGGTCCCGGGGTGCCGCAATACACAAGCCCAAGTCAGTCCTCTATCACAGCCAGATCTGCAGCAGGGTGCATCCCATGGGGCGGTATTCCCTGCGCGGACGCGTCCGCGGCCTCGCAGCAGGCTAGAAGCGGGCGTGCCGGCAGGCGGGAGTCGCCTTGTGGGACGGCGAACAAAGGAGTGCGCTCAGAGGGGAAGCTGCTTTGCTGGGCTCGGGTGGAGGAAGCTCGGAGTACAAGAGTGGTACGTGAAGCCGCAGGTACGCGACGGCCGCATATCGTCCGCGGCTGCACAGCACAGCACGGCGAGCTCAAGCGGGTGTACGCACACGGACATAAGGATGCCTAAGGCGAGCCGGGCTCGGGCAGGCCTGGACGCCAGCTGTGGAGCTGAGATCCAGATGGGACGCTATAGATACACACCCTCAGCGCGGTAACTCTCGGGAGCCTGGGCGGGATGCATGTGTGCACTATGCAGAGCTTAAATGGAGTTCCATCGTGCTTGGCTAAGGGCTTCGGGTTCGCGGGTTCGAGTTCGTGCACAGTTACCCGCGAGTACGGGCACATACGCGCCGACATCAACGTTAGCTTCGGTGTCAGTGTGCTTGATGAGATGTTGACGGCCGGAGAAGCCACTGCAGCTGCGCCCCGCGGACGGGTCTTCGAGTCGTACGAGGGGCGGGTGCGGGCACTGGTAAGGCACCGGGGAAATGTGGCGGTATCCGTGTGTAGCGGTCTTAATCGAGCCTCCCGAATCTCAGAACCTGCTCCTCTGCGGGTGCGTCCCACGGTGTGTTCGGGGCCTTCTGGGCGGATATGTGCATGTATGCCCAGACGAGTCCCACCTGGGATCGCACGCGTGGCTGGTGCTTCTGCTACCTTTGTCCCAGGTGGGCAGACGGTCAGATCACAGGGCCCGACAGTGTACTGTACGCGGGATATTGTGCGGACTCGCTCCGACAGATGGGCTACGACGCCGTGCGGGAATCAACGTTCTGAGTCTGGGTCCAACAGCGGGCGCCGGAGGACCTATGAGCGGTACGAATAATACAGCTGTCGCGGATGTAAGTCAAGGATGCCCGTCTTATAAGACTGAGACTGACCCGGGCAGAGATGATATATGATTGAGTATATTGAGTGATGTACAGCATTGGGGATCGTCGAGGTGGACGCCAACACCCGATCGAGCCCTGATCACAGCTTGCACCCATCCTACTTGCGAAAGTCGATTTGTGACCGTTGACAACGATGGCGGTAGAAATGTCGCAGATCCTGTCAGGGTGAGTGCTGTCGGCATCAATCCCGCTTGTATCTCCGTACGGCGTCCACACGACGTGCGCCAAATGGCTGTGTAGCCGCTGCAACAGACCCGCTCCCGCTCCCGTGAGCACCGTTCAAGTCTGCAGGCGCCGTGCCGTACGCTGCACATGCCCCATCCGCATTGCAAATCATCCAGCAATGCCGCAACAACTCCCGACACGGCGAGTAGTGAGGGGCGCGCAACGCCCTCTGGGAACATGGAAGCAGGAGTATGGAAGGGGCCCGGAGGCAGGCCCGCACACCCGAACGCCCGCCCGCTGGAGTCTGCCGCCGCCGAGGAGCGCGAGGTTGGGGCACGATGATCACGGCAGGGGCCCGGCGTGGTAACGCAGGCAACTCATGAGACTGGCCACCTGGCGCGCACTGCAGGCGGCGGAGCACAAGGCTGCAGACAGGGCGCGGAGCTGCTGGCCGACGACGGCGCGCAGGGCTTCCCGAAGCGGGAACTCGGACCTGTCTACGGGCAGCGCTGTGTGCTAGGTTATAGCTATAAACTGCATCGCGGGTGGATCGATGGGCTTCCGCGCTAGCTCTGTCATGGGCAGCGCGCGCCCTCCAGCTCGGCGTCCGGGAACCTACGCAAATGGGCGGCCCACGCGGTTGTGCACCGCTGCCAACCACACGACGGACAGAGAAGGGGCGCGCAGACGGAAATGGCTCTAGAGAGCGGCCAGAGATCCGCGCAGGGGGCGCGGCTGTGTGGGTTCGTTCGGGGTGTGCACCCGCGGCGGGCGGGGGATGGGCGCGACGCCCGCAGCGGAAGCAGGCGCTCTGACAGACGGGGGCCTCATCCGTGCAGCCGCGCACGGGCGATTGGCTGGGTGCGGGTGCGGGTGCGCAGGCGCACTTGGCTTGTCAGGCAGGCGTTTCATGGCGGTGTGCAGACGTCGCGGACGTGGGCGAGCAATGTTAGTGGTGGCCTGTGGCCGTACACGCAGGCCGAGACTCGTGCACGGATCGAGCCCGTGCAGGTCCGACTCGGGAGGTGCTGTCGCTGAGGGCGGGGCGAGGCGCAGGGCTATTCTGGACGCGAGGCGGCGGTGGGCTGAGAGCGTAGGTATCCGGGTGGTGCGGCGTCGTGGACCGCCTCAAAGTCAAAGGAGGATGCGCAGGCCGCGGTTCGCAGGAAGTACGTATACCTACTGTGCACATCGCAGAACGTCCACGTCGGCCGGGGCGGACGAATCTTCCGGCTGCGTCGAGTGCTCGCTCGTGAAATGGGCGCACCGCCTCGGGGCTCCTCGACGTCGTGCTGAGTGAGCGCAGCGCGAGGACGAGCGGGGCGGGCGAGGGGAGGCGTGCCTCGGAAGGACGGCATTACCGAGCGGCGGGGCAGGCGCCGGGGGCCAAGCAGCCGGATCTGGCGGGGGCTGGGTACGGGTCTGGGGGTGTTTGGCGCTGCTTGGGGGCAGCGAGGGGTGGTGTGATGGGAGATCCCGATTTGGCGAAGGGGTCGCCGGGGGTGGGACCGGCCGCTGGAGCGTATATTATGGATGCGGCCCCAGCGCGGATCTGAAATCCCAATCCCATCCCCTCCTCCTCCATCCGTTTCCGAGTTCCCGTCCTCGCTCCTCCGTCCCCTCTGCGCACCGCGCACCCACTCCTTAAAGTCCTCGCACTCCCACTCGGCCCTCTAGACGTCTCCCGTGTCCCGCCATAGACTTGCGCTTAACGACCGATCTCCACTCGCACGACGACTTTCCGCCAACCCAGCACCGCGACGGCAACTTCTACTCCCCCGAGAACTCCCTCTGCGATGGCTACTGCGCAGCCGATCTCCTTTCAATCTGCTGAGCAGCAGGACTTCAACATGGGCTCGGGCTCGTTCACTGGGACGAACGGGTCCTTCAACCCCTCCTCATACACCAAGCACCTCATTGGCTCCCCCTTCTCATTCCGAGGGGGCTCGTATGGCAGCCGCTTCTACCCTGGCATGTCCCCTGGGCAGCTCCTTGGGCCATTAGAGTGAGTACTCATATCATCTTTCGTCTCGTTTGCGCGAGTGCAAGGTCGCTTGACCAAGCCTCACGCGAACATCCTTTTGCAATATCCTACTTCTACATATATGCTGACACATCCACTCCAGTCCGAACGACTTCAAGTTTGGCAAGATGTCATCGTCGATCGAGAGTGACAGGGGCTCCATAGTGAACGCCCTCCATGTGTTCGACAGGCAGGACGAACTTGTACGTCGATCATTTTGCTTTCCTCCCGACCTAATCCCTGATATGGTGGCGTCGCAGGCGCGAGACTACACTTGCTGCGGTCTGAACTTGAACGACTTGCATGCGCTCGTCGATCACTTCGAGGAGTGCCATGTCGTCGTCCTCGACCCATATGCTCCCCAGCAAGCCATCGCACAAGCGAACGGCACGTCCTCCCACCCTGCGTCTGGCGCACAACGCTCGGTGTCGTACTTCCCCGACGCGAACGGTGTGCCTTCGAACCAACAGTCGGGTCCTCAGCAGCAGTCAATATCATACCAAGGGTTTGATCCCGATGATATGGAATTGGATGTCGACCAGAACCAAAGTGCGCCGTCTTCCGGAGCGCCTTCGCCTCCCGACACTCCCGTGTCCACTCCCCTCAACTCCTACCCCTCGTACTCCCACTCTGCGCTCCCCTCCCCCGCGCTTGCTCACGCGAGTCAGCCGGCGTCGCCCATCTCCGCGTTTGACACGACCACCGTCCTCCCATCTCGCGCTCACCACATGAGTGGTTTCCGTTCGAGCGTCGGTGGCTCCGGCTCCGGTTCTGGTGCACGCGCTGAGGACGCGTTCAACGCGTACGCGGGCTACTCGGACTACTCGAGCCTACTCCCCGGGACCAACCCGCTCGGTGGCGGCGCGAACACTATGTTCATGCAGCAGCAGCAGAACCAGATGGCGAACATGTCTCTTGGCCCTATGAACGGCAACCAGGCGTCGTGCGCACCTACCGCGCTGCTCCTGTCGAACAGTGCTGGAAACACGCCTGACAGCACTCCCGCGTCGTCCCGTGTCGCGTCGCCCATTCCGGGCAGCTCGACCACGTACCGCAATGTCGCTCCATCTGGTTCGCAGAACGCGCAGGCATCATCATCTGGTGCGTCGTCAAGTAACGGGTCTGGCTCGAACCCCGCGAGCCCTTCGACGCCCCGCGCATCCACCACCCTCTCGCGCCCCGCGTCATCGCTGCTCCTCTCGAAGCCGTTCCGCTGCCCCAAGCCGAACTGCAACAAGAGCTACAAGCAGGCGAACGGCCTGAAGTACCACATGACGCACGGGTCTTGCAACTTCGCGCCCCCCAAGGATCTCGAGCACTTGCAGGAGCTCCTTGCGAGCAAGCGTAGCGAGAAGGCAGCGAAGGCTGGCGAGAACGGTGCGGTCGCGACCGAGGCAGAGGTTACCTTGAGCGACGCCGAGTTGAGGGAGGTCGAGAAGGAGGCTGAGCGGAGACTCAGGCCGTATGCTTGCGGTGTTGGTGACTGCCAGAGGAGGTACAAGAACATGAACGGCCTAAGTGAGTATATGTATGCCCCCCTTAGGGCGCAAACAGTCACTAACGAACATTTACAGGGTATCACTACCAGCACTCTGGCGACCACGGCGCGATCGGACTTGCGCTTCTTGCGAGCGGGCAGCACGAGTGTCTCCAGCACAACAAGAGTCACTCGCGGCATGCGACGCCCTCGCAGCCCGCGACCCCTTCGCAGCCGTCGCCTCGCTCGCCGACGACCCCTTCTAGTCAGTCGTCGTTCGCGCAGCAGCAGTCGTCCGCGTTCGCACAGCCGCCGACCTACCAGAGCGCGTCGCTCAACCCGCCGACGTACGCGTACCAGCCGAGCGCGAGTCAGCAGTTCGCGCAGCAGCAGGCGGCCCCGCAACCCCAGCAGCAGTACACCCAGGCCCAGTCACAGCCGATCCCGCAACAGCAGAGTCAGCACTACTCGGCTCAGGGCTTCAATATGATGCAGCAATAATCGCCGCCGTCCGCTGCTAGCCCTCTTCCTCATGTGTCCCGATGGATTGCTCCGTGCTCCCGGCTACCCTAGACATCAACCGCTCTCACGTCCGTCACTGCACGACCCGCCCGCCCTGGATCCCGGCAGGCGCAAAAAAGTACAGACACAGCACGCGTCAGCGGCGTACATAATGCAGTCTCTCTCATCGCGCGTCCGTCTCTTCCCATCCTTGTTTGTGTCCGTTCGCCTCTGCTCCATGATGATTTCCCTACTCCGTGTTTTCCGTCTGTCTCCCCTCCCAACCAGTGTATAATCGATAGTTTCACTCGTTCGCGTTCGTTCCCGGCGTCCCGGTCCCAGTCCCGTCCTCTCTGCTCTTGCACTGCTCGACGCTCACATATCCCGGTCGAGCTCCATGATTCTCATTACACTCCTCCCCTTCACCCCGTAATATAGCCGCCCCTCCTTCCTTCCCTTCCCCGCCCCACCCACGTTCCCACTCCATCTCGCGCTCTTCTTGCTGGTTCGCCCGTTTCGCCCCCCGCTGCTGGGGTCTTATAATACTAGTGTGTCCACTACGATGACTCTCTCTATCCCCTACGCGCGCGACCGTACCGTTTCGAATCCGCTCGTTACGCACGCGCAAAAAGTACATATCGCACTCAACACGACACATGAAAAAGTAGGGTACGCTAGCGCATTACGTGGTCTCTTCTCCCGTCTCTCCGTCTCTCTGTTTTTCTCGATATCTGTCTACGTTACGATACATGCACGGCCATGGGGCGCGCGCGGATCGAGCGACTGGTGCGCGTCCGCGGCGCCCGCCCTCCCCGACCCCTGTACGCTATGTTACTGCCAGCTCCTCCCCGCTTGATGCAATGGAGTAGATGTTTTCCATTTTGAATCGGTGCGCCGTGTGTGTCGAGCGATTGGTTGTTCCAGTGCCAGACCCCAAGGGCGCAGAGTGAGAACGGGGGCGTCGGTGCTATCGCGCTGCCTGCGGCACGACGCCCCACATCCGCGTCGCGCGCACCGCCCGCGCTCCGCACGGACCCACTCGCGTCCTGATCTCGGGGCGACTGGATCCACTGTACGCGAATGTGGGGGGCTAATGCGTCGGGGGTAGTCGCGGTCGCGGGCGTCCTGTGCGTTTTAGTACTCAGGGTCGAGGGGTCGGGGAAGTGAGGTACGCCGTGTAGAATGAAACGTTCAAGCTTGTTCGACGTCGACGCGCCAGGGGGCGCTAGGGCGGAGAGCAGCCTGGTCGCGCTCGCACACTGAGAGGGACGGTCGATTCAGGGGCAGCACGGCGCGCCGCGGGGGAAGCCGTCGACATCGACATCGACCATCGCACCGCGCGACAGCACCCAGCAGCGTCCTCGTCTCCGGCTTCGTCTTCGAGTTCGCTCTTGCTTCGCGCTCCGTATGTGCAGATTGCTGCGGAGGAGACTCGTGGCAGCACGTCCCCGCTGCACCGCTTCCGAGTCGAACCTTCTGACTTCTGCCTGCTGTCGCCCGTGCCCGTTATTAACGTACACGCTATCTGTGGGAGATCGCACCACCATCGAGCTCGAGAATCCGGATAGCACCAGGCTCCAGCATGCATTGACACCTCGCGCGTAAGTCGCCAACGGGCAATGACAATGGGCGAGTGGGCCCCGTGCACGGCGCCGTCGGGTAAGCGCGATCGATAGCGGCAGCACATCGCGTCCCGACGACCCGCGAGGACCGTCCCGTCGTCGCGTGTGCCGCGCGCGGCTCCCCGAGGCTCCTTGCGGTCGGCCCTCAGGGAACGCTGCTTCGCTTCGCAGGGTTCGCTGCGTGCCCCGGCACGGCGATCCTGCAGGCTGCGTGGCGTGCAGAGCGTAGTCAGATGGCGCCACAGATGAGATGGGGATGAGGAAGAGGAGGGATCGGCCGGATGGGGCGTGTGCGGGCACACCCGCGTCTTCGGGCGGATGGTCCGCGACGCCGTGGCCCGTGGGTGCGCGATGGGTAGGTGCGCTGCCACTCTGGTGTTGCGTCGCAGTTCAAACTCTGCGTGTCGTCGGGGCGGCGACCGTCGTCGTATCGACATCCGACGTGTAGCTCGTGGCGCGTCCGCGTTCGGGCGATCGCCAGGGAACACGAAGGCGAGAGTGGCTCTACGGACGGCCGCGGCAGTAGCAGCGACGGCAGCGGTAGCAGGGCGGCGGATGCGACCGCGAAAGGCTGAAGCTTCAATCCGAATCGTCCGCAGGCTCCTAGCTAGCCCCAGCGTAGTACGAGATCCATGCGGCGACAGTGAGAGACTCGGACAGCGGGGTGCGCGTCGGCCGCGTGCTGCGCAACGTGCCCGGACGCGTGTCTGGCAGGTGGGAACGACGGGCGCGAGGCAGTCACGGGGTCCATGCACGAGAACGCAAGCCAGCAGCCGGGGAGACGCAGAGAGGCAGGCGGAGATGCGAGCCAGAGTGACGGCGGGGGAGAGCGGGAGCAGTGTCGAGCGTCCGATTAGGGGCACAGCGGAGTCGAAGCGGGATGCGCGCGGGCAAAGTCAAGAGGACGCGTCTCATGTCCCATGTCCGGGGATGCTGATGAAGGGCAGTCCCGCATCGGGCAGCGCAGGCGCGAAGAAGTGTGCGCGTGCACGTCCTTCTGTGCGGAGAAGGCGCGTGTCGGAGCGGAAGGAGGCGTACTGCGCGGGAGGAGGTGGGGGCGCGCCTGGGAACGCATCAACACGCGTGGGGCGAGCGTGGACGCGAGCGCACAGGAATGCGCGGGGAGCGATATGAATAGCGGGCGGCGCCGAGCACACCCCATCGTTCGGGCGAAGTTGTCAGATCGCGCGAGAGCCTCGGGCGCAGCAGTGCGGGCGTGTGAGGAGGGGGAGGAGATGGGCAAGATGGGTGAGATTGGGGCCGGCCATCCCCAGGATGGGTGGAACGCATCTGCCATGGCAGGACTGGGGTCAGAGCAGGAAGCGGTGGGGGTGCATGTTGTGCGGGAAATGGGTTGAACCATGGATAGAGAAGGGGACAGGTCGTGGTACCATGAGAGACGCGGATGCAGTAGCACAACAAAACAAGCTCGTTACAGCACCAGGAGATGGAACAGTGATCACGAACATAGTCATATTGGAATGGAAGACCATCCAGAGCATGAGCGTGAGCCAAGACGAAGGCAGTGAGACAAGCAGAAGTCGTATGTTCACGATATTGAAAGCGGGTGAGGCGAGTGTCTTGTAGTCGGTGGGCAAGGGGAGCAGTGGTATTCGACCCCATCTTGCACGTTGAGATTGAGTCGAGTTGAGATAGACTTCTATCTCCAAAGATGGAATCTAAGGGGTTCTATCAGCGAGGCGGAGCCGCACATACTCACCTAGCAGGTACAGTACTGTCGGCTTCTAGCGCGGATGATGCGACGAGACCGGAGGTACAACCTCGGGCGTTAAACAGGTTGATACTAGCAGTCGAAGCCCCGGAAGGTTTGAATTGGGCGGTTTGATGTAGCGTCGGAGACGGCTGGGAACGACGCGGCCCTAAAGGTTGCGGAACATGGATTTGGAGCGGAGAGAGTGGCTGCTTTCTTTCCGACGGTTTTAAAGGTAGTCATTTGTCCACGGCATCAGTTGTAGGGCTCTGTAGATGCAACGGTACGCACCTGGATCGCATTACGCCCGCGTTCCCTGCGTATGGGCGAACACCTACGGTTCAGATAGCACAAGAACGATGTCGACATGCAAAACGAATCCCGGTGTCCTCTTTACTGGCGCCACGCGTCGTTCCAACTACAGATGCGGAGGGTTTTGCGAGCGCCGGGTCCTAAGCCCACATCCTATGGGAACGGGGACGGGCAAAAGGTTGGAAGAAGGGACCAAGGACGGTCGACGAAGAGCATAGGTTGAACCCTGCAGCTGTAAATCGTCACAAAACCGAATCGTGCATTGAACACGCTTGCACGTCGTTGCGGAGGACTATTGCGTATCTGCTAGACATACATTAGTTTCGCTACGGAAGGGCTAGTAGACAATCATGGCGAACCTGCTACCAGACAAGTCGGTGCTCTGGCATGACGTCCAGGCCGTGGTATTACGCGCAGCACACATTCCATACCTGCGTGTTTGAGCTTGGTGATGATTGAGTCCTGATAGTGTTGACATGTAGAACGGACGTTGGTGCCCTAGTTGCGAGCGCCACGCGTCGTTGCATGATTGGACAAGTAGACGCGTTCTGCACGAGAGTTTTTGCAGCGCGCGGTGCCCTAAGCCAAAGCGCAACATTGGCATGAGACAGTGGATATCGACGGTAAGAAAGGTATATCGAGACACACCTAACGGCAGATTGTGTGCCCCCGCACCGTCGACTGCAAGATGTCATTAGTAATTGTCGAGGAGTACCTGCATCCGATGGGGCATGCAGCGGCGGTGGAGCACACGACCATATATACAAGGGCCTAAGGATATGAGTTCTGCTGATTGTGTTAGACCGGGCACGGGAATGGGGTGACGGTTCGGGAGTAGAGTAGAGGGGAAGAGTTAATTGTCGGGCGTTGGTGGCGCCCTTGACATAGCGTCGCGAAGAAGTTGACATGTGGATATAAAGCTACTAAAAGGATGGACAATGCAAAGATGTTGCTCTGAAAGTATATGGTGTCGCATATACGATCTTCAACATACAATGAAAAAATAGAAACGCGCCCCAGGTGTCGAAGCACCATTCAGCGCCACGCGATGGGCCAGTGAGTATTGAAGAGCCAACGCGGAGGCACGGCAATCTATAAGACAAGACAAGTAGAACCAGAGACCAGAAGGGGGGAGTCTACAGAGAGGAGGATGGAGGATGGGGGGGGGAGGAGAATAAGAACAGAAAATTTCTGGGTTCTGTGCGTCCGAGTAGGCGAGGCGGCTACGTCGGCACTCTCCGGCATTATTGCCTTTTTAGGACAGAAGTGTGTAGTTCGGAGGTGGCGGCGCCTCAGGCTCCTACCCATCCGCCGTTTCGAGGTAAGGGGATAAGTCCTGCAGCGTACACAGGCTGAATTCCGACATACCGTATGTTCAGCGCTTACCACTGTACTGTATCACGTGCACACTCCTTTGAATCTTATTTCCCCTTACCTCTCCACGGCGGCTGGCACCAAACGTCTGTAAACAACGGGGCTCGGTGATGTAGCGCCCACATCCGACCCCATTTGGTAGGCCATCAACTAAGGGCGCTTCCGAATTCTCGAAATTCTCGTTCTCGCGTGCCGTCGCGCGAGGTCGCGCGTCGTGCACACCGCGCGCGCAGCGAGCTCGCGGCTCGCCCTCGCCCTCGCCCTCGCCCTTCCACAATTTTTTCTGACTTGACTAGCGTGCACTTTGCTATGCCCGGCAGCATTGTACAAGTGGACTGCGCTGCGCATTTTCTTTTCCCCGATGGTCGAAATCACCTGTCAGTAGTAGTATTACCTCCTCTTGCTTCAATCCTTGGATTGACCTGTTCTCAGCGTTGGTACGACCCCAATGAATCTCAAAATCTATTCAATTTGTGACCTTAACAACGTTTTACCACATTCTCGTGTGCGCGCGCGGCCGCTTTCTCAACGTGCACATGAGTAGTACGCACTATTACACGCTAGTACCTGCACATGCCCCAAACACTCGCGCCGCGGCGGTGTGAGGCCTCGCGCGGACACATTCACGTCCGATTCGCATTGTAAATTTACTCAAGTACGTCCCGAGCAGGATGCGGCTGCTTTAGTTGGGTTTGTGGTGACTCCGGGTACCATGTTCTGGCAAGGTAGTTCAGTGACTGCTTGCCGAGGTTGTGTTGTGTGCAGAGTCCGGAACCCTCCAGTAGCCCCGCGCACGCGTACAGACTAGCTTGAAATGAATATACCTCTACACTTCACGTGCTAAATGTCAGGAAACATGGGACTCGAGCCGCGAGCTCGCTGCGCGCGCGGTGTGCACGACGCGCGACCTCGCGCGACGGCACGCGAGAACGAGAATTTCGAGAATTCGGAAGCGCCCTTAGTTGATGGCCTACCAAATGGGGTCGGATGTGGGCGCTACATCACCGAGCCCCGTTGTTTACAGACGTTTGGTGCCAGCCGCCGTGGAGAGGTAAGGGGAAATAAGATTCAAAGGAGTGTGCACGTGATACAGTACAGTGGTAAGCGCTGAACATACGGTATGTCGGAATTCAGCCTGTGTACGCTGCAGGACTTATCCCCTTACCTCGAAACGGCGGATGGGTAGGAGCCTGGCGGCGCCTCCGTCTCCTCCTTCAAGTTGAACTTCACTCTTTCGACACCAACCTCTGATATTTGCAAACTGTCTGTCGTCAATATTGTGACGTGGAATCAGCGTCGCAAGCTCTGTGCCCCTGTCCGCGGTTGTTGTTAGATACGACGCTGAAAGCAACGTGACAAGTTTGGCATGCTGATGATGCATCGTTCAAGTCGCCAACAGAAGTCTGAAACAGTAAGAAATGCTTTCTCCAGTTTACACCGTTTCATTCCTGAATAACATGCTACCTATAATCAGAGGATCGTCGAACCCGCCACATGCCCCGGGCTGAGCTCAGGTTCACCGCCAGTAAGGTTCAAATGCCGAGCAGATGCTCCCAGCCAGGCATCCAGTGGCCTGCATGATGAACTAAAGTAATGCCACCGCGGTACTATTGACTCAGGCACCGTTATAAACAGTCTCCGGAGGTATCGTGATCCTCAACAGCTCCCAACGGTTCAAAGGATGGCAGAACTCGTACTGCTGACCAACTCACTTAGTTTGCGCCAAAGGGAGTGACTCTTTAGCAGACGCCCTTTCCGCACAAGCAAGCGGTGCGCTACGCTGCCCCGAATACCACTGGGTCGTACGCTGCCGTTCTCAGTCTACCCGGTCTTCTCCGAGGCATGATTCTTCCCATACTGCAACTTCTCACACTGGATCTCCTCGTGTGGCTGAGAACACCGTACAGAACTGTTCAACATGAACTGATCGGAAGTACGAGGTCTGTGCTGCTTGCCTGCGTAATGTCTACCGATCTGACAGGTTTGGATGACAACAGCTCCCCGGATAAAAAATGCTGGAGTTGGTTGTTGTCAAAACGGGTGTATGCTTAGGCTTCCCGAAGCACTGACCGGAAAGCAGGCATCACGAAGGGTTCTTATGCCGGTTGCGTTTTCCCGCACGGAAACGTGACCTCCTTACGCATCTTACGGAGACATCCGCGTTGCCACGTCTGCAGACGTGCATGGCGTCCGCGCCTATCCTCCGAAACCTCACGATTGCAGAGGAACTCTCTGTATGTGCCAGTCACTTCCGTCGTGCATTGCATATAACTGAGACGCTATGGCGCGAGTCACCCATTGGGAGGCGGCACGTCTCGGAACGGCTCCCGGCGGTTATGGAACAGACGGCTCGCGTTGCAGCTTGTTACACGACGCGGCCGCTCACTGGTGACGCTTCTCGTCCACATCCTGCCCACAGAAAGGGATGTGGGGTGCCTCTTCCTCCGAGTTTCTCCATGCTTGCAATCCAATAGCTAGCATCACGCCATGGTGGACGCCTCAACCCCCGCGCCCTCCGGTCCTAAAGGTATAAAGGCCCGTCGAATTGTAAGGGCAAGGGCACCGCCCTACAAACCAGCCCTGCCCATATATCACTTGCAGCAAAATGATCCCCACATCTTCCTCTACCAGCTTCTACAAGTGAGTTGTATTCCCTCCCCCATGATATTGGCTGCGTGTTGACTTTTCACTGCGAAACGTCAGGGAGCCCGAGTTCGAGACTATCCAGCTCCATGCTGGACAGGAGGTCGACTCTGCCACGAACGCACGTGCGCCGCCCATCTATGCCAGCACTAGCTTCGTCTTTAACAACTCCAAGGTATGCCATCTACGCCGTTTCCGCATATACCGCCTTTTTCTCACCGTTGCCTCGCTCGACAGCACGGCGCGGATCTGTTTGGGCTGAGGTACGCCGGATTTATTGCCGTGTCTCTGCCCAACCGGGGTCGCTCACCAACGCCTTCTCAGGTCCCTCGGTAACATCTACTCGCGCATGGGCAATCCCACCGTGGTCTGTTATGTGTTCTTTCTCTGCAATGGTCACGGGCTTACATCAAGGTCGTAGAGTGTATTCGAGAGACGCATGGCAGCCCTGGAAGGCGGCGTAGCGGCCGTCGCGACCGCGAGCGGTCACGCCGCGCAATTCATGGCCATCGCCGCTATCTGCCGCGCAGGGGACAACATTGTCTCGTCGTGAGTTTGCGCTGGTTTATGAATGAACTGTGTATCGGCTGAACTGTACCTTGTCTTCCAGGTCCTATCTGTATGGAGGAGTAAGTAACTGACTCTAAGCATCGTCCTTCCGAGCTCATCGTGCTGATTACCGGTCAGACTTACAATCAATTTAAAGGTGCGCATACAAACCCGTCTTGGAAAGTTCCCTGCTCACGTTTCCAATCCCAGTCTTCCTCAAGAAGTTCGCTATTTCCGTCAAGTTCGTGCACGCTCAGGACCCAGCAGCGTTCGCGGCCGCCATCGACGAGAAGACCAAGGCGCTCTATGTAGAGAGCATCGGGAACCCCAAGAACACCGTCGCACCTCTCCCGGAGATAGCCAAGGTGGCACACGATAACGGCATCCCGCTCATTGTCGACAACACCTTTGGTGTCGGCGGTAGGTCCAAGTCCTTGATCGTGTTGCCCATATACTGATGAAGCATACAACCTGAACAGGCTACCTCATCAGACCGATCGAGCATGGCGCCGACATAGTCACTCACAGCGCCACGAAGTGGATTGGCGGGCACGGCACCGTCCTTGGCGGGGTCGTCGTCGACGGCGGTACGCTCCCCTTCCCCCTCCCCTCTCCCTACACGCTAACTCGTACGCGCGCACAGGCAAATTTGACTGGGCAGCGTCGGGCAAGTTCCCCGACTTCACCGAGCCCGCGGAGGGGTACCACGGGATGCGCTTCACCGAGACGTTCGGGCGCGCGGTGCTCGCGGTAAAGTGTCGGCTCGACGTCCTGCGCGACATGGGTCCCTGCATGGACCCCTTCGCGGCGTTTCTCCTCCTGCAAGGTCTCGAGACGCTCAGCCTGCGCGCGCAGCGGCACTCGGACAACGCGCTCGAGCTCGCACGGTGCGTTCCTTCCATTTCCCGTTCTCCAAGTATTCGTGGGACTGGGTGCTGATTAATGGCGGGGCGCGCGGCAGATGGCTAGAACGCCACCCAAAGGTCGCGTGGGTCTCGTACCTCGGGCTGCCCACGCACGAGTCGCACGCGGACGCGCTGCGGCTGCTCCGCGTGCGGCGCGCGTTCGGCGGCATGCTCACGTTTGGCGTGCGCGGCGATGCGCAGGTCGGGAGCGAGGTCGTCGACAAGCTGAAGCTCGCGAGCAACCTCGCGAACGTCGGTACGTCTTCTCCATTTCCTATTCGGCAAATAATGGGGTGCTGATGGATGTGCTGCGGTAGGGGATGCGAAGACGCTGGTTATTCACCCGGCGAGCACGACGCACCAGCAGCTGAGCGCGGAGGAGCAGCTCGCTTCGGGGGTGACGCCTGACCTCATCCGGGTGCGCAGTAGATTTACCCACCGCATGCTCCTCCGCCATACTCATGTTCGCTATTGTCCCAGGTGTCCGTCGGCATCGAGAACATTTCCGACATCATAGCGGACTTCGATAACGCACTGAAGGTCGTGCCGTAAAGCCGGACACGCGAAGATCGGGGCGGACGTGCAGAATTGTATTGAGACAATGAGACACGTAGTGAGACAACATGGAGTGGGGCCCAGGATACAACAAATAGATAGGAAACAAACAGATGAGTAGCGGTAGTAAAAGCAAGCGACAGCCTAGGCTCGTGCACGATATACGACATGACGATACACTGCGAGGGGAGGGAGCGCGTACTAGCGGGGAGACACAAAAACAACGACGAAAGCCCAGAGCATATGGAAGGGCGAGAGAGGGGGTGTCAGCAGAGGGAGGATGATTGAATAAGTAACGGAGCATGCAGGAAAGGGGTGTGAATAACAGAATGATAACCTCGATGCGTAATGTGACGCATAGCCCGCTATTGGTAGTCGGCCAGATCCTCACAGTCGGCCAGTGGCACCAGGCCCTCGGCGGCAGCGTAGTAGTCGAGCTTCGGGAGCACGACGGTGGGGACGACCTTGATCTCGTAGAGCGCAAGCTCCGACGCGGTGAAGGCCTCCTTGGAGTAAACGAGGTCCTTTACGGCGCCGCCGTCTTCCTCGAGCTCGAGCTCAACGGGAATGCTGTGAGGGGAGGGGCCGAAATTTAGCCACCGTGCGCGGTCTCAGGGGGGCCGGACGGAACTCACCATTGGACGATCTCGCCGCTCTTGGCGATGATGTCGATAACGGAGGGGAATATTTTGAGCTCGTCGGAGCCCACGAGGGTAGACTCCTCAGAGTGGGAGTCGACGGAGGGAGCGGACTCCACCGAGGCCTTGTCGGCGTCGGCGCGCCGCTGGAGTTCCTCCTCGATCTCGTCGACGAGGGAGGTATGGATGTCCTCGGAAAGAGGAGCGAGCACGCGCTGAGGGGGGCAGTCAGTAAGGCGCGGCGGGGGCAGAGTAAGCAGTGGCTAAATACCGGAAGGCTTTCCCGCGGGCGACGCTTGGGGAGGTCCTTCGCCCGAGAGCGGCGGCTGCGAAGGCGGTTGGCGTCGGAGGAAACAGCCCCCGGCTTGTGCCCGCTGACGATCTTCGAGATGGAGGACTTGACCTTCGCGGCCACAGGGGCGACCCGACGGGCCTTGACAGCGTTCACGGACGCCATAGACCTGCCAATGGCAGCAGTAATAACGATGGCGAAAGAGACCATGGCGGTGTAAGTGAAAGGCAGGTGTCAAGGTATAGGGGGACGTCGAGAATGGTGGGGGACTCTGGGGCTCCGGAGGGAGGCGCGGCCGGGTCTTTATACGGGGCGGGGACGGTACCAATCGCGTTGGCGCGCAACTGTGAAAAGGTGATCGGGGGGACGGTATGCGAGCATTGCCCACGACCCAAAGAGAACAATGGCTTGATTATGAGGCTAGTCAAAGCGGCCCTCATGATCGCTGCTTTAGAGGTAACATCAAACTCTACGTCCCTCCCCCCAGGCTCGGCGGACCATCGGCGTGACTGGCTAAGAAACAATGAACAGCCAGCCCCGCAATAGGATTGCGTCGGGCGGGATTATCTTCTGCCCATCATCAATGTCGCGTTACGATAGCAAACCCCAAGCCCACACGAAGGGCCCGATAGAACACGAGTCAGGCATTGCGACAAGCGGGGCCCTTGGATTACTGCGCGGCTCTTTGTCCTCAGCCTTGCTGGAAGTATCTATCCCTCAGGTCTTTCAGACGTCAAAAGAGTGATAAGTCTATATTGAGATTAATTGCTTGCACCTCGTTTCAGCAGACTGGAAGTCTATTGCATGACTGTGTCTGATTTCTCCACATCCCGCTAGCGGTGGCCGCCCTAGGATGCGGCGAGTTGATGACGTCCGGGACATTGTTCTCTGCAGCAGAGTTCGCCAAGCATGAAAGTCAGATGCTCCGTTACATGCTTGGACGTACTTGAGAAACACTTTGAGCATGTGTGCCACTGAAAGAGTCAAGGCGAAAACGGATGCCGGCAGGGGGAAGACGGTCGTTCGGATCATAGACGATTGGCGCTGGGACTCACAAATGCAAATAACTGCAACTTTAGCCACCACCCACTCTCTAGGAAAGTGGCGGCACCGCGTGTTACAGGCTTGCTGCGGGATGCCAAATCCCAAGCGATATGCCGCCTCCAGCTCTGACAGTCCATATCAATATTACTGTATGCTCTGCTGCTACGGAGCTGAGCGATAAAAACAAAAATCTGAACCTTGCCCGGATTGAACGGACGACCTTGAGGATACTCCAAGAGAAAGCTCTGGAATCTCACGCGCTACCACTGTGCCAAAGGTTCATATTGGTTTGAGCCTTAACTCCGTATATGATCATTAATGAACGTTCGCAGGCCTTCATCGACAGCACCATATCCATACACCTTCAAGCAACGACCAACGCACTCTCTAAGCCTCGTTCTAACATCGACCTCCGGTATGAAATATTCGAGCATCTAGCCCCATTGCCGCTTGGGCTGATTTCGCACCCTGGAAAGATGCGCGAGCATGCATATGAGAGAAGGTCAGTTTTGCAAAGGCACTGGACACTCTTGAGGGCCGCTTTAACATGCATATGTCGAGCCTTCGCGGAACCCGCATCGAGCGTCCTTCGGCGAGCTCTATATGTTGGCCTACTACATACCTCTCTTCTGTCCCTCTGGAGGATTCAAACGGGCTGTAAAACCGACGATCCCAGACAGTCACTGCATAAACCGCCAACGCCGTCCACCACGGACGAGTGAGTGCTGGTGAGGAAGGGAATGAGAGATAATGGGTAGCCGCCTAATACTGGCCGTTGAGAGACTAAGTAGTTGTAAGTAGGCACGGTAAGCCCTACTTAGTGTAGTCAGAGTTGGAGCTACACCGCGCGAGATGGACTAGCGGTGCATGGTGTCCGGGGTGCCAGTTGGCCTCGCACAGGCTAGCGTTCGTGTGCCACGGGCTCCGCTCGTCCTACCTTGGAGCTACACAACGCGTCTGGTTGCAGCTTGGCCTCGTCTCTCTTTTCTACGCCACGTAATATCTTATACGCGTGGGTAGCAGCCTCGTTAAATAACCCTCGAACTCTCATCGACAGCCCTATACGACTACGATCATACCACCCCAATCGACTGCACTCGTCCTTCACCCCTCTCGGAGGTCTGCAGGTCAACTTCCACGCTCTCACGAACAGTCCCCTAGACCTCAGACTTCTCCAAAGCACGAGGACATCAAGCGTCCAGCTGACCTCGTTCTTCCTGCTTTGTTCTGCTGGTACATGCAGCGCGATCTGGCACGGAAGGTGCGGAGACAGATATCAGCCTATATGTATCTATGGTGCGTCCGTCCTCTATCTGTACAGCAGCTAACAACACGACACATTTCCCAGGTGGCGGATCCTCAGCTTCGTCGGGGAGTTCAAGGTAAGGTGATACGGCCTGTGCCGGCTGAACTATACTCGCCCCACAATGAACGTTGAGCATTGCCTTTCAGGCCGAGGTGCGTATCCAGCCCTTCTGGGCTCGTCTTCGGTGTCGGCGCCGAACTGTGTTTCATAACTGATTGCACATTTCAGGCTAATATCTAAAACACAAAACATTGTGGCTGGGGATCTGGATAACCTCAGGGCGGCGCCGCATCTAGCGGCCTCAGCGTGGTACGCATTCTCTAAGTCGCCCCGGTAAGCTCAATTCCATCCTCGCATCCTTAACTGACGTTCACGTCCAGTAACGGTTCTGGGCTCACAAGTTCTCAACACAAGGCGGCAGCCAAGAGCCTTGCCGGTCAAGCGAAGGGCGGTGACTCCGGGTCGTTGGAGGGCGGTGAATGCGCCGTGCCGTGTCGCGCAGGGCGGGTCATTGGTCTAGAATGGCCAAGTTTCAGGGCAGTACCGATATGTACGCGTAGTAGTGAAAATAAATTATTTGTAGCTATAAGTATCTGGTCCAGAAACGTCGACTTCTAGCTAGGAGCAGGCCTAGAGTGATCAAGGCTCTTTCCTGATGTGTCCGCCCGCGGGGGGCTCTAGCGGTCTCTCGTTCGCAGCGCGACTAGCCTACCTAGTGCAGAGTCGCAGCGCGCGCGCGGCGTTGCCTCGCGCGATGTTGCTGCAGCTCTGCTATACGATATCGTCCTCACTCGGTGTGTATTGAGCTACCAGGTCTCTCCGTAGATCGTGCAACTGCATTGCTAGGCGGTCCAGCTACATCCTGAAACTACCTGATACCCGGTAACGTCGCGCACTCTCAGGTAAATTTGCACTACCATACCCAGCCCGCTAAGCACTAGTCTTGACCCACCTTTGTAGCACGATCACGCCACAAGTGTACTAGAAGAGGGTTTTACGCAGTGAGTGGTGCGTCGCGTCTGCAAAGATACGTGGGTGCGGTCACCTACGACTCGAACTCGTGGTACACCTGATGCCACGCTAGAGTACCCCGTTCGTGTTCCCAGAATTGCTAGTCAAGGGGGTCTGATAACCAGAACCTTTGGCTACTTCCGCCATATTATGATTTACAGCTAGCTCAGGGTCCGGGCCATCCACGAGTCAGACATCAATGTGTAGTATCTAAGATATGTGCAAGCAAGGGCGCGTGCTTGCGTGCCCCGCCACGAGAACCCCCACATCCATCGCATGTCCCGAGACAGGGCCTTCAACTTCTGCCATGTCAAACTGACAATGCACCCTTCAGGTCCAGCACCGATTCATCGGCTATCGAATGGTCCTTGCCGTCCGTCATAACCTCGGTGACGGTGGTGACCTTGATGTTGATCGGGCCTGCAGATGACACCGAAGACCATTGAGCCTAGTACGCACCCGCGATGAGCCGCTACACCCGAAACGCCGCTCACGGTCATCAGCGAAACCGCCGGACGCTCGCGAGCACTCGGGAGCGCTTGGGAGCGCTCCCAAATGGCGCGATCACTCCCAATTCGAGGCCATGGTGTAGGAGGTTTCGCCCTGTCTCGGCAAACCCCCAGGAGCGCTGCCAAACCCCCCGAGCGGTCGCGTCGTTTGCGAGCGAACGCGCCATTGGGGAGCACTCCCGAGCACTCCCAAGTACACCCAGCCATTTGTATTAAAAAAAGAAATGATATTCCCATTCGAGCGTTCTCGAAACAGGCGGACACGACATCTACGATGAAAGCACTAATTGATTGCGATGTACTAATACAACATGCAGGCCGCAGACTAGATATTGCACAAAAAGAGAAGACTAACCTCGCTGCTCGGGGAGGGCGGCACAGGCACGAATGCCATGCGACCGTTGATATTCCAGTGGTATCCATGCGCACCTGAACCAGCTTGGAGACTCGGGACCATGAGAACGCACTGGGAACAAGGCGGTTAACACAGAGTCATCTCTGGGAAGTTAAAAACTTACGTGGACTCGGATCGCGTATGACGAAGGTCGAGCAGACTATGGAGCATATTAAATCACAGCTCCGCAAGTTAGAGGGGGGCTAAAGACGTACCGAAGTTCCTGATCGTTGGGCGGTGTCATTGTTAGCGTTGTGCCACGCATATAGCTTGTTCATCGCATGTTAGCTGAGTTGAAGGGCGAGATACGGGACGTGGGAATGAAAAGTGAGACTCACACCACAAAAGCGAATATCAGTCCACAAGATTTGGTGTGGCCGCATTTACCCACCTGTTGGACACGTTAGCGCGAGCCTGCAAACGAGCAAAGGAGCGGACGCACGCGGAGTCTACTAGATGATGGACAAGGAGTGGAACTCACGTAGAGTTGCACAGGACATCCGGCGGGAGGCGGGCAAGATGGCCGAGGCGAGCCCAGAGCGCAAGCGATGGAGGAGGTAAGAGGAAGAGGGGCAACAGAGGAAGAAGAGCCCCGACGGAAGCCTTATGTAGGAGTCGAAATGGAAGGCGGCGCGGGACTTGAATAACTGACATCTGGGTATCCCAAAGAGGTCCTCTTGCCGCTGGATTCGGTCATTGTTGGCGTCGGCTCGTGGAAGTGATGTTTGAAGGGGTGAAGTGGTACCTTCGGAAACCTGGAAAGTACTCCTGGGTATTTGGGAGCTCATGGAAGTGCTTGGGAGCGCTCCCCAACCTAGGACGGGCGCCAAATCCTTGGGAGCGTCGTGCGGTTTCGCTGATGGTAGGCTGCAGGTAATGAGTTCTTACCGACTGCATGCCCCGGCTCGCTCTCCGAGTCGCGTGTTTCATCAACCAGGGCGAGCCCGAGCGGCCCTGGGCGGGCCACTTTTGGAGGTCGGAGCACCGCGACGGTGCGTCGGGGGAGAGATAGTCGCGGCAGTGGTTGAGCCTCGATGGAGGTTAGTACTTGCACAAATGAACGCACGGAAGATAACGCTTACTCTGCAAGGAGTGACACAGCATACACTAATGCGTCGAAGGGTATAGGTTTCGGTCAATGTTTTCTCGTAGAAGGAAAGATATACGCACGTTGAGTCGCGACGATGTCGACTGCGACGCAGACCCGGCTCTTAGACCAGACGATCGCCTAGAGAGCAGTCAGTTCGCTCAGCCGTATGTTACAGACCAGGTCCTGTACTCACAAAAACCAAAGAGAGCAGACTTGTAAAGCTAGAATGGAGCTCGTATAGGCACATGGAGATTGAAGGCGGACAAATCTTTCCGCTTACAATATTAGCAGACCTGGCACCAGTCAGCCCATCGTGAATGATCTCAAGTTATTGATGGACTTACCTGTGTTCCATGTGTAGGTGATCAGAACTTTGAGAGTGTGATCCGTCCTGAGATACGCGCGTTTAGTGGACGATCACATGCGTAAGAGGTGAGATATGTAAAACCTACTTTTCAAAGTCTGTCCGCTTACGAAGCAGTCGTAATCTGTGAATGAGCGCACCCGCAAGCAATGCACTTGCCACCATAACTGCTGCTGAATGTGCGACGCCGAGTAGCTGCGAGCTCACAGGTCAGACTCGGCCGACGTAGTTCATGGTTCAAAGACTGACCCGGGTCTTCCTGACCACCTCGGGGGTGCGCGGTAGGTATCTGACGGTCCACGGAGATAAGTATATGCCTGCGTTCCCGGCAGTTATAAGAAGGCAGGAGCAACTGACAATAGGACCGTGGCAGCTGCAAAAACAACGAAACAGTGAGCGAGGCCGGAAACATTGCGTCGGTCTACTCACCAATAGCAGTCCCAAATTGCCCGGCAGTGAGTATAGCCTTATGTGCTACTTCAGTACCTGCGAAGAAACATCTGAGGTGTGTTAACTCACAGCACCAGCAACGATCATAAGCCCATGATACGTCGGCCACACTGTAAAGTTCATGTCAGTACAGCGCCTCCAAGTGATAACGCTGGCGTACTGAGGTAGACACGTCTTGCAAACAGGCTAACCGATAGATCAATGAGTGTTCTGCAGACTGACAACAACACGACATACCTCTGAGTGAAACAGAAAATCACTGCCTGCAGAGAACGACAAGGGTTTAACAAGGGCTCCGAAGAGCTTGCCAGTAAGCATTCATTGGACTCACTGCAAACACGTTCAGGATCTACCGAATGACATGGCATGTAAGCAGGTTGACACTCGGGGTACATACAATGATTCACGTACGTCCATGGACCTGCATGTTCTCTGTTAGTAACTGTGCCTAGCATGATTGCGAACCACCGGACGTACCAGCGATTCTTCTCTGGGATCATGTCGAGATATCGATCGAGCACGAGAAACTCGTAGCTACATAATGCCAGCCGCAAATGAGTCCAGCTGTCCGAAGAAGTAGCGCTTAACACACCTCGCATGCATACACAGCACACTGTGGATAGTTTCCAACGCACTATTCCTATCTGAGCTTGGAATTCGCAAAGGCCACTACCCACGTGAACACGCACAGGATGATTATGATCTATAGTACAACGGCGTGGGTGAGATGTCGCTCGCCTGTACGACGCCCGAGATGCTGCGTACCAATGGTTTCAATATCCGCGTCTGCTCTTTCTGGTATATGCAGAAAGTGTACGTCTGGTGCACGGTCATCCCGTATAGTCTGACATAAAGCAAGAGGTCAGAGCATGAATACCCGACCATATGATGGTCGTACGGACATGAGGCCCAGAAAGGTGCCCAGGAGCAGTGAGCCGAGGTTTCTGAACTGCTCGAACTGGTCGTCGGTGGAGGTGAGGAGGCCATCGGCAGTCGAGGTAGTGTTGGACACCATGCTGGTCTATGGAACGGCGGCTGCAGGACATGGCTGCACGCTTTATAGGCATACACTAGCGTATCAAGATGAGCGATGAGTACGGATAGTCATCATCGACTGACCGTATGCCACCCATGATACTTGGAGAACGGCGGCATTCTCTAGACATCCGCCCAGTGCGTGAGAGTCGGGCGAAGCAGCCGCGGAAGGCTCGAGCGGCGTAGGTGGACGAGGACAGTGTCGGAACCTGTGTAATGCGCGATCAGAATAGAACCAAGCAATGTCGAGAGAAACCACCTTACAAGGCGCTCAACATTCGCCACTCACGAGTCGAAAACACATCTTTGAGCGTACTTGGGAGTGCTCTCGTAACCAGCAACCCTAATAGCCATCTGCTCGTTGACGTACACAGTCAATGCGGTCTCCTCGTGTGAGGAGTTCCTGTGAGACCATAGTACGCCGGACATGGTGCGGCGGAAGCGGAGCAAGTACTTAGTGGCATTCCGGATACACCCAAGTTACTCGGCATCATCTGTCACATTGCGGTTTTCCATGTACGCCGAGACGGATATCTCCGCAGAAACGAGTAGACCCAGACCGGCGGATGGTAGGTAACATCCATTTTCAGCTCACGCACTTTGGATAAGAAGGTTGGATCAGTGGAATTGGGCGGAGTAGAATAGTGCCCCACTTACCCCGGAAAGTATCCCCAGCTGCGACACGAGTCGCTTCATCCCCCAGATCACACCGCGGCCGTTAGATGGAAAAGCATGAGATAGAAATGCATGGTTGGATTAGGAGCTACGTAACATGGAGTCTAGCTATACCACTACCGATACAGCGAGCCATCAGTAGTACATCGCGTCCGTGAAAAGTCGTGAATGCCGTCGCAGACGTGGAGGGGACATCTAGACAGCGAACAAACGGACTCAAAACAAGCACACAGCATACATAGACGACGACGACACGAACCAGCGTTACGAGGCGACATAGCGAGGCACACAGGCTTACGCCGGCCGGCGCGCACCCAGACGCGACGCACCCCACTTCCTCGCGGGCGGGGTGACGGTCTGGAACCCGTCGTCGTCCTTTGAAGGCTCCTTCGCAGGATTCGGGGACGCAGGCGCCTTCGCGGCAGGCGGGGGAGTCGCGGTGACTCTCGTAGGTGCAATGGTTGCGGGGGATGCGGGCCTCGCGGGAGTGCTGTCGCCAGCTCCACTCTCTTTGGCTGCCTGGCGTGCGCGCCAACCACCACCTCCACTGCTGGCGGCGGAGGCGAGGGCACCCGGACGGTACTTCGGAGCCGGACTCTCTGACCTGTCGGGCGTAGCAGAGCGAGCAGGAGGCAGAGCGCTGGCTGCTCCAGGCCGCCTCCATGCCGCTGCCTCGGGTGCAGCGCGAGCGGGTGCGGCGGCAGGGGTAGGTGCGGCGGCTTGCGCTTTCGCGGCTTGCCGACGTGCCATCGCCTCGTCCTCGCGCTGCTGCTGGCGGCGAGCGGCCTCCATCGCCTGTTGGCGCTCTTCTTCCCGCTCCTTGCGCTTGGCTGCGGCAGCCTCCTCGTCCGCGCGCTTCTTTTCCTCGGCGGCAGCACGAGCAGCGGCTTCCTCCTCTTCTCTGCGCTCCTCTTCTGCGATGCGCTCTGCAGGGAGACGGATGAACATATGCGTGCACAACAAAAGAAAAACACAAACCTGCTTCCAAGCGAGCCTCCTCCTCTTCCTGCTCCCTCCGAATACGCTCTTCCTCCTCGAGGCGCTGGTACTCCTCCTCGCGCTCCTTGAGGACGGCGGCGCGACGCTTCGCCTTCTCCTCCGCCATCTTCTTCTGGGCCGTTGCCTGCATCTTGGCGAACTCCTCGCCTCTGCGGGAGTGGATGGAGTCCTTGAGAGTGTTGTAGTCGTTGAGCATCCGCGTCAGGCGGTGCTTCGTCTCGACGTCCTGCAGGTGAGCGGCGCGGCTGGCCTCCAGACGAGCTTTCTGCGTCGTCTCGAAGACGGCGCGGTCGTTCGCCTGCTGCACCTCGTAGTCCTTGGCGAGAAGAGGACGCTCCTCCTTGCGGTACGCACGCTCGACGTGATCGAGGCGCTTGGTAAGGACACGCATGCGCTCGTTGAGCTCCTTCTTCTCCTTCTCCAGCTGCTCGACCTGCATACGCATGAGACTGTCGGTGTTGAGGCTCTCCATATCCTAGCAAGGCATGATCAGTAGCGATCCGTGCAAAAACTCGCGGGAAATCTTACCGTGATGTCGACCTTCAACGTGCCCTTCTCCTTCAAGCTCTGGGCGAGCTTCTTGGCCTCCTCGACACGGATGTTCTCGATCTCCTTCCGAGCACGCTCCACCTCCTTGTTGCGCAGCTCCTGGGCGGCACGACGCGCCTCCTCCTCTTGCTGGCGACGGAGGATTTCAGCACGGCGGCTGGCCTCCTCCTTCTCCTTGCGGACAGACAGCTCGGAGAGCAGCTCACGCCGACGCGCAACGAGCGCGCGACGGACCTGAAGCGCCTTGCGCTCGGCCTGTGCGGCGGCAGCAAGGGCGGCAAACTTCGCTTGCTGCTCTTCCTCGGTTGGCGGGGTGGGAGGGAATAGAGCAGCGAGGGAGTTGTGGAGAGTGATCGCGACGTCGCTTAGGCGAGTGCGCACAAACTCCGAGCTGGAGGGCTGCACGGCGCTGACGTTGACCATGGACGTCGACGAGCTGGGATCCTCGACGGCAGCGAAGGCGCTGTCGGTGAAGGTGATGCTGCCTGCGGCATGGTCGACGCGCACGTTCAGCTCACCGCGGCGAGCACAGCCCATTACGTAGGCCTCAATTTGCTCATTGTCGTAGGAGCCGGTGCCTTCGACAGCAACCTCGCGCAGGGGCGCAACAAGCTCGAGCAGGTTGCTGATGTTGATGGTGGTGTAGACCTGAGACAGCTGAGAGAGAAGGCGGGAGAGAAGGGCATGTTGGAGGAGCGGGACGTATGAAGAGTAGGACGAGTCGGCGGCAAGAGATGTCAGGAGGGGTGCAACAGAGGAGCAAAGCGTGAGGGGGTCGAAAGTGACCTCGAGGACGTTGTACAGAGACTTCACAGACTCCGGCGAGAGTTTGAGCACGTTACGTGCCAACTATCGCCAAATGTCAGTGACCAAGCCGCCAAACATAAAAATAGACGCACAGCCTCGCGCAACAAGCTAGCTCTTGTAGGGGTCTTGGTGAGTCCGAGCAAGGATGACAGCCTGGCACCCTTGCCCTTCATCTCCTCGGCTCCTGCTTCGCCCTGGATACCGACCGGAACGGCAAGCGCGCTGACAAGAACCTGACCAGCTAGCCTGCTCATCTCCTCCTCCGACTTGCCACCGATCGCAGATACAACCGCGTAGTACCGGCCCCAGGCAGCAGCGTGATACAGAGCGTTTCCGCTCATGAGGAAGATCCTGGTCAGCTTCTCGTAGTAGTTGGCCATCATAGAGGGCCGAGGAGCCTTCTTCGCCATAGTGAGCAAATTGTGGACATCCTCGACTGAGCGGAAGGCCTCCTGCCAGAGCTCAAGTTCTACGGAGGTGTTCAGCTGGGCGAACCGTGTGTCGAGATGGTGCTGCAGAATATCGGGGTCCGAGAGGTTGATGGCATGGGGCTGGTGGGCGTATTTCGCGACGTTGGACAAATGCAGGCGGAGAGTCTCGCAGAGGCGGCGGAATTCCACCTTACGCTCGTGCTTGAGGCAGAACTTGAATGCCTGCTGGGCGATTTGCTATACCGGCAAAATTGTTACGTCATGTAAACATTCATCGGGCCTGCAGGCACGAACCTGGTAGATGGTCTCCAGCCGGGCATTGTTTTTGAGGGTCTCGAGAGCGGTACGGTAGCTCTCCCAGAGGAACTTGAGCCAAGGAGTGACAAGGGCCCGATCGGTCCTGTCCTTGCTCTGGTCTCCACTCACCGCGCCGAGAAGGATGCTCTCCGGGGTCTCGCTGGCCTCAAGATCATCGACGTCGACAGCTACAGCCTTGTCGGCCTTCTCCTGCGCCTCCTGCACCTTCGCATCGGAAAGCTGAATGAATCGGTTAATGACGACCTCGATGGACGCCACGCTCGTATTTTGGGCAATGTTCTTGTACTGCATGAGACCCTCCTTTGCCGTACGACCCTTCCGCAAGTCGACGCAAAGTTCAATGAAGCGCAGCATGATAGGTTCCAGGGAGGCCAGAGGTGTAGAGCGGAATCGCTTCGAGGAGAACATCTCAGTGAGTGATTGCAGGGCGGCATGAGTCTGGCCGACGGAGACAAGGCCCTCGGCCTGCTTGAGGACCGTCTCGGGTTTTGAGAACGGTGCCATGCTGGGCAGATTTTGACGTAGAAGTCGTCGAGAGCGTCGGAGACGGCGAAGGTGGCGAGGATGTCGAGGACGACGACGAGGGAGGGGCAAAAAGTTGCGGGCTGCAAGTCAGACTCTGTCCCAGCTTCGCTACCGAAAGACAAGGTTTATCAGATCCTAACTCCGATCACCTAGGCGCCGTCACACAGGCGCCGTGCCGTATCACTGTACATAATAATAAGTAGCGCCCATTTCGGTAGGGTCACCTCTGGTCATCTCCGCACATTAGATGATTTTACTCATGAAGTTGTATGTATGTACTAGTGGCACGGAGACTTCGAGGCTTCACAGCTAAGTTTCACGGCCGAAGCTGCCACTGGATCACTGTACTACAGGAGCTTGTAAATGCGGAAACGAGGATGGCGGGTCACCTCTGCAGAAAGTCCTAATGGGGGCGATATATGTATCCGATGTCCCGCAGAATTCACGATCCATGCACACCTTGACTCCCTCACTGTACGCTGGACAGAGTATAAGTAGTCGCTGCCGCTCAATTAGCCGACGCTGACCACATCTTACCCGCCACTTTCATCGTTGTACATGTGTCATCTGAGAACGTGGTTGTGCAGGACGCCACACCGATAAAGTCTACTAGGTGTGCACTTCCTACACTTCCAGTTCAGCGACGCGCAAAGGCAGGTATTCCGATTTCTCTGAACTTGCGTGGTTTGGCTATGAGATCTTTGCTACAGTCCGTCATTCGGAACGCAGAGCATGTTTCGGGACATGTCCCACAAAACACACCCCGCGCCCCCGAATGTTCTCCATCTCCGCGTGCCCCCTCTTCGCAAGAGAGCGACTGCAAAGGTCAGGGAGCTCGACGAGTGGATAATAAATTAGGTGCAAAGTTGGTCTACACTACTGATATCATGCAATAGCTCTACAATATGCAATACCCTTAGAGTCCCTGAAAAGTCCGGTATGTGCAATGAACGTCTGACGGTGAGCGTATAAAAAGTTCTACTCCTTGTCCTCCTCCGCGGCTTCTAGCATCATGTCTGTATGACAAGTCAGCGCTAGGCCCAATGATATGATATCGTACTCTTACCACTCCACATAGAATTTTGCATCGTGTCCATGTCGTCTTCGTCCTCGGAACGGGACTCTCTCGACATCGATGCGTCCAGCCTAGCCCCAGTGTCAGCACAGACGTTCAACACATACGCCAACGTAAGAACACACCTGCTGCCCATGTCTATGGACAACATGGTGACGTCGCTCGTCCTCTGCCGCCGCTGCAGCGTGCGTCGCGACGGCGTGTCTGGCTCGAACGACAGCATGTCCGCCGAGAACGACAACTCCGGAGATTGAAATGCGCCCGGGGAGATCGTAGGCGTCTCCGCCCCGCCGAAGCGATGAATGGGCGTTTGACCAGGCGATGTAATGTCACGAGTGATCATTGGCGGGGTAGCGGGGAAATCGTCGACGACGATGGCAGGAATGTCTGCATACTGGTGAGCCCTTGTGGATATGCGCCTTGTGACGCAGATACTGACCTGATTGGACCAGGCCGTAATGCTCCATGCGAGCCTGCTCTCTCTGCGCGAGATACCGCCGGCGGTACAGGATCATGAGTAGCAGGGACTGCACGCGGTCGAAGTCCACTAGATCCGTGACGAGCTTGTTCGTTTCGGTCCGTACGACAAGATCCTTGAGGCTGCGAAGTAATATGAGCAACACATACGCACACAGCATGCGTAGATACGTACACGAGAGCCTCTCGGTCGACAATCAGCTTGTGATGCGCCAAAAGCAGCAGCATGTTGGTGAAGGAGATGCCCTTGCCGGGTTCGTGCGAGATGCGTGCCTCATGGTAGAGCCGGTTGTACAAGTTCTTCCTCCGCTTGATAGCAGCACGGTCGACGCCGCTGAGGATTCCGTCTACCTTGTTGAAATCATAGCCGCCGACGATCTTCTCGTGCCACGAGTCGACACCCTGCGAATCCTTGGAGTAGGCCATGATTCTGCGGATGCTGTACTCTGCGGGGTAGATCCGGACTTCGAAGATGCCGCTCAATTTCTAAGGTGAATATCAGTATATGCGTTCGGCCGCTTCCTTGCGTCTCGAACCACGTACCCCAAAGAATCGCACGAAGTTGGCACGCTCCAGATAACCGGTCTTCGGGTTCGCGAACTCGGCCCACACCTTCTTGAACGCGCGCATCTCTTCTCGAGTGATCGATTTGGCCCCGCTGGACATCTGGAATACGTAGTAGAAACTCTCGACGACCACACCGGTGAACAAGTTGGCAAAGATGTACTGCGCGACCGTCAGTGCCGGAGCAACGTCCACCATAAAGATGACTCACCATGCTCAGCAAGTTCCACGCGATGAAGAGAGTGAAAGACCAATAGATGCTGCCGCAGTCGGTCTCCCCGTTGAGATTAACCGTGCAGCGAGGGTAGTCCAGAGCGCTACAGTGAGCAATGGTGTTCAGTATGAGCTCGATCAATTAATGACAGGTGGGCTTACAAGTCGTGCATATACTGATTCCAGCCCTCTCTGTGTGGTGATCAGCACTTGAACAGCAGGCTACACGCAACTGCACATACCCTGTTGTCATGAAGGCTAACATGACCAAAGCTTTGGCCATGCTGGAGTAGTTAGAGTTCCGTGCTTCGCCCGTGTTCCATTTGGTCAGACTGAAGACCTCCACGAAGAGGATCGCGAAGAACAGGAACAGGATAACCCAAAGCCCGAGCAGACTGAGAATGACCGGAAGACTCCCCCTGTGACGGGCTTTAGCACAACAATACACGCATACACAGGGGTTATAACGTACACGGCGGTCTTAAACAGCTTGTTGAGACTGTTCACGCGCTGCACGAGCTTGAACGCAATGCTGGTTATGAAGAGCTTCTGCAGCTGCTGGATGACGAAGCCTCCCGTGTTGAAGCGTACGATCAGAGTGGCGACGAGACTGCCGCCAGCAACGATGATGTCGAAGATGTTCCAGCCGTTTGCGCTGTAGCTCCTCCACCCGAGGCCCAACATCCTGACGAGGATGTCCACGACATACATGACCGTGACGAAGAGGAAGAAGTCGTCTGAAGGAATGCGTTCAGACATCCACTTCATAGCTGACTGACAGAAATCACATACTGCGCGCTTCGTCCAAGATGTCCTGCGGTGTGAACGTCTGCGTCCTGTCGCGCAAAAGTGAGTCATCTGAAAAGCGAAGAAGGTCATGAGGTACTTACATAAGAGCGACGACGTGCAAGGTGTACAACACAGTCATCATCCGATGCCACCAACCATGCTTGTGGACAGCACGATCGTAGCACCACTGCCTGACGGCCCATGTGGGTCTCTTCTTTGGACGTTTGGAAGGACGCTGCCTCTTGACGAGTTTCTGCAAGTCGATCCACTCTCGTTGGGCCTGCGTAAGCAGGGCAGAGCCGGTCTTCGACGTGAAATTGCCGATGATGATACTGCGCTCGACATAAGCGTTGTGCTCGATGATGACGCCAGAATCGACTCACCTGACAAAGAGCGTGAAGATGACAACGCCGCCCAGCAAGTTGTAGATGAGGAAGAAGATCGAGTTGCCGACGGACGCGTTGGTCTGCGGTTGTTGCCCTTCACCAGTGACACTCGTCGCAACACCTAGCACATCCACCCAGCCCTCGAGCGAGACGATCTCGAACAGAATGAGGAGAGACTGTCGGAAGCTGTCAAACGAGAATGTAGTCGAAGGCGCGGGGTTGTCCCACACTCGTGGAACGAGGTAGGTGAACGAGTTCCCATCGTTGACGAAGCCTGTCGAGTACTCGTTGATACAGTCGCTGATGCCAGACGCCGAGGAGTCGTTGCACTCGTTCGTGACGCCCGCGAAGATGTTGAGACCCCAGACGGCGTAGGGGATCATGTACAGGATCGCGAGGAGCGCAGCGTCGAGGATACGGGCGATGCCAGAAATAATCAACGATTCGAAGGTGGACCGCATCTTCTCAATGAGCGTGATAAGCCGCAGGGCGCGAAGAGCCTTCAAAGAGCGTGTGAGGCGGCTGAGACCCCCGATGAAGATGAGGCCCGTGGCAGCGTTGACGAGGATACCCACGAGGATGAAAAAGTCGAGAACGTTCCAGATGCTACGAATGTATGCGTTCGGGGTGAACAGGAAACCGTCCGCGATGATCTTGATGACGAATTCGAGAGCAAGGACAAGGGCAAACGACCCCTCAGCGAGATCAAACCAGGTTCCACGGATCGGGCCATTCTCGGCGTAGAAGTCGCGGCGGTATATGGGAGTCGCGATGCTCTCCACCACAATTCCTCCAATGACGGTCAGGAGGAGCAGGAGTTGGAAGATGGGGTGAGCGATTGCCGAGTGAGGCGTTCCGAAGATACGATCTCCTCCTGGCGGAGCAACGAGCTTCTGGCACGCCTTGCGGAGCCAGTTCTTCTGCGAGAAGACCCAGAACGTCTTGTCGTAGCTAGGGTGGTCACGGATGAAATCGGCCTTCTGCGCCCGGCGCTCGTATAGAGCATCGTTGAGCTCTTCCACGTCGACTGCGTCGTTGTTCAAGGCTGCCAGTACCTCCCTGAGACGAGGGTCAACGAATGACGCATGTGACAGTGAACTATGCACTCACAGATGCCTCTCGGTTTCTTCATCTACAGGATCCGCAGTCGCAACCGAGTCCCGACGAGTGTTACGGAGAGTAGTGAGTGGCATGTCTCCAGCAGTAATCTCGCCCGCGAAGAGACGCTGTAGTCGTCTTAGGGTAGACTTCGCCGAGTACTGCTTTTGCGCACCGCCGCGCCGGGTCTTTGTGTCCTGCAAAGGGTAGTTAGTGTCTAGCGTAAGTTGCAGCAGAGAGGGCGCATACAACGAAGGAGTTCTCTCGTTTCGGGAGGCCGTAGTCTTGCACGAGCGCCTTCTGCATTGGCAGCACCAAGTTCGACGGCAGCTCCACCTCGATGGCCTTCGGCTGCGCCTTGAACCACCGGTAGGGGTTCAGCTTGCGAACCCAAGTAGAGCGCACTTGCTGTGGACGATGCGAGGCCCAATAGTGCGAGGCTTGCCTACTGCGCTTCGACTCCTCAGCGACATCGAAGTTCTCGTTGATGACGGCGATGAACATTTGCAGCACGATGTCTAGCAGGGATTTAGCGGGATATCAGCAAAGACTACGGGATACTTACAGTTTGCGAAGAACATCCATCCAGCCACGAAGAGCACAACTATGACGGACTGTCGAAGGGGAACTTCGGGTTCCGCAGCCTTGTAGAGTACATCTGTCCAGTTCTCGGACGAGAACACCTGATAGATGCCGAGGAAGGTGTTGTATAACGTCCCGAAGTCGATAAGCTCCCCAGATTTGACATCCCCTCCGACTAGCTGGACCGCGAAGAGCGCGGCGAGCAAGTTGATCTCGATGAGGAACAGAGACATGTTGGCCAGACCGTACATGTTCCCGAAGACCGCGAGCTGAACGGAGAGAAATTTGGTCAAATTATCGCGATATTAAAGACAAACTACTTACCAGTAGGGGCTTCATCCTAGGAATCTCCAGGATCACGCGGTAGAACCGCATAAGTTGGAAGATCGTCAGCCAAGGGTAGAGCGGCGAGCGGTGTATAGCCGGAATTTGGATGATGCTTGACCCGATCGCGAGCAGCAAGTCGAGGACGTTCTGCCCCCGGTAGAAGAACTTCCGCCAGTCAGGCAAGTAGGCGAGCACCCGGATGATAATCTCGACGTCAAAAGTGAGCGTGAGCGCAAGCTCACCCTTGTCCAAGATCTCCGCATGCATGTCCGAGATGTCAACAGTGCGCGTCGCCTGCAGAACAAGCGATGCTAGAGCGAAGAAGACCCAGCACCAGCGGATACTCTCGTAGACCTCCCGGATACGGTTCCTGCCAGCAACGCGTCTGCCATCGACCATCGACCAGCCCTCTTCGTTCTCTTCGACCACGGCGGCAAGGCTGTAGCACGGTCAGCGGGCGTTTCAACCAGAGGAAGATGTAACATACGGTGCCGCTCCGAATGCACTCTTCTTTGTGTCCGACCGGATAGCTGAGAACGTATTGGTGATCACCGCAACGAACAGGTTGATGAGCCAGAAGTTCAGGACGATGATGCAGACGATGTAGAAGAAACAGGACACGAAGAACTCGGCGTCCATCATCTGATACATAAGGCCAGACCACTGTGGAGAAAATTAGCCGGAATGCGGGAATAAAATATGGCTATATGCGCACCCCGTTTGCTGAGGAGACGATTACGACCTGGAGAGCAGCGAAGTAGATCATGTCAAAGCTCTCAAGGTCCGAATTTGGATTGTCTGCGTTCTCCTGTGCGCGTTATTCTTGGTGAGACGGAGTGACATATGAAGCAATGAGTACATACCACGCAAATTTGTCCGAGTGGGCAGATGAATCCTTTGGGTGAAGCATTCTGCCCGTCCGCATTGATGTAGCCCATTGTTTGCAGCGTTGTCGAATTGATGTACCCGCCACAATTCTGGTCGAGCGCGATGTCATCTTCGCCCAGGGTAGGGAGCAGATGGCATGTCCGACGAAAGGAGCCCTTGAACGATTGAATGCCGACAATGCTGCGGAAACTATTAGCAACGGATGTTCTTGATCAAAGGTATGCAAAACTCACGAGAAGAGAATCATTGCGAACAGCACGAAGTAAGAAACGCTGGCGAGAAGCGGCCGGGCAGTCTTCAGAGATCGCATGATCGTCTGTGCACCACCAAGTTAAATCAAGTTGGGTTGGACGAATGGACAGTATGCTCACAGTTGTACCGGAAGTGATGGCCAGCAATCGAGCCGTCCGCAGGACACTCATAGCGCGGAATAAGCCAATGTGGTACTGATTTCGTTCTACGCCAGAAGATGCCAAAACCACTGTTATCCAGAAGCTCAAGATAGCGACAAAGTCAATCCTAGTCCAGCTATGTCGGAGGTAAGGCAGGTTGCGATGAGTTTGCCCCCTCGAGTCCTCCACACTGAGGCGGAATGGTAATGACAGCGTATTTTCGGAGTTGTCGGAGCGCAGTGCTTTGGAAAGGAATGTTGGTTCGGATGGATTCCGCATATGAGCATGCAAGTGTTGCGCTCCTGACAGAGCTTTCTCCGCCATTGGAGACTTCGACTGGGTAGTATCAGAACGCGGTCGCGAAGGTGTATTGTTGCTCCCAGCTGAGGGTTGTGATGCCGATAAGGAATGATGCGCAAGGGTGAACGGGCGAGCAAGGTTTTTGCGAAATTGCTTCAAGCGTTGCGTCATAGAGAGTCCTCGGTGAAGCTGGGATGGACCGTGGGTGCTAGTGACGGAAGGGGTTCGAGCGATATTGAAGCTGGCTTCGACAGCTGTGTTCGGCGGGCGCGCCATGTTCGGGTATGTCGCGAAGGGTGACTGAAAGAGTGTGGAGACAGGAACTTCCGGGTCTAGTAAGAGTCCAGATACACATATTCGCGCAAAGGCTTCCAGACTACAGCGAGTGAGCTTGGATACGAATGCCAATCTGAACGTATCACCCACGTGAATAAGCAGAACAGTACGAATAGCACATAGTCTTCCCAGGCATGGAAGTAACCCTTCATGGGAGGAGGTGGGCTATCGTCCGGCCAGTCTTCTGGCAGAGCATGGGGGCGAGATGCCTGGATCGCGAGAACAAGTCCGTTAATGATAATTAGGAGCAATATGATCGGTTCAGTCCATCTGCGGAGCGAGCGTAAGCACTGCAAGCACTGCGCACTTGTACACTTCAAGACCACTTACGGATATGTGAGGAACTTATACAATGCGAGGCGTAGTTTGCTGTGGGGACCTAGGCATCCCAGTGTGCGCCCTCGTATGGGCAGCGTCTTCGTCAAGTCAGGCAGCGCCTCATCCTCGTCGGGTATCTCATCGTCATCCTCGTCCCGGTTCTCGTCGCGTTCGTGTGCGTCATGCAATCGCACGTGCTCATCCAGGCCGAGCCCTCCGAAGTTGACGACGCGTAACGACGCGCGCCGCAAGTTGCCAGAGAAAGTCTTCAGCGTCGTTCCCGTCTTCTTGAGCGGCGACGCGCCGTACCGGACTGTCCTCCGCTTGCCACGCACCGATGCACCAGTCCTCTCCGCATCCACGCTCTCCCCGGTTCCCCACTCCGGTCCCACTCCTTGCCGCGACATGTTGGAGGTGAGGTGTGCTTCGTCGTCATCGCGCGTACTGTCCGTAGTGTCCCCCGACTCCCGGAAATGAGATGAAATGAGCGAAGCAGAGGATTGTCCTGGCTGTGACGCGGAGTAGACCGGATTCGAGTCTTGATAGCGCATTTCGCCTGCACGATACGAGTAGTCACGGAAAGGCGGGTCCTCATCCGTGGGCGAGAAGAAGGGGTCCTCGTTTGAACTCCACGTCGCATTCCCGGAACGCGACGGGCCTGGTGTGGAATCTGACGGCTGCAGGTTGAAACGTAGAGGGTCCTGGATAGCGTTGGCTCCTCCCCAGCTAGTCCGTCGCCGAGAGATGTTGTCAGAAGAGAGAGGTGTTGCGGGCCGAGAACTGCCAAGTCCAGCGGGCGTGCCAGATAAGTCGACAGCAGAAGACGAGGAAGAGTGACGAGATAGGTCCGAGTGGTTTGCCTCCATGCGAGACAGAAAGGAGGACTTCAGAGGAGCGCACTGTGCATGACGGCGGCGACGGGTCGATGGGCGTTGTCACCGTTTCCGACGGCGCGCAGGCTTCACCGCCTGAGATATTTGCGCTCCGACTCTCTTTGATTGGTCCTACCCGGCGGAGATCGGCAACGGCATCTCGGCTGCACCGCGGCTTTTCAATCTCCCGTTAGATCTCGGCTAACTCGCAGATCAAGTGCTAATTATTATGGGCGCTTATTATCATCGTCCTCGAGCCTCTCGACGTCGAGCGGGCGCCGTCCTCCTCACTCTCACTCCACGACCGCTCTTTCCACTGTAGCCTGAGGTGCTGGATCATTAAACGATAACGATAAAACGACATGTCCACGACAAGAACGCCCTATGACGCATCCACACCTGACCGGTCCAGTTTCGACGCTGCTATTCCATTATCACCCCTTGTGTCCTACATTCCCGCACCCAGTCCTATTCGCTATGCCAAACGGCCACCATACTCTGGGAGACTACACGGCTACCTGCTCAAAGGGAGGGAGATAGTCAAAAGTAACTTAGGGATGCTGCTTGTAGCGTCCGCCCAGCTATTCTTCTCCCTCATGAATGTGTGGGTCAAGAAGCTGAATAGTCTAGATACCCCTGTACCGGCTTTCGAGGTGAGTTTCAGTGTTCTCTGATCATTTATGATGAACTCATTAGAGATACTGTAGCTCATTTTTGTGCGGATGGTGAGTGCTCATTGCTCCAGTCGCATGGGCTATTCGCTGGATTAGCGAATGAGACAGCGTGCACTTCGATTGAGAGCGGCATAGAGTAGACGAAACCATCAGTACGTGACTTACTGACCCTTACTCGCAGTCTATTACATGGGTATGTTGCATATCGTACATGTGAGCTCTACGGCGTTACTCCACGACGCAGGCGCCTTACATTCATGTTGTTCTCGAGGCTCATCGTGAAGGTTCCCGACCCCATCCTTGGACCAAAAGGAGTGCGCCTTCTTCTCGTTGCCCGCGGATTCTTCGGGTACGTTTGTATCCCAGTCTTCCTCGGATGGCAGCTGATTTATACTGCGGCAGATTTTTCGGCCTCTTCGGGGTGTACTACTCGCTGCAGTACCTGTCATTATCCGACGCGACAGTATTGACCTTCCTTGCTCCCATGTGCACGGCAGTGACAGGTGCCGTGCTGTTACATGAGAAGCTCTCCTGGCGCGAGGCATTTGCAGGACGTGAGTATATGCGGCTCGTTCGACTTCTACGTCATGTAGCTCATCGTGACACCATGCAGTGGCCAGCCTGCTTGGCGTTGTCCTGATAGCTCGCCCTGATTTTATCTTCGGAAAACAGCATCATGGGATACCATCCGCGAGTGACGTGACTCCCGCGCAGCGAGTGGGTGCAGTAGGGTGAGCGGGATAATAAGTCCGTGTGCCCTTGAAATCCGCTCTAAGACTATTGTACCCCACAGAATCGCTCTACTTGGCGTCCTGGGAGCTACTGGAGCTTGTGAGTTATTTGGTTTTCGATCGAGATCCTCAGCACCACATAGAAATATACTGAGCCATGTTACCCAGATACCAGCATACGCGCCGTTGGAAAACGCGCGCACCCTCTGCACAATCTAGTCTCGTTCTCATCCCAGTGTGTCATCGTGGCGACAGTAGCGTAGGTCCTAGAAACACCTCGTCACGCAACACGAACTCAACCGCTGCTGTTCAGGATGATTGTCATGCGCACGCCAGTCGTTGTACCCATGAGATGGGATTGGCTTCTGATGCTGCTGCTCATTGGCCTGTTTGGGTTCATAGCACAGGTAAGATACCTCAGGCCAAGATATATGCTGTTACTCCTAACTGGCTATTTCACAAGGTCCTCTTGACTATGGGGTTGCAACGTGAGACTGCTGGAAGGGGAACCATGGCTGTCTACGTCCAGGTGAGCATTGCCCAGAATAACTCGTGTGCCCAGTCTCACCGAATGAATAGATTATATTCGCCACGATTTTCGAGCGTGTAATATTCCACACCTCGCCGTCGCTGCTGTCCCTTTTCGGGACTTTCATTATTCTCACATCCGCTGTTTATGTGGCCGTTAGTTTCATATCTCCCCTCCGATATTTCCAGCCCACGCTCACCTGGTTCATTCAGCTCATCAAAGTGAGGACGCAAGAAAACACCCTTGCCGGCGGTATCACCGCGTCCGACGATGCCTCAGTCGAGGAGGGTCTATTGGCGAACGCTGACGGCGAAACGCTGCAAGACTTTAAGGACATAGAACTTGCCAACGCGGTCGTAGTTGGCTCTGACGTGTCGCACACCCCTAGCCCAGAACACGGTACGGATATCACAAAGGCATAACGCGCAGCGCTTGGCAAAACGACATGTCCGGAGATGCGACATCTCTATCGTGCTTTGTATCCTATATATATACTAGATTTCATTCTATCGTAGCATACCTCATCTATATCTCTGTATGCAATCATCCGTTAGCGAGAGCATGCATTCGTGAGCGTCGGTATGGGGAGGATGTGTATTGAACACCTTGCACCGTGAACGAGCTCGAGCTCGAGCGTCACTGTCGCGCAGAAGGCTGCGCACGAGCGCCTAATGACTGCGTCCGCGCGGGGAAGTACTCGCAGTAGGTTGTTCACAACGACGACCACGGCGACACCAGCTCATTACCTACAGCCCTATTAGCTCGGCATATATAGCCTAGGACGTTCTCTGTGCTTCCTCCGCTCCCACCCCCTCGCGAACCAAGGACCAGCGAGGTCTAGCGATGTCCGGCATGCAGCACCTCGGCAAGGGCATCGTCCGCGCAGCCAAAAACTACACGAAGGGATACTCAGATGTTCAATCCAAGGTTCGGGATGCGACGTCGAACGACCCCTGGGGTCCATCGGGCACCCAGATGAACGAGCTCGCGCAGCTATCATATAACCAGTACGTCCCCCTTCGCCGCAGTCGCACCCGTCCGACAAGCCTCATCCCCGGTTAGGGACAACTTCGTGGAGATCATGGAGATGTTGGACAAGCGTTTGAACGACAAGGGGAAGAACTGGCGGCACGTCTTCAAGGTGCGTGGGTCCCTTGCCGCATCCCGGTGTACTTCCCGCTGATCGGGTGCGCAGTCACTCACGGTGCTCGACTATCTCCTCCATGCGGGCTCCGAGAACGTTGTGGTGTACTTCCGGGACAACCTATACGTTATCAAGACCCTAAAGGAGTTTCAATATGTCGACGAGGAGGGCAAGGACCAGGGCGCGAACGTCCGGCAGAAGGCGAAGGACATTACGAACCTGCTCCAGGACGAGTCACGGTTGCGCCATGAGCGGAGAGACCGCGCCATGATGCGCGATCGGATGGTCCGTGGTAGGGGTGAAGGAGGCGAAGACGATAGCGAGAACGCGCAGAGGCGGTCGCAGAGTCTCCCTTCACGGAAACGGAACGGTGGGGGCCGGGAGGATGATGAACTGCGCAAGGCACTGGAGGAGAGCAAGCGGACCGCGGCGGAGGAGCAGGCGCGGGCGAGGCTCACGGCCGAGGAACGCGACCTGCAGCAGGCAATCAAGCTCAGCGAGGAAGAGGAGGCTCGCCGTGCGAAGGCTGTACAAGACGCGAACCAGTCGGGTCTGTTCGATGATGCCCAGCAACAGTGAGTGTATTCGTCCATCCAGATGAGAGTTGAGCCAATACTTATGTGGTCGTAGAGCATCACAGTCCAGCACAAATCCCTTCCCGCTCGTGGACACCTCCTTCCAGAACCAATCCCAGTTCATCCAGCCTCAGTTCACCCAAATCCAACCCCAATTCACGTCCTTCAACCCGTACCAGCAGCAGGCTCAGCAGGAAGCCATGCAGGTAAATCGCCTCTATCCTTTCCTTCGAGGCCCCTAGTTGACGTACGATGTAGGCCGAGTACATGCGCCAGCAGCAGGAGTGGCAGATGCAACAGCAGCAACTCCAGGCGCAACAGCAACAGCAGCTTCAGCAGGAGGAATGGATGCGGCAGCAACAGCTACTCCAAATGCAGCAACAGCAGCAGCAGTTCCTCATGCCCCAGCAGCAGCCACTTATGCCGCAAGCGACCGGCTTTGGGTGAGTACTTCGTGAAACTACTAGTGACATTTATTGACATTGATATTGATATAGCTCCAACAACCCCTTCGCGCCAGCGATGTCACTATCTACTTCCAACCTGCCCTCTACAAACGGCCTCCAGGCCGCAAGTCCGGTCTCGTTCAACTTGCAGGGCACCTACGGCCAACAGCCACAAGTGTCGCAGTCCCCTCCACCCGCCTCACAATCCGCACCACCTGGTAGGCAGAGCACCATGCCCGCGGTCAAGACGCGCGCAGACGAGGAGAATGCGAAGCTCGCCGGCCTCCTGGCGAACCGGGAGGAAGGCATCGACACGTTCGGAAACTTCGGTGCTCTCCGGTCAGTCGCGTTCCGCGTTTCAGTCTTATGCGCATTTATTAAACTCCACGCAGATACGGACAACAGGCGGGGAAATACATGGCGCCGCAGCAGACAGGCCACAACCCGTTCGCGCACCAGCAGCAACAGCAGCAGCAGGGCGCGGATCAACCCTTCTTCTCGATCTAGGCTTCAGGACACACTACCTACAGCGTCCCTCGTTGCTCCCGTCCGCGCGCCCTCGCTCTCCTTCTCTCGTTGGTTCCGCCCAGCCACCAGCTATACCCATTCCTGTCGTCTGGTACCTGCTCTGCCCCCTATGCGAAACGATCGACCGCCTCGCGGATTGTACCCGTTGACAATGTTTGTATGGTTTTGTTCATGACTGTTGAAAGTATTTGCCTTGGGAGCGTGGAGGGGAGCAACGGCACCTTGTTTGGTGCGTGGACCGTCAAAGAAGCCGAACGTTTGGATGATTCGCCGTGATGAAGTCAGGGGGTGAAATAATACAGAACTCGTAATACATGTGTAGATCTAGGCCTACGAAATGTGCAGAGGTGATACCGGATGAGGTGGCTGAGAACCGAGGACTGTCCAGTGTGGCGAGGAGGGGTGATTTGACGTCAATACCGATACATATCGTATACCTGCAAAAAAGGTTTATACTCGCCGTGGGCACACACGGTAACATATACCCTTCTCAGTCCACCAGCGTGATAGCCCCGGTTGATCCCAGCACATCCTTTCCAATAGTACATGCATCGTACACAGTTACATCGTTCTACATCTTCTCCTACACGGCAGACAAAGGTCAAAACCGACATGCCACTACAGCCATGCGATAGCCAAAACCGGCGTTAAACTATCGCATCCTTTCCGGCCTTTTTTCAGGCTATCACATCCTTTTCAGCCTTTTGGTCAGGTTATACCCCGACTATAGCACCTAAGGGCTTCCGCACCTTGCCTGCCGTGCTACCGTCCGCTTCCTTTCATTTCCGCATTCACTCCAAGGTGATGTAGAGGTGTTTGCTCGTCAGCACGGCCGTCGCCCCAGGGATGATCACAATCGTCTGCGTGTTGTCGATGATCATCGCAGGGCCCTTCACCGTGTCCCCAGCACTGAGCGACTCGAGCAAGTACACCGGAGTATCCTTCACGCGCCCGACCCCGTCGAAGTACACGCTGTACGCCCCATCGGCCTTCGCGGGGTCGACCGCGCGCGTCTCGATGTGCGCGACCTCGTCGAACACGGACTCCCCGAGCGTGTCGAACGTCTTCCCGATCCCGCGCACCTTCACGTCGTCGACGATCACCGCCTTGCTCTCGAGCAGGAACCCGAACTCGGCCTTGTACACGCGCCGGAACGCCGCGGCGAAGTCTTCCGCGCCATCGCCGTCCGCGGGTGTGGGTAGCACCATCAACGCCGTGTCCGTACCCTCGAAGCGCATGTTGAGCATGCGCTCGGTGTGCACGCGTGCCCCCTCGAAGCCTTGCCGGGAGAGCTCCTCGCGCACTTGCGCGTCGAGCTTGTCCAAGCGCGCACGGAGGACCGCACGGTTGTCGGGCGTGTAGAATGTCGACGAGGGCTCCTGCAGCTCGAACGCCCTAAGAGGAAAGTCAGGAATAGTAGTTGGTGAATTACAGTGGAACGTACCGGTCAGCGAGAGCGAGGCCGTATGCGGACAGAATCGAACTGTAGTGGTGAATGAGGATCGTCTTGATGCCGAGCAGCTGGGCGATCTCGCATGCATGTTGGCCACCGGCACCACCGAAGCTCGCGAGGCTATATACAAACATGGTCAGCGTAGAGAGTAGAAACGGAAGTCGAGTGCATACATATGCCTAGACGTCGCGTATCCACGAGCCTCGGTCAGGGCGCGGATAGGCCTGCACATCGTCTCGTTTGCAACCTTGATGAACCTGTATGACTTTTCAGATGGCATCCTCGCTGAACGGAAATGGCACTGACCCGTAAACGATCTCGTCCAGACCCATCTTCTTCTCTTCGCTGACGGAGGCGTTGATCTCCTGCACGAGTTGATCGAAGGCGGAGCGCGACGCCTCAACGTCGAGGGGCTCTTCCTCAGACTTGCCAAAGATCTTGGGGAAGTAGTCGGGCACTAGGCGGCCTAGGATGAGATTAGCGTCCGTCACGGCCAACGGTCCTCCCTTCCTGTTGACACCGCATCAGGACTCGCATCAGCGTGTAATGCAGAGTTAAAAGCATACCTATAACACGCAGGTCCTGGCTCTGCACCCGCGCTGTGCGGTCCAGCGAGGAATAGCCCGTTCCGGAACGTCAGACATGAGCCTCCTCCAGCAGCGACGGTGTTGATGTCCAGCTGTGGTGACTGGATAGTGACCCCCGCTGTCGTTGTCTCGTACACAACCTCGTAACGACCCGCAAAGCGCGAGACGTCCGTCGAAGTGCCGCCAACGTCGATGCTAGCCCACTCAGTCAGCCCGGTACGATATTATACCGCATATATGCGCACCCAATGACCGGCGTCTTCTTCTTCTCGTCCCAGCTAGTGAGCGCATAACCGACAACGCCCCCAGCAGGACCGCTCAGAATGCTCTTCAGCCCGGAGAAGTTGTTCAGGTCGAGCAGGCCGCCGTCGCTGCCCATGAACTCCACGCGCGGGCTCCGCACCTTCCCGTCGCGCAGCTTCGCGTCGAACCCGGTGAAGAAGCCGTCGAGGTACTGCCGCAGGACGGGCGTGAGGTACGCGTCCGCGGTCGAGGACACGCCGCGCGGGACCATCTTGATCATAGGCAGCAGCTGCGAGGACGCGGAGACGTGGGCGAAGCCGAGCGTGCGCGCAAGCGCGGCGACCTGCAGTTCGTGCTCGGGGTACGTGTAGGAGTGGCAGAAGACGATCGCGATGGAGCGGTAGCCGTCATCGTAGAGCTTCTGTAGATCCGCTCGCACACCCTCGATGTCTGGGTAGCGGCAGTCAGGCGCGAGGTGTGGGGTGCATGATATTGGCAAACCGGCTCACCTGGTCTACGCATCACCCTAACTGCCTCGCCTGACAAGCCCTGCACGATCTCGCCCGGACCCTCCGCATCGCCTTTCCCATCCCACCCCGCGCCCCGGTAGCCTCTCTTCACCTGCCCGTTCTCGTCGAACTGGACCGCATGCTCCTCCGCCTTGGGATCGGACGTGTAGCCCACGAGCGTGACCCGCTCGTCGACCTCGAGCACAGCGGAGTAGAGTGGTGGCGGGCGGCGGATGTTCAGGTCGAAGATCTTCGGGCGCGATTGGTTCCCAATGAGCAGGAGGTCCCGGAAACCGCGGGTGATCAACAGCGCGTGCTTGTGGCCCTTGCGCTCAAGGAGTGCGTTCGTCGCGACCGTCGTCGACAGCCTGATGTACTCTGCGGATGGTGAACATCATGCACGCGGTCGGGTGGGGGTTGAGCGTACCGATCTTGTCGGTATTGAGCGTGGTCCCCCGCGGGATCTTCTCGCCTGTCGCGATCTCCAGTACGCGCCGGATGCCCTCCGTTGGTGCATCGTTGTAGTTGGCAGGATCCTGCGAGACTGCAGGCCGGTGTCAGGTTCCCCACGCAGATATCGGGTGGTCCAAGACGTACGGAGCTTTACGACGATCTCCTTGCGCTCGTCCGGCTTCTCCGGATCGGGGAACGAGGCGTGCACATCACAGAAGGTGCCTCCTCTGTCCGCGCATATCCTGATCGACTTGTCCGGGATTGTGGGCATTGTCACGGTACAATATCGCTCGAAGGGCTTGGTGGAGTTCGGGACAGAGCAAACGCCAGAGACAAGGGCGGCTCGCCAGCATGCTCGAGTCAGCAGTCCCAGCGGAAGAACCGGAAGACCGCTGCATCGATGTGTGAAGCCATGATAAGGCTTTACATCTGTGCGACAGCTTGGGTAGAGCAGGAGTATCTATACTGGGAGATAGTGGGAGTCGCAAAGATCATCAGTACCTTCCAGGGTGCATGCAATGCACACAAAACCCGCGAATACTGAACATGCGCGACGACGGCGACATCCATCTTCAAGGCCTCACACGTCGGTGAACATGCCTCGGTAGAGAAGGGGTATATTAACAATGCTCGATCCAATCTGCATTCCAACGCAGACCCATATCCCGGTGAGACGACATCAATTCGAGAAAGTAGAACAGTGAATGGACAGGTATGCAGACTAGGGTAACTTCGGTGCCAACCGGGAGGATCGTGGATGTAGCGGATCGTCGGGCGCAGACGACGAGGAGCGGCGAGAGGGAAAACGTGCGGAGAACACTGAAAGCGACCAATATAATGTGGATATGATGTAGAGCTTTTCGGGTTATCGGAGCATGCAGGGGGTAACATGAGCTCGAAAGCCAAAAGAAAGCAATCAGCGACACGCTTATTCCTCCTCGGGCGCGACCTCGTCCTCGTACTCGACCTCCTCCTCGACGCTAGACAAGTTGATGTCAATATCAACATCAGAGACATATAGGCGAGAACATACGTGGCGTCCTGGTACTGCTGGTACTCCGCAACAAGATCCTGCATGTTGGACTCGGCCTCCGTGAACTCCATCTCGTCCATACCCTCCTGCGTGTACCAATGCAAGAAGGCCTTGCGCTTGAACATGGCCGTGAACTGGTCGCTGACACGCTTGAAGAGCTCCTGGATCGCGGTGGAGTTGCCGAGGAAGGTGACGGCCATCTTGAGACCACGGGGGGCGATGTCACACTGCGCGGTGAGGACGTTGTTGGGGATCCACTCGACGAAGTACGCAGAGTTCTTGTTCTGGACGTTCTGCATCTGCTCCTCAACCTCCTTCATGGAGACCTTGCCACGGAAGACGGCGGCGACGGTGAGGTAGCGACCGTGCCTGGGGTCGGAGGCAGCCATCATGTTCTTCGCGTCGAACATTTGCTGGGTGAGCTCGGGGACGGTGACGGCGCGGTACTGCTGGCTTCCACGAGCAGTGAGGGGCGCGAAACCGGTCATGAAGAAGTGAAGACGGGGGAAAGGAACTATATGCGTGAAATCGGTTAAGATTTGCTGATCCATGACATCCATATCAACGTACCCATGTTGACGGCCAACTTCCTCAGATCCGAGTTGAGCTGACCAGGGAAGCGCAAGCAAGTCGTGATGCCGGACATGACGATGGACACGAGGTGGTTGAGGTCACCGTACGTGGGCGTCGTCAGCTTGAGTGTCCGGAAGCAGATGTCGTAGAGCGCCTCGTTGTCGATACAGTACGTCTGGTCGGAGTTCTCGACAAGCTGGTGCACGGAGAGCGTTGCGTTGTAGGGCTCGACGACGGTGTCGGACACCTTCGGCGAAGGCACGACGGAGAACGTGGCCATCATACGATCGGGGTACTCCTCACGGATCTTCGAGATCAAAAGCGTACCCATGCCCGCACCGGTACCACCACCCAGGGAGTGAGTGATCTGGAAGCCTGGAGGCGTAGGCCATCAGTATGTTGTGACAGATTGTAACAATTGTGTCACGCAGCGTCACACATGGAATGAAAGCTTACCCTGCAGGCAGTCAGTGCCCTCAGCCTCCTTGCGGACGACGTCGAGAACGGAGTCAACGAGCTCGGCACCCTCGGTGTAGTGACCCTTCGCCCAGTTGTTACCAGCTCCGCTCTGACCGAAGACGAAGTTGTCGGGGCGGAAGAGGTTGCCAAGGGGGCCCGAGCGGACGGAGTCCATGGTTCCAGGCTCCAGATCAACGAGGACTGCACGGGGCACATACTTGTTCGCGCCGACTTCGTTGTAGTAGACGTTGATCCGCTCGAGCTGGAGGTCGTTGTTGCCCCTGTAAACACCGTCCGACTCGATGCCGTGCTCATCGGAGACAACCTCCCAGAACTTGGCACCTGTGAGGGTGTCAGACAATCATATCCAGCGCCCATCGTATTCGACGCCTCTCACCGATCTGGTTACCGCACTGTTTGGAGATAGCGATTGGGATCAATGGAAATCGACAGATGACACGTAGTACTCACCTGGCCGGTCTGGAGGTGGACGATTTCACGCATTCTACACGACAACGTCAGCAGAGAGCAATCAACGCGTCAGACCAAAAACTTCAGAGCAGCGCGCCGCTGTGGTCGCGGTATCGGCCTCCAGCAGCTCGCAGCTCCAAGATGGGACGAAACGACGCGAACGACACGTACATGAGGGAGTAGAACTCGGACTAGTCGAGGGAGGGGTCGTTAGAGGATGGGGTACCAGGGAGGGACGAGGTCAAAACGGAAACGTCGTTGAGGTCTAGGGTGTCAATATTCAGGCGGAGACCGAATCGCCAAACTCAATGGGGCTCTCCGCCACCGCGAGAGTATCGAAGCACTCCTTCCCTCTCCTCCGTCCGCGCGTAAACCCCATTCCGACTGCCCCCATCACACGTTGCCTGCTCTGTATCCTTTTATTCGGCTGTCTGCTTTGTTTGTGGAAGGAGCAGCGACGTGCAGCACAAAGCAGACTCACTGCGTAAAACCCTCTTCTAGCACACATGCGGCGTGACCGTGCTACAAAGGCGGGTTAATACTAGTGGCTAGTGAGCTAGGTAGGGTAGCGCGAATTTACCTGAGGGTGCGCGGCGTTACCGGGTATCGGGTAGTTATAGGCCATCGAGATAGCCCAGTAAGGCCGGTGCTATAGTGCACGGCGCGTGGTAGTAGCAGTGTGGACAAGAGGTGAAGATATCATATAGCAGAGCTGACACAACAACACGCGAGGCGGCCTAGTCGCACTACGAGCGAGAGACCACTAGAAGGACTAAGCAGGCAGACGTATAGGGAAAGAGCCTTGATCATTGCTCTGGGCTCGCTCCTAGGACCCGACGTTTCTGGACCGGATTACTTATAACCACAAATAGGCTATTGATTAATACTACGTAGTACGCGTACATGTCAATAAGTAGTACAGCCCGAAGCCTGGTCGACCATTGACCCGTCCTGCGCAGTGCAGCGCACTCGCCATCCTCCAACTTCGACCCGGAATACGCCACCATCCTTCGCTTGACCGGTCGGGCTCTCAGCTGCCGTCTTGTGTTGAGAGCTTGTGGACCCTAGGGGTGAACAGGTGAGCATTTGCGAAGGATGCAAGAGTAGTTTTGAGCATACCGGCGCAATATCAGAAAATGCTTACCATAAGGCTGCCAGGGGGGCAACCTGCGGCCTTGCCGGTCATATTCGGGCCCTGTATGGTGTTATTCGCTGCAAGCTGCTGTGCAGACGGAGGATGAACTCACCATAGAGACATAATAAGCTGATATCTGTCACCGCGCGAGCCCACGCACCCTTCCGCGCCAGATCGCGCTGCGGATCCTAGTGGAACAGGGCAAGAAGAACGAAGTCAGCTGGACGCTCGGTGTGCTCGCACGTTGAAGAAGTAAGTCTCGGACGAGGCACCTCACTGAGACTGATGTCCTCGAAGTGGTTCGTGTTGAAGATCTCGAGGAAGCGGAGCGTGGTGTCGCCCGTGTTCTCAACGTGTCGAAGAAGGCCGGCACGAAACCGACGTCTTCCGCCTGCGCAGAGGGTTCACGATGCGGAGCGGCCGAACACGTAATAGACGACATACCTCGTAGTTGAACGTGCGCGCGTTGCTGCGCGTGGAAGTTGACCTGCAGACCTCCAAGAGGGACGGTGAAGGATGAGCGGAATCGATTGGGGTGGCATGATCGTAGTCGTACAGGGCTGTGGGTGAAATTTCGAGGGCTATTTAATGACTTTGCTACCCACACGTATAGAGCATAACGTGGCTTAGATAGACGACTCGACGAGACCAAGCTGCAGCCAGACGCGTTATGTCGTTTCAAGGTAGCACGAGCCTCGCCCGTGGCGTACGAACGCCAGTTCGTGCGAGACCACCTGGCACCCCGGACACCATACACCGCGAGTCTGTCTCGCGCGGTGTAGCTCCAACTCTGACTGCACTACGTAGGGCGTATCGTGCCTACTTACAACTACTTAGTCTCTCAAAGGTCAGTATCAGGTGGCTACCCATTATCTCTCATGCCCTTCCTCACCAGCACTCACTCGTCCGTGGTGGACGACGTTGGCGGTTTATGCAGTGACTCAGCCCGGAAGTTCGAATACGCGGTATCGTCCCATGAAGCGCCCATATTGTCGCGCGACTGCAACGCGGCGGACATGCGTCGCTTGACACACTCCGTTGGTTCAGATGACTCCTGCCTTCACCGAAAAATGAAAGAAGACTGCAGGCAGTAGATCGAACAGGCAGTGTGATAAGACTGGCTCGTGCAGATTTTACGACCAACTTGGGTCCTCCAATTGCTAGCGCTCTTCCACTATACCTTACATGCGGACGTATGTATCCCGCGAGCCATTGCGCATGCTTGAGGTGTACGTACATCACGGACGAATGTCCACTACACCTCGCTACTTCGAACAGCTTTATAACGTTATTGATGAGACTCGGAACGAGATGAGATGAACGTAAGAGCACGGTGCTTGCCATGCGGGCCAACTCAACCGATTCAATCAAAGCTCATGGTTCAATATTCAATTGGCACGATAGATAGAGTAGCGTGAACAAGAGTTCGGGCGCAGGCCATGAATAGAAGCTATCATGGACACATCGGCGTATGCGAAACGCATGCTGTTCGCTACAGTCAAAGGCACAGACACTCGATGTGCGTTGTATGTTTGAGGAAAGGCATCCCTCAGATAGCAGCCGGCGTACATCCGGACAGACTTGTTAGCTGCGAGGGGCAGTTCACCTGCTTGTAGGTAGTTTGCCTATCGGGTATCGGTCAGTTGAAGCCTTGTGCTTATCCACGCGACATACCATTCGTTCACGTCGCCACCGGCCCTGGGATATGCAAAAGGTAAGAAAAATCAATTTTTTAATATGCCGGGAAAGTAGGCGCACCATTGCCAACGCCAGTGGCACCCGGCTTGCAGGTTCGACGGCAGCCGGGAGCATTCGGCATCCGAAGTCACGCCTGAGGTTCAAATGTCAGGATGTTTAGCCCTGGGCTGAAGGGAGGCGCTCCCAGTATACGCACCTCCGTATTGTCTTCCCCACCCTCCGGATGGAGCGCCGTATTGGGCCGTGCAGGCGTTGAAGTCTGTTCCAGCTGTTAGTTTGAAGTCCAGCAAGGAGAGGGCTGTAGGACGCACCTCCGACACCTCCACCTGGAGTCTATCATTGTCATGATGTTCATCAGTCTTTGTCGTGATATAAGTTATCAGAGTAGTTAAACGCACGTAGATGTCGAAGTCTGTGTCCGTGATACCTGTTGAACATCGTCAACTATACCGTACGTGAGCTAGTGTAAACGACACACCTCCAGCGTTGATCGCTTGCACGATCATGGACTTGCCTGCACCGGCACCCGAAGTCCAGGTGAACTCGTAGCACTTGCAGCCTAATCAGACGGCATGGAGACATATAAGTCAGTCTGCACGCACAGAGACACGCAATACTTACAAGTGGCAGTAGCGGTGTTCCCGTGCCCAGCGAAGCCGTACGAGAGCGTGCTGTTCACGATGATCGGCTGGTACTTGTCGCAAGAGAACGACAGGGTGCCCGAGGATGCGAAGCACGCGTTCTGCGCTCCGGCCGCAGCGGCGCCGTTGGTCTTGCTACAGGATTGCACAGGCCCGCGAGCACCTGGGAAGGAAGAGCGAACGATCGTCACGTAACCTCGCCATGCAAACATGGGAGTGTCGCGCACCTGGAGAGAGGTTCGAGACGTATCCGCATGCGGGCTCGCAGCTATGTAATAAGTGAAGACATGTGCTTTGGATGGGTGACGAGTAGACGTACCAGTCCCAAGTCGTCGTCGTGGTACCTGTTGTTTGCCCGTGCGCGAGGATGACAACAGAGAGCCCGGAGAGCAAGCCAAAGATCGCTTTGAGAGAGAACATGTCGCTCGCTGTTCGTATACGCCGCAACGATGTCTTCTGACCATATGCCGCCCAAGGTGATCTTATATACGCAGCTCGAGCCCGCTACATGCGCATGTGCTGCATCACACGATAGGCGCGGCTCCAGACCATATGTTCCCGAACAGGAGTTCCACCGATGGAGCGACCTTCGGCGGACGCTAAGTTGACCCAGCATAAGATGGCAATGCATAGAGTTCGAAGGTCGGATGACGGCCCACGCTTCGATTTCGTCCATGGGATGATGTCTCTGCGCGCTTAAAACACGGGATGCGGCTCCATCCCGAAGATCACCCTGGGGCCTGTTGTTAGCAGGTATAGCCTCCGAGCATCGTGAAGCACAGCAACACCACCGGCAGCAGTGTACTGGACACGTCCCATGCATACATGCACATCGGGATGCATCCCCGTGAATACTGCTCCAAATGGGAATTCCCGACTTGGACACGATGTTGGTCCGCCGCAGGTCATACAACGAATTGGACGCTCGGCTCAATGGGTGCTTCTAGACTCGAGAACAGCACTGGGAGAACATGTATTAGATTTAGCGACTGCTCACCTGGTCCAGTGTGAATTTACGAATTTGTGAGGCACGACAGCGGGCTGCTTGCAGATGGCGCCGGGGAGGATATATGGGTACCACTATGAACACACTTCAGGTAGAAGGGGAATTGAACAGCAATTTGCAAAGCTATCGGATATCATGTATACATGCGAACAGCGACAGTCTACCAATGCGACCCAAAGGATCAGTTCACAGGAATTGCTCGAGTAGATTCGTTACTCATAGACGCACCTAACGTTCTATTCCATGCTCAGCCGGGATCTCGAGCTCATCCAGTGCCTTCCGACCACGAGTCGCCCAGTGGTTCAGCACCTGCTCGTCTTCGAACCACATCACCTGAGGCGTCTCCGTCTTCTCTATAGCTGTACTCTGTGCCGGGGAAGATGGGACCGGCGCCGCAGTCTCTTCGTCATTACCCACATCCACAAACTCCGCAGTTTGTGCTTCCTGGTCCCCAGTTGAATCGCGCATGCGCTGCCGTTTCTTCTTCCGCTTCCGGAGCTTGTCCGTTTCTTCGTCGGCGGGCTGCACGGCAGATGCGGCCGTCGACGCGTTCTTGACAGATAGGTCGCTACCGTCTGACTGCACAGCAGCCTCCTCTTGTGCAGATGTGTTCTTCGAGCTAGGTTGGCCCGCAGGACTGCCACGTCCTCTACCTCGCGCCTTGCCGTTCGGCGAGCGTGCCTCCGGTGGTCCAACTGGCCCCCAAAGTCCGCCCGAGCGTATCCAAGCTGCGACGTTTGCTTGCGACTTGATCTCGTCCAAGACACCGATGACTGCAAGCAGCGTCTCGTCGTACGACCCTTGCGGCTTTCCACCAGCCTCCAACTGTTCCAGGAGCGCGGCACGTTTCTGGAGCTTCTTCTCCTTCCGTTTGCGTTTCTTCGACGTCTCAGCTGCGGCAGATGCCCCATCATCCAATCCATCACCGTCCGGAATCGGCTCCGCGTCGTCTTTCGGAACAAGTGCCGTAGGAGAGTCCTCCGGAGCAAGGAGTTGATGATTGGAAGTTGACGATGGGACCTCAGCCATTTGCGCATCCAGTTGTTGGCGCGCGTCGACGGCGGTCTGCCACTCTTGCTCTTTCTGCAGACTCTCGAGGTCCTTCGCGCGTCGTTCTCCGGAGTACTCGCCAATACACACGTGATTGTATGGTTGCAACTCGGCTTTGCGAGGAGAGTCGTCTAACAGGAGCGTTGTGAGCGCAGAGTGCGCTTGAGGAGTGATCGATATGTTGTCATCGCTCGGACGCGTCGGGCTGGACGGTTCTGGCGATGTACGGGGAGTGCTGGCGATGGAGGAGTGCGGTGAGGAGGGTATATGCGCGCTTTGCTGCGAGAGAAACCCCCATGGCTTCGCCAGATCCTTCACAGTCTGCACTTTGCGATCTGTAGCAAGCGTTATGACTTGAAAATGTTACTGTGTTCAATGCTCTTACGATAGTGATCGCTGGATAGGCCGAGCGTGTCGCGAGCCCAAATGACAAGCAGCTTCTCTTTCTCTTCGCCAAAGCACCTATCCACCATATCTCCAACGCTATGTGGCTGAGCGGACGACCAAACCATCACATCCAGCCACGCACTAGTCTGAGGCGTGAAGAGGTAGGATCTGAATGCGCGCATGTACGGTCGGGGGTGCACCGGCCGCAAGCGCGGCAGCCAGTTTCCCTGCTCGTCGCGCGGGCGATCCTCTTGGAGCTGCTGGTGCCTGGTCTTCGGTCGCGGATTATGCGGGGAGCGGTGGAGTAGAGTGCCATTGAGATCCAGCACAAGAAGCTTCTTGGAGGCAGATGGCTCATCGATGCACGACGGTGCTTGCGCCGCTAGTGAGAGGTATGTTGGCGAGGGCGGTCGTATAGGGGGAGGCGTGACTGAACGGTCGTCGCGCATTGCTCTCGGGGCTCTCGGCGGCGACCCAGTGAGCGGCGATGATTTAGTGCCCGCCGGCGGCATACGCCCATAACCTCGATAACCTGAATGTTCGGGTCTTGCGCTGTCTACTCCGCGAGATGGGTTGAAGGCGCTCTCTCTGGATATGGATGGACGAACCATGATGAGAGCTCTGGGATTGGGGTGGCATTTGGTAGCCCTCACCCTCATAGTCAACGCGTCCGCGACCGCTGGAGCCGCCATGGAAACCGCGACGCTGCCCGTCCATGGAAATTCTGCGCAGGCGGCAGAGTATCCTGCTCGAAGACTTAAACAGCTTTGGAGAAACTTAGAGAAGGGGATGATGGTGGAGAGTTGAAGAGGAACGCGACGCTAACGGCACCATGTTCTACAGAGACGCCCGCGCGGGTACAGATCGCGACGTCCCGCACTGTGCACGTTGTACGCGACGGCGACCGCCGCCCTGTCGACGACGCGGTCCACGATAACAAACTCATACTGGCTTCCTTCATCCCCGCCATGGCTCGTCTCCGTCGTGATACCCAAGACTCAGCCGGCATGACCCTCCAGCGCCCCCTGCGCGTCGTCGCGTCCGGCACGCTCTTCCTCACGAATAACCTCGCGCTACCCACCCACCCGGAGCCCAACTCAGTCGTCCGCGCGCACTCGGTCTTACGCGTCAGGGGAGGATCCGCAAGCACATGCATGTCAATTGCCGCACAGTTCCCTGCTGTAGAGGCCATGCTCGTTGCGCCCCTCGGCGGGAACGATGAAGGGCGTATGATCATCAACGAGCTCGAGCAGGAGCGAGTGAGCACACGATTCTGCAAGGTCTGGCAAGAAGCTGGGGTACCTAGTGCCTGGGTCTTGCAAGCAGGTGAGCCCGAGTTTTGGCGAACTATTGGCACTCGTGATATTGGTGCCTACATGCGCTCACTCGTATCATTTTCCTAATAAGTTGTCCTGTAGAACATGTCTGCAGGGCATGTTTTACAGAACAAGGGTTTGGTTGTTCATATGCGTCAATCTCACAATTTGCGTCACACGCTGCGCAACACGCGTCTCGGAATTGTGAACGTTCGTCGTTCGCACCCAGCTCGCATCTGCCGCCACACCAGCCCGCTGCTCCTTTGATATGCTAAGAAGCTGAGATAGATATGGTATTCCCGTGTCGACAGGGCGGCGGGAGCGGGCGAATATAGCGAAGCTCGTAAGAAAAGCGTCGCCTAGTAAAGCACGCCGTGCTTGTTTAATTGGTCGCCATTAGGACAATCGGGCGGCTTGGCTTCCATCTATTCCTTACTATACTTCGCTACATGCTTGGTCTAAAGGGCTGGACTTTCTGTTGTCTACACGCCTCTTACCATCTTCAATTTCTGACTGGGAGCCACAGGACTGAACAAGACGATCTCTGACGAGTTCTTCAGATGACACAGATAGTCGTACAGTTATTAACAACAATCCCCTCCCCGACATCACGCACGAGGAATTCATCTCTCTTCTGGGACCGCTACTGGTTCCGGAAAATTATGCATATATGAACACACCCGTCCCAGCGACGCCTCCGGCCACAGCCCAGCAAACACCTGCCAACGGTAACTTGGCCCCGGGAAACGCCGCGCAATCCCGACCGTCCACCTCTGCAGGGAGACCACCCATAAATAGCCCTGCACCCGTCGATTGGATCCATTTTGAAGGACGCTCGGTTAAGACGACTCTGAGTAACATCATGGGTCTTGACGGCCTCGCGCGGGAGCGAAAATGGAGGAGCCATTGCGTCTTTAGTGTGGATGTCGGTCGACGTGCACGACAAGGCGTCGAGGCGGTACGCAGTTCTCTGGCTATATCAACTTACCCAATGATACGATGGTACTCATGCATCTATTTGACAGCTTATCCCGCATGCCGACGTGATATTTTTGAACAAATATTACGCGCGTGCCCATTCGCCCCAGTACGCGGCCTCGCCACGAGCCTTCCTGCTTTCCCTTACCAGCATCGCACCCCGACATGCCCTGCTCGTCGCCCATTGGGGCAGCGATGGCGCCGCAGTGCTCTCCGTCCCTACCAGGGAGTACTTTCAAAGCACCGGGTGGGTCGACACAAGCACGCCGTCCTCGGCAAATGGTCCCATGATGTCGCCCAGGGCGGGCGGACCAGAAGAGACTGACAACCAGTCGGTACGGTCTGGGAGCGACTACTGGGCGGGTGACCACACAGAGTCCTCGAGCACGTTCACCGCCGACCTGCTCTCTTCTACACCGCAGCGGCACGGGCGGGGAGCTGCCTACGAGGAGACGCCGAAGCCCGCCAAGCAGAAAGGCGGTCGCGTGAAGAATGGGAAGCGCGCTGCATACAGGAGCCCCGACCGGGACGATGGGGACTCGTCCGACTCGGACGGAACGATCGCGGGGCACGGCGGTGGGCAGAGACAGAACGCGGATGCACCCCGAGGCCGCCCCCAGCCTCCTCCTTCCAATGAAATTGTGGACGAGGTTGGGGCACAGGACGCGTTTGTTGCGGGAATGATGTGGGCGCTGAGTCGCCGCTTGCTTCCGGGCGAGCCGTATACCCCCTCCGCGGTGCCTAGAGACGGAACCGCCGCAGACGCGGATAGGGAGAGGGGCCGATGGCGCCTTGAGGAATGTTTGCGGTAAGTCAACTGTCTCTCAATAACACATACGACTTTGCTGATACTCTGTAGGTTTGCGACCGAGCTGGCTGGAAGGAAGGGAAGGCGAAAGGGCTGGGCTGGGTTGGCGGAGGAGATGTCCAACGCTGGATGGTTTGATGCTTGATATATCTATCTTCTTTTATCTCTATTTCTAATGCGCTACGTGTATACCCAAACATTTACGATCATATCCCGTGCTATTAGTTCATTCATTTCGCCTTGTCGCGGTTCACCCATGTTATGATCAGCGTCTGAACCGCACATAGTAATCTGTGGCTGTGCAGCGGCAGAGTGAGTCGTTCAAGAAGTTGGCTCTTCTCCTGGTCCCCACAACCACGCCATGACCACTCAAGCAGCGTCACCGACGATTGCGCTCATTGAGCATGCGGATAAGATATCTCAAGGAGCCGAAGCCGTAAGTCGCACTTGTTTTTAAAGGAGACCCGTCCATCGACGCTCAATACCTGAACCGCTCCTTGATCATAGAAAATCTATCGAGTGCAGCTGCATCCAGCGGGGAGCGCGGATGAGGCCTCGCCGATTGCCACAGAACACGTCCTGCTAAAACACAGGTTTCATAAGCAGTATCGGCATCCGACTCTGGACGCATCTCTGACAAAGTCCCGCGTTGCGGGCGAAGCGCGCGCGCTTCTCAAATGCGTCAGGTATGGCGACCGATCCTTTGCTCTAGCCTTCCCCAATAATTTCTAACACTCCGTTATCCGTAGAACTGGTGTAAATGTGCCGGGTATCCGTATGGTTGATGCACCCGAAGGCGTCCTCGGTATCGAATGGATCGATGGCAAGAGCGTTCGCTTCCTCCTTGGAGGAGGCGCAGAGGGTGAGGAAGAGGGCGAAGAAGACGACGAATCCGCTGAAGATACCGTCGAAACGGAGGAGGAGCCTTTAAAAGAGTTCAACATATCACAAGGCAAGCCACTAACAGCATAACGCAACGAGAAATCATCTCATCCTCTGCACAGATTCCGTCATGGAGTTGATCGGGACAGAGATCGCCAAAATGCACCAGGCGGATGTCATCCACGGAGACCTCACGACATCGAATATGATGCTCCGGCATCCGTCATCGCAAAAAGGCCTACAACTGGTAAGTCCAATGACAGCTTCCGATCACTTCTACTCACGTATTATAACATATACAGGTCCTTATTGACTTCGGGCTAGCGTTTACGTCGACGCTGGTCGAGGACAAGGCCGTCGATCTCTACGTCCTCGAGCGCGCATTTGCGTCAACGCATCCACAGTCGGAGCCGCTCTTCGCTGGCGTGCTGAAGGCATACGAGAAGAAGATGGGCAAGGATTGGTCGGCGATCTCGCGTAGGCTCGACGATGGTAAGAGCCGTAGTGCTACGGAACCCGCTGGGATAGTGCTGATGCTTTGTGTTAGTGAGACTGCGTGGCCGTAAACGGAGCATGGTGGGCTAGATCATGCGGGTCCGACTTGAAAGGATGTACGAGTGGAGAAGAAGCCAAGAAACAGAACTCGATGATACTGTATCGTTGCCCGTAATTGGTTATCAACCCATCATTTGGACAGCACTGTAACTACATATATGCGGCATCGTTCCTGTCGCATGATTTTACGGCATTCAGGGTCAACTTGTGTGCCTCCTGTGTATGATGTCTCCACAATCGACAAATATGTGCTGAGCTTGAGCCGAGGCCTGAAGCTAGATGATACTGCTCAAGTGTTCACGAGAAGACCGAGGACGTGCGTCGTCACGCTGCGTATGATTGCTGGCCGTGTTTCGCGCCTGACGTCAACGGTGACTTCCCCACTATGTTAGCACGAGCAGACTAATTTCCTCGCATGCGTCGTCCATTATGATGTCCCGGTTGAATGCGTACCTTAACTGTACGTCGCGCAGGGCACACCAGCCCGCGTGTAGGTATTCTTCTAAGCAATGGCGCCCCTCCTTGTATTCAAGGCTATATGCCGCGAGCTGCGACACAGCTCGAACTGGAGAGGCGCCTCACGCTGTCAAGCTTCCGGACCACATAAACTCCTGGGCACGACGGTGCTCCCAATGCATGCCAACGTTTTCGAGCGGAATTTGAGGCGTCTGCGCAAGGAGAAACCTCTGTGATCTATAGCAATATATGTGTTGCTCAGGACGCGTGCACAGACGGAAAACTGCAGAACTCCCGTGAGACCATGGATAGGACGCCACAGCAAGCTTTACGCACCTATGCTAGCACATCTCCGAGTGCATTCCATATCTTCACTCGTCCTCGTATCCCTGCACTGGCCTCCGTTCACGTTTGGGTACTGTGGTCCGCGTCAGTTCCGCCTGCGCACCCATACCCGCCAGCATAGCTTCGCCTTGCTCCTCCGCACTTCCCAGAAAGATAGAAGAAAGCGACTCACCAGGATAGCTTGTGGGGATTGGGTCGGAGTACCTGTACCCCAGCGTCTTGCGGATAGGCGGGACAGTGACGAGCATAACGGGTCCAATGAGGCCAATGACGAGCGAGTAGAAGATGACAGGCTGCTCGTGCGCCTGGCGTTGCTGCATACCGCGCCGGACGTCGTTAGTTCAGCTTAGTTTATTGAACAAGGTAGATGTGCGTACGAGGTAGCGGTATGTCTGCCGGAACGAGAAGAGGGAGGCCATGGTGGCGGATGGCGAGCAGGTGAGGCTTGGCGACGTCGCTGCTCTCCGGGATGAACGTCACGCCCAAGGCTGGGTCACCAACAAATCACGGCGTCACATTGTCGTCACATTCTACTGAACGCCGGATCTCGCTAGCCAATCATAGCGTCCCGGTTTTAATCATATAGACGTAGGCTCGTAAACCAGCACGAGTTAGTTCTGCGGATGACAGTGGTTAGAATAGAGGCTGGACTATCCTATGAGGGGAGGTGTGGGTGAACCCCGTGGGAACGATGCGCCAAAAAGCGTCTCGACGTCTTCCCTCGCCTGCCAAGTTCTACGTAGCGGAAAATCTTCAGAAGATACGAAGTGGTTTGAAGTACACATGTTTCCTCTAGAATATGTTTCTATCATGATATGTAGCTCACGGCCCGCTATGGAGGAGCATATATATTATAAGTTAGTTTCCGCCAGGTGTCATCTTGTCCAACTCCACTTCCTCGATAGGCGTCTCCAAATCAATATCTTCATTTGCTAGCAGCCCTTCCTCTAAAGAGTGTTCTTCGATAAGCGTTGGCGCCTTCGGTTGTTCTGTTGCATTCCGTTTGCTAAGCTATATCATAAAGAGTTGTATTCAGCAAAATAATATCAGAACGCGCTCGCCTGTGTTGAAGCTTACCACTACGTAGACTGCAGATGATAATATGATGACGGTTCCGAGTAAGGAGAGCCAATTTGGCAACGTGTTGAAGAAAATGCGTTCGAAGGCCATGGCGAAGATTACCTGCCAAATGTTCAAATGATTAAATAGTGCATTCAGGGGTTGGGAAGCGCATTACCTGTACGTAGATCGCCATTGTTCCTCTCCCAGCAGTTTCGCGTTGAAGACCAGTAGTCATAGTCATCTGTGAAAGCACAAGACGGTCAAACTATCGTGTCATGTCGTACCATAGATGCGGCCTACCTGTGCAGCGAACCCGCATGCACTGACTGCTATGACCATCAAAATGGAGCCGAGGTTGTCAGGAACGACGGCGGGTGTGCGGGTCACGACCATCCTTTCACCCATTTCCCAATAAGCATAACGTGGAAATGTGGATTATTGAGAAGCACGTACGCGACAGGGGCGGTGACGATGCAAACGAGCGCAAAAGCAGCTAAGTTGTGCATAGGATGAGCGCGTTTGCCTATGGCTCGTATCGTCGTATCTGTTTAGCGACAACAGTTTATCAGTGACAGGTGGGGGAGGGGTTGGTTCTGGCGTACATGCTGTCGTAAGACCTACGACACCAAGGAGGGCCACGCTGCAGACAATCGATGAGCTCAAGGGGTTGCAAGATGGGTACCGAGGCCGTCTTACCCCACCGCACCCAAACGTTGCCCAGGCGTCACTATACGACCTGACGCCGCTTCATTGTCAAGTCCATCGGCGGAATGCCGTCCGAACAAGAAGTCCGGGCGGGCGATCAACACCACGCCTACAAAGCTGAAGGCTGCGTGCATAGTAGAATGAGCCGCATATTACAACACGTTCGCACATGCGGGTCAGCGTACGTACCACTAGCTAGGGCTTGTTTTCCCGTAAGATCCTCTTTCAGAAAAAGCGCCCCAGTGACAGCGGTGCACATTGGTGTCAGAAATGAGAGAACTGTGGTGTCCGATAGCGACAAATACTGCAGGGCGTAGTAGGTTCCGAAAAGCCCTACAAAGCTAGAGTAGAGACGGGTAAGTGAAACGGACGATTGTGTAAACGGGAGCGGTTCACCCTGCTAGACCTCTCATAGCCAGGAGAAGCCGGATTTCCTTCGGCCCCAGTATGGGGCTCGGCACTCCTGAGGCTGACCTGTACGAAGTCGGCTCTCAAAACTCAAGGTCAGGGGACCCTGCGATGAGCTTACATGTAAACAATGCATACCGCCCAGGTCATAACCTAACATCCTGTCAGTCGGTATGACGAGGGGCGCTCATTTTGCAACGCACCATACGTATCCATATCAACTAAGAGACGGAAACCGTCAATCATCCGAATGCACTTCGATGTAATGCCGACTCACCTCGGCAGGCGGAACTCGAGGTTCTATCGCGTTCAACTTCTTGACGAACACACCCATGAGGGATGTGAATGCTTGAGAGAGCGCTATCAGAAGCAGCCCTGTATTATTGTCGAATACATCTGCGGACTGGCGAGCGACTCGGCGTAGGAAACTTGGCCGATGACCAACAAAGCCCGAGTCGCTATCCATGGCTTGTGGGGGGCGAAGATGGGTTATATCCCCCGTGTCGGTCTCCAGCGGGCACGCGTGGATACGTCGGTATCGATCAAAGCGCTCCCCGCTCAGGATGTCGAAGCCGATGAAGTATCAAGAAGAGAACCAGACCCGCACAGTCTACCTGAGGTATCGCCGTAACACAAGTTCTCCGCAGTCTGGACACGGCGGTCGAAGTCAACGTTGTAATGAGTCTCAGTGCCGTCGTTTTTCTGTGCCAGGTACCCTGAGAAACTGTCAGTACACGTAAGGCATTGATACTTGTATCACCCACCCGTGAGAGCCTGAGCTCAGCAAAAACGATTGCATGTATGCACAGGACTTCCTGTCTTCGTCGGCGGCCGGCTAGCCGCGGCGCTACGCACACGCGTGCCATGCGGTCAGTGGTCACTCCCCTCACAGCAAACACATGAATATGTAGTGCCAAATCCTCCTTATTTCACGGCGATGTATCCTTATCTTGCAAGGAAAGAGGCAGATAGGAGTGAGCGCAAGACGGTCAAGTTGGAGGTTCAGAGAGACTCAGAGACGTATATTGGGGCGCTTATTCGCTACGCGGTCGGCATGCTCAACTTGGTTAGAACCACCATGTTCGCCAGCTCGCTCATCGGTACGTCTGCCTAGGGGAGACTAATATTTGCCATAAATGCCCTCTCGACGAATTTCTCTCATTTCTTTGTCGTCTGCGTAGCTCAAGATACACAAGCATCTAGTCGGGAAAGCCTCAGCTGAGCGTCAACCGTTCCGAATACACGCATGGCATTCGTCTCACTATCGTCTCAACTTGGACGGCGATATTCGTGACTTGTATAAGGACCTCGAAGCATCCTCCAGTATAAGTACCTTGTTTACAGTTCGGACCCAAACGCAAGGCTCGCGAGAGGTATGCCTTACACGGGACGGACCAGAAGGGAGGTGCGTGACCGGCAAAGCCTATCCAATTCAATTGGCCGGACCTGCGACGATTGCGAGCCAGACTTGCACCTGGCCGGACCACAATGGGGTCGACTCAGGTAAGCTTAGGGTGGACCCACTTGTTTTGTACATCCGTCAGCTTTCGCACAATGAATCACTCACAGGCGTCATGCGGCAGGCGGCTCCAGCCATGGCCGTATACAACTAAAACGCGACTTTGGCCTATGATGACAAAACAAATGAGGGCTTTTTGTGAGACTTTCGCCATTTCACAGACCAAATCGACCCCAGCAAGGACGTCGTATCCGTCATGCGGACCAAAACACGAAATTTCGACACCTCCTGTATAAGGCCTCTGGGAGGCTTATCCAGGATCCTCTTGTATAGGCCCCTCCGTTCCAATCATGGTAGGAGAACCTTTCAAAGCATACGCACATCAGCGTTCGTACGCGTAAAGAGTAACTCGACCTCCGTCTAACTTTCCGTCTCCCCATTTTACGTTCACATGCGGCATGCAGGAGTCGCACGATCCAGAATGAAGCTTCTCACATCCGATCCGGCTCTGTGATCGTCCCGCTGAACCGTCTGAGAGCAGATCTTCCATCCAACAGGATCCGATCCCTGCTTCCCGTCACCGTGGCAAAGTGGGGATGTCCAATCTTGGTCTGTGCTGCCTTGCGCATAGGTACGTGCACCGCTCCATACGCGCTGTCGAGACCAGTTTTCAATCCATGCTCTAGGTTCGGGCCTATGTCTCCCGACGAGCGTACGGCACGCCACACGTCAGACATTTTGACTTCCGCTGCAATGGGGCCTGAGCAGCTGGGCGTTCTCCGCGCTACCCCCGATCGTCCATCAAGGGGGCGAAGCTCTGCGCTCGCCATCAAGTGCCGAGCGCTGAGCGCATCCGTGCATACTGAATGCAATTCCCCGTCGCCGTGGCTTCCGTCAGGAGTTGGGATCCGCCGGCGGTTTTCATTGTGTTCGTTGCACATGCTTCGCTGCGCGTGCCTAGGATGCTGTCCAACTTTCCGCTCCCGGTATAATAGGACCTTGCGATTGCGATGCCGGCGGACGACCTTGCGCACATCTCGCCAGGCATCTAGTCGCTCTTTCTCTGCTATGAACTCGTCTTCCCCCAATGCTGCTGCCTCAGATCCTTTCGCCACTCTCCCCAAAATACCTGCGCTAGATAACACCTTCGGTGCGCTGCTCATCGGGTGCTTCGTCGGTTTCATGTGCGTTCACGGCAGGTCTATCCGTCGTACTAGGGAAATACTCACGTACACCTACAGACAGTATGGCTGGACCGCAAATCAGTGCTATACCTACTTCCGCATGTACCCTGGAGATAGGTTGATCCTAAAAGGTCTAGTAAGCATGATATTCTCTCTGCGGTACCAGGTTCCGGTTAACGCTTGAATTGCGCAATCTCAGGTGGCTACAGTGCTGTATGTGTCGTATTTTTGCTATCTGACCCGAAAAACTGACCACTTCGTGTAGCGTCCTGGAGACGTTCCACACCGTATTATGCATGCACATAATGTACGCCGCATTTCAAAGTTGGTGGCGTTGCGTCCGGACGCAGCTCACGCCGGGGCGCGCCCCCTTCTCTTAGTTACTATTACCTCACGACAAACTACTTCAATCCCATCGCATTACAGGAAGGCGTCTGGTGAGTGCCCGGGCCCACTCCGTGCCTGAGGAGCTTATGGGCTGATTATTTCTAGGTCTATCAACGTAAGCCGTACCCCATTCCTTCGTGTGGCGTCGAGTGCGCGCTTCTAACGGCTTTCCGCAAACAAGCTTCTTGGAGTTATTACGGTGCGTTTCAGGGGTCGCGGTCGCGCTGCGCGGATATGCTCAGTGCAATCTTTCCGCAGGGCGCGGTCATATTAGCTTCGCAGAGGTGAGTACACGCGGACGCCAAGGATTACTCACGGGCACGTACAAGGGCTGACTATTCTGGCAGCTTTTTCTTGCGGCGTGTGTGGAAGAGTACGTTGTGCGAAATTCTCTATGATGGAGTCACAAGACTGACGAGTGTACAGTTGGACGTCAGTTTAGGCCCTTGGTGGCCGTGGCGGTACGTTGTTTGTCTTACGCCGTGGTATCGGACTGAATGGAAAACCACAGGCGATTCTCCTCTTAGGAGAGTTCGGTAAGTCTCTTATAAATTTGAATGGACATATGCTGACTGATCTAACGCAGGCTTCGCGACCGGTGCGCTGTCCGAGACTATCTTTGAGTCCACTCTCATAATTGACATACTCGCGCGCCACAACAGCTGTTACAGTTGATACGTTAGTATAAATGAGCCCTCCCTCTCAGCTCGAGGTCAAACGCTAACGCCTTGCGACAGATTTATCCATCCAACGCTGCACAACTCAAGTCAGGCGGTGCGCATCGACGATCTGCTGCCAGCCGTTGCCTGACGACTCACCCATTCTGCCTTTGCCACATAGTGGATGAACTCTGCGGGCGTCGGCATGGCAGTTCTCGCGGACACGCTCCTCACCGCTGCGCTGATCTTCAGCTTGCATAGTAGCCGAACGGGTGTCAGACGGTCAGCAACTCTTCGCTGTGTGCGCGGCCGATTCGCATAGCACGCCGGGCTGACTATGAGTTTATTACCTAGGACGGACTCCATCATAGACCTGCTGATCATGTATGCCATCAACACCGGTGGGTAGTATCCATCTCGCTCGCGTCAAAGAGTCTCACACTTCTGTAGGACTTGTCACAGGGTACGTTGCCTTCAGGTACTGGCCTCGGTCGAGCGAAATTGACGTGCGGTGTTAGCATCATGAATCTGCTTTCGCTCATTTTTGTGAGTTTTGCCACGCTCAATACGCTCAACGCTGGATAAAACTCACGGCCAACGGGCTAGGCACTCGCAATGCCGAATAACCTCATCTATGCGGGCATTGTCATCGTCGCCACGAAATGTACGTTTGGCCCCTTCCTCAGCCTCACTTCTCACTCACTTGACGTCCTATGTCCAGTATACGCCAATTCCATGATGGCTGTGTGAGCAGCATACCATTCCTGCTCAGCCTCATCTCCCACTCACCTTTCCATGGATCGCAGGCTGAATTCGCGTCGCGCACTGGCAGCACAAGGAACCGTCGTCCACACAGCCTCCTACGACATATCCGCCATGCAACGCCAATGGCGCGCTGCCGGGTCGCGATTAGAGCGCTGGACAGGTCCTACCTTCAGTGTAAGTTATTCTGTAGCTGTTGTTAGCGAGCTCTCATTTACCCGGTATCTTACATAGCATACCCCTTCCTCTCCGACCGCCATCGACATCAAGGTGACACAGGAGACGTTGCGGTCGGACCCTATGGGGAGCCTGGATGGGTTCGACGCAGAGCATAAAGTGAATGCAGGAGAGGCTGTCTGAGATCCGAGTTGAGACGAGAAGGATGCCCACGCTCGTTTGTATCACTGTAAACCATAAGTTGTAGAATCAGTTGTACGAGCTCCTCGAAACTACAAAATCATCCAGCCTGGTGGGCAACGGCAAGCGGTTGGAGCGTAATTTATGAGATTTTCGACTCGATTCGCCGCGCCCGCGCGTCTGACATTACGCGGCACGTCATCCACGCGCGGCAGCGCGCGCCGGGAAGACGCGCCGCCGCGCTCACGCTCGCGTCCTGGCAGTACCACCACCATGTTGTCTGTCGCTGCCCGCCTCGCTCGATGTCCACGCCTGCCTACACATTCCAGACTACCCGCACAAGCAGCGCGAGTCTCCTCCGCGCCAATTCGGACATATAGCACTCCCCGAGGACCACCGCGCTATGTACGGTTCGGCGAATCTGAAGGTCCCAGCGGCGGCGGCTCGCGCAATCCTTGGGATATGCGAAATTGGGATAGGTCTACGACGGTTGGCGCGGCTTTAGGAGCAGGCGCGGTGGTATACTATGTATCGCAGTACGTATGTGCCCATACCGCTCTGTCAGATATACGCGAGTACTTACACGGCGGGTGTGCTGCGAAGCCTCGAACGGGTGCCCGAGACAGGACGATGGCGCTTTATGGACATCAGCCCGAAGTATGAGTCGAGTGTACGTGAATGTGTATTTGACATGCGCTAGTGGATATTGACTGAACATGGTTCAGCTTGCTGAGGAGTCGCACCAGCAACTCATGCAGCAGTTCAAAGGCAAGGTTCTACCCCCCAACCATCCCGTCACGCGGCACATTCGCCGTGTCGTCGAACGCATCCTTGAGGCGAACAATCTCGGCAAATTGAAGCCCTCAGGAGAGCAGCCGCGGGTACTCCCGTCCGTTGATGTATGGTCTGCGATCGGGGCGGACGACCTTCCGCCGGATGTCGGGGGAAATCTGAAGGAATGGCACTTGTTTGTCGTGAATGATGACAAGATGGTCAACGCCATGGCCTCCTTTGGTGAGCTCATTTCTCAGTGCTGCTGTCCCTGACTTAGTGTCTTGACGTCAAGCATACAGGTAACATCGTCGTGTTTACCGGCATCTTGCCTGTAGCAAAGGACGAAAATGGGCTCGCAGCTGTTCTTGGACATGGTAAGCCGTGGATCTCACTCACACAAAGTCTACATCTCTGAACTTCGCCCAGAAATTGGACATGCAGGTTTGTCTGTACACTCTTCGCCCCATGCGTAGTGATTAACATGCGAGGCCAGTTGCGCGGCATGTGCCCGAGCGCTATTCGTCTGCGAAGGTCTTCATTTTCCTAGCAATGTTGCTCGACGTCATAGGCATCCCGTTCTCGAGCTTCGTGGCGCGTATTTTGTACGACCTGCCCAATTCGCGGACACAAGAATTCGAAGGTCAGATGTTTCCCGCCCATTCCATTTCCCCGCGCTCACACAGTGCACATAGCCGACAAGATCGGTCTGCGTCTCGCAGCGCGAGCCTGCTACGACCCGGAAGTAGTACCACAGTCAGTCGCCTACCGCCGCACTACACCGGTCTTCCCGCGCTGATCACTCGCATTGTCTAGGATGTTCGACCGCCTCGGTCAGCTGGAGCGGGCGTCGAACGGACGTCACATCGACTTCCTCACCACTCACCCTACATCTGAGAAACGGTCACGAGTGCGTGTGGCAGCCATGCAAACGCGCTTCCTCCCGCTGACATCGACTTTCATAGACTCTCCGTGAGATGCTGCCAGAGGCTTACACCGCACAGGCGGCAAGTCCTATGTGCGGGGCTACGGCGGACCATATGGCTCAGTTCCGCGATACATGGCTGGCAGGCGCAGATCCCGAGAGCATGTCAGAGGCTAGGTGGACATAGTGGTTGTAATAAACTAGGCTGGTACCGGACTGGACAATACACCCAACTATATGAGCTCGAGGCAGCTGTCCATCAACGTCAAAATTCATAGACGTCTACGTCCCAACCGCAAAATGCAATGACTGGATGTGCGCGCGAGGGAAAAATTATTCCGACACGGGGAATCGAACCCCGGGCTATCGCGTGAGAGGCGATAATGTTAGCCACTACACCATATCGGATTAAGATATTGCCACTTATGGGTTAGAAATACTAGCAATGTTTTCAAAGCGATCTACTTCGACTTTGAATTAAATCCTGAGTAGTCCTGAGTACACCTTCTTTGCATCATGCCTCGACCACCGTCACCCTCAATACCCGAGAAGGAATTCGTCTATGGCGCCCTCAACGAGTCATTGCGCCTCGATGGACGAGCCATGCTGGAAATGCGTGCCCCGATGCTCACCTTTGGTCCGGAGCTAGGTTGTGTAGAGTGCTCACTAGGAAAAACACGGTAAGCTACCTCTCGTCGTGGCTCATGTCTCGAGATTGATTGCATAACACGCGTGTCGCTTTACAGTGTGCTAGCGCAAGTAGACGGGAAGATGGTGAAGCCGTTGCCGGAGAGACCGCTTGAGGGCATCATAACAATACACTCTGAGCTCTCGTCCATGGCGTCCAACGAGTTCGAACCCGGTCGGTAGGTTCGTAAACCTCTCCCGTCCCCGCGCTTTAGCTGACGCGCGAATATGTCTAGGCCATCCGACCAAGAGGTCACGATTACGCGTATGCTTGACAAGGTCCTACGCCGGAGCGACGCGGTTGACAAAGAGAGTCTATGTGTACTTGCTGGGCAACGGGTACGTCGTTCAATTTCTCTTTATAACTGCTCTTCTTATGTGCTGATCGGAGATAGGTATGGCATATCCGACTGACGATCCACGTCCTCTCCGACGCCGGCAATATGCTAGATTGCGCGTGTCTTGCCGGCATCGTCGCGCTCAAACATTTCCGGAGACCCGAAGTCGAGGTACAGGGAGATGAGGTCACCATCGTATGCGTCATTTCACTCTCTTCTCCTGCCGTTCTCATGCAGCCATTGCGGCCCTGTAGCACCACCCTTCCGAGCGCGCGCCAGTCCCGCTCGCATTGCACCATGCACCGTTCTGCTTCACCTTTGCCTTCTTCTCCGACACGACCACCCCACCGCTGCTCGACCCATCGCATCTTGAAGAGACACTCAGCGCAGGTCTGCTCTCCGTCGCGCTCAACGCGCAGCGCGAGCTGTGCGTCGTGCAAAAGGCGGGCGGCGTCCCGCTCGCGCCTGCGGACGTACTTGCAATTATGGATGTCGCAGTGCAGAAGGCGCGCGAGCTTGACAAGGTTGTTGAGAGTGCGCTCAAAGTTGACTGGGCGGGCAGGAATGTTGAGGTGCGCTGATTGTGGCTCTTTTGACATCGTCCTTCTGCCTCGCCATGGCATGCGTGTCGCATTTATGGGCGTGTACGGTGAGGCGAAAAGTATATGATTGTACTATAAACAATATGTATTCTATCTCAGATTCCACTTCTTTACAACAGGAGACAGATCGGTCCTCAGCAACCTAAACGAATGTGTAACGAGATGTCTGCACAGGTAGTCCAAGAAGGCCCGGGGCCCTCACCCAGCCATCCATTCCTCCCCCTGAAGCCTAGGACGTTTAATCAATGCAAGTCCAGGAAGCGGTAGGGAGGCGGCATGATCTGCGAGTCACCCAAGCCCTCCGCCACAAGGTCGTATCGGTCCCTGCGTGGGACTCGCGCAGACGGTAAGGTCGGGGCCGGGGAGGCCACAAAGAGACGGCGCGACCTCTTGTCCGTCGAGCGCGTGCGCGTCCTTCCCGACGCTCCCCCATCCCCCTCGGGCGACCAAGGCGTATCGGGCGAGTCCGGCGCGGTAGCAGCGACAGAGTAACCGGGTGCGCTGGAGGTGTGCGTCGCCGGGCGCCGGAGCGGCTGCAGCAGTCCAAAGTTGCTGAGAGAGGCGACCAGGGCGTGGTCGCGACGCTCGGCCTTTTCCCGCATGCCCGGGAAGGTGGCGCTAGTCGGGGGGCTCATCGAGTCGCTCCACGGGGTCGCCGCGCTGCTGGAGCTGCTGCTGCTAGAGGGCGCGAGGAATGGGCGTGCGGTGACGGTATCGGCGCTGCGCTGGACGCGGTGGCCGCGGAGGACCATGAGGCGCCAGACCAGGACACCAAGGAGGATCGCGCCGAGCGCGCCGAAGGCGGCGGCGAAGATGACGGTGCTGTGGGGGGACATGCCACTGTGAGAGAGGGAAAAATTGTGGTGAGTATCAGCCTGGCCTGAACTCTGTGCCACAGGCATGAGAAAACAATGATCACCTAGGGTTCGCAGACGCGGAATTGCTCTGAGTCGGGGAGGCCTCGACGTCGGAGAAGACGACCACGGACGATATACTCAACTGGGTCGCTGTCGCGCTACCCGATGGCCGGTCGTTCTGGATCCAGAAGGTGTGGTTGCCCTGATAGAGGTCCGTCTTCATATAGAGCAGGGTTGATTCGTTGGTCGCCGGGTTGTGTGCTGCATGCGGAGAGAGCGGGAAGCCGGTAACATCGTCAACAGTCACGCCAAATCCCGAACTTTGCGCGTTCAACACCCCGTATACGGCGATACCGGTCCCTATGTCTGAAATGAGTGCCTCTGTTTGATTTTTGCTAATTCAGACGACGGCATACCCTGTTGACATAAAGGTATGTGAGATTAACTGTGGGTCTCGCGGAAATAGTAGGGTGCATACGGTGAAGTTCATGCCCATCATACCGAATTCCTGGGTAGTGGTACTGCACACACCAGTGAGTACTCGCTCGGTTTCCTCCGGTGAACGTGAAGATGATCCAAACGTACTGAGAGACCGCATCTACAGCCCATGCTTCAGCGTTCGCCGGCAGCCAAACACACTTATCGCTTGTATGATCAAACACCATGGTATTGCCCGCTTCGCTCTCAAAAATCAGCTGGACACGATCAGCGGTCAGTTATCTCACCAAGAGTCGAGTTGTTGGATAAGAGGTACGCACATAGTCAAAATCAAACATGGGTTGTGCTGGGTCGTCGCCAATGTTGACCATGCGGATGTGATGCTGACCCATAGGTAGGTTGGGAGCGCCGAAAAGTTGGTACGCCGATGTATCTAGTCCCCCGGTAAACCCTTTGAACTCGGTGGAATTCCCGTCGAGCGTTATTTGGTAGCGACCAAGTGCCTCGCGGTATGCGCCATAGACCCTACATCCATATGTCAGTTCAACATATCACAGACCCTTCGGACGTGCATACGGACCACAAGCCTATGAGACGCCCGAATCGAGTGAGTACCGAGATTAATATCAGTTTTAGAGGCAAGAAGCTGACCTTTTCCCCACCAAGAAAAGCTGATGCTAGCGCCAGTAGAGTTGGTCGCATGGTAGCTCGCATTGGGATACGCAAGCTGAGGCGCAAGTTAGTGGGTGCCAGGCGTCTCGCTTCACGTCCTGGCACTGACGTACCAACGACGAATCCACTTGCAGTGTAGCTTCGTACCACGCGATCGCCGGAAGATAGGTAAGGAGCGGACTGATATGCGAGACAGTGGTGTTGACCAGCATGTTGCTCCACCGCCGAGCTCGAAGCTAGAGCACAAGCGGAACACAGACGACCAGCGACACAGGACCAGAAGGTGGGTGGGTGAGTATGAGAGTATGGCGAAGAGGGCTGGGAGCGGGGGGCGAGGCGGGTCGCTCGTGCGACTCGGACGTCGCGTATGTCATGGATGACAGTGGCGGATACACAGCATCTGAAGATGGCCAGCTGTAGACGTGATGTTCTTGCAACTGTGATCAATGTCCCGACGAATCTAAACGGACAGCGTTTAGTGGTTGTTGGGACCAGACAAGCAGCAGCGGTCATGACCGCGGAATGGAAGATGGCCGGCGCACGACGCAGAATTGATACAAGGGAGAGATCTGGGGGCGGTGTTGACGAACAGGGTCCTGGACTCCTGGGTGGGATGCTAAGATACTCTGTCGGCGTGCAACTTGCCGAAAGAGCATGATGCCTCGCACGAAACGTTGCGAGGCTTTTCGACATGGAAAGGAGACTTCGCAGAACGGATAGATGCATCATTGGTACGTGATTGTGGGGGGCACTCCGAACTGAAACGCTGACCGGCGGGCCGATATGACTGGTTGCACGCAGGCTTCTTTGTACTACGTCCTCCTGTGAGTGCACTGCTTTTCGGCTCAAATTCTGCGCCGCCCGTGTTCGAGCCAGCGTCCAAGAAGAAACTAGTTATAGTTACCATTATAACCTGTGGGTATCAGGCTGCTGGCTCTCGAGGCACCAAGACAACAGTTTTGAACCTATATGATCGCGTTAGCATGAGGGAATTACGGACTGATACCTAGTGCTACCTCAGAGTGAAAATCGAAGTACAAAACGTCACAAATCCTTTGTCCGCATAAGGGAATCGATGCCTCAAGTTATGATCCGCCGTAATTTACACATCTCACAGTTGCAGGCTTCAAACCTCATGGATGCTCTCTCCACCATATTGTGCCATGATGGATACCCCAGTCTTGAGAACGGCTCGCCGCCGGCCGGTAAACATATTAAAGTTGACATGTTTTCCCGATCGCGAGAGCATTCTGCCTGTGCTCTCGCCGATCGAGGAAAACCAAGCACCACCGGAATCCATGTGGTTTTCATCGTCATCGGACGGGTCAGCCTTGCTTCCAGACTTGCACTGGGGTTCGTTCGGGACGCGAGTATATGTACACCTGCGAAGACTGCCGAGGAGTTTCGTACTAAAAGCACATGGTCCGGTGAGTGCCGTAAAAGCGGCTCGGTAAAATATGAATTGATGACGCACCTCCTCCTCGTGGGTCTCCTCCTCCCCGCCGAACCCCAGCAGGCTGATCCCATGTCCTCTGCTCAACCTCTGCTCCTGCGCAGGTGGTGGTTTGTTCTACTTGGTTCCCGATCCTGCGATCACAGTGCCGGCACAAATCTTATCTAGTGGGTTTGATCATCATCATCGTGCGCTCGCGGATCTCAAATATAACAGACTATCCCTGGAGCGGACAGAATTTGGCAACCCCCGCCATCTGAGAGGAGAGGCACACGAAGATTGCGTTGGCAACGGAAGGGTTTTGAACGGAGATGAGAAGAGAGGGACAGGAGCGCGATGGCCAACCCGCGGCGCAGCGAGCTACGCCGCTCGATGAGGCCCGCATAAACGATGAACAGTGCTGCAAAGCATGAGGAAATTTCCTCGAGCGCGACATCGGGCTCGACGACTCACGAGTGAGGAATCGGAGCAGACTCGGTGCACGCGATGGCCCGCGGGTACCGATGGCATCCCGCTAACGGTATTGCCGACGCTTCTCGGGCGGCGTGCGGGCACATCCTTCACCAGCCCTCTTTCCTCCCCACACCACCACCACCACCCAAAGGCCTGCGAGGCCGGTGCATGCCCTCGTCGTCCCCCTCGTCCCCCACCCCGCCCTGACCGCCATGTCCTTCCTTTCACGCCGCCGCCGCGCACAGACGCCGCTCCAGGACTCAGGCAACCTCGCCGCCACGGGTTCCATTCACTCCGTCGACAAGCCGCCATCTATCATCCGCAGGCACATCAACCTCTCCTCGCCCCTCTCCAAGCTCACTGCGAAGCTGTCGACCAGGTCGCGGACCTCGAACCTCGCCCATGCGCCCATAAGTAATGTGGGCGTTCCATTCGGACGTTGGCGGAGTCGGTCGCCGTCACCTGCGCCGTCGCTGGACATCCGCATGCCCACTGGCCTCGGACGGCGTGCCAGCGAGCTAGGAGAGCGCGAGGATATCGAGGAGCCATGTCCACCACACACGAGGAAACGCAGCATCAGCCTACCCGCAGCCGTTCAGGCCGCACGGTGGCGGGATGCCATGGCCCGGGAGGAGGCACAGGCAAATGAGCAGGCGCAGGCGAGTACCAGCTCCGTACCACACACCCCTGCCGTATCTCGCGTTTCCCCCGACCTCCTGTTCGTCGCCTTCTCCTATGCGCCCCGCCCGGACGTCGTCGCGCTCGCACAGGTGTCGAAAACATTTTCGCATGCGGCGCTGCGTGCGCTGTATGAAAACCTGGACCTGCGCGACGTGAGCGACGAGCGTGCGACGCAGTGCATAGCATCGCTCGCCTCGCGCCGGCCGACCGCCGCGCTCGTCCGTAGTTTCGCCTGCCGGACGCTCCCGCCGCCCGACGACTCGACGTCGTTCGCGACGGTCACATTCGCGATCGCGTTCAACAACATGGACGGGCTGCGCGCGCTTACGCTCCCCCGGTTCGACGTCCGCATACTGTCCCATACGACGTTCTCCCTGCAACGTCTCGCGCTGCTCTGTAAAAACATATCCGGGCCCGAGTTCCACGCGCTCGTTGCATGGCTTGCGCGACACCCGGAGCTCACCGCGCTCTCGCTCCCGCGGCTCGTCCTCCCCGCACTCCCAGCCCTCCCAGACACCTCCGCGCCTAATACCCCGCATACGCCTGATACCCCGACTCATGAATCTGACGCCGCTGCCCCGACCTCATCTACGTCTTCCAACTGCTCATCTCCATCGTCATCGTCATCACCATCATGTTCCCTCATCCCGCCAACTGTGCTCCCGAAATTGCGCAAGGTGCACGGTCCTGTAGTCTTAGCTGCTGCGCTCGCGCCCGGGCGGCCGTTGGAGAGCGCGAAACTCCCGATCCAGGATACGCTCTATGACGGCCTCCGGCCATCCGCTATCATGTCCGCGCTCGCGTCGGCGCGCGAGACGCTCCGCACGGTTACTATCAGGCCGGTGTCGACCAAGATCGACTCGCGCACGCTCGAGCGCGTCGTCATGGCCGCGGGCGCGGAGCTGGGCGAGTTCGTCGAGACCCTGGAGATACACTGGGTCATGGACGACGAGGTACGCTCCTTCCTTCTCTTCTGCCCGTGTATGAGAGCGTGTCTCACGGCAAGGTTTGGCTATTTACAGACCCTGTACAAGCTCGTTCTTTCCGTGCTCGGGCGGTTCCGCCATCTGCAGACGCTCCGGCTTCTGCGCGACTCACCGCCGCCGTTCCCGTCCTCGCCGTTACTGGAGTTCCCCCTGCCGCCCGCGTCGCCGCCGCTCTCCGCCGGGGCGCGTACCTCGATCTCGTCCTTCTCGTCCGCGTTCCCGCCGGTGTCTGCGCGAAGCGGCCGGTCAGGGGGCATGCTGGACACCCCGTTCCCGCGCGTGCACGAGCGCGCGCACCTGGCGCTCTGGAGCAAGACGTGCCCGACCCTCCGGCGCGTGTGGTTCCTGTCGGGCGCAGAGTGGACGGTGCTGCCGCGCAGTCCGGAAGAGGCTGCGTTCGGGCTCCCACCGTTTGAGTTCGTGGGGTACACGCAGGTGTAGGCTTCGGAGAACCTCGCCCTACGTCCTCAGCGTCTACGGCAGCGTGCTGTTGTTTTCGACGGCCGCCCTGTCCCTGCATCTGCCATCTGCCATCCACCATCCGCCTTGACCATCTGCCGCCGTGCGGCCCCTGCATCCCGCCCCAGCCTCGCCTACGCCCACGCCCGCCCGCATCCACATTCTTTTTCCCACGTCCCGAGTCCCGAGTCCCGAGTCCCCTACCTTATCGCGCTCGATCCCCCGCTCTGCTGCTCGCCCGTCTCCCTCTGCCACTGTGATCCGCCCCATCCATCCGACTCCCATTGCTTAGTGTAGATCGGGCGCTCGCCCGTGCTCTGCTTCGTGTCTGTACATGTCGCATCGGCCGCGCGCGGGTGTGCGGGCGGCGCGGCACGCAAGTATAATAGCTCCTTACATCGGTTCCTGCATGGTCGCTCTCTGCTATCTAACGACTAATATATCACTGCATCTGGTTTTACGTTCGGGTCGCTGTGTACGAGTGTGTGTGCGGCTGCCTGCGGTGGGGAAAGGTCGCCAGTGGAAAGGGCGGGATCCGGCTGGACTCTCAGTCTCAGTATGCCGGATGACTGCGACGGTACGCGTTTGAAGAAGGTCAAATGCCTTGTACTGTTGTACGAGTCTACGCTGACAAAACGTAACGCCCATTTGACTCATGTCTTATAAGCTCTGACTTGCACATATAATGGCCATTTAATGTTCCGTCTTCGCGAAGCAGGAGAAGGGTGACGCGACGCGCCGTAATGACACGCGGTCACGTGTTGGCGGGAAGACGTGGTATGTGCCGAACTTCGAATTCTTCACCGATGATCATATATACGCTTACAAGTAGCTGTAATAAGATACACGGTGGTAATCAGAAGTAAAAGGATAGACACGTAGACAAAGACGAAAGTAGGCCTTCTATATGTAACTTGCTTTAGGTGTGCGATTCGGCAGTTCGACGTATACTCATTGGAGCGACATGTACCATCGGAATACTTCGGAGTACGAGTGTCGTACCACCTCTCCAATGCTTTTTATTGCTCATGGAGAACCCGCCTGACTCACGATGACCCGTTTGCGCGAGCGTGTACCACAAAGCAATGCACGTGCGATGGTTCTTCCGCTTCATCGGGTGGAGTCTATCGAAACGGCGGATGTTACACGGCCGCCATAGAGAATCGTTGAAGAGACATTCGGCTTTGCTACTCAAATTGTATTATTCTACGTGAATTTTGTGCAAGATGTGCAGTCTTTGTACTTATCTCGACCGGTTCTTGTCCCCCCGGAGTTTCCCGGGATCTGGAAGGACCGTGCCTCCTCTGGCCCATCGCGTCTGCTGCATCGCGGCGAAGGTGCGAGAACAAATGACGTGTATCTGCGACATCTCCTGCGCGTATCTCCCGCCCGCCCAAGTCGAACGTTCGGCCGGGGGAGCAGAGGGTGCTTGGAAAGCGCGCCTGCTGCTAAACCGTTCTCGGCGGGCGCCTGCAGTCACGCCCGCCAGCCGTAAGCAGTGCACGTGAGCACGCAAATAATGACAAAGAACGCGCGAGGCCGCTACAAATATTGGCGGGCGCGGGCGCGTCTGTCCTTAGCACCTGCTCTATCTGTCTCCGCCACTCTCCTCCGTTTGCATCCAAAATCATGGTCGCCACCGTCCAGAAGCCCGCCCCCGCCTTCAAGGCCACCGCTGTCGTCGACAGCCAGTTCAAGGACATCGCCCTCTCTGACTTCCTCGGCCAGTGGTGCGTTGCTCTAGACCGCGTTCTGATACCCGTGCAGCCAGCTCACACCGCGGACGCGCTAGGGTTGTGCTCTTCTTCTACCCTCTGTAAGTCCCGCTGGCAAAGTGACGAGCATGCCGCGTGCTGACAGCGCGTGTCTGTGCCACAGGGACTTCACCTTCGTCTGCCCGACGGAGATCCTCGCGTTCAACGATGCGCTCCCCCAGTTCCAGGCGCTCAACACCGCCGTCCTCGGTAAGTTTGCTGGCTGCGCGTGTGTCTAGACGCATCTTACCCTGAGGCTATCCTCGCAGGCGTCTCCACCGACTCCCACTTCTCCCACCTTGCGTGGGCGACCCAGCCCCGCAAGCAGGGTGGTCTCGGCCCCGACCTCAAGCTCCCCTTGATCGCGGACAAGAACCAGAAGATTGCCCGCGACTACAACGTCCTCATTGAGGAGGAGGGCATCGCTCTCCGTGGTCTCTTCCTGATCGACCCCAAGGGTACTCTCAGGTATGGACGCCCTTTAGAGAGCGTTCGGTTGGTTTACTAACAATCCTTTGTCAATAGGCAGATCACCGTGAACGACCTTCCCGTCGGCCGTTCCGTTGAGGAGACCATCCGTCTCGTCCAGGCCTTCCAGTTCACCGTACGTCTTCTTATGTTAGCTCAGTTGTTATCCGTATGCTTACCCAGCTCTTCTGCAGGACGAGCACGGCGAGGTCTGCCCCGCCAACTGGCAGGCGGGCAGCAAGACCATCAAGGCGGACCCCAAGGGTTCGCTCGAGTACTTCTCCAACGCCTCCGAGGCCAACAGCAACGTGAGCAAGAAGCGGCGCCTTGACTGATGCCCCCTTCCGTGATTCTGATCACCCCCTCCCCTACTGAGCAGCTGTCGCACTGACGGCAGGCCCGGAGGGTCTGATCTTTCGCCGAGCACGTACCTCCCCGTCTGTCTCGCTGTCGGATCGTGCCCCTCCTCCCTCTGATCTAGTCGCGTTCGTGTAATGTCCCCCTGCCACGACCCATTCCCCACGTAGATCTTAGAGAGTCGAGAGAGACCTTGTTAGATAGTTAGAGTAGACGGTAGACGCGCTTCGGCGGGTGCTGGGAGGATATCCAGCGCTTCTTGTAGATTAATCACTACTAACAGCTTGTGGATCGCGGTAGTACGGCGTAGCGGAGGTTGTGGATGTCGTTGCGTTGGTGGTGTATATCAATGCTCAACTCCCTTCTTGACTATTCTCATGCTAGTGTCTGCTTGCTTGCCCGAAAAGCTCTATGCACCTTCGTAGACAGTGAGGATTGAGCAGTCGAGAAGATCTGCGATCGCATGGTGCACGCGGAAAGAATTTTTGTGGACGGTGATCGTCATTGTTTTCTTAGCCGATCTCATGCTCGGCGAGCAACTGTGTTCATGGGATGAGTATGCACGCGCGCGACTTCACAGGCGGAGGGTGTATCATACGCACCATGTTTGGGATCCCATTCGAGATCGGGTACACATGCTTGCAGTTTTGGCACACCATCGCGCCCTCCTCGACGTGCATCTGCCGCACCGACAGCACTGGTAAGCGGTCGCCCGCCTCCAGCTTCTAACCGCGAAAATGTGACGTACCTCGAGCAGAACATGGTGCAACTTTTGCAGAAACTCATCGTCCACCATCTCCGGCTGCTCCGCGGGCAACGAAGTGTCCCCAAGCTGCACGCACGCCGCACCCCCTTGTCAGCAGCAAGATTCTGCGCGAAACATACGGGGTAGAATGAAAACGCACCTGGCGCGCGGCGCCGACGAGCGCGGGCCACTCGAGGCGGGGGAGGAAGCCGCGGAGGAAGTCCGCGTTGAACTCGGCCTCGCGCAGCTCGACGGCGGCGTCCTGGAACTGCAGCGGGAAGTTGTTCGTCGTGCAGCCTTTGGCGTGGCATGCGAGCAGGTTGTGCGTGATTAGGCGGACCATGGTAGGCGGAGTAGGAGGAGAAGTTGGGACCCGGGAGGAGGTGGACGGCAAAGTGATCGTGAATTCGAAGCTTCAAATAAGCTTAAGCGAGTCTGACAACGATGATATGGTATGGAAAGGCTAATTACCATTGCAATCCGATATGGTGTAGTGGCTAACATTATCGCCTCTCACGCGATAGCCCGGGGTTCGATTCCCCGTGTCGGAACGTTTTTCTCCCTGCTTATCGAGCTTTACCAAGTTATTGCAAGTCTCAATGAAACTGTGATGAGGCTTGCTGCACTTTATAATCGCCATTGTGTGCAAAACTTTGCTGCACACGACTATACACTGCGCGCGATGCCAATATTGCGTTGTATACTACCCCGCTATGCTACCGCTTCCAAGCGGAATCTAATCCAATTCCTTGTACATCACCGTAATCGTACACACGCCTACAGCGTTTAACGAGGTTGATCCAACAAAGCGAACACACCGTTATGTCAAAACAGCGAAAGCGATAAGATGCGTGATAAACGAGTCCCTCAGACCCGACTTCAACCGACCTTCCACGCCCAACACGGGCCTACGAGAATACGTCAGCTAATACTCAATCAAAGCAGCGACGTCTTACCCAGTGGATCCATACGCTCATGTTGCGCTCCTGTCCACATCCCCAAGAAGCCCATCGCGGACCCAACGCCGCCAACCTGGACACCCTCTGAAACCCACTCATCAACCTCCGCACTCTCCACGGACGAGAACTGCTTGTATCGCAGGTAAGCCCTCTCGCTCTCACAACATGGGGTATAGATGCAAGTGCGGCACTCACCAGCATCCAGCGCACGCTACCGTCCGCGATGACTCCTACTGTACCGTGTATGCGGCGCGGTGGGCCCATGATGGACGCACCATCCGACTGGCCGACGACGTGAATAGTGGGCAGGTGTTCATATCCGGGCACGAGTGAGGGCGAATAGCGCTCCACGCGGAGCGTCATCCCGACGAGGCGCACGGCCTCGCCCATGCGCGAGTCGTCGAACTCGCCGGAGAGCTGCATGAAGAACTTCGTTAGTTGGCAATGGCCCAGTGGGAGACTTATAGAAGGGCGCGAATTACGTTGTGCACTATAAAGGGGGAACGTGTGAGCGTGAGCAGTGTATGTGAAGAAAGGGACGTACGTATTAGATCTCGGTAGTCCATCCAACATACACAGCGCCTATGTCGAGTTTGTTAGTGCTTTGGTGACCATATGCGGTCAGTCGAGTACTAACTTCCAAACTCCTGCGACGCCAGCCCAATCCCATCCGTCTACCTCTTCTGTGTCACTGTCGGTCGCTTTGCCCTTCCCTTTACCGCTATCCACCACGTTGTATGTTGCCGTGGCAGGGGCGTAAAGACTAGCATCCCACGGCGCGCTCCCCGGTCGAAGGCCCTCAAGGGAAAACAGTCCGTTCAGGTCTGCACCCCCAAACGCCTCACGCAGATTCGCCTCGACAAGCGTGCGCACCGCGGCGAGATATGCCCAGTCTGGGCGTAGCTGCGCCGGGGATGGCAAGCGAAGTGGCTCGGAGGAGCGCCCTGGCGGCCCGGGTGCGCCTGGTGGGGTGGTGGTCCCTTCCCCTGCCGCATCGTCACCTTGAAGCTCATCATCTTCATCCTCATCCTGGTCTTCCTCGTCATAATCATGGTTGTGGTCGTGCGCGTGGTCATGATCGTGGTCATCCCCTTCTGCACCTTCCTCGGCGTCGTCGTCGTGCCCTGGTAGGCGAAAGAGGGCAAGAATGGGCTGCAGAAGCTCGTCGTCAATCGGCGCGCCAGTTGGGCGCACCTTCCTGTCCTCGCACGGCAAGAATGGGCCCCAATGTCGCTCACGCTCCAGGTAGCGCATATTGTACACGCGCATGCGCGCCAGCTTCCGCGCGCGCTTCCTCTGCGCCTCCTCGGACAAGTACGACGCTGCGGGCGGGTGCGGTAGCGGGCCATCTACAGGCGACGTCGGTGGAGCCGCGTTGTGCGGGATCGGGATGAAGCCCGTGCACGCGATGAGGCGGCCCGCGGTCTGCATCTCGCGAAATTCATCCTCTCCCAGATACTGGCCCGCTACACCGCCCTCCCACTTGTTCGCTGAAAAGCGTGCGGTCACGGCGGGCGGGTAGCCGTGTGTGAGCGCCTGGCCGAGCCAGGCAATGTTGCGCCCCCCGAGGGTCTTCGGGCTGCCGTTGCCGGCGTACGACGGACCGACCGAGGAGATGCTGCTTGCTATGTTTCGTTGCATTGCCTGGGGAAGTGGCGGGAATGTTGGGTACGTGGCCCCTACGGTGAGGCGGCTCTCTGGGTCTTCGCCGGGCGTCGGGATGAAGGAGAACACGAAGGAGGGCGGGCATGGACTCGCGGTTTGTACGACGGAGACCAGGGCGTCGAGCGCAGGGAGAGTGCGACGGACCTCTTCAAGGTCAGCAAGCTCCTCGAGGTCTTCCTGCCTCAGCGACGTCGACTCGACTTGTCGCGCGATGTAGAGCGCCGCCCAGACACGCTTGCGGTATTCTGCACCCCAGTCGAACGGCACGTCTCGCGGACGCGTGCGCTTCAAGGCGACGGCGTCGTGCCACCCTGGGCCTCCTCCCGACTCTCGAGGGTCGTCAAACGTCGCCAGGAAGATCTCTCTCCAAAGATGGGAGTCGGGTGCGCCATACACTAGTTCCTTGTGGGCTCGACATGTCTGCGAGAACGCCGATATAGCTTGTGGGGAGTTGGCTGCCGCTGCAAATATCAGAATGAGTTCTACAACTTCAGTCGGTACAGCTGCGAGTGACATGGAGGAGTTGTCGACTACCAGCGAAGACAAGTCAAGGGCAACGATGTGGGACGAGGACAACCTGGAGCCGGTGTGTACTTGTAGCCGCTCCGTAAGCTACATCATTTATAGATAAGATTAGATTCTTTAATTGATCGGGGTTAGGGGTACAGAGCGACCTCAGGAGTCTGCAGCCGGGCCTCAAGGTGAGCTCAGGCATTGTCGTAGAACTTTCTCCTCTCCTCCAGCGCATCCTTTTCTTCGTTGCGAGCACTCTAGAACGCGTGAAACTACTAACGTATCGTGTACGTACCAAAGCATCGCGCCTCTTTGGATTGATCTCATAGAACGCCATCTCGGCGAGAACGTAGCTATCAGCGTGCCAGTTTCCTCGCCTCTCCCACGCTTTTCTCTCCTCCGTCGTCGGTTCGTACGGGACTAGTGCCCATAACTCGTACCCAAACGGCTTGATATTCATCTCCCTGATGTAGAACTCGGGTGGGCATGGCCGCCCTGTCACCGCAGTTATCCGCGCGTAGCGTTCGCGGATGCGATTGAGCCGCTTCTCGTTCGTCCACCAACCGGAGGTGGGGAGGTACGTCTTGTCGTGTGCGTACGCGCACGCGCTGCCGTTTTTGCACTTATCCAAGAGGAGCCAGTAGAGACAGACGTTGCATCCGCTGCGCGAGCAGGGCAGTAAGTACAGGAGCGGCGCGTTGAGTTGATACATACTTACAGTTCGTCGCGGACGTTCTCCGAGACCGGTGCATGCCTATACGGGCATGAGACGCCTTTCGGGCACCACCCGTTCTTGTTGTACACCTTGCAAGGGCCCCTGATACCGAAGTGTCGACAATCTTCGCTGTCGGGCCACTCGGCGAACTCTATCTCGTCTTCGTCTTGGACAGTCTGAGACTCTTGGCGGTCGTTCGGCCTGGTCCAGAATCGGCCACTCGACTCCGTCGCCCCGCCGTTCGAGCGCGGTGACGATGGTTAGTTCGGCCATCCCTTCTTCTTTCAGGCTAGGGCTTTCAGCGAGGGATATGAACTTCTGTAGGTCTCCAGTGCGCCCGGCTCAGTCGGGAACTGCTAAGAGATAATTGTTTCGGTTTCTCACCGAGCTTAGCACCATGGTATCTTTTCTGGTGCTTCCGCGCGGTGGCACGACGAAGGCGGGCTTTGACATTATTTGGGTCGTGATACAGCGCCCTGCTCGCGGCGCTCTGGGCGATGTCCCACCTAAGGCAGCGGCACGTCAGCCCTGCGCCTACACGATACATACACGCTCTCTGAACACATACTGTTCCAGCTTCAAGAGTGCCGCGGCTAGATTGGACATATAAACTGGACGTGGGCCGTCAGATCCTGCCGCTTTTCGATACGCTTCTGCTGCTCCCAGGTAAGCGCCGCGCCTGAATTTGCTGTTTCCCTAGCATTTGACCCAGTTAAATCCTCAACATCTACTATGAATACTAATGCTCGACGTACCTCCTTGAACCTGTAACCCTTCGCGCGCTTCTCCTCAATCACCGCCTCACGCTGCCTTGCACGAAGTGCGACCTCCACCTCCCTGGTGCGTTCCGGAGGGGGCAGAGGAATTTCGGGCTCGGGCTCAGAGAGCTGCCCCAAGTCACCTCCTGCGTATGCAAGATCTTTCCGGAAGATATCCCGGGCTCCAAGGTCTCCAGGGCCAATCGTTACCCCACACATCTCGATCGTAAGTCGCGCAAAGGCCTGCTCCCCGTGGACATCGCCGACGTAGCCAAGGAATCCTTGTCCGATGCGCGCCCAGGCGGCTGCACCCACGCCGACTGAAATGTCGTATGGCAGTCCCTGGTCTTGATCGCCGGGCTCGCACGGATCTACACGACTATACACCGCGTCATCGCAAGGGCGTGCGTGGACTATAAGCACATTCGCGGTAAATGCGGGGAGGAGCGCGGCGGATGACAATGGTGTGGGAATGCCGTCAGGGTTAAGCGCGAATGTTTTTTCAACGGGGTGCATGGCCAAGCTCCAAGGAACGCCCCAGAGACGGAAGAACGACACTGTACAGTCGGTTTCGAGGAAGTAGCAGAACTGCACTCCCAAAGCAACTCTTCCGCCAGACCGTGCGTACTCGAGGAGTTTTGGGGCAAGGTCTGCGTGCCGAGGCTCCTCGCAAATCGCAGCGTCCGCTACTATGACTGCTTGAGGACGAGGAGATGCGTGCAGATGTTGGAAGAATGCAGTTCGGTTTTTGATCATTCGGACTTCTGCGTTTTTCTCCAGGCCACTCAACAGCTGTTTGTGCATTATGCCAATAGGAAGGTTGTTGGATAGAGAGAGGATGAGGACTGTCGGCCGTTTGAGCTTCTACAACGACGCCAGAGGCACGAATACATAAGTCGACTGTGCCCACACAAAATGATCAACGGATTGTATACCACGTACCTCTTTTGCTGTGGCCCCCGACGGCCCCGGGATGGGGCCAGCCTGGCGGATGCTCGTTTTTCCGACTAAGCTATTCGGGTCAGCTTCTCCAGAGGCCGCTTCGACCCCGCACATCTCTAGTAATATCTGGGTCGCCGCCGGCTCTCTGCTGAGCATTCCAACATATCCAACGAATCCTTTGGCAAGCGGCGCGAAGGCTACAGGAAAATCCGACTGCATGGAGTGTAAAGGCTCTTCGTCTTTTTCGATAGGTGTTATCGTAGGGGAAGGCGTGGACGTTAACACGTAAACGTCAGTGTCTCTACCGGAGTCCGCGACTTGCTGAACGCGTGTAGTGATTGTGGTGGCTAGACGGTCTTTGGAAAGGGGTTTAGGAAGACCGCTGGGATTGAGGTTAAAAGTCGAGTCGCATAGTTTGCCGGCGTCCCAGAGCATGCCGAAGCGGCGGAAGAAAGAGGAGACTTCGAAGTAGGGAAAGTGTGCTGCGAAACGATGACTCTGCCCCCTCCACGAGCATACTCGACGAGTGCGTCTAGGAGGGCTCCGTGCGCCGCCTCGGTGATACTCGCGTCTGCAATGAGAACAGATTGGGGTTGAGGAGAGCTTGAAAGATATTGTAAGGCGGTCTGAGCGTCGCGGGCTTCGAGTAAGGCAGCGTTCTTGCGCAGACTCTCGTAGAGCTGACGTTCCGTCGTCTCCAGATACTTGTCCCGTACGAAGTACAAAAGAAGGGTGCTCTAGTAGCTCAGCGTTACTTGAATCAGCAGTAAAAGATATAGAGACCTACTGAGACCTTTCGGGGATAGGGCTTTCCTCTTCTTCCGTGCTCAGACAGTCGAAATCCTGCACTGCTCGAGACGATGTCGATGAACGATTGATGGACGAAGGAGAACTGATCAGGTCGTTGATAATGTGGCTATGCGTCGAAGTATGAGGTTATTGGCCACACCGGGATGCCACTTAATTTAGTTCGTAACGACATCGCGAGAACTGTGGAGTAGTCCTGAACAGAAAAACAGTATGGCATAAAGCTGGCGAAGAAGATGCAATAGTACCTGGCATTGGACATTCAAGCATTATCATAAGTGCGTCTACGGCTCTCGAGTTGGTCCTGGCATCAATAGTGAGCGTTCAGATCATGGCTAAAAGTATTGATACACGTACGATTGCGTTTGGATCGCTAGGGTCAACTTCATAGTACGACATCTCGCCCCAGATGTAGCTCTTCGGCGGCCAGTTTCCCCGCCTCTCCCACGCCTTCCTCTCCTCGGTCGTAGGAGCATAGGGATACAGCGCCCAAGGCTCGTAGAACCAAGGCTTGGGATTCAGGTCCATGAGAAGACGTACTCCGGGATACGGCCGACCAGCCAGCGCGACCATCCTCCCGATGTGCTCACGGATGCGGCCCTGTCGTTTCTCGTCCGTCCACCAGCCGGAAGGAGGGAGATATGTCTTGTCGTGTGCGTACTCGCACGCGTCGCCTTTTTCACAGGTGTCCAGGAGCCAGTACATGCAGACATTGCGCCCACTGTGCATGTGAATGGAAAGTGCCGGTCAGTATAGATCAAAGGTTGGGCGATAAGTGACCTACTCACAGCTCATCGCGAGTGGTTATCACCTCCATTGGCGTGTGTCCGCGCGGACATTCATCGCCTTTCGAGCAGCCCTCGTGGTTGTATTCTCTGCACGGGCCTGCGTCACTGGCGCGTTTGTACTCTTCAGGGTCTAGTAACTCCTCCACTTCCACCCACTCCTCCTCTTCATCGGCCTCGCCCTCTCCGGCGTTGAGCGGCCATTCGACCTCGTCCCCTTGGGCCTGGAGCTCGTCGAGTATCTGGAACTCGCGAAATCCTTCCTCGTTCATCTTGGTCATGTCGAGGTACATAAACTTCTGCAAGTCTAAGGGACACCGGCGTCAGCTACAGAGCTTGCGAAAGGTAAGGCACATGATGGGCCCTAGTAACTCACCAAGCTTGGCACCGTAATATCGCTTCAAATGCTTGCGCGCCATGGCGCGACGAAAGCGTGCCTTCTTGTTCTTCGGGTCGTGGTACAGGGCTCTGCCTGCAGCGCTCTGAGCGAGGTCCCAACTGTACATGGACCAGATTAGCTAGACTTTATGACATCACAGTCCAAAGGTCGTACCGTTCCAATTTCAAAAGTGCCGCTGCGAGATTCGCCATGTACACAGGTCGCGGACTATCCTGCTTTGCTGCATTTCGGTAGCACAAAGCTGCCCCTAGATAATCTCCAGCTCTGAATTTAACGTTGCCCTGGCGTATAGTGAGTTAAGCGTAGTCCCGATGATGAAACCTGGAGCCTGAGACTGGAAGCTCTACCAACGCACCTCATTCTTGTGCTGCTCGCCGATTTTCATCCTATTCTCACGCGTCTCCGCGCGCCGTCTTGCACGGAACATGACCTCTACTTCTCTCGGCCGATTCGGCGAAGGGAGGGGGATTTCTAGCTCCGGGGGTGGGACCGGGATCTCAAACTCAAGGCTTCGGGCGCCCAAGTCTCCCGGCGCAACTGTTACCCCGCACATCTCGATCGTCATTCGAGTAAGGGCCTGTTCCCAGTCGACATCTCCCACAAAGCCCAGAAACCCTTGTCCGACCGGCGCCCAGCCGGCTGCGAAGGTGTCCAATGCGATATCGTACAGCGGTCCTCGGCTTTGATCGCGAGCGCGAGGGGTGAGTCGGCCGTATACCACGTGCTCCGGGCGAGAGGTGGAGAAGAGATGCGTGGCCGCGACGAACATGGGAAATAGAGCAGCAGAAGACAGCGGGGCGGGAACGCCAGTGGGATTGAGAGCGTACGTCTTCTCAATGGGATCCGGAAAACTGACGTCCCAAGGAACGCCCCAACGGCGGAAGAACGGTGTCAGATGGGCGTAATCCAAGTTGAGGCAGAAACACGCCCCCAAAACGACCCTTCCGCCAGACCGTGCGTATGCGATGAGCTTGGTGAGGACTTCGGCGTGGGCGGGTTGGCAGATTACGTTGTCCGCAACGAGAACTGCTTGAGGTGGAGGAGATGTGCGCAGATGTCTGAGTAGTTTAGCGCCGCTTGCAACCATTCGAAGGACTGAATTCTTCTCTAAGCCCTTCACCAGCTGAGTATGAGTTCTGCGTAGGGGGACCGGCGAATGTGCCAGCTGAAGGATGATGACCGTGGGAAGTACTTTTGGAGGGGCGTTAACGCTGGGCTATTCATTTGCTGAATCCGTTTACGAACATCAAGAATCCAGCGTAACGAACATACCTTCGTTTGTGTAGTCCCCGATGGCCCTGGCTCAGCGTTGAGTTGCGGAGAACCTTCTGAGGGAAGCGGGAAACCAATAAGGTTGGTTTTGCGATGCAGAAGCTCCAGGCCCTCGAAGTTCAAGTCATCTGGGTGGTTATATGCGCCTCTGGAGGTCTCTGGGCCAATTTTTGCCGAGATCACTGTCACCCCACACATCTCCAGCAACAGTTGTGTCGCTTTTGGCCCGCCATTGACAGTACCGACGTAGCCGACATGCCCGAGAGCGAGAGGAGCGAAGGCCGCGGGGAACTGTGTTTCCTGAAGGGGTTTCTCCTTCTTCACGTCGACGGAAAGCGTACTGGCCTCAGAGGCGGGGTCCTGGGTTAAAAGATACACAGCGGCTTCTGTACCAATATCCTTGACTTGTTGGGCGCGTGTAGTGAATGTGGGAAATAGGTTGTCTGCTGAAAGAGGCTGGGGGAGGCCAGTAGAATTGAGGTAGAACGTCGCGTCGGAAAGCCTGCCGGGGTCCCAGAGCATGCCGAAGCGGCGGAAGAAATGGGAGACATCGAAGTAGGGGAAATGGGCGCTGAAACGTACGCCGAAGATGACCCTGCCCCCGCCCCGAGCATACTCAACGAGTGCATCTAGAAGAGGCGTGTTCGCGGCTTCAGTGACGTTTGCATCTGCAACGAGGGCTACTTGAGGAGGCGGAGTGATTGTCAAGTGTTGCAATGCTGTTTGAGCGTCCCGAGCCTCCAGGAGGGTAGCGTTGTTGCGCAGGCTTTCATAAAGACGGCGTTCCGTCGTCTCCACATAGTTGTCCCGCAAAAAGTACACAAGCAGGACGACCGGCCGGCTAGAATCCTTGCGTTGTGTTTGGGGGAGGAGGGACATGGTGGAGGAGAACAAGCCTGGGTCGCGCTCGACAAACGTGCCAAGCTCACAAGTTTAGGAGACGGGTAAAGCCGCGCGATTGACAGCTCTGGAGCGGAGGTCGACGGCGGCACAGGGGCTTCCCCCATGGGTGAAGGAAATAAGAACCATGGTTATTGGATGATTATGTTCCTGTATGCTCGTCTGAGTTTAGAGTAGAAGTAACGCTAGCACATGAGACAACGCGAGGAGGTGCAGAGAGCAAGGAGAGCGCCAGTTGAATATGACGTCGAAATGTGGCTGTGCAACTAAGAGTGACCGGCCGAATGAGGACATTGGCCACCCTAGGCGGTTCGCGACCTGAGGAAACAAAGATAGATATAAAAGCTTGCCGTACGCATACAGCCAGTGAAAAATACATAATAGTACATTCCATTGTGTCGTTTACTGTACATTGCGCTCAACTCGTAACATGAACGACACTCCGCCTATCAAACTGCTTGACACTCAAAGTCCACGTCGTTCTAAGTGCACGAAGCCGGGACAGTCGAGTCGTCCTGGTGGTTCGCAGCGTTGACACCGAGGCCACGGGATGCAAATGCCGTCCAGAGCGTGCAGAAGTTCGCTCCGCCGAAGCGGTTCGCGTCCGCCTGGATCCATGCGTTACGTGCCGTCAGGACTAGCAAGACTAATCAGAATCGTGAAAGATGAGGATACATGGGAGACCTACAGGTCGGGTTGCATGGCTGCAGGGGAAGAGCGTCGAGGAAGAGGTGAAGGAAGACAGTGTTACCGCCGGTGGTCCTGCGCAAGCAAGTAATCAACATATTGTGCGTATCGTGAGTAACCGTTATCCGACACTTACGTTGGGTCAGTGTGCGCTGTGTCCGAGAAGCCGTGCACACCAACGAGAGCAGCATACACGTTGTGGAGCAGGTTCGCCCAGACCTCTCCGATGTCTGTTGTCATTCAACAGTAAGCGAGTTATTCGGGCGAAGGCTGGCATATATGCGTACCGTGAACCTCAGACAACGTCTGTAGGCTCGAATACCTGTAGTGCAGATGTGCGTCGTCAGTGGCTGAGTTTCGCTGAACTTAGCGCATGCTGCAAACCTCAGAGGGTTGACAGCCCTACAAAAAGCATACATCGTCAACATAGGCATTCCTGGTAAGGTGATATGGAACTCACGGGTCCGTCGAGTACGGGTGGCTGCGAATACCGGCCGGGTCGTTGATGACATACTGGCCCAGGACGAAGTCCACAATCGTCGCGTTCTTGTGCTCCGTCCATCTTTGACGTGTCGGTTAGCATGACACCATACGGGAGAAGATCAGAAAACTCACTCGGCGTTTGCATCGGACCAGCCCTCACCCATGCCGCCAGCCTCAGTCGTCTGCAGGCAGCTACAACATAATCCGTCAGCTACAAGGCTTTAAGTATGCAAGTGGCTGCGCGTACCGCCCAGTTCCGCCACCAGTCAGCCGGTTCGTGATGCCGTGGGTGTTCTCATGCACGACGATGTCGTTCTCGAGCGCACCGTCCCGGCGCGGGTTGGTGTGGTCCCACAGGAACATCCGCATGCGTCCAGATTGACCGCTGAGAAGTGACCCATGTCAGCTACTTCGAAATGCAGTGCGCTCGAGGACACCGCTTACTCCGGAGGCGTAGCGAAGTCCGCTGCGCAAGTATCACACAGTCAGTATACACCTTCTACAACCGCCAGGGCCACTTTATCTCACCATTGTCAAGCCCGGCGGTGTCCTGCACGGATACGGTAACGCGGTCATTCCCCGCGCCGCCCTTGCCGAAGTTGTTGTTCTGGAAGTTGAAGGCAGCCTCGGTGAAGCCGTAGACGTACGACATGTCGTGCACGGTGTTCACAAGGTAGAACGCGTTCGTGCGCGCGGCATCGATATTCACCTCCGCGGTCGGCGCCTGGGACGCGTCCTGCGTGAAGACGAAGTTGAGCCCGGTCGAGGACTCGGAGGTCGTGTTCGTCTGCGCGCCCTTGAACGTGACAACGTTGTTGCCGCTGCGCCGCGAGATCAGTATGTGGGCGAGGCAGAGAGAGTGAGAGGGATGCGTACGCGGTGGCGGTCGTGGTCGTCGTGCCGTCGCTGTGCCAGCCATCAGGGGAGGCAGCGGGGTTCTGCGGGTCGGTGAGGACCTCGAAGCCCTCCGTCAATATCTCCTTGGTGATCGGGAGCACGAGATACTGCGATAAAAAAAGTCAAACGCCACCCACGCATAAGTGAGTCAGAGCTATACTGACCGAAGCCTTCGCAACAAAGTCAGTCAGCTGGACGACCTCGCCGGAGTGTGCGTCCACGAACGCCTCGAGCCACGCGCCGGTCTCGTCGTTCTGGATCTGAATGACGTGCGTGAGGGCGAGCGAGCCGTCCTTCTTCGCAACGAACTCGAGCGTGGCAGGGTGCTCGTTGAACTTGCCCGAGAGCTGGCTCTCAGCCGTGGAAATCGCGTCCTCCAGGGAGATAGAGGGCGTAATCGACGGGACGGAGGCTGTACAGTTTATCAGTATTTGAACATGAAAAGTTGCTGACCCAAGTAGAGACATACTTGGGTTGACGAAAGAAGAACCGAATGATACGACCTGGTTCGCCTTGTTGAAGGCCACGTTCGCAACAGCGTTGGCAATGGGAATGCCATTCTGCACATAGAGAGCACAGTCAACGTAGTGGTGACAAAGCGAGACGAACATCACGTACGACTTGCTGCTTCACGAAGGCGTGATGCGCGACGTCATTCTCAAAGCTTGTCCTGAAGCCGACGGTGTCGGGGTGCACGTTGAGGCGGGACTGGACGAAGGACACGGTCGCATCCTTGACATCGAACTCGTCCCGAGCCGAGAGCGGGTGCGCAATCCCCTCGACACCGAAGGTCTACAATATTGAACAATGTGAGTGACTAGTCTTATCAATGAGATTAGAAATTTGACTTGCCTCGAACGAGGACTCTGGGTGGAAACTCTCGACAACAAGGTTACCGATCGAGCGCCTTTGGGTACTAGTGTGCTTCAAGCTGCCCGTGAAAGGAGCCGCAGACACGACAGTAGCGAACACCACCGCTAGCAGAACGGACTTGAAGAAGTTGTACGAGAGCTTCATGTCTGTGGGTCGTTATCTGAGGGCGCGTCGAAAGAGCTGACCGATAGGAGGAACCAGGACTCGTCGACGGGTGGTCGCCTGGCGCACTACATCGCGCCCTCCCCCAGTATTTGTATCCAATCATCCCAGGTTGGAATGGATGGCGCAAAGATTGCAGCGACGCAGCCCTGGAGAAACAAAACGAGTGCGCCGCATGGCCGTGCCCTGTTCCATGGGAAGATACTGCGTCCTTCTCGTCGCGCGACTAGAGTTCCCTTCGGTCGCCATTAGCTGCCGGCGACGAAGTACGGGGATAACAACCATCCAGGCGCGGCTGATCCTGCGGCCTGTGGGAGGTTAGAGCGTGGTATGTGCTTCTTCCAAGGATCAGCTGGACTCCGCATGGAAAAGGAAGCAGTATGATATGCCTGATTGGGTCATACGAGCGCGAGCACGCGTTGGCCGTGGAATTCTACGACTGTAATCATGGTCAAAGCTGGGTATTCGGAACTCAGAAGTAGACATTCCAGCGCGCCCTCGGAGAATACGGTGCTTCGCGATAATGCCTCGGAAGACTTCCCCTGGCGCGACTCGGCTTGGCGTTCGAATCCGGTCGGAGATCTCGATCAGCAACAGCGAAAAGTTTGGTGACTGAGCCTTTAAAGTACCTGTACCGGGGTCCACTAGGGGATGAAGGCACGTACGCATATGCTTCACCTGTAGAATATGTGACTTCAACATCTTCCTAGAACACCTCTGAAGTGAATTGGCGGAAGACTTACTAGACTACAGACTTCGATGCGTTTAATGAGACCAGTTTTCTGCATGCGCACGACCATCATACACATCTACGTGTTTCTCATGTGGCGGCATGGTCACCGTGGCGTGCGCTGTGAACTGCGTGGTGGTTATAAATATCCGGTCATGCGATCACCACCGCGAAAGCGTCCTAGTCCGACGATGCGTTTCTTGTTGAGCGACAGGTTTATGTAAATTGCATATTGCCTGTGGTGCAATGATAGCTGAGACCGTGGCTAGCAGGCGCGACGTTGAAATGAGATGGTGGTTGGGAATAGAGGCCGCTAACTCCGGCGATCGCCGGCCCAGTCCGAAAACGCTCTGCCGAAAGCGCTCGGCTTGATGACAACCGCCAGAGAACGCCAGTTTCTTGCAACCGCCCGCTCAGCAAGAGTCAAATTATCTTGGGACCCACAACGACAATCTGTATCGCTTGAGGATGAAATCGAACTGCTAATTCTCTATTCGGTGAGTTCTTTTTAACTCCCTGAGACCCTATCCATCCCGGATGGCAAAGGTAAAAATGCAGGCGATCCACGAATCTGAATGTTGTATGATAGCGCGGTACAGAATGACGTGAGGTAGCTGTCGAAAAAGCGTAGGCTTGTGTGCCCAGAAAACGTTGCACTAAGCTCAAAACCTTACATCCCCCGTTCATATGCACCGTCGCTAATGACCAAATATGCCAGGAGGAAATCCTACAATAATGGCTCCCTTGAAACTAGCAATTGTGGGTGGGGGCCCGTCCGCGTTCTACGTGGCCTCCCGCTTGCTTTCTCTCCTACCCGAGTCCAGCTCGAGGGCATCCCAGCTCAAAATCCATATGTATGACCGTCTCTGGGCACCATATGGTCTGGTGCGATATGGCGTGGCTCCAGACCACCCTGAAGTCAAGGTTCGTCTAAGCACCTTCGGCACCGCGCTCGTACTCACACTCGGGGTCGATAGAACTGCACGCACAAATTCGCAGAAGCCGCCGCAGACCCACGGCTCCGCTTCTTCGGCAACGTCAACGTCGGCATCCCTGCGCCGATCACACACACGCTGCCACTCTCGCTCGAGGCGCTCTTCCCCCACTACACCCATGTGCTCTTCTCTACTGGCTGCACTGTACCCGTTCTCCACTCCGCCCTCCCCCCATCGCAGTTTTGTGTCCCTGCGCTGTCACTCGTGCACTGGTATACACAGCACCCGTCCAGGCCAACACCTCCTCCGCTCGAGCGGATCTCGCACGTCACGCTCGTTGGCCAGGGAAATGTCTCGCTTGACGTTGCGCGGATGCTTCTAACGCCACCCTCCGTGCTCGCCAAGTACGACGTGCCAAAGCCAGTCCTGGAAGTCCTCGAACGCTCCAACGTGCAGCATGTATCGATCCTTGGGCGCCGCGGACCGTTCCAAGCCGCATTTACGACGAAGGAACTCCGCGAGATGATGAACCTACCCGACGCGTCTATGGTTCCCCTCGACCCAGCGTACCTGACCGTACCAGAAGGCAGTCCCAAGCTCACTCGCCAGCAGTCGCGCACGCTCCAGCTCCTGCAGAAGGGCTCCAACAATAAGCCCGGCACAACCAAGAAGACGTGGTCGCTGGATTTTTTCCGCTCGCCTACAGGTCTCACAACCCCAAATGCGGCTGGGGACAAGGCCCGTCTCTCCCTGGGACACACGATGCTCGACCCGAATAACCGCGCGGTGCCTACTGGAGAGACGTCTACACTAGAAACCGACCTTATCATCACCTCCCTCGGGCACCACGCTGAGCCCAGTGCGCCCTGGTACGATCCCTCCCTCAACCACCTGCGTACGTTGAGCGGCCGGGTCGTCGATGCGGGCGGTCGTATTGTCCGCAACGTCTACGCGAGTGGCTGGGCGGCTACGGGTGCGCGCGGGGTGCTCGTGTCCACCATGATGGACGCGTATGCAGTGGCTGACACCATCCTGCGCGACCACTTCCCGGAGGAAGACGTACACACAACGCCGATAAGCGAGTCGGATGCGGGGGCTGGCAGCGGGCAAGACACTCCGGCGGCGGAAGCGATCGAGGTGCTGCCAAAGCACGTTGAGGCTGACACGTTCCCGCCGGAGGTTGAGGCTGGCTTGAGGGAGGGCCGGGTCACGGACTTTGACGACTGGAACGCTGTGGACGCTGAGGAGGTCCGCCGCGGTGAGGCTATGGGGAAGGAGCGCGAGCGGATGGTCTGGGAGGAGGCGCGCGAGTTCCTTGCGAGTGCAAGGCCTCGGAATGATTAATACATGACCAGGTCTTTCTTAGACTCGTACTTAGCAGCACATATTTTCCACCACTCATCCTCTGCATATTACTGCTCGCAGAGCTCGCACGACGGACGGCGTTTAATCTAAGTTTCTTCTGAACTGACATGACGACAGTTTCGACCGCCCGACGATCGTTCATTCGCGCGCGTTCCTCGGAAGGTCAGCCGCCTCCAGCCGCTTTCAGCCACCTGCGGCCCTGATACAACCGTTCATCCGGATTCACGACATGTCTTGGGGGTGCGCCGCGCAATGCTTGCGCTCCTCTCTGAGGGCGCATAGTGCATACAAAGACTGCTCTTGAATACATGAACGTTCTAGACCGGTATGTTTCGCTTGGCTTGACTTTGCCGCGTGTGGGCCCTCGGACATACATAGGGCACTAGTACTGGAACCGACGACATCATCCGTCATCGACGTCCCGCTCCAGTCCAGCCCAAATCGCAACACACCCACGCCCCAAGACTTGGCCGCGACCGCGCACTCGCTTGACAGAACACAGAAATACCTCCGGCTCCTCCCCTTTCTCTCCACTCCCCGCTGTCGCTCCACCGGACTCGTGAACTCGTACTTCTTGCCACACCTATCCTGTCTCGCATCAGCCTCGTACACTACACTGCACTGGGCTTCTGGGACCGATGAAAACGAAGCGAAATTGGCGATCGACGCTCCTGCTTGCCGCCGGCTTCTTCCTGGCGACGTCAACGCCGGGTGCGCGCGCGCAGGACCTGACGGACGATCAGCTGAGCGCGGTCAAGGACCGTCTCGCGGAGGGCGCGACACACAGGTGAGCATCATTACTCTAGGCCGCACGGGTCGCGCGTTCTCAAACACGCGTCTGGAATTCGAAGCTGGGAGATTGGCACTCGCACTCAGGCACTCATCGAGGACGACACCTCTTCGTACTCGGTACTCAGCAACAACGGCCTCCCCCCGTCGCAGCAGGCTCCGTCCTCTCTCGATGAAGTCATCTCTATCGCGCGCGAGGTCGTTCAAAATCGTACGAAGGCGGATGTGCAGGGCCCACAGCCGCTGATGGACGCGAACGGCGGCGCAGCGGGCGATCCGCCAAGCATTGGGGTAGCCGTTCTGCTCGCGAACTGGACGGGAGCGGGGGCGCAGGATGGGCAGGACTATGCTGGAGCGGCGGCGAGTCAGCTGGAGTTCTTGCTGGAGAAGGTGCCCAAGACAAGCGACGGGGCTATCTCGCACCGGACGGAGCAGCTACAACTATGGTGAGTCCATGATTTACATTCAACTCAACGGTCGAAGTCTTCCTGGGCCGGACCTCGCTGGGCCGCCCGGCGCGGTGAGGGTCGGAGGAAGGGAGGACCTCTTCCCGTTTGGGCGAAGCACTGTCTGACAGCGTATTGCTCTTCGCTTTAGGTCGGACTTCGTGTACATGGTCCCACCCTTCCTCGCGTACTACGGTGTGCTCACGCAGAACCAATCCCTGGTCCAGCAAGCATACGACCAATGCCGTCTGTATCGCCAATACCTAGTAGACGACGACGCAGGCGGTATGTGGAAACACATAGTGATGGGCGACAACACGGACAGTGGTCACTGGTCTACAGGTAAGCATGCAAGCTTCCGAGTCCTCGCTATGCGTCGCTAAAATGCGGTACACTACAGGAAACGGATGGGCAGCTGCTGGCATGCTGCGGGTTCTCGGTACCATCCAACACTCGCAATATTCGAGCAACATGCAGGAACAGGCAAAGAACCTCACTAACTGGGTCTCGGAGATCCACACCGGAATATACCCGCATCTGGTATGCTACTTCACTTCGCATCCTAATGGCGCTTGTTTTGACGTGGGCCTGTATAGCGCACAAACAGCTTATTTGGAAACTACGCGGACGACAGCTCGTCGTTTGACGATGCTTCCAGCACGGCGATCCTCGCCAGCACCGTCTACCGCCTCGCGGTCCTCGCTGGCATCCACACGCACCTTCCCGATGCCGAGAAATGCCGCAAGGCACTTTCCGCACCCTCCTCCAACTCCACCAGTTCCGCCTCCTCCTCGTCCACCGCGACGGCCCCCGCCAGCTCTTCGACTAGCGCTAGCACGTTGGAGCACTTCACATCCGACATGTGGCTCACGCCCGTCGTGAACCCAAACCAGTTTGGGATCGAGGGCGAGCAGAGCCCCGAGGGCCAGGCGTTCGTCGTCGAGATGTACGCCGCGTGGCGCGATTGGACCGCGGTGGGCTCCCCTGGCGCCAATGCCGCCAGCCGGGTACATGGCGCGGGCGCGATGTTCTTGTGGGTTTGTGTGGGTGTTGTGTTGACATTGCTGTTTGGGATGTGAGGGGGTGTAGGCTGCAGACGGACGTTGACGCGAAGAACGATCTTAGAGAGGATATTACCCGTATCTAGACCCCAGGGGTCATCCCATGTTTCACGATGCTGTAATTGGCTTCTTTACTTTGTTTTATTAGCGTAGACTGTTTTCATTTGGGTAGCTTTCGAGCTTTCGATACCATACTACAAGTGTTGTAATACATATTCACATGCTACGCAATCCTTTCCTTGCTGTGAGTTCAGAAAAGCCACGTCTGTCCTCAGCCTCTAGCAACTCGGCGGTATGGTACTTCCAGAACACATCATATACAAGCGATCGGCGGAGAAGCCATAGATGCATGTACCGTGCATAACCAAGTGACTGCATGCATAACCGTGCTCATCCGTAAGCCAACCGAGCCGGTGTCAACAGCATACTAATGCACAACCATCACAGTCATCCGCAGCGCCTTCGCGATCCCAATGAAGTCCCGCGTAGGCGGTCCTTCCGCAACACTCACGGCCATCTCGCCCTCGCACTCCGCTACGTCGGCTGCGTCCGAACGGGTGGAGACGCAGCAGCACGGGACACTGACTGTGACCGTGCGCCCATCGGCATCTCTGGAGAACTCTGTCTGGTCCAGCCTGTCGAATTCGGAACAATTAGCTCGTCGGAAATGCTACCAAACAGAAACGTCCGCAGTAGGATGAGACTTACCTAGTGACGCACGCGCCCATTCCCAGCACAACTTCGTGCAGCTTCTTCAGCGCCAGACTATCGTCGAGGGCGACATTCGGGTCTCCGAGGACGGACCACGAGCCCCGGAACACGAAAGTCCCAGATGAGGGGTTGTCATCCGCATCGTCTGCGACGAAAAGCACGCCGGACGGCGCGACCTTCAGTCCGTCGTCAGCCGGGCCCTTGCTCCTCCCTCTCTCCCTGCTCTTGCCCTTGCGTTTCGCACTGGTCTGTACTGGCGCTTGGGCAAGCTTCGGCTCGGCTACTGACAAAGCCGCTTTGAGGGCCGCGCACAACGCCTTGATCGTCTGGTACTCCGTCACATCGCCCGCCTCGCCTACGGAGGCCGAAATCAACGCGGAGGTCCGCCGTCTCGTCGACAGAGCGGACGCGGATCGCGTACGGCGTCTCCACTGCATCGTGTTCAGGTCGAGGTAGTAAGGCGACGGAGTGGGAGGAGCGGCAGGTGTAGGAGGGGTATGAGGGACTGCCGAGACGCTATTGGCCCGTGTGCGGCTGCGCCCTCTTCTCTTCGGCGCTGGAGTGGAAGGCCCAGCCGTAGGGGTATCGCCATCGAAGTCCCGCAATGGCTCAAAGTACTCTAGGGTACTGGCAGACGGAGCGCTCTTCCGTGGCCGACCCCGCGGACGCTTGATAGGGACCGGTGCCAATGAGGGCCCTGCGCTAGTTGACGTCGATGCGACAGGCGCGGCTACCATACGAGTGGGCGGAGAGGAAAGCGACGCCAGCCGCCGCTCACGCGCTTCAGCCTCGCGCTCCAGCGTGCTCTTGTTTTTACTTCCGCGCGGACGGCCCCGCGGCTTCTTCACTGGTGGCCCTTCAGGTGCTGGAATGTGACCGGTATCGGAAGGGTTCTCCGCCTCATCTGCCGCTTGACGCTCGAGTGCGCGCGCGATATTGCTGACGTCCACGGACTGGTATGCGTATTTCTCCTTATGTCGAGAGGAAGTAGGTGCACGCTCAAGGGAGCGCGAGACATCTTGCAAGAGTTGCTCTGCAACAGCTTCTGCATCGGAGGAGTCTTCTTCGTCTTCGTTAGCGAGGGCGGGCCTCGGCTTCTTGTAGCTGCTGGAAGGGCCTGCAGAAAGCGTCGGGCGAGCAGGCGTGGTAGCAGAGGGAATAGGGAGCGGATGCTTTCGAGGACGACCAGGGCCTCGCTTTACCGGTGCAGACAGCACGGCAGTAGGGGAAGAAACAGTTGGAACAGCTGCTGCCTTCCGTATCGGAGACGAGCCGGGAGCTCCTTGAGAGATGATGGGCCCCAACCCAGAGAGGCTGCTACTCTTACCAGGCGGTCTGCCCCGCTTCCTCTTGGGCGGCCCGCTAGATGATCCAGCGAGAAGGGTGTTGTCCGGTCGAAATGGAGACACAAATGTGTTTGCAAAGGAGTTGTTCAAGGCGTCGCTCAGGGAGAGGTGGGCCGCAGACGATGCACGGTACTGAATATCGCTTGCAGCAGTATTGTCATCCGAGGTTGGAGGCGGCGAGGGCATCGCGGTGGTCGGCTTCGGCTTCCCCCGGAGTCCTCGTGGAGGACCAATGCGCGCCCCCGGTCCCAGCGAAGGTACCTCAACATACACGCCAGACTGTCTTCTTGGCAGGGTCTGCTGAGGGGCTAGCTTGGAGGAAATCCTCGGTACGGAAATCGCTGAGGCGCTCAGGTCGTTGGACTCTCTCCGTCGATCGTTAAGGACAGCTACAAGTGCTGTGCTAGGTCCTTCGTTCTGCTCGGGAACATGGACATCTAGGGGTCTCTTCGAGAGGGCCGTAATCTGGCGTGCGGGCACTCCGTGTTTGACCTTGGTCGGAGATTCCTCCGCAGAAGAGGAACTGGAAGCTGTAATGATTGAACGTTAGAAAGGCGCGTCTTGAACAGGACTCCACACAACAGCGTATAATGAAACTTTGCATGTTCTATGCTTTGCAAGCATGACTGTGCGATTACCTCTGACGTGCTATTTCGCGGGTACACAATGGCCCATTGGTCGTAGACGCATATATGCGCATGAAATGGCATACGAACCACACTAACAGGGGCCACAAAGACGAGTGCATCGCCGTCTACGTCACCGTCGCGATGGTTGTTCTTCATAAACGAGATGTAGCATGACATGTCGCGAGTGGGATACGACGAGATACACACGCTCAAAGCCATGAGGATTCTGTGTTGTACCATCAAGGCGCACACAATGTCCATTGGCTTTCGCGACGTACTGTGACCCGCGCCCACATGTGACTGACTCTGAGAGGTCGTGCGCCCCGATGCGAGAGAACAGACATTATCAGACTCACAGCTTTGTTCCTCCTCAGCCTCATCTGGCTCATCTCCGGCGGACGAGCTCGCGTACGACCGCGCGCGTTTGTGCGCGTACGTCTTGTAGACTCGCGCGGATCGCGACGGTGTTACGCCGAACGCGTCTCTGCGCGCGGGTGTAGGCTCCTCGGGACTCGGCACTGTGGGCGATGGATCGCGCTGCTTCCGCTTCCTGAAATGGGGAGGAGGCGCGCCGATGTATGCGGCCAAACTGCCCGCCATAATTCCGAAGACTAGATATGAATGTACGACGCAAGAAGACCAAGATGCGGTGCGGCAAGTTGCAAGACGGATGAGACGCGATGGACAAAGAGCAAGCTGTGGGCGCTGTCGCGTACCAAGACAGGCGCAGCGTTGGGCGCGGTCTGATTTCCCACGCTAATTATTTCTCACATGATCGCGTTCAAAGGAATCTCCAGCGTGGATGAGTTGCGCTCGATGTTACACCAGTGAACCTGGGCACATTTGAACGACTGAGAGATTCTCGTGGTGACGCCGAAACGGGATATCATACAGGTATACAAGTACTCAATACAAACGATCCAAGAACTCATGATATACAGCAAACCAGGACGAAACAAATTACATGCGATGGAGCTCTCCCATTACCACGTTCACATTACCAAGTAGCCGGCCTGTTGATGCACAACGGTCAGCTATATTGTCCGCCCAGAACGACTCGCCGGTAGGATTTTACGTACCCGAAAGTCTGGCCAGGAGGCATGGCGGACAACGGCGTGCCCGCGCCCTGGGGGCCGAAGTCGGCGGTGTTGGTGGAGACGGTATTGCCCCACCACTTCTGAATGTTGTTCTTCCCGATCGCGCCGTTCTGCGGGTACTGCAGCGTGAAGTAGACCACGATGATGGACACTGCAACACCGGAGTCGAGCCCAGCAGACAGGATATCTATAAAGGCAATAGAAGGTCAGCGTCCTGTGGGCACTCAGCAGCGACACGCGCAGACTCACAGTTGTACTTCGTCCACCACGAGAAATGGCGGCGGCGGATGAGGTAGTTGAAGATGAACCCAACGATCGCCCAGGGCACGTAGTTGAGCGCGGACGCGGGCGGGATGTAGCTCGTGCCGTTGAAAATGACCGGAAAGTTCACGTAGCGGAGGAAGGAGTTCGGCCAACGGAGCGCGGCGAGGTACGTGAGCAGCGGGCATACCGCGCCGACGAGGAAGAAGAAGAGCAGGCCGTAGTAGATCTGGCCTTGCGAGAACTGCCGCTGCGGCCCGATAACGCCCCAGATGATCGACGCCGTGCCGAATACCTCCGTCGAAGGGCAGATGAAGCCGTCCGGCTGCGCGGGGTCGCACATGCGGTCGATGTTCGTGAACATCCACGACTGCACACCGAGCTGCACCGTGCCCGCGATTACCGCGGCGAGCACTTGTGCCCAGAACATGACCCGGGAGCTAGAAGGGAACGGAGATGAGCGAAGGCGGGGTTTGAGCGAGTAATACGACTCACGGGATCTTCATGTAATGTCCGAGCTTAAAGTCAGACGTAAATTGCAGAGCTTGAGCCATGGTGATGTAGCCGTACGTCTTGAACATCATCATCGCAATGGGTTTGCCGGGGAGCGCGTAGCCAATGATGAGCTCGGTGATGACACTGAATGATGATGAGTATAAGCATAGTATACGAGTATGTGTTGTGCTTACTTCAAGCCGACTTGTTGGTTCGTGATAGCTTGGATCATGCCGACCGGAATGGTATACACGAATGCTGGGAAAGCGTGAGTGACGTGGACACGATAGCATTACGACAACAGCTACAACTCACCGACGATGAGGGCGAGCACGAGGGCCCACACGGGCATCTGTGTGTTCCAAACCTCGATAGAGATGACGCTGAAGACGAACATGATCACTGCAAGCAAATGAGATAACCGCTCTTCTCCGACAGCACCTTTCGTGAGCACTTACCGAAAATGATGGAATACCACCACTCCGGGACCTGCGGGTACTTGGACATAAGCCGCGCGTGCACGTCCGGTTGCTCCGAGAGCGAGCGACGACTCTGGATCCAGATCTGCTTGCGGAAGAACAGCGCGGTGTGCATGATCGTCGCCGTGATGGACGCGAACGAGAGCCCATATGTCATGGCGAACGTCATGGAGAGGAAGAGCGGCGAGTACTGCTCGTACTTGCGGATGTCGAGCGTCGACTCCGGCGTGAGGATGCGCGTGACGTCGTACTCCTGGCCCGTGTTGTCGTACGACGTGCGCGTCGAGATCGGCATGAACGCGGCATACCAGGTGTTCGTGTAGTACAGGATCGGGGTGAGGATCCAGAAGAAGAACACGAAGCCAACGGCGACGTTCGCCTCAGCCCACCACGGCGTCGCCAAGGGGGAGCCAATGTAGGTGATCTGCGACCAGTCAAAGGTGATGAGGGACATCCCGAGGCCGTTGTAGTACCCGAAGAGCTGGTTGACCACCACATTGTTCGGCGCAATCCAGCATACCCAGGTGAAGTAGCTCAGCGCCTGGAAGATGTAGCCAGGGAAGAAGTACCAGAAGAACGAGCCGATGAACACGTAGAGGAAGAACCACTCGCGGGAGATGCCGCCGCGGTTTCCGATACCGGCGTAGTGCTGTGAGTGTAGGGTGTTGAACAGCGCGCAAGTCACCAGGTTCGTCGGCCAGATCATAGAGGGTGGCGCTACGAGGAAGCGGCGCGCAATTCCACCGATAGAGAACCCGATCTGTCACGGGGGTGAGCCCGGGAATATCACTGCCGACAGTATTAGACGCTTACTAGTTGGGTCGACATCACAACCATCCATTGGTATGAGAAGTTGTATATCTGATTGTAGTACACACGCTGTACAGCGATGATGTCCGTCTGTCCGGCATGTCAATGAAGCCGTAGTATCAGATGATAACGAAATAACGTACTGCGTAGGCGGACTGATATCCAACACTGGCCATGATCGTGACCAGAACGTGCTCCTTAACGGTAAACGGTCCCGGATTGACGGATATACCAAATATCTTGACATTCGGAAGCGCGTATGCCCAAAGTCGTCCAAGAGGGTATGACAGCAGCTGCGCTACAATCTGGGGGGCCAAGAGGAGCAGTCAGAGATAGGGCATCCCGGCAATGTGAAAGCACAGCGAGACTCACGCCAGTGACGGTAACGGAGGGGTATCGGAAGAAGAAGAACTGGTTCATGCCGGGGAGGATGATGGCCCAGACAATACCGATGACCCAGGCGCGGAGCGTGTTCACCGGCATGTCTGGGTCATCGGTGTTGGCGACCGCAGAGCGTACCTCCGGGTAGGGTGAATCGTCGTCTGCACACGACAGGGCTCAGCACGATGGGTTAGTTTAAGCTTTGGGCTTCGCTCACCGAGTACGATCGCATCGGGGTCGATGTTGGGGTCGTCAAACTCAGGCTCTAAGGGAACCACGAGTTGGTGGGAGACTGCGAGTTAAGAATGGGTGGCTTGGTCAGGGAATTTTCACGCAGACAAGGGAGTTGAAGAGGAGGCGCTTACCGTTCTTCTCCGCATCCTCTGCAAACTTCTCCTGCAGCGAGCCCGCAGACTGCCTGTCCTCAGCGGAGTAGGTGGCAGGCATTATGGATGCCAGAAGCTGGGGGGTCAGGAGCAGGATCAGTTGGCTATTGAGATGGATATATAGGTTCTGCGACACCTGGCGCCGAGGGCGAACAGATGGATGGCATGAGCGCATTAATACTTCCGCTTCCCAGTTCCTACACGTTATCTCCCATCCCGGCCGTGAGAGCGGGCGTTAGAAGCAGAAGCAAGGGCGACCATGTGCACTCGGCGCTGCGGTGCTCCAAACCCACCGAACAAGCTTCCAATGCGGCGTTTAGAGTTGCGAAAATAGACACCGCGCCGATGCCGGTGGGATGACCGGCCTGGGGCCGGGGTTATGTGTCTAGTGCAGACGCGAAGAGCCTCCGCAAGGAAGTCGTGTACGTGCCAAGGTACGCGCAGGAGGATTCGATGCTTAGGACGTTCTGACGGTCTACTACCGCTGAATACCTGGCCACCGAGCTTGACAGCTCAAGTTTCGCATCCGTCACTGTGCCCATCGGTCCAATCGGGGCCAATGGGCACCGTGATGCTCCGCGGTTCTCGCGGCACCTGCCTACTGCTCCTCGTGCAGTACTCATGTGCCACATACCGAGTATAGCCGTACTAGAAGTGCTTCTAAACTTACCTCCAAGTACCGCGGGCCTATCCGCGGCTCGTGCGATGCTTGATAGAGATATTCTTCCATGTTAGTAACCTGGGCGCAAGCAGCGCTTCGGCTGCGAGCCTGCAGCAGCAGCCCTTCTGCGCGTATACAGTGCTGGCCGTCGGTAGGGCGAGAAGACAGGACGGAAGGAAAGGTAGGCACTCTATTTTGAACATCCGCTGTAAGAGCGAGACTGCCATCAATTGTGGCTCAGGCACCCCCCCTTGCATCCTACACATTAGGTGTGCCTCGGCCCGGCCGGCTGGCTCCCTGGCGCCTCACGCAAACGCCACTTTTCACCTCCCCCGCACCGCTGGTGCCTGGAGGCTGGCGGTGCGCAAATTGCAAACGGCCAACTGGCTCGTAGGGGCTAGAAATATTAAGCGCTACGCAAAGATGGGATGCGCCAAGTTTCAAGGTTTGAGCGCCAAGCCACTCCGCCTACAACGCCAAGAGCCACATCCCTCATGCTCACGGTGTCGGAATTGTGAGGACTGGATGTACAACCTGTTAAGACTGTAATATATCAGTTGTTGCGGGGAGCATTCGATGCGTCGATTGCCAGGCGGTAGTGCTCATGTGGGTTGTGGCGTTTTTGCTGAGGTGATGGCATGCCGCCTCTTGATCCAGAGTCCAAAGATACTGTCAGCGTTTGAGATTGCGCAGTCTTGAAGTCATCGTTATCGTCACTAGGCCTTGAAAGGCATAGGCCATGGTGTTGGACGGACATCCGGTATTGATCCTTGTGTGTGTGTGCCATGTATCTTTGGAGCCTAGATATGACCTGTCAGACAAGGATGTGCTCTTCACTGCTCTTCAGAAAGGCAAACTTTTCTGCATACGGTACAGAGCTCCAAACGGCGTCACTCCTATGATATCCGGCCGATCCGCCGAGAGTAGTTCTTGCAACTTCAAGGGGGTATATGTCGCACATGGCCGCAATGTTTTAAGATAGCCTAGACGCGTAGTTGATGTGCGCCAATGTCCAGTAGGGCACGCTCTTGAGTCGAACAGGATTATTTCTCCATATGCTCTTGTAGAATTCGACCTTTTGATGCCAGGCTGATGCCGGGCTGTAAGGAGAGACGGGGAATGTCGTGGTGAGGGCAGCAGTTTGGATCCGTTCGATGGAGAGATCTCGCGCCTTCATATATACACCAGAATACGTGAAGGAGGTCATTTTTACGCTTCGTGATGAGTCGCAGACACGTCCAAAGACCTCCGTATCGAGACGGAAGCCAGACGTTATCACAGAAGAAGCAAGCTCCCTGAGTCCGTCACCCGTGCGACGCGCCGATCTCGAAGGTTTGTTCGGCACGAAATCGCTCCTGTCGGAGCATATATGAATAACGTTCACTCACCGCCCCGACACAACGGCGAGAGGTGGCTTCATTGACCATTGCTCTCCACCTCCGTACCTCGTCAACATTGATGTAGGCAGACGAAAAACGGTGAGAGACATGGCAAATTGTGGACGCATCTGGACAGGACAGTATGGTAGCACGAAGGACGTCCGAGAACCTGCCACCGATCCAAACCAGACGCGTCGCGCGTATGACTCGCTTCCCGGGCGCCGGTTACCGCGTCACACCTTTGCCAATCTGGGAATGTCTTCGGAAGATGAAGCAGAATCGAAGCGACTGCGAAGTGTGGAGGCGTTGACACTTTTTGACATCTACGTAGCTAGGCCCCTCGACCGGGGGAACGCGTAACATATTCCATGCAGCATTCCGCGAACCCTCTAAACAAAAGTTACCAAAGCCATCAATATCTCCAGTCATCCTTGCCTAGGGTCGCACGTCCCGCGACGACCGGATATATGCGCATTCCTCCTATCCCTCCAAGATGTGTGACAGATGTGGCTGTCAGGTTGTAATGGTCCCAGCGCGCTGGCGTAGTATGTGCAGCCCCTGCTCGTATGAACGCTGAAGTATAATTAAAACTCCCCCGCGGGGTTCGCCCGAGAAAGTGATGATCGACACCCTTGGCACCATTTAGATGTATATTTACTGTAACGTGAACACTATCGACGGATGAGAACAGCGCGGGTCCGCTTCAGCAAGGTGAGACATAGATGATTCGAGAGAAGGAATGCACAACATAGCGGGGCCAAGAGGCGCAGAACATACGTATATTGCGAGGACAGTGGGCGCACAGCGGCGCTGATCCGGGAAAGGGAACGGGCTAGGTAAGGGGGAACCGGGGCCCAGAATGAACGAGGAAGTTAGCCGGAACCGGGGCGGGCTCTGTGGTATCGTCGTGAAAGAACGGGAGGGTTACTATGCAACACTAGCAAGAAACGATGTCGAGGGTTTGAGGAGCATGCGGGGGTGTTGGGGCGCCCGGACCACGAGCGACGCAGCGGGCAGCAGGACGTCGTGTCCGCGGCGGTGGGCCAGGCGAGCGGGGACGACGGCGGCCACGTTCATCGGGGCTGAATACGATGTTTCAGAGCGGACCCTCGAGGGGAAATGGAAGGGGTAGAGGAGCAAGCGCACGAGGTGCGCGCCGTGCGAGGGCGAGGCCGTGCTGGGGAAGCTCCGAACTAAGCTTCCTCCTCCTCTTCCTCGAGCACGTTGTAAAGGGGAGCGCCATGGACGTAGGTGGTGGGAATTTCAATCACAACATCTTCTTCGCTCACCTTGTCGTCAGCGGGCTCGGGCTCCACTATTTCCGGGAGGTCGGCGGGGGTAGGGGGTGTCGGGGTGGCAGGAAGAGGGGAAGTAGAGCGTTCCTTCCCGTTCAGGCGCGCGGTTTGCAGGGAAGCCTGACGAACGGGAAGGCGGGAGGAAGGGATGGGGCTCGCCGAGCTGGCGTTACGCTCACGCTCGCGGTACATCTCGATGAGCGACGCGGTCTTGCTCGCGGAGGACTTCGCCGGAGGGGAGGGGGTATCTTCGTCCTTCGCCGGCGAGATGGCGGGCAGCGGCTTGCCACCGGAGGACTTGCTGACGTCCCGCGGAATGGACTGCGAGCCGATGTGGACAGGTTCTGGGTCTGACTCGTACTCAGAAGCAGTGGATAGTCGGTTCAGATCCGAGTTGTCCATCGGTGTCAGGTTGGCACGAGGTGACTTCTTGACAGCAGATGCGGTGTACGGGTTCTCGGTTGAGGTGTCACTCTCGTACGAGGGACGCTCGAAGCGATCCCTAGGATCGTCGGCAACGGTGGGAGGCCGACGGTCAGGGTGGAGATCGAAGTAACCCACGCGTCGCCTGGGAGTGGTTTGCGTCTGCGAATCACCCTCGTCGTCGCCGTGGTGGTCCGCGCTGGCTGGCGTGTGCTCGAGTACGGAGTCCTGCAACGTTGAAGTGTCGCCCTCGCCGCTTGGGCCCGCAACAGGCTCCATACCATCGTCCTCGTCATCGGAGAAGTGGCCGCGCACGGCAGCGAGCACCTCTGACACTTCTTGGCTGGCGAGTTCGGGATCCGAACGGCCACCCTTGAGCACATTGCGCATCTCGGCGTCCTGCGATCCCATCCGGCGGCTAGAGTTGGCGACGAGGATGTCCACCCACGCGTCGTCTTTCGAGCGTCGACGATTGTGCTTCTTCTTGCCGAGCTCCTCATCGTCAAAACTTGCGAGACGAGTGTCGAACTCCACCGGGTCGTACTCCGTCGGCAGAAGACCGGCTCGCCGCGGCGCTGCAGGGCTTGATGGAAGTCCGGTCGGCAGGCGAAAACGGGAGCTCTTCTTGACCAGAGGAGAGCCGCCGTCATCTTGTGGGCTTGACGGGAGCCTCGGGCTCGGAATAGGTGAATCGGACCGCATGGTGTTCAGAAATTGAGGGCTGAGGGCCTTTGCCAGAGGATTTCCAAGCTCATGGCCGGGAGTGGCGATGACGCTGGCGGATGTAAGGACAGGTGGGGGTCGCGAGCCTTCTTGACTGCGATTCAACGACAAGACCTTGCTACCATTGGAGCGCAGGAGGCCTTCAAATTCGACTTCGCGGTAATTCGGACTATGCGGCACGTGTCCCACGACATACGGCCGACCATTGAGTGTTGGAGCAGGTTTCCACTGTTTGGACTTTGTCGACGCAGAGAAGAGCGAAGGAAGTCTCCGGCGGTTCGCTCCAGATGAGGCAAGTTGCTGACGGTACTCCGCGGGAACAAACTCCTCGAAAAGAACGAGCGTGGTGGAGGCGCGGGGATCCCCAGCGCCCGAGACGGTGTTGGTTCGAGTTACAGGCAAAGACTTGAACTCGATCTGCCAACCAAGGCGATGATGATAAACAGGGAACAAACATACTGTGTGAAACTTGCACTCACCAATGCCCAGTTACATTCTCGGTCTATCTCCTCGTGTCGGTCATCATCCATCCATCCGCCACCGTATATGAGATCGCAGAAGACGTCCACGAAGGCCTCTTCGATCACCTCCTCTCCACCCAGAACAGGCTCAGTGTCCCAGCCAAACGGAGGCAGGGCTTTCTGGGCCTTCTTCAGCTTGCGGTGCATCTCCGCAGATTGAGTTGGCCATGCGTTGATCTGGTTGGCGACCGGAGCGCTAAATTGCAGTGTAGCGCTAAGGTGTGCATCTGTCCGCGAGAAACCCGAAGAAGAGAAATCTTGCCATGTCAGCGTTGCGCGTTTCGCAGCACGGGCCTGTGGTCACACAAAAAATTGATAAATATCGCTAACTCATGAAACGAAGAGTGTGAAAAGCGATTGACATACCGCTCGCGCGCCCTCCGTGAGGTCGAACTGCAGTTTCTTATCGTCCGCTGCAACACTGCCAAAGCCCATTGCCTCAAATTCGCCCCACTTCAGGTCTGTCAAGCTCCGGAACCGGTCCTCGCCACCAATCAAGCCGTGCTCCTTCTCGTCAAACAACGTTGACCCGGCAGATGATGCCGACGAGATGCTTGATGTCAATGATGGCGGCGGCGAAGATGCGGTGGAGGAAGCACCAACGTCCGGGTGGAAAGTCGGTGCGAGGTCCATACGTTTCTTGTATGCGTCTGAGTATCGTGGCGGCAGCTTGAGTGTAGGCGGCGCGATTCGCTCCCACTCCCGCGAGCCCGCGAAAGCACGCTCGCCCGCGCTTGACACGGCGCCTCGAGGCCGCTGCGCCCAGGATGCTGCGGTCTTGACCAGGTCGGGCGAGTACATGCGGACATTGCGCCGTACGCTGAGAATGCGCACAGTACGGGCGCCCCGTCGCGGCTGAGGGCGCTCCTGTTTGCCTATCGACGGCAGCATCGCCGGGTACCCCTGTATCCATGCCTTGAGGCGAGTGGGAACACCGAGGGCGGGCGTCGACACACTCGCTTTGGTGTCTTGCCAGCGTATGAAGGCGAGCAGCAGGTGTTCCGTTGCGGTTACGGCGTGGAGATAGTGCATATATGCATGGTGGAAGTTGAGCGTCGATGGTCCCAGCCCGAAAAGCAAAGGCCCGAAAAGCGGCGACAAGGTGGGAGGCGTGTGCCCGGAAGATGCAGAGTGCGCAGCGAACCGGGTCAATAGAGTGAACAGCCCGACCAGAATTGAACGTAGAAGAGGATCCAAGGGGTCCAGAAATGAAGAGAAATGCAGTCCGGGGTAGTTGAGCACTGCCGAGGAGTTAGACGACGCCTGCGGATGATCGCTCGACGACACGCACCAGCTTCAGAGTCCCGCCACTGGCTGTATGCGTCGTACGAGACCAGTCCGCGGACCTGGTGCCCGCCCACCCATCGTACTACCCGAGCCAGTCCCCACCGTAGCGCCATTCCCAGTTCGTGCGGACCCGCCAGGCGCGCTTCCTGTCGCCATTGCCTGTCCGCCTCCGACGATGCTTTCGTGCACGTATTGAGGAACGTCTGGATGAGCCGTTTCACCGCCGCTGAGGATACGTCGAGCGCGAGAGTCGAGAAGATGAACGGGGTCGTCAGTCCCCGCGTGCCCAACTCCTCGCCCACCACGTCGACGAGCCGTGCGACCTCCTCGGGCCCCAGAATGACATGGCGGCCGTACGACAGATAGCCGTAGTCGTGCGAGGGCGGCTGTTCGAGTACAGGGCCCTCGCCGTGCTCGTACCGGGGCCGCTCGAGGCTCAGGGGGAGAAAGGCACCGTCAGGGGGGCCGTAGTCCTGCTGCTCATCATCCGCGGCGACTGCCCGTGACTTTGCGGAGCTCTTCCCGCCGTCCTTTTTGGCCGCCTTCTTCGCGGTCGCGACGAACTGCTGCTGGACGGGTGGCCGCGGGGAGCCTCTGCTGCTGATGCGGCCGAATTCGTCCTGTGCGCCGAGGTCGAAGGCGGATTTCTTTGTCGGGGTCGATGTGGTCCGTGCACGAGAGAACAAGCTCGGCATTAAGAGTGAAGAGAGCGACGGTATGGCGGGAGGTGCTGAGCACGACGGGGAGGACGAGGGAGGTGGTGGTGGGAGCGGACAGGGGAAATTGATGGGAAACAGCCGAGCCACGCGGCAATTATGGTCGTCGTCAACGACGAAGTGCTCTTCCATTAAGACGCTTGCGGCACAAAGACACCCGCATTCTTTCCACCATTCATAGTATACGTCGCAGAAGAGACAATAGATTGACAATGTCAGATCAAGCAGGGAGTATCAAGCGCATACATGCATGTAAAATCGGAGAGAGAGGCACAGGTATATAGTATTGCGAGCCGGTACGTCAGGGCCTAGGCCCGGCACGCCGGATCAGTCTCACATCGCCTGCTTATGCTCAGTGGCCGGAGGGGGACCAGGAGGAGGGGCGTATTGCGGCGGACCGCCTTGGAACGGAGGTGGACCCGGAGGAGGTGCATAACCTTGTTGAGCCGAAGGCGGGCCAGGAGGTGGTGCATACTGTGGTAGATTGCCTGGCGGTGGATTAGGCTGGGAAGCCCGGTTCAGCATTCATCTACATTGCGGCAATGCTACTTCTCGACTCACCGAAGGATACGGGCTCTGCCCATTGTACGATGCGGGAGGATACTGGGGGGCATATCCCTGGGTGGGGTTGTAGTAGCCATTAGGGCCAGGGCCGGGCGCGGGATAGCTCTGATAGCCTGGGGGAGCTTGCCCCGGAGGACCCGTCCCCACGTACGCGAGATTGGTGCGTTGTACAGACCGGGATCGCATACGTGACCTAGTGATAAGGCCTATGAAGAGTGCAATTCCGAAGACTGGAGACAGGGTCAGCCTGTCATTGACCGTGGGCGATTTGACGATATACTAACATATCGCTATTCCAAGTCCTATGCGTGCACCCGTAGACAGAGTGCAACGGCGCCGGCCAAATCTGATGGATATAGGACAAGTGTGAGTGAAGAGAAAGCGCGTAGCGAAGTGAGAACGTAGAAAGACAGAAATTTCAGCTTTGGTAGGCGTAAAACTCGTCGAAAAGTGCGGGCCGATACAGGATACATCAATGGCAGGTGTGGCGAACGGAGGATGATCCCCGACTGTCCTGCACGTACCAAGCATGGACCATGGTCAAATCACCACAACTAGGACCCATGATGCATATAACTGAGGTTGAACTCCGAGGAAGCACAACGGGCGACTGCCCATGATTATGACTTCGATGTTTTCAGGTAACAGGTTTATAACCTCCAGCATGAGCGCAGCATACAGCCAACATTGATGCAGTTCAAACAACAGGGATTGCAAAATTCGCATCCACCTTGAGCTGGTGATATTTCAATGCCGGCTGAACCGTTATCCAATAAGTGACTGTTCCAGACAAGCTTTCGACAGGCGTCCAGATCGGACGTCATGCCAAGCCTGTCCGGCGTAGAACACGGATAGATGCACACCGTGAAGGATTCAAACGGTATCCGGAGCGCCCTCACAGGATACCGCAGCCTACCTACATGTCCGTCACGCTGGCGACACCAGTTGTCAGACGATTCGTACAGCCTCGTATGCTGACCCAAGCCCCAAGTCAAACTCTTTGGAGTCTGACTGAGGGCCTGACCAGGCTATATGCACTTTCAACAAGTCCCGCTTTCGGTCATGCAAAGTGGGGCATCGCGAGCGCTGCCTTTGCAATTCGCCGACATCAAGAGACACGACAGATGATGATACGCACGCATCGAAATAGCAGGTTGCTTGCGCCCCTGGGACAGCAGAAACTGCCAAAACAAGGGCTGTTAAAGACGCAAGGGCGTCGCGGCGTCCTGCACGATACACGTCAGTCTCGTACGAAGGATGTAATTTTCTCAGCTTACCAGACATGGTGGTTCAAGAGAAAGAGGTGATTGCGGAAAGCCCGCAGGTGCGGCGACGTCGCTAGTGAGTCCGTGCAGTGTACAAGCACCGCATTACGTAATAGCCAAGGGATTCGCAAGGCTGGATGCCGCACGGACCTTTGAACTGGTACCACATCCGTAAGTTGACAAATGACAAGTCGCTCGCTGTCCAGCGAATGCATCCGGTGTCTTATCAACATCACAGGTCTACAGTCATCGGAAGGCCCTGTATATAGGCCAATAGTATCAATGCGGTACAACCTTGCGGGATGCCAGTAGTGCTAGTACGCGTTTATGACGTGCATTGTTTGCGTCACCATCGGCATCGGTGGCAAACGAACAAGCACGGTCGGCTGTCGTACACGAGGGTAAACACGCCCGCTCAAAAGTGCAGACGGATTCCGAAACGGGAGCCACGCTTCCTACCGTGAAATACTCCTACTTGGCTATCGGTGCGTTTTCAACATGTTTCTTCAACCTAGCGTTCAAAGATGTGGTGCAGAGACGAGACCTCTGATGTTTCGTCCGATAGTGAACACCACCTCGCAGCCTAGAGCCATAGGGGGGCGTGACTGTTCATAGGGAACTACTGCTGTAACATGCCAGTGGGCCGGACGCCGCATGGCTTCACGAAGCGCTGGCAGTGAGACTGCTGCAGGACTGCTGTGAAGCCCAGCCTCTGCGTTTGCTGCGGGCGTGGGTAAAGGCTCAATTTAACCTGCAAAGCCGTCCCTACTCCCCGGAGCATGGAATGTCAAAATGTGCAAGGGGCTAAAACGGATCCCGCCGCCACCGGGAACACAATCAATCTTACACTTCCCAGTAAATTCCCCGCGGCCCATGATATCTCATGACACAAAATTCAGGTTGGTCGTGCGCACTCACCAGACCTCTCAGCATCCCCTTTTCCGGTACGCGTGAGATTCGGTTTTGAACCAAGCTTAACAATCATGGCAACGCTACAAATACCGCTGACTGAATATTCAAGCTCGCGGCAGCATTTACGTCGCCGTCGGGGTCTGCCGTGCCCTGCACACCGTTAAGCGTGAGTGAAAACCTTTTTGACCCTACAGGGCTCTGCGTTTCCGCTCTCAAGATTGCTCCCAGTGCACCGTCCCATCTGATTGGACGGCCCATGGACGCGTCTAGACACCGCCGTCGCGTCTGTCACGATGCCCGTGACCGCGTACCTGGCCCTCGCCGAGGACGAGAACACTCTTTTTGCGCGATCACCCATCGCCCCTCCTCCGCCGCACTTTATCCTCGCCGTGTTATCGATCGGGGTCGCCCACGGTCGCTCTACAAATTCCAACGGGGTCGGACCGTTGTCTCCTTCGCGAAGAAGCCCGCTGCCGAACTGAACGTCGACGCTAAACCTAAAGGCAGCGATATGACTGCAGGCGCACCCCCGGGAAGCGTTCTATCGACACGTCTGCTCCGACACGCGCTGCGCAATGGCTCCTGCCGTACACCCCGGTGCATTGGTGCGCTACCAGACTCTCACTCGGCTCCCGGTCGTTTTTAACGATGGCGACATCATCACCTGCTGCGCAGAGGCGGTGCACCGCGGTCCCACATGAGTGCTGGGCAGTCGCACTCCAATGGCATTGTGCAGTCAGAAAGTCTTACTTGTCTGCACGGCGTGTGCAAGTGCCGGTAGGGGTGCCGGGGCCTCTGATTGGGCGATGATATGTCAGTCTGGCAGGCCTGAGCGTACGTCCCGTAATTGTGAGCATCGTGCCGCTCGATAACCTTCGCGATTGTGAGCTCACACCCTCCGGCAACTTTCTCTAGATCGACCCGTGTCCTTGCGGCGGCGTTTTTGCCTAGATTCGCACATGCCGGCGGGCATTCTCGTAGTTGGACGTCCCTTCTCTGATCGTCGGGCCCGCGCCTGGTGCAAAAACCCACCGCCGGACAAATTAGGCGTGCGCGAGGGCACAATGCAAGCTATCTCTGAGACCAGGAAGGCCCCATCCGCCGGCCGAGGCCTGGGCCTTTGCCCTTCGAGGTGATTCTGTGCACGTTGTGAGCACCGTGCGTTTCTGACGGCCTCTGCTCAGCCCACTTGCGCCCTTTTTCGTCAAGTCTCCGTGCCACGCTCAGGCAGGCCTCGGCTCCCGCATGTCGAGGACGCTCGCGAGGACCATGCGCGCCCGCGATCTCTATAGCGCTCAATTAACCATGTTCCCTTGATTCATTGGCACCCTGCCGAAGCACACCCTGTCCTTCTACCTTCCCGGACACCCTATCTCTGAACCCGTGGCCGCGCCGTAGCAACACCCATCGTCACCGAGGCGTCTTCTCGCGGACGGCACCGCCTCATCTCGCCGTGGGGGACACCCTACTCGCGTTTCTGGAAAGAAGCGGGGCGGCACATGGTCTGCCGACAGACCTTCGCCGTGTCGTACGCAGGGAAGATATGTTCGCGGACTTCGAAGAACCCGACGACGCCCCCCGCGCACGCATGGGGACTCTCCGAAATGGCCGCCCCGAGAAATTGAGAATCGGGAACGTACCCACATACTCTAGGCCGCCGTGTGGGGGGAGTGCCTGTAGACATGGCGTTGTGAGTGCTGCCGGTCGTCTGCGGCGGCCGCGACTTATCGTTCTACAGGCTGCACGTCCTGCGCCCGGTATAGATCACGCAAAGTATATCCCTCCGAGGTACACGGAAATGATCCTGAAAGCAAGGACGGCCTCTGGTTGGACTGTCGGGGGCCAGGACCGGGGTCGAGCATGACATCAACACGTGGGTATTGTGTCCTAGATTCCGTCTGTGGTGGCACTCACGGCGCGAGTCTAGAGCTTGGCTGCTATTGCGAAGGCACCCTCGTTCGATGCCGGGCCCAGTCGCTGGTGTCTCTCGGAACGAGGAGGTGCTATACTCGTAGAAGCTGCCGAACTCACGTTGCTGCGGTCGGCTCATTTCCCTCGAGAATGGTACCTCGATCTTGTATATAAGACCTTCTGCGAGTACAGGAATATAATCACCGTTCCCCATTTTTTGAGCTCTCCTCTGTATCCCTTGAACGTAATTTCTTCGCCAATTCGCCCCGCAACACGTGGTAAGTGGGCGCTTTTCTCGCGCGAACCACTTCTCTGAAGTCCACCATCTCTTCGCTCATTTCCTCTTGACCTCCGACCACCATGGCCTCCTTCCTCCGCCGTTTCGCGACCTCGGCTTCGGCCTCGTCCAGCCCAATGTAAGTGTCCCAATGTTCGCCGAATGACACGTCACAAACCGAACGTCTGACGCGGCGACCAGGTCGAAAGTCTTCGTGAGTGTGTTCGCGTTTCGCCGACCGCGCAGCACATCTTATGTGAATGCACGCGCAGTTTGACGTCGCCATCGACTCCAAGCCCACCGGCCGCATTATCTTCAAGCTCTACGACGACGTTGTCCCGAAGACTGCACGGAATTTCCGCGAGTTGGCGACGGGCCAGCACGGCTTCGGATATTCCGGCAGCACTTTCCACCGTATAATCCCGAACGTGAGCAGTCCCCACCTGGCATTCGCGCCTGACTGTTGTTCCGCTTCTGATGCTGCCCGACACATCGCAGTTCATGCTCCAGGGCGGTGACTTCACGCGTCATAACGGTACCGGAGGCAAGTCGATTTACGGGGAGAAGTTTGCCGGTAAGCTGTATGGCGCTTTGGAGGCTGGCTCTCAGCCTGAACGGATGCTGTTCAGACGAGAACTTCAAGTTGCGGCATGACAAGCCTGGTCTGCTGTCCATGGCCAACGCGGGAGCCAACACGAACGGCTCGCAGGTACGCTTTCGCCTTTCCCGTGCACTCATACACGGAGGAAGTGCTGACCGTATTATCGCGTCTGTCTGCAGTTCTTCATCACGACGGTGGTCACGTCGTGGCTTGACGGCAAGCACGTCGTGTTCGGCGAGGTTTCCGAGGGCTTGGACATCGTGAAGGCAATTGAGGCGGTCGGCTCCGAGTCTGGCCGTCCGAAGTCGAAGGTCACGATTACGTCTTCGGGCACGGTCTAACACCAGCTACTGTGTGTGCACGAGCATAGAGCACGGCCATGGAGATGGACACCGGTCTGAAAAGTGTGTGTGTTGCTATGCGAGAGACAGTATCTCGTTTTGGCTCGCCTCGTGGTCATACGTATACACGGAACACTTGCTCGCATGTATTTGCCGCATCGTATTCCATTCAATCCCCATTCCCAGAGCAGGGCATGATGGGCTCTCGGAACCACCCGTTAGTGTTATTTAGTTATTTCCGCAAGCCCGGTAAAGTTCCTGGGAGCTGACTATATGGCACATGCCAAGAAATATGCGAGAGCACTCGTGAGTAGGCGCGGCGAAATGACGCCAATCCAGTTAGCCTTCATTTGAGGATAGTGTCATTCCGAAGGTACTTTCTTTTCTTATGCCACTTACATTGTTCGGCAACAGCCCGCGCTCATGGTCCGAGGCGCGACGCGTTCTGTGCCCATGGGGAGAATTCATTCCACATTACCCACGAGGCATTGGGAATGAGCGTACATCAGCTTCGTACGTTTCTGCTTCAAACCCGAACTTCGTAGATCACACTGTCATTAATGTAACGTACAACATTTGGCCCATACTCAAAACAAGGCCGCATATCTTCACTCTATGCCCGCAATGCACATAGACGTAAATACAGACAGACACGTTTTTACCAGTGCTCTGGCCTATCAGAGTGAATGCAGTCAGCGGAATGCACTACGGGAACCCCAATTCAGCGGCGTGGACGTACCCGAAGAAGCCCCGGTCGGCCGGAATGGGGAGAAGCGGCGTGCCGTTGTAGTCCGCAGTGTTCGTGGAGACGGTGTTCCCCCACCACACTGCAAGGTTTTTCGCGCCGATCGTGCCGTCCTTCGGATACTGAAGGGCGAAGAAGATGACGATGACCGAGATGGCAACGCCCGAGTCGAGACCGGCGGACAGGATGTCTGTGTGCGGCACGGTATCAGCCGGCCGTTCCGCCCTCGTTTCAAAAGAAGAGGGCACCACTCACAGTTGTACTTCGTCCACCACGAGAAATGACGGCGGCGGATAACGTAGTTGAAGACGAACGCGACGATCGTCCAGGGCACGTAGTTGAGCGCCGACGCGGGCGGGATGTACCCAACGCCGGAAAAGATGACCGGGAAGTTGACGTACTTGAAGAACGAGTTCGGCCAGCGACGAGACGCGAGATAGCTGCCGGCGGGGGCCGCGGCGCCGACGAGGAAGAAGAAGAGCAGGCCGTAGTACACCTGGCCGTGCGAGAACTGGCGCTGCGGACCGATGACACCCCAGATGATCGACGCAGTGCCGAAGACCTCGGTGCCGGGGCAGATGAAGCCGTCCTTCTGGTGGGGATCGCACATGTTGTCGATGTTGGTGAACATCCACGCCTGTACACCGAGTTGCACGGTGCCGGCGATAGCCGTGGCGATGACCTGCGCGAAGAACTGCGGGCGGGGGCTGCACGAGGAAATGATCGTGAGCACGACTCCGGATGTATCGGGAACAGGAGACCTACGGGAGTTTCATGTAGTGCGCCAGCTTGAAGTCAGACGTGAACTGCAGCGCTTGGTACATAGTGATGTAGCCCCAGGTCTTGAACATCATCATCGCAATGGGACGGCCGGGCAGCGCGTAACCGATGACAAGCTCCGTGATAACGCTATTATCCATTGTCAGTGACTGCCTGAAATTTATGATAGAGACTACGCACTTGAGACCGATCTGCTGGTTAGTGATGGCTTGGATCATACCGATGGGGACGGTGTAGACGAAAGCTGAGGAGGGGTTTGTCAGTTGTTGTCTCTGGAAGCCCTTGGACAACGCAGTGACGTACCAATGATTAGAGCGAGTACGAGGGCCCAAACAGGCATCTCTGTGTCGAGCACTTCGATACAGATGACGGCAAAGACGAACATGGTGACTAGTTGATGATCTCGTGTTAGCTACCGCGGGAGCTTGACTCTCACCAGGCAACGCACCGAAAATAAGAGAGTACCACCACTCGGGCACCTGGCGGTAGCGCGACATGAGGCGGGCGTGGATATCGGGCTGCTCCGAGAGCGAGCGGCGGGCCTGAATCCAGATCTGCTTGCGGTAATACAGTGCAGTGTGGACGATCGTTGCGGTGATGCCTGCGAAGGAGAGACCGTAGGAGATGGCGAAAGTCGTCGAGAGGAAGAGGGGGGAGTATGCCTGGTACTTCGCCAGGTCGAGCGTCGACTCAGGTGTGAGGATGCGCGAGACGTCGTACGCTGCGCCGGTGTTGTCGAAGGACGTGCGGGAGGAGATCGGCATGTACTTAGAGTACCACGTGTTGGTGTAGTAAAGGATGGGCGTGAGGATCCAGAAGAAGAACACGAAGCCCACGGCGACGTTCGCGGACGCCCACCACGGGGTCGCGAGCGGAGAGCCGATGTACGCGATCTGGGACCAGTCGAAGGTGATGAGCGACATGCCGAGGCCGCTGTAGTACCCAAACAGCTGGTTGACGACAATGTTGTCGGGAGCAGCCCAGCAGACCCAGTTGAAGAAGCCAAGGGCCTGGAAGATGTAGCCGGGGAAGAAGTACCAGACGAGCGAGCCCAGGAAGGCGAACGTGAAGAAACGCTCGCGAGAGATACCGCCGCGGGTACCCATACCGCTGTACTGCTGAGAGTGGAGAGTGTTGAACAGTGCGCAAGTGACGAGGTTAGCCGGCCAAATCATGGAGGGGGGCGCGACCAAGAACCGCTTAGCAATACCACCGATGGAGAAACCGATCTGCAGACGCATTCGAGTAAGAAAAGGTCGTACATGCCGCACGTTAAGGAACATACGAGTTGCGTGGACATCACAAGCATCCACTGATAGCCGAAGTTGTAAATCTGGCCGTAGTATACGCGTTGCACGGCAATGACATCCGTCTAGAGGAATGTGAGTACCTCTTGCCAGGACGGGCATACTTGAACACTCACCGCATACGCTGACTGGTAACCGACCGTCGCCATGATCGTGATGAGGACATGCTCCTTGACATTGAACGGACCAGGGTTTAGAGACACGCCGAAAAGCTTCACGTTGGGCAGGAAGCGTGCCCAAAGACGCCCGATCGGGAATGAGAGCAACTGAGCGACAATCTGAAAGGAGCGCACCCAAAATGGAACTCAATCAGCATGCACTCAAGGGCAGTAAGAACCGAGGTACGTACGCCTCCGACGGTGACCGAAGGATACCGGAAGTAGAAGAACTGGTTCATGCCGGGGATGAGGATGGACCAGGCGAGGCCGATAACCCATGCCCGGATGGTGTTCACGGGCATGTCGGGATCATCGGTGTTCGCGACGGCGGACCGCACCTCGGGGTAGGGGGAATCCTCCTCTGAATGCAACGGTGAGGATGGTTCGGGGCTGCATACGGAACGCAGGCGACATACCGAGGGCGCCGATGGCGTCCTTGTCGAAATTGGGATCATCAAACTCCGCAACCGCGGGGATGACTTGTGCTACAGCAGGAGATGAGTGCAATGTAGCGGGGGCGACAGAAAATGGGGCGTACCCTGCCTCTCGGCGTCGAGCTTCTCATCGAGCGTGCTCGTGGAGCGCTTGTCGTCGGAAATGGAGGAGGCCATGGGGGGCGACACGACGGTGGGTCGAAGGACGGACGAGCGTGCACCCTGAATTCCCGGCAATATGAGGCTTGAGCAAGGTCATCGCTTTGCGACATCTTCGGCCACTGGCGCGCGCATCTGGCTTCGGATGTAGATCAGGCCGTACCCAAGCGGTTCTCGAATTCGGAGAACACGGGCTGGCGGGACAGCATCATGCGTTCCCGGGTTCCTGGACGCCCGCACACGATGCGATAAGGACACTCCGTGTGCACGTCCTGCCAGAGGCGCAGCTGCCCACATGGAATGTGGATACGTCCCGTTGCGTCCGTCATGGTGGCATCCCCGGTCCCGGGGGCGAGCCCAATTATGCTCCTTCCGGTACAACCCCACTCCGATTACAGGCGATGGGCAGTCGTGTGCCAGACTCCGGCACCGCTCACGCCGACGCCGACTGCCGCACTGTGGGAGTTTGCAGTAAGCGTGGATGCTGCCGTCGACGTGCGCAACATGCCTTACACATATTTCACGGTCTGACGTCTTGACATAAGTCTACTCGTGGTAAATGCTTGGCACACCGCCGGGAAGAAATTTGTATGTGCGAGGACCTGCGAGGACGCGGAGGCACTCGTGATGAGACGCACCGTGTGCATCGCGGCGGGTTCTTTAACTGCAGCCGGAATAACAGCAGCGAAGAGATATCACCCGCACGCCGTCCACCGCCCGCCCCGCAATTCGACGTGCTGAATCGCCGATCTGGAATCATAGTGTACCAACTCGATCGGGCGATCGTTGCGCCCGGCGCTCGCTTCGCATGGATATTTGTCTGGAATTAGAGAATCAGCCTCGCCTCTCCACAGATTGATCCGGGGAACGATCGTTACGGTCTACAACGACGCACTCCTATCGACCTCCTGCCCAGCAGAGCATGAATGTTGCGTTTGTACGAGGAGGATTGGGGCGAAGGCCGGAGCCCATTCGGTCGCCAAGCCGGCGGCTCAACAGACTACTGGTTCCCGCGGCCGCCGCCGACGAGGTTGACGACGCGCACGGTCGGGGGCCCTGGTCAACGATCATGCGAGCGTCACACCGCATGCCGAGCCCCGCACATGCCGCCGGTCCAAGCCCCTCGATCATCGTGCCAGATGGGACCAGATGGCGGACGAGAGCGTCGGCGGCACTGAGAGTGATCGGTACGCGCCCCTGCACAATTATTGCGCAGTTTGAGTGCTCATCAACATCGTTGCAGGGGCTTGCGCGATCTTGGAATCAAACTGATATCAACTTGCGCCCATGTGTGTGGTTCAATCATGTGTGTCCTAGTTCAGCCCGTACTCTGCGCGTCGTGGTGAGGTGAGGGAGGGGGCAGCAGGCTGTTGCAATGCAACTCCATTTCCAAACCTCTTGCGATACGGTTGCAAGGGAGCGTACCGCGCGCGCAGCAACGAGCGCGATGCATCGCAACGGAAGGTGCAGCTCTTTCTTAGTGTCAAAGTTATTAACGTCTAGGTAGCACTAGCGCAAAAGTAGCTTATCTTCGCCGACCCCTGGGAGCTGCCAGAAGCTGTCAGTGTCAGGTCGTCTGATCATGGCTTGTCTGGCCTAGCGGGTGTTGCGACCTTCTAGTATCTTCAAAGACAGGCCTCCCCATGATACCGTCGTTTGGAACGGCCATGTTGAGTGTACGGGTGCGGCTGATGATTATGGTCTAAGAATGTGGACGCATGTTAGTATTGATGGCGCATGGTCAGAGAACACAGAGAAGAGTGGCCATCTTGACGATGTAGATGAACGTATGCGAATTTAGCTAGTGGCACACAACAAAGTCGTGCCTCCCACTGTCCTTGCGACTCGCCAGCAGAACACAGGTTTCTCATATTCCAATCAGTGCCACATTTCGCGCCGTTCGATGATAGAGTTGTCGACAGCCACCGGCGACAGGGCCAACGTACTGTGGCCTCCAGGCAGGATGGGCACGCGCTTTTCCCTCTGCCGAGAGCTGCCGACGGCTGCGTCAATAGAGACGATATACTCCTGCCTGGGCCGTAAACAGGGTGTTCGGACACTGATGGATGGCGCGGGCGTGTGACCTGCTTCCAATGGAGGCAGCGCGTAAAATCTCGTTTGACAGAGAGTTCCGCCGTGCGAACGGGGGATAAGATGTCTGAATGGAAAGGATGCAGGCGCGCTGGTCCACGACAGGCCCCCAGGGGTGTGAACATATGACGGTACAAGCAGCGTACTTACCATGCAGGAGCAGGCGAAGGTTCGTGTTCTCATGCTGCAAGACAGCGTGTGATCGCAATGCAGCGGGCGGACATGATTGAAGGGTATGCAGCATGGTGCGAGTATGTCCCGGTATTCAGTGGATTGCCGAGGAGGCAAAACCTTTGGGGTCGAGGTCCGATAAATTGTCATATTCAAGTCCGTCGCACGGCGATTATCATCTATGTAGAATCCAAGAAAGCGGAGTGCTTTATCGCGCATGACGTACACGAGAAAGAAAATGGCATCTCACCACAGGTCCCCATTGCTTCCAACTCCCAATTGCCTTCATATATGCGCATACATTCTGCTTCACTTGCACCGTAACTGCTATACGCCGACGTTCCGCGTCGCGCGTGCGCTAGCTTGTCCTATATCTTGTGCATGTAAGGAGTCCTAGTAGGAAGATGCTCCCACAGCGCTCAAGATAGTAGCCTGGATGATGAAATTTGGTCTTCTTGCTTCCTCTGGGGCTGAGAGAAGGGTTCGTGGTCATGGTCAAGAGATGAGCGCTTCCTTCTCTTGGACCCATTGAGATTGCCACCGCCACGTGGCCACGGCTGCGTGGCAAACGCCCATAACGCAGCACCACGTCCCTACCAAAGTCTACCACGTCCACGCTGCTTTCCACGTTCTACACGCTTTCGTTCTCGACGTCCCAACGTACGGGTCTCTCTTCGACGACGAACAGTGGCGGCGCAGGTGTGAAACGCGAGAATGGTGAGTCCTAGCAGTTGGACGGGACGCGTTTACCAGTCTGACCCGTGCGCGCGCGATGTGCTTATAGTCGGCACTATTCAACTTCCAATCCCTCTTACTCGTCATTCTCCTCCTGATCTGCACATGCACGTATGTGCGCGCTGTTGCGCCCCGTTTGATTGACCGCAATAAGGAAGGGTACGTCGGTGGCCTTTCTGTCGTATGCCCGCCCCACGGCTCTGACCTATGCGTGCAGATTCCTGGGACTCTTCTGGATGTCAGCGCGGATAGGTGAGCCCACCAACCACTTACCTGAACTCCGGGTACGTGGGCTAAACGGTATGCCTCTGCGCAGGGGAGCGGCTGTCGCCATATGTCGCGCTCGCCTGTGTCGCAATGGCCATCACGATGCTCTTCCAATGAACACCACCTGTTCCTCCTCCCATCCCGCCCCGGCCTCCAGACGGGATGCGCGCGGCACGATGCACACGAAGCCGTGCTGTCATGCTGCCCTCCGGGCGCCGCCTGGCCATCACGGTCTTCTGAAGGCATGCGCGGTGCGTGATGTGGCGCTCGTGCTCCTCATGCCTCCCGGCGTTCGTCCGGCTTCTCTTTGAAATCCGACATTCCGGCCCAAGGCGCGCCCTCTACGTCTCGGCGGCCATATGCAACGCTCGACGGTGGTGCTCGTGGACCCGCCGAACGCTGCCTCGTGTCGTTCCTTGCAGTCGGTGTACTGTGTCCGTCTCCCACGTCTTCCCCTACCACTTACTCTCGATGGAACTGTATTGTAGCCGTTATCATCATACCCGTGAATGATCTGACCGCCACCGATTCCTGCTCTCGCGCGCTGACAGGACGGTGTCCAGAAACTCGGGACGCCGACTTTCCCGGACGCTGTAGGGAGTGCCAAGGCCAACTCTGTCGTGACAGGGTGTCTCCCGAGCGAGGCAGAGTCATGGCCAGTCAATATGTCCATCATGGCATTTGTCAGAGTTGGTTTGCCAAGGGTACTCCTGGTGCCAGACCACTGCGCTTACGACCTTCAGCGCTGGGCGAGCGGCAGGACTACTCGTCCCGCGGACTTTCGGACGACCCTTGGAGACCTTCGTGCGAATGTTTAGCTTGCGTTCACACAACCCGCCTGAACACCGCAGAAATTGAGAAAGCAAGATGAACTAAGTATACAGTAATCTAGCGTACAACAGCAGATATAGAAACACGGATGTAACCAACAACGCACGAATATGCAAGCCCATCATTTCCGACTCCTCCGCGCGGCGGGCGGGACGTTCTCATCGGCCTCGTCTCGGGCATTCTGATACAGCGCCGACGTCGAGCGGTGCGCGGTGCGCTCGACGATGGAAGTGCCGTCTCGGAAGCGCGTCCGGAAGAGCACGTTTGCGTTCGTGAAGAGGCCCTCCTTGAGCGAGACGACGATGAACTGCGAGCCCTTGAAGCGTGTCCGGAACAGCTGCCCGATGTGCTGTGTGTGCGACAGGTCGAGCGCGGCGTCAATCTCGTCCAGGATGTACATCGGGGCGGGCTTGAACTGCAGCAGGGACATGATGAGGGAGAGCGCGATAAGAGACCTGTGTAGCATTGTCAGCGTGCCGTACTCAGATGATCGTGAAGAATGGATGTGCGAGGATGACGGAGGTGCTGGCAACGCTCGGCAGGACTGATGACGAATGGAGATATGATACGCACCGTTGACCGCCGCTGAGCTCCGTGAGACTCTGCTTCCAAACCGTGCCTAGGCGCACTTTCACCTCTAGGCCCTTCATGAGGTCCTGGCCCTCCGGTGGCTGGAGTTTTGCGAAGTTGCCAGGGAGGAGCTCCGCAAAGATGGCTCCGAAATCCCTGCAATACGGCTCGCGATCAGCACATGGATGAATGGGACGGCAAATGGAGATGAGGTGCCCACCCGTTAACTTTCTGCCAGGTCGTCTCCACAGCCTCGCGCTTGAACTGGTCGAGTTGGTCGATGCCGGCCACCATCTTGGTCTTGTCCTTCAGAACCTGCGTGATCATCTTCTTGAGATCGCCTTCCTGCTTCTCGACGCTAGTGCGAAGCTTTAGTGACCAATCCACGGAGACGCGAGATATGTTCACTCACCCGTCGATCATGTGCACGGCTTTGGGATTGATCTTCCGCTTCATGCCATTCTGCTGCGACTGCAGCTCCTGAGCACGCATCCTCAGCTGGTTGATGTCTGCCTTGGAGAAGTCGTATGGGGTGCCGGGCTTCCCGAATTGACTGCGATGCGGTTAGCGTGATAATCACGGGTCATATTCAATAAATTACTAACTCCTGCTCCTCGACAATCCAGTCATACTGCTTCTCGAGGTTCGTCGCCTGGTTCTCCGCGACAGTCATCTCCCTCTTTAGGGAGACAATGTCGTGTTCGTGCTTCGTAATGTCAAGGTCTGCGTTGCTGATCTCTTGCTTCTTGGCTTTGATGACTTGTTCAAGGGCCTTTAGTTCGTCATCGTACCGACTCAGCGTTGCACGTTCCTCCTGGAGCTTCTTCTCGGCCCTCGCCAATCCGTCCTAGAAGAGGGCCAGATTTCAGGGCTACCCAAATTGAATATCCTCAAGGTTCTTACCTCGCTTGACTTCAACTCTGCTTCAAGCTTCCCGAGTTCCTTTTGCAGCTTCTTCACGCCACCACGGGCTTCCTCGACGGACGCTTCTGCGGTGGAGATGTCCTTCTCCATTTGCTCTGTTTATCGTGAGCTCATGACGAATGCGGCGCATTATGGATGAAGTTTACCAAGTTCGAGCGAAGCCGTCTGGAGTTCGCGATGCTGAGTCTTGACAACTACGGAGTGCTTTTGAAGCGCAGACTTCTGCTTGCTGACATCCGCCTATCATGCCATGCGGCACGTTCAGTTGATGACTACGCGATTGGGTATGCAACCGACCTTGAGCTCGTCGATCTTCCCCTCTTTGTTGTTCTTGAAGTCATCCATATCCTTCTCCAACTTCTTGATTTCCGCCTTTGCTGCCTTCTGCTTCTCCTTCGCAGCGTCAATGGCAGCACGGAGGTCGGAGATCGTCTGTTTCGCTTGCTCGACCTCTTGTCCGATCTATACGCCTCGCGAGTCAGAGGAAGACACATATTGGGGACATAGACTCGGCTCACCCTAGACGCATTGCTTCCGTTGAGCTGCTCCTGCAGGAGGTTCAGCTCATGCTCCTTGATGTTCAAGTCTCGCATGTAAGCCCGCCAGTTGTCGCGAACACCCTTCATGCGTTCATCCTCGCGTTCCAAGGCAGCGAGTCGCTGCCGTGCTTCTTGAAAGTTGCCCTCCGCTTGCAGGAGATCTTGCACTCTAACGAGCACCCCTGAGCTGCTCGGAGCAGATCCACCGCTCAGCGTACCAGAGGGATCATACACGTCGCCGTCAAGAGTGACCGACTTGATACCGACCTCGCGGGAGAACGTGATCTGCTTCGCCGTAGCCGCGTCGTCGCAGATGAATGTGCCGCCAAAAACGAAGAACATGGCGTTTGCGACTTCCTCAGGGTACCCGATTAGGGACAGAGCGAGACGAGCCTTGCCTCCTGACATCCGCTCGGCGGCCTGGATTTTCTGTAGAACAGCGTTAGCAAAGGTTAAAATAACAAAATATCAGAGATAATCATACAGCGGGCTGAACACGGAAGCTCTCGATCCGATTTAGCGGGATGAGGGTGACTCGCCTCTTCAGACGACCATTCTGAAGGAGCTGCTTGCCGACCTCGTCGCTCTCAACCACAACGTTATACAAACGACCACCGGCGGTGATCTCGAGTGCCGTCGCCGCGTTGTAGTTCAGCTTGTCGAGACCGACCAAAGAGGCTACAAGACCCTTGACCTTGTTGCGGTCGAAGTTCGGGTAGGGAGACGCGTACTCGAAGTCGAGGTTACCCATACGGTTCTTGATGTCGTCGCGCATCTGCCACAACTGAGTCAGTGCCGAGCCTGGGTAAGACAAGGTAGCCAACGTACCTGTGCAAGTCGCCTCACGTCCTCCTTCGCCTTTCGGATAGCCCCATCATGCACTTCCTCCTTCTCAGTGCTCCACCCCGTCTCGGCGATTCGCTTCTTGCACTTCTCCACTCCGCCGCGCATCTCCTCCAGCGTCCGAGCACCCTCGCCCGCCTCGCGCTCGACCGCCTTCCACCGTGACTCGAGTGCCTTCAGCTCCTTCTCGCTCATGGCGAGCTTCACACGGCTTTGTTCCTCCTCGGCTGCCGCTTGCGCCGAACGTGTGCGCGCATCTGCAAGTTGGCCCATATAGCCTCCGCCACCCGCGTTGCCATCTTTGTTCGAGGTCAGACCGGTGAGGAGAGTCTGGAGCAGCTCCTCGGCATTCGTCAATGCGGCCTGGAGTTCGTTGTGCTTGTCTTTCACAGTTGCGTGAGAAGAGGTGAGGGCTTCAACTTGGCGTCGCTTCTCATTGCAGCTTGCGCGTAGCTGGGGATGCCGTCAGGATTGTCCACGACAGGTGAATGGAACGCATACCTCCTCAAGCTCTTTCGCGGAGGCTACAACCTTGCCCTCCTCGTCCGCGATGGTGCCGTTCTTGATCTCGACCTGTGTGCGGACCTTTGCGAGGGTCTTGCCCAGTTCGCTGACTTCCTCCTCCAGCTTCTTGAACTTCCCGCCCTTCTTCAGCTCCTTGTCCCTCTGCGCGTTCACACGCTCCATGTCCTTCTCTGCGGCGTGGATCTCCGCGTTATGCTTGTCTTTCTTCTTCTTCAACGATGCAATATCCTTCTCGGCAGCCGAGACCTCCTTCTCCTTGGCAGCGGCACGTCCTCGAGCATCCGTCCATTCCCAAGCGCGCAGGGTGCGTGCGATGCGTTCGAGCTCAGTACACGTCTTCTGCCATTGAACGTAGGACCTCTTCTCCTCGCGAAGCTTGTCCAGCTTGGGCGTGATTTCCTCGTTGAGCAAATTAGTAATCTCTTGCACACGCTTGTCCTTCTTCGCGATCGTCTTCAGCGCCTTCTCCTTACGCTCCTCGAACATGCGCGTGCCGGCGGCCTCCTCCACCATACCCAAAATCTCCTGCGGCTTCATGTTGAGAACCTTCGTGATACGTCCCTGCATGATGAGAAAATTGGGATTGTTGATGTTGAGCTGAACGCTTTGGAAGAGGGTCTGAATGGCTTGTTGCGTAGACTTGTGACCATTCAAGAGGTATTTCGAGAGGTTGGGTATGGCGATCTTGACGCCGCAGTGGTCAGGGGCATTCACTGAGTCAACACGCTCGCGGACATACCTGTCTGGTTACAGTGAGCTGCGCATATCCCTCGAAACCCACAGGACTTGTTGCGCGATCGGAGTTGTCGAATACAATGGTGACACTAGCTTTCGTGACTCCAGCCTGACCTCGCTTGTAGATGAGATCTTGTTGGTTCTGCGCTCGCATCTAAATCGCAGTTATGAGCGTGAAGTTCGGATGACAGAGCGCATCAACACTGACCGATGACATGTTGGTGAGACCCAGGACAAAACATATTGCGTCGAGGATGTTAGACTTGCCTGAGCCGTTCAGGCCCGTTATTGCGTTGAATGAGGAGTCCCATCCTGATATCTGCGTCCGTACAGGGTAAGATTTGAAACCTAAACGCGTTATAGGCGCATATACTAGGCTCAAGAAGCTTCAAGCGTACCTTCCAGAATGAGTTCTTGAATGTGCATCTATGGACAGAGGTCCTTCGCTGAGAGGGCGATTTGGTTTGAGTAATGCAGAGTGCAAGCGAAATGAGGATATTTGTCGTGGCCTTCGTCGCCGTCCAACACGTCGAGTGAGAGGTCGTGGTCGCTGTTCGACGCGCGAGTGGCCCGTCGCGTCGCGTTCAACGCGCGGGGTATACAGGCGCCGCCCGAAACGCGTCAGTCACGTGCTCTCGTCCCTCCATGCTCCTCCATTGGTCTTGCTTTTGTCCGACGAACTTGGACAGCAACCACCACTTTCCTCTGCTATCGGACGACCTTGAAGGCCTCCCAGACCTGCCTGAATGCTCTCAGACTGGGAGTCAAGTCTCACTGAGCTTTCCTCCGACGAGGATACCTATGCGCCCGCACCAAAGAAGGCGAAGACCAAGACCAAGGCAAAGGCAAAGGCGAAGGAAGAGTACAAAGTGAGTGGCGCACTTTCTTTAATGACATCCTTCGTGGCTAATATACGTCAGGTAACAAACCTTCTACAACCTTACCGAACGACCACCTATACCGCGCAGAGTCTATATGGTACCTCGTTCCCTGCAAAGCTCGGTCGCGACCGCTCACGAGAAAATATAGATCAGATCGTCGACAACACTGTTCAATTAGATCCGGAGTACCAGCGAGGTATGTAATTATGGACGCGGATCGTCTTCCCTGTGACACTGCTTGCTGACGACCCCGCAGATGTTGTCTGGACCGAGGCAAAGCAGGTCGGCCTCATTGACTCTTTACTGAGGAATTTTTACATCCCTCCCGTCATCTTCGGTTTGTCGATTTCTCTACGACGAAGCCCAGAACACTGACATTCATTATCACTCTCCATCTAGCTGTCCAGAGGCGTGATGATGGTTCTGAGACTCGCACATGCATCGACGGAAAGCAGAGGTTGACTTCAATCCAATTGTGAGTAATTTTTGCATAATAGAGATGGTTTGGCATCGGTAGGGCTGGAATTCGGTCGGACGTCTGCTATTGTCGACGGCCGCCCCAATTCTGATCTGCCGTGCCGCCAAAAATCCACACTCTTCTGAGGGTAAAGGGGACCGGGGTAGCGCATTATCGACGCCGGTCGCAGTAGTCATCGCGCCTCAGATGTGGCACTGGGCGTCGACATGAAGTTTATCGCGCTACTGTCAGGGGTTAAGGTGTGACGGAGACGAGCAGTCCCGTGTCTACGTCGTAACCATGATACGATACTAGGAGTAGCGAGTTACCAGTAACGCAATCGAAATGGGTGGAAGCATTCATGGTCCAACGTCCTTTATCTTTGGTTGTATGATTGCTAATGCACTCAGCGTGGGTAGGGGAATACACCATATGTCACTGTATTGTCGCTGTTTTCCGTGTCTTTCGGGAGACCGTAGTAGTGCATGTTCTGACAACTTGCGAACCCAGATTCATGGATGGTACTGTGAGTGCGCTTCATGACTACGTGCAATTATTGTTATGCCAACGCTGCGAATATGCTGTGTCAAATGTCAGATACCTCGTACGTCAATACATTCATCCGTCAGTATATCCTTGTCTTATACACGCGTATCCTCAGATAGAGACAAGTATGTCCCAGGACTCCTATCTCATAATTTGCGAGTTATGCTGACAGGGCACGACAGCGCTACAAACAAGAAGTACTGGTGCCAGGAGCGCGCGGGCGAGAAGCGTGCCATTCTCCCAAAGCCACTGCTGGCGGCCCTTTCGAACAAACAGATTGTATGCGTGGAATACGATAATCTTACGGATGACCAGGAACGAGAAATATTCCAGGTGGGTCATTCGGACTCGTTGACACTTATACTATCGCTTACGGGTCGATAGCGCGTACAACTTGGTGTGGCCCTCACACCAGCAGGTATGACTTCAGATTTCCTCAATATCCACCGAAAGGACTTCCTAAATTGCGCTGTTTAGAACGCCTGCAGGCAATCCCTGGGCCGTGGCCAACCCTTATTCGCGAAGTTCAATCAATTGTGCTGGGTGAGGACGGGTTCGGTGAAGACCTAGACTGGGGAACCGATCGTGGCAAAGACTTCCAGTGTCTAGCCACTATCATACTCCTCATCGACGCGTACCCTAACACTGCGTATCCGGGTGTACAGCGGCTCGAGAAATGGCTCTATTCATCTTCGCCTATTCCTGCGAAGACACGACAGGATGTGCTTGATACGTTCCGCATCTTCATCACCCTGGTCAAGGACAAGAAATACAACGCCGCATTCAGCAAGCCGGGGCGGGTGTCGCCGGTCGAGTTCACAATGATCGGCGTACTCATTTCTCATTTCTGCAAGACCCATTCGCTCAAGCAGCTGTCTCAAGCAATTTGGCGCATGCGCGCAGACGTGCGCAGTCATCATGAAGACATCCGCCAGAACTCGAAGGTCCTCAAAACCATGTTTCAGTTCATCGCAGGAGGACTCGACGACCTCGATCTAGTGGGAGATGGGAAGGGCGACGTGCCTGCGGCCGTCGCAATCAAGCCGCATAAAGCTCCGGTCGCTAAACCAGTCCCGCTTCCGGCCAAGGACAAGAGACGTCGGCATCAGGATACTGAGAGCAGCGCCTCTGAGTACGAGGAGGTCGCGCCAAAGAAACGACCCTCCCTGTCTTCTTCTCGTTCCGTTGCTAAGATCACCTCGGCGACGACATCTTCTGCAAAGCCCAAGGGAACGACGACCAAGAAAGCTGCTACGGCGACGACCTCCAAAACAACTGCACCCAAGGTGGTAGAGAAAGCGCCTCCAAAAAGCTCTGCCTCAGCAAGGGCTACCAAAGCCAATGCCACGACGAAGACATCTCCTGCGTCCACTCCCCAGTCCTCTACCCCAGCGCCAAAGGCTTCGACCAGCCGCCTCACTACCAGAAACACGAGGACGGCTTTGTCGGCCGCCGCCGAATCTCTCAGTCTTTCTGAAACACTAGGACTCTCAAAGGTGACGAAACAAACGAAAAAGGCAGCAGCGGTTTCCCCTTTGCCTCAGACGCCCGTACCTTCAGAGTCCAGCGCCGTAGAGCCGAGGGATATCGTTGCGCCTGCTCCCGTCGTACCTGACGCTGGCTCCATGGCACCAGCGAACGGTTCAGGTGGTGGAACCGGCAGTGGCGATCCGGACGCTATGTAGGTACCACTCCATCATGCGCCTACCGATGGTCTAACGGGTGTGGATTTCTCGCTCGTCAGGCAAGTGGATGAACCAGTCAGTAGCTCTTCAGTAAGTCAGAAGTCGGTGACCTATAAGGCTATCATCTGATCTCACGCCTATATTCAGGTTCAGAATGTCCCGCATCCCATCCCGCTTCAGCCTCCCGCCATCAACACCGCGTCTCTGCTGCAAGCGGCTGCTAGCCAAACCTCGCAATCCCCATCTACAGCATCGACATCCGGGGATCAGGTTTTCCAGGCTTCGCTCGAGCAACTGCTCGCCATGTACGGGCATCTAGGCAACATACCGAACGCCCTCAGCCAAACTGCAATCAAACAGGCCTCCGCCACTCCTCCGTTTTTGGCTTCATCTGGCGCTAACTTATCCGCGCAGCCACCGGCCTCAATGGCTCTTCCAGCAGTACCCCCGCCTCCACCGCTCCCCTCGTTTACTGTTCCTGGCTTAGCACACGTCTCACCCTTGGGCTCTACCTCCGCGATGGCTCTCCCTACGGCGCTTTCTTCTCAGTTCAACTCCGGCTCTCAAAGCGCGTCATCACAACTCCCTGTGGTCATCAAGCGCGAGCGGGATTCGTATCCCAAGTTCGACTCCGACTGGGACATGGATCGCAGTAGAGATCGCGACCGAAGCAGAACTCGCGAAAGGAGCAGGGACCGTGACCGGAGCCGGGACCGCTATCGGAGCACAGGGCGGGATAGGACCCGGAGCAGGAGCCGCCACAGAAGCAGGAGTCGCGACCGGAGTAGGGACCGGTATCGAAGCAAAGGCCGCAGAAGCAGGGACCGCACTCGAAGCCGGAGTCGCTCACGGAGTAGAGATCGCGACCGGAGCCGGAATGGTGAGCGCTCTGGATACCGCAATTCTGGCAAGGCACGAGACCGGGACTGGGATAGGGACAGGGACGGTTATAGGGGTGGCGGTCGGGGTGGGGACCGAGATCGGCGTAGTCGGGGCTACCATCTGTGACGGTACCGTATACACTGGTATGCTGAGTTTTCCGCCTTCGCCCGGATCGTGCTAACACGTCACTAGTACTTCTGCGGCGTACGCTGCTATCATCTCAATTCGCCGCAGATGTTGACGCTTGGCTGTCCCAGTTGCTGGCAGCTGAATTAAACCGGTCACAGCCTGCTGTTCGACTGTGCACGACGAACAGGGCTCGATATTCCCTCATCCTACTTCACGAGCTGAGTGGCCTTTACAGAGGTCAAGCGAGGCTTCCTAATTTTCCGTTATTGACGATGTACCATCTACTATTGTTATAGTATCTTTACTTCTCGCGTTTGACCGCTCGGTGACGCCTCGGCGTGATCTCACGATGTCAAGTTGACGTTGACGGACGAACGTGCTCAATCGAAGTTCCGAATTAGGATACCTTCAGTTTCACTATCCGCAGAGCAACTCCTAGTGCGCACGTTCGCCTGTTGCGTATAACTTAATCTCCTCATGACCGAGTTGGCGCGGGCGAAATGCGATGGGACCTGGCGGTATGGGTAAGTCTGCCGGTCTTTCGAGTGCTGGCTGTCAATGTCCTACTCATGGTCATGTTCGCAGTCGCACAGGAAGGATAACGCTTTCCGTAGTCGTACAATCATGGCAGCGCCCTACGAAGAGGAAGCTGCACCGCTGGCAATGCTCCCGCATAAAGCTTGGCTATCTGCGGACGGCGCCCCCTCCCTTCTTTCACGCTCGCTTCATCTATCATCGTTTAATATCCAAGGATCACGATGGCCTCCTTTACTAAGAAGCGATTCACCAGGGTGCATCTTCGCGACCGACGGGTACTGAGTCAGTCGTCTAGAGAGGCCGAAGGAGGGCGGGACGAGGGAGCTGCCACTAGAGGGGTTAGTTCATCACTTGTCCGTACTTATCAAAGCTGAATAGGGTTCTCTTAGCCCGATAGTCCACATGCTGGTCGCAAACGAACGCGGGGTGATCCCACCGCGTACACATCTGTGTGTATGTTGACGTGCGACTCACTGCATTTCGCTAACGAGGCCGTGGTAGGTGCACGCCCTCCAGTCCCCCGCAACGACCGTGATGACTTCGGCAGGAGAGTCGGCTTCCTTTGAAGCGTGGACGCGGTGCGCAACAGCAATGAAGGATCACGAAGACGCGAGGATAGAGGCCTGGAAGGAGGAAATCGACGCTGAACTCGTTTTCGTGAGTACATATACCCCCACACGTAGGATGAGTGCAAATTTGACCTATTGTGGGCTGCCATAGGCTGCCCTATTCTCTGCCATTCTGACGGCCTTTGACGTTGAAGCATACAAGATGCTACAACCACAGAATTCTAATAATTCCAGTCCTCTCACGTTCATCACCATCCAGGCCGATGGCACTCAGCAAATAAACGCCAGTGCCCTCATGAGTATTCTTGCTGCACAATCGCTCCCTACCACAGGCCCCTCTCCACGCTACTCTGTCGCCATCAACGCCCTATGGTTCTCAGCCCTTATCTGTAGTCTCGCAGCCGCCTCCATCAGCATCCTCGTCAGACAATGGCTCAACCAGTACACTAGCGGGCTAGCTAGCGTATCCCCCGAGATTGCCCGGGTACGCCAGTTTCGTCGCGATAATTTGAAGAAATGGAGAGTCGCCGAAATCATGATGCTCCTCCCCGTCCTCCTCCAGGGTGCTATGGTTCTCTTTCTCATTGGCCTCGTTCTGTTTCTGGAGCAGCTCAACACGGAAATCACATACATCGCAACCATCCTTGTTGCCATCTTGCTCTTCTTCATCCTTCTCACCACTATCCTCCCGACCTTCAACGACGACTGCTCCTATCAGTCCCCTCAGGCTTGGGGTTTCTTCGTCATTTTCCAGGGCTTCAAGCGCCCTCTGCGTAGCATCTGCCGTTCCATCTCCGCGTACGCCAACGGAATGACCACACAAGGCGCTGAGGGTTATCTCCGTCGCACCCGCGACCGCTATGCGAAGAGGTGCGTCCAGAAGCTGGCGCACTTCGCGAACAAGCCAAACACGTATAGCTGGGTGGCCCGCGAACGCATGCTTGTAGAGGCATCCGGCTCTGTTCTCGACCAGCACCTCGTCGTCGAGGCGGACGCCACCTTCCTCGACGACGCCTTTTTGCGAGACGTCGTTCGGCCTTGCCTCGACGACATGCCCCCGGACGCAGCGATGAAAGCGTACTACAATATCATGACACACCGCGCGGACCGCATCGAGGGTGGGGTGCCCTACTTCGACAGCCGGAACGGTCGCACGGAGTCGGTCGCAGTTCTGACCGACCTCACGCTCGACGCGCTCCACAGGACACGCGGGGTACCGACACGAGCGGCCCACGACGACGCACTCCGCACTATCCGCATCCTCGAGCCGCTGCTCGTCCGTGCTCTGCCGCTGACCTACGACCACTTCTGTCGCGTATTCTTCGCGCTTTCCAATGACCCGGACGAGAAGGTGCGGCATGTTGCCTTCAACGTCCTCTATCATCAGCTGTGGAGGAACTTGGAGTTGGCCGACGTGCACTTCGCTGGAGGTTGTCACGGTACGTGTAGTCGCTAATTCTCGGTGCGACGTCTCTCCTAATTATGGTTACTGCATTTATCAGACCTCGCAGCGCTCGTCAAGTTCATCGCCATTGCGCGTAACAACGAGATGCACGGGACCAAACATTTCCTAGACGCGTGCCACCTGTTCATCTGCCTCGCGACGCTGCCCTCGCTCTCGCTCACCGACTACACCGACCTCCACGCAAACCTTCAGAGTACGCTCGGTCACCTCCGTGCCTTTTTTGAGACACCGCTGTGGCGGAACGAGTCCACCCTGCTGTATACGATAGCGCGCATCGCGCTCCGGCTGGTCACGCTCGAGCGCAAGTACGCGCGCACGCTGGATGATGAGTTCATCGACGTACTCGCAGACGTCGTAGAGCAGGGGCGGCAGCTCAACTCTGACGGGAACTGGCAAGACAAGCTGCAGATTCTCGAAGAGTCCTTCGCGGAGCTGCGTACACTCAGGCAAGATGCGGCCCGTCCTCGTCCTCGTCCTCCCTCTCCCCGCGCCGCCTCACCCTACACGCGGTCTTTCGAGGAACATGTGGGGCATTGGGATTACGACTCTTCATGACCATAGAACGGGGTGGAACTCGGAACGGGCTAGGCAAGTTCGTGTCGGACATTTGAGATTCCGGAAGAGCTCGTATAGGTGAAGCTACAATACAGTCGTGTCTCGTTATCGGACCCCCTGCGGGTCCGTTTTATGCGTGGTTGTAATCTACAGATAATATCTAAAGCTAGCATGTCTACAGCCAAAGTGTCAGAACAGTCGTCTCCGAGCTTAGTACCACACATGACACTCACCTATCGCCCAGGTCCCCAAGGTCCTCTCCCGATAAGTCAAGCGGATTCGTCCGCTTCACCGTCTGGTTAGCAGCGCGGTCGCGTCGAAGGTTGTCGGCCTTGTAGCTCCACCAAAGCGTCGTCCCCGCGACGATTGCAATCACGTAACATGCGAGATTGATAGCGTGGCCCTGAACGTAGCGCGGTGCCCACTCCGCGCGGTAGATCTGGCCTGAGACCGTACCACCGATGTTGCCGACGGAGAAGACGAGGCCCATACCGGCGGCGCGTTTGTTTGGGCCTGCGAGATTCGCCGTAAGCCAGACCCAGACGATGGACACGGGGATGAACCTGGGCGGAATCCAGCGTGAGCATGAGCGCACGAGCTTATATGAAGACAGCAGGAAGAACGCACATGAACATGATGAAGAAGAACATGATGTAGCGCACAACCAGGTTCTCGACGATCATAAGGACGATGAGCGCGACCATGGTGACTATGACGGCGCCGAGGTAGTGGTAGAAGAGGCGGCCGTATCTGTCCGCGGACCACCCGGCGAGTAGGACGATGATGAATCCAAGGCCGTATGGTGGGCACGCCATCAGCGTCGCCCGTGTGCCCTTGTAGCCCAGTCCGGTGACGACGGAAGGAAGGGAGAGAATGACGCTATAGACGGGAATGTAGATGGAGATGTAGACGAGCGCCCAGACGTATGTGCGCCAGTCGGTGAAGGCGGACTTGATCTGCTTCCCGTTGAACCCTTCCGCGGCCTTCTCCGCGCGGTCGGTCTCATTGGTGAGGATGATAACGCGCCGCTCTTCCTCCGAGAGGAATTTGGCGGTCGCAGGGTAGGCTGACATCACGACTGCTGCGATGAGCCCGAAGCCTGCGGTTATGCAGCCCTCGACGATGAAGATCCACTGCCAGCCGGCGATTCCATGGGTACCGTCTAGGGAATGGATGGCGGTAGCGAGCAAGCCACCAAAGGCGCCAGTAAGCGATACTGTGGAATACAGCACGCCGAAGCGTCTGCCCAGCACAGAGCGAGGGTACCAGCAGCTCACTAAAATTAGGTTCAGCACACGCTCACGATTTCGAAACAACCGTCGAAACTTACACCAGTAGATGATTCCGGGCAGGAAGCCCGCCTCCGCCAAGCCCAGGAAGAAGCGGATAGCCAAGAGCCCGGATGCACTTTTGACAGTAGCAAAGAGGGCGCAGATCACACCCCAGATAATCTGTATTCGTAGGGTTCAACACGCAATTGGTTCTCGTACCGCGTTCGACGTACCGTTAGCGCGGGAATATACCACCGCGGGCTCAGTTTACGGAGCAGGATATTCGAGGGCGTCTCGAAGACAACGTAGCCAATGAAGAAAATTGACAGTGCCCAGTTGTACTGGTTGGGCGTCAAATGGAGGGAAGTCGCCATTCCGAGGACTTTTGCATTTCCGATGTTTGCTCTGGAGGTGCGCATTTCAGATATACTAAAAAGCAGAACATCCGAGGAACTTACCGGTCAATGTATGAAGCCAGGTATAGCCATACTGCGATGGGCATGATGTGCCAGTCCACCCTCCGCCACGTCTTCTTGACCAGCTCCGGGTCGAGCTGCTCAAGCGCGACCTGAGCCTCCTCTTTCACATCTGCCGAGGACCTTTCCGACGAGGCATACGGCGAAACATCTCCTTTGGTGGTCATAGCTCTTGATGCTACAGGCGGACGCCGTGCGATGAACAGACGCGAAGCTGGGCGAGAGGAGAGGGGCGACAAGACGAAAATTCCACCGGGTCCGCTATTTGAGCAATGTACGCCATGTTTTCCGCATCTCCGGTCTCGAGTTCGTCAGTATCGCAAGATAATGTGAGGCACAGGGTGTCCTCGTCATGGTGCAATATTGCGCGCATACCCCGCCCCGATGTTGTGATTCGGCAGGGCTCGACCACGTGGGATATACGACATCGTTGATCTCATTGGCTAGCCACGCGAACCTCACCCGGCATTCTGTTCTCAATGCTCAAGACGTTGGAGACCTTACACCACTACAACATAGCGAATGCTTTATGGATGTCAAATAAAATAAACATTAGGTGTGTAGCATCCAGCGAAGGGTGTGCATGCGCGCGGCGGCTGACTGAACGAAAGTTTCTAGGAGATCTGCGTTCGGGAAGATCGCAATCTCGATCATATTTACTGTTCAGGGCCAAGTCCAGGGGTAACACTGAGATGGCTTGAACACCGGAGCGGCGACGGAATCGAAAAGACAAAATTCCCTAGCGTGCAGCTCTCTGTAGGCTCAGCGTTGGCTGGCTTTGATTATTTTAATACAGCGTCTGAGGATACCTGGCGGGCAGAAGCTTGACGGGACGGATGAGGGCACAGAATCGACACTCGACGTTCAGCAAATTTTCGAGCATAGAGCACCACCGGCTATTATCGCGCGGCTCCGGAACATAATGATCGTGGGCAGCGGGGTGGCTAGAAAAGAAAAAGTCTCAAGTGGGTGCGCCGAGGTCCGAGTTCTGGTGGAACGTCATTGATCGTGGCTTGTGAAGACCGGCCGAGGCGCTGCGTGCACGGTATGGTTTCGGGACGGGATACCGCGGGATGGTACACTCGAAACGCTCTCTTTGGGCACGCGTCCAAAATCTGCCACGCGAGCGACCACATAAAACCCTCTAGTAGATGGTGAAGCTCGATGGACCTGGTAAGTCTGACGTATATGTCGGATTATTTCGGCTCCCACCCAGTTTCTACTTGGACGCTCCTGAAGTAACGGGTTGGTAGCGGGCCTAGGCCAAGCGACCTAGTAGAGGCGGACTGGGCGAGGCCCTACGACGGTATCCGGATGTTGGAGTCGTGCAAAATATATCGCGCGCGACTCAAAGTATCCCCTTGACTTGCAGTTAGGAAACGACTTCAACGTCGATTGTAAGCGATGTGAATTCATGTACAAGAATTGAGAAACTATCTCCTACGAGATACATGCTACCGCATTGCGACAGATGCTCGATGAGCGCACGGAAACTTTCACGAATCCGACACTGATCCCTGCGCTAGCGGCCCCGACCGCCGCCTACCGGCCCTAACACCCACTCTCAGGACTCAAACCGACGGGGCCGGCGCCTCCGACGCGAGTCCGAGGGGCAGGGACGGGATTGGAAGGCCAAGCAGGCTGGACGACGTCGGGCTGGGGCTGCCTCCAAGCGGAAGTGAAGGCAGAGGAATACCGAGCAGGCTAGACGATGTCGGGCTGGGGCTGCCGCCGAGCGGGAGCGAAGGAAGAGGAATGCCGAGCAAGCTAGACGTCGTGGGCGTCGGGCTTCCTCCGAGCGGAAGGGAAGGCAGAGGCAGGCCTAGCAGGCCAGAGGATGAGGACGTCGGGCTTCCTCCAATTGGAAGCGGGAGAGAGGGGAGGGGAAGGCCGAGCAGACCGGAGGATGAAGACGTCGGGCTGCCGCCGAGAGGGAGGGAAGGGAGCGGGAGACCGAGCAAACCTGACGACGTGGTCGGTACAGGGTCTCCACCTAGCGGCAGGGAGGGGAGCGGGAGCGACGGGAGCGGGAGCCCGAGCAGACCGCTTGAGGAGGACGGACTGCCCCCGAGCGGGAGGGAGATGGGGAGGCCAGGGACAGATATGGTAGGGAGACCGGGGATGGAAATCGGGAGCGAGGTGGGGAGAGGGAGTGTAGGGAGGGGGAGCGAGGGTAGCGTGATGGAGGGCGGATTGTTGACGACCGGCTGACATCCCTCTGCGACGAGATCAGCTGTCATATGGAGTCAGCATGGTGTTCGGACAACAGACGGTGCACATTTCACTCACTGAGGTCTTGCTGGCAGCACATAGGTGATCCGCCCGCGACACTACAACGGAACCATAAGCGACTGCGTCCAAACAAAATGGATGTCAACATACCATGAGCTTCCCTCGATATCTTTGCTGGTCGCGGGGATACACTGTACGCCAACAACCGGGCCCAGAGTTGGGAATGGGATAGGAGCCGTAAGGCCGCTGGGTAGAAGCGCCGTGAAGCTCGCAGGGATGACGGGGACCGTGAGTACTTGTTGGCAGCACTCCACGATGAGCGTGCAGCTGGCGAATGGAATAGTCGACACGACGTCCCTCCCTTGTAGTCGCACCGCGTCGATGGCCGCGGGAGCTGCAGTGATCCCCGGTGCAGGTACTGCAGGCGCGGGTTTCCCCGTCACTTGGAAAGCAGCCGCGAGCGCGATGAGAGCGATTGAGGCGTGCATAGTCGTAGGAAGAAGAACTGTCCACGGGTAGGAAGAACTTGAGTCTGAAGTTCAACGAGAGAGCGAGCGCACCTTATATGCAGCCAGCACTGATCGCTGGAAGGTAGAGCGCGACCACAAGGGTGGCAGCTGTCAGCCTCCAAGCGGCTGCTTGAGAATGCCGCGCCGACGATCTTCGAACCCAGGGGTTCCTGTGCGTCGCTCCCGAGGGAAGAACCTTTCAGACATGGGTACGCGCGGGTGACGTCCGCCTGTGGCCCTCCGCGCGCACGCGAATTAACGGGCGGAACGCAGATGTACAGATGCGACTCAATAGGTGCGGTACCATGTGAGGAGATATTGAGGGACGCGCGGACGAAGCACTGCGCGCGTCGTGAGTGTTTACGGCACGGACGAGCCTTCGCCTGCCCAGCCTGTGCGCGGGCAAATCCCTCGCCGCAGACTCCGATCATGCATGTGTCATTGTGCTCGAGGGTATTTCATTGTGTGTGAGAACGCCGCGCTCGGAGGGGGCAGGGAGTCCTCCAGTGACGTCCGATCTGGGATGGGCAGTGGGATCAGAGGCATATCGTGATCCTAGGTCGTTCCGGAGTCCGAGAAGGACCGTGCAGAGAGGCATAGGGTCGACGGCGGCCAGGGGGAGGGAAGAGAAGAAAGAGGAACAGCCGGGGCTTCGCCACTAGCGAGGTTTGTGAAGCATGTCGTCGGAGACGCCGCATGACTCGCCGGCTTGCTAGGCCTGTCAACAAAAGATGGCTTGAAATCAGGGTAAAACGGTGTCACACCCGACGCTCTCGGCGGGTCGCTGAAAGACTTACAGTGACGTTCGGAGCAGCCTTTCCAAAAGGACAGTAGCGCAAAGGGAATGCTGATGCTGCAGCTGCAGTGTATACTCGATGCTGAGGAAGTGCGTCATGGCGGCAACAGAGGGGATCGTCGAGCCCGGAGATTGAGTGTCGACTTTCGGAACCTCGGAAGAGGCTGGTGTAGGTTATTCATGGGCGAAGATAACGATGGGAATCCTGGCACAACGATACCATTGCGACTCGATTGATACACCTTAGGTCGAGCTATCCTTCACTCTAGAAGGAAATTTGGTGAGAAAACCCGAACGTAAGAAGGTTCTTCCTCACAATGGTTCTGGGAAAAGGGCACGTAAGATACAAAGCCGGGATAGAGCCGACTGATATGCTCCGAGCATACTCACCGAGATCCTGAGTATTGGAGAGGTCGCGGCTGCTCCTAGAGCGGCCGCGCCCTTGAAACAATCACACGGCTGAGCATCTCCACAACCTCGCTGACGATTGGCTAAATGGCCGTGGTATAGTAACTAGCAGGAGATAGTTGGCTCCGGACGGCAGTTGGTGGCCTATGGTATCGCAAGGTTTCGCCCAAAGAAGGTGTGCTGTTCGGAAATGAAGCGACACTGTCGGAGTTATTGATCGTGTTCACTGCATTAAACCAGTCTCCAACTTACCTCATGGTTGAGCAGAACGTGTAAAGAGCCCAACGTCCTGATGGTGGATATTGGATGACATCAGCCTGAGAACAAATCCGCCCAGGTACGGTGTTTGCTGTGTATGCAGTATTACGCTAGACTCTAGTACACATGAAGTGCAAGGATACGCATAGCGAAGCTGAATGTGTTATTGACTACCTGTACTGTGATACGATATGCTCGAGAAGATAAAGGTAAACGTACCATATCAGAAGGTGCTGCAGCCCGGAGCAGAGCATAGTTGCCAGCAGCGTCCATGGGGACCTCGTGTACGTAGCGTAGCGCTTTCAAAGAAAAGACTGACCTCCGAGTCGGGTATCCATAGTAACCCCCCATGAAGCACATGCACTGGCGACCGTCTCGCTACTTTCATGGTTGAGCTGAACGGCCGGTAGATGGTGGTGTCATAGTGTGGAGGCACCTCGCGGCGACGAGCACGCTTGCCACATCAGGATGATGTTCCAGCGCGTATCGGAGCAGATCGGAGCTCAGATTGTAGTTAAATCATGGCGTTCCTAGTCATCAGCGGAGTTGAACAAAGCTTATCGCATGCGTACATTTCCCCGTCGGACATTGGTCGGGAGTGAGCTGAAGCGAAAACTCAGATAATAGCATATAGCCAGGCTCTTCCATCATCTACTCTCTATTCCTCCTACTTCTGCGTGGCCCAGTCGAGGCACTAAACCTAGTCTGTCTCTTGACATCGTGCATCGCCTGCTACGTTTCCACTCGTCTATCGGAGTCTAGCGAAGGAGGCTGCCTCCCGTGCGCGCGCGTCCGCGACGTGCAGCTGATGAAGCTCAAGTGGCGTATTGGGTCGAAGCATGCTGAGTACTTTATCCAGGTCGCCAGACGTCGATAGTCAACGGCGGTCGATCGCATCGCTCGGCGGAGTCGTCAGTATTGAACGAGCAACGAACTCGGGCCCGCGGAGCCCTCAGGCTCCAATGCAAGATGCATTCACTACGCCTACATACTACCTTGGAATTCCACACTACTCTCCTCCTGAAAACGACAGGCTTGTGCACGAGTTCCGCTATGAGGGCTTTCCATTCCTCAAGAATGTCACCGCGGCCGCTATGCACGCGTGTGCCCGCAGAGATCATACGAAGTCGTCCACGCTTCTAGTTCGCGGCTAAGCTCTCTCGCATCCTCTTCAACTTCGCTCCAGACCTCAGAGATATCGCACTAGTAAACACCGTGGGTTTTCTTTCCTGATATTCACCATACACAATATTGATGTTCAAGAGTGCGTCGCGGTGAAGTCGAGGTTATACAAGCAGATGATCGACCTTCGTCGAGTCGCCAGTAGTCACAGGCACGAAATTTAGCTCTCTGAGTCTGTACGACGAGAAATCCGTGGAGATCTATCGGTCAAAGCCCTTTGAGTCGTTTAGCAAGCTGGTTTGAAGCTGGAGGTCTAGTTCAAGCTTCAAGTCAGACAAAAACAGCAGCTCTGCCGCTGCGGAGGACGCAGAACATTCCGTCGAAGTTGCTGCGATGCGCACCAAAATCGGGGGAGGAAACCGAAAGACTCTGGTAACCAACCTTGGTCTTCCATTCCACCGGTGGCCGCGTCGTTGGTATGCACTCACCTTCATCGCATCTCCATGGACATAGCTGCTAAGCTAACTTCATCCTTCCTCAAATAGCTACCACCCCTCAACGTCAACCCATCACCACCTGCTTGGCGCCGTATTCACCCCCGTGGCCGCTCACACAACCGGTTTCAAACCTCGTGAATGCGATCTCCCCTCTCCTCGTCTATCATACATAACTCATTGTATGCCTTTCTTTCATAGCTCGCTCTCCGCCGTTCACTCACTGTGGTGCGTTCCACCGGTCCGGTGTTGGTCTGACAACACTGCGGAAGTATGTAATGACAGGGCGTAACTGTCGCGCAGCGCCACGCTCGGTCCGGGTTCTCGTGCTCGTGCCTCCCAGACTACCGTCGCACCCCTACCGTAGCGTTACTTCCTTCTCTCGCTATGCCAACGCATTTGCTGACTGTTCAGGCAGGGGAAACCACGCTCGCACCGTTGAAACCCGCGCCTCGCGTGCTTGGGAAGTGTCACGAGTATCGCTGAGGTGCTATGTACCAGCAATTCCTATGACTGCGGCGGCCATGTCCGAGGCGATCGCCTAGCCGCTGACCTGCCCGAGTCGCAGGAGTCGTCCTGAGCATGGTGGCGCCAGCCTAGTAACTTCCATTAGAACGCATTCGTCCGTCGCTGCCGACACACATTCTGGTCGAAATCCATACATGTCTCCGCCCGCACCCGTCCCCTTCTCTCAGGTCCAGCGCGCGTGTGCAGACCTTCCACCTATCACCGGACGCCTTCGGAGCAGCGTGAAGAGGGGCGACTAGGGGCAAAGCCAAGCCAGCCAGGTTCAGGTCTGTATTTCAAGGTGCCCCGCCAGGCCCACTGCCGCCCAGTAGCCACGTCGTCAAGGAAGCGCCTAATCTAGAACCCAGCAAAGCCTCTTCCTCAGGCCATCGCGGGCCTTTCGCGCGGGGTGCGCTCCAGGAACGAGTGCGCAGGGCCACAAACCCACTGCAGACCCGAGCGGGCACTGGCCGGTGCGTGCCTGCCCGATCAGCTGTCCCTTCGTTGATATGCTGCTGTTGGTGGCGCTGCTTCCGATTGTCCGCTTCCAGCAGGACCACACACGGCCTGCTGGAAGCATCCGTTTGTGAAGGATGCGTTTATACCGTTCGCACGCCGTTCGCCGGAGACTTCTGCTCGATGCCAAACAGGGACGCCCGCGCCAGGACAGTCCTGATGCGCTCGCGTATAGCGCTTCTAGGGTCGACTCCGCCCACCCTTGGACCTTGGGACTTCTTTCGGGGCCAGAAGCAGGCATTCCATGCGCCCGTTGTTCGAGCAAGAGCAGTTCTTGCTGATCGTCCACACGCTGGCGCCGTGCAGAGGCCGCCGAGGACCACTCATCATTCCCAACCGTACAGAATGCACTGAGTGGAGGTCTCGTGGGGTAGCGTGGGATGCGTCTCGCACTTCTGGTTAGAACTCCGGGCCCTCCGGGCGCTCGCATCAGGACACCGTCCACAAGGAACATCGGCAACTTCTCATGGACGCCATATGCAATCCTGCCGCTTCTGCGCGCCCATACACGGTATACACAGTTCAATCTAACGATGCCTCAAACACCCGTCCCAATTGGAGGTGAGCCTAAGGACACGTACCCACAAAGTTTGAGCGGACATTACTCACTCGTGTGACACTGGCAGGAGTGCTTTACCGAGGGCGTGTACCTGAGGGACCCCCAAGCGGTACCTACCGTCGAGTATGGCGGCCATTGGACTCCACAAATCGGGGCGAGGGACGGGTTCCACTTGCAGCCACCGGCCGGAAAGTCGGGATGCGGTTACGATCTGAGTTACGATCTAGCCCACCGATCACGGCTGGGCAACTCTGGCATCCAACGTATGTGTGTATTACCTCCCCGCCGTGCACTATGCTCATCCCATTTCTCCTCTTCAGCCTACAGAACATCGTCCAGTGTGTTTGCCGAAGAAATTCGGTACACGCGAGGCAGCAAGCGGGATCTCGGGGAGTGGTACCGGCCGTCGTGGCTGTGTGGTGATGCGAGCAGGATGCGCGCGCCTCTGGATATAAATGGTAATTTAGTCTCGGGTATTCCTAGTTCCCTCGGCAAAGATTGCGTGCGTTATCAGGTCCTTCCGCGCCTGATAAATCCTCGCACCTCTTGCCTGTACCTCCATCCTCTCCCGCACTTTTGCACGCCGGCGTCATGGTTGGTTTTACACACAGACTCAACGCAGTGGTACGTCCCACCGTTCGTGGTCAGCGCACGCCATCCTCACCGTCCTCCATAGGTTGCGGACTCTTTCGTCGGGAGGCACTTCCGCTTGGAGGGCTCCGGACACCCGAAGGAGCGCGAAGGGTCACGGTTCCTGGTGCGTCCCTTCTACAGCCTCCGTTTCTTCGTCCGCTAAACCCCCGCGCAGACGGAAATCCGTGCTGGCGTCACAACATGGGCCGCCATGGCATACATTGTAAGTCTCCACCTGCTTATCATTACACTCGGAGCGCCCGAAGAACTAACGACTCTCCAGATCTCGGTCAACGCCGCCATCCTGCGAGATTCAGGAGGGACGTGCGTTTGCTCCACCAACGACGGCTGCACGGACGACGCTGTTTACCTCTCGTGTGTCGCTGATGTGCAACGGGACCTTATCACCACGACCGCGTCCATCTCCGCGCTCTCGTCGTTCCTTATGGGTCTCCTCGCGAACCTCCCGGTTGGGATGGCCCCAGGTTTGGGCCTGAACGCCTACGTGAGTCTCCATCCCCTCATTGAAACATTCCTCCTTCCTTTTTTCCTTCACCCGCGTTATCATTTGACTCCGGATGGTACGCTCTTTACGGAGGTCTTGATGGTGTTTCATGAAACGGGACCTTGAAGCCCCATCCACTTTCCCGCTGTGCGTTACTGCGTGCCCTTATCGTTGGGTTGGTTGGAGCGCACTATCTGCCGGCTTTTTTTGCCGCGGCGGCCGTCGATCATTTCCGTCGTGTGCATGCCTTTGCCACGCTTCCGTGTGTACACAGCACATGCCTTCGCGTTCTAGCCGCACTGAACCAGATCCTCCGCGCATCAAAACTGTGCAAGCTACGCAGACGAGTTTGCCAACATATGGTCCGCGCGACTGTGTCTGCATGTCCAGCGGGCGTCTCGAGAGCATGCTAGCGCGTCTGTTCTGACTGTTTGATGATCCGGTGGCGGCCTACGCCATTCGTCCTGTCATCAGCGGGTATTCAGCAGACCGGGTCTACCCTTTGCGGCGGGTGATCACTTTCATGAATGTTTGCATTGATTTTGCCACATCTCTACCCGTTCTAAAGGAATAGGATTCACTGACGCTGGAAAACAGTTCACCTACTCCGTCGTTGGCTTCCACGGGTCCGGCTTCATCTCGTACAGGGAGGCCTTGGCGGCGGTGTTCATGGAGGGATGGATTTTCTTCATCCTCTCCCTCCTCGGTCTCCGTCAATGGCTCGCGCGTATCATGCCGCAGTCGCTCGTCATGGCTGTCGGTGCCGGTATCGGCCTGTTCATCGCCTTCATCGGTCTCTGTGGGTTACTCATTCTTACTCGGATAATTGGTGCTGTCGGACTGATCATTGCTCTCAGCTACTGGCGGTCTTGGCGTCATCGGCGGTGACACCACGAACTTCGTCGGTCTGGGCGGCTGTCTCGCAGAAGGTACAGTCGTTATCCATACGTCTCTACTCGTCTTGCTAACAAATTTTCAGATTACCTGAGCGCGGACCTGCCCAACTACTGTGGCACAAGGGTCTTGCGCAACCCCACCGTGTGGCTTGGTATCTTCACTGGCGGGTACGTACGCGTTTAAGTTTAGCGCATCGTTCTGTGCTCACTGTAACTGCAGTATCCTCACCGTGCTGCTGATGTTGTACCGTATCAAGGCGGCGATCCTGATCGGCATCTTCGTCACGTCGATTATCTCCTGGCCTCGCTCCACCGCGGTCTCGTACTTCCCCCACACCGATGCCGGCGATGCTATGTTCGACTTCTTCAAACAGGTCGTCACCTTCTGGCCGCTGCAGCGCGTCGGGAATGCACTCGATGTAAGTTCATATGCAGTCCTCGCTGCATCCCAAACTCACCTCCTTCTGTAGTACAACTACGGCAACGGCAAGGTGTGGTACGCGCTCATCACCTTCCTGTACGTCGATATCCTCGACACCACCGGTACGCTGTACTCCATGGCCAAGTTCGCCGGCCTCCGCGACCCCGTCACGCTCGACTTCGAGAACTCGACGATCGCGTACTGTGTTGACGCGTTCTCGATCTCCATGGGCGCGCTCATGGGTACCTCCCCCGTCACGGCCTTCGTTGAGTCCGCGACTGGTATCTCCGAAGGTGGCAAGACCGGTATCACTGCGATGATCACTGGTGTTATGTTCTTCGTGTCCATCTTCTTCGCGCCCATCTTCGCGTCGATCCCGCCCTGGGCGACGGGTGGTGCGCTCGTCATCGTCGGTTCGTTGATGATCAGGAAGTTAGTACCGTCCGCCATTCCTTCTTGGTTCGCACTGTTGACCATACTCTAGCGTCCGTGAAATCAACTGGGACTACGTCGGCGACGCCGTCCCCGCGTTCCTCACCATCATCATGATCCCGCTCACGTACAACATCGCGTACGGTGTCATTGCGGGTGTCTTCTCGTATGTCCTCATCAACGGCACGGCGTGGCTGGTCTCGAAGATCAGCGGCGGCCGCATCGTGCCCCCCAACTACGCTGCTTCCGAGGCGTGGGTCATCCCGCCCGGTGGTGTTGTCCCGACCTGGATGTCAGTCGTCTTTTGTTCTCTAATCCCGTTCAGTGCTGACGCAGCCTTGCGCTGTACACAGGAAAGTGGTCGCTGGACGGCGCTCATCACCCATCAACCCATCGACGGACGTACCGCTGCAACCCCGCCGCTCACCCTCAATAGACGAGCGCAGCCACACCAAGGCAAGCATGACCGAGTACGACATGCGCGCCACCAGCCGGTAGGCGTCAGCCTCCGCGCCCCCCACTCCCACCGGACACGCTCCCTTCCATTATTTTCGACCCCGGGAGTTGTCTTGCGCAACACCACATACCGAAAGCCGCCCGCACGGCCGTTTACATTTATCGCACGCATCATTAGTACATAGTCTCTTGGATATTAGAGTGTACGCCTATTGCAGTACCGTGGGGTCTTCTTGGTGTGGCTGTTGTTTCGAAAAGCGTTGTATTATTCTTTCGTAGTTCGTATCCAATGAACGTCCTTTCTTTTCGTCTCGAGTAGCTGCGCGCTCCGAGGCCACGAGGCAGGAAGGTGTGTCCAATCTGTCCACAGGTCCACCTCGCGAAGTCCGTCGTGGGACAAACCGTGACGCCTTCAAGTGTTGGAATCGACGATATCGATAGCGATACAGCCATACCGATTTCCCTCTCGTACTCGCTAGGACGATAGTCGGGTGAGTATCCGATCCTTGTGCTTACCTATTTTGTGACCTAACATACGTTCCTTACACCCCTCCAGCTCAGACACCTTGCAACTAGGCCCATGTAATAGTTTGCCACACTTCCCCACTCGCGCACACGAAGCGTCCCGAATACCTATCCATGCATGTGGCTCCTCACGACCAGCAAAGCAGAGCTTGAATGGTACGCTCGTCCACCACCGAAGTATGCTGTCCTCTCGCACGTTTGGGAGAAGGGGGAGAAGGGGGAGCCGGTGGAGCAGTCGTTCCGGGACGTCTCGGATATTGGGCGAGCGTGCAGGGAGACGAAGGAGAACCCGCGCGACTTCGTGTCGGACAAGATCCGCAACTGCTGTATATGGGCGGAGGCGCACGGCTTTGCGCTCGTCTGGGTGGACACCTGCTGTATCGACCAGACGAGCAGCGCAGAGCTGTCCGAGGCGATCAACTCGATGTTCGCGTGGTACGCCAGCGCGACGGTCTGCTATGCCTTCCTTTACGACGTCTCTGAAGTCGAACCGCCCTCTGCTCCAAACTCCTCCTTCCGCAACAGCGTGTGGTTTACGCGCGGGTGGACACTGCAGGAACTCATCGCCCCCAAGGTCGTCATCTTTCTCTCGATGCACTGGTTTCCAATCGCGTCGAAGCGCTCTATATCGTCGCTGCTCGAGGAAATCACCGGGATCGACGCCGCGGTGCTCATGGGCAGCATGCCTCTCCACGAAGTGAGCGTAGCGCGCCGCATGTCCTGGGCTTCGGAGAGGAAGACCTGCAGGATCGAGGATGAGGCGTACTGCTTGATGGGCATCTTCGGCGTGCACCTCCCCACGATCTACGGTGAGGGCAGGGAGGCGTTCCTCCGGCTCCAAGAAGAGATCATGCGACGCATCCCAGACACGACTCTCTTCGCATGGGGCCCGCGCGCCGATCCCGTCGAGACGCTGTTAGGCTATCGCTCCGTCTTCCCGACGTCGCGCGGTACCGATTACATCGAGCGGTCGTGTCTACTCGCATCGGGGCCTGCGGCGTTCCGGGACTGTTCTGATCTCGTCAGCGTCTCGAAGAAGGTCTTCGCCGCGGCATATGACATTTCACCTCATAATGCCTCGTTCATAGTAACGAGCCACGGCATCCAGGCCACTTGCCCCGTCATGCACTTCTCCGGAGGATGCACCCTGCTTTTATTGCCGTGTTGCAAAGCGCAGGATGACAAATCATCCTTCGTGGCGCTCATCCTCCGCTTCCAAGGGGAGGGGAGCCCATGGGCTGTCGGCACTCGTACACTGGTGGAGGAGATATTTCACGAGCAATGTGAAGCGAGGTAAGCGGATCGCCTTTCACTTATTTCGAGTAGAGGTATACCAACCTGGATTCTCGCGCCCATTGATCGTCACAGGTACTCTGCCAGCATGATTGAACAACTCTTAGCACGAAGACCGTCAGTTAAGCGTCGCCGGGACCATTTCGATGTCCGCTGTGTCCTCCTCCCCATAGGATTCGACTTCAGGACATGCCTTCAACGACCCCTCAAACAAGCGTTTCAGCCTCTTGCACCTAAATGGGAGCGAAGCTACATCGCTTACCGGCTAGAGCACGTCCTCTCAAAGGACCCCGAGCCAAGCAGTCTCTTAGGCTTGCAGCGCAGAGCATCCCTCTCCCCGTACTACAAGCTGTTCTTCCCTTCGTGGGCGATTGCCCGACTGGAGATGAATGGCTTTAGGGTTCCAGACCTAGCCCTAGAACCCGCCCCGGGTTTCCACGCAGGAGAGCGGCTTAGTATCCCCTTCTTCGACTGGAGGAACAGGGAGCAGATGCGCATTGAGCTCCGAACGGACATCCGAATGAATGCTCACTCGGGCACTCCTATGGCGGCTTTGTGGTGTACGATCCTGCTGCCGAGTGACACCAACAGATCTCTGGACGCGCAGGTAAGTGGCTGCATACGCGTTTATCTTTCCATACGTACTGATCGCGGATCAGATGTCCGCCCTTCACAATGACTGGGAAAACGGGAGCATGAGAAGCGGGAGTATGAGGGACGGGAGCATGAGGGACGGAAGCATACTTGAAGAAAGCAATGCGGATGAAGGCAGCATGATGGACGAGGGTCTGGAATCCGTGGACGGGGACGACATCGAGATCGATGCGGGGTTCGTCGACTTGTGGGAGCATTCGGGGTGCAAAGGGTGCAAGGAATTCTTCAGCGGCCGCTGGCGTCTTCTCCTCACGTTTACTCGCTTGTGCGATGACACTGATCAGGAAGACGCCGACGTTAGCAACGTTTATCTTGTCGAAATCGAGCTAAGCTACATAGACGTGTAATAAGCTTGGGATATTGGTAGTACTAGTTGCTGTACGTACTTTGTATCGACGTGTAGTGATATCTCTTGGTTTGTTGCCCTGTGTTTTTGTCGTTATTTGTCAGTACTAGAACGTCAGTTCCTCGGAGTTCGCGGATGAGTTGAAGCTGGTGCGATGCATGCGAAAACGGGAGTGAGAAGCTCGCTTCGGACTCTGTCACTGGCCGCGGAGCGAACACAAATGGAGTGGCAGAGTTGACTGGTTTGCATACGATTAACACGTTTCCAACACATGGTTCTGTACGTTCACAGCTATGGGCTTGGTGGCAAAAGTTCAGGCGGTCCGTCGGAAGGGTCAGTGTGCAAGATCCCCTACACAGATCGCCGTGGACGTTCAGCGCTCAGCCCCTAATGTAGGTAGAAAAGAGCCGAAGAACTCACCTCGAACCGTATGCACAGGATTCCTCGTGCGTGTACACGAGCCAGGGCGCGCTGGAATCCCAAGGAAAAGGTATGCTGTTCCGCCCTCGTTAACGTCTCCAACGACCGAATCTCGAGAGTGACAGTTTCCAACGTTAGCAACCTTGAGATGGCGTCGTCCAACTGACACCAGAGGTCTCGTCTTTTCGTGACGTCTACGCAGCCTGGTCTGAAGTAAATCGGGATCCTCAGCGTGAGGTGGCGAAGGTGTGGCGGCGGGTGGTGAGCGAGGACCTGAGTATATGCGCCGACCGCGTGGGAAAAGGCTTTGTGGCCGTCCATATCATGGCTCAGGCGGCTGTAGTGCATGTGCAGACAAAGCGATTCGAGCTGCGCGCACCGGGACAAGCCAAGCGCTCGCCACTTGGTATTGTCATCTGTATGAGCACCAGCATTATTCGAATGGAGGACGAATGCGAATATTGAAGTAGAAACACTCACCTGGCGCTCCGTTCTCCCAAAACTGCTCCTTCGGCTCGAATTCGATCCGCTTGAGACCAGGAGCTGCGTCTATCAGGATTCGCTGGTACTCCATCACTTCGGCCCACGTCGACCAGGTGAAATGAAGCGACTTCAACGAACCCTCGAAGATGCTGGATGCCTGCAGGAAATCTGACAGCATCACCGTTGGGGCCGCTCCGAGCGAATCATAATGCACATGTTCGATTTTCAGCCTCGGTGGCTTGGTCACCGACGATCCGCGCGCATCCTCCGAAGGCCAGTATCCTCCGAACTGAAGCTCGCCCAAGGAAGCAAACAAACGCGCCGCATCCAACGCAAGCGACATATCCTCATCATGGAAGTAGCACCCAAAGACGCGCAAGCGGTGTAGATGCGGGATGGAAGCGAGCGGGAGGTCGGGTGCGTTCAGCGGTTTTGGTTGAAGCGACACTCCGGCAAGGGTGAGCCGCTGCAGCTTGGGGAGCAACATCACAATCGCGTGGATGGAGAGCAGGCTGACTTGTTCCGGGCGTTTCCTCTTGAAGCTCGCGAAGCGATCGCAGCCGAGCGTGAGGTCCTCAATGAGTGCGCAGACGTCCGGGGACGTTTGTAAGAATTCCTTGAATGCGGAGATCCGGGCGTTGGAGGCCGTTGACTGGATGTCCAATGAGCAGAATAGGTGCGAACGCGCCACGGGTGCCCAGGAGCGACAGACTCGCGAGCAAGCCGATAAAGATGTCTTGTCCCCAGCAAGACGGTCGATGATCAGGTAGTCCAGTTCGGCGGGGAGCTTCGCGGCTGCGCTGCGCTTGCCGGATTCCATCATGAGATTTCGCTGTGTGCTACGCAACGCTGTTAGCTTGGACGACTTGAAGAGAATGAGAGGCACGCACCTCAACCTCTACTCAGTACGGTTGTGTTAGTGGCGATTACGAATGTGTCTAGTGAAGGCGATACCAGGAAGTTCAAAGGGGAATGTGCACCGCTACACGCGACATTTTATACATGTTCGCTACAATGGGTCCCAGGTCGTTTTGCTCACGACCCAGTTCAAGCCAAAAGGGAGTGGCTGGAACGGACGCGCTTGAAACTTGTTTTGTTCCTTGCGTATGCTCCGAGCGTGTCACCAGCACCAAGCTGGATGTCCATGCTGGACGAACTAACATGTCCCGCCATAACAGCTGTTTCGGGTTAAGTAGCAGCTCTCTGCGCTGCAGCACAGTATATATGCGGTCGAGACGACTGGTCGGTCAAGTGAATGAGGACAGACAGGGCAAGTTGTATGCATCGAGGTGGTCGCAGTTGGTCGCAGTCCAAGACAGTCCAAGACCTGGCCGGACAATGCCGACAGGGGTAGGCTCATTGTTTGGAGTTGCTTGGAACGCCACCGGCATCATTCAGCGCTAACAATGTCCCCTCCGCGCCGCCATGTTCTCGTCATACATAATGCCTTGCAAGCCCTTGGAAATATTCAGACTATGATCTGTCATGCCACTCGATAGTAAGGCGGTGAACGCGAAGTAGTATGTTTACAATTATGGTACGGGTATGGTACAAGGCAAGTCGTTGAAGTCAAGGAGGATCATCACAAGTACGTGGATTCAGGGCCCCGGGAAATTCAAGCTCTTCCCGGAGCCCTCGCTCATACAGCACTACATAGAGCTCCATCATCATTGGCGTGTATGGGCAAAGACGGAGTGGACTTGTACTCACGCGCAACATAATCCACAGGTCAAACACGCGATGACAGCTACTATAGCGTCGAATATCGCTGGAATTGTTTCGTCAAAACGATAGTCCACACACATTTGTCGTTTGGGGCTCACCAACGAAGACGCATTCAAGACATCCTACAACGGCGTCCACGACACACATGATTGCGTCTGCAATGCACTCGAATATGCCTGCCAACTCGGTAAGTCTTCTGCGGCTGGCTCAAATGGCCCGGGCGACAGTCGTACTTACCTACGATACATGATACAATGATTCTGCGAGATGCACTGTCAGTCCCATTTTGTGTTCCAGGTCAACGCGACTCACCCCATATTGTACAAGTTCAGAGCGAAGCAGGGTATCCTTTAGTGACGTCTTGCCCCTGCCCTCGTTCTCTTATATGCGACGTACAGACGCTGTGGAGGTAACTCCCGTGCTGGCGCGCTGACGTAGCTGTATGTCCCCGCATGCCCCGCAGCCTCTGCACATCCACAAGTCGCGCCACCGTATCCCACCAAGGTCTGGCCACATCTCCGACGCTCCACTTGATCTAATTTTGCAACATTTCCCAAGCCTGCTGCAAGTGTTCGTTAAACGCTGACTGTTTATTTTGGTTGCTCTCCCTAGTTAACGCTCATGGGTCTCTGGATGACGTATGTCAGGAGGTACTCCTAATCTGAGCTCGCCAGTAATAAGCAGATGACACCATTGGGAAGTCCTGATTAGCATTGAAGTCACGAGAGTAAATGAAGTGGTGAGTGTGACTATTGATACACGGTGCGCTGATGACGGAGATGTGATCTATAGCTATGTATGCATCGTAAAAAGGTGGACCAGGAACGAGAACACGAGAACGTAGAGCTTGCGAAGATACGTTGCCAGGATCTCGAAATGCCATTCACCGTTCTGCAGCCGCGCTCGACGTTCCCTCCGTCACTTGCGTGTGCCCCTCGTGCTCACGATCGAACCCAACGCTCAACCGCCGGAAACTCGCCACCTCAACGCTCACGCGTTTCTTCTCTGTGTCCCCTTGTTCGTTCTTGGCCACATCATCCTTCTCCGCCTCCCTCACACTCTCGCTCTGCGGCTCCTCGACGGCACCCTCCTTGTCGACATGGTAGAACACGAGCAGGGCCAACCATTCGACCCCCACGATCGCCAGCAAGAACCAAAATGCCGCTGCGCGTCCGGCATATGAGTCCGGTTTCCCCTTCTTTGCGTCTTGACTCGATTCGATCTGGCCCACCGCAGCGATCCCGACCGCCGCCCCCAGCTGCAGCGCTGCGTTGAATATCGCCCCAACGGTGCCCGCCATCGACGCCGGGCTTGTGCGGAAGATGGCGATGCTGGTCGGCCGAGACATCAACAGGAGTAGCAGCCAAACCAGGTACGGGACTACTCACTTCGTGTGCGTGAAGACCAGCGAAATACCGCCGGCTCCCAAGATAATCGCGGGGAAGACATACGGCCAATAGCGATCGGGGCCGTCCGCGAAAGCGAGAAGGATGGTGGCGATCATCGCCAGGCCCTCGCCGATGAGGATGACGTATTTCGAGCTGATCCAGCGCGACAGGGAGCCTGCGAAGGTTGCTATAATCAACGCGACTATCCCGCTGGGCAGCCTGGAGCCGGAGTCAGCGTTGCAGGTGGAAACAAAGATCGAGGTAAATCTTACGTGTGGATAGCAGCAGAGATGACGCTCCAGTGGTAGACGTTCTGCCAGAGCGTCGTGTACAGCGTGAACACGGTCGTGAACCAGAAGTACGGCAGGAGCGCGGTGGCGAAGAGGACGGCGAAGTTTGGGAGGAACCATGTGCGCGGAGGTATCGCTGCCCTGTCCGCTGGGATCGTCGTCTCATGGCGGAAGAACTCTGCGACCAGGAAGACGGAGATGATGAGTGGAGCGAGCACCGTGGCCGACGACCACCCCGACGCCGAGCCGGACGTGATCGCAAAGATGAACAGAATGAGCGCAACTAAATTCATAATTGGTATGAGGCGTTCTCTCTTTGATGAGATACTGCAACGCACTGGTCAGGATAGTCACCCCAACGATGTCCAGACTCCTCCATTTGGCCTCCGTTCCGTCTCCCACCTTCTTCACCTTAGGTTCTTGCGCGGGGATGAAGAAAGCACCGATAGCGGCAATCGGTAGCGCGATTATCGCCACAAACCAGAACACCCAGTTCCACGATGTGAACTGGACGAATATCGCCCCGATGACTACCCCGAGAGCTATCGCATATAAGCACGGTACGTCATACTATATGCACATAGGATATTACTTACTATTACCAACCGCACCACAGCCTCCAAACATGCTGATAGCACGCGCCTGCTCCCTTGGCTCGGGGAAGATGTTGACAATCAGCGTCAGAGCGGACGGAATGGTCATAGCCCCCGCTGTATGACGTGGAATACGTCAGTCCTCCGAATACAGCGGCCGCCAGGACTCAAGATGTTTGTGGCTTACCGATACCGCTGAGTGCACGAATGACGATCAACGGAATCTTGCTCTTCACGAAGCCGGCGCCGATGGAGAGGATGCCCAGCGAGGCGATACCGCCTATGAAGAAGATCTCTGCCAACGATGTGAGTTATGGCTAGACGTCTGCGTGTAGGAGAGGTGCGTACTTGGGTTATAGACGTCGCTCATTCGTCCGCTCTGATAATATCCAGAAAGGTCAGTTCACAGCCATTTGCAACGCAGGCGGTACTGACAATAAGCAGGAAGGACGCGAAGGTCAGCTGGAATGCGCTGATGAGCCATGTCGATTCTGCCGTGGACATATGAAGGTCGATAATCAAGCGTGGGATGGCCGAGAAGAGCGCCGCATTGTTGAAGAGGTCGATGAACTGCGCCAGACAGAACAGGAGCAGGAGTACAAGCTGCCGCGCGGGCGAGTATTTCGGCGGCACTTTCCCGTCGGCCTCAGTCAGAGTCTGTGCTGGAGAGCCCGAGGTAAACCGTGCAGGCTCTGATTTGGGAGAGGGAGGTGTGTCCATGTCTTCTTCCTGGACTTTGCGTTCCTGCTAGTGGCTTCTCGTCAAGACTCAGTCCAACACGGAAGAAGAGAGCTGTGGGTTCGTGAGGGGGTCGCGTCCTGGAGCCCGAGGCTCGACATGACACGCTTGTCGCAACTTATAATTTCCCCGCATTATGGTGTCGTACACGAGATGAGCAGCGAAAGCTGTGCCGCTTCTTCCAGTGGCGCTGAGAAAGCTGACCCATCGCCGCCTCGCGGCGTGCGTTCGCTGACCGTTTCTTCAGAAGAAAGCGTAATTCGCATGAGTACAGTACATCCCGCCCCAGCCCGGAGACCTACTTCTCTAGCGATCGGCTTTGCGAAGAGCGGACCATCAACAGCGCGTGGTTGAGAACCACCACCGAGACCCAAACTCCCTGATAGAGGCGTCGAACAGGAATTCGGCATGCCCTGAAATACGTATATTTCGTGCCCGAGTCGGCCATCCGACGCTTCTGCAAGCCAATAGTCACGAGTGTCGTAAACCCTTCGGGCTTCCGGTCGGGCATCGTGCTCTAGACTCTGACTCTCCAGCCGGGGTCGATACGGGATGCCGTAAATAAAAGGTGCTGAGCTGTGGGCATACAAATATGTCTCGAAGCATACGTTGCGGACTCAAATGAATGTCCTGCCCCTCGAGGTATACCGTCCGCAGCAGCCGCCCCGGATGCGACACTGTGGCGTTTGTACTTTTCACTACACCCCCATAAGACCACTCTACTTTACCTCATGGCAGAATGGAGCTTTAAAGCGGACTTAGTCAGACTCAGCGCCGTCAAAATTCAGCAGGCACGAGAGAAGATCGTACGATGGCTCAGGTCAAAGGAAGTAGTATATGATATATGATTAGCCATCGTTGTGGTCATCAGAATGCTCGTAAACGGAATGAGTTCAACTATCGATACATGAGTCTGTCTAATGTAAATGCGGTCTATGTGTATGCAGCGACGAAGGGAACCAGAGAAGACCAAGCGAAAAAAACAAAACTATACGAACACACCAATGAGAAAAATCTAGACGTTCAAGTCCGTGCCCACGTTGACAGGCCGCTCCGAGACGGTCGTGTGCTCCTCGCGCTCTATATCCTGCGCGCTGCTCGTGAGCCGCAGCTCCGGCAGGTCGACGCTCTGCTTCTCCATCACCATCTTCTCGTCCTCGATGGTCTTTTCAAGCGTCTTTCCTTCACCCTCGAGCTCCTCGGCGGTGCCCTCCTTGCTGCGCCGGTAGAACACGAGCAGCGCAAGGAACTCGATGCCCACGATCGCGAGGAGGAACCAGAACGCCGCGGCGCGCCCGGCGTACGACTCCGAGCCCCCGTTCCGCGCCTCGACGCTCGTCTCGATTGAGCCGACCGCCGAAATGCCGATGGCTGACCCAAGCTGCAGCGCGCCGTTGAAGATCGCGCCCACCGTTCCGGCCATTGACGTCGGACTGGTGCGGAAGATCGCAATGCTGGTGACAGGAGGATCAGCACGCGCAGCGCAGCAAAGGGACGTGGAAGACTCACTTAGTGTGCGTGTAGGTGAGCATGGCCCCCGCGGAGCCGAGTACGAACGCGGGGAAGATGAATGGCCAGTAGCGCTCGGGGCCATCCGCAAACGCGAGAAGGATTGTCGCGATGATGCACATGCCCTCGCCGGTGAGGATGATCCATTTCGGGTTGATGACACGCGACAGCGAACCAGTGAAGCTCATTGAGAATGCAAGCACACCGATGGGCAGCCTGGAAAGTGGTTTAGTCTCCCTTAGCGTTTCTCATGTAATGGACTCAAACTCACATGTGGATAGCAGTGGAGATGACGCTCCAGTGCCAAACGTCTTGCCAGAGCGTCGTGTACAGTGTGAAGACGGTCGTCCACCAGAAGTACGGAAGCAGCGCGGTGCCGAACAGAACCGAGAAGTTGGGAAGGAACCACGTGCGTGGGGGGATCGCCGCCTTGTCCACCGGGAGCGTCGTCTCGTAGTAGAAGAACGCCACAACCATGAACACGGAGATAATGAGCGGCGCGAGCACCGTCGCAGACCCCCATCCGGATGTCGTTCCGGACGTGATCGCGAAGATGAACAAGATGAGTGCCGCTATAAATCGAGTCAATACCAATTTGTTACCGCTCCGTTGTAGTGTACTCACCAGTCAGAATAGAGACCCCTCCCATATCCAGGCTCTTCCAGCGAGCGTCCGTCTGGCCACCAATCTCTAGGTGCGGCTCTTGTGTCGGGATGAGGAAGACACAGATGGCGGCGATTGGCAGCGCAACGAGCGCGACAAACCAGAACACCCATGACCAGGACGCGAATTGGACGAAAATGGCACCAATAATCAATCCGAGCACTGCGTATGATTTAGCATAGTCAGATGCACTGCAACATTACTGACACCATGCAGAGACGCGTACCGTTGCCGACCGCTCCGCAACCTCCGAAAACACCGATGGCGCGCGCTTGCTCGTTTGGCTCTATGAAGACATTGACGAGGAGCGTCAATGCGGACGGGATGGTCATGGATGCGGCTGCACACGGTAAATGGGTCAGTCGGACCGTCTTCCGTGTCGAGAACATTGAAAATTTGCAGCTTACCGATACCGCTTAGCGCGCGAAGAACGATGAGCGGAATCTTGTTCGTTACGAAGCCGGCGCCGATAGAGAGGATGCCCAGGACGGCAACACCACCGATGAACGCGAATTCTATAGGTGCTATTAGCGATAGCTCAGATGACTGGGCGTGGAAGATGGGTACATACTTGGGTTGTAGACATCACTAATCCGCCCGCTCTGCACAAGCAAGGGTAAGACTGCGGCCCTGTAACAGGGTCGGTAAAAGCACTTACGATAAGCAGGAACGATGCAAATGTCAGCTGGAACGCGCTGATGATCCATGTCGATTCCGCCTCAGACATCCCTAGCGAGATAACCAACGAGGGGATAGCAGAAAAGAGTGCCGAGTTGTTGAAGGCATCGAGGAACTGCGCGAGGCAGAAGATGAGCAGAAGCACATACCGCCGCGCAGGCGAGTACTTTTGCGGAACCCGGCCGTCGACGAGGGTCTGCGCCGGGGAGAGCACGGTGGACTTCGAGGTGGGAGGTGCGAGCATGTCTTCTTTCTTGACTACGCCTAAAAGTCGATTCTACGATATGCAATCTGAACGACCTCGGATGGGTGATGGGCGCGAAGACGACTCTAACTCGTGCCGCGGAAAGGCGTCGAGTGGCTCGTGCGAGGCGTGCAGGTCGTGAGGGGGGATGTGTACAAAAGTCCAAGGAGAGAGGCCCGTAAAGGATCCATCTTTTATACCCGCCACCCGCCCAGGGGGTGCGGGATGTGAAGAAGAGCTGGGGCTCTGTCATCTTCCGGTGCGGACAACGGCGAGGCGCTGGCCTATCGCGTCCGTTGATCCTGACTCGTGTATAACTTAGAAACCGTGAAAGAATGGTCTGGAATGGCCAGTCAGCCAATCGTCTGTCGCCGTTGCGGTGAAAGCAAGAGGACGAATTTACCATTTACGTACTCGCCTGACTAATCTCAGATTTCCCTTGCGCAGGAACGTGCTATCTCCGCGGAAGATCGTCGGTGTAATTCATCCTTGGCCCTTTCCTCAGGCCGCCGTCTTCTCTGCGTCGTTCTCTCTCGGCACCGACACAACTGGCTTGCCATCTACCGTAGCTGCATATGCGCAGGATGCGGTAGGGGCTTTCTTGGGAGAGTCATTGAACTCTGGAACGACCCGGCAAGATGAGTAATGGTCCCGATAGCGCTTGTCTGACACACGTAACTGAACACGCTACAAGTCGCGTTTTTAGCATCTTTCTGCATGCGAAAGACCCGACTGGAGACTTCGGAAGACTCACAGCGCGTTTCGATAACCTTTCGGTAGCCCCGGGATGCTTGCTCAAGGTCGTTGTCCATTCCACGGGGGATAGTTCGTTGCCTCAGGCGACGTTTGACGGTATCCAGCATGTAACGGAATATGATACGCACGCGATGCACGTCTCAAACCACTTTGTGGAGTTTCGCAAGTTATGATGTTGGATTCAGAATTTCAGAGCTCTGAGGTGTGCCTAACGTTGCATGAGGCCTAGGGTAGCCAGTAGAAATCCAGCGACTACTACGACGATGCATAAGTTGGACGAATTGAAAGTCCGACGTTCCCACGGGGGCCCTCCGCCTTCCACTCACGCTGTGGCACGCATATACTCATCCACCCTCTCATCTTCGACCTCAGTAAGCTCAAATAATTGGTAGCCCGTAGTCTGTCATGGCGATCCATGAGATGCTGGCTTACTGACCGACATGAACGCCATGTCCTGTCATGAGGTAAGTGTACTTGCTTCAATGCAGCTTCATATCGTGCCAAAGAGCCCTTGAGTTCATGTCGCGCGACTCTGACAGTACCGATGCAGTTGTGCAGGACTCCTATACAACTCGAGGTGTGGCAATCTTTTCTTTTGACAAGACTCTCCAAGCACACTTACTAATGGTTTGCTCAGCAGGAGCTTATCACTCATTCGCAAGGATCGCGTTTAGTCGTGAGTTCGTGCCCCAACACGAAGACTCCTGCTGCTGCTGCTGCCTCATTCAAGTGTTCATCATTAAACCTAAAAATCAGTCGAATCAGCATCCGGAGCTCGACGGGTGCGCTTCTTAGTCCGATTCGCGCAAATTGTGGCGGACGAGCGGTTTCGGCGTGTCCGCGGCCGTGTGCGGTCCGTCCACACTCTCCGCGCTGGTCGTGTCTACCGCCTGATCCACTTGTCCTTCACGTCTGCGCCGTACGGGCTCTTGGCATATAGCTTACGCCAACGCAGCGGGTTTATCGGCGACCATGCAGCATATCAAAACCCACGCCAAAGACCGGTGACCATAGCGTAACGCAGGCAGCGTGCAAGACATAATTAGACGTAAATATGATACAAGTCGTAGCGCGGGACGCAGACGGTCCGACCAAATCCTCAGCCTCATGACTTCCTGCAAGACGGTGCGCACTCCCCACCTGCTACACCGGCGACTTCCCTTTCTCCCGTTGCGCCTGCACCTGGTCGCCCACCCCGCCCGAACCGTTCCCCATGATCTCCTCGAACCGTCTGCGATACCGCTCGATCCGCGCGTCGTACTCCGGGCCGACCACGAACCCATTGTCAAGCATGAACGCTCTGCAGTCGCGGATAAAGCCGTCGAGGTCGCGAGCCCGGATCGCCGAGACCTCGGGCTCGCCAGACCCCCGCGCCTTTGCAAGATAGGAGGCCGCTAGCGTCGACATTCCACCCAATACAGACGTCGCGATGGATGTCTACGGTGCAAGTGAGTTCTCCGCATGTATGCGTTGGTGTTCGGATATACCTGACGTCCGGTAGTTGCCGCGGCGACACCGGTAGTCAATGCGCCCAACACGACTTGTGCACCGATGGCGCAGTTGAGCGCCCACGCATGTGCCTTGGCTGACAACGTTGGTGAGTGAACAATACCGGTGTGGCTATATGCTATGCTCACCTTTCAGCGCAGCTTTGTCCCGCTCTTCGATTGCTGCATCTAGCGTGGGCTGCATTCGCTCCTCCACGGTCCTTTCGCCGCTGATGGTGGCCGTTCCCGCAGACATGGCCATACTTTGTCGTCGTCGGTGTCCATTCATGCCGGCCGCTGTGGCAGGCATGGTTGGCACGACGTGGTCAATGACCGACGGGCGCGACGTGAGGCCGGCGGGGTTCAGCTCCTGCGCGAGCCCGTTCCCGCCAGGATATACCACGGGTTCCGTCAACACGATCGACCGCGAGTTCCTGTCGAAGGCGCGCCCGGTGCTCGCAGTGCGAGTAGGGTATCGGGTGCTAGCTCTTGGGGTAGGCATGTCGTAGTCCCTGGTGCTGCTGGCGCCATTATCCCCGCCATCGCCTTGAGTGTTCATAGTCGATTGACGCGTTGGCGGGTTATAAGTGCCCGACGTTGCGGCGTTGTCCTCATCCGAAGAGCCATGTGGTGTTGACCTCTGCTTCTGTTTCCCAGCGTTCGACGGGCCTGCGACCGCATTGTTGTCCTGTGGAGGCGAGTAAAGAGCCGGCGAAGACATCCTCAATATAGACGGTGTCTGCGGAGCTGATGCAGGGGACTGATGGACGACGCCGCCGATATGCGCGGGAGCAGGCATGGCGATAGGCATAGGAAGTGGCACAGGCTTCGTAAATGCTGTAGGTTGAGCCGCAGGTGGCATGGGTACAGGCGCAGGCGGGGGTGGTGCAGGTGCGTGTCCCTCGTGGCTCGGGTGTGGCCCACTCGCGGACCCGGCAGGCGAGGGCGGTAACGGGGGCAGCGGGGGCGTGTTGTGGCCTTGCTGATTGCTCTGAGGATCCATAGAGGGAGGGTGAAGACAACGCGATGGAAGAGCCGATTGTCATGAGCATCTTATACAGCACTCGACGCGGTCCTAGCGAGCGCTCGCTTCGCGGACGCGGGTACAAAGGGAATCATTCCTTTTCTAGCCGGCTTCCCCGCAACCCGTCTCATCTCAGATACCGATCCGCAACCCCTGGGAAAGGCAATCTCGTCTACGAAAGCGCTGCAGACGTCGCGCTTTGAAGCCCGCGCGCATGTCTTTGTTCGGCTCCCATGTGGCTACGAAACTACGCGTCGTGGGCTGGACCTACAAAGTTGCGACCACAGCGCAGCAAGTTCGAATGGGCGTCGGGTACGTTGCTTCGCATCTTCCTGGGCCCAACTGCCCGCCATGTGATCTATCTCACTAAGGCCGGCGCAGCTCACAGTGAAGATGCGACGACCTAGCCGAACTTAATCTCAGGCAGCAATTCATCGAGGCCCCTCGCACGCCGGGCCTCCGATCGCGCTTCCGCAATGGCCGTCCCGAGCAATCGGGCTGGGACGTGAAAGCATGCAAGACGACAAACGTCGATGCTTCCCAGCCTCTAGCGCAGCATGGGACGCCAACAGTCCGCGGGCGCGCCGCATCAGCCCCGCTTCCGAACTTCTTCTGGACGCGATTGTCCACTCATCGCCGTCCGTTGGCATTGTATGTCTGTCATTTGTCACTCCACGCGCCGCAGTGATTGGGGCCTTCTGTGACTAACACCTTTTAGGAAACCGGGAGATTGTCCACGGCGGTGTTCGACACAAGTCCCTCGATATACGTCCACGTCTGGGCGTGACGGAACCTTACGCTGTGGAAACTACTGACACCTGCACACAGTCATCACGCGATATTAAAATCTCCGTGGCATTGCAAAGGTCGCCATCTGGACAATAATAGCCAGACTCGGCGATGGTCTGGACCGGATCTTCTGCCAGGGCGACAGTTTTCAGAGATAGAGGACTAGGCTCAGTCTGAGGTACGTTGTCGCCCAAGTTGTCCGGAGCTTTCGGGCTCCACAGTGTTAGAATATCTTGATACTGCATGCGATCGTGTGCCTTCGTGCGAAGCCACCACCAAACTCAAAGGTTACTGGACGTACGGCTACGCGTTCCTGACCCGGCACCTTTTCACTATGAACTACCGGGCAACGAACGGCCTATCGATGCCCCACTCTAGAGTAGGGCTGCGCCATTCGAAGAAGGACGTTTTTCGTATTCACACCAACGGAGGGCAGGTTCGATGAATCTGTCTGAGTATGGACGCGAGACTTAAAAGCTCCCGCGAAGCGCCGGCAGTACGCTTGCATCGCAGTCCGGAAATGGGCATGCACTGACCTTTTATGGAGCGTAAGGTAGAAGCGACGTGAATGACGCCCATGACGGCTCTACTCAAGTTCACTCACTGCGTCACCGCCAAATCGACGACCACCTCCACTGGCAGACATATAAAAGGGGAGTATATTGGAACGACAGAATCGCTACTTCCTTTCCCTCTTTTCCCTCTCGCGTCCATCTCCATCTTCAGCCCTTTCTCCTCCCTTCCTCACTACTCGTCCTGATCCTCATCTTCGTCTTTGTACCTCCCTATCATCATCTTACCTCCGCATGTTTTACTGCCTTTCCATCCTCTGCTGCATTTCTACCGTACGAGCTGCGCAATGCTCGCGGAGCGCCAAGTCCGAGATTAATTGGGGATAGCGCGGCGATCTCCGAGATCTGGCAAGCAATCGACATCGCACGTGATCTCCGTCCTGGTTTTCTGGAGCGGGCGAGCGAGCGCGTTTCTTTTTCTCTTCCTCTTCACTCGAACTCGATTCACTCGTGAAGCGAGCGAGCGAAGAGGAAGAGACAACATCCACGACCCACGACCACGCCAGCAATCCATTCCTTTTCTCCGACATGCCTCTGTCGAACCCCCCACAGACCGCAGACGTCATCCGCCCAGTGCTCGCCCGCTCCGCAAGCAACTACCCCAACGATTTTCCCTCGTCCCCCCTCGCTGCGACGTCGGTCCAAAATGACAGCAAGCTCGTAGATGCTGTTCTCGAGCTCGCGGATGGCACCACCGTCCGCGGCATCAGCTTCGGCGCTGAGGCGAAGAGCGTCTCCGGAGAGTGCGTCTTCCAGACCGGTGTGTACTTTCTCTCTTGCCCTATGAGTTGTGAGTGCGCGTTCTAAGTAACGGGACCTTCAGGTATGGTCGGCTATACGGAGTCTCTCACCGACCCGTCTTACGAGGGTCAGATTCTAATCCTCACATACCCTCTCATCGGAAACTACGGTGTCCCTCCCCGCCCGAAAGAGGTATCCCTCGATGACATTCCCCACGAGTTCGAGTCATCGCGCATTCACATAGCTGGACTCGTCGTGGGCTCGTACTCGGAGGACTACAGCCACTTCCTCGCTGGTTCCTCGCTGGGCCAATGGCTGAAGGAGAGCGGGGTGCCAGCCATCTTTGGCGTCGACACTCGCGCGCTCACCAAAAAGATCCGGGAGAAGGGGTCAATGCTGGGAAAGATCCTGGCCCGCGCGAGCGATGCGCCCATTGGGCGGCGCGCATCACTGCTGCCGGCCTCTACCCCTGCTTCCAGGGCACCTTCTCCGCCGGGCGCCCTGAAGAACGCCTCCTGGCGCGAGGACTACATGGATCTTCCGTTCCGGGATCCGAATCAGGACAACCTGGTCGCGGTTGTTTCGACCAAGGTCCCGCGCGTCTACAAGCCTGTAGTCGCGCCGAAAATGCATCCCTCGGGGGCGCGCCCTCTGCGCGTGATAGCCGTGGACGTCGGCATGAAGTACAACCAGATACGCTGCTTCACGCATCGCGGCGTCGAGCTGAAGGTCGTACCATGGGACTACGACTACCTTGCCAGCACCGAGGAGCCGTTTGACGGCCTCTTCGTCTCCAACGGTCCCGGTGACCCTACTATGGTCAAGCCGACCATCGAACGCCTGGCGCGCGCTATGAAGAAGACAGACCGTCCCATCTTCGGTATCTGTCTAGGACACCAGCTGCTCGCGCTAGCGGCAGGCGCCAAAACTTCGAAGATGAAGTACGGTAACCGCGGACACAACATTCCTTGCACGGACGCGCTCAGTGGCCGATGCTACATCACCAGTCAGAACCACGGTTACCAGGTAGAAGAGGCTTCGCTGCCAGAGGGCTGGAAGGAGCTCTTTCAGAACGCCAACGACAGCAGCAACGAGGGCATATACAGTGTCGACAAGCCCTTCTTCTCCGTTCAGTTCCATCCAGAGTCCACGCCGGGTCCGCGCGATACCGAGTTCCTATTCGACGTGTTCATTCAGAACATCCTCGACTGCGCCAAGACCGGAACACAGGTCCCCATCTCCATGCCCGGTGGCACGAAGGAGGAGAACGAGCAGCGCGTACCTCACGCGAACGTGCAGAAGGTGCTCATCCTCGGCTCAGGCGGTCTCTCCATCGGCCAGGCGGGCGAGTTCGACTACTCCGGCTCGCAGGCGATCAAGGCGCTCAAGGAGGAGGGTATCTATACCATCCTCGTGAACCCGAACATTGCGACGATTGCGACGTCGCGTGGACTCGCCGACAAGGTCTACTTCCTCCCCGTTACGCCCGAGTTCGTGCGCAAGATCATCAAGTACGAAAAGCCAGACGGCATCTACGTCACTTTCGGAGGGCAAACCGCGCTCAACGTCGGCATCAAGCTCAAGGACGAGTTTGAGAGCCTCGGGTGCAAGGTTCTCGGCACCCCCATCGACACGATCATTATGACGGAGGATCGCCAGATGTTCGCGACCGCGATGGAGGAGATTGGGGAGCGCTGCGCGCAGAGCAACACCGCGACGACCACTGAAGAGGCTGTCGCGGCCGCGAACGTCATTGGTTACCCCGTCATCGTTCGCGCGGCGTACGCGCTTGGTGGCCTTGGATCGGGCTTCGCGCAGAATGAGCAACAACTGCAGGCGCTGTGCACGAAGGCGTTCGCAACGAGCCCGCAGGTGCTTGTTGAGAAGAGCATGAAGGGCTGGAAGGAGATCGAGTACGAGGTCGTGCGCGATTGCCGCGACAACTGTATCACCGTCTGCAACATGGAGGTGCGTTGTTTAATCTGCTCGCAAGGCTTGATGATTGAACCTTTGTCGTTAGAATTTCGATCCGCTCGGTATCCACACCGGAGACTCGATCGTCGTCGCGCCGTCGCAGACGCTTTCGGACACAGACTACAACATGCTGCGTACTACGGCGATCAACGTTATTCGTCACCTTGGTGTCATCGGCGAGTGCAACATCCAGTATGCGCTCAACCCCACCTCGAAGGAGTACTGCATCATCGAGGTGAGTCCGTACCCACTTAGCAGAGCTCCAGTACTGACTGCGTGTAGGTCAATGCTCGTCTGTCACGTTCGTCTGCGCTCGCCTCCAAGGCGACTGGCTACCCGCTCGCATTCATCGCCGCGAAGCTCGGTCTAGGGATCCCGCTTAACGAGATCAAGAACTCGGTGACGAAGGTCACGTCGGCTTGCTTCGAGCCGAGCTTGGACTACGTCGTCGTGAAGATCCCGCGCTGGGACCTCAAGAAGTTCAGCCGTGTCAGCCGGCTCCTCAGCAGCAGCATGAAGAGTGTTGGCGAGGTCATGAGCATCGGTCGCTCATTCCAAGAGACGATCCAGAAGGCTATCCGCGCTATCGACGACCAGTTCTCCGGATTTTCCAAGGTACGATTCTCATCGGGCTTCATAAACGGAGAGCTAACGAACGGTCACTTCAGAACGACTATGTCGAGGACATCGACGAGGAGCTCATGAACCCGACCGACAAGCGCATCTTCGCAATCAACACCGCGTTCCACCGTGGGTATAGCGTCGACAAGATCTGGCAGATGACGAACATCGACAAGTGGTTCTTGACCAAGCTCGAGTCGATCTTCAAGATGGAGCAGCGTCTCTCGTACGTGTTTCTTCGCCGTTCCTTCTACATCGATATTGACAAACCCACTAGCGATATCAATATTGCCTCCATTGACACTGAGCTCCTGCGTCAGGCCAAGCAGCTCGGGTTCTCGGACCGCGAGATCGCAACATGCATGGGTTCTACCGAGCTTGCCGTTCGTCGCTTGCGCCAGGAGAGTGGCGTCGCTCCCTTCGTCAAGCAGATCGACACCGTCGCTGCCGAGTTCCCGGCGTTCACCAACTACCTCTACACGACCTACAACGCTATCGAGCACGACATCACCTTCGAAGAGCACGGTGTCATCGTCCTGGGCTCTGGCGTGTACCGCATCGGCTCCTCGGTGGAGTTCGATTGGTGCGCCGTTCGTGCTATCCGGACGCTGCGTGACCAGGGCCTCCAGACGGTCATGATCAACTACAACCCGGAGACCGTCAGCACGGACTACGACGAAGCGGACCGTCTGTACTTCGAGAACATCAGCCTTGAGACGGTGCTCGACATCTACGATGCCGAGGGCTCCCGCGGCGTCATCCTCTCCATGGGTGGACAGACGCCGAACAACATCGCGCTCCCGCTGTACCGCCAGAATGTCAAGATCTACGGGACGTCGCCGGAGATGATCGACACTGCGGAGAACAGGTTCAAGTTCTCCCGTTTGCTGGACGATATCGGTGTCGACCAGCCGCTTTGGAAGGAGCTGTCGAGCTTCGACGAGGCACACAACTTCTGCGAAAAGGTCGGCTACCCGGTGCTCGTCCGTCCGTCGTACGTGCTGTCCGGCGCGGCGATGAACGTTGTCTTCAGCGAGAACGACCTGAATAGTTATCTTTCGCAAGCCACCGCCGTCTCCCGGGAGCACCCGGTCGTCATCACGAAGTACATTGAAGGCGCGAAGGAGATCGAGATGGACGCGGTCGCGAAGGACGGCAAGATGGTCATGCACTACATCTCAGAGCACGTCGAGAACGCCGGTGTGCACTCGGGCGATGCGACGCTCATTCACCCGCCCCAGGACCTCGACCCGGAGACGGTCCGCCGGATCGAGGACGCGACCGCGAAGATCGGCAACGCGCTCAACGTGACTGGCCCGTACAACATCCAGTTCATCGCGAAGAATAACGAGATCAAGGTCATTGAGTGCAACCTGCGCGCTGCGCGCTCGTTCCCCTTCGTGTCGAAGGTCACCGGGATCGACGCCATCGAGCTGGCGACGAAGGTGATGCTCAACCTTCCGTTCGAGCCGTACCCGCACGTCCCGCTTCCTCCGGATTATGTCGGCGTCAAGGTCGCGCAGTTCAGCTTCAGCCGCCTCTCGGGCGCTGACCCCGTTCTTGGCGTCGAGATGGCGTCGACTGGTGAAGTGGCGTGCTTCGGGAAGGACAAGTACGAGGCGTACGTCAAGGCGCTCATCTCGACGGGCATCGACCTGCCGAAGAAGAACATCCTGTTCTCAATTGGTGGGTACAAGGAGAAGCTCGAGATTCTGCCTTCTGTTCAGCGGCTGCGCGCCACTGGGTACAACATCTTCGGTACCTCGGGAACGGCGGACTTCTTCACCGAGCACGGTGTACCCTGCAAAGTACGTCATAGGTCACTGTATCTTGAGGATCGTCCACCCATCATCTTGACTTGCAGTATCTGGAAATTCTTGGCGAGGGCAGCGACCAGAAGTCCGAGTACTCGTTGACTCAGCACTTGGCGAACAACCTCATCGACATGTACATCAACCTTCCGTCGAAGAACCACTACCGCCGCCCTGCCAGCTATGCCAGCAAGGGCTACCGCACTCGCCGTATGGCCGTTGACTTCGCGGTTCCACTTATCACCAACGTCAAGATCGCGAAGATCCTCTTCGAGGCGTTGATCCGCAAGTTGCCCCTTGATGTGTCCCCCGTGGATTTCAAGACGTCGCACGACACTCATACCTTCCCTGGTCTTGTCAACATCGCCACCTATGTGCCCGACCTCACCTTCGCTGGTGAGGACGTCGTGAGCGCGACGAAGGCGTCAATCAGCGGCGGTTTCGTTACTGCTCTCATCCTCCCGGTCGGTCTTCAGAGCAAGTTGACCGACAGGGCGTCCCTGGACAAGGCAGCAAGCAACATTGCCGGACGGGCGTACTGCAACTACGCCTTGAGTATCACTGCGGCCGGCTCCAACGTGAAGGCCTTCGACGAAGAGCTTGAAGCGGACGTCAAGTCCCTCTTCGTTCCGTTCCGTTATGGCGATGCGGACACTCCTATTCTTGCCGCTGCTGCGCACTTCGCGTCTTGGCCAACGGAAAAGCCCATCGTGACCGACGCCCGCGGCGCGAACCTCGCACCCATCCTGCTCCTCGCCGACCTCCATAACAGCTCTCTCCACGTCACCAACGTGCAGACGAAGGAGGATATGCTGTTCATCTCGCTCAGCAAGGCCAAGCAGCTCAAGGTCACCTGCGACGTGACCGTGTATGCCCTATTCTTCAACAAGGAGCAGTTCCCTGGCGTTACTTGCTTGCCCTCTGCGGAAGACCAGAAGTATCTGTGGGACAACCTCGACCAGGTCGACGTCTTCTCCGTAGGACGCGTTCCTTACGAGCTCGCAACTCAGCTTGGGAAGGAGGCGTCAGCTGCTTCAGGTATCGAGGAGACCCTTCCTCTGCTCCTTGGCGCCGTTGCCGCAGGACGCTTGACTTTGGAGGACATTCATCGTCGCCTCCACGACAACCCGCTGCGCATCTTCTCCCTTCCAGAACAATCGCATGCGGACGTCGAGATCGTCGTCGGCCGCAAACACCAGTTCCGGAAGCGGGAACACTCCTGGTCTCCGCTGGAGGGCACCGTCGTCAATGGCGCCGTTCATCGCGTCCAGGTGCATGAGCAAACTGCCTGCCTTGACGGCGTTCTCTCAGGCCCCCCTCTTGGCAAGGACCTTTCGAGTACCACTCTCAACCATCCGCCGGCTGAGAGGCGGGGGTCGATCTCTGGTGGTCGGCCTGAAGTTCCGGTTCCCAGTGGCAAAATCCCTGTCGACGCTCCTTCCCACGCACCCCTCCCTCCCACCACTACTGCCTCTTCGACGTCGCTCGTACCCATCCAGGGACCAGTCACCAGTACTCAAGTGTTCTCCCACCTCCTTCCTCACCCTGCCTTCAACCGCCGTCATATCCTCACGGTCAAGCAGTTGAGCCACCGCGACGTTCACGATCTCTTCACGCTCGCGCATGAAATGCAGTTGCAGGTCGAGCGTAACGGCACCCTTGACATCCTCAAGGGCAAGGTGCTTGCCACCCTCTTCTATGAGCCTTCAACCCGGACGTCTTCGTCCTTCGACACTGCGATGAAGAGGTGCGGAGGTGAGGTCGTCAACGTTCACGTCGACTCCTCTTCCGTTCAGAAAGGAGAGACATTGCCGGACACTATCCGCACGCTTGGTTGCTACGCGGATGCGATCGTCATTCGCCACCCTGAGGTTGGAAGCTCCCAACTCGCCGCCAAATTCTCGCCGGTGCCCATTTTGAACGCTGGTGATGGCATTGGAGAACATCCCTCACAGGTACGTTCAGCAACTTATCCCGTGCTTGATAACGATACTAATCAGCATGCTTTACCAGGCCCTGCTTGACGTCTACACCATACGTTCCGAGCTCGGAACGGTGAACGGGCGGACGATCACCATGCTCGGTGACCTCAAAAACGGCCGCACAGTCCACAGCCTCGTCACTCTGCTGTCTCTGTACTCTGTGCGCCTCAACTTCGTCTCGCCACCGTCGCTCGCGATGCCGGCGAGCGTCGTCTCTGCCGCTCGCAAGGCCGGCATTTCTGTCTACCAGTGCGAGTCCCTCGAGGAGGTCTTGGCAGAGACGGATGTCTTGTACGTCACCCGCATGCAGAAGGAGCGTTTCAAGGACGAATCCGAGTGGCTGGCGGTCAAGGATGCCTACCGCGTAGACCACGCGGTCCTGTCGCGTGCGAAGGAAGAGATGATCGTCATGCATCCTCTTCCTCGTGTCAACGGTACGTTGTCATGTATGCGCTAAGAATGATCTCGCTTGCTAATCTCTTGTATAGAAATCGACCCTGATGTTGACTTCGACTCGCGCCGTGCTGTCTACTTCCGGCAAATGCGCTATGGGCTCTTCGTACGTCATACTCCTGCATCGCGAGTCCACGTTTACTAACTGTTGACATCATACAGATCCGTATGGCTCTCTTGGCTAGTGTGATGGGTTGAGTTGCAGTAGAGAAAAGCAACGGATACATATCCACCTTGGACTCGTGAAGTATCTAATACGGACCTAGGAAAAGCCATAGATACATAGATGTAAGATTGAGAAAGAGAAGTCATAAATTGTATCATTGTTTTGAGTAGACCACCGCGATAGCGAGGAGTCGAAAGCGATGAGTGCATAGAAACCAGCGAAATACCCGACTAACAAAGCAAAAGATTCGACGGAAATGTACACAGTTCCAGATACTCTGGGTTCACGCACCTCAGTCCAAACCTCATGAATGGTGTTCGCTATTCCATAAAAGCGGCCGCGCAGGAGCAAAGCCGTCGTCCGAGTCGGGGACCACGAGTGAATCACGATCGTCATCCCACGGGCCGTTTGTTGTCATTGCTCGCTGACCTACGCGGTGCAACAGCGCAATGTCCACCATGCATATCTCTTGTATCCCATGATGTGCCACTCGGTCTCCTCGAGTATGGAGATCGCACAGGCGCGTGAACCGCAGGCCCAATTGCATCCCCGTCGTAAGTCCATCGAACTCCCTCCAGCCGTTGGCCCACCCGTCCACGTACAAACGACTCCACTGCTCTCGCCAAAGGTCGATGTGGCCACGACTGACGGCGAGCGCGACGGCAGGATCTGGATTGTCCGTGCCCCTTGTCAGTGAGAACCAATACAGTTTGTTGCAGGAGGAACTCACCAGACATATCAAGGCCCCCGAAGGGCGCTGGAGGAGACGCCGTAAGCTCCCTCCCTATCCATTCGTGTGCCTGTTCAACGACAGAACGGCCGCCTCTTTCTGGGCGCGGAAAGCGCACTGCGCACCACAGAGGTGTCTGCGGTCGTCCCCTTGGCGAGCCCTGGTGACCTGGTGGCTGTTCTGCACCTATGTGCACGGCGAAAGCAGACCAGTGGCCTGGAGCGATGGGTGTGGAGAATATGAGAGAGAGCATCTTCCCGGGCACGAGGTCGAGGAACGAGGAGGGAAGGGGCGTCTGCAGAGTGTAGCCCATGTCCTCGAGCGCGGTCAGCGCCCATACGGGGATGATGAGCTTACACGGGGCGACGTATGACTTCCGTGACCATGTTCTTGGCAGCTGCAATTGCGAGCGCACCATAACGTGCTGTGCCCGGTACGCCACAAAGATTGGACTCCAGATTGGAGTAGGGATGGTCTCCGTCTGGCGTAGCGGGTGCTGCATGCACCACACCAAGTCGTTCAGATCGCGGATGAGCACACAGCGCACTGGATACTCGCGAGTGTGGGTTATGACCTCTGGGGGCCCCGTTCTCGACATCGCTGGTGAAGAATATTGGTGGCGGACGTGCAGTGTCTCCGACCTGTGGGCGCGGGTGCCAACGCTCCACGGTCCGTGGGTGCCCTGGAAGCGAAGCACAAGGGCCACGAACGCGCCGCCTTCCTGGCACGGAAGAAGCGCTAGGGCACAGTGATTGGGGAACTGGATGATGGGAAACATGGTATGCGCGCCGTAGCTGGATGCCGTCAAGGGCGCGCGATGTACCGAAATGCCAAAGGTGTCGGCGAGCGACTGGATGGGAACGGACACCATCTTGCCCGCGTTCGCAAATTCGCTGGGACTTCGCGCGAGCAGGCACGACTCGCGGATGTAGCGCTCGCCCTGGGGCGTGGGGAATATGGATGAGCGGTAACCCACGACGACCTCTGCTAGCGGGTGCCGTGGCCCCCATGCAAGCAGAGTGCGGTCGGGCGTCCTCCGAATAATCTCCTCTTGAAGACGGATGAAGGCCTCCGAGCCCTCGCCGTAGATAGTGGGCAGGTTAACGCCGAAGATGCCCATGAGGCAGTATGCTTGGTCCTCGATCCGGGTCGTGACGCGTTTGGCCGCCCAGGACATGCGCTTCGCGACGTTCACCTCGTCCAGCGAACGCCTGCCACGCAGCACGGCGGCTTCGATCCCAGTGATCTCTTCCAAGAGCCGCGCGGCAGTGATTTTCGACGCCAAGGGCTGCCAGTTCCCCGAGAGAAATACCACGTCGCGCGGAGCGATGAGCTCCTGCAGAGTCCAGCCGCGGGTGAACCACTTGCTCTGCCGGAACGAGGACCCGGGGCAGGACGGGCTCTCCTGCGCGAGGGCGTCGCGGAGGTAGGCGTAGCACACCGTCGCCTGCTTGTACCACATGAACATGGAGTTGATGGCCTCGGAGAGCTCCGCGCTGCTCGACTTGTCGATGCAGCACGAGTCCATCCAGAGCAGCTTGAAGCCGTGCGCCTCCGCCCACTGGCAGCACTTCCGGATTTTGTCGTCCACGTAGTCGCGCGGGTTCTCGCCGGTGGCTTTGCATTCCTGAATGATAGCGAAGAGTTCCTGGAACGACTGCTCTTCTGCGCGCCAAACATGGGAAAGGATGGCGTACACCTCCGGGGGCTCGCGATAGAGGACTAGCTCCGCGTGATCGGTTGTTAGCAGCCACATACGTCGCTGGGTGACGAGATGCAGAGTTCAGCACCTCCTACAGGCTTCAGATTGTGGATTTTGACTAATGAAGGGTATTTTACCCCTCATGAATGTCTCGTGTGAGACAGCACGCCGTACTGTATACGTATGATGAGCGGAGGCGTTTCTGTCCAACATCTCGGGATTAACTCACGTTCAAGTCCTTGTTCAACCTTGTCTGTAGGCGCTGTGATGCGAGATGGCCAGAAGGCGGCATCTTGCCATCGACTGCCCGGAGGCGTCCGAGGTTGTTGACAATGGCGCTGAGAAAATGATCGCAGGCGGGTAGACGCTGGGTGAACTGCCAAACATCCGTGGTGGATTCGATTGACTCACTGCTCGTCTGGTTGGACGTATACTAGGATTCCTGCATAGTATGGCACACAACTTGAGCACTTGGACGCACAGGACCGTGTTACTCGTCCCGTGAGGATTGCACTTACCTCCGAGCGTCCGATGCCCAGTACCGCTTAGCAGATAAGTACGTATACCGTCAAACCTGGATACGTCAGCACTTCGGTTGTTCAAGCGTGTCTTGCGGTGCTCTGAAGTACATCGTTCTTGAAACTTACCTTGTTGCAACCAGACATTGGAATGTCGACGTCACTAGATGGTCTTTACCCGTCGACAAGAATCGGCATAGCCACACTGAACCTGCTCTGTAGTGCCAAGGTTGCCTACTACATATCCGCTTTTCCACATTCGAAACACTCTCTTCCGAACCAGAGCGGAGATCAGCAACGTCGTTCAGGGAAAGAAGTCGAAGCCCTTCCGACCACGGCTCGTCTCATCCTCACGATAGTCATCCGCGAAGGAACGCAGCCACTCCGGGTTCAACGGTTGCCCAAACGCACCGTGGCCGCTTTCCGCGTTCTCAGGGTCTGCGCGGTCGAGCAGGTAGGAGTGGAAATTGTAAACGATTTCGATAGCTTCCTTGGTAAGGAGCTTGCGGTCTTGGCGCACGACGATGCACTGTCGACATACCACGTTACATTCATACGCGCGCTGGTGGTTCCATTTGGGAGGGACTTACCGTTCCAGGGTCTGTCCTCTGCCAGCTAACGTTCGACGAAGTCAGCACGAGGACATGCCCATCGAATTGCAATACGCACTGGAAGGGGGCAAAGCCGTCATCGAGCTCGATGCGGAGATACACCGCCGGCTGGTTATTCTCCATGGCTGGTAGCCCGCCATGGATAGCCTCGCTCCAGATCAGGAGCGGGAAGCCACACTCCGCTGTGACGGGGCAGAGCTCGCCCTGCGTGAATACCGGGTGCGAAGGCTCTAGGAGGACGTGCTGGAACTGGCGCGACCATGGCTGGTAGCGGTTATCGAGGATCTTGATACCCCACACCTCGCCCGCTTCGAGGGGCTTACAGACTGGTTTGTGGATCTTCCAGTGGGCGGCCTGGCACTCCTTGGACTGTAGAAGCGTGATTAAGGCAGCAATGTGAGCGCTGTTGTATGGCTTCCAAGTAAGGTTGTACGCACACAATATGCCCCGGTAGCACCATGGCAGCGGGAGCAGTTCATCAGGCCCTCAGTTTTACCACACTTCGAGCAGTGGCCGAGAAGCATGGTGGTCAAGTGAGAGCACGTTGTTGTGTGCGAGGAAGGTTGAGAGTCGTTATAAGCTCAGAGTGAGACATCGAAGCATTTATGTACGTCTTGTGAACCTTGCCGGCGGCATATGGATCGCATCGTTTCCAGCAAGTTCTATAGGCATCAGAATTTAGAGACATGCGAGGAGAGGTGTCCTGAGTTGAATGCTGATGGAGCGTCGCACTTACGCGTGCTTCAGCAAATCTGCTATACAGGTTAGTGTATGTACTCACGACTTCCTGCTCGTTCGGGTATAGCTCACGGGGAGAATGGGAGTACTGTGAAAAATCAGCCAGCGCCGAGCCTACGTAACTAACCGACCAAGGACGGTCAGGCTGGGTTCACCGATCGCGGGCTTCTGGCTCGAAAGCTGCAGCATTGCAAGGCCCGAGCCACGCCCTACCATCTCACATTCTGCCATCGTGATTCTGGTACATTGAGCGATCCTCCGTTAGTGACAGTGTCTAAGCGTTCAACGGAAATCGCACTTACCTTACCGCTAAACTTCTACGTGCTTTACAATCCCGCGTGGTTGTGTATACGTTAGAGGATCTTAGGCTCAGTGCGCGTGAACAGAATTGTGCTAGAGACACCTTGCTTGTTGACTTCAGACTGTCGTAGAGAAAGGAGCGTTAGAACGCGGCGGACTCAGAGGAGAGAAGGAGAGGAGGAGTCGGTCTCGCGTGCGCCAAATGCGTGCCGCATTTGGCCGCCTGTGGCAGTCGAAGGCGATGTCTCGCGTCCAGGAGCTCGTTTTCTTCCTCATCGACCACCTTGTCCTGCTCCGCCTGTGCCCAACTTGCTCAATACATCCTGCATGACCACCTGAACGCATATCATTGACGACATGAGTGCAACGATCCCGTCAAGACCGCTAGTGCCCCATATACCCACCACCTGCTCACAATGTTCCGTATCTCTGGAATTCCCTGTACCAACACCCGCGCCGCGCCCGGGGACACTGCTTAGCGTCCGCTGCTTCAGCTGCGGCACTGTCATCTCGCACGCGTTCTACCCCACGCAGGTCCCGGCCCAATACACCAGCCAGTCCCGGAGCTCAATAGGCGTCAGTGGCGGCGGGAGCGGCGCGTCGTCCTCGCAGGGCGGGGCGCGCAAGGGGCGCAAGATTGGGACGCAGGAGAAGCCGCTCGAGACGGCGTACTATGAGCTGCTCGGCGTGCCGGTGGACGCGACGACGGACGATGTCAAGAAGGCGTATCGTGAGTCTTGCAGCAGCACTGTCTTACCGCGCGAGATCCTGAATGGAGGGAAGGGCGACTGGCGATCAAGCACCACCCGGACAAGAACCGCGACGACCCGCATGCGGAGGAGCGGTTCAAGGAGATCGCCATTGCGTACCAGACGCTCTCGGATCCGGATTTGCGGAAGAAGTACAACGAGTTCGGGTCGAAGGAGAGTGCGCCCGAGGGCGGGTTCGTCGACCCGGAGGAGATCTTCTCGACGATATTCGGCGGAGAGCGGTTCGTGCCCATCATCGGGCATATCAGCCTGGCGAAGGACATGAAGGCGGCGTTGCAGGAGGAAGAGGAGAGTGAGGAGAGCATACAGCGGGATGCAAAGGGGCGAGAGATCTTGTCACCAGAAGAGAAGGCTCGGAGGGACGAGAAGGCGCGAAAAGTGGCGGCAGAGGTGAGTATTTTGTATGTATGCGGTTGAACACACTGACCCAGCGTGCATAGAAAGCGGCGGTTCGGGCTGAGCGTATACAGAAACTTGTGGAGAACTTGGACCGAAAACTCTCGATATTCACGGAGTCGGCTTCTACTGTCAACGATCCTCAGGTGACCGAGAGCTTCAGGACGATCTGCAAGCTTGAGGCAGAGTATGTGCCACTTTCTCCGCTCATATCCAGCCGCTTATGTTCCTTTCAGGGAGTTGAAGAAGGAGTCCTACGGCGTGGACCTGCTACATGCAATCGGCTTTGTCTACTCTCAAAAGGCTAGACACTTTATGGCCTCCAACCAAACATTCCTGGGCATGGGCGGTTGGCTGCACAATGTGCAGGGCAAATACCACGTGTTTAGCGAAACGTACGTCCGCCCTGTCCTTCATTCCGGCTTTCCTAATGTTTTGCAGCGTTTCCACTCTGCGCGCCGCTATGGAGCTAAAGGGCGTCTTCGAGCAAATACAAGCAGCGGAGAGGGCAGGGAATCTCACCCCGGAAGAGAAGCAGAAGCTGGAGGAGCAGGCGGCGGAGAAAGGCATCCAGACTCTGTTCAAGGTATGGTGGCCTCTCAAAATTCGTCGGGACTTTGCTGACGGACGTCGACCGTAGGGTGCGAAGCTTGAAGTCGAGTCCGTCCTGCGCGAGGCGTGCGACCGCATACTCGAGGATCCGAACATCCCACGCACGAAGGCTCAACTGCGTGCTGTTGCGCTGCAGCTTCTCGGAGAGGCGTACTTGAGCGTGCGCAAGGAAGAGGACGAGCGGCGGGAGGAGAACGAGTACGTGCGGGTCGAGACGAGCAGCAGCCGCAAGCGGGAGTCGTACCGTGCTCCGCAGTAGGCGGCGGGTGCGTGACTGTTCTAAAGATCGTACTGCTAGTGCTTGATTGACTGCTCGTTATACTGTACAGTGGCATTACATACATACTTTGGTAGAAGGGATGTAGCTATATTATGATTTTTGCTCACACTCCGACGGAAGGTGTGTATCGGAGGACCGATGCAGATTCTCCAAACGGTGAACGTATGCAACAGAGCAATTACCCCGCCCAAATGAACCATTCTCCCGCATTGCATATAAACATTCTCGACAGTTCTCTCAAGTACGCAAACCTGCAAATATCAGCGAACCACTCAGATGCCCATATTGGGACAGCTGATCGTGCTCCACGTGGGCGGGATCGAGTCAAGATCTGCCCTGGAATGACTACGATCGGGAGCATATAGCATCTCATCCAGTTCCCTCCACATCTTCGACTCTGTCTAGCTGCACATTGTGCTCTGGGAAACATGGCTGAGGAAAAGTACGAGCTCATCACGCGGCGACTGCAGGAGGTGCTCGGCGGCGACCTCATCAAAGGCGTCCTTGCGGAAGGACGCACACCAAAATGCTACTGGGGTGCGTGCATCGACGTTTTCGCTTCGCGCGCAGGCACTTATGGGATTTGGTGATATAGGCACTGCACCGACCGGACGACGTGCGCGACTCTTTCTGATTTCGTAGTGGCGAGCTTGCTCAAGCAAACGCCCGTGCAGCACACATCGGGTACTTCGTACCGCTCACGAAAATCGCAGACTTCCTGCGCGCGGATGTCGAGGTCACCATCCTCCTTGCGGGTATGTAAGATATTCTCATGTGTTACAACGCGCTCATAAAGCCCCTAGATGTTCACGCGTTTCTCGACAACCTCAAGGCGCCATTGGAGCTGGTGGCCCACCGGACTCACTACTACAAGAAGATCCTCATGGCCGTCTTCACCTCGCTAGGGATTCCTACGTCTAAACTGCACTTTGTCGAAGGATCATCCTACCAGTTGACGAAGGAATACAACCTCGACAACTACAAGCTGTGCGCGATCGTAACGGAGCACGATGCGAAGAAGGCTGGAGCGGAGGTGGTGAAGCAGGTCGAGAGCCCATTGCTGAGTGGGCTACTCTACCCTGGACTGCAGGCTTTGGATGAGCAGTACCTTGGCTGCGATTTCCAGTTCGGCGGTGTCGATCAGGTTAGCATACATCAGTCTCACCACTCGCAGCCGTTTTAACACTCGTGCATACAGCGTAAAATCTTCACGTTCGCGGAGCTCTACCTCCCCCGCCTCGGCTACAAGAAGCGCGCACATCTCATGAACCCGATGGTCCCAGGCCTCGGCGGCGGCAAGATGTCCTCGTCCGACCCTGATTCGAAGATCGACTTCCTCGACGCGCCCGAGGTCGTGCGGCGCAAGATCAAGAAGGCGTTCTGCGAGGAGGGTAACGTCGACGAGAACGGCGTCCTCTCCTTCGTCGAGGCCGTGCTCATCCCGATCAGCGAGCTGCGCATCGAGCGCGCGAAGGGCCTCACTGGGGCGGAGGCGGACGAGGGCGCGGGCGCGACGGACCAGACGCCGTTCTCGGCGGAGGGCGCGCCGGAGGGCACGGTGTTCTCGATTGTGCGGAAGGAAGAGCATGGGGGGTCGCTGCACTACAGCTCGATCGACGGGCTGAAGGAGGACTTCAAGGCGAAGAAGGTGCATCCGCAGGACCTGAAGACGGCGGTGGCGAATGCGATCATCCGGCTGTTGGACCCCATACGGGCGACGTTTGAAAAGGACGAGGAGTGGCAGAAGGTCGAGAAGCTGGCTTACCCCGATCCCAACGCGAAGCCGGAGAAAAAGAAGAAGGTGGGCTTTTCACATCGATCGTGTCATGTTGCGCGAGAAGCTGAAATTACTGCAGGTCAAGGTCTACCACCCGCCGCCGCCCGGTAAGGGCAAGAATGCGAAGCCTGCCCAGGACGGGGCCGCTACGGAGACCGCGCCACCCGACGCTCCTGCTGAGGGTGCGCACTCCACGGCAGAAGCTGCCAAACAGCAAGAGCCGTCCTCATAGCGCGCGTAGAGGTAGACGGATGAAGTCAATGTTGTATGTACGTATACACAGAGTGGATGCAGCTCATTACCTTGCGTACGCGATCTAGTGTTACTGACGATAGAGAAACTGTGGCCATTTCTTGCACATGTGGCGGCGGCTTGGTTGCATTCGTCCAACACCGCTTTTCCGTCTCTGTGGAAGTCCTTATCATCTAGCTCAAGATGATGGATGACAGACGCTCTGATCAATGGAGTTCTAACGATAACACTGACTCAGCGCTTCAGAGCATCACCAAGATGATCCTTTCCCAAAGCAGGTGAGCCACCGTGCATTCCCTGAGTAAGCGATCGAAGCACTAGATGATGGATCTACTTACCATGCGCCCACAGGCGCTTGCTTGATTGAACGTCTTTGTCAGTTCGACGTCCGTCGCCGTTGAGCTCTGCAGGTTGGATCCAGAAGATGGCAAATGCAACGCCTCTGCTTAGGGAGGAGACATGGACGAGCTGCAAACGATACGAGCGATCCTGGGAAGTATAAAGGGAGCATCGACGAGGCTGGTGGAGACACCACTCAACAACCACAACACACTCCCAGTCCACTACCACTCAACTAACCATAACAACAGCAATGTCTGCATCCCGTGTTTGGCTCAGTGAGTGCATTCGACCTGATGTTGAACCAACGCTGATATATTTCTCCATAGTCACCGGCTCTTCTTCTGGCTTCGGCCGCGAGACCGTCATTCAAGCTCTCGAAAGCGGCGACAAAGTCGTCGCGACGCTCCGCAAACCCGCCGCGCTCGACGACCTCACCAAGAAGTACTCCGCGGACCGCCTCCGTGTCGTCAAGCTCGACGTGACACAGCCGGCGGATATCGACGCCGCGTTCGTGGAAGCGAAAGCGGCGTTCGGGCGTGTCGACATCGTCTTCAACAACGCCGGATATGTCGCCGTGGGCGAGAACGAGGCGTTCCCGGACGACGTCGCGCGCCCGCTGTTCGAGGTCAACTTTTGGGGCGCCGTGCACGTCTCGCAGCGCGCGGTGCGCTTCTTCCGCGAGGAGAACACGCCGCAGGGCGGGCTTCTGCTCCAGAACAGCGCCATGGTCGGCCTGGCGGGTGTTCCTGTTATCGGGTTTTATTCCGCGACGAAGCATGGTGAGCATGTGTTGTGGATGTATTGTACTTCTATGTTGCTAATCGTGCCGGTATGATAGCTTTGGAAGGGTTCAGTGAGTCGCTTGCGAAGGAGCTTGACCCGGCATGGAACATCAAGGTAAGCCCTCCTCTGGACGCCCAAATGCTTCGCGTGTGCACTTCTGACATATCTGCTGCAGGTCGCCATCATCGAGCCTGGCGCGTTCAGGACTTCTGTGTTCAATCTCGATACGAGCATGGTGCTCGTGCCCCAGCACCCCGCCTACACCAACCCCGCACTGCCCGTGTACAACTTCCGCGGCGCGTTCCTCAAGGGAGCCGGCAAGGAGGCGGACACGCCCGCAGACCTCGCGCCGGCCGACACGTCCCTCGCGGTGGCGAAGATTATCGAGTTCTCGCGGGTGGCGAGCCCGCCGCTGCACTTCCCGCTGGGGAAGGACTCGATCGGGCTGATTCGGGAGAAGATCAGGGCGCTGACGGAGGAGATCGACAAGTACGAGTCCTGGTCTGACCACTTGGGCAAGTAGAAGTATTGTGCTAGGAATTTTTGTACGTTACTGGGATGTCCAGAGACCACTATTGAACAATTCGTGTTCTAGAATTGTTACCATACGTTGCACTGGCAATGCACAGCGTGCAGAGTCAGAGAGGAATGAAGGTATACTTATGCACAAGTTTTGCACTGACTCTGCGGGTACTAGGATCGTGTCCCGACCAAACAGTGTCTGATTCTCGTCTATATTGAGACGAAGACGCTCTGCTCCAGGCGCAGTGTTTCGCATGCGATTCCCTGTAGTTTCTCTCGGTACCGTACGATCACGAGACCTATTCGGAGTGTCCGCGCTCGATAGACAATGTTAGATCTCCCAAAGCTTTCCTGATAAATACTGTACGAAGGAGGAAAACAAGTCAATGGCGCAGACAAAAACAAATTGGCAACGCAAGATAGCAACTCCTGGTTTCGATCCAGGGACTTCAGGGTTATGAGCCCTGCACGCTTCCACTGCGTCAAGTTGCTATAACTAAGCTAGCGCCCAATTCGCTGCACGTAAATATCGGCCACTATCTCCACCTCTGCCGTCATTCAGCCGATATGAATATTGATGGTGCGGACTTTCATACAAGTACGTTCCTCGTCTGTTTCAGCCGACTGTGTTTTCATACAGTGAAAGGCGCAACCCTCGCCTCGCGCGATCTTCAAGCTTAAGACTATGCGCACTCACGAGAACCCCATCCGGCGACTCCCCACCTCACTCCTCCATACCGGGAATCTTTGCGGTGATGTCAGGTCCGTCGCGGGACCAAAGATGCCGCGAGAGCGACGGACCGACGGGAACGCATCAACGGCTGGGCCTCAGTTACTCATCTTTCCCGGTGGCGGTGCGGCCAGGTGCAAGCGCCCATCGACCAGCCAGGGCGGCGCTCTCCATCTTGTCAACTTCCCACTGCACATCCCACCATCCCCGACGTGTATGAGAAGTACGCCTCACGCACTCGAATCGGCCAGACACTCGAAACTGCCGATGCTGCCGGTTCCATGGTTTTTAGCAATCGTGTCCGACGCGAGCGGTCGCCTTGCTGCCCGCACACCGTCGCAGCAACCACTGCTACATGATTGATCAGCTATTACCGATCTTGAGACGGATGCACTCCTGGAAGTGCTATCTCCCCACTCGAACACATGGCTGGCGCAGTTGCGTCAGTCTCGGCTGACAAACAGCCATGAACATTGGAGCGGCGGGTGGCGAGGGAACAACCCGATAAGGTAACCCACCGTGAAGATCCTGGACTGCTCTCGAATAATGCCGTACGGTGATCATCCCCGAGTGCGGGCTTTATCTTTATCCTCACCCGTGGGCTGACGTGCCCCGCTCCGCCGCTCCCGCCGCACCTTTCTGCATTGCTGACCACCCGACATTATCTCCGACCCCGACCTATATTATCCTCCACCGCTCCATCGGTATCGACACCCACTTCTGCGTATCCCTCCTTCCCGCACGCTGCTGTGCGTCTCACCAATGGCTTCTACAGCACCCACCGCATTGTCCCCAGCACCACTCACATCCTATGATCCCCCAAATCTTGCGACAGAAGCGAGTTCGAGGTCGTCCACCATCGTAGATCCAGAAGACAGGCGCCGGGAGGAGCATGACGAGGATGTCAACTCCGAATTTGAGCACGAAGCGTACGGGCCAGCTGCGGGCGAGAAGCCCGAGGATCCCTTTGAAGTCACCATGGGTCCAGACGACCCGGATAACCCTAAATCGTGGTCGCGACCGTACAGGTGGTACATTACGATGCTTTCTGCAGCGCTCGTCCTGAACGCGTACGTATAAGACTCTTCTTATTCGTCGAGTTCTTAGCGAAGCTGACATCCCGTGCAGAACTTTCGCCTCGTCCGCACCAGAGGGAATCATCCCCGACCTTATGCAGCAGTTCTCTTTTGGGCAAGAAGTCGCTGTACTCACCATTGCGCTCTTTGTCGCCGGCTATTGCGTTGGTCCCCTCATATGGGGTCCGCTCTCGGAACAAATCGGTCGCAAGCCCGTCTTCCTGATCAGCTTTTTCGTATACACCGGCTTCCAAGTCGGCTGCGCACTGTCGCAAAATACGGCCTCCATTCTCATCTTTCGCTTCCTCGGCGGCACGTTCGCAGCAGCGCCATTGGCGAATAGCGGGTACGTCAAGTGACATCACGCCTTGCGTTGAGATTCAGCTCACATTCATCCAGAGCCGTAATGTCGGATGTTTGGGACGCAGACACGCGTGGGAAGGCTCTTGCGCTGTTCACTCTTGCGCCATTCGCCGGCCCGACACTCGGGCCCACTGTTAGTGGCTTCATGGCCGTTGCTGGAGTTTCGTGGCGTTGGGTATTCTGGCTGCTCACTTTCTTTGCTGGGGCATGCCTGATCGTGACATTCTTCACATTGCCCGAGACCTTCGTGTACGTTTTTCATCCTTGTTATCCGCCAGGCGCCGCAAGCTGACAACAAATGTCTAGTCCTGTCATTTTGGTCAAACGTGCACAGAAGCTGCGGAAAGAGACTGGAGATGACAGGTATTGGGCTCCTCTCGAGCGCAGCACAATGTCTACCGGTCAGCGTATCCAACACATCCTCGGCCGTCCCTTCGTCGTGCTCGCGCGCGAGCCCATGCTCATTGCAATCACCCTCTACATGAGCGTGCGTGTCCCTCTCCCCTTTCCACTGCAGATCATGATTGCTGACTACGCCTACAGTTCATCTATGGCTGCATCTACCTTCTCTTCGAAGCCTATCCCATCGTCTTCACAGAGGGTCACCACTTCAACCAGGGCATCACCGGACTCACCTTCCTGCCGATCTTCCTCGGCGGTGCGCTGGGTGTCGCGGTCTACCTGGTCTTCTTCAACCCGCGCTATGAACGCGCAATGGCTGCCTTCGCGCCACACCCCGTCCCGCCAGAATACCGCCTCGAGCTCTGCCTCTGGGCCGCGCCGATGTTCGCGCTCTCCTTCTTCTGGTTCGGGTGGACGTCGTACCCGTCCGTGTCCTACTGGGCGCCGCTGCTCGCAGGCGTGCCCCTCGGCACGTCCATCATCTTCCTCTTCCTGGGCCTCTTCAACTACGTCATCGACGCGTACCTGTTCGTCGCGGCCTCCGCGCTCTCGAGCATGACGGTCGTGCGCTCGCTCTTCGGCGCGGGCTTCCCGCTGTTCGCGACGCAGATGTTCGACACGCTGAACCCGCGCTGGGCGAGCACGCTGCTCGGGTGCATCGCGGTCGTGCTCGGGCCGATCCCGTTCGTGCTCCGCGCGTACGGGCACCATCTCCGCAAGAACAGCACGTACGCGCCCACGGGCGACCAGCCGACGCGCCCGCCCGCCCGCGACGCGGAGAAGGGGGCGCAGGCCGTATAAGCACGCATGCACCCAGGCTGCCGCGCGTATTGACCGGCAGCAGCAGGCTCCCGTACGCGCTGGCCGCGCGGACGCGACGTCCGCGGCGGCCCACGGAGGACCCACGGGCACGCTATATTTTCAGTGCATCCGCCTCCGACGCGCGGTGCGCACACACCGCACCGCGCTGCATCTCCGAGATCTCCGCCGTCCACCATGCTCTTCTCATCGCGTAACCACACATCCACATTCCGCATTCTCGCATACGCCTCCCCTCAGTCCTCGTTGCTCCTCTGGGTCTCGGTGTCGGTTTTAGTTGTATCTGTACCTGTTTGCCTCCGCATCATACGTCATTATAGTGCTTATACAGTCGGGACTTAGTAGTTGCTGCTGCATGGGTAGTACGCCATTGGATATCCGTACGCACGCACCTTCGGTAGATGTTAGATAGTATTACCGAACACGAATCTCACGAATTGGAACGTCCCACATATCATTGGTGTGCTACAAGGGTTTCGAATCCATCCTTAGGTCTAACATTTAGACATTCAAAGTTCAAGCCCAAGTAGCTCACGCCCTTCCGGCAGGTGAGTCCCAGCCGTGCGTTCGCTCGTCCGCGTGCTCCCGGCGCAGTTTATGCGCGAGATCCCTAGACAGTGAACGTCCCGCTGCCCTGGCGCCGGGTGCAGAAGCAGCGCCTTGGAAGAGCTCAGAACCAGAACCACGTCGGGCCACAGGGCGCTGGGAATGGGGAAGTGCAGAAGGGCAGAATGCGAACTATCGGTCGAGGGAAGGATATACATGTGATGCACGGCTGGTACGGTACGGCGTCGATCGAGAAAGCGTTTTTGTATACAGATTAATGAACGATCCCGGCTGCAGCTCCTTCCCCCACGTCCATGTCCATCCAAGTCCGTGTCGGGCCCAGCGCGCGCTGCGGTAGCTCGCCTCCCCACCCCGCCCACCAAGGCTGAGGCTGGGCGACCTATGCGCACGCACTGACGAGCCCCAGGCCCCACCCGCGTGGCCTAGAGGTCCACACACACACGCGACGCTGCGGGATGCAGGGCGAAGAAGTGTCCTGCGCGAGGAGTAGGTTAGAGTTGGCGAGCGCGACGACGACGATGATGCATCTCATGACACCAGACGTCGTCGAAAAGCCGTAACGTCAACACTCACCAGCGCCTCGCGGTCGTCGAGCCGCCGCGAGAAGCACACGCTCGGCGCAGCGCGTCGTCTTCTCAGCGTGCGGTGCGGTTCGGCTGCAATCCCGAGGACTGTTAGAGCTTGTGCGCGCTGGATGGGCGAGCCGCTGCTCACCTAGCTAGGGCCCTCGCTGCCAAGCGCGGGACTTATTTCCGCGTCGGCGGGGAAGTGTGCGGCCGCAAGGAAGGGTAGGAGGAAAGCCGTGGTCGAGCTCAAGCATGAGCCCGACCCGAGGTCGCGTCGTAATATCATGTCGGGCGGTCGTGGGCACTAGCGTAAGTGCAGGTATGTGTGCGCGAGGGTGGGTATGTATGCAGTGGGCGATCGCGCGGGTGCAGACCACGGACGGCCACTGAGGGATCCTCTCTGCAGCCCCTCGGGGGGTTATATACGTCCGCGCCATGCGGGCGGCCACGCAAGGACACACAAATCATAGATGAACACCGGGCAGGACAGGGCGATGTGCCCGGACGATGACAGCAGGCATCATGCTTCCGCATCCCAAGCTCGGGCCGTCCTACGGCCTCATGCCCCACCGACTCATGCCTGCCCCGCGCCAGCCTCCCTGAGGCCACTCGGCGTGCGCCGCGCGCCCGCGGCCTGGGCCCAAAGCAGGTTGCAGGCCGCGGTGGCGCGCGGGGCGTCCGCCGCCTTCGCGGGTTCTCGCATACAAACGCCCGCCGGAGATGACCAGGACGAGGGAGCCGCGCGTCCATGCGGGATGCCTCGTTGCGCGTCTTGTCCGCGGAGGCCGGGGCTAGAGAGGATCAAAGAACGCCCACGGCGACCCGCACGCGAGGGAACGCGCCGTCCCGCTCCGCGGTGGGCACTCACTGACGAACCACGGGGGCGCAGGGAGGTAGGTGTGACGATAAGTGCGATGAGACGATGCCGCATGTGGAGTTCTGGGGTGCTCGCTGCTGCGCGAGCAGGAATAGACGAGGATGCGGGGTGGAGGAGGGCTGGTTCCCTGATATGCCGGGATCGTCTCTGCCGCGCGCGAGCTGCGGCGTGCACCGTTACGATGTGTAGAGCCCGAGGTGCAGCACGCGCGGGTGGAGTGTATAAATCTAGAAATACGCATACCTTCGTAGCGGCGCAGACGGTCCAGGTCAGTTACCAACAGTCAAAGCGGCCATTAATGGGCGCTGCTTGCGTCAGAAGGACAGGGAGAGAACGTAACAGACCAGGTCTGCCCACCCCAGCGTGCGCGGTTGGTGGTCATTCGACGAAAGCGGGAGAAGCGGAATAGAGATACAGCGGCTATCGATATCGAGGCAGGTCCGGTGATTAACCTGCGAAGAGAGGTTAAACGACGCGCTCTCGACGATCGATAGCGGCGGTAGCGCACGTACATACAGTCGTGGCGGGTATGCGCCCACTCAGCCTTCGGATGTGTCCATTTGGGCCAGCGCGGGATCTAAGACGTCAACTAGAGCGGGTTCCGGCTGCGGGTCGTTGGGCTCTGCAGGCGCCAGCTCTTCCGGTGCCCGACCCTTCTCCTTTGACCGTGCTTTCGTCGCACCCCCGCGTTTCTTGCCTCCGCGCCCTCGGCGGGATGACCCGGTCTGAGTGCCCATCACATGGTCCATCTGTGTCTGCACCTTCTTGGCGGTACCCGCCTTCGACGTCGACCCGGTCGTGGCATCTTGACCTGCGCCCTCTCCTTTGGGTCTGAGTTCTATCTCCTTGAAGCGGATACGCCGTTCCGTACTCGCGACGTGCACGAGGGGTTTCCTGCCCTGCGCATGACCATGCTGCTCCTCTGTGTAGCCCCATTTAGCCTGTTGTTACACTCGCTCCACAGTCATGGCTGGTGTTCTCCAGAACAGCGAAGTAAATGAAATTGAACCATACTCTTGTCGGCCCAGGCTCCGGACCAAGCTATGTTTGAAGCACTGAGGTGCGTTCACATCGTCTCTGGAGTCGGTAAACAATCATGTACGGGTGCATCATATTATAGTAGTTTCGAAAGCCAGCGCCACGGCGAAACCGACATATTCGAGAGAATGTCATGCTCCTGACAGGAGAACACTTCGGTCCGCTTTCCTGACCTCTTCTTACAAAAGACGTGCGCCGATGCTGATAATAAGATGACGCACCGCTAGTTTCCGTAAACAGGAGCTCCGTCCCGAGCAGAGACTGGTGCTGGCCCTTGAGCTTCGTCCCGGAGAGCTGCAGGTATGGAGTGGGCGTATCGAGACCCTGTTTCACGCGTTCTACGCATGTCAGCTTGAGAATGAGGATCTATAGATGACGCACTCACGATCAGACGGTACGTAGAGGAGCTTGGGACGAGCGTAGGCTCTATTGTTCCAAGGTCGAGTGTCACGTACTCGACCTCCTCCCCAGACTCGTATTCATCTTCGGGACCAAAGCTCTCGACCTGTTTGTATCCCGGAACCAGTGAAGGTGCAGACATAGCTTCCTGTTCGATCCTCGAGATGAAAGGCTGCAGAAAGAGCTGGTTTAACTGGTTGTATGCGCAAAGGGCAAAAGCACGATGATGGTGTGGGACAAAGAACGCGGCAACGCGGAACGGGCGCTGGGCGCCAAATTGACTGAACCCTCCGGCACCGCCGCACACTGGGTCCGATCCTTCTTGACCACAGACCACCACCACCACCTTCGGCGTGAAGGCACCTCACCGACCCCACACACTTCGCAACTCTACAATATGTCTGGCCGTGGAAAGGGTGGAAAGGGCCTCGGAAAGTACGTGTTAACATGCTGCTAATGGTCTGTACGCGTCCTTGTGGCGTTACAGCATGAAGTGGCTCGAGTGTTGACCGTCTGTGTTCGCGGTGTAGGGGCGGCGCCAAGCGTCACCGCAAGATTCTTCGCGACAACATCCAGGGTATCACCAAGCCGGTGCGTTGTGCAGCTGTACGTTACGCTCGCGGAGGATTGACCATGTCTTTGTTCACCGCAGGCCATCCGTCGTCTTGCCCGCCGTGGCGGTGTGAAGCGTATCTCGGGCCTCATCTACGAGGAGACCCGCGGTGTTCTCAAGATCTTCCTCGAGAACGTATGTCATTCACCTCTGCATCATACCCTGAGGACCTTACTGACCCTTTGTTCACAGGTTATTCGTGACTCCGTGCGTGCATTCCGTAGTTATCTCTCAGACAAAGCCTGCAGCATGCTTATCAATCTCTTCTCTCGCACAGGTCACGTACACCGAGCACGCCAAGAGGCGAGTCATATTTTCTCACGTCTCCCGCGCGCTCTTCTGATATGCCACTCTATGATACAGGAAGACCGTCACGGCCCTCGACGTCGTGTACGCTCTCAAGCGCTCCGGCCGCACCCTCTACGGTTTCGGTGCTTGAGCGTACCGTGCCATCGCGACGAGCCGCAATCGCTCTTGGTCCCGTGCTTGCCTGCCCCGCGCTTGATCTGGATATGTACTTCTACGAGAATATGTGAATGTGAATTGTATGCGTTTAGTCTTCTATAGGCTCTCAAAATGGAAGGGGCGGACACGGTCATACCATCAAAGAAACACGGCGCGTAAACCTTCTCAATCGATTCCGTACTGACAGCGTTCTACTGCAGCTCTATTTGGCATGCGTAGGCGCAACTCCCAACGCGAGGCTTCCGACCCAGGGCGAGGCTCCCGAAACTATCTACCACCTCCTCACCCTACTCCACCACGCTGTCCGCTTTAGCTTTCTCCGGTTTTCGGGCTGAACCCTCGGCGCACGACACAACTTCAAGGGGCCAGGTACGGTCGCAACCGTCACCGAAGAGCTTCTCAGCCTTCTGTCCGGCGTGCATGGTAGGGCAGCCGGCATACTCGGTGCTGCAAAGTTCGGGCAGGTCCACAATCCGGTGCCCTGCCTTGGTAAGGCCGGCTGGTGTGTGCAGCGTGTCGTCCTCTAATAGCCCACTTCCATTACTGCAACACGGGGTGGTTGAGGGCGCCAACGTCGCTGGACCTTCCCGCACCGCCGCACATGGCGTCTGATATTTCTTGACTACAGACCACCATCCCCTCCAACGCGAGTGCACCCGCTCTATCTCCTCACGGACATCCACTCTTTGCAACTCTACAACATGTCTGGCCGCGGGAAAGGTGGACAGGGTGGAAAGGGCCTCGGAATGCGAGTGTCATCATGCTGCTAGTAGGCTCACAGGCCTCCCTGCCGCGTCATAGGGCTAGCAAGAAGTGGGCTGTGTGCTGACCGCCTGTGTTCGCCGTGTAGGGCTGGCCCAAAGCGACACCGCATAATCCTTCGCGAAAATATTCAGGGTATCACCAAGCCGGTTCGTTGTGCGACCGTGAACATTATGCGTGCTGAGGATTGACCATGTCTTTGTTCACCGCAGGCCATCCGTCGTCTTGCCCGTCGTGGCGGTGTGAAGCGTATCTCGGGCCTCCTCTACGAGGAGACTCGCGGTGTCCTCAAGATCTTCCTCGAGAACGTACGTCTGCTACCTCTGCGCCATACGTTGAGATTAATCCCCCTGTCCCCAGGTTATTCGTGACACTGTGCGTTCCATTCCGTAGCTGTCTCGTAGACGAGGCTTGCAGCATGCTTATCAGCCCTTCCGCTCACACAGGTTACATACACCGAGCACGGCAGGAGGCAAGTCATGCACATACATGTACCAGTACTTTTCACGCCTCCATATTCTGACGTAGCGCCCTATGATGCAGGAAGACCGTCACGGCTCTCGACGTCGTGTACGCCCTCAAGCGCTCTGGCCGCACCCTCTACGGTTTCGGCGTTTGAGCACGTTGTGGCATCGCAAGGAGCAGTGATTACTCCTGCTACGATGTTTTGGTATGCTTGTCCCGAATCTGTACTTTTGCGAGAATTTGTCAATGTGATTGTATGTGTATCGTCCTGTGCGGGAGGGTGTCACCGTGCATTGACTGATCAATATCCCATGAATTACTACCAACCTAGAGACCCGGTTTTCAGACAGCTACAGCACGCGTGGGGAAGTTGCATTTACAGCGCAATTGCACTTTAATAAATCCGGACGTTCCATTATATTCCTCAAGGGCCCTACCGGTAACTATGTGCGCACCCGTGCGTAGCACGACCCCATGTTTAGTACACTCATGTCGAGCCCTCCACCGTCCCTGCCGCCGTACAGAGTGAGTGTCCTCGGCAGGTCCGCTGTTGTTGCGCACACCAGCAGCGCTAATCCGGTAACGGTAGGGTTGAGGATGAAGATGCTCTAGGGATTTCGCTCGCAGGGAGGAGCTTATGACAAGTCCTGTACTCCCTAAAGCGCGTGAGCCTATTCCATGATGAGGTTGCGCGTAGTACTCATTGGAGTAGGTGGAATTGCACAACGTGGTACTGTATAAGAATGAGCTCGATACGACGTCAGAAGATGAGACGGGCCCAACCCCAACGTACCTTCACGCAGCGTGCGATGTTATGACGTAGGAGTACTCTGCTCCTTCGCAGCCTTCACAGGCTCTGGCACCCCTTTGAAGCCCAGGCACACCCAGTAGCCTTCCGCAGACTCGGTGCGGCTCGCGGGCGGCTTTATGAACTTCACAAGGTTGAAGTGCGGGTCGAGGCACTGCTTGCGGAACTTGTGAGCGCTCGGCGACGCGAAATGTTTGAGTCTATCGGTGACGCGCAAGATATTCTCAGCACATACTCCGATCCCACCAAGACGCACCACACGCACATTAGGGCACCTGCCTTTCGCAAACCCACACTGTCCGCCGTGCGCAGATGCCGCCGTACGAACTCGAACACGCTCTGCGAGAGCAGCAGCCCCGCCTCCGTGTCCGCCGTCGCGTTCCCCGTGAAGTTCGCAGCCATGTCTGAGAGCACGACGTCCGCCTTCCCGTCCGCCCCAGGCTCGCTTCTGAGCAGCTCAGACACGCACTGGTCCGCCTCCGGAGAGAGAAAGTCCATCTGGATCGCCTTCACACCCGGGAGCGGCTCCATGCGCAGGAGGTCGACCGCGATGATCGTCCCGCGTCCCGCACGGCGCGGCGCGTCCAGCCCAGCGTCGATGTCCAGCGGGTCCACCAGGTCCTCCTCGGATTCCGGCGCCGTGCTCCAGTCCTTGCCCTTGCTCCGCGCCTTGAGCGACTGGTTCGTGCCCTTCAGCCCGAACCCGGACGACGACGCGGGCGGAACGCGGGGCGCGAGCGGGGGTTCCTCCGTCCATCCGAGCTTCCCGGCGACGACCTGGCTCCACCCGCCGGGCGCGGCGCCGAGGTCGACGACGGCGCGGACGTTGCGGCCGTCGAGGAAGTGGAAGGACTTGTCGAGCTCGATGAGCTTGAACGCGGAGCGCGCGCGGAAGTGGGCGGGGTACGAGAGGCGCGCCTTCACGTACGGGTCACGGAACTGCCGCGCGAGCCATGCGCGCGATGAGGGTGGGAGTTTGTGCGATAAGACGGGGCAGGAGGGGCGGAAGGGCATGCGGCCGGCGTTGTGGTCGAGAGGATCGAGGACGGGAGAATAGACGCCTAAAGCGTGAATAGTACCTTTAGACGCTTTCAGTATATACTGGATGCCATATCATCAGAGTTGCAATTTGTTGCAATTTAACTCATAGCAACTTGACGCAGTGGAAGCGTGCAGGGCTCATAACCCTGAAGTCCCTGGATCGAAACCAGGAGTTGCTAATGTCGTTACCCTCCTTATGTTTTTCATTTGTCTCTCTTTGATTTTTTGAGGTGGCACCTCATATACTCACATTTAGGATAACCTGAGCCTGCACGCTAAACCGAGAGTACTTAAAATTTACACAAGTACTAGCCTTGTGTGGCAGTGTCCCGACAGCGCGGCGGCTATGTATCGTGCAAGCAACAAGGAATTGAGCTCTGAGCCTGAACAAGGTACCTCATGTACCGCCTCGAGGACGGCGTCGTTTGCGGCGTGCTGAACGACTGGGACCTCGCTGTCGATGCCGCGGTGCCCCACTCTAGCTCGGTGCTGACCGGCACGCTGCACTTCATGGCCATCGACCTTTTCGACGCAAGGGCGGTCCGTGGCGAGGTCCGCCACCTCTATCGCCACGACCTCGAGGCGCTGCTCTGGATCTTCCTGTGGGTGGTGTGTTGCTACGAGGACGGGCGGGAGGTCGACCCCTACCCCGAACGTTTCGGGAGTGGACTTCGGACGACCTGTTATTGTGCAAGATGAGCAAACACGGTTTCCTGATGCGCAAACCCGACCATGGCACGACCGCAACGTGGACTGCCGAAGCCGAGCTTATACGGTCGATACGCCGCTACCTCCGAACGGCCCAGCGTGCCCGTGAGAACAAGAACTGGGATATGGAGACTGAGGATTCCCGTGAGGAGGAAGCAGACGAGCCGGAGAAGGTCTGGTGGGAGTTCTGCGCGGTGGTACGGAGGGTGGGCACGGCGCACCCTGCGATGAGTTACCTTCTCGCGTTAATTCCTGATAGGGACAGTTCATGTTGAGAGGAACACGGACTACAGTCAATCGTTGCCGTCATGAATAGGGAAAGCCCAGGACGCCCTAAGCCCCTTCACAAAAGTGTGGGTGCCGTGTCGAGACGGGTGTCTGGGTTGCCCAGTCGCGCTAGACCCTCTTGTCAACGGCGTCAATAACAATTGCAAGCCTCTGCCCCACAAGCGCAGTAATACATACATGATATATAGACGAAATCATACTAGTTGCACCAGCCTCCACAAAAGCCTCTTTTGAAAGAAAAATCTGCAAGCGGATGAACCAGGACTTCGGGAAGTGAGCGACCGTTCGGAAATTGTGCGCGCGCTCTCTGAGTACTGAGTCCTCACCTACATTTACACCATCGTCTTTGAGGGGCCGGACCCGCTTGCCGCTGGCACTTCGTGTTCCTCCGACGTGACTTCATCATACACCAGAGCCTCCGGGGACGCGTCCTTTGCCAGAGAAACATCTGTGTCGATCATCTCCTTCGGCTGTTCTGCGCTGTCGTCCCCGATAGGATCATCGATTTCTAGGCCTTCGAGAGATTCACCGATAGACCCTATAACAGCCGACGCGAACCGCAGTGTGTCTTGGCCCGTACGCTCCTCCCCGAATGTATGCGTTGTACGTAGGGTGTCTCGATCGAGCGCGGCTTGGTTCGCGTGCTGGAGGGCGAGGAGAAAGCGGCATACAAGGATCGCCATGAGGCTATGTCGAGAATTAGATATGAAAAGAAAAAAAGAAAGAGAGAGAGAGAGAGAGAGGGAGAGAGAGGGCGGCGCTAGTACTTACGGATCCGTCAGTTCAATCACGAAGCTCACGTCCATGAGTGGAGTGGAGATCTGTGTGATAAGAACATAAGTTCGACAAAGATGGATGACATCGTCAGTAAAACGCAGCTCACCGAAATGAGCGAAAGTGTGAGATGCAACACATTGCATACAATGACGACTCTATGTAAGTGGACCTTTTAGTCCCAAGATGATCGGTCCGATTCATGATAGAACTGACATGAAATAAATCGTTCCTGAGTAACGCACAAAGTTAGGCTTACGATGTGCCGCCACGAGATGGTATTATGAAAGGACTAACCGTTCTTCATGAGTACGTTCGACAAGGTCGGGACCGCGGCCCCTACCGCGGCGCTACTCATACGCCTCCGCCATGATAGCCATGTGATGATAACCACGAGCATATCAGCAACGATGATGCTTGCACGCGATATGACAACAGCTACGGAAAGAAAAGGCCAGGACTCGTCATCATTTTGATTGGTCTAGCGAGAAAACGGGTTTACCACTGAACCCGGTCGTCAGTGAGTACAATTACACTTGTCATCAAGTTATTAGTAGACTGACATCAAGGTTTCATGGGTGGTTTGGTTTGACAACCCCACACAACCAAGAGTGAGCACATTCGTGCCCGAGTGTTGGTGAGCAATTACCGGCCACTTGCAGGATTCCTGGTCAGCCCGTAGGACACAATCTCAATAGAGAGATACACACGAAGTTTATCGCGAAAGGCCCGAGAGCGAAAACAAACACGACCGTGGCAAATGTCCAATTCATATGGCTCAATGCGAGCGCCCGCAGACCGGAAAATGCTAGTGATTTGAACGCAGGGGGAAACCATTAAATCATGTCGACAGCGGACAACGATGAGGAGCTCACCGGCCCAACAAGGATATTGGCATATAGTCATGACGAATTGCACTTTGGTGAGTGTATCACAGCTGCAATGCTTCGTTAAGCAGTCTGCGATACTTCGCAAGGGTAATCATACCTCTGCCATGCATAAGTGTATCAGTAGACGTTGCATTACAAAGAGTTCAGTTATACAAGGCGTACCTGGTCCGGCATGCGTGCGAAGAACGCTGCACCTAAGAGAACGTAATCCAATAGCGCCATGTATCGAGTAGCTAAGAACAGGACGGTTGCGCCTGTCACCTTGCGTTTCCAGAACAGAACGACTTCTTGATCAAAAGTTATGGCATATTCATAAGCAAGCAGAGCTAGACCCGAAAGCTCTGGTCAACGTACGCCCGTAAATCGCTTCGTATTGAGCGGCTTACCAATGCCCGCAATTTGCGTCCAATCTGCCCGAGCCCTGAGCCGCGAGAGAAGACGGGAGTCAGCTCTCATTGTATCAGGATGTATACCGGAAAGACATCAGGAGAGTACTTTGGGACTCACGATGACGCATACAAAGAGACGATCTGAGTTGCCTCCATTCCAAAGAGGTTCGGCGTAACACAAACAAAGCCGGGGAGTGTTCACCGAAGGTGGAGCGACTACCTTGACACGGACCGGAGTGGCGACCCCAGAGCGCAAGGTATGATTCGAAGCGAAGGTCCCAGACCCTGGAATTGGAGTTTAATATAGCTGCTCAGCCATCGTGGACCTTGTGCATGATTCATGATGCATAACCGCTCACCCAGCCGTCTAATCGTCGCTCCGAGGTCACGCTACGTGCCGGGTCGGAGAGAACACCCCCCACGGCATTGCAAGTGTTGACCGAGCAGGTGAGAAGTCAACGAAAGTCGGAGATTCATGCGTCCCGCATATCAGACACGCACGCATGTTCAGTTTATCATTGAAATGCGTTGGAACGAACGGTACTCACGGTAGCAAACACTGGTCCTATCATCAGACGACAGATTGATGAAAGATGACTATATTTGCTGCTCTGCCCCGTGATGGTGCTTTGTTGCTGGCGGTGGAAGAGCAGGGGCGGCATTGTAGACATCGAGCGCCCCGGAACGTGCTATGACAGGCAGGCGGTTGCGATCTGGGTTTGCAGGACCGGCCTGACTTCACGCAGTACGAACTGCAGCGAAGGAGGCGCCATAGCCAATACTCTGGAACGCGGTGGTGGCGATAGAAGCGGGGCCCGTGGTGCCGTCAGATGTGCATGATGCAGGACGAATCACGATGTCGCGGTAGCATTGAAGGTTAGGGCCGAATGGGCACTACACGTGAGATAGTCGCCCGTTGATGAGCTCTGCAGGGATCCGACTGATTAGACTACATATGTAAGGCGGGAGGTAGTTCAGAGAGACTCACGCATCGTTTGGACATCGACCTAGTAAGTGGACGGGACACGAGAAGAGCTGCCGGATATCAACAGACTAGAGTTGGAGGTGTACAGTGCAGACAGCATATTATGCAAACAACCAGCAGTACAATATCTACATGAACAGGTTCTTTCAGGACCCTTCTACACCACATCGCCGTGATAGCTCCAGACCCGACACGCGGCGCCTGAGAACTCCATGACATATGTTCGCTTCAGGCCTTCCGCGGCCTCTTCTTGCTTCGGTCAACTGTAGCAGGGGTGCCCGATCTGCTCGCCTTCGCGCTCGCGGTGCCATCCTCTCCGGCTGCGCGCCTCTTGCGGAACAGCGCCCGCTTCGTCTCGCCTTCGGGGAACGTTGCCGGGTCGTAATAGCTCTGCGCGTACTCCAGCAACCTGTCAAGACCCATCCGATCAGCAGCAGCGCCAAGTCACATTGTATGTCACACGCACCACTCCGGCTTGACCTCCGTGACAGTGCGGATGTACGGCTTCGTCGTGAGCACGAACTCGTTGAACAGCACCCACTCCGGGCTCGTGTCGAGCCCGCAGCTCGGGTGCAGCGACACGACCTGGTTGTCCTTCACGGTCAGGTAATTGCTCTTCTCGCCCTCCTTGTGCGCGACCTGCATGAAGAAGCCGCAGACGAGCGCCTTGCGGATGTTCGTCCACAGCTTGCGCTCGTCCTGCGTCGTCACGAGCTCGATCTCGTACCGCTCCATCGTGCGCAGCAGCTGCGTGCGCACGTTCTCCGCCTGCTGCAGCGCGCGCGCGGAGAGGTAGTTGTTCCAGCACCAGTTCTTGTCGTGCTTGTCTGAGGGGGCGTCAGCGAATGTGAGGAGCCTAACTTGGGGGACACGTACTGTTGACGTAGTGGTTGTACACGTTCATCATGGTGAGATGGTCGCCGTCGGGGACGGTAAGCAGCGCCTTCGCTGCATCAGCCTCCTTGCGCTGGTTTGGCGGCCTGAGCCATACGTTCGGGACTGCACCCGGGGTGTGAGCCCACTATGAATACGAGGATATAGAGGAAGAAGACTCACCAGACAGCATCGCGACGATTGTCAAAACCTCATTACTGCAGTTGAATTCCGGGCTCGCAATCAGCATCTTCCCCATCTACACGAGACGTCTGTCAGATCTGCCAGACCAACAAATAGTTATAACGGAACGCACCTGCGGGTCGAGCGGGAAGTCCGCCATGATCGAGCCCAAGTGTGTCAGCTTCCCCTCGTCGTCCAGCGCGGCGAGGAAGTTCAGCAGCTCCAGCGCGCGCATGAGCGTCTCCGGGGCGGGCGCGTCGACGTAGTCGAAGTGCACCAGATCGTCAATGCCCAGCTTCGCGAGCTCAAGCACTGTGTTCGCGAGGTTACTTCGCAGGATCTCAGGGTGCGTCTGCTCCTCTAGCTCCGTCATGAAGTCCTTCTCCGTGTACAGCCGGAAGCACTTCCCGGGGCGCGTACGACCCGCGCGACCCGCGCGTTGTTGTGCGGACGCCTTGGAAATGGGCGAGACTAGCAGGGACTCGACACGGATACGCGGGTTGTAGACCTTCTGTTTCGAGAAGCCGGGATCGACGACGTAAACGATGCCGTCGATGGTGAGGGACGTTTCGGCGATATTTGTCGAAATGACGACCTTCCGTCCGGCCGGGCCGCCGGGAACGCGGGGAGAAGGGGCAGGGTCGAAGATACGCTGCTGCTGTTGTGGGGGGAGAGACGAGTAGAGCGGTATGCACACGAGGGGGCCGACACTGTCTGGATCTTGGTTGAGAAGGTCGTCCGCCTCGAGCTTGATTTTTCTGCACGCGTCCTCGATCTCCTCCTCACCGGTGAGGAAAAGAAGGATGTCGCCAGGGTCCTCTGCGCGGTGGATCATGAGAACCGTCCGAATCGCGGCTTCGACGTAGTCCGGCTCTGGCTCCTGCGTGTAGAACACCTCTACTGGATGCGTCCGACCTGGTACCTTGAACAGCGGCGCCGGGTTCTCAGCTCCAGTCAAGCTGAAGTATTTCTGGAATTTCTGAGCGTCGAGCGTTGCGGACATGACGACGATCTTGAGGTCGGAGCGCCGCTTCGCAATGTCCTTTAGTAGACCCATGAGAATATCCGTTGCTAGTGTACGTTCATGGGCCTCGTCGAGGATGATCGTGGAATACCGGCTGAGTTCGTTGTCGTTCATGGCTTCTCGGAGCAGCATACCATCGGTCATGTACTTCAAGAAGGTGGTCCCGGGTTCTGTCATGTCCTCGAAACGGATAGAGTAACCGACTTGCTTCCCGAGCTGTACTGTTGAACGAATCAGCAACGAAACTACTGCTGTATCGAGCATCTCCCAGGTCACAAGCCCACCGTCCATCGCGCAGATTAGCCCTCAGCATGCGTGGTGCACTCTCATTAATCCCGTTTACCTCCTACCATGTGTTCCTCGAAAGAAGTATATACAAGGGTCACAAGCATCCATTCATCGCCTAAGCATTTGGACGCTTTGGAGGTACGAATGAATGGGTCCATCTAGGCGGACAGTTGACGAACGGCCTACCCAGTGTGTAGTCTGCGCACCGGTAGTCCTACGAACATATCCTATAACAGATTACTCACCTCTGACAGCGCAGCGTAGCATACTCAAGAAAGGAGCCACAGGTCGAGCGTCTTGTCATGAAAGCGATGCCAATGTAATGGCTCAAGTGGGAAGCCTCGAGGCGGGAGCATGCGCGATGGGGGGCTCGTGGCCTGAGAGACGGTAGCAAAGAGGAACTCACCATCCATCTCGTCCGCGACACGTTTCGCGACGGACATGGCGGCGACTCGTCTAGGTTGTGTACACGCCACCAGCTTGCCCTTCGTATGTGGCAGATCCGAATAGCAGACGAATTGGGGTATCCTAACAAGCAAGGGAAAAGTCAGCTTATCTGCTCCTGATGAGATTGACAGGGCCAAAATATTCTCTTACTGAGTAGTCTTGCCTGAACCCGTCTCGCCGACCATGACGATAATCTGGTTCTGGCTGAACTTTGTGCGGTGCGGGACATCAGCGATGTGTTCACGACTGGCCGGGGGGACGGGACACCTGAATGGTACTCTGACCTCCCCTGACTTGGGAGAGTGGCGGAGGGACTCACCATTTTGAGGAACTGGTCCATCTGCGAGAACACAGGGAGCTTCTTGCGGTCCTGAAGGATCTTCTTGTACTGGGCAGAGTGTGGCTTTTTACTGAAGGGGTTGGTGTCGCTTTCCTATAGCCAAGTCAGATACACCCAGAAGGCGATTATAGCGACGACGTGCCATGGCCTTCAGCGCCTGCTCCGAGGTGACCTTGCGCGGAAGAAAGCCAAATAGTGGGTCCTTGCTGCCAAGTGCGGGCGCAGGGGAGTCCGATACCGGTGGCCTGGCTGTGTATGGATTGTACGAAGCCATGGCGGAGAACGGAGGGGAAGAAGAGAAGAGGAGGATGGGGAGGAGATGGTGGCGAGAGGCAAGAGAAGGAGCAGCCTACCGCAGGAGTGAACACGAAAAAGCAAGCGCGCCGGGTCACGTGCGTGCACTTCCCCGACGCGCGTACGGGCACGCGTAGCTGCTCTCCTTCGCTCTCTCCCTCACCCTCTCCGCACACCTCCTCGCTCTCTCTGCTCTCACAATGGACCACTTTCCGACAAACTGGGGCAGGCCGGTGCGCTTCATGAGAAAATCAGCTTGGGGCTCAGACTGACTGGTATGCAGCGCACGGAGGCGTTCGACCCGTATGCGACATACCCCATCCACCAACGGCCAACAGCCAAGGACACCTTCGCTGAGGGGGTCCAGCATACACAGTGCGTTTTGAGAGACACTCCGCGTCTTATTTAACCTCTAACGCGTCGTAGGCAACCCATCGTGACGGGAACGTCCGTGCTTGCGATCATGTACAAAGATGGTATTATGATGGCTGCAGACAACCTCGGTACGTCTCTCTATGTCTCTATACATCTCTCCCATTTCCAACGCTAATCGAATGTTGTTTAGCATCGTATGGCTCCCTCGCCCGGTTCAAGGACATCAAGCGTCTCCACCCCGTCGGCACCTCCACCGTCATCGGTGCCTCCGGCGACATGTCCGACTTCCAAGCCATCCAGTCCATGCTCAACGAGATCGTCACCGACGAGTTCACACACCAAGACGGGCACGACCTCGGGCCGTCCGAGGTGCACGAGTACCTCTCGCGCGTGCTGTACGCGCGCCGCTCGAAGATGAACCCGCTCTGGAACTCGATCCTCGTCGGCGGCTTCCGCGACGGGAAGCGCTTCCTCGGGTACGTCGACCTGCTCGGCACGACGTACTCCGCGCCGTCGATCGCGACCGGGTACGGCTCGTACATCGCGATCCCGCTCCTCCGCGCGGCCGTCGACGGGAAGCAGGACGCGCTCGGGGAGGCGGAGGCGCGCACGCTCCTGCACGACTGCATGCGCGTGCTCTTCTACCGCGACGCGCGCTCGCTCGACAAGTACCAGCTCGCGACCGTCACCGCCAATGGCGTCCAGATCTCGGACCAGATCCAGATCGAGACACAGTGGAGCTTCGCAGAGGGCATCCGGGGGTACGGTGCGCAGGTCCAGTAGATGTTGCTTTCAGTCGTGTGTATACTAGTGAATTTGTGGACGATACGACGGAGGCTCTTGATGCATTCACTGTCTTGCAACACTGTGCCAGCGCAGCTTCAAGACTAGTACTTCACAACTGATCTAACTCCACCGCTGGAACACCGCGTTTACAGCTTGTAGTCAGCTACATGTTGCAGCGTATACGTGCGAGGCGTTCCTGATGCAGGTCGCCACAATACATATATTCACGCCATTGGTTGTGGCAACATTATCTGCAAGGGCACGTCGCTGGGCGTCTCCTCTTGTGGGTGGTTATTTGACGCCACCGCAACTTGCAGTCGATCCCCCAGTCACCGAGGTTATGAACGTTAACGTTCCACACGCTGAGTCTTACACGTTTCGAACGAACAATCACATTAATGAGGGCTACAGGGTTCCGACTAGACTCGTCCTCTCCACACATTAACTAACCAACGAAGCCGCCGAAGCGAGCTGCAGCCACGGCTGGCCACTCACATGCACAGGCGGCGGCGGGATATTCAGCGTTCGCAGATGCAGAGGGACCCTCCTTCCCCGCCCTCCATCTCCCTCGTCCCTCGACTTCTGCTCCAGCGCATCGGCGGGGAAGCCCTCCAGAGCACGGTCGAACTTCTCCCGCTCGTGCTCCAGATCCAGCACGCGCTCGAGCACGTCCGCGCGTATTGTGGCGCGCTCGAACCACGCCGCCATCCCCGGGTGCGAGGGGTGCCCGAACGTGCCTTCTGGCACGTGCGGGGACTCGGTTGGGGGGCGCGGGCGCGGCAGGGGCAGGGGCAGAAAGGGCGGGCGTGGGTTTGTGGTCGTGTTGGGGGTGGTGGACGCCGAGGCGGCGGGCGCGGCCTTCGAAGGCTTTGCGGGCAGTGGTGCGAAGCGGACTTTCTTGCCGGCAGTGTCTGGCGTCGATGCGCCGTGGGTAGGCTCAGGAGAGGCCGCCTGGTTCGGAGGGGGTTGTGCGACGGCGGGCTGCGCGGCGGCAGGTTGAGCGGGGGCAGGCTGAGTGGTGGCAGACTGGGCTTTCGCTCCAGCCTTTCCGGGAGCTGTTGTGGCACATCCCGATTAGCATGTATTCTCCTGCAATAACTGGACGACTTACATCTTCCCGGCCATATACCAGCCAGTGTCCCGGGCAGCTTCGCCCTCCGACCAACCAGAATCTCCTCCGTCACCGTCCCATCCGGGCGTCTCTTCAACCCCATCCCCGCCCACGTCCGCTCCGCAAGCAGATGGGTCATGCGCGCGAAGGTGACCATCCCCAGTCTCGGGTCATATCCCGCCGTGACCCTACGCTGGACGCCCGGTACGTCCGGATACGTCCCGGGGACAGGTCGATATACGAAGTCTCGCGCTTGTGTGATCCATGTCCCTGCGGGCAGACATATGTTCCCGGCGATGTAGTCGAGGACGACAGGCGGGAGCGGAAAAGGCGTCGACGGGCCAGGATCCTGCACGACCCACGGCGTGCACCACCGGTGCCAGCAGTCCCACGCTGTGCGCACAGGGAACCGCGCCTTCGTGGCGGAGTACAGCGCGAGCATCGCGGCGCGCGACTCTGCGGACGGCGGCCGTACGCCCGCGACTGCGGAAGCCATGACACGCGCAAAAGACTTTGCGTCTTCCGACAGCAGGCTCAGAGGCGGGCGGCGGCGGGGAAATGTGACGACGCGCTGTGCGGGCGGAGGGGTGGCGGGATTGTCCGCGGCGTGCGCGACGCCACCTGCTGGTGGGGGGAAGAGAGCTGGTAGCCTTGTGACGATAAGCGCGTCCTTGTCCAGCGCACCCAAGCCTGCGGTCGCTGGCTGCTTTGCTCGCGCGTTAGCTTCAGCTTGCGCTTCCGCGCTCCCAAAGGGTGCCGCCTTACCGCGCTCGCCACTCCCTGCCCCCGCGCTCTGTGCGGCCGCTTCCTGTGCGCGGCGCGCGCGCAGCTGCCGCGCCTCTGCGTGCATCTTCTGCAGGACGTTCTTCATCTTTGCCTCCTCCTCGTTGCTCGCGGTCGCCTGCTTGCCGAACCACTCTTGCAGCGGCCGCGTGATTAGGATGTTGTTGTAGGCTTCTGCGATGAACGTCCATCCATGTTCGGCTGGCGGAAAATGTGCCACAACCTCGAGAAGAAAGAGGACCTCGATCATTGTCCACGGGTACTTGGTCAAGTAGTCGACCGGGTTGGCAGGCGGTTCGGGTGGTACGTTCTGATTCTTAGCTCCGAGTAGCGGTGCGGGTCCCGAGATTGCAATAGGAGGAGGATCAGACTGTTGTGAAGAGGGAGCGGGTGTCGATGTTGTAGGGGAAGAGTGTGACAGTGATTCGGCAGGGATGTTATACGCGGGTTGTATGACTATGTTTAGAGGTTGATGTATAGGTTGGGGAGGTGGCTCCGGTGTAGCGGTTGTGGATGGTGGTGGCGCTGGTGAGAGCGGCGGGCTGGGCAGTATGTTCTTCTCTTCTTGCAATAGACGATCGTCTGGGTCGGGTTCCGTCGGCCCTGTATCGCTTTCCGACGGAGTAGAGTTGCTCTCTGGAGCGCTATCAGAGAGACTGTCCGCGTCATCACCATCTTTCTCTTCCGCACCTGTTTGGAACAGTCCGTCGCCGTCCACGTCCAGTTCAACCGGCTCCTCGCCCTCTGAGGATGCTGTGACCTCCTCCACGTCTACATCCACTGTGTTCTTCGCCTTCGAGGGGCCCGCTATGGATGTGGTGTCGCGTGCCTGCTTGGTCTGGACGGATGTACGAACCTCAACGCGCTCCCGCTCCTTCTGCTCTACCACTGCCCGGACGCGGACCTCTAGCCGCGCCGTCTCTGCCCTCAATGCCTCGATTTCACCAGGCGCCACCTGCGCCTGCCACTTCTCCATCTGCCCGAGCATGCTTTCCATGCGCCGCACGCTTTGCAGCACCTCTGCCCGCCACTGCGCCGGTTCCGTCGGCTGTAGCGATCCGAGCTGCCGTCGGCCCTCTTCCGTGAACGCGTCGCGCACGCGTTGGAGAAGTTCATTGGACTCGTCCGGTGAGTCTGTGTTCAGCGAGCCGACCAGCTGGGCGATGCGCGACATAGACACGAGCAGATCCTGTGGCGGGTCGCGCGCGGGGTCGGGGTTAGATGGAGGCTTCATCTTGTCCTTGTCCTTGGCTTTGGCACGGGCCTTCGCGCGTTTCCGTTTATTCTTCTCCCGCTTCTTGGCTGCGGCGGATGACTGTGGCTGACTATGAGGCTGTGGCGACTGACCTGTGTCAGCCTCTTCGGGATCGGACTCGCTGTCCTCGTCCTCGTCAACCTCGTCTTCATCGCCCTCTTCCCCGTCAGCCTCATCCTCGTCGAACTCTTCTTCGTCAGCCTCGTCTCCCGCCGCGCGATCCTGCGCCACCAGCTCGTGTAGTTCCGGTTCCTCCTCGATCTCGTCGTCCGACCCAGGCTCCGGAAACATCTCCATCAGCGCGCTCATCTCCTCGAAATGCTTTTGCTCGGAGGGCAGCCACTTGTGGAGCGGGCGGGGTCCGTACGGGCTGCCAAACGTGCGCGCGTTCCATCGCGTGCGCGATCCGGAGGCGCGGGTGCGGCTGAGCAGGTCGTCCAGGACATCGAACTGCGCGTCTGGTTCAAGTGGTGGCTGACTTGTCGATGCCTCCGCGCGTGTGGGAGGGCCACTAGAGCGGATCTGCCAAACCTGGGAGTTGACCTGGAAGTAGTTCGAGAGCGTCTGGGTGGGATTGTGCCGGCGCACGGAAGAATTTGACTCGCTACCTAGCCTTGGCATGGCCCGTGTCGCATGACAAGGTGTAGCGGTTGACTGAGAGTATTCAGGGCGAGTCGCAGATATTCAGCGTCCTGTGAGTCGTCTTGTGGGCTCGTAGTGCGTAGTGTGTACAGCGTGTTTAGCCACAAAGTATGCGGTCAAGCAAGAATATTATGGTCCGCGAGTGGTCGCGTTCGTTGCGCGTAGTCGGTGTCGCGTTCAAGTTCGTCGTGTCGTGTCAGACTTTGTCGTCAAGTGCTAGTAGGGTGTATGTTCGTCACGTCGAGATGAGGGAGTGAGGAAAAGGAGGGTGGCCGCCGAGCACGCGCGACGCGCCTGAACTCCGCCGCTTGTCTTCGTACTTCATTGTCCTCGCTATTTTTCTTGTCGTCTGCGACAATGCGCTCTTGCTCAATTGTCTCGAATACAGCAGGACATGGAACAACGTGTTCAGCAATAGCCCTACTTGGAAGACAATGGGTTCTTTCGTATATCGTTTCGGATGACGCTCACAGCTCATGCCGCGCCGATGTGTAAGACGACTCAGGACGCCGTGAGCCATTTGGGAGAACAATCTTCATCCGTTGTGTGGTATGTGCGCGCCGAATTAGTCTCCATGTATCTGTCAAGTCAGCTGGTATCTAATAACGTTATGTAGTTCTAGCTGCCGCTCCCAGCTTTCGCTCTGGGTCCTCCGAAAAACAGCGGGTTTGAGTGGCATTTCGGACGTGCGAAGCATAGACCGGATTTGAACAGCGGTAAGTGCCATTCACTGCGCGAAGGACCTACTCGTCTCACCGTTCATCAGCATCCAGAGTCTAGACAACTGCGTGAACTCGGTGCATACACGCTACATCGTGTCATAGACTACGAAGGTCACCAGACCTGGAATCTCAACCTTGGGATCCCGAGAGGCGAATATCCGCTTGTCGGGCTTATTCAAACCTCCTGACAACGATTCGTCCTCCGAAGGGGAGATGCCCATTGGACATGGCCAACTTCCTATCTTCTTTCTTGCCACGCCCGCATTACCACCACCTTTGCGCAGTACTAAGGCGGGTGTACATCTCTGATGCTCTCTTTGGCGGCTAGAAGCTAGAACTTAGAAGTCCAAGAACGCCCGCAGACACCGCGATGATATTGGTGAGCTGGATTTCATCGACGTTGCAAATGTTGAGCCGTCAAACGGAGTTCCGCTGGTCGAATTTGATACGCACCGGATTGAACGATATCTTCACAGAGGTCGACGATCCTCTGCTACAGTGAGTTCCTAAACTTCACCCGCTGTGTATAGTTCTGCCAAACATTTACAACGGCTTCCTCGGGATTTTTAGGGCGTAGTTCATCGGCTGCATAGAAACTTTTCGGTGGGAATACGTTCCGCGACCCGCGGGACGAGACGTCAAGAATATGTCCCAATGACCGGGGTGGCGAGATTCCGACCAAGTTCCTCCCAAGCTTCGAGACACTGCCCCCTATCCGCAAATTTCTCGATGCCATAGTGCAGTTTCTTCAGCCGCAGGACTGGAAACAGCAAGCGCCGCCTCAGACTGTGTTGCGGCGATAGGTCGCCTTCGCGTGACGGCAACCCACCACGCGCCTGAGTTGCGGCCCCACCACACGACCATCGGTATGTTACGATCTTCCTCCTCGTCCGCGTGCGCGACGGCGTCCACTGTATTGTCCAGGATCCCGTACCGTCGCCCAAAGATCATCTCCGTCGCCTCATGGAAGTCTGCCCGTGTGTTCCATGCCCCCGGCATGCGGGACCGGTTGCGACAGACTGTGCCTCAGTCAAGTCACCTACCGAAGCTTATGCTCAGATCTCAAGCTCACCCCGAACGTCACCTCATCCTCTTTCGTCGCAATGTGCCGTGCTCGCCCATGAACGTGGTAAGCCTATCCCACTGCCCTCTACCGTCCTGCTGCTGCGCAGGTTCCCTTTCGAGTCTATTCTAGCTCCACTCTCATGCTGTGTTGCCGGCTCACACCGCACGATGGGGAACTCAGAAGGCGATCACAGAACCATGGACGCTTTCCGCCACTACCGAGGATGGTGGTCGCGCTCACACCCTGCGTCGTCATCGCCGAAATGCGGATGCCACTTGCCGTTCGTTCGAGGCCTCGAAGTCGAATATTCTGTCCTGTGACTCTAGACGAGGTGCGCTCATTCGCCGTATGTTGTGTCACGCTCCGCCAAGGCACAAGCGTCATCGCTTCCCATGCGTCCGATGCTTGTGCCATGGCGGCACCTTGTCTTTATGTGACGGCTTCGCCGGATTCTCATGTTTGAGCCTCTCCATTCGGCCGCGCGGCGCTATGACAGCTCCTGGGATCGAATGGTCGCGGCTCATCCTCGCCCACACTGCACGTCTGCTCCTCGGTGAATTTTCAGCATTCGCACCGGCGTGCTGGTGTAGTAGGCGGGCAGGTCGTCGCATGGTTCGAATGACGTGTTTACATGAGTTCGAAGGACATTACTGCCGATGATCGCTCACAATAATAAGAATTGCGCCTTTTGCGACGAATAACACTTTGGGTTTAGGGGGGCATATCATCTACCAAACGCTGTCTCCTAGCCTCAACGTCTTGTACCTGCATTGACCCTTTCTTCCTCGGGTCCGAGCAGACGAAGATCCTACGAGGAGGGGTTGTGTAGATGATCTTACTCTCCTATTCCTGTCCATGTGCCAAAGCAACTCGTCGGAGCCTCGTTCACTGCCCCCGAAGCCCTAAGTGATCAGGCAAATTATCCGAAGGCAAGGCAATTCCCAGACTACGCCAGCGCGTCAGCGAGTAGAAGACGCGTGAGTGCTTCCCCCTGACGAGCGCGCAGCGTCGGGCAACAGGTCGTGATGCGCCGGACAGCATGCGGGTGCGTCTCGCCTCTCAAATGCGGAATATAGTTGCAACCTGCGTTCCCGTGGGAAGGCTCCCTTCCCATGGAGTGCGACCTCGCGCTCTTCGCACATTCATTAACGCCGCCGCGGACGCGCAGGCGGTGCTTCTTCGTGGCCCGTTTCTTCGTCCGCGAAGCGTTCTCACAGACTAACATGGGAACGGCGAACGACCGCCCTACGTATGTCGCACCATTTTTGGCGCGCGACCTCCGTGCGCGGCCATTACCGTCATTCCGTCATCGCCCTTCTGCAACATACGGTAGCGCGGCCCCAGTCCATGGGTGCTTCAGAGTATTTGCGGCGGAATTCCAGCGTGGGTCGAAGGTATAAAGAGTGCGGTGCGACTGCCCTAAGGTCCTCAGAGTTCTACCACAGCTCACAGCCTCGAGACCGCATCCACAGCAACCTCGCAAACATGTTCGCCAAGTTCGCCACCGTCTTCGCCCTTGCCTCCGTCGTTGTGGCCGCTCCGGTCCCGCAGCTCCTGGGCTCCCTCCCCATTGTCGGCCCCATCCTCGACCCCATCGTCAGCGGCCTCCCTATCGTCGGCCCCATCCTGGCCGGCAGTGGCGCCAGCGGCAGCGGCAGTGCCGCGGGCGGAGGCCTCCTCGGCTCCCTCCCCATCGTGGGCCCCATCCTCGGGGACCTGCCGATCGTCGGTGGGCTCACCGTCTCGACGGGCCTCGCGAGCCTCCCCATCCCGAGCCTGCCGTCCATTGCGACGTCCATCGACGTCTCGATCCCCGTTGCGCTCCCCACCGGCCTGCCCCTTGGCCTGTAAGCGTTAGTTTTCACCATTTGTTCCCTCCGCACCCTCTCTGACAGTCACATTCGAACAGCGCGTCTGACAAGGCTGATGGTAATACCTTCCATCCTCGCGTTAAGAGTATAGACTCTGATATCTAACACAGTGGTCGACGACGCTCTGTCGCTCCCCATCCCGACTGGCATTATCCCCTCCGGCATTATCCCCTCTGGCATTATCCCCTCCGGCATCCTCCCCACCGACATCCTTCCGACGGGCATCCTCCCTACTGGCATCATCCCGACTGGCCTTCCTGCTCTCCCGACTGGCCTTCCCGCCCTCCCGTCGCTCCCCATCCCGTCGCTTCCCATCCCGTCGCTCCCTATCCCGTCTCTCCCCATCCCCTCCCTCCCGCTCGGTCTCGCGGTCCCCACCCCCGCTGCTGAGCAGTGAGCACACGCGCACCAGCACCCCCGGTCGCACCCGTCTAGGTCTCAACCCGTACCTACGGTAGCACCGTTTTCGTTTTCTATGCTTTCTGGACCGTCTCGGTTTCTTGTTTGTAGTGACTCTCTGTTCTCTGATGTACGCGTAGTAGCGGGTGAAGGCGGAGGAGGCGGATGGGGAGTGTAGATTGTACTTGGATTTCGGTTGTTGTGACTCGCGTACTGGTTTACGAATGTGATGTTTAACCCTCGAATTATTTGCGGCGACGAGTGCTCGATTCGCTTCAAGCATAGTACGCTGAAAATGAGTACCCGCCGTGCCTGGTAGACTTCCAGTCAGCCACTCGCGCCTAGCGATGATCTGGACCTTGCCCTTAGGCCTGCCTTCGGATCTCAGACTGCTCCGTCTCGCCTCTTCGGTTACGCCTATTGAAACTGCCGTCTCCAGACGTTTTCCCATAGACTCCTCGATAAAAGTGAGGGGTCAAGGTTACATATCCGCAGAGTATGTCTGACGCGACAAAGCTCGGTCTCGGATGACCGCATACAATTCCAGGCTGACCCGAAATCCGTGCCCCCATGCGGCAAGTATCGGTCGGATTTGCAACGCAACCTCTGCATAGTGCGCGGATATGTGCCAGTCGAGATTGTGATCCCGCCCAGGTTGAAGGGGGCCCGAGCATCTGCCTTCGGATGTCCTACGCATCCTACCAGAACATCCACTGCGAACATCTCCTGCGGAAGTGAATGTTTGGGGGATATAAGGAGGGCTCTTTGAGCCCGTCTCTGCATCACCATCATCTTCACCTTCAACCCTCCAAGTCTGACTGGTCAGCATCACCACTCGCCCTTTCACCATCTTCGCGCCAGTCGCCCACCCGGTCGTCACCACCACAACCACCCTGCTATTCGCCTCCCCTTCCAACAAACCTCCTTCCATCACCCACCCTCCATCACCACTTCCCACCAACCATGCTCATCCAACGCTACAACGCCGGCGCGGAGTACTCCGCGCTCATCTCCACCAACCCCTCCGCCTCCTCGCGCCGCCGCGCCGAGGACTACAAGCCCGCGTCCACGCGCGCCGCCATCTCCGACGAGGCCGCAGACTGGTACGAGGCCGTCTGCCCGCCCCTCGAGGAGGTGCAGGACGTGATCCGGCGGTTCCACGCGGACCCCGAGTTCTCACAGGAGCGCGTCTTCGCGTTCCTCGCGCCCATAGTCGTCTTTGGGGCGCTCTTCGTCGTCGCGGTCGTGGCGGTGCAGCCGCACTCGTTCGCGCACCGCATCATGGGCGACCCGGCGGCGGGCGGACGGGAGCTGGCGCGCTTCGCGGGCTTCCTGGTTGGGGGCATCGTACTCAGCGTCGTCGTGCTCAAGTGCGCGGTGTGGGGCGTTGCAGAGGTCTCGACTATCATTCTGTCGATGAAGACCAAGGAGGAGATCCGCAAGCGGGAACGCAGCGGGGCTCCGCCGGCGAATATCCTTGGCGGCATATTCATGTAGAGCCCTGTCATCCCTCCATGTCATGAACTGTAAAACACTCCTCTAAATTCATAAACATCCCCAAACTACATCGATTCCGTTGATATTTTTGCGTCAAGGTTCCGAGCACTGCTGTTCTCGCAGATCCGCCACCGGTGATCCAAGTTTCATGTCAGGTTGACTTAGTAAAACAGACACTGTTGATGGAGCCAGGGGAATTCGGGTTGCTTTGAGTGACATCAAACGCGCTCAGTCTCGTCGATTGCGATATGTCGAGCACAGACAGACTGAGCCGGGGCGACCGTGGTGGTAAAACTTCGAACTAGCTCCACCTCCAAATGCGGTTGGCAGTGCAGAGAACGCCCTGATGGCCCTGAAAAGGGTTAGGGCTCCTCTCGAAATGGGTTGTCGGAGCGCCCAGCGTCACCCACGTTCCTTCAACCTCGTCTCCTGAGTCTCATGTTCCAAGGCTCAATTCTGGGGATCTGCTATGCTGGATATATTTGCGACATATTCAATCGACGTCCTTGTGCTCTACTTGTCAGAAACCGCGCGCTGCAGAGCCCAAATGTCCCCGAGCACGTCATAGGAAACGCGGAGGATGAGCTTCTTCCGCTAGCGCTTCGGGCATGAACAGACGGCCAGCCCCGGATAATTCTTCACGGCTCGGTGAGGCACACATCTCTTTCGCGTACCTCGTATGCTCACCCTGGCCTGCGGTCAGGCGTCACCCGCACTGTATTGCGTTCACATGCCAGCCGCCGACGTATGGCACCCACGTACGGCGCCGTCGCACCCAGAGCGGCGATTGTCCCACCTCGCCGAGTGCCCATCCTCCTCTGACATGCGAGTCCGCGGGGATGCGCAAATGCCGCTCACCGCCCCCGCAGAGTTCAGGGGCCCTTCCCACCGCAATACAATGTGCTGCCCTCCGTGATCGTCCAGGCCGCTCGCTCGATCGTTGCTGCTGCCGTCCCCGCCATTCAAGCTGCAGAGAGCGTGACGGTTCCTGCTCCCACCACGACCATCTCCGTTCCTTCTTCCGTGCCGTCTTTCGTCACCGCGGCTGAGTGTCGGACGAACCGCGAGTGCCGCGATGTCGTCGAACCACCTCCACCGTCGGACCGACGGTTTGCCCATCATCGCCCTGCGTCCTCAGCTTCCGAAATTAGCTGGCCCGCTCGTTGGGATCGAGGGCTTCCCGATCGTGCCTGGCGTGGGCGCTGCATGGTGCGTAGATGTCTGGATTGACTTTTGAGTTTCGTAAGCTCAGAGTATTGGCTTCTGCAGCACGTTCGCGCCGGTCTGCAGTGTGACACGGTATTTCCAGGTTTGTTTCACGTAGAAGATCCTTTCCCGTGCCAGGCTCATACACGTCATCCCCGATGATTTATTGGCGGAGGGTTGTGTGCCTGTGACACGCGAGCGGGAGAGCTGCGCCGCTCTACAGCCCTTCTCAATCGGGACGTGATGGTTGTCGATGTAGGATACCCCGAGTATGTCGACGAAAAATGCCGGACGCTTCCACGCCCTTCCTCAATGCCGCCCACTCAATTTCACCCTTTGCTTTCATCCCAGGGGTCCTCGGGCATCGCATCGGCAAGGAGCACACTTCAACGTCCTGCTCGACATAGACAAGAGGCGGGATGAGCGCCCTCTGCGCTTCTCGCTCATCAAACTGGGCATCATCCCTGGCGGCTGTGGAAATGAACACATGTATGGCGTATCGACACGCCAGGCATGCTCTGATGTTCATTGTGTGCTCGACGCCGAATTCCCACTGGGGAGGTGAGTCACTGCCGTTTTACACGCCCTCGGTGCGGGTCGTCGGAGTGGCACGACCCAGGACGCGACACAATCGACGCACAAAATCAGTAGTAAGCCTTGGAACACAAGGACACCTGAGCACTTTCGACGTCCTCGTCAACAGCACTCGCGGCGACGTCCTCAGCTTCACCCAATCCTAGTATGTTTCCGGACTGTCCCTATCTTGAGGTTGTTACCAAGAACCAGTGTCCTACTAACCCACGAGCAGGATGAGTGGCATTCACAGAGCCGTCAACCTCTTTCCAGTCGAGCCGTCTCGACGGCAGCGGCGTTGGATCTCACTCCGGAGGTACGTTCTGTAGGTCTTAGCTTGTCTCAGGCTTTGAGCTCTAGTACTGACACGCTCAGACTCGTCTCACGTTTCCGAGGAACTGCGATGCAGATCGTACTTCCCAATGGTCTCGCACAACGGACTTTTAAGTCTGGACGTTACGTTCAGATCGGCGTAATGTATAAACATTTGCGCACTACAGCCTACGGATCCTTTCCCGAGGTCTGCCTCCGCAGAAGACGGGGTCAGCGACGCTCCTCGACGTCGTATCATTCGCGTCCCAGTTATACCCGTATATCAAGCATTGGTCCAGGTATCAATGCGAGACTGTAACTCGTCGCGGGGTGCGCTGTGCCAACCGCCCGTACCGCCGCGTAGAACTCCCCCAGACCACCGGCTCGTCCGTTTCCTCCTCACGGGTTTCCTCAGCCATACCCCAGTTCTTGTTGTCACGGGCAAGCTGCGTCGCTCGGAGGTAATGGTGTATCGACCGTACGAGCTCGGCTTCGGCAGTCCACGTTGCGGTCGGGCCACGGCCGGGTTCGAATCCGCGCATCAGGAGCTTCGAGTCGTGTTTGCGCATCTTGCACACCAACATGTGGTCTGAAGTCCACTCCCGATACGTTCGCGGCAGGGGGTCGACCTCCCGCCCGTCCTCGTAGCGACACACCACCCACGGGAAGATCCAGAGCAGCGTCTAGAGGTCGTGGCGATAGAGGCGGCGGACCCCGCCACGGAACCCCTTTTTGTCGAGAAGGTAGATGGCCATGAAGCGCAGCGCGCCAGTCGGCACCGAGCTAGAGTGGGTCCAGTTTGCGGCGCTGGGGTATCGGGGGCGGGATCCCAGCCGCAGACAGCACGCCGCAGACAGCGCCGTCCTCGAGGCGGTATATGAGGTTGTTCAGATTCAGGTCCTTGTGGTGGATCCCGTTGAGCCAGTTGAGGTGGTGTGCTGTACGAGTGGTCAGCACTGAACACCGAGCTGGAGCTGCACATACAGTAGGCCAAGCAGCGACGCACCTTGTACGCACTGGAACCAAGCACGCACGAACGTCTCCCCCGTTAGCTGGTGCAGCGGCCGGAGCTGCTCCGTCGTGGTCAAACGGAGCGTACCGACTCCGACCTCAATGACAGCCGACCCGTCGTGCTCCTCGAGAGGCCGCCTGGCTTGCAGTACTGGACCGCCGAGCCTATCGCGAACGATGCGTGTGCTGTACTCATCGTGCTGCTTCTCCTCCACAACCACTGCCGGCATGTGCTCTACGGTGACGTCTCGGCCGCCACTGTGGCACACTTGAGAGCGCGAGCTATGATGTTGCATTTTGACAGGCGGGTGGTATCGTCCGCCTGCGAGACTAAGTGGATGACTACAGGCATCTTGTGCAGCGGATGTCTGCGGCCGGCCGAGGGGTCGAGATTTAAGTACACTATGGTGAGCCCAATCGAGGTCAGCACTGTTTGTGGAGAGGCCGTTGAGAACCCTACCTGTGATCCCATGCTCTATGGGAAGCGTTGAGCGACACCCGACGCGGTCAACCAAGTTGTAGGTCAACGTTCAACGTTGCCGCTACCGCCATCGATGGCCTACCTCTTTAGGCATGCCCGTCGAATTATCTTATTGCCATGAGTATTGCCATGAGTAAGTGAATGGATTAAACCCCATCCCACGCTGCAGAATATAGGGCACTCATGAGAGCAGCATGTCATTCGATAGATGATCTTGTACAATGTGGGGTCTACTACGTACAGTGTGTAAGGGAGCGAAGGTGAGCATATGCAGAGCGACGAAGGCTGGGTCAAGCGGAGACGCGCGGACTCGGAAGGAAAGCAGCGAGCGTGAGCGGGTGGATACTAGAATGCGGGGAGCAGTAGTGTGTGGAACGTGAGAAGCAAAGTGGGAGATATACCGCCCGCGGCAGCGGTGAGGCATAGCAGCAAAGGACATTAAACAAGAAAGTGAACGGTCTCTTACACCTCGTCGATCGTGAGCTTGGAGTGGCGGCACGGAAACAGACGACGCTCAGTCGACGTCGAGCTCATCCGCGAACCGGCCCTCCATCAGCTCCTCGCCCTTCTTCGGCTGCGCGCCCGCCCACGCCTTCCCATCCGTGCGCTTCCCCCACTCGTCGACGCCGAACACCTCGATGTACTCGTTGTATCCGCCGCGCCGCGCATCATCCAGGAAGCGCTCCTTCACCTCCTCCGCGAACGGGTACCACTCGCCCACGCCGATCTTCATCATCCGCAGCTCCCGCGGTAGAGGATCTGCGAGGCCCTCGCCGTTGACGCCGCGCCCGCGCTCGTGCGCATTGGCGCGGATCCCGAGCAGACCGCCGTGCGCGCCCCCAAGCCGGCGCGCGACCTCATCGGTGACTTGCTGGATGCGGTTCATCTGCGTCACGCGCATGCGCGTGTTGAACGACGAAAAGTCCTTGCGCTCGTCCGCAGGGATCGCAGAGTAGAACGGCAGCCCGCGCCCGAAGCTCTGCGACAGGCGATGCATCGCGGCGGCGAGCGGCCGCGTCGCGACGGTCACGGTCAGCAGCGGACGCCAGAACGGCTCCTGCGCCAGAGTGGGCAGGTACTGCTCGCGGCGCGCGGCGATTTCAGGCTCTGGGCCCTGGGGCACGAGCGTCACGCCCTTCTTGGCGAGTGCGTGCTGCACGGCGGGGGAGAACGAATGAGGCAGCACGCTGGCGCGGGCGACGGCGCTGGTGTGGTAGCCGCGTGCGTCGCCGGGCTTCTTCGCAGACCCGACGTCCTTGGTGGTGACGCCGGGGGCGGTCTCCTTGACGGAGTCAATCTCGGTCCAAGGGAGCTTGGGCGAATCCGGGGGCTTTGACGCAACCGGGTGGAACTCGGTCTCCGGCGTCGGGGGCACGAACCCGCTCGCGTGCGCAATGGTGCCGTCTTCGAGGATAACCTCAACGGGGATCTTCTCCTCACGGTGGCGAGTCTGTGCGGCCAGGTCCTCGCTGAGGATACCCGCGTTGAGCTCTGCCATGAGGCCACCCTCCTCTTCCTTGCGCTCCGCGATCTCGCTGCGCTGCTTCTTGCGCTCAATGTAGAAGGGAGGAACGACGCTGTCAGGGTCGTTGTCCTTCGACTGGGAGGGGGAGTCCCAGGCCGAGGTAGTAATCTTGCTGCGGTCCTCGGGCGACGTGGGCTTCAGCGAAGGGAGCTTTGCGCTGCTGGCTACGCGTGCCTCGGGGTTGACGTCGCGCACACCCGTGAGAACGGAGGTACCACCAGCGACTACGCGCTTCAGCCACTCTTGCTCCTTTTCCGGGTCAGGAACGATGGGGTCGGCGGGAGCGACCGGGAACTCGCGCTCGTCCCAGGTCTGCTTGAGGGTGGCAACAAGAGGGTCGTCCTCAGAGGGGACCTTCGCAGCTACAGGGTGAAAGTCTGTTTCCGGCGTTGGCGGCTCAAAGCCGCTCGGGTGGGCGATGGTGCCGTCCGGCAGGCGGACTTCGACAGGGATCTTCTCGTCACGCACGCGGGTCTTGGCTGCAAGGCCTTCGCTGAGGATACCGGCATTGAGTTCGGCCATCAAGCCGCCCTCCTCTTCCTTGCGCTGCGAGATGTCGTCGCGCTGTTTCTTGCGCTCGATGTAGTATGTGGGAACGACGTGGTCCTGCGCGTCTTGAGACTCGCGAGGGGGACGACTCCAGGCAGAACCAGGTAGGCTCTTACGGCTCTTGAGAGAGTCCGGATCGTCGTCCGCGAGACGCGTACTAGCAGAAGAGTGGAATCCGCGTGCGTGGATAGCCTGCACACCGGGGCTACGCGACGCCAGGAGTTCGGCGGGGACAACTTTGCCGGGGGAACGATGCGAAGGCTCGACCTGGACACTCCCGGCAGCTTCATTGAGGGCTTTGCGACGAAGGTCCTGGGGGTTCTCGCCGTCTTCCCACCAGCGGACCGGCTTTCGCCGGCGAGGCCCATCCCACGGCCACCGAGCAGTATCCATGGGCTCCAAGAACTCAGCAGCAGCATTTGGGCTATTGGCTTGCTGGATGATGGCAGGCAGGGCGGCCTCTGCGCACATGCCGAGGGATTTCTCGTGGAAGTCGACGCGCCCATGTCCAAGCATAGAAGGGTGGCGCCCCTCGAGGAGGTAGATTGTGCGCGGTTTGTATGCGAGGGGGTCAGGAGACTCGTAGACCTTGCCGTTCTCTGCATAAGGGCCGCCCTCGTGCCAATTGGCGGATCGGAAAGAGCGAGGACGCGTGAAACCGCCCATGTACCTAGATATTATGGATAGAGTGATCAGAAACATAGAAAAGGTGCTTCGCGTGGGCTACGAACGAACGCAAGTGCGGACACCGTGAACTACCGAGGAACGGAATGCAGTAAACTCACGTTTTGACGTCAGTCAACGCAGTAGCGATGTCGCTAAGCTCATCGTGCTCCGCCTTCTTTAGACGCGAGCGGGAGGTCGACTTGGACGCCTTCTGTGCTTTTGACGATACCGTGGGCTGGTCGTCGAGTACACGCGCCGAAGATGTCGTATGGGCACTGGTGGAGTGAGCAGCAGAGCCCTGAAGAGCTCTGGTGCGTGCAATGTTCGTCAAGTTCGCGCGAGGCATGGCAACATATGCCTGTCGTAGTGGGAGTATGAGGAGGAAAGGTATGAGGCACGCAGTGCGGGGGAGAACGCGTAGGCGCTCATCACGGCAATATTATTGCACGCCATGTTTGGCGGTATTTGTCCCGCTCCACCGATATCATGCAGTGCTCGCCAAACACTACCTGCCTTTTTGGGACCCGCCCTCCATCGATGAGCTCGTCGTTGCCCCGCTCTTTCTCCTCGCGGCGACCCGCCCGACGACGGCGACGCTCGGCGACGAGTTAAATCACACGCTAAATTGTTCGCCGACGCGCTAGGAGCCCGGCACGCAGTTTCTGACGCTGCCGGAGATGGTCAGAATCAGAACATCTTACGCAGGGAAGCTTACCTTGTGGGCCCGCCGCCGGTCAGTAAGTTTGACTTCAGCGCCGCACGTTGTCTACCGTCGAGTCAATGGAAAGGTTTATGTGCGCACTGCCATAAGCTTTTGCATATATTCACGACGTTAGAGGTTCAAAAGGGGAACGGTTGCCGGGCGACGAGGACCGAGCATGATAGGTGCGTACTGAAGAACATTAATATATCATCCATCGGGTACGGGGATATACGGCAAGTAGGCACAAAGGAGCGACGACAATCCAATAGTAGTAGGTACGCAGAACACGAACGCCCCCACCGGGAGCGGAGGGCGAGAGGAGGAGGGACAACAAGCAGATATTGTATAACGAGTGGACGCGAGTCGGGGTATCATACGAAAACTCTTTTGGCAGCGGCACCGCGCCCAAAGCACGCGGCGCTAGGGGGCCGACGCCTCACCGCCTGCCAGTGCCGCGCCCGTAGCCAACCTGCAGGTTGTCGAGCTCCGCCTCGAGCGCCTTGATCGCGCTGTGCGCGAGCTCGAGGTCCTTGTTGAGCCGGTCGCGCTCGGCGATAAGCTGCAAGGACGCCGTCAGTACTGCCGGATCGGGCGGCGCAGGTCAGGGACAAGTGACGTACGTGCTGTTCCCACTGGCGGAACCGCGCCTCCTCCGCCTTGACCTGCTCGGTGAACCGCTTCCGGAGCGCCTCCTCCTCCTCCTTGAACTTGGGGTTCTCGAACTTGCGCGGCTTCTGCTCGCCGAACTTGCGCGTCTCCATCTGCGCCTGCCGGTAGTTCTCGTAGTGCAAGTCCTCCGTCGTCGAGATGAGGTCGAGCATGTACGTGCGGATGAGCAGCGACCGCAGCTTCCGGAAGTCGCAGTGGTTCTCGTTCTCAACTGCACAGTACCCGTGAGCTTGCTATATTGCGCGCGCACGTAATGGAAGAGAAGACATACCCTCGGCAACACCCCACAGGTATTCGCGACCTTTCACGACGCGGCCGTCCAACGTTGTGACGTCCTCGGTCGAACCAATGATGGAGAACGGCATGGCCTCGAGAAGGACGCGCGCGTGGTCGGCGCTAACCTCATCATCGGCCTCAATGGGCGGCTGGTAAATGCGGATGCCCTGCGCTTGGATAACTTGGCGGATCTATTTGCGCAGTGAGAACTCATGCGCGTCGTCGTACCAAGAATGAACACCTACGCGCTGCTTGAAGGTGAACAGATCGTTCTGCGTCAGGGTGTCTGCCTTGGCGATGACAGGGATCAGGTTGACGCGGGTACCCAGGCGCTTCATGATCTCAATGTCCAGGGGCTTGAGACTGCATCTCTCGTCAGTTCTGCGTGCTGTCAAACAACGCTCTATGCACTCACGTGTGTCCCGTCGGGCGGATGAAGTACAAGCACGCGTGCACGCGGAGGTCAATCTTCTCCTGGCGCTGCGGCTGCTGCTCCTGACGCATGTACGCTTCATGCTGGTCGTCAATGAAGTCGACGATCGGCGTCCACGAGTCGCGGTTGTTGACGTAGTCGCCGAACCCGGGCGTGTCGATCACGGTGAGCTTCGTCTTGAACTGCTTCTCCTCAAGCTCGGCCTTGATGATCTCGACCTCAGTCAGCTTGTCGAGCTGCTTCTGGTGCCGCTTAGTGTAGTTCTTCGACGGCGAAAGCTCGGTCGAGAAGAGCGTGTTGATGAGCGTAGTCTTTCCGAGACCCGACTCGCCTGGAAGAGAGCAAATAGTAAGTAGGTGTCCATACTGCAGGCAGAAGTGACCAAATTCGCCGAAAACGCGATAAGAATACGCGCAGACAATCCTAAGTCGTGCCATAAAGCAGTAGTGCTAATCATAACGCGACCCTACACGTAGCTCGCGTTCACCTTTGGTATTCATTATAGGTGCTGGCGCATGTCCTCACTCATTTCGCCGGCAGAAACCCTCGGCATGTAACGGAAACAGCTCACTCACCAACGACCATGACCGTGAAGTGCGCCCCCCGCTTGGCGACAATCTTGTGCCTCTATACACAGTAACACACGCGTCCGTTCAGTCTCCCGTTGCGGCCGTTGCGTGAAGCAGGTGTCACAGCTCACCTGGTTGGGCAGGTTGGCAATGCCGATGCCATCGTCGGAGAAGGGTACGGTGGTCATTTCGAGGTCGAACGGGGGGGAGGAGGGCGGGGAAAACGGAGAGGAGGGGACGGGCTGAGCGCGACGACGAGATGAAATTCCAGTCGTCGCTGCGAAGCGCTGGTATTTGGTGGTATTTGGCCGACTTCGGGCGCTTCCGTTCTATGTCCCGACTCCCTGCTCTTCGAATTCGCTGCTTCAAGCTTGCCATGTTCCATGCATCTCTTGGGATCCTTCCGAGTGTCGAGAGAGCTGATGTGCGTCGTTAGATATGACAGATGAATAAAAGACTGAGAGTGCGAGATCTCCTGGCCCGCTACGCCGTCTTGTCTCTGATCAGCCAGAGCATCACCTCAGAGTATATTGCAGAGGTAATCATGGGGATGGTGCGTCACCTCTTATTGGATCGGAATAGAACCACGCTGATACCCTTATCTTGAACAGAGGAATGTGCATAACGCCGGTATGCTGGTAGGCCGAGGGACGGGAAGTTCGTGAGACGGTCACTATGTACCCAAGCTATCGCCGCGCGCAACTGTTCGACTGCAACAAGCATATTCGACGCATATATGCGTTGGCGTCGCGCGCACATATACTCTCTGTTGCCGCCGATACAGCAATACCTATCCGGAATATGCAGCGGGGGGCTATCCAAAGTTTGACCATCCCTCGCCTCCATGACATGGTCGCTTGATTGCCACTGAACTAGGCCCACTGTACGATGTCATGCACGGGTAAAGTCCACCATAATCCTCCAATCCTTCCATTCACGCCTCACATCTCGTCCTACATAGATCCGCAACCTCTCTTCATCGTAACGATCCTCGCTCGCGCATTCCGACTGATACGCATCCATCCTTCCTCATTGTATTCGCCTGTCGGTGTTCACTGTCCCCTACGCCACTTCTCAGTAAGTACTCGTTCTCATCTACCCAGGAGCGACACTCACTACGTATCGTCCATGATCCCTACCGGCCGTAGAGCGGAGCCCATGGCGCTCTCCCAACGTTCGCCTTCGGGGTTTCCTGCACGACGCGCAGCGGCAGTGGCATGTCGACCCTCGACTGCGGCACCGACGGGGGCACGGGCGCCGCGACGGCGTGTCCGCCCAGCGCGAAAACCATCGTCAGGATGATAAAGAGGAGGCGAGTCGGGTGCATGCTCGCGTTCATCGACTGGGGTGGAGGGAGTCCTGGAGAGTAAGGCCAAGGCTGGGCAGTCGGTCGTCGAAGCGGCAGGAACGCAGCGCGCGGTCCCCCCTCAAGCCCGACTATATACCTGCCGCGAGCCGATGACCTCTAAATCCACCCCACGCCGGTACGTCCCCTCGCTTCAAGTGACGAGGGCCTGCCCTATAATTGCCGTGGCTGTGCTCGTACGGCACGCCCGCCCTCGACCCTTCGCGCTAGTCATCGTCGGGAATGCCACCCTGTGTAACAACGACGGGCTTCAAACTGGCATGCATATGAAACCTGCCCCTGGGCTGCAGGGACGCGTGCTCTATCTGCGTGTCTGCGAGCGTACTGCGCCTGCGGAGGCGGTTAGCGAGGAGGAAGGCCGTCTCGCGACCGCCTCGGCCGGTGTTGGCGCTTCACCGTTTCTGGACTTCCCGCGCATGCCATTCCCAATGCGAACGCGCGGCGGTTGCCGTTCCGTGAGGAATGGAGGGAGCCGAGTAGTGCGAGGACGAGACGGAGCTCATGATACGCTAGGCGCGCTGCTCAGGCGAAGAGTTCATCCGGAAGCCAGCGAGCACAGGAGCATTTTGCAAACATTCATATTGTTTTGGTGGGGCACGGGGGTCTAATGATACAACGAGGCGAGCGCAACACTTGCGAACGGGCCCCTGCGATTCTATTTCCGGCTCGTACAGAGGTCTATGCTCGCGCTCCTGCTCTGGTACAGCGTGGTGAATTGTGGTTATCGAACGTGTACTGTGAGAGGGGAATGAGCGCCATGCGTCAGCGAATAGAGAACGCAGACATACCGATACAAAACGAGTGGTTCGCTATCGGTCCACGCCCCAGGGGAGCGCGAACGGATTCGCCTCCTTATTCGGCGCGCGCGCTGATGTTGACTTCGCCGCGAGCCACAGCGGCAGCGGCATGCCGTGCGCAGGTGCTGGTGCGGGCGCAGCCCCAACGAAAGATGCGCAGGCGACGACGGTCGCGAGTGCAGAGAGGTAGTGAAGACGCATGGGGTGGAGGTGGGGGGTGAGGTCGTGCGCAAGAGGGTGGAGTTGCGCAGAGAGAGAGACGGATGCTCTAGGAAAATCCCCCAGAACCCGCCCATACCCACTTATACGACCCGCCCACTCACGCACGAGCGTGCAAACCGTGCGCCTGGCGCGAGCGGATGTGATCGAGTGGATCGTGGGCGCCGCACCCCGAGCGTCGCGCCTAGCCGGACTAGTCGTGCAAGCGCCCGCGCGCCCTGGTGGCCCTCCCGAGTCCCGCCTATGCGGCTCCTGGGAGTTGGCGTGCGGCCGGCAGCCATACCGAGCTCCCCGGGCACGCCCGCTGCACTGCAGGGGTTGAACGCAAGAACATACCTTGCCTGACGCGGTTACGAGATCTGTCTTATGTTGTCTGTGGCTCTCTTTCGTCCATCATACAGCCCAGGTGGCTGACCATTCACTTCGCCCACAGCTTCACCCGCTGCACCCGGTGCCCACCCGCTATCTGGCTTGGCCTCACTCAGGTTCTCCCTGGCGTTACTCAGCTGAACGTGCTCTCGTTCTGGGCTGCTCGGGGCAGTATGATCGTCCCTGCGACAGCATCCGCCAATCTATCCCAAAGCGTACTTCCGCCCCTCCCCACAACCCGCACACGCGCTCGATCCGGAGCGCCCAGATCAGCTTCCGCACACATCTGACGCAGCTCCAGCACGCCATCGGGTGGACCTGCTTGCTCCCCTCGAGAGCATCGACGTATACGACACTGTTCTGCGCCAGCATGCGACCACGAACGAGCTGGGGCCCGCCCTACTTTACTTTGCGGACTGTAAGAATCTAGGAGGGGTGAGTCGCTTTCCGGAGGCTGGCCGTCCAGGCTGCCGTTCACCAACTCCGAGTCTGGCCACGATCGTGATCGGCAATCCGTCCTCCTCCGCTCGAATCGCCCACCGACATACGGCACCGCGTGGCGAAGATAGCGTTTAGGAGCCAGGAACGCAGCACTGGCTACGCGTCGGGACGTTGGAAGATCTCTTGCAAACGCGTACCGTACCTGTCGTGCCTTCCACGTGTACAATTCATGCTGAGTTGATATACCGTAATGATTTCATTGAAGACAATACACTCGAATCCGGCTACGAAAAGGAAAGGAAGAGCCAAAGCGACACGAGCGACGAAAAAGAATTAGCTATGTGATGAGTTCGATAGAAACAAACTGCGATCGCCGAAAAAGTCAGTAATTGCCCGCTCGCATTTTGGAAGATATGCGCTGACCAAAGTGATGTGGAAGGATATCTTGACAGGGTCCGGGCGCCAGGGAGCGATCCCTTAGAGCTCAGTGTTTATCGGTGCGCAGCCCAAGCTGACACCACCTGCGAAGACAAACACGGTGAGGAGTCTCGCCTGACCTGAAGGACTTGGCAGACTTACCGTAGCTGTTGCCGTTACAGCAGACAGGCGCCGCCTCGCTGGATTGCCACACATGTTAGAATGATGATACCCGCACTTGGAGAACCAAAACGCGTACCAGCTAGGGTTGCCACCAACAGACCCGGTGTTGATCGGCGTGCACGTCAGGCCGGCTTGGTCGCCCTCGGCGATTTGGTCGAGGATGCCGAGAGCACCCAAGATGGACTTGACGTGCTCGGTGTCCGTAGACTGGACGCTGTTGCAGCACTTCAGGGCACCGGTGTTGCACTGCGAGTTCACGGTGGAAGTCGAGGGCCTGGCAGAGGCGGTGCCGACGAGGGCAACCGCGAGGACGATGAGAGTGGTGAAGAACTGCATGGCTGATAATATGAAGGAGAGTTAAGAGGGCGCGCTGAAGAAGATATGCGGAGGAGGAAGATGAAGAGAGATGTCGTCTGGCGGCGCCAGAAACTGGGGTTTTATAGGTGCCTTGGACGACAGCGTTCAACCAACGTCGATCGACGGAGCGTCTTTTGCCATTGGGCCGTTTCTTTAAGGGTGCAGTAGAAGAGGTGAACGCCACTGTGCTTCACAAGTTCAACATGAGAAGGTTGGAGCTGAGCATGTCGATCGGCACAGATGTCACGGACGGCTCCGGCTCGCCCCAACCCTCCGCCGTTTGACCACAAGAGCCTGCCTCCAAACACAAAACAAAATTGTACCCTCCTCGACGTCGTGTATGCGTTGAAGAGGCCGTGTCTTGGTAGGTGTTGCTCGAGAAAGACTCGATGATGGGCAAACATGAAGACCTTCCAAAAGGGGACCTCCACACTCACCGCCACCACGCTGCCGTGGTGGCGTGATCCACGTGGCTAGCTCGTCCGAACAGCGAGTGCCATCGTTGGTCGTCGTCTCGAGCTCTGGTTTACCGCGATCATGTTCGGACAAAGTGACATTTGAACGTTCTTCGGGTTATCCAGCTCCTCGGTTCCCGCAATGCTCCTGACAGCGCACAAAGAGCCTCCGTAAGCCCCGCTCTCTCCTCTGCGGTCGGGTCACGCAACTACGTGGTCGAAGTCGTTGATCTACTACGAAGGCGCTACAGCAGGATCGTCAATGGCTCTCGCGGTAGGGGCCGACCGTCTTCGCAAAGCCAGCGACGGAAAAAATGGAGTCCGTCATTCCAGGATTGGACCTCCATCGGACCCGGACAACTCGTAGCGAACAACGTCAGTGTCAGTCACTGTACTTTCTCTCGATCTCACCCTTTTTAGGTCCTCTTCACCCAGATGGCCGATGCGGCCGGGTTTTATCTGCTTCGCCAGAGCAGTTCTCTGTCCCAATCCGGCCGAGTGGAACAGAGGCCTTCGCTCGTCCTCCGAAGGCCGTCGTCCCCAACGTCGCTTGAAGTTCCCGAGCGAACACCACTCAAAGAACCTCTCTCAAGCCGGCGCGTGCATCACTCGCTTAGAACCGCGTCCCCAGGATGGAGGACGTCCTCCCCATCCCGTCGACCTCGAGGCCGATTCCTCGCAGAGACCCGTACGTGGGGGAGTTCCCCTCACCGCGCCTCTCGCACACCCACGGCGTCCCGCGGACCTCCTGCGCCCATAAATACTGCGCAAAGGCTCGGTGAACAGCATCGCTAGCCGTCCTTCGTCAGCGACTCTTCCTCTCCTTCGCCTTCTCTCGCAATTCCTCGCAGCACCCGCTCGACCACCACTCTCATTTCATCAGCCACCATGCAGTTCAAGCAGTCCCTCCTTGCCGCCGTCTTTTTCGCCGTCTTCGCAGTCGCCGCACCGGCGATTAACGTCGACCTGCTCGGGTGCCCCTCCGCTGGCGCCCCACCCGCCGGCGAGCCCAGTGCTCCCACGGACGGTTCGATAGCCGTCTCAGTCCCGGTGAACGTTGGCGGGGGAGACCTCCTTGGTAGCGCCCCCGGCGGCGTGCTCTCTGCCCTCCCCATCGGAGGTCTTCCCGTCGGAGGTCTTCCGGTCGCGGGCGGCGACCCTGGCGTTGGTGGTATCGCTGGCGGTCTCCCCGGTATCGGAGGCATCCTTGGCGGCGGCGACGGTGGTCTCCCCGGTGTCCCCGGTGTCTCCGACCCCACTGGCTCCCCGACCTGGGGTACAGGCGCGCCCTCTGGCCCGAGTGCCTCAGCCGGAGTCTCCGCCCCTCTTGGTGCCCCCAGTGCGCCCACCTCGGTCCTCCCCATTAGCACGAACCTCGCCACCTCGGTCTCTGCGCCCACTGCCACTCTCCCCGTGAGCACCAACCATGTCACCTCGGCCTCTGCGCCGCAGCCCACCCCGGCCCCCTCCAACCCCGGATCCCCGAACAGCCCTGAGCAGCCTAGCGGCAGCAACTCCGGCGGGTACGGCGGTGGCAGCAGCACGTGCAGCACGGGCCCCGTCCAGTGCTGCGACTCAGTGCAGAAGTCCGACGCTCCCGAAGTGCAGAACGCCTTGGGACTCCTGAACATCCCCATCGGCGGCGTGACTGGCCTGGTTGGGCTGACATGCTCCCCCATCCTTGGCACCCTGAGTTCGAGTTCGTGGTAAGTCATCCAAGGTGTCGCTGAGTGTAGACCGACTCTGATTCGTATGGTCACTTTCGTAGCTCGGCTCAAACCGTGTGCTGCGAGGACAACTCTTACGGTACGTCGTTGCTTGCTGTAAATGGCGCGTATTCTTGCTTACAACGACTGTCCAGGGAGCCTCGTTAGCATTGGATGCTTGCCCATTACTCTCTAGGTCGACACAGTCGAACAGTCGCGCCGTAGTTTTTGGTATTAAAGCTGTCCTTCGCTTTCTCGCTTTTGTTATCTCGCGCAGCGCAATCCCCTCCCGTCGACTTCACAGTTATAGTAATAGTGCTTTTCGGCTCTCGGTTAATATCAATATGTTCCGCGTTCATACCTTGCGAGTGCGCACTGCTACTAGCGCGAACTCGAGAGCCTTGCAACGGGAATTTCGTCGATTGCTCCGGGCCGGGATTGCTCAACACGATGGAGTACCGTGGAGGACCATTCTGTTCGGCTCGCTCACGATCCTCGTCAACTCAACGCTGGGCGCTCACGTTGACGGGCACCACCACCCTTCCCAAAACAGGTTACATCGCACCCGTTAAGGCAGGCGCTGTGCTTCGATGTCCCCTCACCCTCGCTGCCCGTCACTTCAACATCTCCTGCGGGGCGATAAGTATCCGTCGCGGCGGAGATCAGTCCTCCTTCTCCTCCCTCTCTCTCACCCCCACCTACTACGTCCACCGTCAATCGTTTGTGTTACTCTTTCCTCACGATGCAGTTCAAGCTCTCCCTCCTTGCCACCACCGCCCTCGCGCTCGTCGCGGTCGCGAAGCCCCACGAAGCCAGGTGCGACTCGCACACCACCACGTCGACGTACACCCCGCCGACCACGACCTGGGCGCCGACCACGACCTGGACCCCCACCACGACCTGGACCCCGACGCCCACTTGGACCCCGGCCCCGCCGAAGCCCACGACGACGACAAAGTGGGAGCCCCAGCCGACGGTGACGATCACCAAGACCACGACGCGCACGAGCACCGAGACCGAGACGATCTCGACCGGACGCTCCAGCCACCCCCACTCCAGCCCGACTTCGGGCTCTTACTGGTCGTCGGCGACGCCCTCGCCTACCTCTCCCGGCGCGAGCGCCCCCACCGGCATCCCCGCTGGGGAGTGTAACACAGGCTCTATCCAGTGTTGCGACCAGGTCCAGGACTCGAAGTCGGAGCACATGAGCAACATCATCTCGTCGCTGGGGATTCTCCCGGAGAGTGCCACCGGCCTGGCGGGCACGTCGTGCTCACCCATCAACATCCTTGCGCTTGGAGGCGGTGAGAGCTGGTACGTTTTCCTAGTCCTTTGGTGCGCATATACCCGAAGACGAGCGACTGACTATATGCGCGTCCGATTAGTGACCAGACCCCGGTTTGTTGCAACAACAACACTTACCGTGAGTGACCTATTCCGCGTGCTGTCTCGGAAGAGGACGCTAACCGCATAATGCAGAGGGCCTGATCAACATCGGCTGTGTGCCGATCATCCTCAAGCTTTGAGCGAGCTAGCTGTGGTTCGGACATTCGTGAGTCTGAATACCTCCTATACGTCTAATGTTGGACTAACTCACCGCTCGCGCATACAGTCGGTCGTTTGAGTTTCTCGCCATCGGACATATTCTGTATCGTTAGTTTTCACTTCCTCGTCATCGTTGCCTGCCTTCCTTCGCTTTCTATCGGGCTTCGACGTCATCATTCACTATCTTTGTATCTCTGATCCTTCGCGACTGTCTCTGGGGTTTTGAATGGCTGGACACGACACATACACGATTGTACGAAATGAAATCAGACACGGCACCTGTAGCAGTACGTCTTAGGATTACAATCTATCTGATATGGTTTTCCGCGTCCAACGAGTGTGGAGTCGTACTAGGCCCACTTTGAACGTACTGGGTGTCTCTGGACAGGCGAGGTTGGCCTGAGCAGTGTACATATAAGTATCTGCCGCACCGAGTGGAGGCAGGAGCTCGAGCTGATAGGCACGTGGAGTGAGTGAGTGAGTGGCTGGGTGGTTTCTTTGGATTGAGTGGAGGAGATAGGCGTGTCGGCGTCTGCCGCGCCTTTCCTCCCGATTAGATTGGGAGAGAGCGCCGCGGCAGCTAACGCGTTGCGTCCTAGGTCTCGCTCTCATCACGAAGGCAGCCACCATCTACCACCACCCTGCGCAGTTGACGTATTGACGTCTACTTTGCGTCCTCTGACGATGCGTGGAGTTTGACTTCAGACCTTTCGGGAAGAGAAGGTAGCACGTTCGTGCACACAGGTACCGCAACGTAAACGTCGAGCTTAAGGTATGTAATGTCGTCTCTGCTTTTCTCAGCAACAACAATTTTACATATACCCCGCCGCAGATCTGTTATGAATATTCCACTCTATATGCATGCACACAACAGCATGGAGAGTTTTCACCTCCACGGCTCCTGCCGTGGTTTGAATGCTGTTGACTCGCGTCGGCACCCGAGGTTTGACTCGGATGCATTCATACTACTCGCGCTTCAACAGGGTGCTCTTGTTCTCTACACGAATGGTGGCTGAATATGCGCCTCTTCGCTTGTCAGATGACACCCGTCGAGGTCGTGCACGGTTTGATCGACCACGGACGAGGGGTGAGCGTTTTGCTTTGACGAGCACTGAAGAGCCAAGGGATCGTAACAGGTCCTGCATGCTTGGGTACGCCGCCGTGGCGCCTCATATTCCGAATGCGACAACGTTGTCTCCTCTTCTCTAGACCTACTCCCAGGACCTTGGTTCAGCGCTCGCTGGCGGTATAGAACGGCTCAGATGGGCCTGAGAATCGTGTCCCCCCTCGTTGCTCTCCACCACCTACCCTCTAGTGACTTCCCCCCGTCCTAGTCCAGTTCGCCATGCTCCTCTACATTGTTTTGTTGTGCACAGCATGGCTTACGTGGAAACTCGTCCGCCACGCTTCTGCGCCAAAGTCCCAAATCAATAATCTTCCTGGTCCCGCTTCGCCGTCATGGGCCACAGGTACGTGTCCCTTCCACATCTAAAGGCGCACGAGTATACTCAGAGCCTTTTTGTACTCCAGGTCATCTTCTGAAATTGTACGACAGGCAGGGATGGGATTTCCATCGCGAGCTCCTGAATTACGGCCCTGTCTTCAAGCTGCAGGGCATATTTGGCGTACGTCTTCCCGGGCCCCCTATGTTTGAGCATGTCTGACGCTCGTTTGTGAATGATTAGCGACCAATATTGTGTGTGTACGACTCTGTGGTCATGCATCACATCGCCGTCAAGAACCAGCACGTCTTCGAGGAGATACGGTGGCTGACAGCGTACGCTTCATAACTTCTGGCTACCCTCCAGTACGATCACTGACTTCACTCCCTTAGCATGTCCACTGATATCTTCGGTCCCGGGCTTGTAGCTAGTGTTGGTATGTATTGCGAAACTGCTCTCTCTCTCCTAATGCTGAATCTCAACGCTCTCTTTAGGGGAGGAGCACCGCAAGCAAAAAAGGCTTATGAACCATATATTCTCCGTCAATAACCTCCAACAGGTCACACCGGTGTTGCACGAGGTTGCCCAACGAGTACTTCAGCCTCCTGCTCCCTTCCCTGCGCCTGCGCTCACTCGTGCTTTCAGCTCACCCACGGCATCCATGCGCTAGTCAAGGATGGTACTACCGAGGTGGACGTGGGCCGCTACATGGGCCGCGTGGCTCTGGAGCTGATCGGTCAGGCTGTCATCGGCCACTCGTGCGATCCGCTCACGGAATCTCATTCACATCCGTACACGGAAGCATTAAAGGACCTTGTGTACGTCTTCATCATACCATTCTGCGACCACTTGTGGGCTCTGACTTCCGGGACGCCGCCATCGTAGTCCCGCGCTCCAGGCCTTAAGAAGCTACTATCAAGCTTACCTCCCTCTGCGGTCGTTCATTCCCCCGCTGGTCCGGCGTCCGCTCATGAACGTACTTCCCTCTCGGCGTGTCAAAAACCTGTTACGGACCGTCGACGCCTTGCAAGCCAATGCAGTCAAGATCTACACGGAAAAGAAGGGCAACACGGAGTTGGCCGACCAGCTTGGCGAGGGCGAGGTAACTCCCGGAAGGGCCAAGGACTTGGTCTCTGTTTTACGTGCGTAATGTGCCAGGACCTCGTCGTTGTAGCTTTGTTTGGCGCAGCTCACATAGCCCTGGACAGTGCGCGCAAACGCCAGAGCATCTAACGGAAACATGCTGTCCGAAGAGGAGATGATTGCTCAACTGTCGTGAGTCCCGTTGGCGTATTACAAGTCTACTATACATTGATATGTTACATAATGCAGGACCCTCGTCTTTGCCGCTACGGACACGACGTCGAACGCGCTCGCGCGTGTCATTGACTGCATTGTCCAGAGGCCTGATGTACAGATCAAGTTACGTGAAGAGATCACGGCAGCCAAACGCGTGCACAGCGGTGGTGACCTCTCGTACGAGGAGCTTCTGGCGCTCCCCTACCTCGACGCGGTGTACAGAGAGACGCTTCGCGTGTACGGACTCTCTTTCATCAATCATACACCCAACTAACCTTTGTGCTATATCAGCCATCCGCCCGTACCCCTCATATTCCGCGAGTACGCACCTCGTTCGCTCTCTCATCCCTCTTCCCTGACATTCCCACTCCCAAAGGGCCCGCGCAGACAGCACCCTCCCGCTCTCTAAACCCGTGCGCGGCACCGACGGCACGCTCATGTACTCCATCTTCGTCCCCGAGGGCACACTCGTGTTCTTCCCCATCCACGCCGCGAACACCAACCCAGCACTCTGGGGCCCGGACGGCGGGGAATGGCGGCCGGAGCGCTGGCTCGCGCCGTTGCCCGACGCGCTCACGGAGGCGAAGATGCCTGGGGCGTACTCCCATATGTGCGTGCGCACGTTAGGGCGTCGCGAATCGGAGCTGACGCGCCGGATAGCATGACCTTCTGGGGCGGCGGACGCGCATGCATGTACGTCTCCCTTTTGTCCGGTTTCTCACTCTTCTCATATCGACTTGTTTCAGGGGATTCAAGTTTGCAGAGCTCGAGATGAGTGCGTCATCGCATATCGGCGTCCTCATGAGTCCTGTGGTCTTGACGACAACTTTTTCCTCGCAGAAATGGTGCTTATCGAACTTCTGAGCGCATTCAGGTTCGAGGACGCGGGGAAATCCGTGGTGTGGAACGTAGGCGAAGTAGTCTATCCCACCGTAGGGCAAGACTCCACCGTATCCGCGTTCCCGATGAAGGTGACCGCGCTTTGAGTCCGATTCATTTCTTGGTATACGGTACTCGATATGCATGATTTATTGTGGTGAAGGCCGGTGGCTTTGTACCTTCTAAAGTGCCCTTAATATCAGACCTAAGGGCTCTTCCCAAAGCTGTTTAAGCTGCATGTTCGCGAGTGGACACCCAAAAGCCTGAACGAGGTGTGCCGGCGTTAGCCGCGCCTTTCGTCCCAATTAGATCGGGAGTCGAGCCCGCACGTAGAGCGCCCGCAGGCTGTAACACTCTCATCGTGACGGCGACCACCATCGACAAGATTCTCGGATGGCCTACATACCAGCACTCCTGCGTAGCTTCGGACACATCTACGTCTACCTTGCGCGCTCTTGAAGTTCATGTTTGATCTCAAGCCTGTTTGGAAGAGAAGCCACCCTAAGCCTCGTGCACGCGCTGCACAACGTATACATCGAGCATAAGGTAATCTCCTCTCTGTTTTACTCGTTAACAGCATTTACATATACTTTGTCGCAGGTATGCTATTATTATATACAACGTGCGTGCAACAAGGGCGAGATTTTGCACTCCACGGCTTCCGCCTTGGTTTGAACGCTGTCGAGTGCACGTCGGCATCCGAGGTCTGATGCGTCCATGCTCGCGCTTCAACAGCCAGTGCTCTGTCCTATACTGTGATGGATCCTGCGGCGTGCTTGGGTGCGCCGCCGTGGCGCCTCATCTTCCGAATGCGACAACGTTGTCTCCTCTTCTCTCGAGACCCACTCCCGTGGCCTTGGTTAAGCGCTAAGCGCTTGCTGGCGGTATAGAGCGGCTCAGATGGGCCTGAGCATTGTGTCCCCCCTCGTTGCTCTCCACCACCTACCCTCTAGTGACTTCCCCCCGTCCTGGTCCAGTTCGCCATGCTCCTCTACATTGTTTTGTTGTGCACAGTATGGCTTACGTGGAAACTCGTCCGCCACGCTTCTGCGCCAAAGTCCCAAATCAATAATCTTCCTGGTCCCGCTTCGCCGTCGTGGGCCACAGGTACGTGTCCCTTCCACATCTAAAGGCGTACGAGTATACTTAGACCCTTGTTGTGCTCCAGGCCATCTTCTGAAGCTGTACGACAGGCAGGGATGGGATTTCTATCGCGAGCTCCTGAATTACGGCCCTGTCTTCAAGCTGCAGGGCATAATTGGTGTACGTCTTCCGGGGCCTCCTATATTTGAGCATGTCTGACCCTCGTCTGTGTATGGTTAGCGACCGATATTGTGTGTGTACGACTCCGTGGTCATGCATCACATCGCCGTCAAGAACCAGCACATCTACGAAGAGTTACGGTGGTTGACAGCGTACACCTCATCGCTTCTGTCTTTTATCTAGTACGATCTGACTGGATCCTACTCCCTTAGCATGTCAATTGATATCTTTGGTCCCGGGATTATAGCTAGTGTCGGTATGTATCACGAAACTGCTCTCGTCCTCCCAGTGCTGATTCTGGACACTCCCCCAAGGGGAGGAGCACCGCAACCAAAGAAGGCTTATGAACCCTATATTCTCCGCCAAGAACCTCCAACAGGTCACACCAGTATTGTACGAGGTTGTTCAACGGGTAATTCAATCCCCGCTTCGCTCCCTTGTTCTGCGCTCACTTAGGCTTCTAGCTCACCCACGGCTTTCAAACGCTGGTCAAGGACGGCACTACCGAGGTGGACGTGGGCCGCTATATGGGCCGTGCAGCTCTGGAGATGATCGGTCAGGCTGTCATCGGCCACTCGTTCGATCCGCTCACGGAATCCCGCTCTCATCCGTATGCAGAAGCATTGAAGGGACTCGTGTGCGTCTTTATCTTGCCGTTCTACGACTATTCGTGGGCTCTGACACCTGGGCCGCCCCGCATCGTAGTCCCGCTATCTACGCCCTGAGCAACTACTTTCACATCTACGTACCCCTACGATCTCTTATCCCCCCATCACTTCGGCGCCCGCTCATGAACATGCTTCCCTCTCGGCGCGTTAAATGCATGTTACGGATAGTGGACGTCATCAGCACCAACGCAGTCAAGATCTACGCGGAAAAGAAGCGCGAAGTAGAGTCAGCCGACCAGCTGGGTGAGAGCGGCACAGCTCCTGGTAGCGCGAAGGATTTGATGTCTATGTTGCGTGCGCACCGTTCCAGAACCTCGTCATTGTGGCTATATGCGGCGTAGCTAATATATCTCTGCAGTGAACGCAAACGCTGGGGCGAGCGAAGGAGACACGCTGTCTGAAGACGAGCTTATTGCTCAGCTGTCGTAAGCCCCATTTATGCCTCGAAACCCCGCTGCACATCAACGTGCTGCACGCAGGATCCTCCTTTTTGCCGCGACGGACACGACGTCTAACGCACTTGCGCGCGCCCTTGACTGCCTTGTCAAGCGACCCGATGCACAGGTCAAACTACGGGAGGAGATCACGACAGCAAAACATGCGCGCAGCGGCGGTGACCTCACATATGACGAACTTCTGGCTCTCCCATACCTCGACGCGGTGTACAAAGAGACGCTCCGCGTGTATGAACCGTCATTCCCCTAGCATAAACCCGGCTAACTTTTTCAACACCGCAGCTACCCGCCCGCGCCCTTTCGGTTCCGCGAGTACGCTTCTCGCTTCACTCTCTGACGGCCCCATTCTTTGACATGCCCGCTTGTAACTTCTCTAGGGCATGCGCAGACAGCATCGTCTCGCTCTCCAAACCTGTGCGCGGAGCCGACGGCACACTCATGCACTCCATCTTCGTCCCCGAGGGCACACTCGTTTTCATGCCGGCTCACGCCGCGAACACCAACCCAGCGCTCTGGGGCCCGGACGGAGGAGAATGGCGGCCGGAGCGCTGGCTTGCACCGTTGCCCGACGCGCTCACGGAGGCGAAGATGCCTGGGGTGTACTCACATCTGTGCGTGCGGACAACACAAGGCGTGCAACTGCCTGAGAGCTGACGCCCATCACAGCATGACATTCTGGGCTGGCGGACGCGCGTGCATGTAAGTCGCCCTTTCGTTCAGTTTCTTTGCCGGTTGCTCACGGCGACTGTTTGCAGCGGGTTCAAGCTCGCAGAGCTCGAGATGAGTGCGTCATCTTGCGCGCGACGCGCACTCTCATTTGCGCCGTCATCTGGCTGTGCTGACGACGGCTTCGGTTCTTGCAGAGATTGTGCTCGCTGAGCTTCTCAGCGCGTTCACGTTCGAGGACGCGGGGAAACCGGTGGTGTGGAACATGAGCGAAGTGGTCTATCCTACCGTCGGGCAGGACTCCTCGACCCCCGCGTTCCCGATGAAGGTGACTGCGCTTTGAGTCCGGGTCTGCGTATCGCACATACTGCGACTCAGGATACGGCATGTCGGGAGATCGGAGGCTTCATCCCCTTCAGATCATCCCCTCGTTATGTCAATAAGGACTCTGCTCAAAGCTGGCCAAGACGTGTTATCCCGAACCAGCGATCCGATGCTCGGGGCTCCCTTCGGGAGGAACGATTGTCTTCCGCCTCCGAACGTGAGGCTGCTTTACGAGCCTAGCTCGGGGTTGTTGTGATCAACGATGGACTCCATGCATGTACAGCATTGTGATATGCGACGGTAGCCTTAGCCCGATGAGGATTGGACCGCGGTTCGTTGACTGCGCGGCACCACGAAGGTATGCCAAGAAGCCCGGAGAACCGTGTGCTTCGTATAACCGCCTCTTCTATCGGTCCCAATGCCGCCTGGTGGTGCTTCTACTCCAGTGCGGTCCCGCTCATCCAGTTTCAAGATCCTTGCTGAAACAACGAGACACCTTCCCGCTCGGCAAGTCGGTATCCTATGGTCCCAAACGTTGCCGGTGTGACCCGGCTTTCTGGCATCTTATAGGGCGGTCTCGGGACCCACTTATCCCCCCTATTCCCCCTCGTTGCAGATATTTTCATGCTGACATGCTCGCCCAATACCTCATCGGCGCCGGCGTCGCATACGTTCTTTTGAAGCTTGTCAGGTGGTTTTTAGCGCCGAAGTCGCCGCTCGACAACGTCATCGGGCCGCCTGTGCCATCATGGATAGCTGGTCAGTCTGCCACTGCGTGTTCATCCACTGAACAAAATCTGACGTCGTGTTCGCTCTTTCTAGGCCACATGTTAGAGCTGTACGACAAGCAACTTGGATGGAACTTCCATCATGAGCTCCGAACCAAGTACGGCCCCGTATCCAAGCTTCAGTTTCTGTTCGGCGTGAGTGGCTTTACTACTTCATATGAAGGCAACCTGGTCACCGTGACCGCAACCTCTGATAACTCTCCAATAGAAACCGCTACTATACGTCTACGATCCTACAGCAATGCAAACTATTGTCTTGAAGGAGCACCGCCGCCATGAGCCGCTTTTCGAAGAGCTTCCATATCTTATGAGGTACGTTCGCTTTCACGAACATGATGTCAGGGTCTAGCGCGCTAATCGCTCGGGTTGTAGCATCGGAATGGACACCTTCGGCCCCGGCCTGCTATCGACTGTGGGTGAGTGTGATATGCGAACATTTGCGAAGATGAAGTTCGATCTGATCACGGCACTCTCTGGATAGGTGGTACGCACCGAAGGCAACGCAAGCTGCTGAACCCGATCTTCTCGCCTAAAAATCTCCGGCTCGCCACCCCAACGTTCTATGAAGTTGCTCACCGTGTAGGCCATTCCCCGAGAAGGAGTATCGCTGTGTGCACTGACATTGGCACTGCTTAGCTCTCCAAGGCGATAAAAGCGCTCGTAGTGGCTGGAGATCAACAAGTCGACATGGCGCAGTACATGGCACGGGCAGCACTCGAGCTCGTTGGGCAGTCCGTGCTTGGTCAGTGCCTGGACCCGCTCACCGAAAAGGGCAGTAACCCCTATACTGAAGCACTGAAATCGTATATGTACGTCCTTCGCATATTCTCGTAATCTTGCAACGGCACTAAACGACTTGAACCCTTCGGCATTCAGACCGACATTCACCGCATTGACCCCATTCTTTCAGTTCTATCGATATGGGCGCCCGTTCATTCCCACTGCTCTGCGGCGGCCGATCATGGACTCCCTGCCTTCCCGACGTGTCAAAGCGCTGCTTCGCATCATCGACACGATGCACAGTAATGCGGTGCGCATATTTGAAGAGAAAAAAACTCTAGTGGAATCGCGCGAGAAGGCTGATGACGAGGAAGAGAAAGGGAAGGATTTGACTACCCTCTTTCGTACGTCCAAATTCCATTACCTCTATAGATTTCTGTTAATGACGGCCCCGAAACAATTCGACAGTGAAAGCCAACGTGGGCGCGCCGAAAAAGGACGCATTAACGGAGGAGGAGCTCATCGCACAGCTCTCGTATGTAACCATATGCTCTCGCCGTCCATCTTGCCGGTTGACCTTACCCGCTTTCAGGACTCTTATATTCGCCGCAACGGATACAACTTCCAACGCGCTCACGCTCATCCTCGAGTGTCTCGCCAAGAACCCTGAAGTACAGGACAAGCTGCGTACAGAACTTAGAGAAGCGAAAAGTCGCCACAAGGGTGGAGATCTCCCGTACGACGAGTTGATGGCCTTGCCGTATCTCGACGCAGTGTGCGCGGAAACCCTACGAGTGTATGTTATCCCCTCGACGTCTCATTCTTCTCGTGTCTGATATCCTGAGCAGGCACGTCCCGGCTCCAATGCGCATCCGCGAGTACGTTTTGACATCTCGAATGCTCCGAGTCATTCTCGCCAGCTGACCGCGTGCTCGCCGCCAGAGCCCAAGTCGACGCCGTCCTTCCCCTCTCCTCACCGATCCGCGGAAACGACGGCACCCTCATGCACTCTATTCCTGTCCCCAAAGGCACCTACGTCTTCATCGCTATCCAGGCCGCGAACATCAACCCGGACCTCTGGGGCGCAGACGCGCACGTGTGGCGCCCTGAACGTTGGCTCGCGCCCCTCCCGGGGACGATCGCGGAGGCAAAGATCCCAGGGGTATATTCGAATCTGTGCGTACCTCCAACCTTGCGTTTGACTGGCAGTACTAGATGCGGCGGGACCGGCGCTGATAATGCGCTCTTGGATTCATAGGATGACGTTTTGGGGTGGAGGGCGCTCATGCATGTGAGTAACGTGCACGTTTGGAGCGTCCACGCCGAGCTTGAAGTACTTTTTGCTGACGTGCTGTGCAGAGGCTTCAAGTTCGCTCAGCTCGAAATGAGTGCGTATCACCCTCGATACCTGTTCCACTCACCGTTGACCTCGGATCCGCTGCATGGCAGAGGTTGTCCTCGCAGAGCTAATCTCGACATTCGCGTTTGAGAAGACCGACGCGCCTGTGGTCTGGAACCTCGGCGAAGTGGTTCACCCCACTATCGGCGCGGACTCATCACACCCTGAGTATCCGATGAAGGTCACCCTGGTGCAGTGATCACCGGCTAGTGGTAACAGAGTTGACACGGGAAGGCGACACGGCATGTCTCGATATACTGTACAGATCACTAATCGCTCCAAGGCATTAACATATTCTAACAGAGTGTGTTGTGCCTTCTGTTCGAACTACGTCCTCGCGTCTCGGCGGGCATGCTCGCGCCGCGTATCATCAGCTGCATGACTCGTCGTCGGACCGAGTCGTTGTGCTCCCAGGCTCTCGCTACTAGTAAGGTTAAGTCTACCTGCTTGCGCTATTGGAGCCGTTCTCGGAACCGCGGTCAATAACACCAGCTCCTACCATTGCACCCGGCCGAAGATTTTTTCAAGCTGCTGTCAACCAACCTCCAGACGCGGTGCCCTTTACAGCTTTCTCTCACTCCAGCGCATATTCGAGGTGCGTGGCAGCTGTTGTTGTCATCGTATTGGAAATAATTGAAACTTCTATGGGGTACATGTCGCTCCTACAGGCTGCGGCCGCCTGCCTCTTCTTAGTGTGAAGTACTGTGATAACTTATAAGGCACGTATGCCAGACTGCCATTGTAATTTGACTGTCTCCGAATAGTGGCTACAACATGCACACAGCCTCTCGGCCAATAGTCAGCAAGAACGGCTGAGATGCTCCACCGTGTGATTCTTGCGAGGGCGCGACCGCTCTAGGAGCAATCGCGATCCCTCAGATACTCAATGCCCGGTGAGCATGCCCCGAGTCGGTGTCCTCCTCACTCCATGTCTTACCCTCCGGTCCCTGTTCCGCAGAACCAGCGTATGGAGAAACGTCCTTCCGTTGGAGTTTGTTCGCACAAGGAGGCTACTACAGGTTGAAGGAAGATTTACTCTAGGTGCATCGATGATACCATTACCTCAGGACCCTCATCGTCATTCCTCACCCATGAATAGCCTTCTTAACCGCCTTCCGAGGTTCCGCAACTTGACATACAATTTCCGCATCCCGCTATCCGCTCTGTCGCCGCTATGACTTACCTCGTTAATAGCGAGTATATACTGCAGCTGCAACACTGGCACGAGCATGCCCTCTGCGTCACTACGCCTGACAAACACCGCTTTCGAACATCACAGTGAGCTTCACAGGGAGGCTTCCGAGCATCAAGAGTGTCACTCAGCTGATATGGACCGTTTTGTTCCAGCAGACTCGCGAGTCATGCGCTGCATCCGACGACATGCTTGACAAACTTTCGGCTGGTGGCGAAGCACCGGCTCTTCCTCTTCCTTCTTCTCTCCCCTGGCCGCCGTGATCGCTGCGTACTATGACCCTGCACGGTCCTCCTCGGACTCCGGAACGGCTAAGGATCACGGTGTGTCCTCTAGTCCCACTGCCCATCCCACATCCGTTTTCCCTGGGGGAATCCTTGCCCTCTCCGAGCGCCACATTCTCACACACAATGAAATATCCTCGGCGCGGTGACACACATGATCGAGGGCTGCGGCGGAAGATCTGTCGTACACGGAATGGGCAGGAAAATGCGCGTCCTTGCCGTAAGCACTCACGAATACACGCAGTGCTTCCTCCGCGCGTCCCTCAATATCGCCTCGCCGAGCGCCGTGCACATTCAGTTGCATCTGTCCATCTGTGTTCTGCTCGCTAACACGCTTAAGCGCGGAGGGCCACAGGCGAACGTCATCTGTGTGTTTGCAGGTCAGAAAGTTCTCCCCTCGGGGAGCGACGCACAGGAACCCCTGGGTTCGACGATCGTCGGCGCGGCGTTCTCAAGCAGCAGCGTGGGCGCGCACAGCCGTCATCGTCACCGCGGGCATGCTGGGGCCTCCCAGCAACGCGTGCACGATCCATAAAGGCAGCGTGAGGCCCCTCGTGTAGCCTCAGACGCAAGGCCTCTTTCCTCGTGGACAACCCTTCTTTCTCCGGAGATGCACGCCCTCATCGCACTCGTTACGCTCGCGGCTGCCCTGCAGGCGGCGGCGAAGCCCGCGCCTGTGGCTCCCCCGCCGTCGGTGATCACCCCACCTCCTGTGCCTATCGACGCGGCTGTGAGGGCGCGGGACGAGGCGCTTACAATCCCGCTGCTCAGCTGCTTGGTTAGCATTGAGTGTTGCCAGATGGTGCTCACGCTCCCCGTCTTGCCGGCGAGCCTTACCGGGATTCTGGCGCCCCTAGGCCTCACCGCGCCCATCCCGATTCCGACCCTGGGCCCTATGGCTGGCTTAATATGCAGCCCCGCGACTGACCTCGACATCCTTGGAAACCAATGGTACGTAATTTGACTTTTATTCGTATACATGCACTCACAGGAATGTTTGCAGTCTCGCAGGTGGAACGCCCCTTTGCTGCCAGGAAACTATACGTGAGTCCATTGTCGGACGCCATAATTGAGAGCCATGCTAACTCCTTTGCCTCAATTCAGTCGGCCTCGTCGCAGAGGGCTGTCAGGAGGTCATCAACATCCCGTCCATCACGCTGCCCCTCTCGCTCCCAACCATCTCTCTCCCGCTGCTCGGGGGCTCCAGCGGCCTGCTCGGCATCCTCTCCTCCCTCCCGCTCCTCGGCACAGGGGGCGGCCTCCTCGGTCTACCGCTTCCGACGACGCTCCCCCCAGTGCTCGGGAATCCCGCCCCAACTTCGTCTGCCGGCGGGCTGCTCGGCCTCCCACTGCCCTCCCTTCCGCTCCTCGGCACTGGCGGAGGCCTCCTCGGTCTGCCGCTTCCGACGTCGACCCCCCTGCTCGGGGGCACCCCGACTTCGACCTCCGGCGGCCTGCTCGGCCTGCTTGGGCTCGCTTCGGAGGTCCCGATCCCGGAGGCGGCCGCGACGCCCACACCTCCCCCTGCTTGAGAGCATGAGATTGGGTTAGATATTGGAAAACAGTGTTCCCGCATTGGATTGTACAGTTTTCTTGGGCTGTAGGTTTCGTTCTATGCTTTCGCCAGGGACGTGGAAAGGTTGTATCTCGCGGGGACGTTGTTACGCATATGCTGAATATATTGGGATCCTCTATAAAATTTCGAGGCATTTATTGGTTGGGTCGCAGATTACATCTCAACTCGCCCATTGCCGCTGAGCGCTGAGCGGTAGCTGTCAGTTTGCCAGCGTGACTTTCATCGGATACTCCGGGCGCGACGACTCGGTGCTGAGGGTAGGGTGGATGACCTCGCCGAGGTTCCATATCACGGGCGCGTCCGTCTTCTCGAGCGCGAACGTCGAGATAAGCTCGGCGAGGACGATTTCTGCGATACAGCGGAAACCGACGTTAGTGATCCGAAGGTGCACACGACGCGGAAGATATACGCACTCATCTCGAGTTCGGCGAACTTGAAGCCTCTGCACACGCACGACGTCAGCAACACCGTTCTCGAGTAGAGGTTCAAAATGCACAGCACGCACATGCACGAGCGCCCTCCCCCCCAGAATGTCATCCTGTAAATCCAAAAACGCATTATCAGCGCCAGGCCCACGACGCAAATCCAGCCACTGCAGATCAGACGTACAGGTTCGAGTACACGCCCGGGATCTTCGCCTCGCCGACCGCCTCCGGGAGCGGCTCAAGCCAGCGCTCGGGGCGCCACACGTGCGCGTCCGCGCCCCAGATTGCAGGGTTGACGTTCGCGGCCTGGATGGCGATGAAGACGTAGGTGCCCTTGGGGACGGGGACGGAGTGTATGAGCGTGCCGTCGACGCCGCGGACCGGCGTGGAAAGCGGGAGGACCGCGTCTGCTTGAGCTCTGCGGGGGAGTGACGTGGTTAGAGGGGGAGGAGTTGGAAGGCAAGGAGACGGACGTACTCGCGGACGCGGAGCGGGGCGGGGACGTGTCTGCGCGAGACGTCAGATATGAGTACGGGGAGGATAATGGGTGTAAGAGGGAAACATACACTCGCAGGGTCTCCGAGCACACCGCGTGGAGGTACGGCAGCGACATCAGCTCGTCGTACGGGAGTTCGCCGTTCTCGTGGCGGCTTTTCGCCGCTCTGAGCTCGGCACGCAGCTTTTCTTGCGCCTCCGGGCGCGTGGCGAGGCACTCGAGGACGAGCGTGAGTGCGTTGGACGTCGTGTCCGTTGCAGCGAATATCAAGGTTCTAGTGGTGACAGGTAAGCCAGATACAAGATGCATGGTGACAAAGTCTGCCTTATACGCACGAAAGCTGGGCGATGAGTTCCTCGTCTGCTAGTGCGTCTTCTTTCGACGCGCCCACATTGGCTTGCACTGTAGAGCGGATTCAGGTCCGTTATAAGCAATCAACTCCAGGGACAATATGATTTTCACATACGAAGGAGCGAACACAGATCCTTCACTTTCTCGTCCCCCTCGTGCGCCTTATCCTCGGCTTTCACGAGGCTCTTCTTCTTTGTATAAATACGCACTGCGTTCTCGTGCATCGTGTCAATGACGCGAAGCAGCGCCTTCACACGCCGAGAGGGCAACAGGTTCATGATCGGGCGTCGCAGCGGAGCGGGAATGAGATGACGGCCAAACCGGTATACCTGCAAGAATGGGCTGAGGGCCGTGAAGGCGGGACTAAGAATATATTGGGCACCGTCAGATCATGACGAGAGCGGGAAGCGGAGGTGAAAACGTACATGTAGGACTTCAGTGCCTCCGCGTAAGGGTTGCTCCCTTTCTCGGTGAGCGGGTCCAGGGACTGACCGAGCGTTGACTGTGCGATGAGCTCGAGCGCTGTCCGTGCCATGTACTGAGCCAGGTCGACCTGTGGCTCTCCAGCAAGTACGAGTGTCTTGATCGCTGCAGAAAGCTAGAAAGCGGGTGTGGGTGTTGGTGTGTTAGTGCTCGTGCGGCTGCTCGTTCGGGAGACACAACTGACGCGGTGGACGACTTCGTAGAACGTCGGAGTGGCGAGGCGCAGATTCTTCGGCGAGAAGATCGGGTTCAGCAGCTTGCGCTGTTTGCGATGCGTCTCTCCTGTCGATAGGTGTCGGGATTAGTAAACTCAGCGGGATGGCTTCGTTAGGGCGTATTGGACATACCTGTGCTTGAGAGAAGGCCGGGGCCGAAGGTGTCTAGTCCAATGCTATGACAAGACTGATGAGCACGCCGTGCGCCAGATGCAATATTACGAGTAGACGACGTACTTCATGAACCATTGGATCTCTTCGAAGAGCGGCTCATGGTGTCGGTGCTCCTTCAGGACGACGGTTTGCATAGCTGCAGGGTCGTAGACGCACAGCATTGGTTTCTGAATTTATAGCATAATCAGACACCGCGCGCATGGGGGCATAACACTGGCATATGGAAAAGCTACTCACGCCGAATAGGAACTGGAGCCTGGACACTGGACCGTACTTGGTGCGAAGGTCGCGATGAAAGTCCCATCCTTGCCTGTTATACAACTGTAACATGTGGCCTGCATAAAGGTAAGGTTAGCAAGACTTTATGCAGATGATAGAGCGTGAGGCTAACCAGTGAGCCACGATGGCGAGGGGGGCCCATGGATATTGTCAAGCGGTGACTTCGGCGACGAGAGCCACCTGAAGAGCTTCCAGACCGCGTATGCGAGTCCGATACTGACGAAGTATTGGAGCATGTCCATGGGCGGTAGACTGATAGAAATTCGAGGGAGAAAGTGGGGCATGAGTGCAGCTCCACCGTATCCCAGAGCCTATAAGTCGCGGAGAAGGACTGCGCAACCCTTAGACGCGTGAAGAGGGTTTACCGACGCTGGAAGGGTGTGGTTGTTTCGAGAATGAACCGGATGATGCTGGTGGGGGCCGCAGTACTGGAGTCAACAAACGCAGAAGCGCTGCCAGGCGTTCTCGGAGCCGTCATACTCCTAGGCGGCGGCAATAGAAGCACTCGCTTCTGCGGGTTTGGAAGTGCAGCGCAGTCGGCGACAACCACCTATCAATCCTGGCAGGGACTGGAGACCCGCATATCACAATTAATGGTGTTCCTGTAGCCACAGTTGTGACGGCGATTCGCTGGTCGGCGAACCCAGCACCGGAGGGCGTGTTCAACTTCGATGACATGTCCAAATAAGCACTGGGCATGGTCCATGACACTGTCATAGAGAAGGTTGTGTCTTCCAAGATGTATGTGGGACGTATAAGGTTTGCGCCGCGCACGACTCCGAGCGAGGAAGAACGACACTTGCGCGCGCGGGATCCTAGGGATGTAGACGTTAATCTGTAAGCATCTGTAAGGAGTACTTACTTTGAGTAGTTTGATGTTTCCCACCTTTTCTTTATTCTATATCTGAATCTGACTCCAAAATGTGGTGACGGATCCAAGTGGGATGAGGCCAGTCCTAAACATATCATACCAGCTCAGAGGGGAGCCACCTGGCAAGCGCAAGCAGCGGCAATCGTACGGTCAGTCGAAAGTACCATGTACCATCGGTCAACGAGAGGAATCATGGCCATGCAGCGGATGGTGCATGATGGATGGTACTGTGCTTGCCAGGGCCCGAGTCGAGAGAGTCGAAGAGTCGCGTCAGCTCGGGAGGGGGGGGGGTCCCAAAGGTGCTCGTGGGAATGTCGGCGTTTCAATTGCATACACCATCGCAGTTCCGATTTTGCATTCCAACTTTCCTACCGCCACTCATGCACTCACCTTGTCTCCCCTAGGCAGACGAAGGTGATCTTGTCGAGGGGGGGAGGACGATCACACTAACGTCTGCTTTCAAACGCGCCCTCCTTGGAGGAGGGTCCCGATTCTTCGATGCCGAGTGATCCGACGGTCCTAAATAGGTATTCCCATACTAAGACGCCACGTGCGCTCCTTATATGGGAAGACCCAACATGGAAATACGGGCGCCAACAGCTTGGCGGTTTCACGAGGGGCATTGGCCCAAATTCCGGTCCTGAATAGGCTAGGATAGATAGATAGATAGATAAATTCGTGGGCTTATAGTGGCGCTCAGGCCGTTTACGGCCTATGTGGCCACTACCCGATACTACGCGAAGGCTACGAGCGACGGATCTACACTAACACCTCCCGCCCATTGAAGGGAGGAGCGCGGGGTACAACCTGGCCTCTGGTGCGTCATAGATAACTATGTCCGCCCTGCCTCTTGGTCTTGGGAGGTCCAGGAATGCGCGCCGCCAGTTGCCCCGGCGGCGGCCAAAACTCCCCCCGGATCCCGGGATTGGCCGGGATCCACCAGCGCCCGGAGGTGTGCTACAGTACAAACAATGAGGCACAAGAGGACCGGTAGGGTGGGGAAGTGAATAGGCTAGGAACAGCGCCTGAACTGGTCTCCTGTTACCAGACTGGTTCAGGTCCGGAATCCCGGTTAGTAAATCTACTTATCGGATAACAACTCACATTAGAGTGGCGCTTTGTTGGCCATTGCCCGGGTTCCTAGCCTGTCTCCGGTCCTGAATAGGAGACCAGTTCCGAGCATATTCCTGGCCTATTCAGGACCGGAATACGGGCCATGTAATTCTAGGCCGACTGGTCAAATAACGACAGCCATTTATCCCCCTGACAATGCAGCGGCATATTCCCCATCTTATGCCAGCTAGAATCACACTGCACATATATCTCCAACCTGTTGCTTGGGTACTAAATTTTCAGGGCCATACCCTCCGGCAACGCAGCCACGCCCCGCTGTGGAAGGCATTTTCAGAGTCGGTCCTTCAGCATGGCTTTGCATCATCGAATGAGCTCATCTGGACATTTCGCAGGGGTCTGATAGCGTCAAGTGTGCCTGTGTATAGATCACGACGCGTCGTCGGAGATCAATTGTCTGCTGACAAATAATGATACGGGACCCTCCTCCAAGCATGCCTCAAATGCATGCAGACTAGCACTCACCCTATAAAAGCACCACCTCCTCCACTCCGACTTGGCTGTGAAGTTGAGAGAGACAGACTTCTGACGACAATGTGTGCCAATCCCCTATGGATGGCATCGCGGCGCTTAGAGGGATTCATGGACCCCGATGTGGAAGCACTAAAGGGACCTACCATCGAACAGAGTACCAAATAACAATGGTGTGTTTTCTATACTACCTGCATATTATTCCTAGATCCAGATGATGCTTGCGAGCAGCTGAGAAGTGCGTACACCGCGATTCTGAAGTCTCACAACAGCCAGTACGACATTTCAGGCCCAACAGTACTCACTCGGAAGGAGACCCCGCCGTATATGAAGACCTGCGAGTACGGCTGGCGAAGCTTACCTTGATGTCAGTGTTGTGACTCGCAGGTAGGCACGTTTCAACAGCCCAGTGGCGATTCGAATACTTTTACTCCCCACACACCGGCTTGAATGCATCCTTGCGGGCACATCACAGTTTCCTCATGAGTGTCCCGAATGCTGCATCACAGATGCTTTGGTCATTTCCATCTAGGGCGATGCGTACCCACCCCACGCACACAGGCGCTATAGCCATCCGGCTGGTCAGGTGAGAGCTAAGCCTACCGCAGCTCAACTTCTAAGCCCGCCGCCACGTACTCATATAAGGTGCTGCAGGTAGTATCCGAAACGATGCTCACCCCTTCTGACCCTCCAGTTATCATCCCTGACGACACCCCTCATCTCTTCTGCGTTGTCACTCCGCCGTAATGGCTAGTTATAACCCGTACACCAACAGACCTCCAATCTCAGGTACGATAGCGCCCAAGCTTGGCAGCAAGGACCCACTCTTTGGCTTTTTCCCTCGCAGGGTCACCTCTCAGCAGGTGCTGAAGGCTATGGCAAGCGTTTATTCTGTTCGAGTTTGAGGTATTCCTTAATTCTTTTTAGGAATGCGACATCAACCCCTTCAGCAAGAAGCCACACTCTGCGCAGTACAAGAAGATCCTCCAAGACCGCAAAAAGCTGATCGTGTTCCAGCACATGGGCCACTTCCTCAAAATGGTGAGCATCTTTGCCACTCGCCTCGAAGCCAGTGGACGCATCACTGATGTCCTGCCGCTCTGCACGAAGTTCAGCCAAAACCAAATCATCGTCATGGTCGGCGAGACGGGCTCAGGCAAGACTACTCAGTAAGACGGTTCATCTTGTTCAGGCGCGAGTCGTCTGGAGCAGACTGAATGACTTTTGCTTCTTGTTACAGGATACCGCAATTTGTTTGTTATTCTGACCTGCCGCACCTCAAAGGCAAGTTGGTGGCATGTACCCAGCCTAGGCGAGTGGCTGCCATGTCTGTCGCAAAACGTGTTGCGGACGAGATGGATGGTAAGTATCATCGATTGGCATAGTGTCTCCGCTCGACGACTGCCGGATTTGTGGTCCTAATAAGTGATTTTTCAAATATAGTCTGGGGACTTTGGTACAAGGGAGTGCTCTTTGCTAACTACCTTTGTAGTGAAGCTCGGGAAGCAAGTCGGGTACTCTATCCGTTTCGAGGACATGACAGAACCCGGGACCACCTTCTTGAAGTACATGACCGACGGTATGCTGCTCCGGGAAGCCATGAACGACAACGAACTCAGCCGTTACTCCACGATCATCCTCGACGAGGCCCACGAACGTACACTCGCCACCGATATTCTCATGGGTCTACTAAAGGACATTGCGAAGCGGCGCTCCGACCTCAAGATTGTCGTCATGTCCGCAACGCTCGACTATCAGAAATTCCAGAACTATTTCAGCTTAACTGGGGCCGAGAATCCCGCGCCGCTGTTCAAGGTACCAGGTCGGACGCATCTAGTAGAGGTGTTCTACACGCAGGGGCCAGAGCCGGACTACGTCGAGGCCACGATTCGGACGGTTCTCATGATCCACCGCGCAGAGGACCCGGGCGATATCCTACTTTTCCTCACCGGTGAAGAGGAGATCGAAGACGCATGCAGAAAAATCAAGCTCGAGGCGAACGACCTTCTCAACCAGGATCCGGACAGTGTCGGCCCCCTCGTGTGCATACCGCTCTACTCATCTCTCCCTCCACAACAGCAGCAGCGTATCTTTGACCCTGCCCCTTCTCCCCGCGTTCCCGGCGGCCCGGCTGGACGCAAGGTCGTCATCTCGACAAATATCGCTGAGACGTCCCTCACCATCGATGGCATCGTCTACGTCGTCGATCCCGGCTTCTCGAAACAGAAGGTGTACAACCCGCGTATCCGTGTCGAGTCTCAGCTTGTTTCGCCCATCTCCAAGGCGTCCGCACAGCAGCGCGCGGGTCGCGCCGGGCGTACGCGCCCCGGGAAATGCTTCCGGCTATACACGGAGAAGGACTTCATGACGGAGCTGGAGGAGCAGACGCACCCCGAGATCCTGCGGAGCAACCTCGCGAACACAGTTCTGGAGCTTGCGAAGCTGGGCGTCGACGATCTGGTGCACTTCGACTACATCGATGCGCCCGCCCCGGAGACGCTCTTGCGCGCGTTGGAACTGCTAAACTTCCTCGCCGCGATAGACGACGAGGGGAAGCTGACGCACTTGGGCTCGATCATGGCGGAATTCCCGCTCGACCCGCAGGTGCGTTCCGTTATAACTACCTGTCGGCCTGGCAGATATTCACGGACGTCTCGTGTAGCTGGGGAAGATGCTGATTGCGAGCCCGAAATTCAACTGCAGTAATGATGTCTTGACAATCGTCGCAATGCTATCTGGTGCGTCGAAGTCGGCGGTTTTTTTTGCATTCATGGCGGGCTAACATGTCGAATTTAGTGCCAAACGCATGGCTGAGGCCGCCAAAACAGCGAAAGAAGGCGGACGTAGCGAAGGCGCTGCTCACCGTCCCCGACGGCGACCATCTCACGATGATGAACGTGTACAACTACTATGTCAACAGTACGTCCGGATCCATTCAGACTACACGCGCTGGCTGACATCCCCTATAGACAAGCACGACAAGAACTGGTGCTGGAACAACTACCTCTCCGCGCGCGCGCTGCAGCAGGCCGAGAACGTGCGCACGCAGCTGCTGCGCACGATGGAGCGGTACGAGATCGAGCTCGTGACAACGAAGGACGAGCGCAAGCTGTGGACGAACATCCGCAAGGCGCTCGTCTGCGGCTTCTTCATGCAGGTCGCGCACAAGGAGGGCGAGAAGAGCCAGTACCTGACGGTGAAGGACAACCAGGTCGTGTCGCTGCACCCGAGCTGCGGGCTCGACACGAGCCCGGAGTGGGTGCTGTTCAACGAGTTCGTGCTCACGACGAAGCCGTACATCCGCACTGTCACGGAGGTCAAGCCGGAGTGGTGCGTGTGCTGTGCCCTGTGACTTGACGCTGCTGCTGATCGAACGGGTCTCGATAGGTTGCTGGAGTATGCGCAGAGCTATTACGACCCGGCGACGTTCCCCGACGGCGAGACGAAGCGGGCGCTGTTGCGCAAGAGGCGCGCAGCCGGAGAGGATGGCACCGCGAGCGCGAAGGCGAGCAGACCGGGCACCCTTGCTACAGGTGACCGAAGCAAGAAGAGGTCGCGGAAGGCCTGAAGCGAAGATATTTCATGGAGTTCTCAGGCGCCGCGTGTTGGGCCTGGAGAGCTATCACGGCGATGTGGTGTAGAAAGGTCCTGAAAGAACCTGTTCATGTAGACATTGTACTGCTGGTTGTTTGCATAATATGTTGTCTGAGTTGTACACCTCCGACTTTAGTCTGTTGCTCCCCGGCAGCTCTTATCGTCCCTCGACCACTTACTAGGTCAATCTCCAAACGATGCGTGAGTCTCTCTGAACTACCTCCTTCCCTACGTATGCAGTCTGATCAAATAGTACGATCCCTGCAGAGTCCATCAACGGGCGACTACCCCACGTGTAGTGCCCATTCGGCCTTGACCTGAATTCAATGCTACCGCGACATCGTGATTCGTCTTGCATCATGCACATCTGACGATTGTCTCTACACAGTATGTCGCCCTCGAGTAGTCTGTGTTCCTAACTGATTCCTATCAGGAACGAAAAAGCGTTCGCGGAAGGCATAAACTGAGCGCTGCAGCGGGGCAGATATCGACACCCAGGAGCTTGAAATACGCCACGCGGCAACTTTGTACACTATACTTATAAGAGGAATGCTGTATTTTAATGCTTGGTATTCACCATAATTAGCAGTCAGGTCAACGAACCCGGCGAGCATCCGACCTCAAGCCGCTTCTGGAGTAGAGTGGTCGAGGTGAGTAGATGCGTCTGCAATATAGATGACAGTAGCTCATCAGTCCTCGTGTTTATTGAATATAGCCTGCCCGGCGGGAGAGAGGATGAGATATAGTCCTTTTCTAGTCAGTGTCAGCAACATCTGCTAAGACAATGTTCGAGCCAATAACGACATGCTCTACGGCTTAGGCTGAGAACGCCATCGTAGTAGAGCGGGCCCTGGGCCGACATTACTCATACACCAGTACGAATAGTATACACGCAGTCCCAGAAAATCAAGAACCCCCCGGCGCGCTCCCGTCCCCATCCTGCCCCTCCTCCTCGACCTCAAACGCGCAGCAGAACGTGTCATCGTCCAACAGCACCATGCCCTTCCCGTCCGGCGCCCACCGCACGTCGCGCGTCTCGAACTTCTGCGCCGGCACCCCCACGCACTCTGCAACCTCCCCGTCTTCCTCTGACAGCGGAGACGGGGACGAAGAAGGCTCGGGCACCCACTCGTCGCTCCACAGGTACACGCTCTGGCTCGCGCACGCGACCGCGAGGCGGCCTGCACGCGCTGGGTCCGGGTTCCAGCGCGCGGTGCTCACCGACTGTGTGTGCAGCAGCACCGTACGCAGCCGCGGGACCAGCGGTTGAGCACCTGGTGTCCCTGGTGCGGAAGTCGAATGCGAAGAGGCGGCGGCGGGAGAATGGGACGGGAGAGGGAAGTCGTAGAGGAGGACCGCGGTGGGGAGCGCGGCGGAGCGCACAAGGAGGAGCGTGCCGGACGTGTTGAACGCGAGTTGCGTCGTGCCCGCGCCCCCGCGCGCCCCCAATGAGGCGGAGGCGGATGCGGCCCGCGTGGCGGGTTTTGTGGGTTTGGAGCGCACTTGAGCGGAGGGGGTGGGGAGAGCGAAGGGGGCTTGTATGCGCTCGTCTGGAGGGGAGGGCGTGAGTGCGTAAGCGTAAGGCGCGAAAAGAGGATGTAGAGAGAAGAGGCGTACACGATAGAAAGCCGCGTCCGTGCGTGGCTTCGAGCCATCCGGAGGGCTCACGCCAGACGTGCTGTCGCGACCCAGTCAGCAGTCGCTCGATACCACGAGTAAGTGCGAACGTACCACGCCCGCGGGTGCTCGTGTTGGCAGCTCTAACGTGGCTATTGGCTGCCAGGTCAGGCTCTCCAGAATGTGCACCTGTGCTCATAGGTCAGCATCCTCGCGTCTGTACACGTTTGAGTGGCACCGAGTTTGCGCACCTTGTCGTCGGACCCCGCAACGGCCAGAAACATGCCAGATGGGTGCCATGAGACCATGCGGATGCCGAAGCCGGGGTCGGGCTCTGGTGAGAATGATCCGAGCACGCTCCCCGCGAGGGAAACGATATGGAGTTTGTACTTGGAGCAAATGGATACATGAGTTATGGGCGCGCGGGGCAAAAGCCTGATGCTACCTCAAGCGGACCTTCCCAAACTGCCAGGTAATTCCCGGTGGGCGATAGTGAGACGGAAGCGAGAGAGTTTGTCGGCAGGGGGAAGTGCTGTGTACCGAAGTGAGAGGATCAGCCGCGAGAGCAGTGGATGTCTAGCCGGACTGGTGAAACTACGCACTCGGACTAGACGGTACGCTTCTTGCGCGTCGTACACGCCCAACGTATCCTTGGACTTGTGCCTTTCTGCTAGGACGAAGTAGCGCGCGTCTTTTCGGAACGCGTAACCTGGGGGTAGTGGGCATCAGTGACTTGGCATGCTCGGGACCCAAATCAGCCCGATGGGAGGATTGGACAGGCTCAGCACAAGGATGCGGTTCATAAGTGGCACTCGAGCAGCTTGAACCTGCCGAGCATGAAGACCTTGCCTCCATTCGCCAACGAATGTTTCGAGAGCGTCTAGGACCGCGGGCAGGAACACTACGACTCGCACGGACACACATCGCAGTGTCAGGGTTAGCAAGGGGGCGTTACGAGTCGGCTGTCTCAAGTTTACAATTCGGGAGCCCTCCGCAGGTGAGCATACTGTGGGGCGCGCAGTACTGGTGGGAGCCTCTGATTGATCACAGCGGACGTACCGCGATCTGGGTGGATGGGATATTGAATGTATGTTGCAGCACCGGTGACCAAAGACCACATAGTCACTCTGAGCTACGGACGCATTCCATTGATCATCGCCGCTGAGCTTGAGACGGGAGACGTAGTAGAGCAACACTTACACCCCATTCGGAGAAGCATAGCACTGTCCTCCCGTCCGGGGCCCACTCTGCCTTGACAAGTCCTTCAGAGCCAGCCTCGATGCGTGCGCTCCAGGCCTCGTCTCTGAGCTTGAAGACGGACACTACGCCGGTCCTCGCGCACGCGGCCATGACATACTCGGAGTCACAGGACCATGCCGCGTGCGTAATCCAGTGCGAGGTATCCTCAGCTTGCGCTCGGCCCTTGTGCTTGCTCGAGCTCGCGAGAGCGGCTGCGGTCGGGGACGGTGTCGGGTCGACAAGCCAAGTTCGGGCGATCTGGAAAGAGTCTGAGCGTCGGATGATGAGGCGGTCCTGGACGGCGGTGAGCAGAAAGTGCGTCCCAGGGCTGAAGGAGACGAGAGACGAGGTCTGTTTGTAAATTTCTGTGAAGTCCATCCGGAGTGGGTGGCGGCGAGCGGCAAGAGAGCAGACGCCCAACGCGTCGCGCGTGGACGCGTTTGATCAGACGCGTCGGTGGCGCATCTACACTTGTTCTCCTACTGCCACCTTCGCAATACTAACCACTTACAAGGAACGCTATCAAGTGCTATTAAACTCGGTCAGTATAAGCGACTAGGAAAGCCGGTCGGCACTAGGGGATACAGCAAAGAACACTGTATCGTAATCAATGTTCCGTAAGACTTAACGAGGTGAGCGTTCAAATGAAACAGCGGTCGGGCTATCGTCATTGATCTCGAACAAGATATCAGCCGGAGCGTCCGTACATCGGTGCGGATTCAGATTATAGTCGAAAGTCGAACTCGGAGTCCTAAGAGCTGCTCCGAAAGCCTGGTGGGTGCCCATGTACGACAACTCATGCGTAAGCTAGAACTGCTGCCAAACACGCCGCGCTCCCCGAGGATGTTTGAGTTACGTGCACGGCGTAAAGACGCGTGGTATTCATGCTGGACTTTGTGCCGGGCCTCCCGGTGCATGCGACTTCGATGTTTGATTAGCGAGGTATGTAGTAAGGTACGAGCAATGCACATATGGACTATCACTGATATGCCTTCCACGGCTTAGGCTCGTTTTGGAGTCAAGCGTCATCCATAACATTGCAGATGTACATGGACGTGAGCGGGTGAACTTGATCAAAGCTGTCCCCTTCCTCCCGCCACCACTGCCACCGCACCGAAACTGGCCAAACGGTGTAGAGCCCACGGGCCCCTCCTCTACTATTGTGTAGGCACGTCGCGGCGTGAATGTCCTCGCAAGACGGCCCGGACGCGGCTGCAATCGTCCAGCTGTACAGCTCGAAGTATGTGTCTTGATACTTGTTCTGCCATGTTCCGTCAGTGTTATCGTTTACCTGTGCATCGGCTAGCTTCGTGGACAACGCCATAGAAGTCGCGGCAGCAGGTAATGATCTCCCCTCTATATGTATGGCGGTGCCGCGCAAACATAGAACTTATCCCAAGTGGCTTGGCAGCGCTTCTGGTTTACGAGTATTTGGTGACTCTCAACCAAGAGATCCAGCTCTTTTGGGCGCGCCGCGCCCGCGCCGCCTCCTTGCTATTCTTTACCATCCGATATTGGACGCTGCTCAACTACGTTGTGTTCTGGTCCCTTGATGTGGCAGCTGCCCACTTTTCCGATGAGGTACGTGCACGTATGCGCATAAGTCGAGATCCTACATGACGTGTATACGCTGAAACGAGATTATAGGGGTGCGTCCTTGCGATGCTGTGCGCTCGGGACTGAAAGCCGACGTGCACATAATCCACTTCACACAGCTGCGCACTCAACAGCAAGATACAATTCGCGTCCGTATCGCTGCAGTACATACCATGGGCAGGTACGCATCGACGATTGCTTCGGCGCAGCCCGTTCTGAATGCCCACCAGTATTGTCGGCGCTGCGCGTATTCGCGCTCAGCGGGAAGCGCTGGCCACTCTCCGTGCTCGTGTTCGTTGTGGCCAGCGTCCCGGCTATCACTAACTTGGTGAGCCGTGTTCCATGCTCAGGGACCCCAGGCAGTTTCACTGACGTCGGCGGGCGCGGTTCCCAGGTCGCGTTCAACTTTAGCCTGACCGGTGTGAAAGTGTTCACTCTTGGCTGTATCGAGCAGCTCGATGTCACGCCGCTGCAGCACAAGATGTACGTCGTCTGATTACCTACAATGGGAATTGCCTCGGCACTAAAACATCGCGCGACAGACTGTCTGTCGTGACTCGCGCATCCCTGTCAGCCGCAGACTTCATCGTCGTAGTGGTGACGATTTTCGCGACGTGGAACAGAGGCCTGCCGCGTATGTGTACAACCGATACCTGGCGATTATCCTTGGGCGACGTGCTTCTGTATAATGGTGCGTATCTGTCTCTTCGATGCGAAGCGACCTACGCTGCTGACTAGGCGCAATCCGTAGGTATCACGTACTTCCTGTGAGTCGGACGTCGTTCTCGATGCATACAGAGATTCCGAGTTTGACTTTGTGCGCAGCGTCCTGCTCGCGCTCAACATCCTCGTCATAGTGCTCGGTCGCGCGTCGGTGCGTGGCCTCCGCGATGTTACTCTCTTGCCTTGCTGAACATCCCCGCAGAGCGACGCGACGGTCCAGCAAGCAAGCTACCTCACCAACATCTCCGCCCCGTATGCACCCTTCCCTCCCCCTCTTCCCTCTCCCTGCCTGCGTGCGCTGACCTCGACCGCTCGCTGGCAGAGTGAGCGCGATCCTCATATGCCGATTCCTGCTCGACCTGCAGGCCGCGAACCGCGCCTCCGCCGAGTTCGGCTCGCAGATGCTCTCCCTCCCGCCAAACCTTCAAGGGGTCGAGGAGGAGGAGGAATCAGAGTCGGACACGCTGAGGTTCGACGTCGGTGTGTTCGGCGCGGAGACGCGGCATGACTCACTTTTCACTGGATGCTGGGACGGGGGCGGGGATACCGATACCGATACCGTGCGTGGTGGGGAGGGGGACGAGGAGGGGCGCGCGGGCGGTGCGATGGTCTTGCGCCCGGTTACGAGCTCGGGCGATAGGTCGAGGTCGCGTACACGGACTGGTGTGGGAGGTCTAGCGTGAATGGGTGGGGCGGGAGAGGAGACTACGTATGTTCCTAACTCTGTCCATTATATATATGCAGCATGACTGGGTGATCCTAGGCCTGTTCAAGTTGTGTAAGTCGTCTTGCGCGCGATCACAACCGACACACCACAGTGTGGGTCGTACTGTTCCACTTTGCCGTGTCCGTTTCATGGAAGGTGCAGTCAGTGGGCTTTCCCGATATTTGCACTCATGCAGTAATCAAAACTTCAGGTTGTTGTGCTCAAGAGCGGGCAGGCGCGTGGCGCCTGAAAGTGCCCATGGCATACTTGAGTCACGAGGTTGAATACTGCATGGAGTGAACGACATCTATTCAAGAGCCTCCTAGCAATGGACCAATCGGACCCCCTTCCTATCCAACACATCATAGTCCGCTCAGCAGAGACGGACGTTGTACAGACTATATCTCGGCGACAATGTCTTCCGGACAATGGTAGCATTCGAACGTACTTGGAATGGATGACTTCGACTGTGAATCAAGTGATTGGGTATTCCAGCGCTCGGTCGGCGAGTGGGCGGAAGTAACGAAGAGCGCTGTAGACGTGATTGGCAGAGTGAGGCCCGTCGAGCAAAAGCGAGCGAAGGTACGGTGGCGGTGCGGGTGACGATCTCAGCTTGTGGGCGCAGCGTTTCCCAATCCTACTCGTCCTCCTCTTCCTCCGAGGAGTCCTCCGATGTGAGCACCTCCGTCTCAGGTTCCTGCCGAAACACCCGGGAGTGCTTGCGCCCAGTCTGCATCGCCTGCAAGTACCGAAACACCTGGCGGCCCCCCTCCGCCTGGTCGAAGTTACGGACTTCGAACTTCTCGAGTCTCGGGAACAGCCTGTCAAGCAGAACGGCGAGGTCGAAGTACACGTGGGGATCGCATTCAGATAACCAGCCGAGCTTGAGCCACTGCGTCCTCGACCGGCCAAGCACGGGCAACTCCTCCGGTAAGGGCAGAGATGCGGTATTGAGATTGGGGAGGTTGACAATACGCAAGCGCGGACATTGCTGCGCCAAACCGACCAGGTTGTCGATCGTGGGCCAGCGGACGGTGTTCAAATCGCGCTCGCGTGGCCCCCATACAGGCCCGATGCCGAGCCATTCGAGTTTTGGCCAAAAGCCCGCCATATTCACGAAATCATCGTCAGACATGTGGGGAATGTGGGCGCCAAGGTCGCACTCAAACGACTTCAAGCGTGACAACGCAAAGAAGGGTTCAAGGATGTCGGCGAGAACGGCCCTGGGGGAACGTGGAGACATTGTTGAGACCCTCAGGTGCACCTTTGGTAAACCCCGAGGGAGGTAGGCACCTAGTTTATTTGCGCATTCCTCCACGTCCGATCTGTTCGTCAAACCGACGAGGGTCACTTCGAGCATATCCAGCGTGGCTAGATTAGCGGCGATGACGAAATTTGAGACGTCGAGGGAGCTTCCCGACACGCAAAGGTGGTCGAGCTCGGGAAACCCGATCTCCAAGCCAAGATCAGCGGCCGTGTTGCACCCATCCAGTCGAATCGCCAAAGACAAAGATTCAAGAAGACCCAAGTGCTCCAGGACGCGAATAGCGCCTGCATCGAGAACTGTTTCATCACCGCCGGTAAGGAAGAGGCAACACAGATTGTTACAGCGGCCGAGGAGGGCTACATCTGGCGAGGCAATGGGGAATGTCTCAAACAGGGATAGGGCCGTGAGGTGCGGTGCGGTGGTATTCACGATGTCGCGGAATAAGGCAGCGGCGATTGGTGAGATACTGGAAGTTTCTACCGTTTTTTCGTCGAAGCCTACATGAAGGTCGCAGATGGTGGACGAAAGCAATAGGGTCACTGGGGCGACGTCGGATAGCGAGATATCAACGGCTGCGAGATTCCGTAAATTCGGCAATAGTCCTTGGCCGCTGCATCTCCGAGCGAGATGTACCCATACCGAGGAGTGGATCTCGCGAGCGTCGCGACTTGAGTAGTTCAGGGTGCGGACACGTTGGGCATACCACTGAAAGCGAGGCCACTCCGTGCTGAGGTCACCAGCGAAGATCTACGACACACATGCCCTGTGAGTAGGGTCTGGTCAACTGACCGCAGAAAAATGCTCACTTGAAGCTCGTTCACTTCTGTTAAGCATGAAAATATGCTTAAGAGAGGCAGTACGTCGTCTAGGGTCCCCCAGAGGACGTCCAGAGCCGGGTCCGAAAACGATCGGCATACTCGAGCACATGAAGCCAGTGTCCTCCTGTCCTCATAGCGCTCGCTGGTTCTGAAGACGGCTTCATCTGCGGTACCACGACTAGCGATCTACAAGATACATGAGACATTGATTAGGATGAGCATCAAGATACGACCTACACGATGATTTCAAGCTAGGATTCACCGTGATAGATAGGCAGGAGCAGAGGGCGGTGGTGGTACTCTCGGAGTAGCATGGGTCGAGTCGTTGTCGATCGCGGTAGTGAAAGCCCATCTGCCTCTCAGGCGCTTATTGAAGTTATATTTGCCATCAAGAGCTCTCCTCACGCGGCCGGCTGGCCTAATGGTTAAGGCGTCAGTTTCCGATTCTTGCAGTCAGCTGGAGATTCCGGGTTCGACTCCCGGGTTGGTCGAGCTTTTTTTCTCGCCCAAAGCCAATAATATCTCACACGTAAACTTGTGGACAAGCCTTATGTGGGGTAGCGGAGGACAACGATTTCTTCAGAGGAGAGTCTGGAACAATGTGTGAGGGGTGGTGAGATCCCTTATGGGAGCGTCGGAGTTTGATTCGTGAAGGGGAAGCCATCAGGCGCTAATTATATGGACGCAACTCTACGCAACTTGAGCCTCTTCGTCGCGACTCGCTGCCACTGCCAGAGAGTCCTGTTCCTCGTCACTGGCGGTTGAAAGCGTACGATGTTCTTCGAACATGAGGGCAAGTTGGCCCTTCTCAGATGATCATTTTTTATCTATGATTTGTCTTGTAAATCCATTCCGACGTCCCTCTCCCTCCCCCGCCAAAAACTCCGACTCGACGTGGTGCCTGCTGCGTTCGATGTAGCCGTGATCCATCAAGCCTATCAAGCAGGCCGTTCAGGTGCGTTTTGGCCATGATTCGTCACGGCCCGTCGCGGCTGTATCTGTTCAAACCTGACAGGCCATCTCGAGACGCCGCCTGACCGCGATAGCCTTAGTAGGTGGCCACCACTACGACATAAATGTGGAATAGTGAAGATGTTACATTGTCCGTGTATACGCAAGGTGATCTCAAGCTCAAGGTGATCTGCAAGAAGCACCCGGCTGCGCAAACGCGCTCCTAGGATCCGGCCGGATAACTCGACATGTCGCCCACGAGTCCGGGTCCGATCCACGTCTACCATTGGCACTAACCTCGACGACTGCTTCACCTCCGACGGCGGCGGTGGCCCCAGCTGTGCGCAGAGATGTACATGCGACGACTGATTCGCTCTAGGTCCTAGGATCACTTAATTTTGGTCCCATCGCCACCGTTGCTACCCCGCTCCCGCCGGCACTCAGCGGCACTCACACCGCGCCCTTCCCATCGTCGGTGATGGCTTCCGAAGCATATTGATGCAAACCCCGAGCCTCCGTCTGTACGTACACTCTGGACTTCTCCAGCTTCCAGCTCGACGACGTCTGACGGCGTTCTGTAAGCCCATTAACATAGAACTTCCAATGAAGCAGTTCGAGCCTCCAGGGGCGAAAGTGCGCCTCGGTGATGAACCAATCAATTTGTTTCAGTACTCTCGTGTCCCAGAACAGCCACTGCAATCATGACGCCCTGCCGCCATGTCCAATCACGTCCAATCGCGCCCCTCGTCCTCATCAGCGAGATGCAGACCTGTTGTTCTCTAGCCGACCATAGGTAGCCGCCCGGTTCCTGGGGATACGGCATCCGCTTCCCTCGGCGAGTCGGGAGGCCTCGCGCTCCTTGGCCGTCTCCTGGTGGTCGTCTTGGTTGTCGTCCACCTCCATGTTCTGACGCTGGACGTTGTCTCCCCCCCTCTTGCTCCCGTTCCTCCTCGCTTTCTCTTTGGCTTTCTTCTTGGGAGCGTGCCTTTTCACTCTGTCTTCTCGGGGCTCGCGCGCGGATGCAACCACACCCATGGATTCTCTAGGTCGAATACTGGTGGTCCTCTTCCTTCTTCAGTTCTCCGTCCTTCAGTGCCAGGCGCAAAGCACTCACCTTTTCAACTGGGGCTTTCCTGTGAGTATCTATGCCCTGCAAGCAGCGTCGTCGCTGCACAGTGTCTTACGCACTCCTCGCCCCGGACGGTAGCCGCAGTTCACGTCCTCAAGTATACAGGAATGCCAGAAACTTCCGATTCGGCTCATTCCTCTGAACTCATCAACGACTTTTGTCGGAGTGCCACCATATTCCATGCTCGCGATCGAGGTCGACGGCGTTACATCGGTCGATCCCATTGGTGACGATGCCAACCAGCTCTCCTGGCAGAACACTCACCGTCGTGGTACGCTTCTGTGATCTCTGACTAGAGTTGTTTTCTTGACAAGCCTATGCCAGATGCCAAGCTTCTGCTCACCGTCATGGACTCGAACGGGAGCACAGCGGGGTTTCCCGCGCAGTTCTTCAACGTCATCGGTGCGTAGGGCACAGGCGCGTGCGTCGTCTGCGCGTAGTGATGTACTAAACGCGCGTTGCGCTTCGACAGCTGCGTCTGCCGGGGGCGACACTTCCTGCCTCATCCCGGCCCCGACGTCCTCAACGCCTGTCATCACGACGAACGTCACGCAGAATTTGCAAACCTGCCAACCGTGGGGGCTGAGCATCACGGGTGGCACCAAGCCGTACAATGTAACACTCGGGCAGCTCAGCGCCCCTGTGATCACGAACGTCACGATGGGCCCGGAGGACGACGTGTTCACGTACATTAACCGCGCCTCGCCGAACCAGCCGCTGATTGGTGAGTGCGCTACTCGGGACTAGGACAGCGAGGGCGCGACTGATGACATGTTTGTGTGTAGCTGCTGTCGTAGACGCGTAGGTCGAAACATGGATACGGAATTCAAGTACACGAGCTGACAGATCGCTGCTACAGGACCGGTCAGTGGGGTGTCTCTACCGTTGCAGTCACCACAAGCGGATCCACAGATGCAGACTGCCCTGGGCTGAATTCAGTTTCCAACACGAAGGAACAAGTTGCGGCGCAAGAAGCCGCTGCAGCCGCCGCTGCACAGAACGCTGCAAACAAGGCCCACGCGACGACTATCGCGCTTGCGATCGTATTCGGCGTGATACTTCCTATACTGATCGTCGCCGGTGTGGGGTTCTGGTGGTGGCGGCGCCGCAAGCGGCTCATGACACACGGCAGGGCATCTGGACGTCAAAATACGAAGCCCTCGCCGTACGACCCGGAGCAGCAGAACGATGGCGCCGGGCGGCCGAGCCTGAACCTGGACATGTCGCAAGTCCACAGTCACGGCGCGTTGCGGGTCAACAGCGAGGCCCGTCCTTCGGCGACGTGGGCCGTCGACTCTACCGACGACATCGAGCCCCCGCTCCGCCAGACGGACAGCCCGACGTCGATGGACATGTCGACCACGGAGCTCCGACAAACCATCCCGACTCCATATCTCACGCCCACAACGATCGCGCGGCCTGCACCAACAATCAGGAGCCCGCGATCGCCCCCAGACCTCGCGGGCCCGGGCGCGCTCATGACGTCGAATTCAACGTCGCCCGCCGCGACGCTCACTGCCGAGGCGCGGTACCGCAAAGCGCTCGAGGCGCACGCGGGCGCGCAGGCGGCGCGCGCGCGGCTGCTCTCGCAAACGAGCCTCGGCTCTAGCGTGAGCGGGCAGAGCCCGATAGCGGGCCCGTCGACGCGCCCCGCCCTTCGCTCGAACTCGGGGCCCCCAGCAGTCAAGCCGCGCGGGGTCCCTATGCAGCGCTCGCAGTCGGCCCTAGTCTTGCGCACGTTCCCCGGGCAGCCGATGCCGCGACGGGGCGGGGCGTCCCTGCGGCTGCCGCCTGTGGCGGCGATCGTGGAGGACGAGAACGGGATCGTGGACGGGCCGGATATCATCATACAGCACCGCGACGGGGGGATCGTGGAGGAGCTGCCGCCACCGTACTTGGACAGCTACTCGCCGCGGGCGCGGGCGAGTGCGGGCAGGAGACCAGTGCCGGGCACGCCGCGGTCGACATCATAGCAGTGTGCAGAGCCTTGGGGAGGGGAGAGTGTGGGGGCGTAATGGGGTGGTCGCTCTGGGATACCTTTGGTTGTTTCTGGCCTGCCTGGCTCAGGTCGTGTGGGGCTTTTGCACTTGTTATTTTGTAGCCACGGTTTGAACACGGTCCGTCGAGGTCGTACCTCTCCCTTTCCGCTCCTTTGCTCCCGTTGTGTACCTTACTAGTACTAAGTGTGTTGTATGAATAGATATATCCCGTCCTTGACGGCCCTGTCATGCCTTGTATACCCCTTCAGCTGCCAAGCTAGTGGGCAATGTGCACGGCCCCCCTCATAGGGTTCGTAATATCACAGTGGCGAAAGTGTATAACGGCTCATCATTTTGTGTTGCGAGTCTCGCATCGCATGGACATATCCGTCGCGCGACAACATGCTCTAGGCAAAGATCTAGGAATATTCTGGCCGTGTCTAGCTCGGCGTAGACTGATCTCGGCATTTGTTTGAACGCTTGTCGCTGTGCTAAGTCAAAAGCGAGATTCGTTTGAAGAAAGGGCGGCCGTAAAGCTTTATGACGCTGGTATTTAAAGATGACCATATATGGCGTCTTACATCAGCCGCTTTCGTCGGTGGGAGTCTGAGAGCGCGGGCGAGCGCCGCGGCACTGGTCGCGTCCTACTGTAACTCCCTCTCGTCCCCGGTCTGCTCCTCATCACCATCCACGACGACGGCAAAGCCGCCTACACCCTGCTGCTTCCTGTCTGACTTCTTTACTCTACCTGGGCGGCGCCGTTGTCTGCTATCGCCCGACGGCTGTTGGTCTTGACGCCCAGTAATGTCGACCGCAAGCCACACCCCCTCCCTCACCCCCTCCCGCTCCCCGACGCCCGAGCCGCCGCTCCAGCCAGACCACTTCTACGGAAATGAAGAGATCCGCCTGCCCCCCTCGCCCAGCTCCGACGGCCGCACATGGCTTGATCCTGCAGACGACCCCCTTGCGCAGCGCGGCATCCCCGTCTTCCGACCGACAATCGCCGAGTTTGCAGACTTTGAGGGCTACATGAACCGCGTCGAGCCGTGGGGCATGCGCAGCGGCATAGTGAAGATAATCCCGCCCAAGGAGTGGTCAGTCCCCGTGTTCCCCCGCTCTCCATTGTACGATCGGCGCGACAACTTACCCCACGCCCATTTTCTTTTCACATCACGGTATGTGTGTGTAGGACGGAAGCGCTACCTTCGGTGGTGCCGCAGCTCGAGAACGTGAAGCTGAAGAACCCGATCGAGCAACATATGCTCGGCCAGGGCGGCCTTTTCCAGCAGCAGAACATCGAGAAGCGACGCGTGCTGAGCGTGCGCGAGTGGGCGGAGCTCTGCTCGAAAGATGAATGGCGCGCGCCGGGCGTAGACGAGGTTGGGCTGCACGCGCGAGCGACGAACACGAATGTGAAGACGCGAACGCGGAGAGGTCGCAAACAGAGGGCGTCGGAGACGGCCGAGCCCGAGGTGCATGAAGAGCCCGAGGTTGCGATAAAGCGCGAGGAAGACGAGGAGGACGAGATCGATGCGGAGGTAGCTGCGAAAGCCCTCATTTCTCCACCCAACAGCAATCGCACGCTCTCGCCCCCTGAACAGGGCGAAGAGAATGCAAACGACACTATCGCGCCTGAGGACCAAGCATCATCGTCGACAGCATCAGCGTCAATGAAAGCCCACCATCCCCTAGCAGAAGAGGAAGAAGAGGAGGAGGAAGCGGAGTCGAAACAGGAGGAGGTTGGTAGAGATGAGGAAGAGGTAAAGCCAAAGACCAAGGGCAGGCGCTCCGCGCAAACACGCGAGGCCCGTGAAGCCATGATGGCCGAGCGCGCTGCAAAGGACCGCGAGTTCCTGCAAACCTTCGATCCTCAATCTGCCTGGCTCCCTCCTAAGACCAATGCTGGGAGCTACACCACTGAATTTTGCAAGGAGCTTGAACGTCGGTACTGGAGGAATTGCGGATTCGGCAAGCCCGCCTGGTATGGCGCCGACATGCAAGGTAAGCGGAATGGGTGGTCCTGTCTCGACCGGCTTTTAATATAATCTAGGCTCGTTGTTCACGGACGATACGGATGCGTGGAACGTGGCTACTCTGCCCTCTGCACTCACCCGACTACTGCCGGCGTCGAACAAGGGCCTGCCCGGAGTGAACACGCCATATCTGTACTTCGGCATGTGGCGTGCAACGTTTGCGTGGCACGTTGAGGACATGGACCTCTTCAGTATCAACTACATTCATTTTGGCGCACCAAAGTTCTGGTATGCCATACCGCAGGCCCGTGCCAACGCGCTGGAGCAGACGATGAAAAGTGCGTGGTGCCCTGTACTCTAAGCGCGCGCTACTAATCTGGGCTGGTAGGTTTGTTCCCTGGGGCGGGCAAGAACTGCTCCCAATTCCTACGCCACAAGTCATATCTCGCATCACCGAACGTGCTCTCGAAGTCGTCGTGTCGCCCGAATTATCTAGTGCAGCAGGCGGGCGAGTTTGTTGTCACGTTTCCACGCGGGTACCACGCGGGGTTCAACCTCGGTTTCAACTGTGCGGAGAGCGTCAACTTTGCGCTTGAAAGCTGGCTCGAGGTCGGGAAGAAGGCAAAGGCGTGTGGATGTGTCAACTTTAGGTATGTCTACTCCCTGTTTCTGCCGAACGTACTCTAACAGTGGTGCCGACAACCAGCGTGCGCATCGATGTCGAACAACTCCTTGAAGACCGAGCGGCAGAGAACAGGGATGTATACCGCACGTCTCAGAAGCACCGCCGCGTCAAGAGCGAGGCGGGCGTCGACAAAGAGGCTAAGCCGAAGGTGACCGCGCGCAAGCGCAAGTCCGACGGCGACGCGCCCCTCAAGGCGAAGAAGCAGAAGACCAAACCCACGCAGCCCGTTGCGTCGTCGTCGAAGTTGCCTCCGCCGTCGCCCACGAAGACGCTGAAAGTGACGCTGAAGCTGCCGCCGAAGCCCAAGGAGCCAGATACGTTCCCGTGCTGCCTGTGCGTGTCGATGTCGCAAGAGGGTCTGTTGCCCGTGCAGGATCCGCCTGCGTGGTGGTACGAGCCGGGCTGCGCGGAGGCCGCCGGCGGGCAGCCGTGCATGGCGCATGCGGTGTGTGCGGACGTCGTGCCGGAGACGTGGGTCGACGAGGTCGAGGTGGGGGATTCGGACGAGAATGGAGAGAGGAAGAAGGAGGTCAGGGTGTATGGTGTCGATGGGATCGTGAAGGATAGGTGGAATCTGGTAAGTCGCGATCTGCCTGTGCTCGGGGTACTGGCACTCATGGCGCTATAGAGGTGCACAGCTTGCACGAAGACGCGGCACCGCGCACATGGCGCGCCAATCCAGTGCACGAAGGGTAAATGTCCTAAGGCGTTCCACGTCTCGTGCGCGCGAGAGGGTCATTCGAGCGGGATCGTGTTCAAGGTGCTGCGCGAGGTCGAGAAGGAGGTCGTCTTGCTCGACGGTCAAGCGCCTGCGCCCGCCCCAACACCCGCACCCGCATCCGTACCCACACCAACACCCACACCTGCACCCACATTCTCGGCTCCGGATGAGACAATCTATGTCCCCATTGATCCTGCACTTGCGGAGCAACCCATGGACATGGACGTCGATCCAAGGATCACCGCCTCCGTTGCGACGGCCTCGGAGCCGGGTGCTGAGCCTCAAGACCCTCAGCACCAACCCTCGCCTTCCCTACAGGTGCTGAAGAGGATCAAGAAGACGGAAGTCGAGGTACTGTGTCATCAGCACAACCCTGTGAGTCGCTCATCTACCATAACAACGCTCAACGCGATCCTCCGACAAGCGCTCATCCCTACGCAGGCGATCCTCGCGGAGAAGAAGGCGCAGCAGCAGGACCGGATCCGCAACCAGCTCCTCGCGTTGCCGCCGATGTCGCGCATCAAGCTGCGTGTGACGGCAGGTGTATTCGAGGTGACGCTCCTGCGCGTGCTCGAGGAGAGCCACGCGGTAGAGGTGCTGTGGGACCGTGGCTTGCGGCGCGAGTTCAAGTGGCGGAGCGTCGTGTTCGGCGAGACGGGCGGCGTGGTCGGCCATAAGCCGACGGAGGCCGCCGCACCCGAGCACGAGCTCGCGGCGCCGCGTATGTCGTACCCTCCCAGCGGGTCCGTGCCGCCTCCGTCATACCGGCCGTCTCCCGCCGCGCAGTCGCATACGGCGACCTCACATACAACCTCGCACTCGAACTCGCCAATGCCACCTCCAGCGTCCGTCGCGCGCAGCCCGACGTATGCCACTCCGCCTCCTGCTACGGCGTCAAGCGCTCCACCCCAGGTGGCCACCGCGTATCGGCCGCCTGTGTACTCCCAGCAGCCTGCGTATCAGCCCCGAACGTCAACATACCAGTATGCGCCTGGAAGCTGGACGTACCAGTATCCGGGAGCGTCCTATGGCGCGCACCAGCACCAGTATGCAGGCTCGTCTGGCCAGGCCTCGGCCTCGTCGTATCCTTCTACCTCTTATCCGTCAACATCCTACGCCCAGTCTTCGTATTCACAAACAGCCTATGCGACTCCAGCACACGGAGCGTCATCATACCCTTACCCATACGCACACCATTCGTACGGAGCGTACCCGCAGTATAGCGGGTACACGTACAATCCTCCGCCTCCAGCCCCGCCTCCCGCAGTACCCAGTCAAGCTCCAGTGCAGTCGACGTTGCAGGCTTCCACCCCCACTCCCGTTCCCGCTCCGAATCCCGCTCCTTCTTCTGCCGCGGCTCCCGTACCACCACCACCCGCACCTCCCACAAACACCGCTCAGATGCAGGCACGCGGTCTGCAGTGGCAGAAGCCGTACACGGGGCCCAGGGAGCCGCTGCAGAAAGGGCCGCCTTTGACGGTTCCAAGCGTGCCTCAGTACTGCACGTTGTACCCGCCCGCACAGGCACAGACGCAGACTCAGGGCGGTGGAAGCGAGCCGCCGTCGAGCGCGCAGCTGCCGGCAGCTGTTGACCCTGCGTTGGGGCCGCCGTAGTCACCTTCGGATCGACCGTTGGACTTGCTCTCATATTTGTTTATGCTCGTATGTGTGTACGCTTTTCGCGATAATCGGATGGGTCTGTACGCTGTGATAGAACGCATATGATGTGCCATTTTTGTCGCGGACAAAGTTGATGCCGTAACGGTACTGCTCAAAGGTTGCCGCGAGGCCTACCCGGAAGACGCCCCTCGCTTGTCGCGCGCCACGTTGAACAGACACGGCAAACTTCAACGTTCAACTCGTTCAGATCATTACCACCATCGTTTCCGCTTTTGTTGACAACCGTGCCTTTGGATGTCCTACAAGGTGAGACGATTTTCCGCACTTTCGGGGGCCAATACTCACCATTGAACATATGTAAACAGAAATCAAATCGCCGCATGCCTCCGCTTGCGGTGCTACATCCGAACACCGTATCTTCGGCTTCGGGTCGCGTGTTTGCCTGTCCAGAACTACTTGCAGTAGTTTTTGGCTACTTCCTTGCGCCAAGCTGTCTTGAACTTGGCGACGATCCTCCACGCTGTGCGGACAGGGCCACTCTAAATTCCTGCGCTCGAGCCTGTAGGACGTTCTCTGACGTCGCCCTCGACGTCCTCTGGGCTACCTTGGATGACCTATTTCCTCTGCTAAAACTGTTCTCTTGCTTCACAAAGACAACCAATTTCTATGTAAGTGTACTGTCATAGCCTAGGAGTGACTCAACAGGTTGCTCATTGGTCATAGATCTTTACCGAGGACATCGACGCCGAGTGGGCTCGCTTTCAGCGTTACGCACGGCGCGTACGGATCATGCATTATGGAGCTCACTCCCGTCACAACACCATCCATTCCTCAGTATGGGTGCATCTCGCTCGGAGGTGCGGCGGCCAAGGACTACTGCCACGTATACGGAGGCTCGAAGCCTACAACCTCAGTCTTTCCGACGTCGGCCCAGTAACCCTGCTACTTTCGTCCAGCATCCGCAAATTGATAGTAAACTTCCTAGGCTTCGCGCCCGAAGACGGTAAAGATCTTGACCCAGATCTTCCTCTAATCGCTGCCGCCTTGTTTCACGACATCGTGAAGACCACCGCGCCACATTTGACCGACCTGTCACTATGGGACAGCTTCCCGCTCTCACCATCTCACTCCGCTCTCCTCGGCCAATGTCACAACCTGCGTCATTTGTCCGTTGAAGGCGAGGCCATCAAGTTCAATGCAGATGCCATCCGCGCCCTGGAGCGCCTGGATTCCCTCAAATTCGCGCATATGGTCATCCGGCTAGATGACTGCCAGACTGCCGTCGATCTTCGCCTGCAGACTGGCTTTCCTGCGCTCAAAAGTCTCATCCTTGATGGAAGCGCCCCCGATGTTGCAAACTTCATTATCGCCGCTCGTCTAGTCGCGTTGAAGTCGGTCGATGTCACCCTTGTAGACTCAACGGACATGTCCGCCGTCAAAGGATGCTTGACACAAATCGCCGCCCACCTCCCTCGCCGTCTACGCTCTTTCCGCTTTACGATTACATCGATTTCTCCAGGATCCCCCGCAGCGACTCTTCGAGAACTGCTCGACCCGCTCTATTCGCTGAATGGCATGAGATCGGTCTCCCTCGACCTCGGCGATCATAACTATGACATATCCGACGACGATCTCAAGGACCTCGCGTGCGCGTGGCCGGTGCTAGACTGCTTCGGAATCAGCTCAACAGTGGGGAGCTGTGTACCGCGCCGGAAGCCCCTTCGCTGTCCGACCATCCGTGGTCTGGTCGAGCTGGCGCAGCACTGCCCGCGCTTGACCGCCATCTCCCTCCCGGCCCTCGATACCAAAATGCTACCGGCACCCGAGTCGGTGCCCGTGCTAGGCCGGTCAAGGATGGAGCGGCTCACTCTCAGCTATATCTCTGCGAGCGGCTCAAACATGCACTTCAACCTAGCAGTCCTGCTCGATCGGTTGTTCCCGACACTCGAAAAGCTCGATATCGGGACTTCGGGTAGTGAAGGCGTGGCACGCGAAGTGTTTCGGTATCTGGAGGTGATGCAGCAGGGGCGCGAGCATTCTCAGCTGTTCTGGCAGGATTGCGCGACGGACGACGACTTGGAAGATGAAGACTTGGAGGACGACTCGGAGGATGAAGACAGTGAGGAGGACTCGAAGGTGGAGGGAAATGATCACTCGGAGGAAGGGGAAGAAGATTGAGGACTGGTAGGGTCTACAAGGCCGTATCTACCTGCTTCAAACCCTCCTCCCTGTCCCGGCGGAGCAGCCGCTATATGACCACCATGTCCCGCTTTCACTTCACGTGCACTGGCATCCCTGCTAACCGGCGACCCACCATTCACTTTGCGGGCAGCCTCCCATCTCTCATTATGTTCTGCATCTCCACACAATGTGATTCTCAATGATGGTCTGAGCACTGATATACACAGACACTGCACACATGAGGACCGTGTCTGAATGTATCACCCTCCGATAGACAGAGGGATTACCTATCATAATCAAGGCCTACTGGCAAGTAAATCCTCAGATCAGGTTGTTAAGGTCGAGTGGATATTATACGTGTCACACAGTAGGTCTGGTCGACGTGGTCCTTGATGGTACGGAGGATTAAAGGTACCTCGCATGCAACTCGCATGGTACCGCGATACTGAACGCTTCGGCAGGTGCCGGTGCCAGAGCAGGGGCGCCCGTCCTGGCTCGCGAGTCAGCGCTTCAGCTTCAACCACCACCACCACCCTCTCCCGGCGACACATTACGGTGACTCAGAGCTCGATAATATCCTGTAAGTTGCATCTATGGTCGTCTCAGCCAATGTCTCATTTATTTTGCAGATCGCCAGCCCTGGTGTCGCGGATGGGGCCGTCTTCAGCCTCGAATCGCGTGTTCGCCTGTCCAGAGCTACTCGAACTCATCCTTTGCTTTTTCTCGGCACCAGCCCTTCTGCATGATATATTCTCTGTCGAATCGCTTCGCGCTCGCCACGCGGACAGGGCGACACTAGCATCATGCGCTAGGGTCTGCCGATCATTCTCAGAACTTGCTCTTGATGTGCTCTGGGGTACCCTGGATGATGTACTGCCTCTATTAAGCCTGTTCTCCTGCTTAACGGAGGTTAACAACGCCTATGTGAGCGTTTTTTTATAGGAGAGTGAGAAGACTGCTTGACTGACACTCAGATTTTCATTGGCGATATCAGTGCCGAGTGGTCTCGCTTTCGATGCTACGCCCGGCGTGTACGAAGCCTGATTTATTCAGAGCATGACACTATCCATTCCTCGGTATGGATGCATCTAGCTTGGAGATGCGGTGACCAAGAACTGCTACCAAATGTGCGGAAACTGGTAGCCAACAACATCTCGCTCTCCGATGTCGCCCCGGTGACGCTACTGCTTTCGCCCAGCATCCGCGAAATACAGATCTCCTTCGACAAAAATACCCTCGTAGTTCCCAGTCTCTCTCCTGTCGCCGCTGCTTTGTTTCACGACATTGTGAAGACCACCGCGCCGCATCTGACGGACCTCTTTTTGTTTGAGAGATTCCCTCTCTCCTCGTCACAGATCCCTCTTCTCGGCCGCTGCCACAACTTGCGTCATATCTGCCTTTCCGACCGGGACCATACCGTCCTTGATGCGGGTGCGATTCGCCTCCTGGAGCGCCTAGGACCCCTCGAAACCATGTCTCTGGCGATTCGACTGGGTGGCTGCCATATCGCTGCCGATCTTGACCTGAAGATTGGGTTTCCGAAGCTCAACTACTTCAATCTTGCCGGGAGTGCGGTCGATGTCGCAAATTTTCTCGGTGCTGCTCGTCTGGTTGCGCTGAAAACTTTCGAAGTCACTCTCGCGGGCTCGACGGATATGTCAGCCTTGGAAGAATGCATAGCGCGAATGGGTGCCCAGCTGTTTCAGGGCTTGCGGTCTCTGCACTTAACGGTTACCACGATGTCGCCACAGTCCCCCACGGCGGTTTTAGGCGATGTCATCAGCCCCCTCTATGCGCTGAAGGGCTTGAAGTCGGCCGGGCTTGACCTCGGCGCGCACGTACCCCATACATCCGACGACGACCTCATAGCGCTCGCTGACGCATGGCCGAAACTGGACTGGCTCAGCATCGGGGGCGGGAGTCCGCCCAATGTGCGGCGCCTGACCACCCTTCGCCGGCCGACGGTCCGGGGCCTGGTCGAGCTGGCGCAACGCTGTCCGCGCCTGCGCATCATCCACCTCCCCACGCTCGATACCTCGCAGCTACCGTCGCCGGAGTCAGTGCCCGCGCTCGCCCGGGCGAGGACCAAGAGGCTCAATCTGGACTGGATATCTGCGAGCGGCGGTCCGGTGCGCTTCGAGTTGGCGGTCTTGCTTGATCGGCTGTTCCCAGAGCTTGAGAAGTTCGAAGTGGGGAATCCGGGGCAAGAGGAGGCGGGTCGACAGGTTTTCCGTTACCTGGAGGCGATGCAGACCGGGCGCAGGCATTCCAAACTGTTCCCACAGGAACCTGAGGCGAAGGCGCCGAAACCAGAGGAGGACTCCGAGGAGGAGGGAGGATAGCGGTGCGTACTGTATGTAGGTGCTGTATGCCTTTCTCCCAGGAGCATGCTGATACTGGGAAGAGTAATACAGATATCCTGCAAGCTGCTGCAGTACCGGGATAGGTCGAAGGTCCATTCAAGCTGTATCATTCCCATGTCCCTGCAGCCCACACATAGTATCAGCACTCTCTCCTGCAAGCTTTGCTGCGACCGCGGAGACCATCCGCCCTAGGTCACGCACATACGGTCGCCTTTTACATGTGGTGGCAGCTCGTCGCGTCTCAAACGGTACGTGATCGGCGGCGTTCTGGCTATCAGGCAGACTGCAGCTCCATGCGCTCATTCCGGATGGGTGGTAGTGACACGACTTCCTGGCAAGGCTGTCAGTCTTCTCTGGCGCTACGCTCGTCTCACCGGCTGCGGCCCGCCTATCAGCTCTCCTTGAACATGCGGCTGCGCCAGGCGGCAGCGAAACGTTCAACGTTCATTGCTCAGCACGTTCAGGCTCAACGGTTTGCATATACCGGCGTCCTTTGCTTGTCTTGTTCCATCACCGAAGCTTGTCGCATGCCTCGCTTTTCTGCAACGATATGGCCGGGGGTTGGAGCAACGAAACTTACTACATTGTCCTGTCATACTCTTTGCTGTCCCTCTACCCACGATACCTCTTAAGCCTTGTAATATTATGTTCCACACCGACCTGCGTGTACTACTTATATGTTTTCCCGCGATTAGCCTTTAGCCTTTCGATTCCGAAGCAGCTGATATCGCGAACGCAGTGGGGATGTCGATCACGTGTGCCAGTTCAGACGCGACGCGCCGTGGGCGCTTGCCGAGCGAGGGAGCACCTCTCGACTCGCCTCCGCCGTCCATCTCTCCCGCACCCACCTCGCTTTCTCGCTCTCGGAGACTGCGCTGCAATATACGAGTTAGGTGATTGTAGCAGGTATGTCCGCCAAGTCTCAACCGCGCTGGAGGAGATGTGCGGCGCATGGGCGGGCGCTGGCATGCAGCGATCGTCCGAGTGGGAGGTGTCATGTCCTCCCCGCGGCTCGGATCATGCTCGCCCTACGCGCCCTGTTCCCCGCTATATTCCCCGCGCCCGCCTCCCTCTCGTCCCACCACCACCTCTTCCCAGTGCACCCTGTTACGTGCATGAAGCCATGACCGCCCTCCGCCGCTCTCCGCTCACCCTCCTCCGCCGGGCTTATCATCACACGCCCGCGCGCGCCGCCAAGCTCACCGTCGGCATACGGCGTGAAGACCCCGCGCGCATCTGGGAGCGACGGTGCCCGCTCACCCCGGATGTCGTGCACGAGCTTGTCGAGAAGGATGGGGTCGAGGTGCTTGTGCAGCCGTGCGACCGTAGGGTATTTACTTCCAACGACTTCCTCAAGGTACGTGCTACTGTGATCTTCATGACCTACCCGACTCACGCTCACATGTTGCCTAGGCTGGAGCAAAGTTGCACCCGACTCTGCAACCCGCGCATGTCATAGTCGGCATCAAGGAGACACCCCTCCCCGAAGTACTCACCGACCCGCTTCCCGCGCCCACCACTCATGCGCACGACTTCTCCACGCCCGCACTCGTGCCGCGCACGCAGATCATGTTCTCGCACACAATTAAGGGCCAGCTCTACAACATGGAGCTCCTCGCCAAGTTCCTCGCGTCCGAGAACCCCAACGCCGCGCTGCTCCCGCGCCTCATCGACTACGAGCTCCTCACCGGGGACGACGGCAAGCGCACCGTCGGGTTTGGATGGTTCGCCGGTGGTGAGTGCTACAACTTCAATCGAACTTGCAGCGCGTGGGCATTGGAGATGGCCTTGTGGTACATTGTGGCATCGTGCGTGCGAGCGCCGGCGGGTGCCTTGGCTGGTTCCGGGAATACGGTCATGCGCAATCTCGTCCATGTTGTTCGCGTGGACGATCGCGATCCCGTGCGTACGGGCTTGTGCGGGCACGGGCAGTGAGTTGAACCAGTTCGGTGATACTAAGAGTCGGAAAACATTTCGACTCTTGCTGTTCTGTCCTTTCGGGAAAGGTCGTTTCTTCCCTACTTTGATCCCACCGTCGTGGGTTTGCATGGCTGTGGCGAGCCCGTAACGCGTCGCGGCGAATGCTAACACGACGCACTGAGTGGGTGCGCGGGCAGTGGTGGTACATCACCATTGCGCATACAGTTATGAAGTATGGATATCGCGTTGCTGTGACGCAGGACTCGGACGTGGTAGCGTTGATTGCTCCGTATACTCGCGCGTATTGTTACGCGCAACGTCCGTCGTCTCGCGCCCCCTGCGCGCGAGTAAAGGAACTCATTTGGCGCGAAAACCTGGCATATACCCGGCCACAGAGTCACGCACCGCGCGATGAGCTGCTTTGGTAGGGGTTGTATCACGCGCGAGCGCAAGTAAATTCATAGAATTTTGTCACGACTTCCGCTTTGAGAGCGAATTCGATGGGTTGACAGAGCATAACCGCTAACATTCACTTCGTTTCTCCAGTCGCCGGGGCACTTGAGGCGCTGTGCGCCATGGCGCACGCCCATCTCGAGCTTGGCGTCGCCAGTCCCTTCCTCGTGAGTCCGTCTAATTTCTGCCCATCCTCTCGTGGCTGATAGTAGCAACGGATTCACGATTCGCCTGGCAGTATACCCCTCGTCCACATACCCAGCCTTCGCTCGCATCTATTCGGTCTATCCTGCGAGACGTCGTCGGGGCACGGATAGTTTCGGACGGTACCCCTAGGAGTTTGGGGCCCATCGTGATTGGTGTTACAGGGTGAGCAGTGTGATGACCTGGGTCGACTCGTGCACGACTGAGAATACGCGTTGTAGTACTGGCAAGGTCGCGCAAGGATGCCTGGATATTCTTGAAGACCTGCCAACACAACCGATTACGGTGGACCAGCTGCACAGTGTTGTAACCGATCCTAGTCCGTAGTTTCATCTACGTCCTCATGCTGTCACTGACTATGCACTTTCATGGTTCAGATACTGATTTGCACAAGGTGAGCGACACCCACACACGCGCTATAACGCATATACTGAGCGTGTGCGTAGATTTATATCCTACATGCGCATGCGAAAGACTACTTCGTCCGGCGAGATGGCCGTCCATTCGAACGCGCCGACTACTACGCCCATCCAGACGCATACGTCTCCGAATTTCACACCAAGGTCTCTCTCCTTCCGCACTTCCAATGCCCAGATACTCATCCATCGCGCCCCGTAGATCGCCCCGTACCTGTCGCTACTCCTCCACGGGGCAGGCTGGGCACCCGCCTTCCCGCGTCTCATGACGAACGAACAGCTCACAACGACGCTCACCCTCGCCCAAACGCTCGGCAAGGGCCGCTTCGCTTGCGTCGGCGACATCAGCTGCGACGTCGAGGTACGTGCCATCCTCTCCCCATCACCTTTGCCCCGCTCATCCGCACGCATACACATCAGGGAGGCCTCGAGTTCCTCTCACGGCACACGACGCTCTCTGCGCCCTTCTACAGCACACGGCCGGCGGGCCTCCCCGCGCACCTCCCGCCCGTCACGATCATGGCGGTCGACATCCTGCCCACTGCGCTCCCGCTCGAGGCGTCGCAGCACTTCGCGCACGCGTTCCTCCCGTACCTCCGTTCCGTGCTAGCCGGGTATTCGAACGCAGAGCCACCTGCGGAGAGCAGCAGTAAGGCGTTGAAGGAATCGTTGGAGCGCGCGACGGTGACGCGTGGCGGGGAGCTCTCAAACGCGTTTGGGTGGTTGCGGGGGCCGCTGGGCGTGTGGAAGGACAGCTTGCAGGACACTGCTCCGAGCGCGAACGGCATCACGGAAGATGCGAAGCCTGCTGCCCCTGTTCCGGGTGCGCAGCCGCGGAAGAAGGTGCTCATGCTGGGCAGCGGGATGGTTGCGCCGCCTGCGGTCGCGGAGCTCTGCAAGCGGCCGGATGTGGAAGTTATTGTCGGTCAGTGTTTCCAGCGCGATTCGTTGGAGTCAGAAATTCAGAGAGGCTGAACGTGTTCCTTTTCCAGCGAGCAACTCGTTAGCGGACGCCAAGCGCTTGACCGACCCGTACACGAACGCGACGCCCGTGCTTGTAGACGTGAGCGACCCCGCAGCGGTCGAGCGGCTTGTCGCGGGTGCGGACGTGGTGATCAGGTGCGTCGTTTGACTGGCGTTGTTTGCAAGTGTTGTCGCTCATAGGTCCGCCGTTCGCAGCTTGCTGCCGGTGCCCTTCCACCCGTCCGTCGCGGAGCTGTGCATCCGGAACCGCAAACACCTCATGACCGCATCGTACATTTCCCCAGCCATGCGCGCGCTGCACCAGAAGTCCGTACGCTCGTCTTCTCCTGTGCACCCCATGCTGACATTCCGCCCCATAGAGCCGTCGAGGCAGACGTGCTGCTGATGAACGAGATCGGACTCGACCCTGGGATCGACCACTGCTCCGCGATGGCCCTGCTGGAGTCCCTCCGTGCGCAGGGGAAGGAGATCGTGTCGTTCACGTCCTTCTGCGGCGGCCTGCCCGCGCCCGAGTGCGCAGACGTCCCGCTCGGGTACAAGTTCAGCTGGAGCCCGAAGGGCGTGCTGAGCGCCGCGTCGAACGCTGCGCGCTTCAAGCTCCGCAACGAGGTGCGTCCCTCCTCGCCTTCAATCCCGCCCTCCCACTGACAAGGTGCGAGAACTAGGTGTGCGAGATCCCCGGGCCAGAACTACTTCGGAAACACTTCACCGACGTCCCGCTCACCAACGCCCGCTACGAGGGCCTCGCGAACCGCGACAGCCTGCCCTACGCGGACGCCTACGGCCTCGGCCCCGCGCGCACCGTCTTCCGCGGCACCCTGCGCCTCCCCGGCTTCGCAGACCTCATGCACGCCTTCTCCGCGCTCGGCCTGCTCTCCGCCTCGCCCTCCGCCGCGCTGCGCCTCCCGCACTGGCACGCACTCACACGCAGTGCACTGGAAGTTCAGCTCGGCGCACGCATCCCGGACGACCCCGCGTCGCTCCGCTCCGCACTCGCCGCCGTCGTGCATGCGCCGCAGCTGGAGAACACGCTACACGCGCTGCGCTGGCTGGACATCGTGCCGCCCGCGCTCGCCCCGGATGGGGTGCGCGCGTACGCGGGCTACGACGCGTCGCTGCCGGCGCTGCCCCCTACGCCTGCCGCGCCGCTCGACCTGTTCGCAGTGCTGCTCGCGCACAAGCTAAGGTATGCGCCCGGGGAGCGCGACCTTGTCGTGCTCTCGCACGAGATCGTGGCGCGCGCGGCGGGCGCTGCGGACGGGGACGAGGAGGTGCACGCGTCGGAGCTCGTGGCGTACGGCAGTGGGGAGGGGAGCGCGATGGCGCGCACGGTTGGGCTGCCGGTCGCGTTTGCGGCGCTGCATGTTTTGGACGGGGGCGTGCGCGCGCGCGGGGTGCAGGCGCCGATGGAGCGGGAAGTGTATGGGCATGTGTTGGCGAGGCTGGAGGAGGCGGGGCTGGGGATGCGTGAGAGTGTGAGGGTGAGGAGTGGGGGTGTGGTTGAGCAGAGCTTGGAGAGGCGGTGGGGGGCGATGGGGGAGAGTCAGTGAGGGGGGTGAGGTGGAAGGGGATGTGACGGCGTGTAACATATTTGCTTGGACTTTGATTAGAACGTGGATTGGATAACGACATCGCTGTATCAGCGGATGGCAAGCTTTGCGAGCTTACAGGATCCTGGGGTCTAAGCAGAAAGGGAGGATAACTAAAAGGTCTCGAACGGTGGCATTATATAGCATACCCTGGTCATTGCCAGATTCGAGCTGGATTAGTCTGCAAGTACAAAAAGTAACAAAACGAAGCACGCACCGACGTTTGGTGTGCCCGCTCATTAATTCGCTGAGCCGTCGGAGTCATATTCATCTTGTACATTCACATCTTCGCTATCTTCGTCGCCGTCTTCCATCTCCTCCGACGTGAGCCCTGTCGGCCTAGAATTCGGTTGGAGTATTTGCATATGCTTGCGACCCGCCTGAATTGCCTCCATAAATACGTACACCCTGCGCGCCATCGGGTCACGGTCCATCTCGAACTTCTCCAGTGTCGGAAACAAGCGGTCGAGCAGGAGCGCCACCTTGAAATTTGTGCTCGGGTCTCTCGCCCGAGTCGGTATCCACGACAGCTTGAGGGTAGTCGTCCGCCGTCCGAGCACGGGCACAGACTCCGGCAGCGGCAGCTGCGCGGCAGTCAGGGAGGGGAGCTCGATGGCCTTCAACCGCGGACAGTGCTGCGCCAAGTCGACCAGGCCGCGGAAAGATAATTGCGGGGGAATGGACTCGCGGCGTACCCCTGACGGGAGTATGCCTGCGATGCGCAACCGGGTAAGCTTGGGCCATGCTTGTGCGAGTTCGAGGAGGTCGTCGTCGGACGTGTGCAGGGTGTGGGTGGTACCGAGGTCGCACTCAAACTCCTTCATGCATTTCATACCGTATAGCGGCCGGGCGAGGGATCCAAGGGCTGTTGTGGGCGCGTCCGCGACTTCCTTGACCTTCATGTGCAGAGAGCGCAGGTGGGGGAGGAGGGTGCCCATTTCGGACACGCACACGATAATATTGGCTATGTCTGTCTCGCGGCGTGTGATGGTTGCCTCCAGCGAGCGCAGCACGGTCGGACGGGCGGCACATATGAACTTGGTGATGCTCGATACGTCCCCGTTGAGCCAGAGCGCTTCGAGCAACGGAAAGCCGGCGCCCAGCTGGAGATCCGCCGCTGTGCAACTATCGTCCAGGGAGATCGCCAGCGAGAGAGAGCGGAGGTGGCTGAGCTGCTTGAAGAGGCGGATTCCGCTCACATCGAGAATCGTGTAGTCTGAGTCTGACAGGAGCAGGCGGCGCAGCTTGGAACAAGTCGGAAGCACCGCGACGCGCGAAGGTGCCAGCGGGAACCTCGGGAACAGACACAGCTCTTCAAGGCGTGGCCCGGCGTGCTTGATGAGCTCATCGAAAATAGCGGTCGCGACCCCAGACATGGAATTAGACCATATAGTTCTCCTGTCCACATCGAATGCGAGGTGAACTGAGCGCATGTTTGGCGCCAACAAGAGGGTGATGGGGGCGACGTCCGCGAACGTAATATTCGTGGCCGAAAGCTTCTGCAGGTTCGGCAGAAGACAAGAGCCATCGTTCCTTCGGGCCAGGAGCGTCCAAACATATGGATGTATGGTTGCGTCGGCATAGTACTTGAGCGTTCGCACACGACGCGCGTAGTGTTGAAAGCGGAGCCACCCCTGATCGAGATCGCCAACGAACATCTATGGACGGCCAACGATTAATGGCGCATGAATAGATCTAGAAGTTTTTGATGTCGCATACATAGTGCTCCTGAACCCATCCAAAAGTAGGGAAAAGCAGCAACAAAAGTAGGAGGTTGTCCGACGTGTTCCAGAGGACGTCGAGGGCTTGGTCGATGAATGTTCGACAGACACGAGCACACGACGGTAGTGTCGCCTTGTACTCGCGGCGACGCTGTTTCGAGTCGACCTGAACGTCTTCAAGCAGGTCTGATATGGAGAATGATTCGAGGACGAGAGAGAGCAGCTCGGGACACCCAAGCACGCGAGCGGAAGCAGCCACATCGCCGCTTGATCTGACATTGCTAGACATTGCGATAACGACACCTGCTGTTCTAGTGAGAAAATAGCGATCATATCTGCCGTTTATCAGTGCAGCTTACGGGATAGTTCGAGTTCCCGTTTGTGGGTAGGTCTGTCGAGTGTATGGTAGTGGCAACTTGCAAAGCAGCGCTGCAACTCCGACTCTCGCACAGTTGGTCGTAGCACTGCCACCTTCAAGTTTTCACTGGCGCTGCGTTTGAAGCTCGAGACCTGAGGCTTGATATACGCATGAAGGGGGAGGAGCAGCAAGCATAATATATGATAAAGGGAGGCTCGGACGCCAGGTCGGGCTGCCGTCGTAAGCTAGGAGCTTTTAACTGCTCAGGACCATATATGATTACTAGAAGGCTACTAGTATGGCAATATATGTTATATATAATAATGTTCAACCTTCTTAGAAACCACCAGGTTGTATCAGTCAGAAAACGTAAGGCGCATTACAGCCAAAAAAAACGTACCGGGTCCCGAACTTGAAGGTACCCGCTCACGGATTCGCGGAGTCGTCGGAGTCGTATTCTTCTACAGCACCTGCATGTTCGTCATCTTCATCGTCCGAGTCATCGTCATCTTCCTTCTCCTCCGACGAGTGACCCTCCCCTTCAGCATTTGGTGCGAGCAACCGTGCATGCTTGCGGCCTGCCTGCATCGCCTCCAGGTACTGGTACACGTTGCGTCCCGCCTCCTCAGGATGCCCATGTTCCCCAACCTCGAACTTCTCGAGCTTCGGGAACAGCCTGTCGAGCAAAATTGCCAAGTTGAAGTTTGCGTTCGGCGAACTGTTCGCCGGCATCCAGGCCAGCCTGAGGACGGTCATCAGTCGTCCAATCACGGGCACCGACTCCGGCGGCGGCAGCTGCGCGACATCGAGCGCAGGAAGGTCGATAACTTTCAGATGCGGGCAATGTTGCGCCAGCTCAACGAGGCCGCGGACGGACGGCCGGGAGAAGCTCGACGCGCGGCGCACGCCCACCGGCGACAGGCATCCGATGCGCAACCAGTCCAGCCGGGGCCACGCGTGCGCGAGCTCCCTGAGGTCGTCGTCGGACGTGTGCAGGACGCAGGGGTTGGTGTCGCATCCGAACTCCTTGATGCGTTTCAGAGCGTATAGCGGCCGGATGATGTCCCCGAGAGCCGTCTGGGGTGCGCGGGAGACCTCCTTGACTCTCATGTGGAGAGAACGCAGGCTCGGCAGGTGGGCACCTATTTCGGACATGTACTCGCGCAGATGCACTATGTCTGTTGAGCGCGCTATAGTGGTCTCCAGCGAGTGGAGCATAGTCGGACGGGCAGCGCATATGAACTTCGTGACGTCCGACACGTCTCCGTCGAGCCAGAGCTCTTCGAGCAGCGGAAAACCGGTGCCCAGCTGAAGATCCGCCGCCGTGTGATTGTCATCTAGAGCGATTGTAAGCGAGAGAGACCGGAGGTGGGTGAACTGCGTGAGAAAGCGGATGTCGTCCTCATCGAGAATCGTGTAGCTCGGGTCGGACAGAAACAGGTGGCGCAGGTTTGGACAGTTTTTGAGAGCAATGACGCGCTCAGGGACGAGTGGAAACCTCGGGAACAGACACAGCTCTTCGAGGCGTGGCCCGGCGTTCTTGACGAGATCGTCGAATAGAGCGGTCGCGATGAAAGAAAGGGCTTTAGAGGACGTGGGCCTTGCGTCGTCTTTGAAGGCGAGATGGACCGAACGTAGATTCGGCGAGAACAGGAGCGTGATCGGAGCGACGTCCGGGAGCGAGATCTTCATTGCGGAGAGCTTTTGCAAATTCGGTAGCAAACAAGGGCCATCGTTCCTTCGCGCAAGAAGCGTCCAGACAGACGGATGGATGAGCCCGTTTGCCCGATACTTCAAATTTCGCACACGGCGCGCGTACTGCTGAAAGCGGAGCCACCCTTCATCAAGATCGCCAACGAACAGCTGTGAATTGTCACTGGTAAGTTACGTATTTGGGCAACCATCTAATGAGATGACTTACAGAGTACGCCTCGACTCTCCTGAAGGTAGGGAAAATGCACAGCAGAGGCAACAGGTGGTCCAGCGTGTTCCACAAAACATCGAGGGCTTGGCCCGTGAACGTCCGACAGACACGTGCGCACGACGCTAGCGTCGCTCTGTGCACACGGCGGTCTTGTTTCGAGTTTAACACCGTGTCTTCCAAGAGGTCTGATACGGAGAACGACTCGAGGACGAGCGAGAGCAGCTCGGGGCACCCGAGCACGCGATGCGAAGCGGATCCATCCACAGTCATTCCACGATTCCTGCTATACGGGTAAGCGATGAGCGATTATTTATGACATGAGTTGTTGCAGCTTACAGAAGACGTCTTTTTCCTGTTGCCAAGCGGACCAGTCAAGTGAGATGGTTGTGGCGCGTTACGAAGCGGAATATTGCTGGCAGAGACTTGAGAGGGGTCGCTGCACTGCCACCGTCAAGTTTTCAAAGTTGCCCATGGGTTTCGCGCTCAGTTTTTCCAAGCAAGGGGCCGATTCTGTTCCGAAATAGACGTATGTACAATGGATTTATACAGTACAGACATCGTCGAACAGCGCTCTGGATGAAGATCGTCCGATTGAGCGCATTCACAATAGGCGCCCGTTCGCGTCGGCTGCCCAAACCTGATTTACAAAATGTACACTCGCCACAGTCCCCCGTTCCTTAAACCATTATAAGACAAAAAAAAAAGGAAAGAAGATGTTACGTGGCGAGAAGGGAAGCGAGAGGAGCAGGCCAAGACCCCTCTCGCCGTCCTCCCCGCCCCGCACAGCGGTGAACGAGAGAAAGAAACAAGTAGAACGAAGCGAGAGAGAGAGAAACAGATGAATAAATACTGGACGCAATGGAAGAAAAAAGCGGCGTGGAAGCACAGAAATCGATCGAGACCCAGTATACGTACGGCGAACCCAAGGTAGACGATCTCAGACACCACCACCGCGATCGCGGCGAACTCGAAGCGGGGTCGCGTGCTCTGCGTGACGGCATAAAACAGACGTCAGCGATGATCCTGCCCGCACGAGAAGAATTGCGACTTACTTCTCGGACTCCTGCGAGGGCAGGCGTCCGAAGACCCCCGCCCCCGCTCCGACCGGAGACGGCGGCCAGAGCATGGCTGCATGGGGAGAGGGCGCCATCTCTCCCCGCGCAGCACATGCCCCGACCGCCGCCACCGCCCCCTAAATCCACACGCACAATCCCCGTTCCCCACTAACACCCTACCGCACGCCGCTGTAAGGGATATGCATCGGTGAGAACATTCGCAGGTAAAGTGACGACAACGAGTACGTACCATCGAGCCATCAGGAGCTGATAGTGTACAGTGTGCTGAAGACCTAGAGACGAATAAAGTGACGGACACATAAGAGAGCGCACAAAGAGGAACCGAGATACTTCCGTGGCACATGCCGGGGAGGCTGACATCCTCGGGTCATCCAAGCCCTAGTCAACTTTAAACTCGCCGACGCCGGGTCCTATCCTATCCTGGGAGGGGGTCGAATCGAGCTTGCCGTCGTCGTCTTCGTTGTCGTCCTGGTTGGATATCTGTGGAGGCAAAAAAAAAAGCAGCGACGAACGAACAGCGAGGATCAAACAAATGGAAAACCGAGCTGGACACCGAGGCCAAGGGGGTCATGACTCCCCTCTCCCCAGTATCGCACCCGCGCCGTCAGCCTCCTCAACACTCCTCTAATTCGTCCGGGGGGTCTTCCATGTCGATGTCCTCGTCTTCTGCGCGCGCTCATGTTGAAGTTGAAGCTTGAAGTCTAAGCCTACTCAAAACACACCCCACACTCCCAAGGAACAAAAAGTGATCAGCGCAGGCTCAAACGTCGCGGACAGAGTGGTACACAATCGAGTCCCGCTTCCGCGCCTCGTGCAGGAAGATCAGCTTGCACTTCAGCGTCTGGTACTGCGCCCCCGCGATCGGCTTGTAGTCGTACAGGTGGGCGTGGCGGTGGGCGACCTCGGTGCTGGGCGCGGGGCGGGTCGGCCGGGGCTGAGTCTTCGGGCGGGGCAGGACCAGGCAGGACCCAGGGGGGAGGAACATGCCGTCGACGGGGGCGGCCTCGGGCTTGACCACGGTGGACGACCAGGCCTGGGGCACGGGCTTGAGGAAGTGGAGGGGGATGGCGGGGACCGGAGGGCGGGCGATGCGGGTCTTGGGCTTGGGGGGCGGGGACCGGAGCGACCTGCGCTCGGCCTGGCGGGAAGTAGCAACTGTGGAGGTCATCATAATGTCTAACTGGGGAGTGCGTGGGGGGTGGAGTGTGGGTGTGGTGGGGGTATGCGGGAAAGGTAGGTGAGGAGTTGGAAGCGGGTGAGGGCAGGTTTATATGGGCCGGCGAGCATTGGAATCGAGACTGAGGATGTCCGTCGAGGACTTCCGCATTGGGCGGAATACGGCGGTTTTCAAGCATCGGACCGACTTTCCTCGGTTATTAGGGCGCGGATACGAGAGTGGATGTGGGTTGAATATGATGAAGGGCTGCGGAAATCCGTCGAGGAAGTCGGATTTGGGCGGGGTATGTCGGTCCTAGGGATACGGGTGACGGAGTTCGTTCGTTATCCGCATCCTTGCGTTGCGAGTGCAATATACCGGAGTTTGACGAATGTCCGATGGGATCATCCAAAATTCAGGCGTACGCAACAGCTATATTTCAGATTTGAACTAAACTCGAGCAAGTTCGTTCGAAGACTCGGACTGCAATACTAAACTAGTAAGTATGTCAGATTTACAAGGCGCAAACGCAAATTTGGATTTGAGACACATACAGATATGGTAGATAGTATGCAGTAGTGAGCTCTCAAGGAGCTATACTAGTCATATGTGACCCAATGCCGGCCTCGTCGTGGTCGTCGTGGTCGTCGGAGGCAAGTTGCAAGCCGCGAGCGTCGCGGCGGGTGGCAGTGCCTGTTCACCATAAGCACGCGCTCGGCAAAGCCGGACCGGGCAGTGGCTTCAACTTGGACCACCACCACCGTCTGCCATGCCCAGCTCGGTGCTCAAAGATGGCCGGAACGCGCAACTATACGCGCAGGTGCGTCGACGTATGATTGAGAACGGCGACTGGGATAGGTGCGTAGTGCATGGGTTTGTGCAGTGCGGGTGGCAGTGAGCTGAACAGTTCAATAGGATTTCGTCGCGTCTGGCACGCGAGCTTAACGAGAGCGGGTGGATTGACAGGTTTAGGGACCTGAGCAAAGGTAAGTCAGATTATATTGCATTGAGAGAGGTGCGCTTATACATGGGCCAGCAGAGACCGCGCGGAGGGCAGACACAACCGGTGGCATCTCAGTCGAGGCGCTCATGACTGAGCTGGGACCACAAGCCCAAGGTGCGTGCGTACGAGGCTTCCGCACTCTACAACTAACATATGTTGTATGTCTATTTGATAGATGAGGTCCCTAGTGCTGTGAGACAGGACGTCATCGGCGTCCTTCGCAAACTGTTGGAACGGCAGATCGAGTTCTGAGAGTGTGGCTTAATTCCGATATTCTTGTGTTAGATACCTCGGCTCGTGAGGACACTGTCATGTATATATGTATTCTTTGTGAACTTGATGAGAATGCTTTATTGGTGTTTTGTATTCTGGGTTCCGGTCTCGCGTCGGTGGCACAAGTTGAGTGGGGTTCCAGGATTCGAGCTTGACTGCGAATCTATGGGAAAGGTTCCGAAGCTTGCGTTATACACCTCTTGTATCTCTGATAGTACGCTTAGGAAACTTCTTGGAATGTGCTCTCGTTGTTGAAGTTCTTCACGGGCTCTGACAAATATATCAATGGGCTTTACAGTATCGGAGCTCAATGGTTCGGTGGCAGCGGCGATTGTAGCGGGTTTCGTCGCTTTCTGTGAACATGGTAGATGTCACGTACCTACCCTCTTATGTCTGACATTTACGCTGATACCAGAAGGGTAAACGCGGGAGCTTAAGAAGAAGGTACCTCCTCCTGTATGTTGAGGCGAAATGACAGAGTTGCCATTTTGGGAGCAGCACAGTTTCGCGGCATTAGACGCCCGTGACTTGCTCTCCTCCAGTCTCCTCCACCTCTTTCAAACTCCCGCTTGTACACCGTCCGGCTCCGTTCGCCAGGATGTTTTCTCGGTCTTGCCGGAGCGCAGTGTCTACGGTGCAGAGATGTCTGCGCTTCAATAGCACCACCTCTGTGTACGTCTCGCGAACGTCTCTGCACCAAACGCCTGTCACTCACCATGTTGCTGCAGGCCTCCCCTCGCGAGCGCGTCCTCCGCAACGCCGCCTGCCCCCCACCCAGCAACACTCTCAGAACCTGCGTACGCTTCGACGGTAGTCCACGGCCGGAGCGTGCGACAGCCGCACTACCTCCCCAAAACGCACGGCATCCCCGCTGCGACGCTGCACTTCCGCTCCTACCACCCGAAGCTGCTCGACTTCTTCGTGCACTTCGCGGGGCACGCCGCGGCCGCGCTCGGGATCCCCGCCTCGAAGCCCGTGCACCTCCCGACGCAGCGGCGGCTGTGGACGGTGATCCGGGGCCCGTTCGTGCACAAGAAGTCGCAGGAGAACTTCGAGCGGCGGACGCACAAGCGCGTGATCAAGGCGTGGGACGCGAACCCGGAGGCGGTCGACATGCTCGTGCAGTATCTCGAGAAGCACCTCGCGGCGGGCGTCGGTCTGCGCACGGTGAAGTGGACGCGCGCGCCGGTCGGGGTCGGGCAGAAGACGTTGGAGACGGTGACGGGTCAGTTACGGATGGACCAGGAGCTGAGGGCGGAGAAGGTGAAGGCGTTGGGTGAGCAGATCGTCAAAGAGGAGCTTGCAGCTGCAGCTGGTGCGGCGAAGGAGGGTGCGGTCTCAAAGGCGTCCCCGGAGCAGTGATAATGCGCTAGACTATCTCCTCAGTTATATACACCCTATAATTTCTTTGCTCGGCGAGGTATCTGTAATCCTCATTACTCATGCACTCAACCTCGAACATTGCGACTTGGACTTGGACTTTGCGAGAGACCAGCTGAAGACCTGAAAGTTCGAAGGGAGTTGTGGCCACGTGGGAGACATTGCCGCCCGTGTTTGGCTCGCGTCGTGCGTGCGTACAACTCTGTCTCCGACCACCACCACCTCGTCGCCCACACTCTGCACTCGCCATGACCTCCCACGAAAACGACCCGTTCTACCTGAGGTATGAAGAAAGCCCCTAGGCGTGTGCAGGACTGATGTCCCGCCCACGCCCCCGTTCAGATACTAGTAAGTCTCTGCCCTCGCCTCGCGTAGCGGACGCGCGTGCTGACCTCGCCTCAGCACAGGACATTCGGGCAAGCACGGCCACGAGTTCTTGGAGTTTGAGTACTCCCACGGACGTCTGCGGTATGCGAACAACTCGAACTACCGGAACGACAGTTTGATCCGCAAAGAGAGTGAGCATTGCGTTTTCTTTTGGTGTTGCGAGCATCAGCTCCCCGAATGAGACTGACTGGTGGCGGATTCTGATAGTGTGGGTCGGCCCTCTGGTCGTGAAGGAGCTCAAGCGGATCATTGAGTCGAGCGAGATCACCAAGTGAGTATCGCGTTCTGTTGTCGTTTTGCTTAGATGTTGAACTGGATGCGACGCGCTCTTTAGGGAAGACGACACCAACTGGCCCAAGAAGAATATCGTCGGCAAGCAGGAGCTCGAGATTCGCGTCGGAAACGACCACATCGCGTTCGAGGTGCGAATATCCCAGATATACTATTTGCGGCGTGTCCTCATGCGGCGATATCCTTCCCTTCTTCGTGCCAGACCGCAAAAATCGGCTCGTTGGTCGATATCCAGGACAGCGAGGACCCCGAGGGCCTGCGCGTCTTCTACTACCTGGTGCAGGACTTGAAGGTGCGTCTTCTTTCCCGGCTTGTCCTGTCGCAATTTTTCTGACGTTTGGGTCACCTACGCAGTGCTTGATCTTCTCGCTCATCTCGCTCCACTTCAAGATCAAGCCCATCTAAATACTTCGCTTAACATCGGTTCGTCTGCTTCGCAAGCGGGTCGGAAGAAGGCCCCATTCGTGCTTCCGGTGTATAGTGTAATTGGACTGTGAATGATACTTCGTATTTGTGCTCTGTTTTGTCTTGCCTCGACTCTGGCCACCTCAACCCTGAAGCGTGGAGGGTCTGTCGTTGATGGTTTGAACGTGCGTCTTCAGCTGATCAAGTTTTCCGGGTCGTCTGATGTCCTTGGTCGTTTCAAACAGCATATCTCACGATCATTCAACTAGCAACCAACGGCAGATGTCTGCAATAACCGTAAGACGTGTGAGGTCTACTGAACATCCATTACTCGTGCTCCAGCGTGACTTTCTCCTGGTCAACTCTTGAGCTGAAAGTTCATTATTCTGGATGTGTCCAGCGACGAGGTATTGTAGCGTATATCTCACACCGTTCCCTATTCTCATTACTCGGTGTCACAAGGCTGATGCATATTTCTTGTGCAGACTCGCAACCTCTGTGCGTCCATATACACGAACGCGGCGACTTGTCCACGCCCAAGTGTTCTCAGCCATGCCGCTCTTGCTGCCTCATTCGAGTACCTAACCCACATCCGCACGCGTATCCGCGCCCTGGCCGCCGAGCAAGGTCGGTCCGACGCTCGAAAACCGACTTATCCCGCCTAATCCGGAAGTCTCTCGTCGGAAAGGACGGACATATCCCGCCCTACCCGGACTTCCTCGTCGGATATCTCGAGTTATAGGCTCTCGCTGCTTCATCCGAGTACCTAACCCAAATCCGCTCTCGTATCCGTGTCATGGCCACCGAGGAAGGTCGGTCCGACACTAGAGAACCGACATATACCGCCCAATGCGGAAGTCCTCGACGGACATCCTCAGTCTCGATTCCAATGCTCGCCGGCCCATATAAACCTGCCCTCACTCGCTTCCAACTCCTCACCTATCTTTCCCGCATACCCCCACCACACCCACACTCCACCCCCCACGCATTCCCCAGTTAGACATTATGATGACCTCCACAGTTGCTACTTCCCGCCAGGCCGAGCGCAGGTCGCTCCGGTCCCCGCCCCCCAAGCCCAAGACCCGTGTCGCCCGCCCCCCGGTCCCCGTCATCCCCCTCCACTTCCTCAAGCCCGTGCCCGCGCCCCAGGCCTGGTCGTCCACCGTGGTCAAGCCCGAGGCCGCCCCCGTCGACGGCATGTTCCTCCCCCCTGGGTCCTGCCTTGTTCAGCCCCGCCCGAAGACTCAGCCCCGGCCGACCCGCCCCGCGCCCAGCACCGAGGTCGCCCACCGCCACGCCCACCTGTACGACTACAAGCCGATCGCGGGGGCGCAGTACCAGACGCTGAAGTGCAAGCTGATCTTCCTGCACGAGGCGCGGAAGCGGGACTCGATTGTGTACCACTCTGTCCGCGACGTTTGAGCCTGCGCTGATCACTTTTTGTTCCTTGGGAGTGTGGGGTGTGTTTTGAATAGGCTTAAACTTCAGGCTTCAACTTCAACACGAGCGCGCGCAGAAGACGAGGACCTCCACATGGAAGACCCCCCGGACGGATTGGAGGAGCGTTGAGGAGGCTGACGGCGCGGGTGCGGTACTGGGGAGAGGGGAGTCATGACCCCCTTGGCCTCGGTGTCCAACTCGGTTTTCCATTTGTTTGATCGTCTTTTTTCGTTCGTCGCTGCTTTCTTTGCGTCCCACAGATATCCCACCCGGACGACAACGACAACGAAGACGACGACTGCAAGCTCGACTCGACCCCTCCCCAGGACAGGACAGGACAGGACCCGGCGCCGGCGAGTTTAAAGTTGACTAGGGCTTGGATGACCCGAGGATGTCAGCCTCCCCGGCATGTGCCACGGAAGTATCTCGGTTCCTCTCGGTGGGCTCTCTCGCGTGTCTGCAATTTTACTGTAGGTCTCCGACACCCTGCGACGCTGGCCATGCTCCACACATTGAAGGTACGCGCACGCCACCTCTGTTTCTCCCCTCTGAGATACTCACCGACTATCGCTCTACGCAGCTCGGACGCGACGCAGCTGGCGAAGACGGGAGTTGTCGTGGATGGTGGGGTGCGGTGGGCGGTGGACCGGGCCTGCGCGGGGAGAGTCGGCGCCCTCTTCCTTTCCTGCGCAGTCACCCTGGAAGCCGTCCTCCGTCGGAGCGGGGGCGCACTCGCCCCCGTGGGAGTCCGAGAAGTGAGTGTCTTTGCTTGTTTTCGACGATGTGGGACAGTGCTGACAGCTGTTGAACACCCGTATGCAGGTCGCGCAGTGTGTTTTGGAGCAGACGGTCGGACTGTTCTCCGAGTTGGCCGGTCGTGATCGTTGTCATAGTGTGCGAGAGCTGGGGCGAGTGGGGGTTTGGAGGCGCGCGGCGTGGGGTGTACATGACGAGGAGTGCAGCAAGAGAGGCACCGGCCAGCCTTTCTTGCTCCTCTTCCCGTCGTGTACATCTCCGTTGACACGGGGGTGTTTAGTTCATTTCCATCAGCCGTTCCTCACTTTATATCGTTGTACCTCCCGAGTTTTGTGGCTCCGTTCTGAGCGGGCGCCTATTATAGTGGGCACTCGCCGAGCCCTCCCAGAGCCCACCCGCCACGGTCCACCCAACCTCACATCACACCTACGTCGAACGAAGTCAAACCATGTCATCATATCGAGTCTACGAATTCTACGAGTCAAAGCATACTACGCAGCGGTTTGGTGGGGCATAAGTAAAACCATATATACGAAGCACTTAGCTATAGGCCTAGGTGGGAGAGGGGGGAGGCATACTGTTTAGCTATATCCAGTGGGGGTGTCGATGATACCATATGTGTACGTATAATCGCCCACGCCTACGTACTGTGCGCAGGGACGGGGAAGGAACGGTCCATAGAACGCGAACCGCGAAGCGCAAATTTCGTGCTGCATACGTAAACCGCCACCGCCGCGAATTTCGAAACGTAAACAAGGCAGACGGTAACGCAAACGCTAAAAACCCCACGGGGGCACTCGTCGAAGCGGAGGAAACGACAACGCAACGCAGCACGTCACGTTAACCGGCAATGGCAGCGATAATGGCAGTGGCACGTACGTATACGGCGGGCGCCGCTAGGGTACAGGAAATATACATACATATGCGTAACTTACTCGCACAACAGCAGCCGCTCGCTCGCTCGACCCGAGCGGCGCACGGGGCGCCTCCCCCGCGGCGATCAACAGACGATCCGAGAGGGCCACAGTGAGGTGGTGGGGGTAGTGGTGGTGGGGTGGGGGTCGCGCGGGCGGAAAGGGGGATGGGGGCGCGCGCAATGGCGTGGCTATGGCTGTATCGACGCATAAAGTCAGTTCTGCGCTACACCTCTGCAAAGAGAGAACGACTCACCAGGTCCGAGAAATATATACACTGTCGCCACCGCGACCCGCCCCGGCCCCGGCCGTCTGAGGAGGGGGGGCGAGTGCGACCCCGCATCTGCATCAACGCATCAACGGCGGTAGCATCCACGGGCACTCGTAGGATCATAGAGAGAAGGGGGGTGAACGGGGCGCATCCCGTCATCGCGGCCGCGCGCTCCTCGCGCGGCCTCAGCATATACACGGGCGCTCCGCCACCGCCGCCTCCCTCCGCCTGTCCCCCTCCGCCGGCGCCGCGGGATCCAAACATGGCTCATGAGCCTCCTGCGAGTGGACCGTTAGACATACTTAGTTGAGTTGGAGAGAGTGGAGGGCGATACCCACGTTCTAGACGTACAACATGCCTCAACCGCCCGCGACGCGCCCCGCCCCTCCCTATGCCCACCGCTGGCGCACCACCGCCGCCTTTTTCGTCGCCGTCGCTGCGGCGGTGCGCTCCTCGGCCGCCGCGCATGCTGAGCAGCTGCGGCACACGCGCTTGCGCTTGGTGCCCGCGCGGCCCTCGCCGGGGCGCGGCACGCACCAGTCGAAGGCGCCGTCGTAGACGATGCCCTGGCGCTCGGCCAGCCCACGGAATAGCGCGCGGAGGCCCTCGTAGTCGGGCAGGTCCTCGAACTCGAGGGCGCGGACGTACTTGTAGAAGATGTCGAACTCGGGCGCGAGCCCGACGGTGAGCACGGACTCCGTCTCGAGCTTCTTGTCGCGGATGAGGTCCCACGTGTCGGACACGGACGAGCCCTTGATCTTCCGCCAGGGGAGCGTCCCGCGGAGGAAGTAGATGAGCATGTAGGCGAGCCCCTCGAGGTCGTCGCGGCGCGAGCATTCGACGCCCAGATGGGTGTTGATCGCCGCGAACAGGCACGTTCCCACCCCGTGGTGGTCGTCCTGGTGGTACGGGATATGGGACCCTGTACGAGGGTCGCGGAATTTCTTCGCGAGGCCAAAGTCGATCACGTTCACGACATAGTCGTCGCAATGCGGGTCGTCGGCCTTGGGGACGACGAAGTTGGCGGGCTTGATGTCGCGGTGGACAAAGTCGCGCGAGTGGATGTATTCGATCCGGGTGATCTAGGCGCGGTGATGTCAGCAAGAAGTCCAGAAGGTGGAGACCGGAGATGAAGCTGTACGGAGTCTAACGAGATGTACGGAAGCGCACAGGAACTTTGTTCGCGTGAAGGTTGCTATGAGACGTGCGTATACTGAACGCCAAGTCTTGCGGGACAGAGACAGAAAGTGTCAAACCCGCAGTAACATCTTACTAGTGCGATGACGTAGAGGTCAACGGCTGCAGGGCAGAGTGCGAGCCCAAACGGGTCACTCAGTCTACAATACAGAACACGTTTGGACAGGTACCATCCGGGATCCGGTGTTTCCGGGCGCAAGTGTGAGAAATCGTCGACGCCTGCCATCCCGGTGGAAGGCGCTGTGCGATGGAGACACGGAATGTCAAGTCGACGCGCTGCAAACGCACGGCAGCAACGGTGCACGACCTGCGGCCCAGTACGAGCTGGGAGTACACCTGAGCCCTTCCGATGGGTTCCAAGTTCGGGGGGCGATGAAAGCGTCCAGAAGCGCCGGTCATCGAGCCCAGCCTGCTTGTGGCGATCCGGCAAACTGTACTCCACAATCCGAACGAGGACATAGTGTCGAAGTGAGAAAGACCACGAGACGAAAGATGAGAGTTGGAGAGGTTGGGGCAATTAGCCACCGGACGAACGCGCCGTAGACGCCGCGAGAGGAGCGACCACAGCGGCCGCGTTGTGCGCGCAGCTCGCACACGAAACCATCGAGGCATCGAACAGAGGGCACTCACAAGCTGGTCAGCAAGCATGAGGATCGTCTTGAGGGAAAAGTGCCGGTTGCACATGCGGAAGAGATCTTCGAGTGAGGGGCCGAGCAAGTCGATGACCATTACGTTGTAGTCACCCTGGCGGCCAGACCAGTTGATCCAAGGGACGCCGGGGCCGCCCATGAGGGTCTTGTAGATCTTGGACTCTTGCTTGAGCGGGGACGACTTTGCAATGGCTGGCTCGAGCTTGATGGCGACTTCCTTGCCAGCCACAGTGTGCACGCCCTGGAAGACGGTGCCTGAGCGAGAGAGAGTGAATGAGGGGCGCAAAAGGGCGCGTGGAATGGAGAGCGACTGACCACACCCGCCGATGGCGATTTCCTCCTCGAGCCTGTACTTGCCACCAAACGTGTAGGGATCCATTGCAGCGATGTGGGGCGAGCTGGGGCGTTGTGGGTGCCGGGGTACGCGTCGCGGAGTGCGGGGACGCGAAGGACGGAAGTTGGGAGGAGGAGAGGGCGTCGAGCGGGGACCGTCGCGGTGAGGGCGAGAAACAAGGACGATTCACGCAGGGGCGGGACTGAAGAGAGGAGAGGGAAGAGCCTGCAGCGGTTCATTTCCCCAAACAAACGCCCGCCCGGCATCCCCCGGCCGCGGCTCGACTGACGCCATATGTCTCCCTCCTCCCCTCTCGGTCGCTGCACACTCCGCTGCAGTCAATTAAGAAGGCCTCTGTCGATCGACCCGACCAACGTTCGCCCCCCTCGCTGCGGGGAACAGCTGCGCCCACCGGAGCCCGCACCGGCCGACGCGTGCTCGGGCGCTTGACGCGGTACGCGACTCGTGGGTGCCGTCCCGCGCCCCGCGTCTCCGCTGCTCTCGACCATGTCCGCACAAACATTCACCGTCAACGAGCGTGTCCTCTGCTACCACGGCCCCCTCATCTACGAGGCCAAAGTGCTCAAGACTGAGACCTGGGACGCGTCCAACACTCAGTCCGGCGTCGTTGGCCCCCACTACTACGTCCACTACAAGGGCTGGAAACAGACGTCCGTGCCCTCACCTGTTCAGCTGCATGTAGTCTGACACTCGCCTAGATGGGATGAGTGGGTCGATGCGTCGCGTCTGCTCAAGTTCAACGAGACGAATATCGGTCTGCAGAAGGCGCTTCAGTCGCAGTCCCAGGCCGCTCAGGCCGCCAGTGCCTCCTCTTCGAAAGCCGCAAAGGCCCAGTCCGGAAAGGACGTCGCCGGTGCGAGTGGGCGCGGCGGGCTCGGAGGGCGCAAAGACGGTGCACGGGGCACCAAGCGCGGCAGAGACGAGGTATGTTCCGCTCTTCTACCCGCCTTTATCCAGCCTTGCACGCTCTCCCATTCCCGGGATCCGCCAGAAAGTCGAGTGCGGCAGATCATGGAGATTCACAGCCGGGTCCTGTGGCACTATACTCCCCTTCTCTCGTACGGGGTCCGTGAAGAGAGCACTCTTGGGTGCCACAGACCCGGCGCGCCGTCTGCGCCGATGTCACCAATTTCGCCTCGTCTGGTTGAAGTAGCACGAAACGCTGCGCGTCACGATCGGGACATGGCGGAATTGGTGACGATGGGACCTATGTGCTTATTGGACCCGGCGATAACTACGCTCATGAGAGGGCGGAATTCGAGACCTTGGTGCCCAAAGTGGTGGCGTATACGGACATAGGAACCAGAGGTGTCAGGGCTCACGCCCACTTGACAAGTTTGGCAAGTGCACTCGCTTTTTCCAGCGTGGTGTGTTATCCCGCCCACGCGACGTCGTCTTGGAGATCGAGACGTCCAGCCAAGGACACGTTGTGGACGTACATACCACGCCGCACGCTGAGCTGCGGCTCAGCCCAAAGGGCAGACACCACGCTCGTACCTTCGGACTCCCCGCACCGGCTGTACCCCACTTTCCCCGCACACGCTGACCAGGGCCGGTTAGGATGAGGGCACGCGCAAGCCCGAGATGAAGCTGAACGTGCCGGAAACACTGAAGGTGCTGCTCGTGGACGACTGGGAGGCCGTTACCAAGAACAACCAGGTCCGTCCTTACTCCTGTCTCGTGCTCTGCACGCGCGCTGAGCATCATGCAGCTCGTGGGGCTCCCACGAAAACCGAGCACGATCGACGTCCTCGAGGACTTCAAGCAGCACGTCCTCGCCCAGGGCGCCTCGACACAGTACGTTTCTCCCGCATGCTCTCCCGCCGCCACGTCGCTGACGCTCGCCCGCAGACTGAAAGACCCGAAGATCCTGCTGCCGACGATCATCGCGGGCCTGCAGACGTACTTCGACCGCGCGCTCGGCGCGAACCTGCTCTACCGCTTCGAGCGCCCGCAGTACGCGGAGATCCGCAAAAAGTACGTGACGGGCCCGACGGTCGTCGTCGGGCAGGAGAAGGAGATGAGCGCGATCTACGGCGCGGAGCACTTCCTGCGCATGCTCGGTGTGTTTCTCTTCACCTATGATACCCCGTTGGGCGCGTATACTGATGGAGTGAGGATCGTTATAGTGAGTCTGCCGCAGATGGTCGCGAGCTCGAGCATGGACGGCGAGTCGGTCGGGTTATTGCGGGAGTACGTGAACGAGCTGCTGCAGTGCGTGTCATCTCCACTCGCGCTTGATCTCTGACGCTGACGAGAAGGCATTTGCAGGTGGATGGCGGACGAGAAGGCGCGGATATTCGCGCCCGAGTACGAGAGCGCGAGCATCGCGTACCAGAACATCTCCCGCTCGTGATCGCTTTGTTGTGCTGTACTGTGATCGTTTGCGTGTACGATATGAAGTCTTTTTCTCGTCTCATACAGGTTGGGCGGTCCACACCCAGGCCCAGAGTGTTTTAGCCCCACGACAATAGGCGCTCGTTGATCGTCGAGAACAGAGCCAGGAGCGCACAGGTGTGCTTGAGGCTAATTGGGGTTGTGTGGATGCGTGACGCAGAGGTTGTGTATGTACTGTGTGGCGGTGAGCAGTGCGGCTTGAGATCGCGGGCGGGTATGTACTAATAGTAATTGTCGTGCGGCGCGCACTGGTCATCGTCGGGTGGGCGTGGGGTCGGGTGCGGGATAGCGGACGACTCGGGGCAGGTGCGTTCGCGTATCGCCAACTCGTCAGTCAGAATTCAACTTCAACGCCGTCCTGCAGACTACTCAACGTCATCTTGAAAGAAGGCGATCGTATGCAGGAGGAAGGCGGGGATATGCTGGGAAGACAGTGCAACACTTCACCATCCAGAGCCCAACTTAGCGGGAAAACATACAGCACGTACGCAAGGGGTCGTGCGATCATCATGTATAACGCATCGCGGGTGAGCAATCACACTTATAAGTATATGCCAGTGTCGCACGTCTTTCCGGCACTTCACTCCGCCTGCTCGGTCGCAATGCTCCCCTGGGCCGCGGCGCGCTCCGTGCCACTGCCAGTGTCGACCCTCATCGATGTCCGGTGGGAGCATCGTACCCGTGGCGTGCGTGCTCACGCGAGTCGGGAGCTGGATTTGGACGTGTCCGCGAGCGAGGCGGGGGCCCCGAGGCGCGGGGAGGCTGGCGAGGTAGTCCTGCGCCGGGGCGGTCTGTGAGCCCGTTGCGCGAGTTTAGGCTGTGGGGCAAGGCGCCTTGACTGCGGGGCGAGTGCGCAGGAGGGGGAGTGCGTACACTGCTAGGAGGGTGTTTGCGTACACTGGGGGACGTCGGGCCCCGGGGTTAGCGTCAGAAGGTGGTCGCGGTGAGGACGGTGAGGGCGAAGTAGATCAGGTTGGTCGGGAGGACGAGAGCCTGGTTTCGGGCATGTCGGGATTTGTGTGAGATGGACGCGGTGTACGGTGTGCTTACGAATATGAGGGAGAGGAAGCTGAAGATCCTGCATGGGCGGGGTGATATCAGTATGGCGGACAGCTTCCAGTGTGAGGGAGCGGGCGTACCCCGTCAGAAGCCCTGTGAGATGCGGTACCAGCGGTCGTCAGAGTCGGCCGCGTTGGTCAGCGCAAGGGTAGGGGCTGGGGACGGACCGGTGTTGACTGCGTACATGATCATGACGAGCAGGGTGATCAACGAGTCGGTCCTATAAGTGCACCAAGTGTGAATTTGAATTTGAATCCGCCGTTGGATGCGAGTGAGCGTACCTCTTGAACACGGTTCTGCTTTGGCGCAGGGCGAGAACGAGCGTCGTGGTGAGCAGGGAGTCGACGAGGACCGCGGTGCCGAATGCGGCGGGCATCAGCTCCTGCATTGCGATCGATTCAGAGGGGCGGGACTAGTCTGAAGATGGCGGACTGCAAGTAAGAGACGCACGGCCGCCGACTCGAATAGGGCAGTTGGGAACCTCGAAATCGGTGGATACGGCGTGGTCTAGTAGAAGAAAAAAGGTGCATACTTTTTGACTGTAGCAGCTGGATGTCGTGTGCGACGCAGGATGAGGTGCGAGACGGCCCAGGCAGTTGATGCACTACTCACCAGTAGCGAGCCCTGTTGACAAAGAAGGATGAGGCAGTTCGCCAGTGAAGTATGGAGAAATATAGATATAGACGCACCCAAGATCGCAAGCATAAGGACAAGCTACCGTGTCGTCACCGCCCGATGAGCCAACTCAACATCCTATGTGCGTTGTTGAAGGGGACATTGGTACGCACTGCGACTACTACGATTGCGCGGAATTGAGAGCCGACTATCTGGGGTTAGATTTACTCGCGAGACAAAGGTTTCAGACGCACTGAGGTAAACTCGACGAGTGAAGAGGCTTGGAGAGCGGGAGGACCATGTGAGACCATGGTGACTGTGAATGTGCCAATGGCCCGCACCTTTCGGAGACGACCACGATCGCTGCCTGCGGGGCTGGAGTGTTAGAAGACAAGGACTTAGGCTGATGTGGAATGAGGGGAGGCGCACTGTGGACACCGGCAGAATCTGTATTCACCAGGCGGCTTGAGCGAGAATAGGCATTGGTGTTGCTTGTATCGCACATACATGGGCAGACCTGGGAGGCTCGGAACAGACTGGATCAGGGAGGTAACGTCGTGTGGTCGTGTAAGTACACTCACCATATGTTGTGTAGTAGGGCACTAGGGTGGAAGTACTCGGTCACCACATAGTAGTAGCTAAGTAGCGAGGGATCTGGTCAGCAGCATACTGGGAAATCCTGCGCACAATCGCTACGGCTCACCAAACATGCATGCAACAGATGATATGTATAGTCTCCAGAACGCTGGCATGCAATCAGTGATCGAGGCTGAGCAAACATCGGCACGGCCTACAGTGCTGAGACGACCCAGCATACCCGGTACCGTTGTAAACAGACAGCACTGAAGGGGAGCAGTGTCCGGACGTACAATCACTCGCAATACAACGGCATCTCCTGGGAAGAGGCGATAGCCTTATCTGTACGTCTGATGCAAGGTGAGCCCATACATACATTCTGTGTGTCCAAGATTAGCGAACGCCCGCACTCGCCAAAGAACACAAAAGCAGGACGGCCTACACCACCCCAACGAAGGTCGCTATCAAGAACGCCCCGAAGGTGTTGTCGAGACATGGTGCCGGTGGCAGCAAGGCGGAGGGCCCGTCAACGGGAGCAGTGGTCGGAGGGGCAGACATGACGGCTTCCTGCGTACTGGCTGCCTAAACGCTCGCCGATGATGCTATTGTATGCCGTCCTTGACTCTGCTATGCGGGCGCTGGACTCTTCGTGGGCACATGGAACGGGCTGCCGTGAGATGGCCACTGAATACCGCATGATTGGGCTCCATCTAACGGGGGACACGTCTGCAGGTCTGCCACACAGCACAATCAGATTCTGCAGATGGAGACCCGAGGGAGACAGCCTTCGGTCTCCGGTGGGATTCGTGGAGACGAGTTCTCTGTCGTCGCGAATGAGTGCAGGGCTGTGATAGCGAACTTTGATGCCTAGGGGCGAAAGCATATCAGTCATGCGGAGATGGAGCAGGGGAGAGGACTGACAGTTGGCTAGAAGCGTCGTACTTGTGCTCTCGCAACTGCGGCCCCAATCCGCGTTGGCGGCGCACGAGAAACCGGATATGTCGAGGGCGTACATCGTAGCGCTATGCTACTGAGCACTTAGTGAGTGCTGAGTGACCAAGAGGGCGTGGATGTTGACAGCGCGATAAACATGATTTATGCGGGAGACGTCTACGCATTGTTTTTCCCGCTTCACTTCAGGAGGGAGCGTGCTGAGGAGGTGTGCTCATCTTTATGTTGTAGGCGAGAACGAACATGGCCGCGTGTGAGAGAGGTGCACAGAGGTCCCCCGTGGGAAGTCGGAGTTTACTTCTGCAAGAGTGAATCTCACAGGCGCCTAACGCGTATGGGTCCATATTCTTCGCCTTGCCCTCGCACTAAGCACTTGTCAGGCCTGCTCAACCATCTGGTTCACAAATATTCTCATCATACAGCCTCTCAGCCTCTCCTCTTCCTGCACACGCTATGAAGTTATAGCAGGCTAGCTAGGCCCTGGGAGCGATGCCCATCTGGCACCGCACGCTTCTCAAACCGTTTCTTGACATCCGGACACTCGCAAAATTGCGCTGCTTGTTCGCCTACTTCGTGCATCTCGCATCCATCTCTGCCATGGTTCCAAAGATTGCAATGCTTGCAAATATCTTGCTCTCCTAACAGCCTAATCGTGGCGCAGCGGTTCGAACTTCACAGCGAAGACACACGGGCTTCCTCGATCGCCTCGCAGCTCCCGGGGCAGACGTTGGACCGTGCTCGGCGTATGCTAGACTGTCCCGGCGTCGGCGCCCTGGGGGAGTAATGGGCATAACCACCGCTAATTGGTATAAGAGCGCGAGCATCGCGTACTGCGCAGACTTAGAGCCTCTCCCGCTCGTGAACGCGTGGACTTAGTGGACAAGTTGTACTGGGGATCCTGCTACCGTGACGGCTATCGCGGGCCCGTTGTAGCTGCCTTAGGGGTGCTTTGGTCGACGTCGTACGTTGGGGTCAACTGCATGTGCCACTTCGAGCGGCTGCCTCTCTCGTGAGCCGCGCACCGCGGAGTCGGGCAGTCCGGCAGGGCTCTTGCGTGAGTTTGTGGATACGCTACTGTGGTGCGTACACTTACGTTTCTCGTTCACTTGTGGAGCTGACGCGCATGCAGATGGATGACGAATGGCTCGTGCAATATTCGCGCCTGGCGCGGAGGCCCACGGAGAAAGCGACTTCAAGAGCATCGCGCGTGTATATACCAGATCATCTCCGCTGGTAATTGATCCTGCAGGGCCATTTGTGCTGCGATTTCTAGCATGTACAGCGTCAGATGCAGCCTCTTCTGTGCTCCGCCTGCTTTGAGGCCGGTGTTCCCCAGAGGTTGGTGAGGGAAGGAGTGGTATGACGTCAGGGCCCCGTCAGCGCGTACATATTCTCCCTCTCCCTCCTCCCTCCTTCCTCTCTCCCACTCACCCACACTCGCGAAACAGCCACACCCGCCTCGCGATCGCACCCACCACCGCATAACCCAAAGCACAGAAACAAAATGGCCTCCCTCCTCGCCGGCGCAACGAAAACTGCACACAGCCTCGCGACCTCCCTCCTCAGCGCCGCCGAGGCCAAGGCCGGCTCCACGCTCCCCGTGAGCGTCCCCGTGAAGGAGGACGACGCGCAGAAGCCGTTCACGTTCGCGGGCATCGCAGGCAAGAACGTGTTCGTTGGGGTGCCGGGCGCGTTCACGGGCGCGTGCTCCGCGCAGGTGCCCGGGTACATCAAGGCGTTTGAGACGTTCAGGGCGAAGGGCGTGGATGGTGTGTATGTTGTTGGGGTCAATGATGTGTTTGTTATGAAGTGAGTCGCGTTTTTCTGTTGATGGGAAGGAGGGCTGATGCTGGGTAGGGCGTGGAAGGAGCAATTGGCTCCCCAAGGCACCCGTGCGTCCGACGTTCTATGTAGTGTTGGCATTGGATGTTGACGGCGCGCATACAGCGATCCACTTCATCGCGGACGACCAGGGCGCGTTCGTCGGCGCGCTCGGCATGCTCTTCGACGCGTCCCCCCTGCTCGGCTCGCCGCGCTCCAAGGTATGGCCCTCCTTCCTCCTTACTCCGACGACGACGCTGTCCAGTGCTGAATGGTATTTCGCGCGCAGCGGTTCGTGGCGGTTACGGAGGGCGAGACGATCAGCTTCCTGACTGTCGAGCCGAACCCGGGCGAGGTCACGGTGACCGCTGTGGACAAGATCGTGCCGTGGTTGTGAGCGAGGAGCGACTCGGACCGAGGGCCGCGAGGAGCGGGGACTCGGAGGAAGAAGTGAAGAATACCCGTTGTATGGGAGTGTATCATAGGTCGTCCAATGCGTCAAACCTTCTTGGATGGATATTACCTGGACCGACTCGGATGTGGCTGGCTACGGTGCACAGCGCTTGCTCTGCAGAAGTGAGTACTAACCCTGCCGCCTTGAGCTCCAATTTCTCCGTATTCCTGCGTACATCTACGGGCTGTCCTCACTGTGGCGCCATGCCCCCGCAAACCCAGAAGTCGACGTGAGTCTGTGAGTACCCCATCCGTCACTGGCCTTTCAATTCCTTGCCACGACTGTCACCCGCACGCCCGCTCACGACGCGTCTTGCATTGCAGGCCCGGCTTCTCCGACGTGCTCGCCCCTGACTTCCCGCATGACGCTGCATCCGGTCGTGCTATTGCCCGCTGCGTGCTGGCGTGGCTCTCACCGTACGCTGTGGGGGCGCTCGAACGCCAGTGCCTGGTGTCCAGCAGAAACACCCCGATCTCAGCGCGTTCTCTGATATGCTCCTTATTCCACTAAAGGACAAATCTAGAACCTTAGCAAAAGAACTGAGTCAGGTCCTCTGCATCCACTGGCAGCGGGCGAGTAGTGCGGCCCATCCGTCATGTCCTCAACTTGAACCTCGATGCGGAGTCAAGAGTCCGGTCCGTGCTCGACGCGGGGTTTGTGATCGACCCTGGCGTCTGAGGAGCGGTACGTGCCCGTGCGGTGGCTGGAGCGCGAGTGTGTTACTGACGAGTGTTCCGTATAGAGCGCAGGCTGCACAGCCATGCCTGCATTGAAGATCCCCGATATCCTCTACAAAGTCCGTCTGGGGTGAACAAGTACATATCGACGACTCAGCCTCGGTTGACGTAGAGGTGCGCATGCTAATTTGAATATGTTCTGCAGGTACTGGAAACCGGGGTTCGGTGCGGCGACGCTTACGTTGGATTGGGCGTGGCCGGAAGGTGCGTGTGCGGTTCTCCTAGTACCACCCGTGCTACTCTAGGTGCCTTGGATTCCCGAATAGAAATATCTCGGAGGTAGAGCCAATACTGTACCCGCCAGACGTTAGGCGATGTCCCCTGTCCCCGAGGCCTCGGTCGATTACCATATATGGCAGGTCACCTGCCTTATATAGTATACGACCTTCCTTTTCGGGTGTAGACGCTCGTCTAACCCCTAGCCTAGGGGTCCATCGCTTCGCCTAACGTCTGGCGGGTACAGTATGCCACTCCCATGAGCGGCAATCCATCCCGCGTGCGCTCCGATGACTACATGTGAGTGTCTGCTGCCAGCATGCGGTTTCAAGCGTACAGCTTCGAGGCAAGATACTGTGTGTGACCTTCTGATGCGCAGAAGAACGTCTATACACAGACGACCTTCGACGCCCACCCATCGGCGGCGATGCGCGTACCTCGGTCTTACCGGCAGCCAGTCCCAGCCCCCTCCGCATCTCCGCGTTCGAAGCCGTCCCTGGCTGAGGCTTCTCCTCCCACGTCCCGGCCATCCAGCCGCACTTCCCCCTCCATGTCGTCCCAACGCAGACGTGTGGCCGCACGTTGGCTCTCCCCGAATGTGCGCGCTCGTTGGCATTGGGCCCACCTGGGTCCTGTCGGGTGTCTCGTACGTTCTGGTGCGCTGATTTCGTGCGCACGGGCCGTTGAGGCGATCCTTCTAACGTGCGCAGTAGGATCTGACTTGGAGGTATTCCTGGACGCGCGCGGCGGTATCGGAGCAGATTACCCCAGGAACGACTGTCTTCCGCCTCCGAACGCGAGGCTGGTTCACGAGCCTAACCCCGGGCTCCTGAGCTTGTATGCCGTATGTCACCCTTCTTGCGTTCGCAGCGTCCTGTCTTCGAGCGAGGAGAACGGTTGAGCCTAACACGGTGACGTAGGCGCTTCGTCCTTCGCTGTATACCGCGCGGCCTGTATACGCGCGTCGACGTCCGCCATGCCGTTTGCTGCTCAGGAGCTCTGCGGGACAGGCACGTCGGGCTTCCGCCAGCCGCGGCGTTGTACCTGGCCCGGGTGCACTCCAGCCCCCCTCCGAAATCCAAAGTCCAAAAATGCACCGCGCATTGCCTGTTCGCAATCACACCCGCCGCGCGCGGACGCGGACGTACAGCGCTAGCACGCCGTAATGGTGCCTCGCCGCGGGCATACAGTTGATGTTGGTTGGGTGGGCGGCGGGCCCGCGATGGGTCCTGGGCCTGACCCGGCGGTGTGGCCATTCGACGCGTGCGGCGCGGGTGCCGGGTTTTGACGTCGAGACGGGTGGAAGCAGGACGGAGCGAGGGATTCGCAGAGTTGAGCTGCATAGGGCGTGTGGCGGGCGAGGGTAGGTGTTCTGTTCGGGTTCGGGGCGGCTGCTGATGACGCTGGCGCGCGGATAGGCACATATAAAAGAGGGGAGGTGGGGGTGGGGGTCTGCAGCACATCTGCTACACTAGCGAGCCTGCAAGCACTCACTCATTCTCTCACCTGAAGCCGACACGATGAAGACGTTCGCTACGCTGCTCTCTGTGTGCGCTGTCGTCGTGGGCAGTTGCGCGCTCTTTACCCGTGGGTCGCGCGCCGCTCCCCGCACCGTTCTGCGCTGACGAGCCCTGGGTGCTTTGTTGGCACATTTGGCAGCGCGCGGCGAGGCCGCGGAGGTGTGCACCGGGGCGAAGACGGTATCGAGCTCGACGGTCAACGTTGGCAGCAAGGCCGTCGCGCTCACGACGTTCTCGTGCGACGCGCAACACGCGTTTGCGCACGCTGACAATGGTTGGTGTCGTGTGCTGTGCTGCGTGGATGGGTGCGGGACTCGGAGGCTGATGTGCATTTTTGCAGACCCGACGCCGACGTCCAACGCGCCCGCCGCGCCGGTCCCGACGACCGACGTGTGTGGGGTGATCTGTACGTGCCCTCGTTCGTTTCTGCGCAGAGGCGTCGTTGACGGCGGGTCCAGGCAGCAACGTGTGCGGGGACAGCGGGGAGCTGCCGCCGGTCACGGAGGACTGCGCGACGATCATGGACGCGATCACGATCCTCAACGGCTCTGTCTGTGCGTCCCTTTCTCCTTACTGATATGTGTGTAGGATGGTGGGCTGACGGGGAATGGGACGGGCAGCGCCGACGTTCGGGGTCGCACCGGGCCATGCGCAGACGCTGACCTTCGGGACGTGCCGCTTCTTCTTCGAGAACGACTCGCCGCTCCCGATGAGCAACTGCTGGCTCTCCTTCGTACGTCGCTTTTGCTTTGTTACGTTGTGAGTGGGGGAAGGGGACGTGGGCTGATTGGGCGGGCAGGGGCAAGCGGCGAGCGCGGCGGCGAGTGCGTGCCTGCCGCCGGTGCAGCCGGTGAACTCGGAGGGGATATGTATCGCTCGGGACGCGACGTGGCGCATTGGGTGGGTGGCTTTTCTTTTTCATTGTGGTTATCGTGAATGGGGGACTCACGCGGGTTGCTTGTAGGGTTGCGCACTCTTAAGTGTATTTTTCGAGGCGCTGCTCAAGCTGTCTATGGTGAAAGGCAGGGATCGGACAAGCTATTTCTTTCTCACTGGGTTTCTGGTTGTGTGTATGGTTGCTGTATATCTTGAGGTTATTCAATACACGGGGCATTTGCACGGAATATCTAGCTCACTGGCGTCATTGCTTGGGAGAGATTTACGTTGATATTCAGTGAAGTCTCTTGGGGGTTGCCTGAGTGGAGTATCAGGAAGCTGGAAGATCAGGACGAGGAACAAGGCGAGGGAGGATGGGTGTCATGAGCAGCCGGCGCCGTGCCGCCCTGTGCCTGCACTGCCGTCAGGTAGAAGCGCTGAGACGATTGAGAGCTTGAGCTTGAGCCTGAGCCTCTTGCTCCAACACCACCACCATGCAATCGACCGCCGAGCTCGCTGTCATTTCTTCTGGCTTTGCTCACGCTAGCACGATCGATATAGATGCTAAAAGTGATTCTTAGTACTATTGGTGGCATATTCTCGGTCTGCCGCGAGGTGTCATTCGCCCGAGTACGAGCGCATTTGATCCCCCAGGTCATTCGCGATCCGAATTCGCTGTCTGTGAGTCCATGTCAAACGCAGCAGACGCAGCCCAGGCCATGTCTGGTATGTCGGCCTTGCACTTCCCGAGTCTCTCTATGTCCTACACCCCGCGGAACTGCTAACAGCTCGTGAACAGCGCTCGAAACAGATGCCGCGGTCTATCCTCGCGTTTGTCCGCAGGCACAGCGCATACCGCACACGTCCCCATCCGAGACGTGTAACACGAGCGGGCCTCGGTCTCGAGCGCATTGAATCTGTCCAAGACTCCGCCGAGTGGTCGCATCCGCCGGTCGTGCAAATGCATCACCTGTCAGGAGCGCGTGTGCCGATTCGGCGATAGTCGCTGAAGAACCCCGTCGCTTGCCGCCGCTGGGCGGTTCCTCCCACCGGCCGCTGAGGATCTCCGAGATGATGCGTTCGTACCTGGACAGCACGTAAGGCTTCGAGTTCTTGCTGGTTCGGTGTGTACGTGAGCAGCTTTCATTTTGGATGTCACTTGGCACGAATGCTAGCCGGGCTTGCCCCTGGAGAGACTTCCGGCGAACACATGCTGGTGAGAGTCGGAGAGCTTCATGTCGAATCGTTGCGCCGCTCGACCGGGGTGCCCCCACGCTCGTTCAAGGTCGCCGCTAGAAGCAATGGACTTGCTGCCGTCTGTCATGCTCGTACGTTCGACCCGGCTTGTTCGACAGTCATGTCCGACTGATATGATTGTTCTTAGTGTTGCTCATGCCGAGTCGCGTTCGCGCCGTGATGAAAGGCCTCCGCGGGACACTTCTGCAAGTCCGCCGTGCCGCTGGGTGTGCCTGGGGTGTGCCTCGCATTGTGTCCCCGCCCTTCGTTGGCCACACGTCCGCGCGGCACTCCGTGCTGGGCTGTGTGTCTCTGCCGGCTAGACCGTCTAGCGAGGCTGCGTGCGGCATTCGAGAGGCCTTCTGCCATAGGAATGTGCGCCATGCTCATTGGCCCCTGGGACCAATGCCCATTCTCTCCTGAGCCTGGTCTAGTTCTTCATCGCAGGTGACCGTGGCCTGCATCTACGCATACATTGCTGATCGCCTTAGACACAGCCTGGAGTTGGCGGCGAGCCCGGTGCCTGTCGCACAACACCTTCCCATCCTGGAGGCCCCGACCACGAACGTCTTCTCGATTTCCAGAGTCACGGCATTGTCGGACATCAGCGATCGTAAGCCTAATTTCCGGCCCATCGTAGGGTGCACCCCGGTCGCACACCCGCCCCGTAACCTACAATCCCTCCTCTCTTCCGGGTCGAGCCCACCCTAACGCCCCGGGTGCCCCTGGCTCAGTAGGCGCGTCCCCGCATCCGGCGGCAGCACGCTGACGTTCCTCGGAACGCGGCCGCAGCGCCATACATCCTCCCGGTGCCTTACGGCTGCACTCGTCCTCAATGAGCGCGCTGGCGAGCCATTGCTGGTCCGACGGGATCTCAGGGCCCAGATGCGGCAGTGGGCGTGCCCGGTTGGGGACGCCTGGACAGGGGAGGTGTTCGACGTGTGCGATGCGACCAATCCGCGCGTCGCGCGTGCTGACATTCAGTGTGTTGTGCAATTTACACAAGCGAGCGAACCACACAGGCGAAACGTGTCGCGTCTCGTCTCAGGCTCGCTGGTATAAAGCAGAGGGTGTCCTTGGGAGGAGGGCCCCAAGGCACAACCACTCACAGCTGTCTCCTACTAGCGCAGGGACAAGATACGAAACATGAAGTCTGCGTCGACCTTCGTCTTCTTCCTTGCGGCCGCACTGAGCGTGTCTGCGCTCAACACACCCCATATCCGAGGTATGCCTTCTGTCTCCCTTGAGCCATTGCTACTGTTCGAGCTCGTTTGACCCCCGATCCCCCCATAGTCCGGCAAGAGAGCAGTAGCACCGAGGGCCCTGTGTGCAACGGCGCGGCGGTCGTGGAGACGTCCACCCTGGTTGCAGGCAACGCGACGCTCGAGCTCACGAAGTTCTCGTGCGCGCCTACTCTCGCGCCCCTCGTCCAGGCGAACGGCGGAGGGCTGCTTGGGCTGCTCGGCGGCCTCCTCTCGTGGTACTTCCCTTTCCCGCCGCTCTTCCCCTTCCCGCCGAAGCCGAAGCCCAAGTCCACGACGGTCACGAAGGTGTCGACCGCGACGGCCACCGCGACAGTGACAAAGGTGTCGACGGCCACTGCGACGGCCACGACGACCGAGACGGACACGGAGACGGACACTGCGACGGTGACGAGCGCGACCACGGTCATCGAGAGCGTTACGGACTCGGCCACTCTGACCGTCACCGCCACTGTCACTGCTGCGACCCCGAGCTCGACGTTCACAAACGTCTGCGGCGAGATCTGTGAGGCCTCAGCGCACTGCAGACATCACTTGTGTCTGATCTATCTGTCGCGCAGGCACTACCGTCTGTGGGCAGTCTGGCCGCCTCCCGCCCATCAGTGAGGACTGCCAACAGTTGGTGAACTCCATCACGATCCTCAATGGACAGATTGGTACGTCCCGCACCGCCTTGCGCCCTCAACGACCAGTGGGTCTGACCGCCGTTGCGCACGCAGAGCCGACGTTCGACGTCGAGCCGGACCACGCGCAAACGATCACCTTCGGCACCTGTCGGTTCTTCTTCCAGAACGTCGGGCCGACGCCGCTTGAGTACTGCTGGCTCAGCCTCGTACGTCTGTTCCCTTTCGCATCTGATCAGGGCTGCTGTATGCTGAGCGGTGTTGGCGGGTTTGCAGGCTCAGGTGGCGTCTGCGGCGGGCAATGCGTGCTTCCCGCCCGTGCAGCCGATGTCGTCCGAGGGACTGTGCATCGATAGCGCGGACATGGAGTGGCAGGTTGGGTGAGTGTTGTTCTCGTGGGGGTTCTTGGCTTCGGGGGTAGCGCTGACATATCTCTTACGCCTTCCAGCGCGGCTCACTCGTGAAGAAGACACCGGTAAGGAGAGCTTGCGAAAGGCCGACGTGCGATTGGGGATCGCGGGGTGGCAAAGTATGGGTCTATCGATATGGTCTAATAGCTGGGAATTCGTCTGGGCTTCTGAGTGTGATTTTATGGTGGTCTGGAAGTGGGAGGAAGACATACCATGCGTGTCCGTTACCTACGCGCACAGCGAGGGCGTGAACAAAGGCGCGAACATGGGTATTTCCGCGTCGAAGGTGTCGCTAGAGGTTCGTTATCAGAATGCGCCTTCGCGCGCGCCCCTTCCGCACGCTTGAAGGCTGATTCTCTGAATTCTGTTGCTTCCGACATTGGGGCGCGCTCCCACCCCGGCGTGCCCTCTTCAATGTTGCGGGCGTCGCGCGCGTTCCGCAGGCTCTGTGCACTGCCTGATACGTGTCGCGAAGCGTTCTGTCCGCGGTGGAGGGCTGGCGCTGCGCGCGCGGACTTGCAACAATGCGAAGTTCGCGGTGATGGAATCGCGGGAGCTCCTATAAAAGCTGATCATCTGTGCGCAGGAACGCCGAACAGACACCGGCATCTTTCACTGCGCTGCCAGCTGTCTCAAAATCACCACCGTCTCGCGCGGGAACACTCACTGACGATTTCAATTCAGGCATCAGCAGGCGTCTCACACGATGTGGCCGTTCTCGACGCCGTACCCGGAGTTCCGCGTGGACGAGCTATTTGAAGAATACGACTACGTCGTCGTCGGTGCGCCCCTATCTCTTTCTCCCCGTACTGCGAATATCAAACTGACGCGGCTCGACGTTACTTTGCAGGCGGAGGCACCGCAGGATGCGTGCTCGCGAACCGGCTCAGTGCACAGCCCAACCTGCGCGTCCTCGTCGTTGAGCGTGGGCCCGTGGCGGACACCTGGGCGTCGCGCGTGCCGCTGTTCTCGTCAGACTTTGCGTCGGACGGGACGCGCACGATCCGCCGCGACATGGTCCCGCAGCAGCACCTCCTCCCGAAGGGCACGCGCCAGATGCAGGCGTTCTCGGGGAGCGTGTTGGGGGGCACGAGCCGCATCAACCAGATGCTGTACACGCGCGGGCTGCCGGCAGAGTATGATGAGTGGAGGGAGGCGGGGATGGAGGGGTGGGGGTGGAAGGATGTGCGGGGGTGCTTCTTGAAATCGGAGAAGGCGGATGTGGACGTGGAGGGCGTGCATAATACGAGTGGTAAGCCCATGAAAGAGGGATTCGGGATAATCATTGCTGATGACTTTCGTTACTGTTAGGTCTATGGAGGAACAGGACGCATGCGGACTTCTACTTCCGGGGCTTTGGAGAGTACGTCTCGCAAGGTTCTCATTCTCTCACAGTGCAACACTGACCTGCGTTGCCCTACAGAGCAGTTCGGGCGGCGGAGTCAATCGGGCTGCCCTACATCCCCGATGTCAACTCCTCGACGCACCCGCCCTTCGGCTGTGCGCGCCTGCACTTCACCATCGACGAGAACGCACACCGCCACTCGACATACCATGCGTTCCTGCCGAAAGACCTCGCCCTTTGGCGTGCCAGCGTGGGGCGTCTCCACGTATGCACGGGCACGATCGTCGAGCGGCTGGTCACGGAGCGCATGGAGGGCGGGGAGCTCATGGTCACGGGCGTGGTGCTTGGTCCTACATATGAAGGGAAGGGTGTCAAGACGAGGACGATCAAAGTGAGGAGGGAGGTTGTGTTGAGTGCTGGGCCGTTCGGGTCGCCCCAGATTCTCATGCTGAGGTAGGTGGCGGATTTTTGTGTTCTGAAACCGCTGGGGCGCTCATGACTGTACAGTGGTATAGGACCGGCCGAACACCTAAAGGAGGTCGGTATTACGGTGGTCAAAGACCTGCCTGCGGTGGGCGCGAATCTGGTGAGTTTCCCTAAATCAATTGAAGGCACAGGGACTCAACCCAGACGTGTTTCGTGGCGAGCAGCAGGACCACTTTGCCGTGACCACCGGGTTTAACATCAGCATGTGGGACTCCCTGCTCTCGCTTGAAAAGCGGCCGTGGCGGTTCTTCATCGAGCTCGTGCGCTACCTCATATGGGGCACCGGGCTGCTGCTGGTGCCTGTCCTCCAGCTCGCAATCTTCGCCCACTCGAAGCTCCTCGACGAGCGCGGGCTGCCCACAAAAACAGAGAAGGCGTTTGACCAGAAGCTGCCAGACATCGAGATCATGCCGGTGCGTCCTTGCGCCGATTTGCACTGTGTGCCCCACTCACGGCTTCCTGGCGCGTGCATAGATGGCCTACGACAGCAGCGACTCCCAGCTGGGCCAGTACATCCCCCGGACCGCCGGTCAGTACAGCTTCCTCAACGTGCTGCTCGCGCCCGCGAGCCGCGGCACCGTGCGCCTCTCGTCGCCGGACCCGCGCGCGCCGCTCCTCATCGACCCTGCGTACCTCTCGAACCCGGCGGACTTGCTTCCGCTGCGCGCGGCCGTGCGGCTCTCGCTGCGCCTGCGCGACCGCATGCGCCTGCAGGGGTACGCGATGAAGGACGCGACCGTGCCGAAGAGCGAGGCGGACGAGGATCTGGACGAGTGGATCCGGTCGTGCAACAGGACGACGTATCATTATACGTCGACGTGTCGTATGGGGAAGCTGGAGGATGGGGAGTGGGAGGGCGGCGCGGTCGTGGACGCGAAATTGAGGGTGTATGGGGTCAAGGGCTTGAGGATCGCAGACTCGTCTGTGTTCCCGAGGGTGCCGAGGACGCATACGCAGGCGCCGTCTGCGGCGGTGGGGGAGAAGTGTGCAGAAATGATTCTGAGCGGTGTTTGAGGTTATTGCTGTCTGGCTTGACTTGTAAAATTTTCTTGTATATGGCTTTCGGAATCGAACTCGACGTCCAGCAATAGTACTGTCCCATTGCGACATGAACATAGACAAATAGCAGATACAAGCAGAGCGATGAGATACGGTGCTACGTGCATGACGGAGCCAAAATAAATCGCCGAGACTAGATGTTGTCTTCTGGGCCGTCCTCGATCATCTTGGCGTAATCCTCGTAGCTCGCGAACGTCGGGAGTGCCCGCAGCTTCTTCCGCTGAGCTCTCCTCCCGCCGTCGTCGCGTTTCCGCTTGCCGTTGGGTTGCTCTGCTGTTGCTGAGATTCCGCCCCACTCCTCACCCTCGCCTGCATCCTCGCCGTCAGGACCATCAAACTCGATGAGACCCATGGGCACCTCGGTGTCGAGCGGGAGCAGGTCTTCCGCGTCGGAGTCTTCGACGAGTGAGAGGGCGTCGTCGTCCGCTTCGTCTGCCTCCTCGTCACTCTCGGCTTCAGCGGCGTCATCGTCATCGTCATCGGCCTCGACCTCCTCGTCCGACTCGACGTCGAGGTCGGACGGAACCTCGTCGCTCTCATCATCGTCCTCGTCGCTGTCCTGCATAAGGTCGTCGTCCTCGAGGTCGGCGGGCATCGTTGCTTTCATCGCCTGCAAACCGCGTTAGAAACACGCCAATATACACGGAAAGGTGGTCGCGTACCTTCCAAATTTCCGCCTCTTCCGCGTCGCTGTTTTCCTCCTCGTCTTCGTCATCGTCGGCTGGTGCGGGCTTCTGGCCCTTAGTCGGCAAGTCGAACCCGCCGTCCTCGCTCTCATCGCCGCTCACGGCCTCTTCCTCTGCGTCCTCGGACGCGCTCGCCTCCTCCCCATCCTCCGACGCGCTAACCAGCTCCTCAGCCTCAGCCTCATCATCCTCGGGCGCATCCGCGTCCTCGTCCGACTCGTCCGCATGGCCCTTGCGCCGCCCGACCTTCTTCGCCTTCTCGCGCTCCTTCTCGGCCTTGCGCGTAAAGTACGCGTGGAAGAACCGCTGGTCGACCGGCACATCCTCCTCCTTGCGGCTCCAAAAGCGCTGGTCGTTGACGGGCACGCCGGGCCCCGCGCCCTCGCCCTTCACGAGCGTGACGCCGTGCGCGCTGTCGGTCGCCCCGGGCTGCATCGCGCTCGAGCCCTTGGGCTTGGGCTTCTTCGCGTTCTTGTAGATGAAGCGGTCGAGGAAGTGCGAGAGCGTGTTTTGGGAGAGGTCGGGCGAGCCGGTGATGGGGGTGGAGGAGAGCAGCTGGCGGGCGTGCAGGGAGATCGCGGGGTGGTAGTGGTGGAGGAGCGGGATCTGAGAAGATTGGTTAGGGTGGGCGGGGTAGGGGAACGATGGTGAGACGTACGAGCTCGTAGATGGGTGTCGCGAACGCGTGGGCGTATTGGGGGTCGCGTTTTCGAGGGTCGTATGACGACGCGTCGGCGACAGGGGCCGTTTTAGACTTTGACGCGTTGAGCAATTGCTTCAGACTGGGAGTCGTGCTGAAGAGCTGATACGTGCTGGTTAGGATGCGCGTGGTAATCATAGTATCGCTGAACCTACCTCGCCAAGAAGGTACAAACCACCAGCAATGAACTCGACCGCTCCGCCGGCGCCCACACCGCTCGCGAGCACCTGTACGAACCGACGCACGAAGGCAGCTACACGCTGTGCGTCGTGGTCCGCCTTCATCGCCTTAAATAGCAGATTGAGATACATCGCCTGCTTATTTGACGTACTCAAACGCGGGTCCGTGAGCGACGCATATAGCGTGCGACAGAATCGATCCCGGAGCGTTGTCGTGAAAGCCGACGGAGACGACGTGGACGGCTGCTTCGTGGTGGGGGAGGAGAGCGTGGTCGATATTTGCAGGATGAGGGTGAGGGCTTGGAGCGAGATGTTGAAAGTCGAGGTGTGCGTGATGCGAAAGAGCGTGTCGATGTGCTTTTGGAACCTGCAACCGATGTTAACACGGCGAGAAACAGTGTGAAAGGTCAGGCGTACACTGCAGAGCTGTCGTCGCTCAGGTGCATTTGCGCGAAGGGCAGCGCACGGTTCACGCCCGTCAGAATCGCGCCGATGAGGCGGGACGAGGTGTCCTCGACCTCGGCGAACCCAGCTGCGCCCTTCGTCTCCTTGACCTTTGGTTTCTTCTTCTCCCGGGGTGGGCCTCTGTCCTTGCCTTTTCCTCGACCAGACTTGTCCTCTTTCGCGTCTACCACCTCGCCCTCGGGCTCCGCATCGTCATCGTCGCCCTTCGACCCGAGGATCTCCTCGAACATCTCAAAGTACGAGTCGACGAGCATGCGCGCGACAGCGCGGTCCACCGTGGACGGTGTGAGCACCACTTGATTCAGCGTCACGGAGGCGTAATACCACGCGTGCGAGTTCCATCGAGACTGCGGGTCCGCTTTCGCCGCTGCGTCTTTCTTGCCTTTGGACTTGGGCTTGGACGAAGAGGAGTCCGCGTCGCCGAACCGGATGTGGGTGCCCGCGGGGTTCGCGGGCGCGGCCTGCGCCGCGGTGGAGGAGGGGAGGCGGAAGATGAGTGCGCGCACTTCGCGCACAATGACGCCCTTCATCGCAGGGTGCGCCTGGAGGATCTGCAGAAGGTGGTAGGACACGCGCGAGCATACTGACTTTTCTGTGTCTCCCTATGAAGCATCGCGTCAATGGCTGCGCATACATGTATGTGTGACGGGGTGCGGGTACGTACGAGCTTGTTCACGAGGAGGCGCAGCAAATTCTGCTCCTGTTCGGGCTGCGCGCGGAGGAACGTGGCGAGGAAGGCGAGCGTTTGCGTGCGGACGTAGGTGAGGGGGTCGAGGGAGAACGTCTCGAGGATTTGCAGGATGGAAAAGAAGAACTTCTTGAGCCAGTCCTCGAAGTGCCAGATGAGCAGGTGCGCGTCGTCCACGTCCGGATGTAGGAGAGGCTGGTCTCGGAAGTATCTGGCGGAGTATTCAGCACATGTGTAGCCGGGCCAGGCGCACACTTGAGAAGCGCGACATACTTGAGCTTCCTTCCCGGTCCTCCACCGCCGACCCACCAATCCACTACGCAGCGCACGGCCTTGAGCCCCTCGTCTCTGCCGCCCTTTGCGCGCCCGCGTTGGGCCATCGCGCGCAGGCTGTCGAGCGCCGCGGTGTTGTGTATTGGGCTCGCTTGCACGAGGAGCGTGAGCGCACTGAGCCTGTCGGAGAGCGTACCGGTCGCGAGCACGGTCTTGATGAAATGCGCGTCGGATGCGGACTGCACAGCGGAAGACTCCTGGTAACGCTTAGAGTCTTCGTGTAGGAGCGTCTCAGCGCGCGAGGCGAGGGATGCGAGCTGGGTAGGGGTGGGGGTGGGCAAGTCCGCCTTGGGCTGGATGGGAGGCACCGCGGTGTACCAAGTCGGGGCGGGCGGGACCGTGAATTGGGGAGCCATCGTGGCCGAGTGCGACGCCGAGTATAAGGTCGACGTTGAGCACGGTGTCGAGGACGAGGATGAGGATGAGCTCAGTACCCGCCAAAAATCTGGCCGACAACTTTCGATCACGGGCGCCTGTTTAAATCGCCCGATTGGGTAGGCAGGATTGGTAGACGCCCATTGGCACACTGCTGCGCCGCTGAACTTGTCCGCGCTCTGTGCACTGTGGACGACCCCCCTGGATTGGAGGAGCGTTGAGGCTGCCGGCGCGGGTGTGATACTGGGTAGAGGGGAGTCTTGGCCTCGGCGTCCAACTCGGTTTTCCATTTGTTTTATCCTCGCTGTTCATACGTCGCTACTTCTTTGGCTCCACAGATATCCGACCCGGCGGACGACAACGAAGACGACGGTGGCAAGCTCGATATTACCCCCTCCCAGGACAGAATAGGAACCGGCGTGGGCGAGTTTAAAGTTGACTAGGGCTTGGATGACCCGAGGATGTCAGCTTCCCCGGCATATGCCACGGAAGTATCTCGGTTTCTCTCCGTGTGGTCTCTTGCGTGTCTGTCCCTCTACCTTCTAGGTCTTCGACACGCTGAAACGTTGGCTATGCTCAACACATCGGTGGTACGTGATCGTTGTCTTTGCTCCTTCTCTCAGAAGCGCTTGCTAATATCTGTGCTTCACAGGGACACGGTGTGACGACTTGCGAGGAACGAGGATGTGTAAGTGCGGTGGCCTCTGCTGGGGCCTGCGTAGAAGAGAGATGACGCCCTCTTTCTTGTGCAGTAACCTTTGGGCGTCGTGGTCCTTCGGAGCGGGGGAGGAAGCCTTCGGGCGTCCTTCCTCGCACGAGTCCGAGAAGTAAGCATCATTTTTCTCTCGATTTTTCAGGAGCTAGCGCTGATGCGTTCTGCGTATGTACCTTTTAGCATCGGGCGTCCGGAGAGAGAGCACGTCTCGCGGTTCCGTTCTATTTCGCCGTCATCGACGGTCGTATTGCTTTTATCATCGACTACTCGTGAGAACTGCATTTTAGCTTTATTACTCTTCGTGATACTCGCTCGTGTGCTCGCTGTACTGGTCGTTTCTTTCCGACTCGTATGCTTTGCGGTGCGCCGGCTGCTGGCGAGAGTGCACGGCGAGGTGAGCGGCAAGGAGGTCAAGGCCTGACCTTCTTGTCCCTCTGGTCATCGTGCGCTCCCTATATCTGCCATTGGCATATAGAAATTGAAGTCAATATAAATATAAGACATCTATTTGTTAGAATCTGGGTACTTCGTACATATGTCCGCGGTCACGCCGTCGAGAATGGGCGCCTATTTGCGGCATAGATACAGACGATGCATGCGCTGGGAAACGGGGGTCATCTCTGGTGGAAGTACATGGATAATAAGTATATCTGATAAAGTAACCCCTCTGTGAAACCCGCGTGTTTGTTGGAGGTTTGTACATGTACAAAAGCGGACGCATCTAGACGCCGGAAGGTTGGTAGAAAACTGAAAGAACGCATCGAGCGCCTACTTGCTTTCGTGCACTGACTCTGCGTGCTGCTCCCTTGCGCCTGACTCGTGCTGAGTCCCTCTGCTCTTCCAAAATCCTCCTGGTTCTCCTCTCTACCTACACTTTCCCACCATGGCGCTCGCGACAAAAGCCGTGCCGCACCTGATGACGCTGGCCGACCTCTCCCCCGGCCAGATCCAGCGCATCCTCATGCACTCGTACCACCTCAAGCGCACCGCGCAGCCGTGGCTCGCGCCCGTGCAGACCAAGAGCGGAAACCAGGTGAAGCTCAAGCTGCGCATGCCCTCGCAGTCGCTCTTCAGCAAGACCGTCGCGCTGCTCTTCTCGAAGCGGAGCACGCGCACGCGCGTGAGCGCGGAGACGGCGGCGTCGCTCCTCGGCGGGCAGGCGCTGTTCTTGGGCAAGGAGGATATCCAGATTGGCGTGAACGAGAGCGTGCGCGACTCGGCGCGGGTTATTGGCGGCCTGTGTGAGGGGATCTTTGCGCGGGTGGGGGACCACTCCGAGATTGAGGTGCGTCCGAACGTTCTTAAGTCGTACGCGACATACTGACGAGATGGACAGGAACTGGCGCGGTACTCGCCGGTGCCGGTGCTGAACGCGCTGTCGTCGCTGTGGCACCCGACACAGGTCCTCGCGGACCTGCTCACGCTGCAGGAGCACGCGCACCTGTTCGACCCCGCCGCGCCCGCGCCGCCAAGTGCGGACGACCTCCTCACGTCGCAGCGGTACCGGCGGCTTGTGGACGTGCGCCCGCTGACGGTCGCGTACCTCGGCGACTCGGCGAACGTGCTGCACGACATGCTCGTCACGTACCCGCGGCTGGGGCACCAGCTGCGCGTCGCGAGCCCGGAGAACGCGAAGTACCGCGCGCCAAAGGCGGTGTGGGACCGGGTGGTCGAGCTCGGGTGTGACAAGAACATCCACTGGACGGCGGACCCGCGTGATGCGGTTAAGGGCGCGGATTTGGTTGTTACTGACACTTGGTGAGTCTCTCGTGCGTGGTCTAGAGGCTCTGAGTACGAGTTGGAGTATGCGGCACTTGGCCTCGCCCGCATATACACACTCCGTCGCGCTGAAGGAGTGCAGGCCTGCGATATATCGCGCGCAGGATGTCTGGCCCTCGTATGCATGTCATCGTGTTCCGCGGAACCGGTAGGGTGCTGGTCCGGTTGATCACCAAGCGGTGGCCAATCTGACATGCACCACGCGTTTTGCCAGGCATGTCTATTCCGGCAATCTCGGACTCTCGTGTAGGGACGGAGAGCGCCCTTTCCGTTCGTGCTAGTCGTTCGGGAAACATACTGGCAGTACATGTTCCACTGAACGACGGTGGCCATCGACGCGCTGGCAACTTCAAGGGTGTTTCGATAGCTGCGAAAGATGTTCCGTCGATGTGTCCGCAGTGCCGATCCTCGCTGCTACCGCTTTCAAACACATACGTGATGCTGACTATATACAGGATCTCCATGGGTCAGGAAGCAGAGAAGGCGCAGCGGCTGAAGGACTTCGAGGGCTACCAAGTGACCGAAAAATTGTGCCGGGAGGGCGGGGCGAACCCCGATTGGAAGTTCATGCACTGTCTGCCGCGGAAGCAGGACGAGGTGGACGACGAGGTTCGTCCGCTGGTTGATGGCGAGTGAATAGAGATAGGCTGATGCGCGCGTGGCACAGGTGTTCTACGGTCCGCGGTCGCTGGCGTACCAGGTGTCGGACAACCGGAAGTGGACGATCATGGCGATGTTCGAGTACGTTCTCGCACACTTTCTCATGATTCGCCGATGTAGCCAGTGCTGATCGCGGCTCTTGCCTTGCTTAGCCTTCTGTTTGGAAAGTGGTCGCTGCTCGAGCGGACAAAGGACACGGCGGAAGGACCGTCGGCGTGAGGGCCGCAGGCGGGAGGAGGAGGGCCGAGACACGTTGGGCATGCGTACCTAGAGCTGTACCTAGAGTCCGGAGTAATACGGCGGGACGATCAGCCTCGCCCGGCAGATCGTCGAGCCCGACCTGGGTATGTTTCCGCGATATGTTCTAGGAGAGATGCCGTAAAAGGGAAAGATTGGCCCACGTGCCGCAGAATGACGTCTGCGAGTGCGGGGTAGGCCCGTCCGTCTTCTCCCCGTCCCTCGCTCGACTCTTGGCCTCGTCCACTGCGCTCCATACGCCCCGCCTCTTACATACCCCCGCCCCGCATCGACCTTCCCCACACCCACCCCCCTCCTCACCCTCTCGACGCGTCTTGCACCATGTCAGAAGTCAAGCGCGACGTCCGCAACCCCCTCCTCTTCGAGTGCGCCTGGGAGGTCGCAAACAAGGTCGGCGGCATCTACACCGTCATCAAGACGAAAGTACCCGTCACCGTCTCCGAGTATGGCGACCGCTACACCCTCATCGGCCCCCTCTCCTACAAGACCGCCCCCATGGAGGTCGAGGCCCAGGAGCCCAAGGATCCCTACCTCGCCGCGACCCTCGATAGCATGCGCGCCGCCGGGGTCAAGATCCTCTACGGACGCTGGCTTATTGAGGGCGCGCCAAACGTGCTGCTCTTCGATACCGGCAGCCAGTACTCGCGCCTCGACGAGTGGAAGGGCGATCTCTGGAATCTCGCGGGCATTCCCACCCCACCCAACGACCACGAAACCAACGAGACGATTGTCTTTGGCTACATCGTAGCGTGGTTCCTCGGCGATGTACGTCCTTTTCTCTTTTCTTGTGCTCCCTTGCTTTTCGCGCGACACGAACGTTCGTGCCTGCGGCCATTACGCGTCGCTCGCTTCCGACCGCTCCCAGTCGCGGGATGTCCGTTCCATCGCTATTTCAACTTGCGAAGGAGATCCGACCATGGATGCGCGTCTCCCTTTCCCGGAGCGCAGCCTACCACAGACGCGGCGCTGTTCCCCGACAGGCGCGACGCCTAACGTTATAGGAGAAGCAGATTGCTCCCGCAAGCTTGGTGGGAGCGCGCCCTTCCACGAACGCGCGCTGCGACGCGACTATGACACACCATTACGCGCAAGACCCGAGCGGAGAGCCTCCGCGCTCGCACGACGGAACCCGTGCTCCCTCATTCGTTGAGTTCCTTCCGAACCACCCCCCCCGTCGCAGCGCGGGGTCTCTCTGTTTGGCAACGGCGAACACTTCAATCAGGAGGCGCACGTCAGCCCCGCTACTTTCTAGAATCATCACCGTGCGAGGCGTCGATGTGAGATATGCCGTATCAGGCACTTCGCGCTGCGGGACGCTCTTCGAGAGTTTAGCACTCCACTCGCCGCCTGCTTCGCATTTTACACTCACTTACGCTTCTGTGGCACCCTTGATTTAATCGCTCGTTTATCTGACGCCATATCTTCACAGTATGTTGCCCGGCGACAGGACAAGGCCATCATTGCGCACTTCCACGAATGGCAAGCTGGTCTCGCGATCCCCCTGTGCCGCAAGCGCCATATCGACGTTACTACTGTCTTCACCACCCACGCGACCCTGCTCGGACGTTACCTCTGCGCGGGCTCCGTCGATTTCTACAATAACCTGCAGTACTTCGATGTCGACCACGAGGCGGGCAAGCGCGGTATCTACCACCGGTACTGCATCGAACGCTCTTCGGCCCACTGTGCGGACGTGTTCACGACGGTTTCGCACATCACCGCGTACGAGAGCGAGCACTTACTCAAGCGCAAACCCGATGGCGTCCTCCCCAACGGTCTCAACGTCGTCAAGTTCCAGGCTATGCACGAGTTCCAGAACTTGCACTCGACCGCGAAGGCGAAGATCAACGACTTCGTGCGTGGCCATTTCTACGGCCATTACGACTTTGACCTCGACAACACCCTCTACGTGCGTCTTCAGCCTCCCGGCTCGCGAAAATTGACTGACTTTCCGGCAGATGTTCACCGCTGGCCGCTACGAGTACCGGAACAAGGGAGTGGACATGTTCATCGAGTCCTTGGCGCGTACGTGCTCTCCCTGTTTCCGTACTGCATGTATACTGATATTCGCTCAGGTCTCAACTTCCGCCTCAAGAAGTCGGGCTCTAAAGTCACCGTCATCGCGTTCATCATTATGCCCGCCACAACCCATTCGTATACCGTCGACGCGCTCAAGGGCCAGGCTGTAACAAAGCAGCTGCACGACACCGTGACCGAAATCCAGAACCGCATAGGTGCTCGCCTATTCGAGCACGCTATGAGCTCCAATGGGTGCGTTTGTCTCGGTGCTGTTAACGCTCTGTCGGCTTACGTCTTGCAGTGAACATGGAACGCTGCCGACACCCGACGACCTGCTATCGGACGAAGACAAGGTTCTTCTGAAGCGCCGCATCTTCGCACTCAAGCGCAACGCGCTTCCTCCCATCACGACGCACAACATGGCGGACGACGCGAACGACCCGATCTTGAACCAGATCCGCCGCGTCCAGCTCTTCAACTCGTCCTCGGACCGCGTGAAGATCGTCTTCCACCCCGACTTCCTGAACAGCAATAACCCGATCCTCGGCCTCGACTACGAGGAGTTCGTGCGTGGATGCCATCTCGGCGTGTTCCCCAGCTACTACGAACCCTGGGGATACACCCCAGCGGAATGCACGGTCGTACGTACACCGAGATACAGTGTCCCGGAACCGTACTGACGTCGGTTGTAGATGGGCATCCCTTCGGCGACGACCAACCTGTCCGGGTTCGGATGCTTCATGCAAGACCTGATCGAGCGCCCGCAGGACGAGGGCTGCTACATCGTCGACCGGCGCTCGCAGTCGGTCGAGGACTCCGTGAACCAGCTCACGGACCACATGTTCTCGTTCTCGCAGAAGACGCGGCGGCAGCGCATCAACCAGCGCAACCGCGTCGAGCGCCTCTCGCCGCTGCTCGACTGGAAGAACCTCGGGATCGAGTACTCGAAGGCGCGCCAGCTCGCGCTCCGGCGCGCGTACCCGGACGAGTTCTACGGCGCGGGCGGCGCGGGCGACGAGGAGGAGGAGGGCCTCGTCGACTTTGGCATGGAGCGCATGACGCTCCCGATCAGCGTCCCCGCGAGCCCGCGCTTCCGCATGTCGGGCATCGCGACCCCCGGCGACCTCGGCACGCTCACGGAGGAGGTGCGTATTCGCTCCCGCGCGCGCTGCGGGACGTATACTGATGGGGTAACGGTAACACAGATGCAGAGCCTCAACACGAGCGACTACCGCGGCATGAACTGGCCGTCGCAGCAGGACGACGACGAGGACGAGTACCCGTTGTACGTGCCGCGTCCGTTTTGCGCTTGTTTCGATTTTGACTGACGGTCGATGTGCAGCCCGCTGGTGATGAAGGTGCGGTCGCGCGCGGGCTCGGTCATGAGCGGCGCGAGCACGCCTGGGGGCGGGCGCTCGAAGAGCCTGAGCGAGGGCGACCTGCAGCGCGCGGACGAGGCGCTCAGCAACGTCACCGAGGGCCAGACGAACGGCGTCAACGGCGTCAACGGCAACAGCGCGTATTGAGGCGTGGGTCCGCGCGGCGCGGTTAGTGCTTAGACGATGCGCAGGCGCGGCGGGCGCGGGAGGTAGGAACGCGAACGCGGCGAGGGAACGGGGAAATGTATGTATATATGCGCGAGTGCCCAAGGGCGGCTCGGGGTGTTGTGGTTCGACGACGGCAGGGTGTTTGTTGTTTGTTGGAGGGCGTCAAAATGGAGCACGAGGAGGTGGGGGCGCGGGGTTCGGATGGTACGCACGCTCGGTGGTAGTGTACATACATATGTTTGTCTTTTGCCAGTCCGCACGCATGTATGCCGCTGTTGTCTGTTGTCGAATGCATACCATTTCATCTTCGGGGTAGCTGGACATCACAATATCAAAAGTTGACGGGCTCGGGGTCCTTCTCACATGCCCACCATCAGTTTTACCGAGATGTTAGTACTTTCTCCTTTCTGGGGCGATTGCAAGTGTCTGCAAGAGCCTACGTACACTTAGTGGGGAGTCCCAGAGAGAATAGGATGTGGCCAGACCTAGTGAGAGATAGCGGAACATAGTGGAATCTCTCCAGAGGTATTTGGTGCCATTTTGGACAGATTTGGTGCACCAATCTACCACCAAAACAGCGCCTTTTTGCATTCAGTTCTATCTTTTGCATTTTTTTTTGCTATCACAGACCACTTTGCCCTGGCCACCCACATTGAGCTTGATTCCATTATGGTTCCCTGTACATGTACAGCCCCCATAGGACAATATATACACCTTGTTGTTTCCACACAGCAATTGTGCTACACCACCCAACAAACTCACTCTCCCCACCCCTCCCAGGTACCCTCCTCCTCATGTGGATGGCTCCCCCCCTGCAACAAGCCTTTGGGCCCTGTCACAAATTTCGGACCCCGCTTATAAGCGGGCTCTGCTTACAAGTGAGTTATAAGGGCCTTTGTGAGGCTGAGGAAGCAGTTTACAAACCGCTGATGAGCGACATGTAAGTCCAATATAAGCGACTGATGAGCGGACACTCTGCTTATAACAGAGACACTACCTTATACTTTAGCTATATGACTAAACTAATGAGGGGTTTTGGTGTGACCGGCAGGACCAAAAGCTGCGCCGCCGCCGAAGGCGGCACAAGCACCCAGCAACTGTGACTGGTGGGTACAAAGCGGTATGGCAGGTACAAAGCAGTGTGGCGGGTACAAAGCAGTGTGGCGGGTACAAAGCAGTGTGGTGGATACAAAGCGGTGTGGCAGCCCCTGTGGGCCCTAAGAAATGTGTGACCGGCCAAGGACCACCCGACAAAGCAGCAGGGGGCCGCGGTGACCTGGGACAAGGGCCTGAAAGTGGCAGGGCAGAGGTCAATGTGACCTGTGACCTGCCGGATTGGTCATATAGCTACAGTAGTCCGCTTAACAGTGGGATTCAAAATTTGCAACACCCAACCAGGAGCAAGGCGACAACAGAGGATACTTTTGCAACTGCAGTCAGAAATGTAGTGGCATCACAACCCCAGTCAGCAAACATACATGCAATATGATGATATATCTACCACCCATTTTGTGCAGGGCCTGAGGCATTTCTCCAGCTTTGGCCAGCAACACAACAAGATCAACATGCTCTTGTTGCTCAAAACCCTCCAGTGTCAAGCAGTGCCTCTGCGAGTGCCACCCAGCCTGCCAGAGATCTGCCTGTGAAGTGTCTGCAGCTTAATCCACAGGTATGATACTTGGGTGGAGAGGGCCATGACTGGCAGGTCTGATTGATGAGGGTACATATCTTTTAGTATAATTCATATAGTTCAACTAAGAATTTAGATTGATAACACATTTAAATCTAGCCCAGAGCAAACTATAGATGCTGTTTTAATATATGTACAGTCAACACCCTTATAACCCATACCTATTAGGAACAGCCCTGAAGTATGGGTTATGGAGGGTTATGGGTTACCTAAATAAGCACCCAATGGGTGTCAGCAGTCTGAGAAATAAGTGCCTGTGGTGAAGCCAACTGAATTACAAGAAAATGTCTAGTACACACGGGGTAGAAAATCAGTAATGCAGGTGTCCTTCATACTACACTTAGTGACTTGCAAGTCCCGGCTCCAGGCCCCTGAGCCGTTAAGCCAGGCCCCCAAATAGCAAAGCCAAGCCGGGCTTTCTCGACGGCCTGCTAGGGCTTCAAGGGGCCTCAAAGCTCGGCCTGCACATTTGGGAGGCCGGGCCGAGCCGGTCAGGCTGGGGCTTTAGCCATGCTTGGACCTATAATGTAAGCGCTCATACATGGCGCCGCTCTAGCCAGGCGCTTTGTTTGTCCCACCCAGCCATGGCTATCCAAGCTGTGGCCCAGGGGCCACAATTGTCCTTGTCTTGGATGGCGGCTCTCCAATGTCGCTGCAGGTATATAAAGCCGACAAAATCTCTACAAGGAGCAATCAGTGCTCTCTTCCCAGACTCAGATTGTGAGCATGTCCACCACTGCCGCCACAATGGGCTGTCCTAGACGGGCTGCTCACCTTTCGGCAAAGATCCTCGACTCTAACAACACCACTATCCCAGAAATACTTGTGCATACCCATCCTTCTCTTGGCAGCCCTCAGGTTGATGGCACCCACCCTCCTGTTCAAGCAACAACCTCATCGGTTACTACCCGACTCGGTGGGGCTGAGATCGCGCCAGTCCTCCCCGGTTCATTGCAGGAGACCCCGGTCGATGTGGATGCGGATTGTACTGGAGGCAAACAAGCTAATGGTATGCCATTTGAGTTGTTACACGCAGTATCAATAATCTTACAATATTTCTGCAGCAGAAGAGTCCTTAGGAGCTGAGTCGACCCCAAATCAGACTCGCTCCTATAAGACAACCGTCACGGAGATTGATGATGAAGGTGATGTGGTGCTCAACTCACAGGGGCACAGTACCTCCGGCAGCGGAGATGAGTTCAGTGCAGATTCCTCCAGTGAGTCAGAGAGCGAGCCTGAGAGCAATGTTGAGACGGACAAGACGGCTGGAAAGCGCAAGAAGTGTCGTGGAAAGAAGAAGTCAAAGGCACACAAGCGACGGAAGGGCAACCTGGCCTCGGACACCGAGGTTGAGGTCATGGACATCACTCCCGAAGTGCTCACCGTCCGCAGGGACAAGAGCAAGGATGTCAATCGCTTCTTCTCACCAGCGTATACGGAAGGCGGCAAGAAAATGTGTAGCTGCCGCAAATGCAGGTGTGTTTAATTCGTTGAACTCACTCCTTCGTTGAATTCTAATTCCTTGTCTAGTACCGGTAAGCACCACAAGATGATCATCAATGAAGTGTCGACACTTCGCCGCCACCTTCAAGCATGTCACAAAGTGAGTATTCTTCCTTTTTAATAGGACAGGCAAACAGATGTACGGGTACTATATAGGGTGCATACCTCGCATGGTGCGAAGCCAACGAGTTCATCTCCATGTTGCCAAAGGACACCAAGGCTCGGAAGGAGAGGGCTGCTTTGGAAGCTACCCAGAAGTCACAAAGCCGGCTCGACGACCACTTCAAGGACGGTCCTGCGAAGAACGTAAGGGTGGTTCCCTACAGTGACGAGTTCTTTAGTGCAGCGGCGCAGGAGTGGTTGCGGCAGACAGATCAGGTGTGTCACACATATTTACTACTTCAAGCACCACTAACGTGTCTACAAACTGCCAGCCATTACAGGCCCTGCAGCACCCGAGCTTCCACGCTATGATCGATGTCGCTGCTCGTGCAACGAATGGTGTCAAGATCTACAACTTGCGGAACACCCGAAGGGCAATCATTGCAACGTTCAAGAACAATCTGACCAACCTTGGAAAGCGACTGAATGTGAGTGCGTCACAGGCTTGGATATATGTTCGCTAACCTCGCCCACCAGGGGCCCACCGTCAAGGGCGCCGTGAATCTTACCTGTGATGCCTGGCAGGCAAGCACAGCAGACGGTTACTTTGCTGTAACCGGATCTTGGATTGAAGAGAAGGAGCCGGGCTGCTGGTCGCTCGAGACAGCTCTCCTGGGGTTTGTGCGACTGAACTGTGCACACACCGGGAAGAAACTCGGCGAGGCTCTGTACAAGGTCTGTGCTCGCATCGGCATCGAGCACAAGGTCAGTAGCACTTTTCATTTTCTGCTACCAGTGCTAACTGATTTATTGCCAGGTCAGCTATGTTACATGCGACAACGCGACCAATAATGACACAATGATGGATCATTTTGGAGCTCACATCAGGAATGCGACTGGCCACGCTTACGATGGTTGAGGCCATCGTGTGCGGTGAGATATTTACTGCTTGAACGTGCTCGTATAGTCCGCTTGATCTGACTTCGCATTTGGTCTACAGGTGCCTTGCACACATTGTGAACTTGGCGACGCAAGCTCTGATCACTACATATAGCAAATCGAAGCCATATGATCCTCAAAACCCAGATGATGACCTGCTTGTCAACGTCAATGGCCGCCGTGACGTTATAGGTCTTGTCTGCTCAATTGTTGTCAAGGTACGTCTGCGCTTCTCCCATATATTGTGCCCCGTACTGATAACACCTGCATAGGCATGTTCATTGCCGACACGCAAACAGATGTTCCTCAACATACAAACACAAGCAGGAGAGCCCTCACCACGGCAGCTACTCATGGATATGCCTGTGCAATGGTCCTCAATGTACGTCATGCTGCATCGTGCAGAGGAGCTCAAGGAAGTATGTATATATCTATATATGCTGTCAGCAAATGACTGATATCTTTTACAGCATGTTGATCAGTTTGTCTCTGATATGGTGCGAGCAGAGAAGGATTGCGCAAAGCGACAGAAACTTGATGATCTCCAGCTGTCCTCGGACGAATGGGAACACGTCAAGAACTGCCTGGATCTTCTCTTAGTGCGTAAACAATATGTAATCTACACCAATACTGTTGTTGACACCTCCCATATAGCATGCTGATCACGCACAACAGGTGTTCTCTTCCGAGGAGGGACCGTCTCTTCATCTGGCACTGCCGGCACTCGAGGCGATCCAGCGTGCTTGGCTTACACGCTCTGACTGCCCAAAGTATGTGGTGTTTGCATCTGCCCTTGAGGCTGGCTGCGCGAAGATCAAGGAGTACTTCGAGAAGACGGCGGACTCCGAAGTTTACATGCTTGCGCTCCGTATGTACCATACCATTCTGTTGTCATTGCACTACTCATTTTTTGCTTTAAAGTTCTCGACCCTGCTCAGAAGTTGAGCTACATCCGCAAGTCTTGGGGGAAGGAGCTGCTTGCAGAGGCTCGTGCTCATGCTGAGGAGATTGTGAGTGCAATGCACTGCATACTTGTTATATGCCTCAATGACGTCGTCCTGATTGAACCATCTTCACACTTACAGTATAAGGCACAGTACTTGGAGATGTACGGCAGTGATGGGCAAACACCAGCGCCATCTCGACCCGCATATTCCGGTGCATTGCACAAGGTCAAGCCCCTTCTGCGCAAGCTACCCCGGTACCCGACTCCGATTCCGATGACGACGAGCCGGAGAGTGAGCCTGAGCCTGATGCTTCTGCTGTGGCGAAGCCTTGGCTCAAGGACTTCAATGGCTACCTTGACTCAACCGACGATCTGGGTAAACTCTCCATTGTGCAATGGTGGGGTGCACATATATTCTCATATTCCTTGTGACTCCTACAGTGGTATCTGCCAGTACTGACCCATGTTTGATCAGAAAAACGTGTACAAATATCCTGTATGGGCATCGCTCGCCCATGACTACCTTTCTGTGATGGCATTGTCCGTTTCCAGTGAGCGAGCTTTCTCTTCGGCTGGAATCACAATTAGCAAGCGGTGCAATTGCCTCAAGGCCGATATTGTTGAAGCGCTGCAGCGTCTGAAGAGCTGCTTCCACCACAACATCCTCTTCCGTGAGATGCCATCATCTCTCACCGAGTGCGACGATCAGATCCCAGCGGTCGCGCTCGACTTGCCGGACACCCAGTCTGCTGACACCACTGAGGAGGACCCAGGGTGGGATGTAGATGAAGAGACAGAGGTGTTTGGGATATGCGAACTCAATGATCTTGTTGTAATGTTGTTGTAGCAGGTAGAAATACAGGGAATGATAGGTTACTGACTACTGGAAAGCCCCGGCTTGACCGAGCTGGGCTTGAGCCTGATGCGTAGGGCCCGGCTCACCATATGTTGAGGCCTGAGCCTCTATAAGCCGGGCCCAAGCCAGGTCTTTCGGGCCGAGCCTGGCCGTGCAATTCACTAACTACACTGCGCATTGTGCCAACAAAGAAAATGGCATAGCCCTGGAGCACTGTGCCGCAACATTACGATTGATGAGGAACGAAGAAATCGTTTCTTATGGGGTGACCTTCATGCCAACTTGTGACACCTCAATTGATGCCCGTGGGAAAATATTTTGAAACTCCGCTAATCAGCCATTAGTGTTGAGATAGGCGCCACATACATTCTCCACTTACAAACCCAGGGTTAGGGTTCTCCTCCATTAGGAATTTTAGGGTTAGACACTAGATTGCTGCACACAGCCACTCTGACCATCTGCTAATGAGGCTCTAATGCTTCCCAATAGGTGTCTATGTAACCCTAGGTGGCACTACACACCTGCGGCTTCACGCACACTCAAATGCAGGCTATAACAAACTTGGCTAGAGAGGGCCATAACTGGCAGGTCCGATTGATGAGGGTACATATATCTTAGTATAATTCATATAGTTGGGCTAAGAATTCAGATTGATAATGCATTTAGATCTGGCCCAGAGCAAACTATGGATGCTGTGTTGATATATGTAGTAGATATGAGCCTTTAAACAATCCACATCATCCATATGCATTGATCTTGTATCAATTCCACTGCTGTCATCTGCTAAAAAATTCAGACATCCAAACTCCCATTTTTGGTTTTAAGCATTTTTTATTGCCTTCAAGGTATTCAAATATGCATTACTTGATATAGCACTTGAACTGATGCATCCTAACATGGATGCTATCAAAGGCACTGCATAAATAAACCAGGGAATTTCCTCCACTGGTATAGTATAATGATGTCACAGTATTCAAGTAGATCAATGATCCAACCTTACCTTAACTGCCCAGGGTACTCAGCTATAACAATCAGATGTGTCACTTGACAATTCTCACCAAGATACAAATATTCTCATTTTATAACATGGCTCAACCCAGACTTCATTTTATTCTCTGCAGAAGACTCTTATAGCATTTCTTGATCATCTCAGCATTAACAGGTCAGTTTATAATCGAAACAATATCAGTAACTAGAGTCACATTACTACCATGAGTGTAGTTTTATTGATTTTATATAATGGTCATGCCATTGACACATTGATTGAGGCTGATTATCTGTGATTATTAGCCCTTAAGCCTAGGCAACTTTAAGTAGGAGGTTAAGACATTCATCTTGGTAGCTAATTTTATGCCATGTAATGGATCAGACATACCTTGATCAAAGACCTTGATTGAATAGGCCTTCAATAAATGGCCTGATTGTATTATTTAGATGGAAATCATGTTATGATACATTTATTTCATTGAAGTTTTGGGAAGTAATTCTTTTATGCTCACAGTATCCCCTCTATTTGAAGGGCAACAGGGCACTATTCAGCAAGACAATGTGTTTAGGCACTTTTATGATCATTTGATGCTTCAAACATGGATTACCCCATTGAACGCACTTCATAAGCATGATTATGTGACCTC